TGATAAAATAGATAGAACAATAAGATTTTAGCAGACATTAAATGATAAATTGTTGAGTAATAATTGTTGAGAGGTCACCAAAAGTTGTTGAGTTTGTTTATTAAATATCTTACTGTTCGTAGAGGAAAATGGCTTAATGTTAACATATATAAAGCCAAGGATTTCATCATACATTATTTTTATCTTATTTACAATCTTTGTATATAATTATTTCTATGTTGTATATAGAGAAAGAAAGTGAAGGACTTTATTATAATTTTGTATACTAAATCTGTTTAATATAATATTGAGAATGTTTACTATATATCCAATGAATAAAGGCGCTCATTCTCATCAGGTTATGTAGCTAATAATACAAAAATTGAAATGAATTTTTTCCTATTTCTTTTTTTATACATAATATAGAGAGAAAGTGTAAATGGAATAAATATTTTATGAGAAATTTTTGTTTTTTTATATATCAAATTTTGTTAATTCTCTTCTACAGAGGATAAAATGTGACAAAATAATTCCATCAAGCTTTAATGATGTATAATCGTTATATAGTAAATACTGCATTCTTTAGAATTTGCCAAAATGTGATTTGATCTATTTTTCTTATGTAAAAACATCCTATTATAATACATACTATTTAGGAGCTAAATAATCCAACTATTTCTAAAGTTGTAGTGTTTTGCTTTTAGATTTTTTTATAATTTTAAATAAATTTATACGAATAAATAAACAAAAGCACCCATATATAAAAAAGACATAAAAAAAATTTAAAGTACTATTTTCAATTACAAGAAAAATGATGAGAATTAGCACCTTTAGTTATTGGACAAATAGTATACATTCTCAATGCCATATTAATATATAATTAATATATCAGATATCATTGCTAGAATCAAATGTTCTAGAATAAATAATAGACAAATTAGATTTTGGTAAACATTAATTGATAAGCAAAAAGTGGAGAACGTATTGTTTGCTTATCAGTAGACGTAAACAAACTTCATCATAAATTTGGTGCCGTAAGCAGACGAGACAGACCAAATATGAAAATATATAAAGCCAACATTTTTTTTATATCATGTTTTTTCCCTTGCTCATCTTCTATATTTTATCATTATACATTATATATATAAATAAGACAAACCGAAGAACTTTATTATAATTTTGTATACTAAATCTATTTAATATAATATTGAGAATGTTTACTATATATCCAATGACTACAGGCACTCATTTCCAACAATCATATACAATACAACCCATTTTACGTCTGTGTTTCTTTATTATAAAAATCTATTACTTTTCCTGCTATTTATTATGATGAATTTAAATTAAGAAAGATATCTCTAAACCATGGAAAGTAGTGCTTTTTGTATTTAATATTATCAAAATTTAACTTATTAGTAAATTAGATCTCTAATTTATTAAAAATCTATAAAAATAATATACATAATTATATAATCTATTTATGCATGAATAAAAATTGATTCTTCATCTTTTTAATTCCCTTCTCAAGAATATCTCTTCTTTTTAACTATTATTCTTAATGACATAATAAAAAGAGTCTTTAATAAAGAAACCTAATGGGTGTACTATCTACTCTCTAGCAATAATGCATCTCATAGACGAAATGACTCAATACAATTAATTATAATACTACAAACATATTATTATAGCACCTGTAATCTTTACCATAAAGATTATCTATATCTTATCACCATGGAATTAATAATAATTATTAATACCAAATATCCATTTCAATACTTTCAGTTTATACACTTGCATTTATATATTGCATAATATTGCCTTATATACCCTTCTTATTTATCTTTATCTTTTTTTAGAACGAATAGAGCTGTACATATCTATAACTCATGAATCAGTAACATTAATTCTACTAAACTCTATATTCATACTAAATCATCCACAAGAACACTGCTAATAATTTTTGTCACATACTTTTGTGCGAATGCGAACATGTTACAGTTTTCTGCATATCATAAGGATAGAATACATCTTTTCAAACATGAAAAACTGAAGGAAGTATTGAAATCTCTCCACCATCACCAAACCGTGGTAATATTATACTTTTGACATAATACCTTTTTAAAAATGCCATTTTGAATGTATACATTACTGCTCTTTGTGTAGGTCATCTCTATATCAACAAAATTGTCTTAATCTTTATATCACGCCTACAAGTCTACAAGACCCATCTATCCTAGGTTTACCTATTTCACACAATGTGTTTTGACGATTTTCTATGTATAGACATAAATACATACATATATATATATATGCGATTATGCAATATATTCGAATAATGTTATAAGATGCCATGCTATTTTCTTTCTCTCTCATCTTATTTTCTTCTCTTTTCTTTCACCTTTACTTTTCATCGCATTTTTTCCTGGTTCATGAATAGGATATTTTTAAAGTAAAACCAGCGAGTGACAGTTACAGCACATATGGAATTTTACAACCTTATGGGACAGTTAACGATAGAAGGGTAAAATTAAAATACTGCATACGCCATTTTCTTAATAGTATATATAGTGAAACTGTAGCATTTTTTTTTTTAAATGTAAGATAGATATCTCCTTTTCTATTTCCAATCCACATTGAGTAATCCAATATTTAACAGCTTAACGAAGATCTTTTACTTTGAAATCTGAATTTAAAAATATTAAAAGATCAGTATGGAATTTATTATCTAAAGACACAAGGAATTAGATAAAGCTTTAAAAAAAAAATACATAATTTATAGTAACTTTGTTGCTGACTACCGGTGATAAATTTACTATATTGCTATAAGGGCTATATAGTTCATACAGTTTTCTGAAGCAATATAGATTGAAGTGTTTTACTATAGTTTCATCTTCATAATCTCTCAAGTTATAACTATTAATATGCTTTCTAAGTTAATTGTTTCTGGTTAAGAAGTTTCAAAAAAGCCTTGCATCATTAAAAACTCTATAAGAACAAAATATGCCTTCTTTATTGATCAGTGGACAATAATATGCATTTGATTGATAAGGGAAACTGCAAAAAACGTTTAAGTAATTGTTATATTTAAGTGGTTCGTTAAATATATTTACTAAGAATAACAATAATTTTTATTATTTCATAATATAAAGTTGAATTATATTGAGTTAATAGGTTATCCGCATAACATCAAATCAAATAACATGCCTTTTCACTAGAAAACTACTGATTCTTGTAATGACAATTGTGAAAAAGTTATCTTTTCGGTTAATGGGAATTTGTTCTGAAATGATACTACTGATTATTACAACATTAGACATCATTATACTCTCATTACTTTGACGTACCAATACATTCATATCTTGAAAAATCGTAGGGAATATTTGCTAACACACTACTAAATATCTATCTCTTTTGATTTAACCCTTTTTATGGATAGTATTTACTTACGATTAATTTTTTATAATCCTTCTAATGATATTGTAGAACACACACATCTCATATAGAGAATAACATTTTGACCGTCTATACTCTCACTTCAGTCTACTATATCACTTTCTATTGAATAAACTCTCTTTTATCTTTTATCTAATTGATCTTATCTTTTCAGTCTTTATAAAACATCAAAGCAGAAAAGAGATTTTAGCTAGATCTTTAAAAATCACCTTCAAATACATCAAACAATCATAAGAAATAATTAAAATTCAGATAGACAATAGATTACACTTCTCTTATGAACGTGTATAACTATCAATTATATTAAATTAACAGAATATATCAATAAGACACGCCTATAAGAAGAGATACTTTCAATCAGTAGATTTCGAGGATATACCATATAAAGATGAGAATTCTGTGTAAAATTGTGTAAAAAATATAATAAGGATAGTTTTATCTATTTGCTAATAGTTGCATTTTCAGAAAAAATGCTCATGAATTTAAAAAATCTAGGATTATTTAGATTAGATTTCAGCTCCAAAAAGAACGTTCTAGATGTTTAATAGCCAAATTTAATAAAATGCTAAAAGAACGTTAACCGAAATTGTATACCTATTTTAGAAATTAGTTCGTGAAAATGGTGATATATCATCGAGCCAAAAAGACTCAAGGCTATTATTCTTATTGTGTGAGAAAAAATCATGTTTTTAAAGAAACGATGTATTTATTGTGAACGTAGTTGGTGTGAAGGGCGGAAGTGTAGATATTGTAATTCCTTTATTTTCAGAGTTATTCCCAATAACCAAAAATTATTTATGCAGAACTATTTACTCTTTGACTCTGTTTTTGTTTAACGACTGTTTTACATATCCATAATATTCATGCAACTTAGATATTAATAACATTCACTATCCAATGAGTATAGATATTCAAAAAATCTATTAGTTATTGTATATCACTTTTCATTAAATTAAACTATTGGTGATATCACTGTATATTTTTTTTTTCTTTAAAAACATACACTCATAATTGGTTATACTAGTATGAGCTAGCTCTAAAGCATATGTATAAAAAGGGATTTGATGTGTTGTTATATAACTCTTTTAAGGTATTTATCTATAATAGATAACAGGAAAAAGCATCTTAATACCATTATTGGATATATCACTAATTATAAATAATGTTTTCCGCATCAAATGTATAATATGTCTGCTAGTTCTTCTAACCAATTATATTTGCTCTACCTGCTTGATCTCTTCTTTTGAAGTGTGAGTTATACTGTAAAAGGGTCTTTTTCTTGTATTTCAAGTTTTTTCACTTTTTCACTTTCAATAACAGAAAGTTTTGCTGAGGAAATGAAAATGTTTGTATTTATCAACAAATATCGAAAGCAAATATAAATTGAAGATGCGTTGTTAAGAAGGATCTTTATACCGGTAACTTTTCTTATATATGCTTGATATAAATTTAATGCTATAAAGAGATAGTCTGTAACTGTTTAATCATTTTTTTTTCTCATTAGATTTTAAAACATTAATTAGACAAACAATATCAGAAATACAGAGATAATAAACAGTTAAATAATGGAGTCAACTAAGCCGCTTGTACATTTTGCAAGTGATGAACTTTTACTTGCTCATAGCTTGTATCTATTAAAGCAAATTTTACAAATTAGTGTTCAAGAAGAATTAATAGCAGGACAGCTTGATCACCTTCCTTTAAAACAAATTATGGTACCTCCTGAATATTTTGAAGATAGAATAAATGATGGTACTGAATTGGATGAGTATAAGTTTAGAAAAATCGATCCGTTAGGAATTACTAAGATTGATTCAAATGGGAAACTATTGATATCGGGAATGAATAAAGATTTCTTATTTAACTATTTTCAATTACCAGGACATGGGGATAAATATTGGGTCTTATTAAGGGATTTAATATCGTTGGTTCAAGATGATTCTATTGATCAAGAAACTTTTATTCAAAAATATAAGCAACAACTCCTTCCGATACAGGCTACTAGTGATGATATTGAATTTATGAAACGAAATCATTTACTTGATAAGAATTATAATGATGTCAATAATAATGATGTGAAGATTGTAACAACTAAATCTGCATTTATTACTTTTGGAGCGCAAATAATAAGCCAAGGTACCAGGATTGTAGATGACTATTGGGAAACATTGGCGAAACAACAAGGTTTCACAACACATCATAGGGTTTTTAAATGTTCTTCAAAAGTAATATCATTACTTAAAGAGTTGAAACCGCAAATATTTAATCGCAGTGTTCGTTCATCTCAGCAAATTCCACAGGATATAAAAATAGAGAAGGAAGAGAAAGAAGAAGGAACTTTCAATTTTGATTCTCCTTATACAATCATCATAGAGCAACCTTCTCAAGAAATAAGGGAAGAGTATGAGGAACAATTTAGTAAAGGACAACATACTGATACAGTAGTACCCGGTCAAGCTATTGCCGGTTCACTTGAATTGAGTGCCCAGTTTAGAGTCCCTAAATATCATTCAAAGAATTCATTTTTACAAGCTACACAAATCAAAGGTATGGATACTCCAATTGGTGAACACAATTATAACAAGAATGAAACCTCACAACTAAAAGGAGCTCAACCTAGTTTACCTAATCTAAGGACAAATCCAAATATGACCAGTGAATCAAAAATTTCTAATAGAATGTTAAGCAGTATCACTGACTCTAACATAGATAAAAAAATTGAAGAGGAACCAAGTTCCCTCAATATGAATAAACAGCAGACATCTTCTCTTAACATTAAGGGGTGGAAATTTGATTCTTTACCTATTGGCGATGAACAGCAAGTAAAAGAGAATAATCATTCCATAAAGGGATTAAGTTACTTTGAAAAAGACAACTTACTGAAAAGGTTGAATTACTTGACACCAAATCAAATTAAGGAGACAGAACATTCACACGATTGTTTATTTGTGAATGTTGGTTTACAAAAGGTAAGAAAAATACGAAGCAAAAGATGGATGAAATACTGGCAGTATAAGCATGGTCTTCCTATTGGTTTATTAAATGAAGGTAAACAAGTGGAATATATTGAAAAAAGGTATATATCTAAGATGCTTCAGCATGAAGATATCATTACAAACTTTAACGAATTGACGAACACCGATGAAATAAGGATTACTAAAAGACAGGCAAACCCTAATTTATTAGGTTACTCAAATATTAAGTCCTTCAAACCACCTTATGCATAATTACAATATGATGTATTTAACTGTACATAAATATGTATATATAAATATATATGTCATATGAGAAATTATAATAATTTTGTTTTTACAATTTCTTGTCTAATTTTAAAGGTATAATATGCCATAACACACATGATAACAATCAAAGGTATCAACCAAACTGCTAATTTGGAAACAATTTCATCTATTTGTGGACCTGCTTCGCGATTTGCTTGAGCCAGTTTAGTTGCCTCTCTAATCTTTGCTTGCTCATTTAACATCTTCTCCAATTTTTCATTCATAGACAAGAAATCTTTAAACTGATCATTGTCATTACTTCCTCCTTTATTCATATTGTTGTTATTATTATTTTGTATGCTCTTAGTTAAAATAGATAATTCTTTAATCAATGTCTGTTGGATAGACAATATATTGTTGATCTTTTCCTCTATGATATTAATGTCATTTGCCATAATTTTCCCTTCCAATCTATCCATTTTCTTATATAATTCAAAACTGGACATATGCTTATTTTGAGAATCAAGAACCTCTTTATCAACAATTTTCTCAGTACCGGTCTTTTCATCAATAATTTTAGTTAATAATTTTGGTTGATTCATTGCGTTTACATTTGGAATTAAAGCATCTTCAATAAGTTTATTATAAAATTTCATTTGTAGAATTTCAAAGGTTTCAAGTGAATCAGAATTATCTGCACTTACCCCAATTTTTAAACCCTTTTGTAAAATATTGGATAACTTGATTTTCCTAGTCTGGAAACAAACTTTATTATCAACTTGTAACTTTAGCATATTATTGGACTCAGAATCATAAGATAATCTAAGAGTCAATGGTACTGTAGAATCCTGATATCCCATTAAACAGGAGGCAAAACTTTTATCATAAATTTTTTCATTGGAATCTAATAAATTCTTCGATCCATCATTTAATTGAGCGTGAATTGATTGAGACACTTGACTGTTACTGTCAACCAACAATTGCAAACCATTAAACTTGGAGGGACCATTAAAAAGTTTTTGGTCATTACCAATCTTATCAACATCACCTAAAAACCAAAATGAAAGACCACCCGAATGTTTGCCTTGATAATTCAAACTTCTAAAAGTCCATTCGACAGTAAAACTTTCCAGATCCTTTAAAATTGGTCTTAACCAGAGAGACCCTTTAGAAGATTTGCTTGGTGTTAATATAAATCTCCCTTCATCCAATTTCGCAGAATCTTTGGTTTCCCAATTAGATGGAATAGAGTTACCACTAGTGATTAAATTTGGTAAAGAGTATCCTATAACTGGCAGGTCTTCATTTTTATTGTTCCCAGAATCAACATTATGACCGTATGAAGATGATCCCAAAGAAAGAAAAGCCAAAAAGCCTGTATAATAGGATAGTTTCATAATTTAAATTCAGTGTGCACAGGTGATTTTACCACTATAGTACTGTCTCTTTACTCCTTCAAACCTTTATTCTAGTATACTCCAATAGTCTGATGTTAGTTTAAGATGAACATATATTGAATTGAATACTAAATGAATATAGAGCAGGCGGTATAGTATATGGAACAAAAGAGTTGTCCAACTAACTATAAATTTTATTTGCAATAATTTTTTTTTTTTCAGCTCTTGGGGATTCTTTGATTTTATTTGTATTGATATTAACAAATGGAGAAATTTAGGACGAAATGAGGCAAATTTTTCAAATGAAACAAAAGGATTGCGGAAATGGCGGAAATATACGGAATTGTTTTTTAGAAAAAGAAAAAAAAAAAAGAAGAAAAAAAATCACGTGGATTAGAAAAAAGGTTGGCGGTTAAAAATTAGTAAAGATCCGAAGTTGTTTTAATAGAGTGAATATATGAGGATACTCCAGTGTCATCTTGTGATATCAACAGTAATTACACTTTCCTGATTAATGATATTATTAGAGAGAATACAGAGGTATGTTCATTAATATATCAAAAAGAAAAAGAGATCAGCAAATTTTTATGCTTTTTGTTGCTGTTATAAACACGCAGAAAGAAGGAATGACACTTTAGGCTGAAGATGTTAACAGTTATGATTCAAATGAAAATCATACAATGGTCTTTTTTAGAAAATAAGTTGAATATCCGCTTGTAATTAGAAGATTCTCATATATTGTTAAGTTGTTTGGATATAGTAATGCATATTTTGTTTTTTGTTATTCTAAACCATTCTTTTCTACAATAGTTCTGAAACAGACACCATGGAAAATCCGAACACGGAGAATGTTTCTTTTTTTTTGTCTCATTTAATGTGCGATTTTTTTTTTGACGTGCAGGGTTTTACCCAGAAAATATATTGGTATTCAGGATAAAAATAGTTATCGATCAAATATATGATGGTCTATATAGATCAACGCCATCAACCTCACTAAGAAAACAAAATAAAAAGGCTCTTTGAGATTCAATTAACTTTTTTTTTTTTTTTTAAGCAGAAAACAAAAAAAAAGGAACTTCATTTATCAAATTAGATTGGGAAGCCTCTCATTTGCAATATTTCCAACAAACACACCACCCATGCCATCATTCTCAGACAGTTTCTGGTCTGATGATTTATCATCAGGACTTGACGTCCTTTTCCAAAATCTATATAAAGGTTGTGACCAATGTGACTCTTTTATCCAATTATTTGCTTCAAGGATGCAATATGAAGTCTCTTACGGAAGACAACTGTGTGCTGTTAGATCTGGTATTGATATTGTAGATACGAACAATAGTACGTCTAATGCTTTAGACAATATCATAAAACAAACAGAATTGGAAGGTGAACAACATTTAACAATAGCATCCAATATAGAGTCTTTGGTATTAAAACCTTTCAGTCAATGGTGTAACGATCATAGAAAAAGAATTAAATATTCACAGAAAACTCTAATTGATAACATAAAAGGATTTCAAAAGAGCAATAACTATGTTAAGAAGTTATCAATGGAGTATATTAAAAATTGTAAAAAGTTAGAAGATTGGAAAAGAATTCATTTTAATGATGATGATTCTTATAATAAGGCTATGAAAAGTTTAGAATGTTTAAATAATTACAAAGTTCAGTTAGAACGTGAAAAGGAAAATTTGATATTTGGTGAAATTGGTAAGATAGAATTTGATAATAAAAGTTTGAGGCAACTATTAAAGTTGTTGTTATTAGAATTACCTAAGACAGAATATAAATTACCCTTGATTAATTTTAATTTGCAAAATACAAATAATGGTTATGAGATCACAAAATTTTTGTTGGAGAATATGTCATTGAAAGATTTTGATCAAGCTGAAGAGTTTGGTCAAGATCTTTTAAATTTTGGGTTTCTTAAGTATTGTAATGGTATGGGTAATAGTTTTGTGAATTCAAAAAAATTTCAGTATCAGTGGAGAGATTATGCCTACAATTTTGCCCAAGTTCCTATTCCAAATAAAAATAATGAAGATAACTTGTCAAATTCATCTCAATTTGAACGCTATTTATCTCAGACGAAAAAAACTTTGGCCACAATAAAAATATCTGACAATATACCTTTGAATTCGAACCAAACAAATGCAACAGATAATCAAATCACTTCATTAGAAGAACCAACAGTAACAGAGTATGAAAGTGAATTGTTTAAATTGTTAGATGATGTAGCAAAATCAGATAGTAAATATTTTAAAGAATGTCATAAAATGGATTCATTAAGGTGTTCAATTGAAGAACTTATGATTGATCATCTTTCATTTATGGAAAAATGTGAACTTGATAGATTAAAGGCTATTAAGAAAGCGACTATGGACTTTTGTTCTACAATAGGTAACAAAATTGCCATTATGAAATTACAGATTGATAAAAATATTGACTGTCAGGACACCATTGATCCAGAAAATGATTTGTTAGAGTTGATTACTACTTATAATACTGGTTTATTCCAACCAAAAGTTATTACTTATAATAATTATTATAACCCAGGTATTTATCAAAACTTTGGTATTGATTTGGAGACAAGATGTAGATTAGACAAAAAAGTCGTGCCACTTATAATTAGCGTCCTTCTCTCACGTATGGATCAAATTTATCCTGATTTGGAAAATGATAAAATTAGAGTTTCTGCATGGATTGACCGTGTCAAATTAAGTTTAACGCATGAATTGAGAAAGAAATTAAACCAAACTCAATTCAAGGAGGAAGCAGAGATACTAAACATTTTAACTGAAGGACAATATGAACCCAGCGTAATTGCTAGTGTTATTAAGTTGTACTTACTGGAATTACCTGAACCTTTGATATCAAATGAATTACTTGATATTTTAAGAGCATTATATGAAAAATATCCACCAGCAGTAGGAATAGATGTGATTACAGAGCCAGTAAAAGATAATGACAAAATTCAAATGTATGCTTCAGACAATAGCCATAATAATGATAATGTTGATAACACTTTGAGCAATTCTGAAAATAAAAGGATAACAGGATTATATACTACGTTATCATCTTTATCGAAACCACATTTAGCTACATTGGATGCAATTACAACACATTTTTATAGATTATGCAAAATTATTAAAATGGCAAATCCTAAGGAGAAATGTATATCTGTATTAAAGGAAGATACAACAATCAATAATGACACGTTGGCTACAGAGGACATGGGTTCTTATGTCTCTGCTGAATACTTTGTTAATGAAATTTCTAGAGAATTTGCACACTGTATTATTCATGCTAAAGTGTTTGATGATAATAACTTAGGATTCAAAATATTCCACGATTTATTAACCTACAAGAAATTAATATTTAAGCAATTAAAGAGACAAGTATCTACAACAAAATCTTAGAATGGGAAATAATCTTCTCTTCTTTCTTAATTAATAGTGTTTTTTTTATATTTTCTCGAATATTTGCATGCATATAGTTACACTTTACCTGAGTAAGATAGTTGTTTGGTGTTTTTAATTAGTAAGTATTAAGTATAGATATATTTCTTTTTGTTGTCTTAAATTGGATTTTAATAGCGACTATAAATAATAAAAAATATTAAAATTATTTCTTTTTATAAAATAAACCATACATTAGTTATACAAACAAATATAATAACAACAGAGAGACCATAAATTGTAAAGATCGAAACAAATAACGTTTATGGACACTATGCTTAAATCTCTTTGTGTTGTATATAAACCAGCTACCAACTGGAGATTAAATCCACTACAATCTTTTAACAGAGTGTGGAATTCCTCTTCTATGGGTCCAGCCCACATTAATAATTCCAATCATTATAAGGAACTCCTCATGAGAGAGGGAGATTTCACGGAAAAACAGGCCTCAAAAATACTTGATATAATACGAGATGCTATTCAAAGTGGCGTAGTCCATGTGTCTAAGGATTTGGCAAAGAGAGAAAGATTGATTCAATTAACATACCAACAAAGAGTTGATTTTGCCAAATTAAGAGATCAACTGTTGACTTCTGATAGAAATGAATTTCATAATGTGGAAAATGAGTATGAAAGAGTACGTAGTGATTTAGAAAAAATGAGAAGTAAGCTAAAAGAAGAAATTACTAAGGTTAATGCAGGATTCAAATTGGATCTATCTTTAGAGAAGGGACGAATTCGAGAAGAGAGTTCACACCATGATTTACAGATAAAAGAGATTGATACTAGGATAGATCATGAAGTATCTAATATGAAGACTCAAATTGATTCTGTTAAAACACAAGTAATGCAATGGTTAATCGGTGTATGTACTGGTACATTTGCTTTGGTTTTAGCTTATATAAGATTGCTGTCATAGAAAAACTTCTTTTGTGTACACAACGTATTGAAATAATGAAAAATAGTCTATTCTATAATGGGAAATTATTTATCCTAGTATTAGAGATCTTACAATTATTAATAATAGGATATATTTTAAAGCAACGAATTCTTATCAAGTTTCTATATACTAATAGGGGAAGAGGTTATATTATAACAAGGTGAAACTTATAACATAATGTAGATACAATACTTTATAATAACAATATATATATGGTAGATATACACACACACATATATATATATACCAATAAAAAGATATTAATTTATGCATAGATTATTATATTGATATTCTTTTGAGTACAAATTTACACTGAATTTTGAAATAAATTTAATATTAACTTAATAATTTAAAACTTCTGATTCATTTCCACTTTAATCAATTATAAGTTAAATAATTCGTTTAAGATTTTAACAGTATCATCTGGAGAGGAAACAGAGTGACCAATAGTTCTTTCATCAACATAGATTTCATAATCATTACCACCTTCAAAAGTCTTGTCACCAAAGAAGTGAATTTCCTTGAAACCGTCCTTTTCAACATGTTGCAAACAGTAAGTCTTATCCCAACCAGTTGGGAAGACATCAAAGGAAATTTGACCACCAATGGAGTAAGTTAATTTTAAGTGAGGGAATTCCTTCTTTAAAGCTTCAACGAATTTAGCTCTAATTTGATGTTCTTTGTCGTATTTTTCAAATTCGTTACGTTCTTCAGTACTGGCGTTTCTACCAATTGGAGAAACATTAATCATACCATTTCTGAATTCTAAGAAAGTACCTCTTCTCTTTGGTAAATCCAGATTGGCTAAGTATTTCAAGATGAAAACAGCTAACTTGTTGTATTCTTCTTCACCAATCCAGTTAATGAAGGATTGAGAAGCCTGTTGAACACCTAATCTGTAAGCAGTTAAACCATTTTCAGAGAAAGAATAGTCAAATTCATCTAAGACATTTGGACCTAATTGTTCAATTTGTTTACTTAAATCAGAACCACCAACAAAACCAATACAGACCTTCTTTCTTAATTTGGCTAAAGTTTCTTTGACTTCATCAGAGATGGTTAATCTAGCCGGAGTTAAAGTACCATCGACATCAAAAAGAACCAAAACATCTGGTCTTTCTTTGTAAGCAAATTCTTGTGAGATGGACATTGGTTAGTGATCGTTATTATTAGATAATCAGAGATAAGAGAAAATAAGGCTGTTGACAGTCACTTAGATATATTTGAATGTGCAGGTTTCTCTAAAGAAGGGATACAAAATAAGAGTAATTTTGCAAGACACAAGCAACCCAGAATATAGCGTCACAAAAAGGGTTTGGTGGAGTTAATATCAGCTTCTTGTAGATATTTATACTCCAATTGAAGATATTACTATTAGAATGTGGTTAGATGAAACTGTCTCCACCTCGAAAGTTTGCAGGCTGCAAAGAAAAATTTTTCAAACGCGTAAATCTTTAGAGAAAAAAAACCTAAAAATAAAAGCTTACGTGTCATATTTTATTATTGAGGGTTTTAATTTTTTTTAAACTATTTTCCTTTCTATCATATTATTGTTTTTAGGTTTAGGTAAAACATTTTGAATAAATAATTAAAAAAAAAAAAATAAAAAAGCAGACGCAACAAATTTTGAATAAACAAAAAAATAAAAAAAACTGGAGATGGACAGCCGATAATGTTGAAAAATTGATAGAAATCCACTCGTTCAGCGATGAGATAAAATAGAATAATTGATAGTGAGAGTCGCAATGCAATGCATTTTCGAAATCCAATTTGTTTACGACCAGTGGGCAAATTGGATTTCAATATTTTTGTGTGGCTATTATAGTTCAATTCTACCCCATCTTTTTTTAATAAAACAATTCAAGCTACCAACAAAATATTTTCCCGCTTATATATATTATTATTTTTTGAATATTATAATGAAGAGTAGTAGGGAATTGATCCAAGAAGCTAAAGATTATCAATTCAATCCTAAAATACCGTTAAAATTGTATTTAAAGACATGTGTTGGATTATTAGACAAGGCTCAAATGAGTGTTCAACGCGGAGATACAGAGTTAGCATATATGTTTTATTATCGTTATGTGGACCTTTGTACCAATAAATTGTCTAAACACCCACAATATCTAATTAATAATATTAATTTAGATTCAGAAATTCAACTTTACAAACAAGAATATTTACAACTAATGAAATTAGAAGTGCCAGCTGTTTTGAAGTTACTTGAAGATTTACAAATCCATATTGACAAAAATTACTTCAAACACCAATTGTCATTGGCTAAAAATATTGCAAAATCCAATAAAATTAATATACATGATCCAATTAACAATAAAAATGAGAGACGATATCATTCAAGAATGGTTAATGATAATAATACAAATTCAGATATCAAATATCCATTATTACCTCCAACTTTTAATGAACATAGGTTTAACCAGTCACTTGAGTTTTTTAAACCAGTACCGGTCCGTAGTGCTCACGATAATAACAGCGATAGCAGCAGTGATTCTCATATAAACGTAACTGCTAATATGTTAGACCATGCCAAGAGTAATAGATCTAACAATTCTGACTCAAATAATAGTGGTCATATGTTTCATTATCCAGAGTTACCCCAATTATCTTTTCCTACATGTTGATTTATCTCATGAACATAGCGATACTTCAGTAATAATGACAATCACAATATTTAATATAGCCTATATAATATCCATAATAATAATAATTAATATATATCAACTTATGTATAATACCATAGAATACTTTTTATAGAAAAAATACAATAAAAATAATAATATAAAGATGTAGATGTCATAAAGAGGAGCCACAAAAGCAACTGTTAATTATTTCTACTTTATTTAATAATAATGTAGTGTATCGAATGGTGAATTAATTAATTGTTCATTCTTGACCTGCATGAAAGTCTTTCTATCTCAAGCAATCTTTCAATGTTTAAAATAGTTCTTCTCATGGAAATTTGATTCCAGATATTTATAGATAGAAGAATAATAAATACTATAATCAAAAAAGTAAAAGAAGATTGATTTACTAAAATAGAATTGCCCGATATTTTCGTACCAACATCCGTTTTGACAATATTCTTTTCTAGATCGTTCTTAATAGAGGTTATCTTTACAATTGGTGATGATTCCATAAACCCCCTAGCATCTGTTATTTTTTCATCTGTTTCAATGATATTATTTTTAATGTAATCATTTAAAATTTCAATTATTTTTTCTGTAGCTTCGATCTGACTCTTTTTTGCACCTGCTTCAATCATCTTTTTAAACCAACTTGAACTAGTCCATTCAAGCCAATAGGATATCTGCAATTGGCAGTTATTTTTTGGACCCCATCTGTACATGTACTTAGTTTTTGTGGAAAAGGCTTTTCCACTTGTTACATTTGGTGTTCTTGTAGTAGTAAGAACCATAATATATCCATGTGGATCATAATTTAAAATTATTTCCTCTGCAAAACATCTTGTAGATTTGGGTCCACCTGGAAAGTTTAAACGTTTTTCAAAAGAATATATTCTTTTGTTCATTTTATCATATCTTGTAGGCTCCTCAATGTCTAATGAGTCAATAGAATGCAAATAATCGTAGAGGAATGAATAATTTTGGTTACTATACATTATTTGATATGCTTGTAAAGGAGTACATGGTAAATCGATTGTTTTAAGAATATATTCATTAGGCTTGTCAGTTCCAGGGAAAATAGTTTCATTATGGGTATAAGGAGGTTCATTCACATAGTCTGCTCCATCTTTGAATCGATAGTGTCCTATAGAACATGTCCCTATCTTTTCGTCGATACTAATACTACTAACTGAACTATTATCATGGAATTCATCGTTATCAAAAGTCGTTCTATCATTTTGGAACCCTTTTTTTTGGTCTGTTGGTATAGCAGTATCTTTATCAAAATCCGCAAATATCAAATTTTTAGACCATACTTCCTTGATTAAATTAAAAGTTTGTTCTCTAGATAAGAAATTGTTAAATTGAACTTTTTCGTTATCCGTTTCAATTAATATGGCATTTGGAAATAGTCCAGCTGCAGAAGTCTTCTCTAAATATCTGATATCCTTCATTGGTATAATATCTTTGGATACCCAACCTAGTATATTTGAATTGAAACATAAACTCCTTTCAGATATATATAGTCTCCCTTGGTACAGAAAATCACGACTTAAGGCGCAACTAAAATCGTCGATAAGCCTATCATCATTAGGAATCGATTCAAATAGACTATGAAACTCTAAATTTCTTTCTATTGTTGCATAATGATAATCAGTGTCAGAATATTTTTCTTCTACAAATTTTTTTTTATTATAATTATCCTCATTTGGCTTATTATTGCCATTTTCTATTATTACTGGACTTGTGGCATTATCATCTTGCAGACCCTGTATATCAATTTGCAATTTATTATCTGTTCGGTTTAAATCTCTGTGACTTGAATTATTACTATGCATATGAGTTATGATTTCTACAGGCTGTGGCGCCTTTTGTAATGGGGAATTTACTAGATTAAATAGAGATGAATCGGTACTCGTTTTTCTAGTTCTACTTGTTTTTCTCTTTGAACTTATGGAATTATCTCTTCTATGACTTATAATATTTGGTGATGAAACAATTTGGTTTTTGTTATTTGAATCATTGGGTAATTTAGTAGAATTGTTATCTATTGATGAGGAACTACTTTTAAAAGTGGCAAACATGTTATTTAAAAAGGAGGGTGATTGGACTTCCTCTTCAATTAGATTTGCATTTTTATCAACAGCGGTAGAATTATTTGTTATTAAATTCTTGGTAAAGTTTTTATCGCTTGACAACGTTGAAGTTATTTCTTTTTCATTAATATCATTATCATCATTATTATCATCATTATTATTAATATTATTATTCGTTATTATTAAATAAGGATTTCTTTTCTTTTTGGATAAAATTATTTTATCTGATCCAAGTGATTTTTTATCAATACCTTTATCTCTTTTCATAGTTAAAGAATCACTTGAGTTAGTTTCATTATTCTCTTCAATAACATCAGTATTCAAAGTACCTATCCGTGGAGTAAATGGCGAATCTAACTCTGTTGATGTAGAAGAAGTATTTATTTGTATTTCAGATATATTCTTTGTTTGATAATTATTTTTATATTCACTTTCACCTCTCCTATTATCTTTACTATTAGTGTTAGCATCACTATCATTATGCTGATTTCCTAGGTCAATATCCACCAAAGGCTCCCAAGAGTCAGAATTATTTTCACTAGAATCAGACATAGCAAAGAGAGATAGATTAAAAAGAGAGAAAAAAAGAAGCAGAAAAATAGAATGGAGAGGTGGAAATATAATTCACAATATTGTATTATATATTTTTATTTACTATTGCTATTATAAATAGATACGTATTTGTACGTGTGTATGCCTGTTTAGACACCCTACAATAAGTAATTCAACTAATAAGTGAATTACAGTATGGAGGGAAATTCAACTTAGTAGCAGTTTGCAGGGCTGGTAAGAAACAAAAGATGTCCTTTACAAGAATGATAGTGTAGCTTGCTAATAGAATAGTAATGTTATCAAATATGTTACTAACTCCTTTATTACGTTTTAAAAGCAATAGATAAAAAGAGACTGAATACAGAAAGAAAAGGTGAAAAAGTAAGTATACAATTTCAAAACCCTAATGTAAAAATTAAAAAAAACAAAAATAATAATTTAACCCTATACTAAAATATTCTTTCTAATAGGTTTTATTTTGTTTTTTTTGCTAATTTCAATTTGTGTCAAAACAGAGGATATAGAAATAGAAATTTGAATATGAGAAGTGTAATTTACTGATAGTAACCATTTATAAAGGGTAGGCAAGCCTCCTCCTTTCTCTTTCTCTCTATGTATCTTTACCCTTGTTATAAAACTTCAGAAGCATTTGTATATTTCAACAGCATCTATCTTCCTATACAAAAAAGTGTATGGAAGTTCACTATAAAAGCCCAATCCAATAAATTATGAAAATTAAAACAAGTCCGATACTATTAATAAGGACTCTGTTACAAACATTATTGTTATGTCAGCTAATTAAGTCAGAGCAGGTTAATGATAGCAATTATATTAATCAAATAATAACCAAAACGCAAACATTTTATTTTACTGCTAGCTGGAAAAATGTAACTTTTCATGATGAGGATGGAAAAACTAAAATAAAGGAAATGATTGCATTTAACGATCAATGGCCATTACCAGAGATTCATGTATCAAAGGGAGATAGAATACAAATATATTTAACTAACGCATTCCAAGATGATACTCCAACTTCTTTACATTTCCATGGCCTTTTCCATAATATAGAGAATGGTGGATCAAATCAAATGGATGGTGCATCTATGGTAACACAATGCCCTATCATACCGGGTCAAACCTATCTGTATAATTTTAGTGTACCAAATCAAATAGGTACATATTGGTATCATGCCCATTATGGAGCTCAGTATGGTGATGGGATGCGTGGTGCTTTCATTGTTCATGATCCAGATATCCCATTCCAATATGATGATGATATCACCATTACTTTAGCAGATTTGTACTACAAAGATTATAAAAGTACAGAAAAAGAGTTTTTAAGCAGATATAATCCTACTGGTGCAGAACCTGTGCCACAACATCTTTTATTTAATGATACTTTTCATGGTGAATTACATTTCCAACAAAATAAAACGTATCTCTTAAGGTTCATTAATACTGGGTTATTTGTTTCCCAATATATTATGCTAGAAGATCATGATTTTACTATTGTCGAAGTTGATGGGTCTTATGTGAAACCTAATGTCACTAATATTCTTTATCTTGCAGCAGGACAAAGAATGTGTGCTTTGGTTCGTTCAAAATCTTTCAATAACAAGAACTCAAAAGAATCCATTAGAAACTATGCATTAATGCAAATAATGGATGATACAATGTTAGATGTGATCCCAAAGGGATTACAATTAAATATTACTAATGATTTGATCTATGATGAGACATTACCAAAGGCTAAGTCTTTATATTTAGATGATACTGAAAAAAATCCATGGTTTGAAAATATTTATAAACATGCAACTAATGACTTTTATTTAAAACCTTTGAATGAGGATAAACTTTACTCTAAGTATGATAAACAAATTGTCTTAAATGTTAGAATGAGGAATTTAGGTGATGGCGTAAATTATGCTTTTTTCAATAATATCACGTACGTACTACCAAAGGTACCTTTTTTAACGTCAGTTGTTACCTCGGGAAAATTAACAATGGATCCAAGGATATACAGTGATAATTCAAATGTTTTTATACTTAATAGAGATGAAATTATTGAGATTGTTTTGAATAATTATGATACTGGTAGACATCCGTTTCATCTACATGGACATAAGTTCCAAGTGGTACAAAAATCGCCACCATTTAATGAATCCTTAGATACTACTGTCCCACAAGAACTATTAACTGTACCATATGATGAGAATCACCCATTAGTAGAATATCCAGACACACCGATCCTTAGAGATACAGTGATATTAGAACCTAATGGCCATGTTGTGATAAGATTTAAAGCTGATAATCCAGGTGTTTGGATGTTTCATTGTCATGTTGATTGGCATTTACAACAGGGTCTTGCAGCTATTATGGTAGAAGATCCAATAACTTTACAATCTATTGAAATTTTAGGTGAAAATTATAAAGAGATATGTCAAGCTGCCATAATTCCTAATAAAGGGAATTCTGCAGGACATTCTGATGACTGGTTCAATTTGGATGGATTAAGACGGCAACCAAAACCATTACCAGAAGGATTTACATTTAAAGGTTATTTTGCCATGTTTTTATGCACGATAATTGCATTATGGGGATTATGGTCAATAATACAGTTTGGTTTATCTGAAGTTATCCCTAATGATGAAGAAATTTATAACAAGTTAACTCAAAAGTTAAAAGAAAATAATATTTCTTATCAATAAAAAATTAATAATTGGGGGGGGGAGGGCAAACCGAAGGAAGAAAAATGGAAATTATTTGATCAAACATAATTTCTATATAAACATTAATAAAGAATAGTACAGAAAGGACAGTTTACTTTTTTTATAACGATAGTTTTAATTTATATTCCTTTTATATACATAAATTTTTACATATATTCTAGTTGGGTTAAAATAAATAATAAGAATCATAATAATGGAGGATTATTATCCTTGTTTGTTCTCATATCAATGTTTACTATCTAATTTCTATTTTTATTCTTCTAAATTATTACAATAAGGCAGAGGATAAAGAAGAGAGAGTTGAAGAGATGGAAGAGGAAGGTGAGACGGATAGAGAGGGTTGGGATTCAATCCCTTCCATTTTATTTTCTTTAATTTTATTTTTGTTATTGTTGTGTTTGTTTTTTTGCTTTTTATTTGGAATCGTGAAAGTAGTCTCACCTTCAGCCTCACCATAGACTAGAGGACCGACCCAAGGTTGAATATTCCAACTCAATTTAAACTTCAAATTTTTACCACTCAAATTTTCATTAACATCCCAAACATTATATTTAGACTTAACATTCTTCAAATCCAATACAGAATCATTTGGACTGGTAATAATCTTGTCCCAAAAGGCCAATTCATTGGAAGTTGTATTCTTAGAATTTTCATATTCAGCAGTTAAATAAACGAATATTTGTTTCGTGTTCCAATTGAAAAGACTAGACAAGTCGGTTTGTAAATCGAAATCAATTTTAACATTCTCCTTTGGTTTCCCATTAGTCGACCCATAATATCTGCTTGTTCTTAGATATATCTTTGGTTTAATGTTGGATATAGAGACAGAGTTATGGAATGCATTGTAGAAATATAATTGAATCCAAGATGTGGAGACAATGAATGCCACAATAAGGATACCTGCTGTGATGGCTGTGTTAATAATCGTTTGAAACCTTTGAGATAAAGAGAACATCTGTAGTGACAAAAACCGACTAATAATATATGTACCTGTATGCAGTTCTAGTGTAGTTAACTATGAGAATCAATACAGAAGGGTTCTGAAAGTTATATAATGACAATACACATATAAATATACATATACATATAAATGCTCTGTCTTTATTTCTACATTTTACAAATATTTGTAATTATTTGAACATTTTCCTGTTTCGCCTCTATGTAAATTTTTTTTTTTCGTATATTTTATTTTGCTTACATACACTACACAAAATAGTATTAAACGGATGTAACTGTCATAATATGTTAACATAGATAATGTGTTGGGATGATTTATAAAGTGACACAGGTGTCTATGTGTATTTCTAATTATGTGTAAAGAGGGAGACACTAATCCAACTTTATGGATTTTTAAGGAGCCTGTGTGTATGATATTTGCACTTCAATTAAATTATAGTTATTCATTCCTTTAGAAACTTGATAGAATGGTTTTAGAGAAGGAGTGTTGGTTGTATAAAATAAAAAGTGATGGAAGTATAAACACACATATATATACAATATGTAGTTTATTGTTTAATCTCTTTGCAATGATTATATGTTTAGAAACAAGCTTAAGGTGTCTTTTTCCCTTATCACTCTCTCCTATTTCTCATTGTCTCTTTTTATCCCTTAGTGAATCCAGGTTAATAACTGAATGGAGAATAAAAGAGGGAGCATATATATTTTGGAAGTTCATTCTCTAAGTAACAATACAATATATATATATATTATAATAATGTATGTAATAAGGATGTTTTTTCTAGTTAAGGTTCAATAAGACAATGAGTTTCTTTTATAGGTGGAACGATACACATATATTAATTTTGAGTATCCCAAGAAAAATATAGGAAATTTATGAATATTGGCATGAGGTTTAAAATAATCTTAATAAATTAAGGTAACCTATTCGTACATACATACATATATATATATGTATGTATGTATGTGTGTGCGTATTAAGTTTTCTTATTTTCTATCCTTATTAATTTTTTTTATGTTTTTGTTGATTAACTTATTATAAAACAACAAAATATTAAAATATAGAAGGTATTTTTGTGCTAACATCCATTTTCTGTAGCAGTTTAGAAGTATTAAAACTTCGAAACTGGACAAGATGGGTTTAATATTATATTACGCCCCCAATATGATTAGACCGATTGTTCCTCTTTCACTTTCCCGATATTTCAAACTGGATATTGAATGCAAAGATATCTCAAAAGAGGAAGGCAATTTCAGCAAAATATTCCCATTGAAATTGACACCAACGCTATATGATGAAACAAGTGGTTGGAGATTAACTGAAGCTATTGCAATTAACAATTTTTTAATCAAAACGGCAAGTGAACAACCAGATTCAAATTTCAAGAGCGACACTTTATTAGGGTGGTGTATTAAATCCGAGAGTGAAATATTGAGATGGGAATCTATGGCGGTTAGTGATTTTTTAAATTGTGAGATTGATGTGATTGCACCAAACATTGGTTTAAGGCCACCTGACGAAAAGAAGCAAGACATTGCGGTAGCAAGGTTAAGCAAGATATTAGATATATATGAGACGCAGTTACATATGAATAAAGGGTTTTTAGTAGGGGATCATGTTACTTTGGCAGATTTAGTTACAGCCAGTTGTTTTTATTTTGGTTTTAAATTTTATTTTGATTCTGAATGGAGGAAGGACTATCCAAATATTGTAAACTGGTATAATCAAACTGTAAAAACACCCTATTTTAATGATTTCTTTAAAGATACCAAATTATTAGAAAAAAGAGAATTTTGATAAAAATAGGCGTATATACTACATACATAACCTGAAAAAAAAACAAGAATTTTTTTTTTTCTTATCTTATATTACTTCGTTTTATAATTTAATATATCTTAATTCCTTTCTCACTCACTATTACACAGATCGTAACACACACACACACACACACACATACATATATACATATATATAGTGTGATATACAAAAATGTTAAAAGAAAAATCATTTATTAATAAATACATATATATATATAAATGTATAGATATATAGATATATAGATGTGTGTTTGTGTTTATATTTGTGTGTGTGTATGTCAGTTTATTTTTATTATATATGTACGTAAATAATAATAATAATAAAAAAAAAAAGAAGAAAAGTTAGAAAGATATGTAAAGATAACATCATATTTTTTATTTTATATCATTTCCTTTCTTTAACAACAACCGTTGGATTGATTTGTTAAACTTTGGCCACTTGATAAATTAACATTATTAGAGGAGCCAGCATTTATGGAACCAGTATTACCTTGACTATTACCTTGGTTATTGGTCAATTTTTGTTGTGCCATAGATTCTTTGATTTGTCTTGCCATGGTCAAAAACGCTTCTTCCACATTAGTTGAATCCAAGGCACTTGTCTCCAAGAAGGGCATTTGATTAGCTTCAGCGAATTCCTTAGCAGTGTCGTACTCCACCACACGCTTATCGTTCAAATCGCATTTATTACCAACCAATAGTTTTAGGACAGTAGAGGTGGCATAACGGTCAATTTCTTGTAACCACATTTTAACACTATCGAAGGAGTCTTGATCTGTGACATCGTAGACGATAATAATGCCGTGAGAGCCTCTGTAATAGGAGGAAGTGATAGTACGGAATCTTTCTTGTCCTGCAGTATCCCAGATTTGTAGTTTGACAGTCTTGCCGTCCAATTCTATGGTTTTAATCTTGAAATCGACCCCAATTGTGGAGATGTAGTCATTTGTGTAAGTGTCATCTGAGAATCTTAGTAGTAGACAGGATTTACCAACACCTGAGTTACCGATTAATAGCAATTTGAAAAGATAGTCGTATTCACTATTCATGTTATTATCTTTTATCCTTTATCTTTTATATATAGATGTATATATATATATATGTGTACGTGTATACGTGTGTGCATATATGTATATATGTATATGTAAAATAGTGTTTAAAGGATAAATAATAATCTCTATTATTGTAAAAATAACTAATTAAACTGATTGCTTTTCCCCAAACACAAAATCTTTGCAAAATCGGAATTATAATAAACAAACGAAAAAACGAAAAAACGAAAAAAAAAAAAAAAAAAAAAAAGCAAACAAACTAAAAATGAAAAAAAAAGAGGGTAACCAAAGCAAGACGTTAGGGTTGAACAAAACAAAAGAAAAAAAGGGGAGGCGGAGGCAGAGGCAGAAAGGGCGAATAAAAACAAAAAAAAAAAAAAAAGAAAAAACATACAAATGCTACGGCGCAGCGCTATGTTGTGCTGTTTTATTTATCTATAAATATGTAGTTGTGTGTAGTGTCATCAATGGTTATCATGGAAAACAGTGGCACAAAAACTACCAACGTTCTTATTCTGATCCACTCCACTGTAGAGAACGTTGTCAAGTTGTATCATCGTCAAACACAGACAAAAAAAAAGATGAGATGACCACAAGATAACAAGACGGTGTTGTGGTGACATTGCTGTTTACTGTTTGCTACACAGTTAACCATCCACATAACTCTCTCTACGTACTTTCTAATCAATATATACTTGCAATCCGTATTATCTTTTGTATTATATATATCATTTCCGCAAAAAAAAACCACCAAAAAAGATAATAGAAAAGAATAGAATCCGCCATTCTTTTTTGCCGGGTTTTCTTCGCCTTTTGGGGGTCGTTGGGGGGGGGGAACGTGTCTTTTTTTTTTTCTTTTTTTCTTTTTTTCTTTTTTTGGTTGTTTGTTTTTTTTTTTTTTTCTCTTTCTCTCTTTTTTTAGTGTTTGTTTGACTGCCTGCGAGAAAATCTCAGGGAAAGCAATAAAAAAACAAAAATACAAAATAAAAAATAAATACGTCGGGAGAGATCTTGGTGTAAACAAAACAAATGGAGGAATAAAAAAAAAAATCAAATAAAAAAAAACCATTAACCCACATACAAAACACATATACATATACACATATATATCCAAACACAAATATATCTATCTACTTACACAGTTACCTGTCCAGTATCTACACTAAACTAAATCTAGTCTAATCTGCTTTATTATTTTTCTTTTCTTTCTTTCTTTCTTTTCTTCCTCTCCTTCTTTTTAATTTTAATACATACCATTATCATAATATCAAAACATGAGAGAAATTATTCATATATCTACTGGTCAATGTGGTAATCAAATCGGTGCTGCCTTCTGGGAAACCATCTGTGGTGAACATGGTCTAGACTTCAACGGCAATTTGAAATCCACTGCCACAGACTTACAAAGAGATAAACTGGGTGTCTATTTTAACGAAGCCTCCTCTGGCAAATATGTCCCAAGATCCATCAACGTGGATTTAGAACCAGGAACCATAGACGCCGTCAAAAACTCTAATATCGGTAACCTCTTCAGACCAGATAACTACATCTTCGGCCAATCCTCTGCTGGTAATGTCTGGGCAAAAGGTCACTACACTGAAGGTGCAGAGCTTGTCGAATCCGTCATGGACGTCATCAGAAGAGAAGTAGAAGGCTGTGATTCTCTACAAGGTTTCCAAATCACTCATTCCCTAGGTGGTGGTACTGGGTCTGGTATGGGTACCCTTTTGATCTCCAAGATTAGAGAAGAGTTCCCAGACAGAATGATGGCCACTTTCTCCGTCTTACCATCCCCAAAAACCTCAGATACCGTGGTGGAACCTTATAACGCAACTTTGTCCGTCCACCAATTGGTGGAACATTCTGATGAAACCTTCTGTATCGACAACGAGGCCCTATACGATATCTGTCAAAGAACTCTAAGATTAAATCAGCCTTCCTATGTCGATCTGAATAACCTGGTCTCCCGTGTCATGTCCGGTGTCACCACCTCGCTACGTTACCCAGGGCAATTGAACTCAGACTTGAGAAAACTCGCTGTCAACTTGGTCCCCTTCCCACGTTTGCATTTCTTCATGGTCGGTTATGCTCCCTTGACCGCCATCGGTTCACAATCCTTCAGATCCTTGACCGTCCCAGAATTAACCCAACAAATGTTCGATGCAAGAAACATGATGGCCGCGTCTGATCCAAGAAAGGGAAGATACTTGACTGTCGCCGCCTTCTTCAGAGGCAATGTCTCCGTCAAGGAAGTAGAAGACGAAATGCACAAGGTCCAAACAAGAAACAGCGATTATTTCGTGGAATGGATTCCAAACAACGTCCAGACCGCCGTGTGTTCCGTGGCCCCAAAGGATCTTGACATGGCCGCCACTTTCATCGGTAATTCCACCGCTATCCAACAATTGTTCAGACGTGTCGGCGACCAATTCACTGCCATGTTCAAAAGAAAAGCTTTCTTGCACTGGTACACAAGCGAAGGTATGGAAGAGATGGAGTTCACTGAAGCTGAATCTAATATGAACGACTTGGTCAATGAATATCAACAATATCAAGAGGCTACTGTAGATGACGACGACATCGACGATGATATCGATAACGATGGCTTGATTTCGGGTAATAATGACGAGATGAATGATCACTACGCTACCACAAATGATGCTTTAAATCATGATGAACAACCAATGCAAGAGACTTTTAATTAAACAAAACAAGAACAAATTAACAAACAAATGTGAAATTAAAAGTAATATACTCTGAATACTGTCTATTCCTAAATTTAAAAAGTTGTCACTAATAATAATACTAATAATACTAATAATAAAACACATAGTTCATTAGCTTTAATTAATATACCCCTCCGTCTTTCATTTATCCTTTTCTCAGATTATTACAAAAATATTAGATCATGTAATAAAATAAAAGAATAAAATAACAATAAATTAAAAAGATCCTTACAAATTGTAGTAAATTTATCAATATCCCTGCATCTTTTTTATTTATCTTTATCTATTTATTTTTTTTTTTTTTTTTTTTTTAATTTAATTACATACCTATGTTTTATATTTCTCACACCCTTCCTTCCATCTTTTGGCTATTACATGCTTATATATATATATATACTATATAAAATCATTAAAAACATTTTTTTTATGTACTTTTATTTTTTTTCTAATTCTATTATAATACTTGATTTCGTATATCTTTTCATCCAGTGCAAACCAGTGAATTGAATATACATATATCTTATTGTTATAAAAATGTGTTTATTTTTTTATTTTTTTATTTTTTTATTTTTTTATTTTTTTAGTGATATACATTAACAGATAACATTTGAAATGAATCTGAGTTTTTCTGCTCCATTGAATCTCTCTGGAAAAAAGGAAAAAGTTGAAACGTAGAGACTTAAATATTGAAGCTTACTTTTATATACATTTATCTATGGAACTCAATGCTTTTAGTTTATAAATACTATCTATCTCTGTCTAACTGCAAATGCAAAATCAGTTTATCACTCTATTAAACAAAACCCGCCAACTTTCGAATATTCCGCATTTTCAAGATTTTGATCGACATAATTTTTGTGATACACTGGTCCATTTTTGAAAAACAAAAACTTTGAAGTACTGGAAAATGTGTACATGGCTATAATTTCCTTGTTTTTCTTTTTTTTTAAAAAAAAAAAACATAAAAGAATAAGAAGAGGGTATATCATACGAAATTTTGGCATATTTATCCAAGGACTTTTCAGTACACATGGCTATGAACATATACTTAATCATAGCATAACCTTTCAACACTTTATTCTTAAAATACAGATCATATCACATAAAACCAACCTTTTTCTTCTACTTCTTCCTCTCTCTCTCTTTTTTTTTTCTTTTAAAAAAAAAACATACAATGCTAAGGTGTCGCTATGTTGTGCTGTCTTGTTCACAGCTAAGAAGACAATTTCATTCTGTGGAAATCTTAAGACAACTTTCAACGTTTGAATCGCATGTTTCTATTGACCCATCTTCCACTACTAATGCTCCATTATCATCTAATGTCACTGTGTCTAACCAGTTACCCCTTTTCTTTAGCAATCCACAACAGGATACAACTTTAACTGCTTCTTCAACCACTAACAATAGCACTACGGCCCCTGCAACTAATTCCACGTCTCCTCCGGGCTTTACATTACGTAATAACCCTTTTACCAACACACATTCTTTGGCAACTGCCAAAATGACTGAACAAAGAGATATAATGCAATTATGGTCTCTATTGGAAGCATGTTTACAAACGAATAATTTTCCTAGATCCTTCTCTATCTTACAATCACTATACGAGATTAAATCTCACAGAAAACAAAATTTTGTCGATGATTATAATTTATATCTGGATGCAAGAGGACAAAGTATGTCTAATATTAGACAACTTGAAAAATTGTTAGAAGATGATTTGACTTTACATTTTCCTTTGATTAGTTACAACAATAAATCTTTGGCCATTTTGATTCATCATGCAATCAGATTAGTTCCAAATTCAGATGCTTTAAAATCACATATCTCAACATATTTTAAAATGAGTGATAATAATTATAAAAACGTTTGCTCATACTTAGATATACTGACTATTAGTGACTATAAAAAATTATATTTTGATTTGAAATTGATCTCTGAAAAGGACATTCCATATTCTATACGAGCAGTTGCATTGAATTTACACCCAGATGAAGTAGTATCTAATAAGTCTGTTGGAAATGGAAACAATACTCTGAACGCCTACAGCAAGAACACTGTTTTACCATCAAATTCTAATGATACATCAATTAAGACTCTCTTTGATGAAGAGATTCAATCTGTAAATAAAAATGTAACTGAGTTGAAGGATGTAGACACAATCGGTATGAAAGTAGTCAAACATACTTTGCTAGGTTTAACACTTACAGATACCCAAAGACAACAATTATCAAAATTCATACCAAAGGATTTACAGACCGATCATAATGAAACTATCGATTTTTATCAGATATATAATAATTTGAAAACAGAAAAAGAGAAAGATGATTTTGAAAATATGCTAAATGAATTTAATCAGGATAGACAAAGAGCTTTAGAATTACGTGCTACTGATGCTGCAAAGGAAAGATGGAAACATGATTTTGAGGAAGCCAAAGCTAGAGGTGATATCTCTATCCAAAAATCCTTAAATGCAAAGTTGTGGGAATGGTATACTGATATGTTGCCATTGGTAAAGGAGGAGATTATTAAACATAAAGATAAGCTTGGAAATAAAAACACAGATTTTGCTCCCTATTTGAAGCTGGTGAACCCAGAAAAAATGTGTGTTATTACTATTTTGGAACTTTTGAAACTGAATTCCACAGGTGGGATCATGGAAGGTATGAGAACCGCTCGTGCTGTTATTAGTGTTGGTAAAGCTGTTGAAATGGAATTCAGATCTGAACAACTATTAAAGACCGAGTCCCGTATTTTCAAAGAAGTTAATAAAAAATCGGTAGAATTCAGAAAATATATACGTAATGCGAAAAATGCATTTAGATCAATGAAAATTGAAAAATCTAAAGTTGTGTGGCCACAAGCAGTGAGAGCTAAGATTGGCTCAATTCTAATATCGAAATTGATTAGAGTGGCAAGAGTAAGGGTAGAAGGTACAGATCCAGTAACAAAAGAGACTGTTGTTGGTAAAGCTCCTGCATTTTCACATAGCTATCAATACCATAATGGTGCCAAATTAGGAATTATCAAAATTCACAAATCATTAATTAATCAACTTAATGGTGAAAGATTAGCTGCGTCAGTACAACCACAGTTGTTACCGATGTTAGTGAAACCTCGTGCTTGGAGAAATTGGAAATCAGGGGGCTATTTTTATAGTCAGTCAATGTTAATAAGAACTAAGGATTGCCCAGAGCAACTTGCCTATTTAGAAGCTGCATCGAATTCACATGCCATTGATAAAGTTTACGATGGGCTAAATGTTCTAGGTGATACCGCATGGACTGTTAACAGAAAGGTATTTGATGTTGTATCTGAAGTTTGGAACAGGGGAGAAGAATTTTTGGATATTCCAAAAATTCAAGATCATTTAAACTTACCTCCAAGACCTCCAAGTTCTGCAGATCCAGGTGAAATTAACGCGTGGAAACAAAAAACAAGGGCACTTGTTAATGAGTATTCTGCAAATAGATCTATGAGATGTGATTCTAATTACAAATTAGAAATTGCTAGAGCATTTTTGGGTGAAAAATTCTACTTCCCCCATAATCTTGATTTCAGAGGACGTGCGTATCCATTATCACCGCATTTTAATCATTTAGGTAATGATATGAGTCGTGGTCTTCTTGTATTTTGGAAAGGAAAGAAATTAGGTAAAGATGGTTTGAAGTGGTTAAAAATTCATTTGTCAAATCTTTTCGGTGTTGATAAAGTTCCATTAAAAGACAGGGTAGCGTTCACTGATGCACATTTGGATAAGATAAAAGATTCTGCAGAGAATCCGTTAAATGGTGAGGGTTGGTGGAAAACGGCTGATAAACCATGGCAAGCACTTGCAACCTGCTTTGAAATTAATGAGGCCTTAAAGTTAGAAAAACCAGAAGAATATTATTCACATCAACCTGTACATCAAGATGGTACATGCAATGGCTTGCAACATTATGCAGCTCTAGGTGGTGATATTGAAGGTGCACAACAAGTCAACTTACTTCCAGGACCAAAACCAAACGATGTTTATTTGCATGTTGCCAATATGGTTAGAAAAAGATTGGAGAAAATTTTAGAGACCAAAGATGATCCAATTGCCAAGTTCTTTGTTGATAAGTTAAATAGAAAGATTGTTAAACAAACTGTTATGACTCATGTGTATGGTGTTACAATGGTTGGTGCCACATTTCAAATAGACAAACAAATTGGTTCGTACTTTGAAGATAAGAAGGAATCATTACATTATTCGCAATATTTAGCAAAACACGTCTTTGCTGCTATTAAAGAATCTTTCCATGGAGCACATCTAATTCAAGATTGGTTAGGTGAATGTTGCAAAAGAATATCTAAGTCAGTTAGATTAGATATTGATCATAATACTTTTCAAAATGGGAATAAACCTGAGTTTATGACCTCTGTTATTTGGACGACTCCATTGGGCCTTCCAATTGTTCAACCATATCGTGAGATTCAGAAGAGACAAGTCCAAACCAATCTTCAAACGGTCTATATTAGTGACCCCTTTGCTGTGAATCAAATTAATGCTAGAAGACAAAAGGCTGGTTTCCCACCTAATTTTATTCATTCCTTAGACGCCTCACATATGCTATTATCTGCAAGTAAGTGCGCAGAAGATGGTCTTGATTTTGCCTCAGTTCATGATTCATATTGGACACACGCGTGTGATGTTCAAGTAATGAATAAGAATCTAAGGGATCAGTTTGTAAAATTACATGAAATAGATTTGATTGAAAGATTAAAGGAAGAATTTGATGAAAGATACAAGAATTACGTTCAATTGGTAAAAGTTCCGAGGAACACACCAATTGTGAAAGATATATTGAAGATAAGAGGAGAACTTAGTAAAAAATTAGGAAGACCAGCAACATTGGCTGATGAAATATATGAAGAAAGAACAAGACAAAAATTATTAAGTTCCAATAATCCAGTTAAAGTGGAAGAAGGCAAATCTATGAGAACTACTGTCTCAGTAACAATGGGCAATGAAGAAGAACTGGAAAAATTAGACTGTTTGTCTGCAAAAAGTGGTAGTGGTATAAATATTTTTGTTCCATTAAGGCTTCCATCTATCCCACCTAAGGATAATTTTGATGTTCGCGATGTCAAAAATAGCACTTACTTCTTTTCATAAATTGAACTTGTTTCTCATCATTATGGCTATTATTGTATTGTTTGCTTTTTTTAATATTATGAAAAATACAATTTGGACGTTGGAAGAGATGTAAAATGTTGTCAAGGTAAGATGGCAATGATAAATTTCATGATTTTCTTATGAAAATGATTTTTTTTTATCAATAACCTTTTTTTAATAATATGAGCATTTCACTATTCCTGTAAATAATAAAAATTTAATAAGCATTGGCACTATGGGCAAAAAAAAAAGAAAATAAATAAGGAAATTTTTTGAATAGTTCTTAAAAAACAAGAACTATTTTAGTACCTGTATCCTTATCAGTTGATCTGAAAGGTTTCACTTGTATAGAAAATATAATATAAACATTTATAAAGGAATTAGTTTATTGTTACAGGCTTGCAGATGTATGTATATATTTCTATATTTATATTATATATTATAACTAATCCATTTATATTATTTTCCCTTGTTGTTCGAAATTTTCGATTAGTGGTAATAATGGAATCATTTCTTTTCTATCGATAATATTGAACTCTTTTGAAAAACTGATAAAGTGGGCAAAGAAGGAATTCCAATGAGCTTCCAAAGATAAATGAACAATCTTATCAAAGTGATGATGATAGATATGTGCAAAAATCCTAAACATTTGTATCATGACTCTTTGTACATCTCTTAAAAATGCTTGTGGGAAAGACACATTATTTTGGGTTGGAAACAAATTTTTATCAGTCACTTTATTATTGATCCAAGTTAGAGCCAAATCAATATATTGACCTGCGGGTAATGAAACTTGTCTATTATTTGCATCTAACCAAAGATAATCTGTGTGAGGGCCTGCATTCATTGTTGGGTATGCTTCTGGTGTTACGTATTCTGCGATTACACCGTAGAAATGATTTAAGTTTGTGAAAAACTCGAAAACGTTAAGTGCGATCCACTCTCCAATATCCACATATTTCGGTAATTGTACGATAGTCTTAAAAGAACCTTTCACTAAAGCAGTTCTAACAAAAGGCTCACTTAAAAACATCACTTGCTGAGAATTAGATTGTTGACTGCTATTAGTAGAAGAAGATTGTTGAAAAGATTTAATATTTTGTGGTTTATTAGGCTGATCAGACGGTATCGAATTTATTTGCCTTGTAGGAGATCCATCTAGCTTAACATTACTTCCATTATTATTTATATTATATATTTGTTGTGGTTGTAGCTGTGGATGTTGCTGTTGCTGCTGCTGCAGGAATTGCTTTTTTGGTGAAATGTTTTTTCTAAGAGACAGTTTTGAGTTACTTTGATGTGCATTAGAATATAAATTGTTTGCTTTTGTAGAAGGTATAACAGGAGAAGATAGTGGTGGAGTTTGTGTATTATGAGTTGTAGTAGTAGCTTGATTTTTATTCTTCTTTGCGTTTCTACCAAAACCTTTAAAGTTGAAAAAAGACATATTTATTTGATCTTTTGTATTTATTGGGCTGTTTCTTCTAAGGATAATAAAACTGCGATTAATCTCTATAAAACTCGTATATATTATTCAAAAATTAAAACTAAAATAGAGAAATTACACCTTCAAAATATTTTACCTTAATCCAATAGTAAAAAAAAAAATCTTCTGGATCCAGTAAAAGCAGGAATAACTATGCCAAATAAGTAGTATCAAATAGATAAACCGTTGCTTTTTTATATGTACACGTATATGAGCTACTCTTCAGAGAAGAATGGGAAACTAGCTTGTACATGCAACGTAAAGGAAAAAATGGGATGATATATGTAAATCCTTATAGTAATGCTCCACAGATACCCACAGAATCAAATGGAGTTTGATTATTTTTCATCAGTTCCTGTTTATCCGCAGGTTTCCGCAAGTTTCCGCAAGTTTCCGCAAGTTTCTTTTGATGGTGTCTGGATGGTGGCCACAAAAGTCACAAAAACTGGCACACGCGGGCGCTAGAAGAATGGAGTGTTTCTGGGTTTACAGAAGACTTCTGCGCAAAGTCTGCAATGGGAAGTGGCATAGAGTTGTAAGTTCGTGTGGAAGAATCACCAACCTAACAAAAAAAAAACATTGATTGCCTTCTTACTGGCTTTAAATTTAACTTTAGCTCCAACTCCAACTCCAACTCTCTCTGTTTCTATCTCTCTTATTTTCGTTTTTTGAATTCTTTTGTACCTGAAAAACTTTCAGTCAGCAAGATCTGCAAAATTGGTAGTTTATACTTACTCTATGTAATGAGATAACATGGTAATGAATCGTCTTATTACATAAAATAATGAACTTAATATGAACATTCATGGAACAGAAATGAACTATAATAATAATAGTAAAGATGATAGTGATGAACAACTTCTATAATTAAACAACATACCTAACTTTCAAGAAAATGATAAAACAAACTCCATACAAGACTTGCTGCTAAATAAACAGAAGAATATTTTGAAAGATAACATTAAACAGGAAGAAAATTGATAGAAATATTATTGAAGAATCATTTACAAAAAAGGTTAAGCAAGCAATTACTAACAATTTTATGACTGATGACTCAAATGGTAATTTAAGATAATTAACTATAGAACAATATATCAAGGCAATTCTGGATTCTATTAGATTAAATAATATGGAATACTGTAAATCAAAAAAATCTAACCTATATTGACACAAGAAAAATAAGATTGAAATAAGAAAATAAAGTGGACATAACATACATCGGACTGTATTCCAATCCAATGTATATTATGTTTTTCTAGTTTGTTCACTCCATTCAATGAGACAACTCATTTTCATGCTGCTACGTTTTTTCATTTATTTTAAACGTATATCAGTGATAAGTTGTACATTTTTATTTGATAGGTAGCAAAGATATATGATAAAAATAGACAACATTACAGATTTTTTTTAGAGTCCCATAATATTTAACACAGGTGGATATTGAACGTTTACTACTACTACTACTAATAATAATAATAATAATTGACAAGTATTATTGACTAAGATTTTTTTAAAGGGTATGTATGACGCCAACGAGAACATTCTGGCCATACTCACTTCTATTTATAAATTATTGAGCTATTTTTTTGTATTTTAGTAAACAGAGCATGTACCTATAGATTTTACTGACAGGAACAAGGTTTCTGATAATTTTGTAGTTGCTAAAGCTGTTTTTTTCTTTGATAGGGAGATTCACACAGAAATCTTAAAAAAAAAAAAAAGAATAAAAACAAAGATAATCAATTAAGTAACAATAAGTTATACAAATTTGTAATATAATTTTCATGCAACAAATCAAATATTCAATATTGTCTGTGACTATATGAAATTGTTGTAACATAGAAATTTATTTAAGAAGAATTTATTCTACTTTTGTAACTGTTTACGTTTTTCTAATTCTCATTGGATTACATTTATATATCTATCTATTATCACTATAATTTCCTATCTAATCATTAAAAAAAGAAATTATAGCCATTGACCGGGAAACATCTTTTGATATTCTGGTTCTTAGGTTTAAATTTGGTTGAAACTGAATTATATATTATCTTCTTCGAATAATCTCACCACACCTATCGTTACTGGATTTTACCAATCTTATCCACAATATTGAACATTAGAAACATCTATCCGGCGCTATCAAAAAAGTCTATTTTCACATTTGATACAAACTTCAATTATGTAGAAAGGCACATAGATCTCATAATATAACAAAGTAAAGAAGATACATTTCTGTCCAAACGTAACAAATATTATAAAGAACAACACTACTAATCAAAAGTTCAACGCACAATTATTTCAACATTAATACTGGAGGTGAACGAGTATTTTACCATCTACAAGCATACCCATTACACACACACATACGCATATATATATATATATATATATAGATACTACTATATTTCCCTTTTGAAATGCATGAGTTTAAGACTCCAAATATTCCAAAGATTAACAAATATTATGATAATGATGAAGATAATGACCTGAATCCTTTGGATATCCCATTAAAAAGTCTTAAAATCACAAAACATTTATCTAAAGAAAATCCAATGGAATTGCAGACTGACAATGATATTACTATACAATTTCCTGATGATGTTTTGGATGATGGAATAGCTCATGATAATAAAAGTCTTGCTAAAATTGAGAAACAAAATAGTTATGCTGAAACTGACCATCATCTAACTAAATGCATCTCAAGCCATAGTGGATATTATAAACAAATACTAAATAATAACATAGAAGTAGATTTAGGGACTCTAGATAATGGATATGAAGAATTAAATGAACAATTTTACAACAACACATATATAACACAAGATGATAACAAGAATCAAAATAACAATAAAATAACAAATGTAAGTTTTCAAGAAAAAGACTCAGAACTATACCATATGATTTATACACCAGATAAACCTAACATAACTGAAGATTTGTGCTTTCAATTCCCTGATGATATAAACAATACATCTTTGCTTAATAAAAATAATATAAACAAACAGAACTTAGAAAATAATTCGGTGACAAACTCAGATTCAGCTTCAGATTCAGTTTCAGATTCAGATTCAGATAATTGGGATACAGTACCTGCTGTAGCTTCATATAACATCTACAATAGTAAAGGGGAGTTGGAATTGAAAAAGTATTCGGAAAATGATATGAGATATAAAAATCAAACCTCATCGGAAAATAATGCAGGTCCACAGAATAATCTGGAACACAAAAATACTTTTGAATATACTAAAGTTACTGCAGAACAACAAGCACAAAGATCATATACCACCAATAAAAAAACTGATTTCTTATTTCAACATAAAAAGATTCTAAAAAATTTGCAAAATAATTATAATAATACTGAGGATAGTATTAATTTTAATCTTTCACAACAATCTCTTATAAATTCTGCTTCAACTTTATCATTACCGCACGATACAGAAGAATATTATGATGAATATGAAGATGATGCAGAAAAGACTGATGAGTTGAACTTAAGTTCACAATTAAATATTACCAACTTACTTTTAACTGACATGGAAAAGATTGCTTATGCAGGTGCTATCAACATTCTAACTAATAAGATGTGTGAAGACCTTGCTACGCTTTGCCTGTGTGTGGATATTGTAGCAAATAAAAAATTAGCGTCACGGTTAAACTTTTCACAAAAAGATATGGCTTCGTGGAAATTGGTAGTTTTACAACGACTATACACACATCTAAACATTAATGAAGAAGAAATCAAAATGATTGAGAACCTATCATTACATAAAATAGAGTTAAGTGATATCTTGAAGTGTTTAAAGACCTCAAGAGACATAGGTAATCCTTGGGAAAATTCACCTCATTCACAAAAATCCTCCACGTCCAGCATATCACAATATTCTCAACACTCATCGTCATCAATTCCTTCCACTTCTCCCTCACCGTCAACATCAGAAAAGGATGATAAAAATTTAGCCAAGAAAGTAATTGATCCCGAAATGATTACAAACAAAACAACTTTATCTGTAGATATTGCTTGGACTATCATATGTGATCTATTCCTAGTTTTATTACAAAACTCCACATATGATGCAAGATCTAGAACATTACTTATTAAATTTGCTGAAGCCTTAGGTATCACAGATTTGGAAGTGTGTGAATTTGAAAAGCGTGTAACTGATTCCTTAGATATGGAACAATCTACAGATAATCAGATATGGAATGAATCTGAACATATGAAAAAGCGTCGTGCTCAAAAAAAACGTAAAAAAATGGCATATGTTGGTTTAGCTATGGTAGGAGGATCGCTTGTCCTTGGGTTAAGTGGGGGATTATTAGCACCTGTGATCGGTGCTGGTATTGCTGCTGGTCTTTCAACAATAGGCATCACTGGGGCAACTGGTTTTCTTACTGGTGTTGGTGGTACGACTGTCGTGGCTGTATCAAGTACTGCAATTGGTGCTAACATTGGAGCTAGAGGTATGTCTAAAAGAATGGGTAGTGTTCGCACATTCCAATTTATTCCGCTTCACAATAACCGTAGAGTCAATTTACTTATCAGTGTATCTGGTTGGATTATAGGTAATGAGGATGATGTCAGGTTACCATTCTCCACTGTAGATCCTGTAGAAGGTGATTTGTATTCCTTGTATTGGGAACCCGAAATGTTAAAGTCTACAGGTCAAACTATTAATATTGTAGCTAGCGAAGTTTTTACCCAAACTATACAACAAGTACTAGGGGCTACTATCTTGACTGCATTCATGTCGGCTATTCAATGGCCAATGGCTTTGTCCAAATTAGGTTATATCATCGATAATCCTTGGAATGTATCCTTAGATAGAGCTTGGTCTGCAGGTCTGATATTAGCTGATACATTAATAACAAGGAATTTAGGACAAAGACCCGTAACACTAATTGGGTTCTCATTGGGATCCAGAGTAATATATTCATGTCTAATTGAATTATGTAAAAAGAGAGCATTAGGTTTGGTAGAAAATGTGTTTATCTTTGGTACACCAGTAGTTCGGAAAAAGGAACAATTAGTAATGGCACGTTCTGTAGTAAGTGGTAGATTTGTTAATGGTTATTCAGAGAAAGATTGGGTTCTTGGATATTTATTTCGTGCTACTGCTGGAGGTTTTAGCAAAGTCATGGGTATATCAGCTGATAATGATATTGAAGGTATTGAGGATTTCAACTGTACCGAATTAGTAGATGGGCATATGTCCTATCGTAAAAATATGCCTAAATTATTAAAGAAGCTTGGTATTGAAGTAATTAATGAAGAATTTGTAGAAATTGAAGAAACAATGGATCCAGAACAAGCAAAAAGGCAGAGAAAACTTATTCGTGAAGTCGATGCTGCTCAGAAAAAGTTAGCTCAAAAGTCTGAACATACCAATAGTTGGGTTCCTAAATGGATGAGACCAAAAAAATCTAAGTGGAAAAAAATGGCTGAAAATGCTATTGAAAATCAAAATTTAGAAGACATTTCTTCAGAAATTTCAATAGGTGACCAAAAGATCAAGAAGAAACCTAAAGATGCCGCAATTGTAGACCACAGTGCATTGTTTAGAGAGCTAGAAAAGCTTAAAAAGGCGATACATGAGGATGCATTAAAGAATCAAGTGAATAATGAAGGGGGCAGTGTACCCAAATATCTAAATGATTCTAGCAAACATGATAACTCAAATGATATGCATTCTGTAAAAAACCAGAATATTTCCAACTTAACTGCTACTTCAGAAACAAATCATGCTAATAACAACTTCCAGCTGTTAGGTGCTGGTAAAACTATTTTACCAGAAGATAACGAAATGAAGAAAAATGTAAAACATAAAGTACATGCTACGTTTCCTGATGATATATAGAACCATTTGTCTATCCAAACCGTGGGTATACATATATATGTACACATCAATTCCACACTCTATCACTCTTTCAAATAGTATAAATTTGCAGCATGCATTATTTAAATGAATTCTTGATTTTATTATTTCTTATCTATACACAATATTTATTTCATATATAATATTCATTAGAGACAAAATAAAATACATACATATACATATATATATTTCAATCTATAAAAAGACTTCTGCATTTAATTCAACATAAGAAGCAGCATATGGGATATCAAAGTTAACCATAACTTCTGGATGTAAAATACCTAAATGACCGATTTCTTGTGGCTCAGCACCCTCTTTAGCTCTAAACATAATCTTAGCACCTCTACCTGGGAAATATGTTGTTAATGAATCATCTTGTTCAATCCAATAACCTCTGGAATTTGATGCAGCACCATAATCTGCAACCCAATTAGTTCTAAAAGTTTGCATCATCTTACCTAGCAAACCTTGAATAATTTCGAAACCAGAATTCTTACCTACATATATAGCAGCCCAGTGACGTTCATTGTTAGCCTTTCTTTCCAGAGCCAAATTTTTGAAGACAACATCCCCAGTTTCAAAAACCTTAATTGGTAATGTGTGCTTTCTATTTTCTTTAACAGTTTTTAAGATACCTGGTAACAAAGAAGTTCTAACAACTTGATATTCTAAAGTTTTTGGATTAGCCAGTTTAACAGCCTTTGTACCATCATCTTCAACTCTTAAAAACTTAAAGTTTTCATCATGAGAACACAAAGTTAATGGTAAGACTTCTAACCAAGATGCTTGAGAAGATACTATTCTAAAAATATCTGAAATCTTGTTAATTGGTAAAGCAGAAGCAATGAAATTGGCATTAGACAATTTTTCACCCTTTGGTAAGTTATCATAACCATAACCAATAGCAACATCTTCCATGATATCACATGGATGTAAGACATCTGGTCTAGTAATTGGAATTTCCACATGTAAAATGTCTGGATTTTCAGTGGAAGGTTTAGCATGTAAAGATAATTTCTTTAAACATTTTGAAATTTCTTCTGGACTTAATTCCAAACCGAGAGCAGTGTTAATATATGAAATAGAGGTGTCCATGTTTCTAATGCTGATATCTGGAGTAATACGAGATTGACCGTTATGTTCGGAAACAACTTCAACAGCTTCAACAGTAAATGGTTCATCACAGTAGCGAGAAAACATAGCAACAATTTGGTTCAAAACAATATCTAGTTTGGTCTTATCAGTGGCAGTACAATCGATTAAGACATTACGCGTGTTTAGAGTTATTTTTGAATGTTCTGAGTTAATTAATGGTGGTAAAGAACAAACCACACCATTCTTATCAGTGAACAATGGGTAAACTGGAGAATCCTCAATCAAATGAACAAAACGACCAATATTGTTTTTTTGTTGTGGGCTTTTATAAAATTCAATCAACTTGTCACCTGTAAATTCTTCAGTTTGATTCAATGGAACAAATTTAATATCCTTTGGTGGGACACCAGCATAACGGAATGGGCCTTGCACAGTATCTAAGTCATGGGTACCAATAGCCACCAAACTTCTGTTTCTACAAATATTGGAATGAAGTTTATCTTGTAGAGCAATGAAAGACGCATAATTTTTTTCATTAAAAGTAATACCTCTTAAAATGGCTGCTGCTGCATATGGTCTAACTTGTTCAGAAGACTTATCAATAAACAACTTGGTGGTAGGTGGTAAAAGCTTATATTTTGGAGTCTCTGCTCTTCCCAAATATTCATTCAAAGATTGAGCAATACCTTCAATACACAATAAATCATATCTATTGGCACCAATATCAATTTTTAATTCAGGTTCTTCACCAAGCTTCAAAGCTTCTTCAGTGGTATCTTCATCTAATTCTACACCAAATTGGAAACATAATTCATCAAATTCCTCATTAGTATAATTCTTACCTAAAAGCTCAAAAAGTTGTTGCTTGTTAACTGTAACGCTAGGCATTTTTACTCGGAATTGGTTTCAGAAAACACTTGGTTTGTTTCAATAGTAATTTTATCTCACAATCTCAAGAAAAAAGCTAAGAAAAAAAGGAAAGAAGGAAAAACTGTGGGATGAAAGAAGTGTTATAGAGCAAGATACAATATAAGCAACTTTTAACGTTTGCATTTAATTAGTTCAATCGAAAACCAATGCTTGTTTATTGATCATAAAATTCGTAAATGAATCATCAACATTCCATATTATTCACTCGAAATTTTTTATTTTTCAAATTTTAAACCAAAAGCAAAAAAAAAAAATAAAAGAAGAAAAATTTTGACAAAGATGCGGGTAACTTTCCTTTATAGAATCCTCATCTTCAAATAAATAAACTTACTTAAAAACAGTGAGCGAGTGAATGAAAAGGATGGGTATTTTGTTATGTGATGCATCCATCATTAGAATTAACCTTGCTTATATACTCAAAAACCCACTGCTTAACGATTAACCACAATAATTAACATTACGTTAGATGGAAGTCATCATTATCACTGAAAATTGTATCCTCTTCTTCTTGGCTCTTCTTTAATGCATATTTTGCAATAATTCTGCGTAAATCTTCAATATCAACCGGTTTCTCTACCACCTCATCAAATGCTTGCGAATTGTATGCTTCTTGATAATAGTTCGTAATAGCGATCACCGGTGTGTTGGAATTAATTCCGTATGTTCTTCTTAAAAGCTTGACAATGTCGATTGAACCAAGTTTTTTAAGTCGAAGAGTAGTTATAATAAGATCAAACTTGACTCCACTAGTTGCTCGAGAGACCAATTCATCACCAGCACCACAACTCACTACAGTGCATCCTAAACTTTCAAGATCTTTGGTAGCTCTGTATCTATGGATAGGAATCGGTTCACACAGTAGAATATCCAATTGGTACCCAATTTCCTGATTAGCATTTCCACTTCTACGCTGACTTCTTCTTCTATACCTTAAAAAATTAACTCTTGATACAGCATTCAATCTATCATCTGTTTCACTTCCTGTTTCACTGGAACTTCTCCTTTGTTTTGTTGAAGAAATTTGCAATGATCGAGTTTTTTGAGGAAGAGCAGCATACGATGGTGACAATGGAGATTTAAATTTTGCAGTTATAGGTGATTCCGTGTCACTAAAATATAAAGAATTATTTGAATGAAGATTAGTTGCATTTGTTATCAGTGGATTAATATTCATAGAATTTTCAAGCACACTTGCATTACTGCCTTTTCTTGATGTTATTGATTGATCCAAACTTATGGACCTATCTGGCGAATAGGATCTTATTGAAGAATTATCTGATTTAACAATATTTCTAGTAATAGAATTAATTGCTGGTGATCCATTAATCGATAATCTACCTGTTCGTGCTTTCCCAAACGAATTATCTGATGATGAGCCAGCTTGAGATCCTGATGATCGTCTTCTGTGTCCTGAAAACTCATTCATATGTTCGTTCTTTAATCTGTTTATTGCATCCTTATTTGCTTTATCTAACGCTGATAAATTTCTAAAAGAAAACGATCCGAATTCTGTCTGACTTTCACTCAGTTTACTAACTCTTCTTTCCCTCATATGTGCTGGGATTGCCAAAGAAAGGCTTTTAGTAGAATTTCGTGGGCCTGTACTTATATCAGTAGAAAGTGATTCTAATACAGAAGATATACTTAATTTATTCATAGGTTTATTAACCATATCTCTCATACCTTCTCTCTCTTTATAACTGGGGCTAGAGGCTGATAAACTTTTCCATTTTACTGATGATGGTGTAGATGATATGTCTGTCTGTAATGATGGATTGGGTATCATACTGGTTTGAATTTCAGGAACGTCCAAGTTACTATTGGAAATGCTTGTACCCTGGTTTAAAGAACTAGTATTTTCAACTTCAAATCTACTTTCTTCATTGTGTTTTGGACTGTCATCATCAAAATCTTGAAAAGCTACACCACGCGAATCAAAATAATCAGTATCCTCAGGATTATCAATATTAGGAACAAAAGAGGCTTCTTCTTCATATACATTCTTCCAATCTACATCTTTTAAATACGGGTGATTTTTGATTTCTTCTACGCCTTTGGAGCCTAAACGTTTCTTTGGGTCGGTAACAAGCAACTTTAATATTAGATCTTTTGCTTCAGGAGAAATAACCTCTTTTTCTTCTTCTATTGAACTAAATCCGGGCCATTGTATATCACAGGTAAGAATTTTTTCAAATACCTTTTCTGGAGTGCTTGCATGAAAAGGAGGATATCCCAGCAGCAATTCAAAAAATATACAACCAACAGACCACCAATCACAATTTTCATCCTCACCAGTGCCTTGAATAGTTTCCGGTGCCAGATAGTCTGGAGTACCGAAAAATCGTTTGTTCTTTTTAGGGTTCCCAGGATGAAATAAAGCCAAATCTGACATAGCCGCAGATACACTATTATTTATACTATTAATGTTAATTTTCGATGCTGTAGAATTAACTGTATTAATACGCAGTTCTTGTGAATCAATGGAACCAATTCTTGGACGTTCTGGAGTACTGATATTATGTGCTAAAGTTTGATTTTCCATTTCAGAAGAAGTGTTTCCTATAAGCACATTACCACTAGTTGAAATGCTACTGTCAATATGGGAACCACCAGTGACTGTTCTTGCGGAGGTAGTACTTACAGATGCAGTCTGTGAATTTAATAATGTTGGAGGTGGTGGTGTGCTTGATCTAGACACATCTATCATGGAAAAAGATAGTTGAGATTCTGTTCTCTTTAAACTGTGAATATCATTACCTATGCTATAAATTGGATCTATTATCGATGTTGAACGAGGTGTTTGTCGTGAACTGTCAATAGAATCCATGTACTGCTTAGAATTAGATAATTTTCTTACGCGATAAGGAAAATTGTTACTGGAACTAGTAGATTCTGGAGTAGAAGGATTACTTGAAATTATAGAAGAAGGTTTATCAGTTGCATAAATCACCTTATGTCTTTTAACTAAACCTGCTCTAGAAAGTCCGAAATCAATTAATTTAATATGCCCTTTTGAATCAATCAATAAATTATCAGGTTTCAAATCATGGTGAATAATTCCTTCTTGATGCATATCATCAACACTGCAAACAATTTCACTCAGGTATTGTTTACACCATTTATCTGGTAAATAACCCATCATCTTAATTAATGCAGCTAAATCTCCTCCAGGTAGATATTCCATCACCAAAAACAAATTCTCCTTATTTTGGAAAGTGGCAAATAGTTTAGCAACATAAGATTTTTCACTTTGTACCATCATTATAGCTCTTTCTGATTTGATGTTTGTTACTTGATTCTTAGCAATCATGTCCGATTTTTTCAAAACTTTGATAGCAAAATATTCACCAGTTAATTTTTTCCTAGCCAGATAAACACTTCCATAAGCACCTTTACTAATTGGTTTCAAAATATCATAATCTTTTATGCTTGGTGTGGGACTCTTAAAATGATTTGTTGCTAATAGTAAAGGTGATAATGGTTGGTTTGGCGAATTTAAAATATTAGGATATTGTTCAGGAGTAAGAAATTCTCTACCAGTAATAAAGGGGGAATTCAATGGTGACTTTTCTGAGAGTAAAAGGGGTGCTTTAATACTGTTTGGTCTTTGTATTAATAAAGGTGATCCTCTTCTTGGTGTTAATGATATTGTAGAAAATACTTTTGGATATAATGTATTGTTATTATTTTCTGATTTTTCCATATTGTTGCTTGAATAAATTACTGGTTCTGATATTCTATTTCTTATACGCTGTAAAGGCACGCTAATATTTGCTGTAGTATTATCGTTATTTAAATCGGTTGTTTTCAAGATATTAGAGTTTGATGTTTCAATTTTCAGATCAGAGTTAGAAACAATAGAACCTACAGCATCACTTCTATCATTTTTAATACTCATATCATGTACAATAATGCTACCATCCTCCTGTCGTATAGTAGGGTGCACAATTATATTATCTGTGTTTTTTTCAAAATCTAACTGTGTACTTGGGGTGACTGATCTAGATGATTTCTGTGATATTGGTTTGGGGGCTATTATATCTGGAACAGGGCTCTCACTATTTGGCACAGACAAATGAGAGAGGTGATTGTTGTTTGAATTTATTTTTTTATTAACTTCTGGTTGTGTTGATAGTGAGGGAATATCATCATTTTGTAGATAAGAATCAGCAAAAAATTTTCTCTTTGATGGTTGTGGCGATTCTAATTTAGGCAGTTTTTCATCGTCAGTATTATCAATACCCCTAGTGCTATTAAGGCCATCTAATTCTGTTGAAAAAAGTTCTTTTTTAGTATTTAAAAGTTCATAAGAATTTATCTCTAATTGGTTATTAATTACTTTCAAAATATCATTGTTAATTTCATTCTTGATGGTCCATGAATATGTCATAGTATTATCTAATCTGACAACAGCATCAACTTTTTCCTTAGCTAATTGTATTGTATCATTAATTAATAAAGATAAGCCATTGGTATTCATATCTAATTGTAACACTTCTTGATTATCTATGTTATTTAATGGATTTTCCCATAGTTGGATTCTTTTAATATTGGATTTTGTATTTGGTGAGAATTCAAAACTCCAACCTGTGTTTTCCCGACTTTCTTGCGGGATCTCACTATTATTGTAGTTGTCTATATTTTGTTTTAAAAATGACATTAAATGGTCATGATTCGTAGTATTTTTAGTAATACCACCATTAGTCTTATTACTATTAAATTTATGATATTTTAAGATCAGTTCACTTGTATTAATATTTATTGCCCATTGACATAATTGAATTAAAGAATATATTATATTGATGACATGAGAAGCAGATTTATACTCTAATGGTAAACCTTTATAAGTAAAATGTTCTAGTAGTATACTCTGGTTGTTATTATTATTAGTAGTAGTAATAGTCGTAGAAGTAGTGGTGATAGTGTTGGTGATATTATTGTTATTACTGCTATCGTTGTTATTGTCAATCAATTTAGTTAAAAGATTCAATTGATCGACTAAATTATCATGCAACAATTGGATAATAGATTCTATTCGGTGTTCCACAATACAAGTCTGACAATGTAACTCCAACCACCAGTCCGGGACAAAACATTCACAAACACGACAAAGTTCCAACCTTGGTGGAGGTAAATCTATTTCATTAACGATATTTGAATTGACAATTTCATTTAGGTAATCATTTAAATAAGTGGCCCCATAACCCAATTTTTTCCAAAATTGCGGATCATTAATCTGATAAAGTTGATTTGTCAAATTAGAATTTGCTGTACCTAATGGATTAATATCTACAAAAGGTTTTATTATCCACATAGTATGACTGGGAACCTTGGTATCAGTTAAGATTAAAATCCCTGACGCTTCAAAAATTAAATCATCCAACGTGGTGAAAGTGACAGTATAGCTGATATTATCATTTTGTAGCATTAACTCCATGGCTCTTTCAAACACCAACTTGTCATTTAAGTCACCTTTGATCAAATCTTTGATTGGCTTCCAAATAGGCAACTCATGACTATTGCCATTCCCCTTAAATGATACAATCTCCAACCATTGTTTTGAAATGTATTGAATAATGCCATTTGGATCTAGTTCCAATACTACAGTAGATTGTGGATCAGTAGCTAATTTCAAATAATCTTCATAAGTGGGACTTGAATTACTTTTATCACTTGTGGTAGATACATTGTCCATCGTATATCTTATAGAAGAAAAGGAAAAGATACGAATAAAAACAGAGATAAAAAAAAGGAATAATAATAATAATAATATCTAAGTATAAAAAAGAATTTTGACGTATATATCTAATAGAACTAATATGATAATATTGAGCAAACCGATAGTCTTGTTGTTTTGTTGAGAATATATGTTATAACCAAGTATATTTACAAGCAGTTGTAAATAAATATGTATATGTATATACTTTTTATAAAAACCAGTTTCCTTTATTATTATTATTATTATTATTATTATTATTATTATTATTATTATTATTTTTGTTTTATTTTTCTTTTTCCTTATTTTTTTAAAATTTCTATACAAAACAAAGACACATATTATTATTTTTCTTATATCATATTATCCATATAGTAGTGGTAAGAAATCTATAAGTATTCCAAGTAAACATACACTAATGGGTGTAAATGGATATGAAGCTCCATTAGAATTAAAGATCTCGTACATACATACATATAGATATAATATTAGATAGATTGCGCATGAAAAGAATAAATAGTTAAAATAGCATAACAGGCCTTGAATTAGATAATATTAGTAATATACTCTAAAAACTCGTAAAATCTGTTTCTTTATACATGATTTGTGTATAGTTTTTTTTTATTTATTATTTATTTATTTTTTATTATCCTGGTGATAATATTTATTCATTAAGAATCTGTAACCTTGACCTAATTGTGCAGCAGAATTAATAATATGACAACCGAACAGTAAATAATTCTTTGGCGTCACTGCCAAAGCATACCTCATAAACACCCCACTGTATATAACAAGAGCGAAAGTCATTGGACCAGATATTAAATTTGGATCCTTCTTCAAATCCAATAAAGCAGCAATTGGTATACCAAAGTTAGACACTGGCCCCCAGAAATGTGTGGTAAATATATATTTCATAGTTTGTTTGTTTATATATTTACTTATCACCAACCTTGAAGCTGAATGTGGAATATTACCTGACATATTGGAACAAAGTGTAATCTGTATATCGCTATAATCTCGTATTGATATCTATCTGCAATTGTGAATCTGTTGAATTCTTATATTTTATTTCTAATTACTGTGATATCTGAAAAATAATAGATGGAAGGAAACTCTATATGTTCTAAATGTATCAATGTATAGTATAGAAATCCAACATTTCTTCATGATATAAGCGAAGAAGGTTTCGATCTTTTATTTTCTTATTTTTTTTTATGTTTGTAGTTCGAAATTTCCGCTCATTTCTTTGGCCCTCTTGCAGGCTGCCTATTGTTTTAATCACAGTCAACGTGCATAACGTGTGTAGCATGTGCGCAAGGAGAAAATAACTACGGAAACCATGGCAACAGAAGTGTATTTTGATCCCATACCCTAACCTCTGTGTGGTAAACGAGAAAGACAAGTTTTGCTAACCCTATATGTCTTTATGTTTATCCAATCTCTTCCTTTTTGTTTTTTCTTCGTTTTATTTCTTTTTTTTTTTCTTGGTTTCTGTGACGTGTTCAAAAATTTGTGGCTGAGATAAAAGTTTTCGTTTCTTTTTTTTTTTTTTTTTTTTTTTGCTTTTTCTCGAGTGCATTAACACATACACACACACAAATATATATATATATATACACGCATGTTCAAGGATTGGAAAAGGATTTGGATAATATAATATATAAAACACGCAGAGACTTATACGTATATATATATACACCTTTCCCTTTCAAAAAAAAATCTCTTTTTCTAAAAGAACTTCGTACACACACATACACACATAGGCACATACTAACCTATATAAAAAATGTCATCAAATATCACCACAGTCACAGTTTTAAAGACAATAATCCCAGACGATTTTAAATTTACTCTCCCACCACGTAAGAGAGCTAAGACAAAGGAGGAAAAGGAACAAAGAAGAATCGAGCGCATAATGAGAAACAGAAGAGCCGCTAGAAAATCAAGAGAGAGGAAGAGACTTTACATGGAATCAATAGAATCTAAGTTGAAACTATATGATGAAATTTTCGATTTATTGAATATAAAAGATCAATTGAAGGAAAAAGATCCATTTCTTTTAAACAAACTACTTTCATTAGAAGATAATAATGATAATGATAATGATGATAATCATAGTAGTAGTAGTAGTGGTAATAGTAGTAGTGCAGGCACTGGTACTACTACTGGTACTCCTAATGATGATTATTTATCGAAAGAGGATCATGAGAATGGAATAAGTCAATTCTATTCATATATATCCCCTTCAAGTTCAACTGTATCAAATTCAAATATTTCTATAGATCAAGACAATTTAGTTAAACAAGAAACAGAATATAAAAATATTGAAGATTTCTTTTTATTAAATAATTTTAAAAAATCGAATGATTCAAATAACACAGAAGCCATAGATGCTAATAACGGTTTAGTATCTACAACAGCTACTATAGATCCACCTTTATTTAATGAGTCTGATATTAGGCAGAACAATTGTCCCATAAAAACAGAAATTTTTGATGCATTGAATTCAGTACAAGATTCTATTACAAATTCTAACTCATTAGATTTCTTAAGTGTATCAATTGATTGGGATTTAATGCGTAATCCAGCAGTTTTCTTTATGATTACAAATTATATACATATATCTATCTTTTTTTTTTTTTGGTTGTTGTCTATCTGTGGCTAAGTGGTGATTAGATGATATTTTTTGTATGTTTTTTTTCGTGTGTGTGTGTGTGTCATTGATTGATATTGTTCCCAATTTCATTTTATCTCTTTGTTGCCCGAAGCGCATTCAAATGATGATATGAATATCAATTCTGATAACTTATACAATAGTCTATCGTTAGATATGTGAAAGATCTACTATATCTCATCTCTCTCCCTTTCAACTTTTTTCTAGTGGTTCTTAGTTTCTCAATTACCTAAATTATGCAATCAAGAAGACAAAAAAGTAAAAAATAAATAAAAAAATAAAAAGAATACACAACTTGTTCAAGAATGTTTTTATTTGAAATTGGTTCCTATGTTTCCATTTTAATACTATGACAGTGATTGCTGGCGCTTCCTTCTAAATAGAAAAGAAAGAATTTTATCATAAGTTTACCTTTTGTTCAATTTTTTTTCATATATTCATAGAGTGGAACAGACGACTCTTTCAACTGTTCATATAACAAATATGATGGATACCTCTAAAAGTTCATTCTTTTAGTTTCTTTTTTTTTCTTTTTTCCCTATATATACATATATATGCATAGTTTTTTTATATATTTTTATAAAGAATCTTTGTCTATTTTTACCGTTATTATTGCTATTGAGTAAGGATTAGTACACAGCCTATTACCTGACTGCTAATGTGTTCCTTCTTTCCTTATCTCTTTTCATCTTTTTAAGTGTTGAAATACTTGCAAATGAAATCATGATAGTGCCTTGCGTTCTTGGAACTCCGTAAATTTTATATTTTATTCTTTTTTTTTTGTTGTTATGGTTCTTTCTTGTTTTGAAGAAATTGTGACAACATTAAATACAATTTGATTCGATGAAATTTTGCGTCCATATAATATAATACGCAAGTGGTTCCTCTTTCGTAATACAAGCTGAGTAAAAAACGTTATATTGGTCTTATGAGTACGGCAGAAGGGAACATTGTAGAATGTATAACAAGACCCTGTAAAAGGGGTACTTTCTAACAGATAGATGACATTCTTTGCGCGCACACGCACACGCACACACATATATATATATGTATGTATGTATGTATACTACAAGTGTAGAATGTAATATGGCTCATAATCTTATCAAAAACTGGTTTCTCCCATATCCTCTCCCTTAAAATACATCCTCAATTCTTGTATCGCAAACTGTTTTCTTTCCCTTGGGTTCAGAAAACTTTTCATAATCAGAAGGAAAGACAGATACGACAAAGCAAAAAGGAGAAAGAAAAAAAGATGTTATTAATTCCAGGACCAGTCAGTTGTACAGATTTAGTGATCGACACATTAGGACAAGATTCTCTAACCCATACAGGTCCAAGGTTTGCTGAAACATTCAAAAGAGTACTACTTAACTTACGTAAAATATTTAATTCTTCTAAAGAAAGCGGATCATTACCATTAGTCCTTGCAGGTTCGGGAACCTTGGGATTCGACTTAGTTGGAAGTAACTTATGTCCAACAGGCAAGGAAAAATTACTGCTTTTATCTACTGGGTACTTCAGTGAAGAATTATGCGAATGTTTGAGAGAGTTCTATAAATTGGATGTCACAGTATTGTCCAGTAAACAAGTGGGTGGTGGTATCGATATAGTCGTGTTACAAGAGATGTTACAGGAAACAAAGTATGATCTTGTGTTAATGACCCATGTAGACACATCTACTGGTGTGCTAAACGATGTTGAAAAGTTATCTGGTTTGGTGCACAGCCACTCACCAGAGAGTTTGATTGTCGTTGATGCTGTGTGTTCCCTAGGTTGTGAGTCCATTGAATTTGATAAATGGGGGTTAGACTTTGTATTCTCTGCTTCACAAAAGGCCTTGGGTGCACCACCAGGGTTATCTATTTCTATCATCAGTGAACGTGCGTTAAGGCTTGTACTAAAGGAACGCAACGATGTGGATGCACCACCAAGACCGTATTTTACATCATTAAGGAAATGGGTCCCAAGTATTCAATCATATGAATTAGGTGGAAAGGTCCATTATTTTGCTACCCCACCGATCCAATTAATCTTATCGTTGGATGTTGCATTGAAGGAACTATTAGAGACAGACTACGTAACTAACCATTTGTCACGTAGTAACTGGTTAAAGATGCAAGTGGTCGAAGAGATGAAATTGAGACTAGTCACATTGGGTCCAGTTGAAAAGACTGCACACGGGCTTGCAGCTATATATGTGTCAAATCCATCAGAAGTGATGAAGAGATTACAGGGTATTGATATTGATATTGCAGGTGGGATCCATCCAGCCATTAGGACCAAGTACATTAGAATTGGGTTAATGGGTAGAGATGCGACAAAGGAGAATCTTTTGAAAGTCTTAGAAGTAGTCCAAGAAGTTGAATCAGAATCATATTGAAGATGATGGTGCTAGTTTTATTACACAAAGAAAAAAAAAAAAAAAAGAAAGAAAGAATGGGGAAGAATTAAATATAGCTGGGGATCTGGAGGGAGAGGGAATAAAGAGGTGTTAGACAAACCGAGTCAATTCTCTCCACAGTTTACTCTGTCTATTTTTCTCTACTGTGCTTGTCCAGCTTCTCACTGAGTCACGCCTGAGTCAATTGAGACGTGGTTGGCCGAGTCAAAGTCAGAACTCTGGCCTCTGTTGACTCTGGTTGGCGTTACCTTGATTCCCTCTGTTACTGCACCCACACACCCCGCACGTGTCAGACGACGAGAAAATTAAAAAGAAAAAAAGAAACGACAAAATCCTGTGCAAAGCTAAAAAAAAAAATGACCGGAACGAGTGGGATGTTAATTTCTTTTTTCGTTTTTTGATGATTCAATTATTTCAATCATTTATTTCCCACTCATTAATCCCATTTATTTTTGTTATTCTCAAACGAAGGATTATGTTAATTGAACTTTCAACAACGTTCCGTGGGCGTGTTAGACGTTGTTCATGTATATAAAGGAGTCTTTGTTCTTGGATTTTTTTTTTCTCTTAACCCATCATATTTTCCTCTGCACATGTTTAATTGTGGACTTTATATATTCTAATATATGTAAGTAGAGCAAAGCATCTAACAATAACGACAACAACAACAAAATACAATACTACGCTTACTGCTCCTTATTTTTATTTTCTTCACTTTATAAAACGTTTTTATAGATACGCATTTCACTAATTATAAAATGGTTTACGCATTATCTGAAGCTCACAAGAAATTGGTTTCTGAACACTTAAAAGAATCTGACCCAGAACTGCAATCTTTAATTGATCACGAAATTGAAAGACAAAAACATTCCTTGGTCTTAATTGCCTCCGAAAACTTCACCACTACCAGTGTTTTCGACGCCCTAGGTACTCCGCTATGTAACAAGTACTCTGAAGGTTACCCAGGTGCCCGTTACTACGGTGGTAACGAATATATCGATCAAATCGAAACTTTATGTCAACAACGTGCTCTAAAGGCATTCCATGTTACTCCAGACAAGTGGGGGGTTAATGTCCAGACCTTGTCTGGTTCTCCAGCTAATTTACAAGTCTATCAAGCTATCATGAAGCCACACGAGAGATTGATGGGTCTTTACTTACCAGACGGTGGTCATTTATCTCACGGTTATGCTACTCCAACCAGAAATATCTCTGCTGTCTCCACCTATTTTGAGTCTTTCCCATACAGAGTTGACCCAGAGACTGGTATTATCGACTACGACACTTTGGAGAAGAACGCTATCTTATACAGACCAAAGGTTCTTGTAGCAGGTACTTCCGCCTACTGTCGTTTGATCGATTACAAGAGAATGAGGGAAATTGCTGACAAATGCGGTGCTTATTTGATGGTCGATATGGCCCACATTTCTGGTTTAGTTGCCGCTGGTGTCATCCCATCCCCATTCGAGTATGCTGATATCGTCACCACCACTACTCATAAATCCTTGAGAGGTCCACGTGGTGCCATGATCTTCTTCAGACGTGGTGTTAGATCTGTTGATCCAAAGACTGGGAAAGAGATCATGTATGATTTGGAAAACCCAATCAATTTTTCTGTCTTCCCAGGTCACCAAGGTGGTCCACATAACCATACCATCGCTGCTTTGGCTACTGCTTTGAAACAAGCCGCTACCCCAGAATTCAGAGAATACCAGGAACAAGTTATTAAGAACGCTAAGACTTTGGAAAATGAATTCAAGAAATTAGGTTACAGATTAGTCGCTGACGGAACCGATTCTCATATGGTCTTGGTCTCCTTAAGAGAAAAGGGCGTCGATGGTGCCCGTGTTGAATACATCTGTGATAAGATCAACATTGCCTTAAACAAGAACTCTATCCCAGGTGACAAATCTGCTTTAGTCCCAGGTGGTGTTCGTATCGGTGCCCCAGCTATGACTACCAGAGGTATGGGTGAGGAAGACTTCGCTAAGATTGTTCAATACATTGATACTGCTGTTAAGATCGCTGAAGATGTTCAAAAGGCCTTACCAAAGGAAGCTAACAAATTGAAAGATTTCAAAGCTGCTGTTGATGCTAACCCAGGTGAATTACCAAAAATAAAAGAAGAAATTTACAACTGGGTTGGTCAATACCCATTAGCTGTGTAAATTACTCTACATCAAGGCTGATGACTTTATAGTGTTGGTTTTTCTCTTTCAATCTCATTTTTCGGCCAATCTAATAACGATGATAATATTTTCAACAAATATAGTAGATTTTCTTTTTAAATAAACTATCTATCCAACTACATTGCATTATTATTCTTTAAAAAAAAAAAAAGGGGGAATGGAGATCCATTCCTCTCATCACATAGAATCTTTGTACATGTTTTGTAATGAACTTTATATATATTTATAATTCAACATTATGACAATAGTATGCATGTGTTTCTTTTTTATTGATAGCAAAAGATTGGTGTTTACTAATATATATAGACATATAGTATTGTGTATGCAGCCTTATATATATTCACTGTTATTTGGTACTGTTGTCTTTCAAATTCTTTTTAATCTCTCTTAAAAGTTCTGAACAGTGCCATCTTTCATCAGACTGCAAACTCATCATTCGCAATATACAATTAATCATCGTCAACCTTAAATGTATATCCAGGATTTCATTCATTCGTGGTAAATATTCTAAGATCTTAGATTGTTGTTCCTCTATCGATAAATTAAAAAGATATTGACCATTACCAGTTTCGCCAAATAACCCAACAAAGGCGTCAATAGATCCATACATTTTTACTTCCTGCCATTCTTCTACTGATGGAATCCCCAACTTTTCAAATATCGACAAAATCAATCTAATATCACTACCGTTTCCATCATCAAGAACATTTGATCCATTATCAAATATTGCAGGAACTGTCGGATATTTACCTTTAGATTGGAACCATTGAGTAATTATAACCATTAAAGACCATACATCAACTGCCATAGAATAGTTCTTACAACTAAATAATAGTTCAGGTGCTTTATAGAATGAAGTGGAGATATCTGTGATTTTATGATCCAAGGGTTCTTGCATTAATTGTTTGGAGTTTTTTGTGTCATATGATATACCAAAGTCTGCGATAACTAAATTTATGGGTTCTTTTATTTGTACTAAAATATTATCTGGTTTAATATCTCGATGGATTATACCCTGTTTATGAATGAATGATAAACCCTCCAATAATTGGATAAAGAAGTCTAAACAATATTTGTTTACATCTAAAGTGTTAATGTATTCTAACTTATCACACTCGTTACCTTCGTTGATATTACTATTGCTGATATCATTATAAAACTGTTTGTCTATTCCTAAATTATAATATGGATTAAATCTTCTTTTCGTACCATTATTATTATTATTCTTTAATTTCCAATGATCATTCATAAATTTTTGTAACGTTAATGGATACCAAGGGAAGAATAGCTCAAGTTCATCAGTGGATCTTGTTTCACAAAACTCAATTAATTTAATAACATTCTGGTGACTACTGTCCTGTGAAGTCAACTTTTTCAATATTGATAGCTCAAATCTTGGTTCATGTGGTGGAATACAATTTTCTAAATCAATACATTTAATAGCATATTTTGAATCAAATTTATATATTCTAGCGAATTTCGTAGTACATATTAATTCAGAGTTATTAGACTTTGCGTCATTGTGGAATGATGTAACGAGAGCCATTTTTGTTCGTAATCTAGTTTGTTAATGTTGCAGATTCAAAAAAGAAATATAAGTAGCAATTGATAATTTCCTTCTCCCTTCTAGATGATATTTTAATATTAGCTTCTAGCCATAGGGAAAAAAAATTCAAACAAAAATGACATTTACGTTAAAATTAGTATATTGTGAAAATTTTGTTATATATATATATATACATATATATATATATATGTATGTATGTATAATGTACACGTATATAGATGTATATATAATAAAGTATGATATTGTATGTCAAAATACTTATTGGATTCGATCTGTAATATTATTGTCACGTTTCAACCAGGAAAGGGCTAATGGATGTAAACTGTCTACTTTACTCACAGAAATCTTTGGTTTAGAATCTTGATTATATCTAATAACACCATTTCCATTATTATTAGTACTATTATTGTCAGGTAAGACAAATTCCACATCATTTTTATAATCTATCTCCTCTACAATAAAACCTTCCTTAATGTGAATAATTTTATCCGGCCATTTAGCTAAGCCGTCAAAGATATGAGTAGCATAAATTACAGAACATTTACGAGTCTCGGTCTCTTCTTTTAAAAACATTAATAATCTGGATCTGGCAATAACATCTAAATCTACAGTGACTTCATCTAATAGCAAGACTCTCCATGGTTTTAAAAGACCCATCACTAATTGTACACGTCTTTTTTGTCCATCAGACAACCTATGCATCCTCCAATTGAGATCTACTTCTAAAATTTCTATCAGTCTCTCTCCACGAGCTTTGTAATGGTTTAATCCAATACTTTCCAATAATTCAAGAACCCCAATGTCTCTGTTGATGATGCTCATATGGCACCATTCCGTACCTAAATAAGTGGTAATTTGAACATTTTCATCACCATTCTCCTTTGCAGAATTAATTTGCATTGAAATTGGACTAAAGGGGTCTAGTCCGTTGACTCTGATCTTACCATTTAGACAAAGATGTTTCCCACTCAACAATTTCAATAAAGTAGATTTACCTGCACCGTTAGAACCAACTACTAAGGTTCTTGTGTTCCATGGTATTTTTAAATTAATGCGTGACAAGGATGGTTCAGCCGATGAATGGAATGTATAAGTCAAATCATCTACTTCAGCAGCAAATTCAGCCATTCTGTTGTGTTCTCTATCTATTTGTATATGATATATAAATTAGCAATTAAGTGAAATGTTTGATGCTATCTTTTGTTTTTTTAGATATACTTACTTGTCAGTTGTATAAGGCACCCTGCTACACAAAATGGGAACAACTACAATTGTCGTGCTAAATAAATCAAATAAAGATGAATGGTCAGTAAAACTAGTATAATCAGATACACTGGTATAGTATGTACTGGTAAACAAATTTTTTTTCTACTTATATTTGAGGACTGCATCCTTGGGATTAGTCGAATCACTGAACCTTTAAAGTTGGGCTTAAAGGTTTTGAGGGTCAATCAAAAATACCGGCGGAGAACAAATTACAAAGCATGAAGCGTATGATAGCGCCACTGAATTTTTGAGTAAGTGTGGATTACATTGTGAATATAAATATTGAACATACAGCAAATATGAAAGTTTTCTTGAAGGAGAGATGGTTTATTATTACTAAGTATTATTACATATTACATAGCTGGTCATTTGAGTGAAGAAGTTAATCTTACTTTCATTTTTGGTAGAATATTCTGAAACAACATGTTATGATATATTTTAAGGATGAAACCATTGCTGCTTTGATCAGAATACTTTATACATAGTGCTAAGATGGCAATACATACAGATATTTTGATTAATGGGGATAGATTCATGTACTGATCATCTAATATCTTGAGAAGAAAGGGATAGTTCTGCTGTCTATACAATTTTTTGGTCTGTCTTTCATCCATGTTTTGACGGATTTTATTTAATTTTATACCTTTGTTCATTAATGATTTCAAGTCAACTTCATCATATGTTTTAAATTGGAAATGTTTTAAATTATAATTTGTTGCTGTAGTCAATAGTGGGCTGTATTTGTTGATTTGTCCTTTCAAAGATGGTATTTTAATTTTATTGTTAATGAAACTGAATCTTATTTCATTCAAGATGGTATACCACTGTTTTAAATGATCTCGGTTTTTCTCTGTGTATTGAAAACTTCTCACAATAGCATTTTGTATTGATGCATGTATTAAATCATTTATGTTGTCAAAATGTTCTAAATTAGTTTCATATTCTTTTAATAAAAGGTTTTTATTGTTCAACAGAAATTTTGAATATATTATCAATGGTAATATCATTGACTGACTACATATAACCATGTCAAATATTTCATATATTAAATTAGATTCATCTTGATATTTTTGATTTATCTTGGGTTTAAAATGATGAGAATATATTGTTAAAACACTGCTAATCATATAGAACGGCTCTTGTTTATCCAACTTCAGTTTATTAACAAATTTTTTATTCATTTTCATTAAAATCTGAGTGACAATCTTCAGTTGATCTATTGTGAAATCTAAAGAATCCATCATGAAATCTCTTAAATACATTAATGTAAATATCTCTAAGATTAATATCATTTCGTTAATTTGTTTCTTATATTTATTTTTGACAATATCTTCATAATATATCATAACAAATATAGATGCAACATCATGATAACCTTGGTAGTAATTTAGTTGTGGATTTCTTTTTAATGTACCTATAATGATATCATAAAGGATCCGTTTTAATCTATTTTTCAGAATTGAATCTTTAATATATCCAAAAGATCTATCTGTATCTAACCTAACTTGATCTTCATCTTTATGAGGTAAATTATTTGTTTCAACATTAATCAATTCATCGTCTTCCTTTCTCATCCTATCCATTTGATGAGTTAATAAATAGACCCAACATTTTTTTCTTATTGAATTATTAATAAATCCAAATTCAGTGATGCCAAGTAATGATAATGATAAGTTTTCTAATTGGGAGTTATTGTTTATACCTATTGAATTTAATTTTTCAAATATTATTTTTGATTTAAGATTCTTTGCTTTTTTTATCTTATCAGATTCATTAGTCAATTCAAAATGATTTGCTACACCGTTTGACATCATTAGCAAATAAATTCTTTATTTATTGACTCTTTTTTGCTTACCTTTTTAATTCTAAAGATCTCGACATTAAATTATATTATCCAACAATGATTATAAAAAAGAAGTGTGTCATTGAAAGATGTTTATAATCTTGTTGGTGTAAGTGTGATTTTGCATTGTTTTGTTTTAACTTTGCGATTTTCTATTTTTTTCAATTTTGTGTTATTATGTAAATCTGTATCAATCAACTATTTAATGATAAGAAAAATTACTTACTGCTGTCCAAGTATTATTTCATCAAGATTGTAGTACGAGACACATAAATTTACTTGTAGGTAATAGGGTACATGCTGTATAATTTTCAATTAGTTTGCAAACACCTATTTCTCAATGCTTATAATTACTATGCTCACAAAAAAAGATAGAGAAAAAAAAAAAGCAACATAGTAATTTGAAACTGTCTTGATTTATGCGGTCCCTTTAACAAAGATAATACTTGTTTAATGTTCTTATTTGAATATTTTTTGATGAGTAGCTTTGCACATAACCGTATATAAATTAATTAAGCTCAATTGAGGAAATTTGCTTCAAGTTGGTTTAATAGTAAAGAAGGGTAATATACTAGCAAATCTTATAACGATTGGGTATATTCATTTATATTACGTTAATCCTTAATAAATAAAATAAGATGTGATGTATGATTCAATAGCAAATTTGCTGCAATGGTTTTTTTCTAAAGTATTAGTATAGATTAAAAGCTTTTTTACATGATTAATACCCACAATGCTTTATTTTGTAACAGTTTTGAAACGGCGATAATTTAAAGATCGATGCTTTTTTATTGAATGTTATTGCCTTGTTTGCAAAGGCTAATTAACTAACAGTAAGGTTAACGGTTATTTTTACGATGTAATGTTTCATAAATATAATACAGTTTTAAAAATAATTAAATCTTAATTTAATCTTTCAAGTAATTCCATAGTGTAGCCCATAAAAAATAAAAAGTTTGTTGCTTCTTCTCTTAATACCACTCAACTTCTATGTCAATTAATTTGAGGTATATGTTGTTGAAAAGTACGTAATTATCCTAATCGGGTAATTTACATGAAACTTATATCCAAAAAGAAGTTCTATTGTCATCAAGACTTCATATATCTCGAATTACAGTTGAATAGTCATGTTTATTGGATATAAGATACTAGTTGTGACGCTGAAATATATTAAGAAGTCTTTTTATGTCTTTGATATCCATAAATAAATCCATATATTATGATAAAAATCATGACACTTGGAAAAGAGTAAATAATAAAAACAAAAATAGCAATACCTATATCAACTCAAGATCACAACTATACAGGAATAGATTTTTCTATTGGATCAGTCAGTATGATGTTCGATCCTGATTATGATCCTTTAACAGGAAATTTAACTTTCTTAACAGTTTATGGCCCTTCAAGCATTACATTTGGTGAATTACAATATCTCATTAACACTAAAATACGACAATCTATAGTATTTGGTGTCTGCTGTGGAGCTTCCATAATTACATTCATAATTATGTGGTTAGTATCTAAGCGAAAGAAAACCCCAATATTCATTTTGAACCAGATGTCATTATTTTTGCTGTTTTTGCAATCTGCTTTTTATTTTAAATATATTCTGTCATCCCAGTCTTCTGTCACTTTAGCATTAACAGAATTCCCGCAAATGGTTCATAAATACAACCTACATATTTCTGCTGCTGCTGACATTTTTAAGTTGTTATTAGTGGTTTGTATAGAATGTTCCCTTGTGTTCCAAGTCAAAGTTATGTTTTCCGGTGATAGCTTTAAAAAAATTAGTTACTTTCTTCTGACAGCTTCAATTGCAATTGGCTTAACTACAAGCGGTATGCTTTTAACGGCTGTTGTTATGATAATAAGGAGTATTTATACAGGGATAACTAACAAAGGTGATAAATATTACAACATTGCCAATATCCTATTTGCTGGTTCAATTAATTTCATGACACTTATCTTGGTCATTAAATTGATTTTGGCTATACGTGCAAGAAAATTTCTAGGATTAAAGCAGTTCGACAGTTTTCATATCTTGTTAATTATGACATGTCATTCGCTTGTTGTACCTTCTATTTTGACAATTTTAGCATATGCATTACAATCTAATGAAGATGTATTAGTTTCAGTGTCAACTCTATTAGTGGTTTTATCGTTGCCCTTATCATCTATTTGGGCAGGATCTATTAATACGGCATCAAGTACCAGGAGTTTTAAATCTGACCCACCATTAACCCCTACTGGATTTTATCCTACGGGAATTGAGGATTTATCATCCTCAAGCACTGTTTCCAGTCCTAATTCTGGATCCTTTCCAACAAATATAATCAAAAGGTATATATCAAGAAATAAGCAAAACACTAGAAGTAATGCAAGGGAATATGATAATACTTCAGGTTTTGTAGAGATTCATAAAGAAGAGCATAATTCTGAAAAAGAATATTCAGATAATATTTATTATGGTATATCATCAGACTTATCATTTGATAAGTTGAAAAATGAGAAATCAGAGGTGAAGAAACAGACAATTGATGTATTTGATACTAAAATTGACACATCATTTACTGTGTATACGCCAAACACACAAGAAGATGTAGAGGCCAGAAAATTTTGGTTGGCAAGTGATGAAAATAGTGACTCAAATATATTATTGGACTAAGTAGTGTTATTAAAATATATGTTAAACTTTCATAAATTGTATTTCTTTATTAATTGATTATGAAATTTTATGCGACCCTTCTTTTTAATAGATTCTATTTTTTTTGATATTATACATATTAAATTTAAATGTTAACATATAAATTCAGTGGATATTTTAACTAAATTTTCAAACATCCGTAAAATAACCATCCACTTAGTATATTTGTAATATGATGTAACCAAAATAGATTTCTAATACCATATATTGTTGAGAAAAATGCAGTATAAGCGATTAGCCCGAGTAGAATAAACCAGTCAGTTGGTTTCTTGTAGTTTGGGATGTGAAACTTTGAATTAGCTACTACAAAGAATATAAATGGAAGTATAGCTAAGACATTGTGATGAGAGTTTAATGTGGTTTCCCATTTAATTGCGACATTGTGGAAAAACACTATGATGATAGGAGTATCGACAATTGCTATGACTATTGTATATAACAGAATGGAAACATTATAATTTTTAATATTCTTCCAATGTAGATGATCGTTTCCAGCATTTCGGTTATAATGAATAATTACTCTGATGCATGTTACAGATTGAACAAAAACCATCAACAAAAATGCCAACTGGTAAGGAATATAGAAAAGTACTGCAGTTGTTAATATAATACAACCTACAATTCTTTTTTTGTCGAAAATTGTCTCATTCATGATATGACTATTGACTTCGGCTCTTTTCAAGTTATGCTTTGTAACTTTGGATATTATATATTCGAGGAGGTCGAAGAACTTTCCAAAAACAAAGAATACACCTATTGTCATTAAAGTAAATAGTAATCCAATAAAGCTAGAGAAAAAATCCCTAATACCTAAGTAATAATAATTGTTATAGATATGGAGCTCTTCGGATGCAAATGGATTGTTTAATTTTACTGGATCTAAAAGATATAATATCTTCTCGATCCATTTGTTATTAATAATGGGGCTTAAAATCACTGATCCTAAGAGAAGAAGGTATCCAAACTTTTGAATAATGGTGTTTATAGCTTCTTGAAAACTGATAAATTTATTTGACATTTTAAAGTAATAAAATTGATAAAATAAGATAAATGAAATAAACGTAATTAGATATGAGGCTATGGCCAATCTATACCTTATAAATAATAATTTTAACGTTAACCCCCAGTTAATTTCTAGACGCATATCAATATCAGTTTCTGAGGGAATGGTTAAAGTAAATGATAACATCCTTGTCTGAGTTTCATCGATAGGAATAAATGGGGCCACATTATGCATCGTTATTCCAAGTTTTTCCAATTTCCTTATATTAATATGCCACTTGGTCTCAAATGGCTCGAAAGTGGTTTGTTTTAAGAATGGTTCAAATAGGTTATTATCATCATTTTTTTTAGAAGATATAGTTAGTTGATAAGATATTAGAGAATTCCAAAGATGAGGGAAATCCCAGGTTTTAGTAATAATACCAGGCCCTGATTGCAACGTTAGTTTTTCACCTCTAAATAATATATCAAAAGGTTTAGTATATCTAATTTCATTTTTTGGCTCATTCAAAAGTGTAAAAAGTAAAAAGTTAGAATTTATTACTTCCTCTCTCGGTGGTTTTTGAACAATGATAAAGTCATATTTTTCCAATTCATTGCCTGATATAGATAGCATTTTAAAAGGAGTATCATTTTCATCCCATGAAGAGTCTGCTGGTGAGTTATTGTGTATAGTGGACCTTGGGATAGTCAAGATGCTTTCATCAGCAGATACGCATCTAATATTTTTCTGAAAGTTTATAGTAGGTGCTTTTTTACAAAAGGTAACATGAGAAGTGGATATTGATGTTAATAAAGTGAATGTCCAATCATGCGCATTATTACATGAAGGTATAATTACTTTAGTATATTCTGGAATTCTATCGTAATTCTCTTCGTCTATGTTTAAATGCGTGTTACCCTCAACAATATTTATTCCAGATTCATAAGTTACATCAGGTATTTTGCTTGAAACTTCTGGATTAAATAACGGTTTAGTTTCTCTAGCATAATTTTCAAAACCAGACAGAAGATATTGTTTTGATATTTCGATTCTTTCCTCAAGCGGTTTTGTTTTAGAATGGCAAGTACTATCAACTATTTCTAACAGTAATTTGGCTAAAACATGCCTTAATTGTTTACACCAGACAATGGCAAGATGGTCAATTGGTGTCCAAACATTTGGTATTGTTGTAGTGAAAGTGGTAAACCCATTCTCAGGAGGTATTAAATCGGCCACAAATGCGTAATCAGCCGGTAAAATATCATCAGAAACACCGCCGGTAATAGAGATTAATGAAACATTTCTACTAAAAAATGAATTTTCGTCATTAAATTGATTTACCCAATAATCATCTATTTTTCGATATATTTTTAAGATATCACCATCAAATGTCACTGGAGATACGGCATGAGGACTAGATAAAGTTAATATAGTGTTAATAGAGCCTGGGATGTGATTTTCCAGAGTCATCATCAATCTTGTCACAATCCCGCCCATTGAATGTGCTACAATTATTACAGATTTTGGTAAAGGCATATCATAGGAATATGATCCTTCATATAAAGATAATATATAGGATATTGCGTCATTTAAATATTCTGCTTGGTCTAACATAGTTTGTCCATGAAATGCAGTGAAATCTTCATTAAAATCAGCAGTGAAAAAATCTAAATTTCTCGTATTAATCTTATTATCTAAGGTATTCTTGGACTCGAAATAAATATTGGCAGCTTCTGCAGCAATTGAACGAGCTTGTTTAAAACTTCCGGCATTTCCAGGGATGAAAAGAGCAGGTATTCCGTCCAATTGGATTTCATTACCATTTAGAGGATCTTTGTCTTTCCCTTGTTCTCTATAAAGGTATAAATGGTATTTATGAGCTAATCGTGTAAATCTTGTATCAAATCCATCTACCTTAGCATATGATGGATACATCCAAATGGGTCTGCATTGTTGCGCATCAGGCCCTGAAAATTGTAAACATTTGCTCAATAGAATCAGTAAAAATATAAAAAATATGCCAATGTAAGATATAAATCTAAACTTTTTGCTATAGTAAGTACTATGATATAATTTTCTGTCTTCATAGTTACGGTTACTTTTATTTGTGGGACTGTTGTTGCTATTTTTACTACTTATTCTTCTATAACCTGCTAAAACAGATCTCAAAGCTCTTGAAAAAATGTTTCTACGCCACATTTCATATCAGCCCATCAACTTACTAGCTGAGATTAGGAATAGTAAAGCCACCTATCTAATTTCCGGTTCGAGTTACTAGTGCAAGATGGAGTTGCACCTATCTACTTTTGTATTATTTTTTGTCTCTTTTCTTTTCTTCAAGGGCACATATATTTTTGTTAAGAAGTTTTGTTCATTCCTGCAAATTATTTTTTTGATTCTTTTTCTAAGTGTTGATGTTTGTTTTTGCAGATATCCACCTGCATGTATTGCAAAAGAAGAACAATTGATCAATAAAGAAAGATTAAAGATGAAAGATACTAGGTTAAGTTGGATAATGTGATACTATACTGCTGCTAATTTCTAAAATAAATAGACGATCAATATTGAAATCTATCAATTGTTAACATTTAATGCCATAGTAAGTATTATTTCGTTAGAATAAAAAATAGATAAGTACATGAAAACATTATATTAAAGTCTTGCCGTTATTGTCTATATATTTTTTATTTATATTTATATATAAGGGATAGTTGCAAAAAATATTTATATATGTCACAAAGAACATATGGTAATTGATACATTAATATAATAATTTAAATTATGTGTCCTTTAAAATAAGATGAATTAAAGATGGTTGATATTCATAAAAACAAATAACTTAATAATACAGATTTGGTACTTTTGCAAGTTAAAAGTAGCTCAAAATGGAATTGATGGATATATGAAATACACATTTACAATAAAATCAAACAGTAATAATAACAACATGAGATGAAAAAGTCTTTATGCAGTATAGTGTTAATAGTAATAGTTAGAACAAAGAAAGAAAAAAGGCCCTAATAAAGAGTATTAATATGGATGTGTTATGATTAAATTTATGCGTTATTTGCTTTTTCTTGAGATATACTGGGAACTTTACTTTCATTCTTTATTCTTGGTGTCTTAGATGTTTGTCTTGAATTGCTATTGGATTTTTGATTCAAGTTGGATACATTTTTGGGAAGAGTTTGGATCTTTTGTAGTTGTTGCTTTTGAATCACTTTCTGATGTTGTTTCAAATTATTGATATATTCTCTACGGAATTTTAGAGTAGCTTTTCTTAATTGTTCATATGATTTTGTCCCTAGCATAGTACCGAATCTAATGACCTGTGTTTTATTTGAAATTTGATTCAAATGCGATGGGCTCTCTGAAAATTTACTTCCAAATTCATTCAATGGAGAATCATATTTCCATTTTTCATAAAATCTTGTTAACTCATCGGCCTTAGACTCATATACATTGATATACTCATCAACTTTGTTCGTTTCTTCCTCAATTGCATCAAAGTCAAAAAATTGATTCATCATTTCATTTGTTTCATCCTTACTGATTTCAGTAGAGTTATAATTTGGCTTTCTATCAACATACTGGATATGATTACGACCGTACCGTCTTCTAAATTTAACTGGATACTCTCTTGAATAAATCTCATTATGAGTTTGGAAAGGATTATAAATTTCTACTTTTTTGATGTACGATAAGTTATCATTAACTATCTTTTCACCGTCTTTATTGAAAGCATTAATATCTTTTGTATTTCCTTGAAGATAATCGTCAAGATTTGGGACATAATACGAATTATCAATTGAAAACTTAGACGAGGCAATTGATGCAAATGGAGCTGTTGTAGAATCAACATTCTTTGGTAAAGTGATATCGAATACTGGATTAAATGGATCATCCGTAAGATTAAAGTATTGATCACCATCCTCAACTTTCCGTTTTTCCATTCTATCATGGACGAATCTACGTGCACTTTTCTCCTTCTGATTCAATATTGTATCAACATCATCAAGAACAATATCAGGAATCTTACATGACGGCAACTTGACATACACATGCGTAGCAATTGAGGGTTGTTGTTGTTGGGATTTTTGCTCCTGTTTTTTTTGAGATGAAGTTGGTGCTTTTGACTTCACTTCAACTTTAGAATCAGATGATTGAATTTGTAATTGTTCTAATTGTTGCTTAGTTAGTTTTTCGCCAGATTTGGCTAACTGCTCTAGTTGTTTTTTTGTTAATTTGTTTCTGCCATTACGTTTTGTTGTAGCAGAAGTGGTAGCCGTAGCTGTGACGTCAATTTCAGCGAGATTTGTGGATGACACCTTTTTATTATTTTTATTATTATTATCGACATGCTTATTGGCAGATACAGATAAAGGTTCATCAAAATCAGTTGATTTAGCAGTAGCTGACTGTATAGAAGCAAGCTCAGCATTCTTCTTTAATATTGCTTCAGCTTCCTCCTTTTCAATCTGTTGTCTTCTTTCTATTGTCAAAATATTAGGACGTCTCCTTTTATGATTAATCAAATCATCATCATCGCCACTAATATCTAAAGATCTTTTTAATGATATGATCTTCAATCTATCATCCAAAACTTTAGATTCACTTTGTAATAATTTATACGCACTTAGCTCACGTTTAGCTACAAGCAAAGCCATATTCTTAGCATGTTGCAATTCTCTGTACAGTAATTTCAGTTTGTGGCTATTAATGACATCAATTCTACGTGTTTTTCTTGGATGTCTAACTTCACGTCTACGAAAACAAACATATGGATCGACTTCTTCTCTCTCGCCTGGTTTTTCAAATTTCAGTTGTGGGAAAATTTCACCACCATTTGCATCGATTTTTCTTAATTTCCAATGATCATAGATATCATTCCCATAGATCTCCAGCAGTTGGTGAATTGGTCGTACATTGTCTACTTGTGTTGGATCGTATTGTGTTAGAAACTTTTCATCAGTTGAATAATTCAGTTCATGGGCTAATTTTGCTTTTAGGCCAAGATTAGCAAAGTTCAATTTTAATAAAGTGGGCTTTAATTCACTAAAAGATAGAATGCTCTCTGCGTCCATTGATAAAAACGGTTGTCTTTCTTTGATACCATGTTCAAAGGTAGCACATAATAATTCAAATTCATCCTCGTTTAAAGGTTGTTTATTAGATACCGAATCAGAGCTACTATCTACTAATTTTTGGTTATAATTCTTCAAAAATCCATCATCTGTTTCATCCATATTATAACTTATACCACAACAATCTTCTACAGTAGCGGAAAATTTGATGAAATTTTTTGACTGAATAAAGTTTCCATGATAAAAGGAGTTAAATTCATCCCAACCTTTTCTGGTAGAAGGCGTTGGGATATAAGCCTTCTCGTTATTCTGTGTCTTATCATCATCATTTGTGTTTTCATGTGAATCGAATTTCTTTTGTTGAGTTAGTATTCTGTGTAAATGAACTTCCTTCTCCTCACTCTTTTCAACACCAGTTTCAATATGATCGACAACATCACGTTGTTGTAATTCATTTTGCTCCAAATTTTTCAAATCATTGGGTAAAAATATCTTTAATTTTTGCTTAACAGAGATTTTTCTGTGCCTAGACCTTGTGTTTAATACAGTTCCACTAACGTTTGGGACTGCAGGGCTACTACCTTTATTGCTTATATTTGCACTACTATTGGAACTATTCAGGACTTCATTTTTCTTCTTGTTGTTGTTATTATCACTTTTATTGTTCTTATTGTTTTTGTTATTACTGGTACTGGCACTGCTCCGCGTTGCCATGGTAATACAGCGATCACCTCACACGACTAAACAGAATCGAAATTACAGGGAAGAAAAAAACAAAAAACACAAAAAAGAAAAAAAAAAAGAAAGAAAAAAGAGGGGAGGGGACGATGGACTGGAAGTTAAAATGCGTTAAGTTTTTTCGTAAACGATGAATATATGTTGAATGCGCTGGGCGGTATGGTATGGTAATAATATATTGTGGTGTATATGTGTGTATGGGCGTGTCTATATATGAGTGTATATTCTACAATTGAACACAACAATGACTATTGCTCATGAGAACCTCTTTTTCAGTAGTCTATTTATAGATGCAGTGTTTTACTTTGTCTTCTTAGTTACTTGTATATTAATCACAAAGAGGTTGGAATATAATAATCCAATCGCGTATCGGAAAGGAGAGTTGTTGGAGGAACCGAAGATCGGTGGCAATGGGTTGGGAAATGGGTGGTCTATTTGCTTTTTTTTTTATTTGGCTCTTATATTATACCTATATTGTCTGTAAGTGAATATAAATTGCACATATATATTATTGGTAGCGAATTGTCATTACTATTATATTTATGTGTAGGTATTACCACTGTTTATCCATACTAATTGTCATGGATCACTCACCTCCCTCCTCCCTGACTGTTTGCTATCGTTGTCGTTGTCGTCGTCGTCGTTGTTTACAGGGGAACGGGTGGCGAAAAAAGGAAAAAAAAAAAAAAAAGAAAAAAAAATTTTTCCTTCCTTCTGGTTTTCCCGTCATTATCCCAAAATTCAAACAAGATTTTATCAAAATGAAGTTAAAAAAAAAAAAGGCATTGCAAGGGATTCGATTCAGGGCTCAAGTCACGTGCAATATCCGGGTAATATGGTGTATGGATGTATGTAAGTTCAATATTCATCTTCCTTTTTTTTAATTTTGATTTGTAACAGTAAAATTTGAGATTTGATGAGATGAGATGAGATGAGATGCGATGAGACGGGATGGGTTTCAAATACATGAAAAAGTGGCAACTTGATCTAGATTTTTAATGCTTTTTGTTTTATTTCCTATGTTGTACGTTTTCTAAGTTAGCCATTTGGTTGTATAATCATTTAAGAGGGATAAAAAGTTTAAACAGTCCAACATAATCTAGAGATAATGGATAATCAAGTGGACTTTTTAATATCTTCAGTTGAAAAAAGTTTAAAGAATTTACAAAATAAAAAGGCTTTTTTGGTGGAACAGCAATTACAATATAATAATATTCATGATAGATTAATAACCTTTAAGTCCAATAAAGATAATGATAACCTTTCGCTTGAAGGTGATGGTGAAAGTGGTAACAGTGAGGGTGTCAAAGGCTTGATACTTGGTGATGTCATTATTTCTTCTAATAAATGTTTTTTGAATTTGGGTTATGAATATTATGTTGAAAAGGATTTCGATGAGGTCTTACATTTTGTTAATGATAAATTGCGTTTAATGAATGAAGCTATTGAGCAGTTTATGTTAAAAATAAAAGAAGCAGAAACAACTTTACAAAATCTGAAGGAAGTATCTAATAATATTGATGAAGGTGAAGATAACTTTGAAGAATTTGATACAGAATTCCCTACGATGGAAATTAGAGAAGAATTAGATGACGATGGAAATATTATTAATTCAAGTATAAGGCCTACAAATTCCACCAAAAAAGAACAAACAGTATCTAAAGATATACAGAAAGAGGGCAAGGAGAGGAAAGATGAATTTGCATCAAATTTAAGAGGTAAATTATTAACTAAAAATACAAATGAGAATAAGGAAGATATTTTGAAAGAAGCTAATACAAATATAAATAAAATTGATTCTGATGGTATTTATACCTTTGCCGATTTAGTTCAACAAATGGAGGAACAAGATAATCTTGAAGATGGCGAATTAGATGAGGATGATATCGAATATGACTATGATAAATTGGATGAATATATGGGAAGTTTGAATATGAGAGAAAATGGAGAAGATGAGGAGGAGGAGGAGGACTACGATAATGATGATTATATGTTTAATGGGTATATGATGATGGTCCCTGGATCATCCGGTCAATCCTCTTTTATGGAACAAATTGCTAAATTAAGAGCTCAACGAAATCCCGTCAATGATAACGATCCAGATGATGAGATGCAACCATCTAGGAAATTAAATCTTAAATCATTAAAAAAATCAGCTGATAAGAAAATTGAAATTAAATCTATTTTAAAAACTGGGATAGATGTAAATAAGAATGACGGGTCAGTGAAAAATGAGAATAAAGGGAAAAAGAGTAAGAAAAGTGTTGGTTTTGCTGCTCAATTGGATATCCATGAAGTAGAAAACTTTAAAGAAGAAACTAAAAAACAAACACATAATATATTCCCATCTATGCAACAACTAATGTATTCAAATTTAGTTGGAGTTAGAGATGAAGATATGATAGATGATACAAATAATCCTAACGTTAATGATTTCGATAATGACCTTTTTGCAAGTATGCTTGGGATTAAGGGATCTGAAGAAATACATGATAAATATTCTAATGCTGTGGAAACGGCTAATATGTCAACTGATAACAATGGTGTTTATCAAGAAAATACAACAGCAAAACCAAAACGTGTATCTAGATTTAAAAAGAATATGCTTGGAAAAAATTTTGATAAAGCAAAATCAATAAATCAATATGAATGTAGTAGAAATGATAATAAGAATGATGAGGCATTTGTCTCAAGTGATATTATAGAAAAAGATGTTATCGAAGAAATATCTAGCAGTTCAGATAAAATTTTAGAAAATACAATAATAGAGAGGCCAGTGATTAGCGACATAATTGAGAAAGATGTTGTTATGACAAATATTATAGAGAAAGATATCATTGATGAATCACCTATTGATAATAATAGTGTTGAAAATAATAATATAGAGAGTAATAGTGTCAATGAGATTATAAGTGAACCAGTTATAGAGAGTATGGTCGATAATTTCAAGACATCGAATGATAAAAATATAAAACAATGCGGAACTGATGCTGAAACTACGCAATCATACAAAGAAAATAAGGGTAAATTGTCAATATTTAGAAAAAAGATGGCTTCATTACAAAGACCTCGTATAAAGTTAAAAGCTAAGCAGTCATTAGTTACCGCAGAGATGTTAGATGCATATGAAGAAGTAGAAACATTTCTGGATAAACCGAAGCAGGAAGAGCCTAAAATAGTTAAACTTTTAAAAGATAAAAATGATAATATTAGTAAGAATGTTAAGGAGTCAATAGAAGATGAGAAAGTAGAGGAGAAAGCAGAGAAAATTCAGGATGTATTTCCAGAGGAAATTGCAAATGCAATCTTGCAGATGGGCAAAAGCGAAGATGATGTACATATTGCAAATGTGGATTATAGTGCACTAAATGGTAATTTAGATGATATGGTTAAGGCATATACACTAGGATTGTATGATGATGACTTGGAAGAGCATCCGGGTACTGTCTTAGAAAAACTGGATGATTTTACAAATTATAATAGACAAGTTGAATCTCTGAAGGATGTTATAAAAGTTTTCCAAAAAAATAATCCTATTAGATTAGGTACTAGTGAAGAACTAAAAGATGATAATGATTTTGATGATTTTAAAATCATGGCAGATGAAATCCATGAGAGAAATATCCCTGAAGATTATTGTGGAGTTGAGAAAAATACAATCAGTATTATAAATGATGATTATGGTTTGAATGCCTATAATTTACAGCATGCTATTAATTTAGACTATCATAAGTTAAAGGAAACACTGTTACCGAAACTACAAGAAGAATCTAGACAACTCTTTGGTGATCACAATATACATTTTCACAATAATAATTCTTCGTCAGAGATGGAACTAGAGCCAATTGACGCAGAAGGAAATCCAATTAAAGTCAGTCGTTTTAAGTCACAACGAATGAAATTGAACATTTAGTTTCCTTCAAATTTTGCTTGTGTATTATAAAGTAATTCACCTATTTTTTTGACTAATGTTAAGCTTGTAAAGAATTTTTCTGTTAGAAGGCATAGAATTAATATTATGACAAAATATATATTGATTAAATACAGTTTACTATTAAACTGGTTTTAATATATTTAATAATTAAGCTATTAAATTCTACGGTGTTTAATGGTGCTAATAATATCTTAAAGAATAATTGTACATAATTACTTTATAAAGTTTCTGTTTAATTATGAAGCTTTCTTTCTTGTTAACTATTTGATCTTTTTTGAATATTCGGAAATTCTTTAGAAAGGCTATCTTTCCCTGTTTGGCTAATTTTCTTTTTTCGTCGAAATATTACAAAAAAATTATTTGGGTGTTACAGTGTAATTACTAATTGTGTAAAAATGACACACATGTATAATTGCTTGAAAAGTTTAAGTAACAAATGTCGATCACTTTGGCGCTATGATAGGATATTGGATAACTTTATAATGTAAAAATATTAAAAAAATGTGTAGCTTGATAAAGTGATTTGTGAAATTGTGGCAAGTATAATTGATAGAAATATATTGTTATCATTATGTGTAATATTCCAGCTTTTTTGTATTTGTCTTTTTAATCAGTTGGTACTGTCTTTCTTCTGCATTTAGCTGTAAAAGCCAATAAGAACAATGTAGTATATAATAGAAAGTGTCTTATGTATAGATTATTAACCAGAGATGAACCATAGTTAAAGTCCATTTATTATTCGAAAGCAAAAAAAAAGAGATTGGATTAGTATTTTTTATTTATCTTTCAAACATAATTGTTAGATATTTTCTAGTTATTGGAGTAATAGCAATGGTAACATGTCAATTTATAATGTTGTACAGGAGGAGGTTATTAGAGACGTTTTTTTATCATGTAAATTTAGATGATACTTTTTAACATTATACAGAATTGGATAACGAAAGGAACACTTTTAACTTTGTACCAGAAATAGAAGAAAGCAATATTGATAATAACGTAGATTTAAATTCAGACAATTCGGCAGAAACAACTACAGGGACTATAATACACTATCTATTTAAAATATATAAAAATTTGGAGGGCTTGCTACCACCTAGTAATAGAACATCAGTTGAAATTACTCCTTATTCACAGTTATATTATAAATGGTAGGAAGATGGATTAATTAGTCGGTTTAAAAATATTTTAAGCACATTATCTAATTATGTTATTAATAATAATTTTGTTTTTAATCAGAAAGTATCTGAGTATCAAAACTCAAAAGCTCCTATGCATGATAATGAAACTAGAGAAGAGTGCTTAGACAAGTCTAATATAAGTATATCCTCCTTGTTGCACCGACATTCATTGCCTAATTGTGGTGTGATACTTATGAAAAGGCCTAGATCGATTGAACATTTATGGGAAGAATATGATAGGATTCCTTCTGGCTGGTCATATGATTTTATACATGATTATATGTTAAATTTAAGAAAGATTGGATACGATTTAAAATTAATGAAGAAAATTTTGAAGCGTAATATATCTATTGCTGAATTGGAGGCTAAATATGGTTCCTTCTGGAGAAATAAAGATATGGATTTTTCACGCCAAATTAATAGGCGTAAGAAGTTATGGAATTTAATATAAATAGGTTTGAAAGAGGGCCTTGCTTTAGATGAATGCTTTTGGGTATTAAAGAAATACAACTATGATACCCATAAAAGTTTAAGTTCTTACTATAAAGGTTTCCGGTTTTCTTTATTAGAACTTAAAAATTGTATGGATCTGTAATATAATAGAACATAATAGAAGATTGTATAAATGATGTAGTATGTATATAATTTAATATAATTTAACAAAACTACTCTTTTCTAATAATATTAGTGCGTGCACCGGCACATTTGATTTTTTCTGATGATGCCTTTGAACTAAAAATATACAATATATAAGCTTCATTGTTTGGAAGTGAATGAAAAGTATAAAAAACATCTTTCAATAATTTTTTACACTTTATTATATCAGATACTCAATTCATTAGGTTAATATACAAACGTATGAAAATGTCATATTTATTTATATATATATATCTATAAGTTTATACACAATGTAGGTGGTGTTGAATAGATCTCGTAACAATTATAATTTATTCTTCTTTTCTTTATTTTGATTTTCTATTTAATCGTATAAATCTTCATCTAGTCTAGCTGCAGGATTGTTTTCAATGAAATCTAAAGAAACCTTGTGACCTAACAATTCTCTGATATTTTGAACCTTATATTTAATCATAGTAGGTCTTTCTAAAGATAAACCCCATCCAAGGACTCTCAAATTTCTTGGAAGACCCATACTTTCTAACATTTCTGGTCTGAACATACCAGAGTTACCAATTTCAACCCACTTGCCTAAACCTTCATGCCACGAAAAAATTTCCATGGATGGTTCAGTGTATGGATTGTAAGTTGGTTTGAATCTCAAACCAGTAACACCCATTTTGGCAAAGAATTCTTCCATAAATTTGATTAAATCACCTAAAGTAATGTTATAATCAGCTAGGACACCTTCAACTTGATGGAATTCAGCTAAATGGGTAGCATCGACAGCTTCATTACGGAAAACACGATCGATCGAGAATAATCTAGTTGGTTTTGGATCTTTTGCCAATTGGTGTAACATGTTTGCGGAGACAGCAGTCGTATGAGTTCTCAAAACTAATTTTTGGCATTCAGTTTCCTTCCAAGTATAACGGTAACCAATTGAGTCAAACTTACCATTTTCATGAACTGCCTTGATATTTTCCATGTATGTTTTATCCTCGGGTAAATCAGCAGTAGATGGATCTTTAATATAAAAAGTATCTTGTAAATCACGAGCAGGATGTTGTTGTGGAACGAAAAGAGTGTCAAAATTCCAGAACCCAGTTTCTACGTATTTGTTAGTTGGCATTTCAGTAAAACCCATAGAGAAGAAAATTTGTCTAAATTCTTCTCTAACTTTGTTTAATGGATGCAAAGCACCAGATTGTGGTGGCACACCTTGTGAGTTGAAATTATATGGTTTGAATTTCAAATCCTTGTATGAGTTTGTAGCGATCATATCGGAAGTTAAATCAGTTTCTAATTTAGTCAATTCAAGTGAAAAATCAGGGCCCTTTACAACATGAAAATCAGTTTCTTTTCTTGGAGTTACTAATTTTCTCTTCTTTAAATCGTTAATAGTTTTAGCATCTAATTGATTAGCTGGATTTTGAATGGCAATTAATTGATCTTTAGTCTCATCAGTCAATTGGGAGGTTATGTCTTCATTACCACTAGCGATTTTTTCAGATAAGACTAGTTCATTTTCAGGAGTCTTTTTAATCCAACCATTCTTGAAAGCACGAGCTTGGCCTACTTTACCATTTTGTGGGCCTAACTGAGTCATAACATCCTTTATTTGTAATTTACCCAATTTATTAATTAATTCAACTAATTTGACTTCATGAGATCCATTTTTGACGATATCTTTCCCCTCATTAGTCAAATCGTAATAGATAGTCTCAGATTTAGTGTAATCTAATTTAGAATGAGCTTTTAGAGAGTTCAAAGCGGATAAAACATCTTGAGATTTAATATCTGGGAAAACAGATAAAGTAGATTTGATTTCATTTAATTCATCTAGCTTCTTCAAAATATCTAGTTGGAATTGGGACATTGTTATGAGATTCCTTATAGACTGATGTATTGCTTGCTTCCTACGTTATACCAAGGGGTAACAATCACTGAGAATAATGGTCTCAATTAAGATCTACCTATAAACAGAAATAGAGAGTCCAAAAATAGTCATACTTGTCTATATAAACTTTCGAAGTAACAAGATGAAAAAAATATTTTTCAGCGATTCTTCGAGAAAATTGAGATGAATAAAACAAAGTAGAAAACAAAAAAAAATTGTTTCTTTTTTGAGATTTCTCGCAGTTTTAGAATAAAAAAGAAAGAAAGTGAGTTACCCGGAGAAGTTCTTCAAAAAAAGCAATTATGCATCTATACAATATTTTGAATAATATCTCTTGTGGTATCTCAATGAAAAAGTTATATTGAATGTGTGATGAAAGTTAACATTGCACATGTATATATACATATATACATCTATATAGTGTTGATGTCAGCAGTTAGTGTCCACTAAGAGTCTACTGAAATGCCTATGCTACTTTATTCTCTTCCTTTTTGTTTAATTTTTGATAATTATTTGCTTATTCTTTGCCTTTTTCTTGGATTTCTAAAAGTGTTAGTAGAAGATGTGGATTTGCGATTGCTGTTATTATTTTGCTCATTCAATTTGTCAGGACCCCATTCATTTTTACTATAAAGATCCAATTGTATATTTGCGTCTAATAGTAATTCTTTCAATTGGAACCATTTTTGCTGTTCACGTTGTATTTGTTTGTAATCTTTTATCAGATTTTGCTGTATTTTATAAAGGATAAAGAGTTGTTCATCTAATGACAATTGTTCTTCTTCACTTTTGTTTTCACTATTTTGTGAACTTGAACTAAAGGACTTTTGTAAAAACCTATCATTCAAGGTATCTATGAATTGATCATGCATCTTGTGTAGACTTGATCTGTAATATCGTGCTTTAATAGCGTCAATATCTTCATAATTGGGTGAATCCAGTATTGAAATATTACCTGGAGTATTTCTAATTACGTCGTAGTTAATCTTTGATATATCGTCTATATTAATTACATGTCTTTTCTTAGGAAACAAACTTGCTTTTGTATTAAGATTGTGTGTTGTGATAGTTGTAGTACTGTGATTATTAGCAGTGTCTTTATATTGTTTAAGGTTTTCAATATCTTTTTTATAATTTTTTATCGCTTGTGAAGCAAATTGTAATTGCTTATCATTCTGCAATAATTCGTTGTATTCTTTATCTAACGATTCTATTGTATTCATTATTTCAAACTTCTTTTAGTATATCTCCTTCCTTTTGATTGTTTATATTTTTTTTTTTTACATAAACGTTATCGATATGCTAAATAAACTGATTTATACTAGCACGAAAACTAAAATCAATTATAATGGTGTTTAATGGCCACGAAGTCACTTATTTTCTACTTCTTTTACTTTAATTTATGTTTGATTTTTTCTTTTTTTTTTTCGTTTTTCGTTGTTTTAAACCTTAACCTCTTTAATTTCTTTTTTTTTATTTTCTTATAATTAAAAAGAATGAAAAGTATATTGAAAAATGAACACTTGAAAATTTAATTTTACTTTGAAGTCATCCCATTATCTTACAGTGATGATGTAGAAGAGAGAAAAGAGTAAAAATTGAAACTTTTACAAGATGATTTTGACTGTCTTTTCTTTTTGCCTCATTATGTTCACTTTCATGAACCTTCCATATTTCATGTGTTTGCCTGGTTGTGTCAGCATCTTGCACGATCCACAACGTATGCAATAATAAAAAAAATTATAACATTGAGAAAATTGACATAGACTATTTTTTTTCCTTCTTGATTTTTTTAGTCTCTTTTTTGTTTTATGAGAATCGGGAAAAAAGGTCTGGGTTTTCCTGCTGGAAATAAAAAGATCAAAAAAAAAAACAAGATTAAAACAGCATTTATGCGGTGCAATTTGTCTTTTGAAAATAATACTACTATTGACGGGTATATATTCTTGAAATATTCCTTCACATAGAAAGTTCTATAAAACAAAATACCTTTAACGAGAAAGTTACGAATTTTTTATTGCAGTCTTAATGATATTAGCCTGAACAAATATATATATATATATATATATATTCTATAAACAATTGCTTAATCAACATTGAGTGTATAAAAAGATTGACTATGATAAATTGACTACCAGCTATCCTGGTAAAATTATATCTAAGTCTTTACCACTATTCTATTATATCTGTGACAAGCCTAATTATTTTTATAAAAAGAAAAGAATGAAGACATAAAAAAAGACAAGTTACCATTGACTTATGTCAATATAGTTAGTGATGTAAATGGATGGTTCAAAGATGTCTTCGTTATGTAAATCCTAACTCCACCTAATTATGGGCATTGGAAAATCCCAGGATAATGTCTCCTTGCCTAATTTTTCTCGTGGCGGTGTTATACGCGTCTTGTTTTTTAGTTTGTAACTTTCCGCTTCTGAATGTTTTTTTTCCAAAGGAACACCATTTTTCCAACATTATTATGCACTCGTACAATGCGTCGAATCGAAAGATAAGATCCATTTTCATTTCAAGGATTGGTCAAAAATATAAACAAACGTATCGGGAAATGTTAAGACTCAAGATTGAAATTTTGTTTATAATTTCTTAAAATTCTCTTGAAATGTTCATGATAATATCCGACTATCTTATCCCTAAGGGGAAAATTCATTGTTCGAGGACTGTTTTGTTGTGTCAACAATTACATAATCGCCTTTCTTTTTCTCCAAACAATGTCATTTGTAACAAAAACAACCACAGTTGTTATTATGTTCATTTTAGGAAAATTTTTAGATAAGACCATAATAATTGTTTTTTTTTGTTTTATTTTAACTTCTCAAGGAGTGGTTGTGGACAAGATTAGATAAGATTACTTATCAGGTAAGATCTGCAACTGTCAACCACATATTCTTTTTTTTTTATCTTTCTGTCTTTTCATTCTATTTCGACGTCTCACACTTTCTTTCTCTTCTAACTCAGTTATTTTCTCCTCTCATTTGTTTGTAGACTTTTTATTCTCTTTATTGAAACAATATCTTATTTTCGATGTAATATATTGTTGGTTTGACACAGTTTTACGTCGGTGTTTTTTTATTTGTTTATTTTTTTCTTTTTTAAATTAAGTTTCTGTACTTCAATGCAAAAAGAATAAAAAAAAATAGATTAAGAAAGAAAATAAAAGAATATGACAGTAATTATAAGAATAATAACAATAATTTTATTCTTAGCACAAGACTCATTTTTCTTCTCTTTGTTTTGTCTTGTTAATCTTATTTGGCGACACATTCCCCTGGGTTTATGTTTTTTCTTTTTTGTTTTTTCCTTTTCAACTGTTGGTTGAATATATGGATGCACATTCATTTTGGTTAAGACTCATAAGAAACTATATATATGCAAACCATAATTGTATTTGTTCGTATTTTATTTCTTTAATTAATAGAAAAGTAAACAGCTAAACGTAAAAACCAAATAAAAAAAATAATTAGGTCTTATTTTGTTTTTTTTCTTCTTCTTTCTAGTACCATTATTATTATTATCACTCTTCATCTTATTTTATCTATAACATTAATCAAAAGTCTGTTACTATAAAAAGTAAAACTAGGGAATACCATATTAGGATAAGTTATTTTCAACTAATAAGTATGAGGCATTCTGATCAAACTCTGTTATTCGATTCTTTCATGAATAGTCATCAAGATCAATCTTTAAATGTAAATAATTTAAATGTCTTTAAAAATAACAATAATAATTATAATAATAATCATAATAATAATCACAATGAGCATATTATTAATAATATTAATGTTGTTATTAATAGTAATGATAAAAACCATAATAAATTGATTGATAGAGATATTGCACCTACAACAAATTTAAACGTGGATAATTGGTTGAAGGAAGATATGGACATTTTTCAATTATATAGTAAAGCTAAACAAAATTTGAATCATAGTAATAGAATATTAAATCTAACTTGGAGAAGATATAAAGTTAGATTAAAACAAAATTGTGTAAATGGCGGCAATAAAATATCTCTAATTGATCGATATAGGGTAGAAAATTCGTTCCTTTTTCAAGAGTCTTCTGTTTTAAATCAGTTTGATGCCAATTCGGAATACCCTCTTTTAAACCGACAAAAGTTCAGTAATATTAATTACAATAATGGTTATTCAAGTAATCATGAAAATAATAATAACATTTTCATCAATAATGCTCATTCAATAGTTGATACAAACTCAAATTTTTTTATAGATGATGATAATTTCATCACTAGAGATAACGAGTTTGATATGTTTACAGAAGATCTTCCTTCTTCAGTACATGAGACTTTAGTGACTCCCTTACCTATGGATATACCACAATCTTTACCCAATCATATGCTTCATTATTCTAATAGTTTCGATCAAGATCATATATCTTCACCTTTCATTTTCCAGTATATGACACCATCAAGCTTAACTCCAACTCCAACAACCAGTTTTATTCCTACTCCATCTGTACCCTTGACCTCAACTACCAAAGCAGTAGTGTTTAACGATCCCGCAATTTTAAATAATGAGGAAACGATATCGATTTCTTTACCTGAGACGAACGATCTATTAAAACAAAAGAAATTTGGAGCAGCTGTTATATCGACAACGAAAAGACGGACAGCAACACGTAATAATAACAGCAATTCTTCTTCTGCACTGACTAAATGTTCTAATTGTGAAACATACAATACACCGCTCTGGAGAAAGGGTCCTGAAGGTAATTCTTTATGCAACGCATGTGGGTTATTTTTGAAGTTGCATGGGGTGATGAGGCCATTATCCTTGAAGACCGATACAATTAAGAAGAGACAACGTAATACGAATTCTAATAATACAAATAATACAAAAAAAAACTACAACGTCAAAAAAGTTGTAGGTAAAGATAAAATCAATCTAAATTGGTTGAATATTAATCTATGATACATAAATTCTAATTAATATATACTTACACAAATGCATATACATGTGTATATGTTAATTTTTTGTATTTCGTTAAAACGTTTGCTTGTTTAGAGTTATATATTGTCTCTTTGTTAGCCGATTTCACTCTATATAATCTTTTGATTTTGAATAAAATGTCCTCTAACATAAATTAGATTATTTTTTAAGTAATTTTAAATGAAAAATTTGTAAATATATATATATAGTCAATAGGAGAGATAAAAGAAAAAAAGAAATGTAAAAAAAGGCTGGAACAAAATAAAAATAAAGAAAGAACAGTATAGCATTACATAGGTATATATATAAGTTTTCTAAAAAGAAAAAGCTGACTAATATTGCGTTGTTATTATCTTTACTTATAGCTAGGAGAGAACTCAATCAATTTAAAAAAGATTATAGGAAGGGGGTTTCAATATGGTTTCGACTCCAGAATTAAAAAAATATATGGATAAAAAGGTCATGTTAACAATAAATGCTAAAAGGAAAATTGCAGGTGTATTAAAAGGTTATGATCTATTTTTGAATGTTGTTCTTGAGGATGCCATCGAAATTATACAGCTAAGTAATAGTCAAGGCTCGCCTATCCATAACAATTTGGGTCAACAGACTGTAGTAAGAGGGAATTCTATCATAGCAATGGAACCATTAGATACAGTAATATAGAGTTGTGTAAAAGAGAAAAACTAGAAAATATACATATATATGATAATGTATAAATAGATTTAAAAAAAAAAGAAAGAAAGAAAATAAAAGATAGAAGATATAAATAATAAGTAAGCGTGAATTATTTTCTGATTTGCATTTCAACACCATGTTGATCGAAGTTACATTTTTCGTAGAATCCGATGTTCTTTTCTTCACAATCCAGGATCACTTTGTAACAGCCATTGTTTAAACCATATTGTGATAGGTAATTGATTAATTTCTTGCCTAGTTTCTTGCCTTGGAACTTAGCATTTACAGCAATGTCCTCGATATGACCAGTTAATGCACCACCATGAATCAATTTTTGTTCAATGAAGATAGTTCCTACAGCAGCTACTTCACCTGTTTCGTCACCATTGTCATTGACAGGAACTATAACAAAGCAGTTGTATACAGGAGAACCACATTCAGGTAGTTTATAGGTGGACCAGTATTCTAAAACTTTGTCAAATTTTTCTTGGCTTAATGGCTCCACTTCAGTTAAAAAATTTAAGGCTTCTTTGACCTGTTGGAAATCTTTAGTTGTAATTCGTCTTATTTGAAAATCATTACTATTGCTTGACATTTTATATAATATCTTTTTAAATGGTCCTCAACGCTGTTTTCTGTTGTATGTTAGTCTTGAATGATTCACATTGATATGTTCCTAATTACCAACTCATTTAGTATTGCTAAAGAAACGTATATAACTTTCGGTATGTTACCCTCAAGTAAAAGTGAATGTAGGAAAAAATTACTAGATAGATAATTCTATAAAATTGGAGCTAAAACAAAGCAAGTTATGAGTATCAACAGAGAATGACAGTAATTTTGAAGAATTGTAGCCTGTGGTGCACCTCTATCCTCTCCCTTGATGATCTTTTACTCTGGTAAGTGTCGTAGCACTCTAATGACCATTTTCAAATTCTTGCAGCAGAAAATGTTACTTGCCACGACATTGTATTATTAATATAAAGATAGAAAGGTACAGGGTGTATATAATATTTCATGGTATAAAACATTTCTGTTAGATATCATTTCAATTACTTTTATAAAAAGAAAATTTTGTAACATGCTATTACCTAAGGGAAACTTATCTATGGTTTGATAGTTATGGAATACAACGGTAAATGGAAATTTTACTTTGAAAAAGATTAGAAGATGTCATTGATAGACGAACAAGAAAGAGAATCATACAATTTGGATATCATCTGTTTATTTTAGTCTTTTTTTTTACTTATAATTTCAAGCCTATAACTAGTTTTATCTATCTCAGTTTAGTACCACATGACTACCTTATTTTGTTGAACTATTGTATGTAATACTATATAATAAACAAATATTAAGACACCGTTTGGTTTAATCAATCTTGGTATTACTGTAGAGAGTCTTGCAAAAATACTTTGATCGATGACGACGTTCTTACTCTTTTATGTTTTAAAAAACATTATCTATGGCAGCTTATTTTTTTAGCTAAACCACACCTTATATAGAATGTATTCATAAATTATATAGAAAGGATAGCAAGTAAGAACCATTTATTGTATCTTTCGTTATGGAAACTTACGATTCTAATGTTATGTCTTCCTCTATGACAATTAAAGTTAAATAGCGCACTTATATGAAACAGAAATAAGCAGATTACCCAAGCAAAAAAAGCCCTGTAGGGGGCTCGAACCCCTAACCTTATGATTAAGAGTCATACGCGCTACCGATTGCGCCAACAAGGCCTTACCCATTGAAATCATGTTGTAGTATGGTGTGGTGAAGTCCTTTGTGTATTCCAGGGAAGCGCAAATAATATTAATAGTAATTCAAATAATCGAGACAGTAATCAACTATAGTCGATAGTATAATTACTAAACGGTCTTATATATTAAGCGGCTTATATCGAGCTAATGTACTTATTCGAAGTTACTTGACTTGTTACTTGCTTGTTATTCTCCTTTTGTTCATACATAATATATAAATTATTTACAAGAAACGGTTATGGAAGATGATCTTTTATCTCCTGAAAACGTTGTCCTTTTATATGTTTTCTGGAGCTCGATCGATTATTCAGATTACTACATTAATGACTTGACTGATTCAAACCCTAAAATTTATTATATTAATTTAGGTGCACTACTGGATTAGAACTGCATCCCAATTCTCTAATCATGGTGATTAGTAATACACGTGGGACTTAATAAAACAATAGGTAAATTCTAGATTTGCCAAGATCTTATGTAATCCAATCTTTTTATTATGCAGCATCTAATGTTGTAGCACATGTAAGGCTTATTAATACACTAATTGGTTCTAGATTCATTCAGGATCTTATGTAATCTTGATGGTTATAACTATTCTATTCCACAACATCTTCCTCTCTCTCTTGGGAACCTTGTTTCCATAATTGTACGAAATTGTCAATTAAAGATTGACCAATATTTGTTGGGAGTAAGTTAAATTCTTCTACTGGATATTCTACTGTAATAGTCGGATCAACATCTTCCATATGACAATAAAACACTTTGTTATCTTTATCGTAACCGACTACATTAATAATTTCATGTACTCTTAATTTCCTTTCGGCAGCAGTATTAGGCGGATCTTTTGGATAGCGGTCTTTTCTACGTTTTAACGGTTTTAGTTTTTCAACATTAATAACTCTGTGAGTCTTTTTCATCGAAGGTAAATCTAATTCGTAAGCATTGTCATTTATTTTCTTAACTACCTTAAATGGGCCAACGTATATGGGTTGTAGCTTTAGATATTGACCTCTCTTAAAATAAGCATCACGATGTAGCAGTACAAAATCACCAATTTCAAAGGTAACTTCCTTCCTCCCTTTGTTATGTGTAACTTCCATGTTGATCTGATTCTCAGTTAAGAAATCTTTTGTGCGTAAAGTAAGTGCTTTCAACTTTGTGGCTAGTTCTTGTGTTGAATCATGACGGGAAGAAACAGCATCTCCTGTAACTATGATTGGTTCATTAGGGATGTATCCAATATCTACTTCAAAAGGAGCTGTCTTGGTTACGCGATTGGGAGTAGAGTTATAGACGAATTCGATGTGAGGAAGTAAACGATCCCATTGTCTATGATTGTTACCAGTATAAGTCTTTAATAACCTATTAAGGATCTGTATTGTACGTTCAGTTTGACCATCTGTTTGTGGGTGATTTGCTGTGGACATTTTCAATTTTATATTCAACCTTTTTGCCATTTCTTGGTATTCTGTAGAGGTAAAACGAGGGTCTCTATCTGAAGTAATGGAATATGGAAATCCATGGTAAGCGAAAATATAACGGAATAAAGCATTAATAACGGAAGTAGTATCAAATGGGTAACTACCAGCAATTAAGTGAGTTCTTTTTGAAAACATGTCGACTACAACCATAATCATGTCGTTACCTTGTTCTGATTTAGGTAAACCAGATACAAAATCTATGCTAATATTTAACCATCGACCTTCGGGAACTTCAGAAGGCATCAATAAGCCCTGTCTATTAGGGCGATGAGATTTAATCAACTGGCATTGTATACAGGAAGAGACATATTCATTAACAGAGTGGTGTAATTTTGGCCAATAATAACGACTTGCAATTTTATTGTATGTAACGGTTGAACCGAAATGACCACCATAAAGGCCATGGTCGTGATATATTCGAAGGACTTCATTTCGTTTAGCGTCGGGAACAACATAGCGTTCTTTAAAGTAAATAATATTGTCATTAATTGTAAAACAATGGCGAAAGGTTCTTGATAAGTTCAATTTCTTCATATATTTCTTGAACAATGATGAGTTGCAAATGGGTAAGTCTTTTGTATCAAGTTTGGTAATATAAACAAAACAGGCAGCACATAATGGGTCGGCTAGGTATTCTTCGTACCAATTTTTCGGATCTAATGTGACGGCAGCATTTTCGATAGCAGCAATATTGTAATCTGCTCTGGAAATAGCATCAGCTACTACATTCTTTGGACCTGCTAAGTATTCTAGTTTAAAATCATATTCGGCTAATTCATTTAACCATTTAATTACTCTACGAGAGGGTTCTTTGTTCTTTTGTGCCGTTAGTAAACTAATATGGTCTGTTCTCAATATAAAATGCATGCCATGAAGCATATATTTAAAATGTGATAAGGCTTCGACAATGGCTAGGAGTTCAAGATCTCCAGCAGAGTAATTTTTTTGAGCGCCTTGTAAAGTTTTTGAAAAATAACCCACGACCCCGAGAATTTTTCCTTGCTCATTCACTTCTTCGAGTACAGCACCTAATCCATTCTTTGAAGCGTCGGTTGTTAATCTGTAATGACCATCGTGTTTAAAGGAGACTAATATTGGGTTTGAGATTAGGTGTGACTTTAATGTGTTAAAGCTCTCATCTTGATCCGTCGACCACTTACTTTTACCATGTATGTAATCCTGAATCGGTTGTTGGATGTGAGAGCAGCGGGGTATAAAGCGTCTATAATAGTTTATCATACCCAAAAATCTTTGAGCTTCTTTAATTGTTCTGGGAGTGGGAAATTGTTCTATAGCTGCACATTTCGAGATCAACGGTTGGATTTTATTAGCAGAGATAGTGTATCCCAAAAATTCAACAGATTTAGCGGCAAAGTTACATTTTTTCTTTTTTACAATTAATCCTTCTTGAGTTAACCTTTGCAATACGATGTCTATATGTTTCCAATGTTCATCAACGGAACGGGAGTGAATTAAAATATCGTCGAGGTAAACACAGACATATGGTAAGTCCCTAAATAAATCAGCCATATAACGAGCAAACGTGCTTGGAGCATTAACGAGACCAAACGGCATGACGGTATATTCATACTTTCCATTAGGAGTAACAAAAGCGGTTTTGAAACGATCGTCCATTTTCATAGGTATTTGGTGATACCCTGAGTGGAGGTCCAAAGTTGAAAAAATGGTTGAAGAGCCAATCTTGGCCAATAGGTTGTCGATTCTAGGTAATGGAAACGGGTCTTTGATTGTCACAGTATTTAGAGCTCTGTAGTCCACACATAAACGATATGTACCATCTTTCTTTTTAACTAGAACCACTGGTGAACTACAGGGTGACTTGGAGGGTACAATGAATTTCTTTTCGAGAAGGTCGGCAACGATCAGGTTTATCTCTTGTTCTATTTTTGGTGTCGTCTGATATGGCTGTCTTCTAGGCAGGCGTGCACCCGGCTTAATTTCGATCTCGTGTTCAACCTTTGGAGGTTCAGCGAATTTCTTAGGTGGTAAATCATCGCGGACTGTAGCAGAATATTTCTCTTTTAACCAGCGAGGTAGTTTATCAAATCGATCATCTGTATCTGTTTCAGAAATCTTTATAGCAAACACAGCAGCAGCATTTTCAACATCTAATTCTTCGGTATCATTCTCGGTAAGTACGGATACAATGTATTCAGGGACCGGTTTCTTGTTATTTAATATCTTGTGGAGCAGCGGGTGAGATGATATAATCGGGTGTCCTATTATGATTTCAAAAGTAATAGCATCAGTTATGTATACGGGTGTTTTAATTTTTATGTCATCGAGTTCAAGTAAAATTTCGGTGGATTCGTTAGTGTATGACGATTCGGATGATACAACACCTCTAAAACGGAATGGCGGAGCGGTAGAACGTGTTAACTTGAGGTTGTCAGCAATATCGGCTCTAATAAATGATGTGGGGGAACCAGTATCCACTAAAACATTGACAGGTTTTTCTTTAATAAACATTTTAATTTGGCAACTGTTGCCTACGAGTGGATGGGGAGCGGACACGATGGGAGCTAGTGTGACGGTTTTGTTGTAGAATTGTTTTTCATTTGGGACTGCTCGCCTTACGGTTAGGGCAGTCACTGTAGCGGTGTAATGGCTTGTAACAATAGAAACATAAACCATGATCAATACAATATTGACGAGAGGGACGCTTAATTGGTTGTTTGTTTGCTTGGGAAGATTTGTGATTTCCCTTTCTGCCCCCTCTTCCGTGTGAACGATAAACAGCAGCAACTTGAGGATGATGATCAGTAGTAGAGTCCATAGGGACTGGGTTAAGAGCAGCGGTCATATGGATGTCTCCATCCATATCATAGGTGGTGAAGGTAGGAAATGAACGGTTGGTGATGGAAACTGTTTCACTGGCAGCTTCCATAGCAGCATCAACAGTGGTAGGGCGAGCTAGAGCTACCATACGGGCAGTATCAGGAGTAAGACCGCGATAATAAAAAAGTAATTCTCCCTTGGGAGTCCAAATGTTTGAAGGCATCAAAGCTAATAGTTGTGAAAACTTTTGATTATAAGCGTCAATGCCAACGGTAGCTTCCTTCAAGCGTTGGAACGCATTGAGGATGGCATGAGGGTCGATCATACCAATAAACTTATTTTTAAAATCCACAAGGAATTGTTCATAGGAATGTTGGTCATGATTACGGATCCATTGGACATACCATTGAGCAGCGGGTCCAGTTAAGTTTCGGCCAAAAAAAGCTATACGATCCACATCTGTTTGGAGGTTTCGAGCATAAAGTTGTGCTTCGACAGTAACAAGGAAATCTGGTAGTTTAAATAAATCATAGCGACCAGAGAAGCGCATTGGAGCAGTACTGTAGTATTTGGAATCGGATGGGACTGGAGCAGGAGCAGAAGTAGGGTCAGCGGTTAGGTTAGTAGTTGGAGCAGGAGTAGTGGTTGGTGCGGTGGTATGATGTTCTGTAGCCGTAGATGCATCAATAGCGTCTAAAAATTCGTTCATATTTAAATTATTCGAGGACATGATGAAATAAACGCTACCAGTTGTTGTAGTATGGTGTGGTGAAGTTCTTTGTGTATTCCAGGGAAGCGCAAATAATATTAATAGTAATTCAAATAATCGAGACAGTAATCAACTATAGTCGATAGTATAATTACTAAAACGGTCTTATATATTAAGCGGCTTATATCGAGCTAATGTACTTATTCGAAGTTACTTGATTTGTTACTTGCTTGTTCTATTTTGTTTATACATAATATATAAATTATTTACAAGAAACGATTATGGAAGATGATCTTTTATCTCCTGAAAACGTTGTCCTTTTATATGTTTTCTGGAGCTCGATCGATTATTCAGATTACTACATTAATGACTTGACTGATTCAAACCCTAAAATTTATTATATTAATTTAGGTGCACTACTGGATTAGAACTGCATCCCAATTCTCTAATCATGGTGATTAGTAATACACGTGGGACTTAATAAAACAATAGGTAAATTCTAGATTTACCAAGATCTTATGTAATCCAATCTTTTTATTATGCAGCATCTAATGTTGTAGCACATGTATGGCTTATTAATACACTAATTGGTTCTAGATTCATTCAGGATCTTATGTAATCTTGATGGTTATAACTATTCTATTCCACAACAAATCATGTTGTATAATAGAGAGGTAACATCATCAAGATTATGTAAGATTCTATCTGAATTTAAGGTTATCTATTGTGTTTTAAATACAACGTGTCCGTTTGCCACCTAGTGTACAGAGTATATATTTGCCACCTGTTTTGTCCAGCGTGTTCACACATCTCTGTTACTGCGCCACCATAATCTATTGTCCTAAATGTTCTATGATCTTCGATTATATTATTGTAACTAATAATAAAGATATGGATTACTAATTCATCAATATATCAAGTTGAATAGTTGATCGAGTTCCAAAAAACATATAAAAGGATAACATCTTCTGTAGATGGAACTATCTTCTGTCACTCCTCTCTTATACATAATTTATATATATTATTGTTGGAATTTGAAGCCCTTAGCATCCATGGTAATGGAAGACATTATTAAGTTATAGATACTTGTTGTGTTTTGTACTAAATACATGTATATACTTATTATATAGTGTATTCAGTATACATTCTTTTATTTACTTTAAGTTTTCTTTTAAAGTTTTTTTTATTTCTCTTCAAATCTCTGAAAAACATATTTGGTGAAAAATAAAATGGTTTTCCATATATTATGGTATATTCGTACACCACATAATATACAGAAAGACTAATTAAAAATAATTCTTATGGAAATGGCAGTAATAAACTCTCATTTTCCAACAATTATATATAGAAGAACAACGCAACAATCAACCAGCATCGAACGCAGAATACAATAAGCAAATAGCATAATTATATAAGCTCGGTATAGTCGTTAATATATAAGACCGTATTAATAATTGCATTACCGATTGTATCAATTATGGTCTCAATTATTAATAAATTATCCGTTTGATATTTCTAGCACTTCCCCAAATAATACTAAAAAATCTGACCACATTATATTACAACAAATCATGTTGTATAATAGAGGAGTCATCACCAACAAGATTACATACGATTCTGAATGAATCTGGAATTATCTATTGTTTTAATAAGTCACACATGTATTACTAATGGCCATAATAATTGTGCTGTTTACCAGTAGTGCACCCAAATATTATAACTAGCGAATTGGGGTACAGTTACTAATTCACTAGTGTACCTGAATTAGTGTAATAAATTTTAGGGTTTGGATCACTAAGCTCGTTAATGTACGAATCTGAATAATTGATCCAGCTCCAGAGAACATATAAAAGGACAATATTTTCTGAAGATAAAGAACCAACTTCCATAACTTTTTCTTGTAAAGAATTTATATATTATATATAAATATAAATAGAACAACAAGCAAGTAACAAGTCAAGTAACTTCGAACAAATATATTAGCTCGATAAAAGCCGTTCAATATATAAGATCGGTTTAGTAATTATATTATCGCCTATAATTGATTACTGTCTCGATTATTTGAATAACTATTAAAATTATTTGCGCTTCCCTGGAATACACAAAGAATCTCACCATCTCATATTACAACATATCAAATGGAATATCTTGTTCACTTTATAATACTATGTGAATCGCTTTTGTTGAAGAATACACTGTAAATTATATTTAGTACAATTTAAGAAGTTCTCCTTCTACGAGTAAGTATCTACTACTGATTAGCCCAAATATCTATATTGTTCTTCTACAAATTTGCTTGGTAAAAAGTTCACGTGATTACACCCATACATCCCACATAAAAGGATTTTTGTCTCGAATAAAATTGGTCGAAGCTATTGAAAAATGATTTTTTTGTTTTTGTTTTTGTTTTTTGCTTCGAACATTCATCGAGTAAACGATCCTTTGAAAAAATTGTTTGCAGGAGGCACTTATACATGAAGAGGGGAAAGGTGAAGAGTTGTGTTAAGACTTTGTCACCTGCAGCATTGGACAGGGGCTCACTCAGGGATTACTAATGGAATCTCTGATTGCTTTATATAATATATAGAACAATTATGTCTAAAACAATAGAAAATAAGCCACTTTTTCTATTGTTTTATCTCTTTTTTAAATTTTATAGCAATTTCGAAATTTGAAGATGAAAAAAAAAAAAAAAAAAAAAAAAGAAAAGAAAATTGTGATTTGAGTAAACAAAAAAATTGACAAAAAATAAAATGTAATTCGCACTGAAATTCCAACTTTTTGAATAATATTTATCTTCAATTAACATGTATTAATTGTTATTCTCAGTTAGCAGCAAGTTCTTGCTGATATACTATACCGGTAGAGACTAAATTATCTTGAGTGTCTCACCTAGTTTCTTCAGAAAGGGATCAACGTACCTGTTCATTTATCTTCAAAGTCCTTGTTTCTGTTGTGTTCTCTTCTAGTTTCGTCGTATATACAAGTATAGCGTTTCACTAGTACTTTTTTTTCATTTTGATTTGGATCATTAAGATAATATTAAATCATAAAAGACTTAATATAGATAGTCATTATTAAGCACCCACTCCTACAATGAGTGATAATCCATTTACAAGTTTTTTTAATAATGGAGGACAGGAATCAGAACCTTCAGAAGATAATTTAGATTTGTTAAACGCTACTAGCGAAGCATTATCACAACCCAATGCATCTTTAGAGTATTGTACATTATCAATTCAAGAGACTATTCAGAAATTGAACACTGATCTACAAAAGGGGTTGTTATCGATGGATGATGTGGAACGAAGAAGAGCAATCTATGGTGCCAATGAAGTCACTTCTGAATCAGATGAAAGTTTGTTCAAGAAGTTTTTAGAAACGTTTATTGAGGATAGACTAATCCTACTATTAATTGGATCAGCTGTTGTTTCTGCGCTTATGGGTAACTTTGACGATGCAGTAAGTATTACTTTGGCAGTTGTGATTGTTGTAACGGTGGGTTTTGTTCAAGAATATAAATCCGAAAAATCTTTAGAAGCCTTGAATAAATTGGTTCCAGAAGAGTGCCATTTAGTAAGGTTTGGTAAAGAAGCAAAGACTTTAGCATCCACATTAGTTCCAGGAGATTTAGTTCATTTCAGAATCGGTGATAGAATCCCTGCTGACGTAAGATTAGTTGAGACTTATGAATTATCGATTGATGAATCCAGTTTGACTGGTGAAACGGAACCAGTGCATAAATCTGCCAAACATATTTCAGCTGAATCTTATTCTGGTTCCGTTATTCCAGTTGCCGATAGAACATGTATTGCATACATGGGGACTCTGGTCAAAGAAGGGCATGGTAAAGGTATTGTTGTTGGCACTGGTAAAAATACTTCTTTTGGCGCAGTTTTTGAGATGATGAATAATATTGAAAAACCAAAGACTCCATTACAACATTCTATGGATAAATTAGGTAAAGATTTGTCTCTTTGTAGTTTTGTGATTATTGGGTTCATATGTTTGATCGGTATTCTGCAAGGTCGTTCTTGGTTAGAAATGTTCCAAATTTCAGTTTCTTTAGCTGTTGCTGCCATTCCAGAAGGTTTGCCTATTATTGTCACCGTTACCTTGGCCCTTGGTGTATTAAGAATGGCTAGAAGAAAGGCCATTGTTAGAAGGTTACCAAGTGTAGAGACTTTAGGTTCTGTGAATGTGATTTGTTCAGATAAGACAGGGACCTTAACGTCCAATCATATGACTATTTCCAAAATGTGGTGTCTTGGTAGTATGTCCAATAAAACTAATATGTTAAATGTCATTAAAAATAAGAACTCTTTGAAAAATTATTTGACTGAAGATGTTAAGAATACTTTGATTATTGGTAATTTGTGTAATAATGCAGTATTTTCTAATGAGCATATGAAATACTTGGGTAATCCAACCGATATTGCCTTACTGGAGCAATTGCAAACATTTGGAATGAAGGACATTAGAAACACAATGACAAAGTTAGATGAAGTTCCATTTAATTCAAAAAGAAAATTCATGGTTACAAAAATGATGGATAGTAATGGTAAAGTTACAATTTATGTTAAAGGTGCATTTGAAAGAATATTGGAACGTTCTAATATGTATGTTAAAGAGAATGGGAAATTCGAAAAGTTAGCTGAGGAAGATAGAAAAACTATAATGGATTGTGCTAACACCTTAGCTTCAGAAGGTTTACGTGTCCTGGCACTTGCTCAATTGACTTTAAAAGACGGGAATAAGGAAGAAAAATTGACTGAAGAAATAATCTCCAATTTGGTGTTCAGTGGGTTGATTGGTATGCAAGATCCTCCAAGACCTACTGTAAAACCAGCTATTGAACAATTGTTACAAGGTGGTGTTCATGTTATTATGATTACTGGTGATTCTGTTAATACTGCAATTAATATTGCAAGGCAAATTGGTATTCCTGTTGTTGATCCAAAATCATCTGTTATATCAGGTGTAGAATTAGATGAAATGACTGATGACCAATTAGCTAATGTTATAGATCATGTAAACGTTTTTGCAAGGGCTACACCGGAACACAAATTGAGCATTGTTCGTGCATTGAGAAAGAGGGGTGATATAGTGGCTATGACTGGTGATGGTGTTAATGATGCCCCAGCTTTAAAATTGGCTGATATTGGTGTTTCTATGGGTAAAATGGGTACAGATGTTGCTAAAGAAGCCTCTGATATGGTGTTAACAGATGATGATTTCAGCACTATATTGACAGCCATTGAAGAAGGTAAAGGTATATTCAATAATATCCAAAGCTTCTTAACTTTTCAATTATCCACATCCGTGGCTGCTCTATCTTTGATTGCATTGTCTACAACATTTAATCTACCTAACCCCTTGAATGCAATGCAAATTCTTTGGATCAATATATTGATGGATGGTCCACCAGCACAATCGCTTGGTGTAGAACCAGTTGATCATGAAGTAATGAAAAAGCCTCCTAGAAAGCGTTCTGAAAAGATTTTAACCAATATTGTTTTAAAAAGATTAATTGGTACAGCATTATGTATTATTTTTGGTACAACCTACGTGTTTGTTAAAGAGATGGCAGAAGATGGTAAAGTAACGGCAAGAGACACTACAATGACTTTCACATGTTTTGTATTTTTTGATATGTTTAATGCCTTAGCATGTAGACACGCTACCAAATCTATTTTTGAAGTTGGTTTTTTTACTAACAAAATGTTCAATCTAGCAGTCGGGTTATCTTTGTTAGGTCAAATGTGTGCTATCTATATACCATTTTTCCAGAATGTCTTTAAGACTGAAGCATTAAGTTTAATGGATCTAGTGTTTTTATTGGCAATCAGTAGTTCTGTTTTTATTTTTGATGAATTGAGAAAATATCACTATAGAAAACAAGCTGAGTCATATTTCTATTCTGTCGTTTAGAAAAATAAATATAGAAATGAACTATATTTTTATTATCTCTATGTTTATATACTCTTTTGTAATTTACATCCTTCATACGCATATGAAATCAAATATAAAAAGAATCTAATTATATGTATACTTTAATAAGAAATGAGACACGTTCAATTATTTGCAATAGATTAGATATATATATATATATATATATAATATGTACTAGTTTAAAACGGTAAACAATGTCCCCCCGCGGCTTTTTCTAGTCTATTCATTATTGCAAGCCCTTGGTTATCTTCATTAATTCCTTCTACAATAATTAAATCTACATTATCTTCTTCATCTACTTGTCTTAGTGTAGAAAATAGGTTTGCTTGAATCTCCTCACCTTTGATACCCAGTCTCTTTATAATAAATTGATGTGTTTGAATAAGATCATTTGAAAACCAAGCAGATTGATCAGTTATGTTATCTAATTGCTGAGTAGTCAGAATGGCAATTTTATTGTAACCTTTGCCGTGATCTTTAATTATTTTTTCTAATAGGGTAACTTTATCGGTGTTATTATTGAGTTTTGATGTAGGTATTAGTAGTATAACACTTGCAGACGGTGAATAATGTTTATATTTCATTCCTGGAGTTCTAACATGTTCATTTTTTTTTGCATGTGTCTCGACTTGACAGCCAGACCATTCATCTCCACCTAAAGACACAATATTTTCGTAGGTCAGACCACCTGGTCTTAGTAATTTAGGAGGGGTACATAAGCCATCAATAACAGTAGATTCCACGCCCACAGAACATGATCCTCCATCTAGGATTAAAGGTATCTTGCCATGTAAATCATGCCATACATGTTGTGCTTTTGTTGGAGATGGCCTTGTTGAAGCATTAGCAGAGGGTGCAGCAATTGGTGTATCACTGATTGCAATTAAAGCTCTAGCTACAGGATCGGAAGGCATTCTGACTGCAAAAGTTGGTTGATTCACAGTGGTCAACTTAGACAACGCAGAAGATTCAGGGACATGTAGAAGGATAGTCAATGGACCTGGCCATAATTTCTGTATTAAACCATGGTATATTTTCGGAATATTTCTTAATGGATCTATATTCGGACCACTTTTGTAATCATTAAATATTTTTCTATTCAATTGATCAATAGAGGATATATGTGATATTAACGGATTATCATTTGGTCTATTTTTAGCTTTATATATATTACTGACAGAATTATCATTTAGTGAGGAACCCCCTAACCCATAAACGGTTTCTGTAGGGAATGCTACATTATCATCTGTATTTTTAATTATGTTAGCAGCTTCATTGATAGCATCTTCTGTAGATTTATCTTTTATTTTAGGTAAGGATCCGGTCAACCATGAATCTTTTGAAAATTCAATTGATTTTGGATTAACTTTTAGTATTTTTGTATGCATTAGTCGGTTCAGCAGTCTTTTTATCATATAAATGCAAAAAAGAAAAAAAAAAAGATAATAAGAATATATAAAGAAAAAAAGAAGAAGTCTGGTATATAAAATATTGCTAATTGTAATTCACTCTTTTGTTTAACTTCATTTCATCTAGAAAATAAATATTTAAAATTCATAATAAATATACTTATCATGCATTCACTAGTCGAGAGAGTGAGAACTGTATTACTAATTTACCATATATTTATTCTTTTCACTATGTTTTCGGCATCGCAAAAATTCGATCAAATTTAAATTTTTCCAAAAAAAATAAATGAAAAAACAATTTACAAGAAAAATGCACCCGTTCAATTTTTGGATGGTTCATTATTTGTAACATCTCATTTTTTACGGTCAGGGAAGTGGAAGAAAATAAGATCAAAAAGAAGAGTCTTCGAGAAAAATTAAGCTATTGAAAGGAGGAAATTCTTTTTTTATAGTGAGACGTATTACTAACGAGACATACAGTTGGAAGCGTAAAGCATACTCCTTTGATAGGTTTGTATTAAGTGTCAAACCAAAAGTGAAAGAAGAAAAGTATCATTGATAAATATATATATATATATATATATATATATAGCAATTAAATATTAAATACAGAAATAACAGAACAATGTCTACATATGTAAATGATGGATTAGATGGTGTTGATGATTTTACAATTCCTCATGATGAAGAGGATTTGTTAGAAAATTCATTTGAACAGGCGCATGCAGTTAATAATCAAGTGCTTAGTACGAATGGAACTACCACGGTTAATAGAAGTGGTTTAAATTCTGGATTACTGAACTATTATAGTCAGTATTTTCATTCCACAGAATTTCTTTTGAGAGTTAGATTGACAATTTTGAATAAAGATTTAAATGAAATTGAGGATTTTTATGGGTTTACTTGGTTAGTTATGTCATGTGCGTTAATGAAGATGGTTACTAAGACATTTTTTGAATTAATAGCTGTACAATTAATCCAGGGGATTCAAATGGAACATGATTCAAATAAGGATATTAATTTAATGTTTCATACGTTATGGATATTTATATTATTTGATATGTTAGGGTCTTTTTTAATGTCATACAAGTTAAAGTCAAATGGGCCAATAAAATATGTGTCTGTTTTGAGTATTATCGGGTATAGTAATGTCAATTGGTTGGTATTATTCCCTATTGTAGATTTTATCAACTATCTTTTACCAAATGGTACAAGTTTCATAATAAGAAATGGTATAACATTATTATTTTTTATACTAGTTTTATTAAAAATTATTCATTTTCTTTGGGTACAAAGTCTTTGGACACTAGATTTCACTAATAAGATACTCATAGCAACAATTCAAATTTTGAAAATGTTTATAATTAAATTAGTTTTATAAACTTTAGTGTAATAATCGTTAAAGGACACAAGAGATACACAACACATAAATATCTATATATTATTGTTTATATATATCTGTGTATTTATAACTGTATGTGTACCTTATATTTAAATGTCTATTATTGCAATGGTATCAATTGGAAGCCTGCATTTTGATAATCATTAATTGTTAAGTCGTAAATTGGCATGTTTTTATGCATGGAAGGGTTTGAAGAGGAAGCAGAGGAGGTTTGTGATATCATATGGATTTTAATCTTGTTGAATTGGTTTATATCAGGACGTGAAAACCCTCTTGCAAACTTACATGATGTTGGACCAGATTCGGAATTTTTATATTTCCTCTTATTACATGATGTGCAAGACTGGAAAATTATTAGTTTATCCAAGTGTTTAACAACGACTTGATATTCGGGTTCTTGAGTAGTACTGGGGCTATCATCACTTGCAGCGGCGGTTGGAGAAGGGGAGGAAGAAAAAGAGGAGTTATTATTACATTTATTGTTGGATTTTGTTATTGGTATATTACAAATGGTGTAAGGTAATTTGACACCAAATAGGTGACTCCAGTTTTTATTGAACATTTCAATATCTTGATCTGTTAAGGTATAATGTAGATGTTCATTAAACATCCCCACGATTCTTGAATCCTTTAGGATGATCTCTATGGATGCATTGCACTTAATTTTTTTGAGACGGCATTTATCGCAACTTGGACCAATTCTTTGGCGTTTCTTCGATGAGGTGCCTTGTTGTTCAGCCAATTTTTCATAATATTTAGAAGGATATGAGTTTCTTCCTGTAGAAGCCATGACAACACCATTATTGCTATTATTATTATTGTGGTTGTTCATAGAATAGGAATTATTGGTATCTATTGATGTTGATGGTGTACCTGGTTTGGTTGGTGGCGGAGTAAGGATATCGTCATTAGACAGTATTTTGGTTCTTTTCTTTTTTCTTTTGGTGGTTGTGGTAGTTGCGTTAGTGGGAATCCCATTATTTGAAGGAGAGGTTGATGTGGTATTGTTAGAATCGGCAGGTTTATTTATGATGGAACCCTCGTTAGTCATTGACAACCTTGGTATGTTAGTTGCCAATCTTGCCAAATTATCCAATGGATTGTTGGAAACAATTGGATTATCCGTTTTAATGTTGTCGGTAAGTATATTGATATTAGTTACAGCTGTATTAATAACAGACGATGTATTATCATAAGTAGTTGTGATAATTGGGGCAATGGGGCCAATAGGTCCAATGGGGATATTATTATAATTGTGTGATGACGATAAAGAAGGTAGCAATAGAGGTGGTCTATTTCTATCTGAGTTATCTAATAAAAAACTTGTTGTCATGATGTAGTATGGTATATTACAAATAAGTAAAATATCAGATCAAAGCATAATATTTTTTTCAATAGGCACCAAATCAAAAAAAATGAAAAAAATAAAAAGAAAGAAAGAAAGAAAGAAAGAAAATGCAATTAATATGTGGTTGAATGTAAATAGATATGCAGAGCTTAGAAAAGAACAAAATTAGGATGAGAAGAAATAAATTTTCTATAATATTAATATAAGTATATGTTTAAAAAAAAAAAAAGAAAGAAAAAAGAAGAAATAGAAATAGAAATAGAAAATAGTACACCACTTCTTTTTTGTGTCTTTTATTTTTTTGTATTGTATCTATGATGTAATAGATTATAATAATAGTTTGTAAAGAGATATAAATGTGTGAATATAAGTGTATGCGAATATGTTTATATGCAGCAAAGGTACAAGTGTAAGGAGATAGAACAAGGAAATATAATAGACAGAATACCAAGTTAGTCGTATACACTTATGTATATATATATATATATATATAGGTGGGTAGGCGAAAGAATATTGAATCTTTCGAGGAAATAAAGAGAAAAAAAAATTTTTTGAGTGCGCGATGTCCATTTATAGATATTTTTTCCATTTTATGTGATCTTAAAGATCGGAATAAATAACAAACAAAGAGAAAAGAAAAGAAAAAAAGAAAAAGACCGATTTATTTTATTTTGTTTTGTTTTTCCTTTGTTTTGCTTTTGTTTTTCTTTTGTTCTGTTTTTTCCTTTGTTTTGCTTTTGGCTGCTTTTTTTTTTTCTATTTTTTTGTGTTTGTTGTCACTCATCTTCCGGTTGGGTGGACGTTTAGGAAGGTTGTCCAACAAGGAGGAATAAAGAAAAGAAAGAAAAGAAAAAAAAAAGTGGTGTGGAGTGAATATAACTGGTGACAGCAGCAGTTATGAAAAGTGAGGCCAGAAATTACACACCCACTTTCACTTTCACTCTCACTCTCACTCTCACTCTCACTCTCACTCACTCACAGATATGTATACAATAGTGGTAGCGATGAGTAGAGATAGAGAATAATTGTCTTACATTCCCATACACAGATACAGGTGTCTCCTTGGAGCTAATAATATTCAAGTTTCCTAATATGCCTTCTTCTCATAACCTTTCTATTTTTCTCTCTCTCTCTTTTGCCCCTTTTTGCTCTTTCAAAATACGTCTATGTACCTGTTATATTGTATATTTCCTTTTACATGTCTGTTTTTCCCAAGCCGTTTAGGGCTGGTTTTTTCCTGCAGTCCGGAGTTTGTAGAGATTCGACGAAGAGAACAAAACAACAAAAAAAAAAAAACAGAACAACAAAAGAGGGCGTTGTCATCAGCGGAGGTGTATGGGTGTGCCTGACAGACTCCGCCAATTTTCTTTTTTTTTTTTTTCTCTTTTCATTTGCATGGCGGAAAAAGAGAGGTCTTTTATTTTAAAACAGTAAGAGAGAAATATTGGAAGTTATACAAATAAGAGCATAAAAGAAGGAACGGGGACAAGGGAGAGGATGATTGACTGATACGATGATGTTATCATGCACAATAACACATACACCCATAGGGACGTATCCTTTCTCTTCTTTTCTGGCTTTTTTCTTCTCTTTTTATTTGCAATTATAATAAGCCTTGATATCTTACACATATATATATACTCTTCTTGACATATCTTCGAACCTATCTCAAACTCCCTTTCTATGAGTGGATTAATATAAATGGGAGCTGGGAATAGTTCAGTATTTACTTTCATGCCTTCGATTGCGATTGTAGTTGTGTTCATTTTGGATCGGAGTCTGCTATGTTTCGCGTTTGATGGTGTAAATAAATAAACACGAAAAACAAAACCTCAAAAATCTGCGTGTTTGTGGTGTGGGAAAAATATAGATCTCCTTCTTTTGTTTGTGTGAAGAAGATCGAGAAATTAGAATTATATGGTTGGGAATTCATTTATCTATGGGGAAAACATAATGAATACATAATAAGATACAAACAAAAGGGTTATTAAATAACTACATAACAATACATACATACACATACACATACACATACGCACACAGATATATATATATGTATCATATATTATATATTATATATATTATAAGATGGCCAGAAAATTACCAGATAGACCACCAAATGGAATAGGCTGTGGTCAAAGACCAAGAAGAGTACCAAAACAATTGGATCCGAATAAGTCCTACAACATCCTATCCAAACCATTTAAAGTTCCTTACAAGATAAACAAATTGGCTAACTCGCACTACTACTTAAGGAAAAGATCCACCACAGTATCCTGTAAAGAATATTCAGATAACAATGATACAAACGAACAAGATTATTCTATTGATAAACCTTCTCTCTATATAAACAAGGCAAGAAAAAGAGTAGACGCATTATCCTCTGTACGACTGCTGAATGAGCCTTCCAGGATAAGTAGTATCGAAAAAATGTTGAAACGTTCTTTCACTGTCCCTATACATGGTTATATACAAAGACATTCTCTATCGCTAACATTAGGTACAAAGAATAAAATCATATCAGAACCAAGACCTTTACATGATCCCACTGATGAGTTTGCAATCGTCTTATATGATCCCTCTGTTGACGGTGATATGGTAACCGATCATCAAGATTTTAATATTGAGCAACAACAGCAACAACAACAACAGCAGCAGCAGCAGCAGCAAAATTCAAAGAATAAAGAGCCAGCTTTATCAGCATCTTCTCAAGAGCTTAATACACAAAAGAAAAAGCATTTTATACATCCAAAATTTATGTCTAATGGACTCAGAAATAAACCATTAACCGAATTATTGGCTTCGTCGTCGTCGTCGTCTTCTTCACAAAAGAAATTCCCCAATGTGCCAGTTGTTATAGATCCCAGGATAGCAAAGATTCTCAGACCACATCAAGTAGAGGGTGTCAAATTCTTGTATAGGTGTATAACAGGGTTAGCTATGAAAGATTATTTAGAACAAGAAAATTTGTTGAAGTCTATCGATCCCAATGAAACGTTAGATAATGACCAGGACTTTGAGGTTGAAAATACAAAAGAACAAGAGATGCATACAGACAATGAAGACACACCACCTTCTGAGTCTGTTTCTAAGAAGCCTTCAAATTCATATGGTTGTATCATGGCAGATGAAATGGGTCTAGGTAAGACTTTACAATGTATAACGCTAATGTGGACCCTTTTAAAACAAGGTCCACAAGGTAAAAGTATGATCGATAAATGTATCATTGTATGTCCATCCTCATTAGTCAACAATTGGGCTAATGAATTGGTCAAATGGTTAGGTCCAGGTACAATTTCCCCGCTTGCCATAGATGGGAAAAAATCATCACTCTCTTTAATGGGGAACGATTCTGTAGCTCAAGCAATTAACCAATGGGGTAAAGCAAGAGGTAGAAATATTGTTAAACCTGTATTAATAATATCTTACGAAACCCTACGTAGAAACGTTCAAGAATTGAATAATTGCCCTGTGGGACTACTTTTGGCTGATGAGGGTCATAGACTGAAAAATTGTAGTTCCTTGACTTACACTGCATTAAATAATATTAATTGTTCCAGAAGAATTATCTTATCAGGTACGCCAATACAAAATGATTTGACAGAATATTTTGCTCTTTTAAATTTTGCTAATCCTGGATTATTGGGTACAAGGTTACAGTTTAGGAAAAATTTTGAAATTCCAATCTTATTGAGTAGAGACGCTGACGCTACTGATAAAGAGGTTGAAAGAGGTAAACAACAATTACTTAAACTGTCTGAGATTGTGTCAAAATTTATTATTAGACGTACGAACGATATTTTATCCAAATATTTACCTTGTAAATATGAACATGTTATATTTGTAAATTTGAAACCTATTCAATTGACACTATATTCAAAATTGCTATCGTCAAGGGATATGGAAAAAATGATTAAAATGAATGAACAAAACAACTCTCTCAATGATACAAACTCTAGTAATATTGGCACTGGAACAGGTAGTGCCCCGCTAAGAGCTATTGGTATTTTGAAGAAACTATGTAATCATCCAAATCTACTAGATTGGGAAAAAGAATTAGGTATAGATGATACCCCAGATGAATTATTGAATACAAATGGCAGTAATCGTAGGAATGTTAATACGGAATTGTCAGGGAAATTTTCTATTCTGGAACGATTTTTACATAAGATTCACACAGAATCGGATGATAAGATTGTTATTATATCAAATTACACGCATACTTTGGATCTCATCGAGAAAATGTGTAGATATAAAAGATATGGTGTTGTTAGATTGGATGGGACAATGACAATTAATAAAAGACAAAAGTTGGTAGATCGATTTAACGATCCAAATGGTCAGGAATTTATCTTTTTATTAAGTTCAAAAGCAGGTGGTTGTGGTATTAATTTAATTGGTGCTAATAGATTGATCCTAATGGATCCTGACTGGAACCCTGCCGCAGATCAACAAGCGTTGGCTCGTGTTTGGAGAGATGGGCAAAAGAAGGATTGTTTTATTTACAGATTTATCACAACTGGTTCAATTGAAGAAAAAATTTACCAAAGACAATCGATGAAAATGAGTTTAAGTTCATGTGTGGTAGATTCAAAAGATGATGTGGAAAGATTGTTTAGTGTTGATGATTTAAGAAAATTATTTCTTTTCAACAAAGACACAAATTGTGAGACACATGAGACTTTCCATTGTAAAAGATGTACTCCAAAGGGAAAACAAAAGATTAGATCAAATACAATGTTATATGGTGATGCTACCACGTGGAACCATATTGATCACGATTCTTTACAAAAGACTAATGACCATTTATTACAAAATGAATATCATTACAATGATATCAGCTATGCATTTCAATACATTTCGCATTGAATCAAATATTTGTATTCTCACCTGTTTCTTCACCCCCTTTCTCCTCTAGTATTGTTCTTTAAACCTAGCTTTTTTTCAGTGCATTAACTATTCTTGTTCTCGCTTCTATATAAGTAGATAGGTGAATAGATATAAAAAATAAAAATATATAGATATGGTGTTCTTTTTTTGGTTTTTGAGCGGTGTGTATCTTCATCTTATCCATTATTAAGTCTTATCTATTTTTTTAGTGTATATTTTTTTTCTGAAAGACCTTATTAACATTTAAAGAAAAACTGTTTAAGTGAAAAATGTCTTGAGATCTAAGATAAAGAGATAAGTGGAAAATACGGGGGTAAAAACTATAGCTGTATTAATAGTAGTTGACACATTGGGAGGAAGGTTAAAGTAAGATATACTTTAATATTTAGTTGGTTGAGTTTATTGCTCTTTTTGTACTTTATTTGAAATTTCAATGGATGAATTTTTGGCTAAAGCTGGCTCTCAAGCAGTTTCTTTTGCTATCAAATCAGGGATATCAATTGCATCATCTTATGCTATTAAAAGTGTTAGTAAGTTTATCGTGCAGATCCCACAGGAAGATGCCAATAAGTTAGAAATATTGCGGTCTCAATTAGAAACTAGAATAGAAATTGTTTCTTTTGCGTTAGATTTAATAAAATTAGTGGCATCTAAAGGTAATACAAATCTGCAATATACATTAAATTTGACAAAGGGGTTAAGAAGAGACATCGATGAATTTGATAACAAAGTGAATGAGTTGTTTGAAGACATTCAGGAAAATTCTACAAATAAAAAGTTACATTCAGTAAAAATAAAATCATTGGAAACATACATGACAAATTTATTAAAACAAATAGAAAATGTAACACCTTTTATAAATTTATCGTTAACAACTTCTGGAACAAATTTAAGTTCCACTTTATCCAAAAAAATATCACCTAGTTTGCTATTGAATGCATCCAATTATATTGTGGAAAATAACAAAGTTTATAAGGTAAACCCTAATGTGGGTCCTAGTTTTGAGGTGACCCTTTACACCATATTTTATAATTCATCAAATATTGATAATCCAATTATTTGGAAGGAAACTATGAAAAGAGCCAATTTAGTGATAAAAAGAATAAACACTTCCAAGATAGGTGAATATAACTATATTATCACTATTAAGCAAGATTTCAATGATGGTAGATATCATAATGAAGATGAATTCCAAGATCATGAATTTGTATTAAAAATTGAACAAATAAAAAAATTAGTCTTCAATGTCTCAGGTAGATTGTTAAAATTAGAAGAGAACGACAGTCCTGTTTTGATTTTAAAGACTGAATCAGATGCTATATCTGATGGAAACCAGTTGATTAAATGGTATGCATTAGGTGGTTATGATGAACCTGAGCTACCCGATAGTGAAAATGAAGAACAGGAAGAAGTTGAAAAGGAGGAGGAGGAAGAAGATCAAAATAATGTTGTAGATCAATTCAAGGATGCTTTAGATACTTGTATTTCTAATCAACTTCCAGCATCAAGATCGATAGCACTTTTAGAATATATAATTAGACTTTTATCTTTGCAGCATGATGATGAAAAATCTTTGTTAGAGATAACGGATGAAAGGTTGTCGATATATTTAAATGATGAGAATGCGTATTCTAAGGTAAAAGAAAAGCAAGTTGATGTACACGAAATCATAAATGCACTAAAAAATATGAATTTAGGTTGAATATACAAAATTTGGCTGTATTTGTTTCTATATACGAATAAGATAAATAAAACGGGAGAGTATGAAAATTAAGTAAAACGATACCTAAATAATAGTCTTATGTAATTACTGGAAATATAGATTCAATTTAGTTTTCAATATTACTCATTTTCAATAAATTGATTTGTTAAAGCTGTGGAGTTGAACATTTTGTCTAAGAAAGTGTCATTTAAAAAGTTCAATGTATCAGTGTTATTAGATTGGCATGAAGAGTTTTGACAACATTTGCTTTTTTTTTTAGAATTAAAAGTTGTTGTCTCCATATTTGCTTGATGTGACGACAGTGGTATATCTGAATTTGAAACTATAGGCCTTGATGAACAACAATCAGGAATAAGCTGATCTAGCAATGTTGTACCATCAGCAATAGTGGGGAGATTGGGTTCAGGATCAAGGCTTATTTTTACATTTTCAATTGATGGCATACAACATGACAGTGTTTGGTCTTCCTTTACATTAAAAACATCTTCAGAAAATGGTTCATCAATTATGGAAGATGGTGTTGATAGCGGTGTATAGAAAGGAGAATTGTTAATATTTGTCAGATATTTTCTACCCTCCTGATTGGTTAATATGTTGGATTTTTTTCTTTTTGAATGACAAGTGCATTCATGACCTATGACGCAGAAACACCTATCTCCTATAGTGTCATCTATTTCAAATAACCCACCTTCCTTTTCTATCTTTGCACATTTACAACTTCCTGAAGGATTGATGTTTTTTTCCTCCCTTAATGATTTACAATGATGACATGTTGTAGAAGGTCTTCCCTGTTTTTTCACAGGCACAAGCTTCCTATCTGAATGTGTGCACTTTGTCGCACGATGACCTCTAATACAACTCTCACATGCATATTTAATACCGTCTATAATAATCATATTTAAATGTATTTTGTAAAATTTTCAGACTAACTAATTTATCTGAACATAAAAAGTCGATATTATCTGTTGAATGTCACAGTAGCAGTTTAGAAGTTTTTTGTTAAAAGACAAACAGGTTTTATAATTTCCATCTTCTTTTTAAACTTACTACCCTTATTTTATGTGGATCTTTTTAAAAAAAAAAAAAACAATATTTTCATAAGCGAAAAAGAAATGCGCAAGCCCGGAATCGAACCGGGGGCCCAACGATGGCAACGTTGGATTTTACCACTAAACCACTTGCGCCTGCAACTGTTGTCCTTGTTGGATTATGAGGTGGTGAAATTCTTTGTGTATTCCAGGGAAGCACAAATAGTATTAATAGTTATTCAAGTAATCGAGACAGTAATCAACTATAATCGATAATACAATTACTAAAACGGTCTTATATATTGAACGGTTTATATCGAGCTAATATATTTATTCAAAGTCACTTAACTTGTTACTTGCTTGTTGTTCTCTTTTTTGTTCATATATAATATATAAATTATTTACAAGAAACGGTTATGGAAGATGATCTTTTATCTCCAGAAAACGTTGTCCTTTTATATGTTTCTGGAGCTCGATCGATTATTCAGATTTGTACATTAACAAGCTTGGTGCTCCAAACCCTAAAATTTATTACATTAATTTAGGTGCACTAGTGGATTAGAACTGCTCCCCAATTCTCTAATCATGGTGATTAGTAATACACGTAGGACTTATTAAAACAATAGGTAAATTCTAGATTTGCCAAAATCTTATGTAATCCAATCTCTTTATTATGCAGCATCTAATGTTGTGGCATGTGTATGGCTTATTAAAACAATAAATAGTTCTAGATTCATTCAGGATCTTATGTAATCTTGATGGTAATAACTTCTCTATTCTACAACAGTTCCTGCTAAGAATAGGAATGATATTTGTTATACTTTACGGTGTAAATTTTTCATTTCCTTGAATATCAAAAAAATACTTTTGGTGATAAATAAAATATTTTCTGTATTTTTTAGTACAGTATAATATCTAAAATAACTAAATTAAAAATAATTCTTTTGAAAAAGATAGTGATAAAACCCCTATTTTCACACATGTTTATTAAATTTTGTTAAAATTTATTTGAAGTTATTGAAAAAGAAGTAATTAGTAAATTCATTTGATATTTCTAACATCATATTAGAAAATAATTCATAAATTTTTTTTAAGAGAAATATGCAGAAAAATAGGGTTTTGCTGAAAAAATGTTAATTCGGTTTCAATAAAAAAATACACAGTATATACTAAAAAAATAAACAAAAACATTTGTGATATTATTAATATAAGTATTTAATCAGACATAACTAATATCTTTTACATTCAATATTCAAAACACAACACACTAGAATAGGATAGATTAAATACATAAGGATGAATCAATAAAAATTAACCCAACTTCCAGTATTCACAATTTACTTTAAAGATTAATACTAACATTAGTACACAGGGAATGATAATAAGAAACCAAAATCATTCAAAAAATTAAGACATATAGATTTGGAATATTCATTAAGATATGCCTATTAAAATGATAATTACTTCAAAATAGGAATTAATCTGGTTAAAAAGTATTTTAATATATCTTTTTAATTTATTGTGTTACCTCACTATAAACTATCTTATAAATATTCTTAAAACATATTTTAATCATTTTATATATTCATTAAAGAAAAATATCTCTTAATATTTTTCTAAATAACAAAAATTTATAATAATATATAGAAATTGAATAAAAAAACATTACAATTTCTCCAAACAGATTGAAAATAAACAAATGGACTTACCTATTTATATATTCCTTATTAATAATAAAAATTTCATGATTATTGCTGTTTTAATTTTCATAAATCTATTGAAATGTGAAATATATAACTAGCTGTATACTACGCATTACACATGTTTTTAATCAGACAGTAGCATTATTCACACAAGCTAATTTCAGTTGATATTATGGCATTGATCTTATAAAAGCAAATATACTAAATAAGAATATCTTCTTGAATTTAATATCTAGGAAGTAAGATTTTGTTAATATGAAATTTTTAATCTAATCTATTTTTTTTTATATTTTAATAGTTAACCCTTTTATATTTAAATAATCGAGGAACATCCTTTAATCAAAAATAAAACACATAAATTTTCAACATATACATATGAAAATAACAATATAACAACCAATTCTTATCATAACTGTACATTAAAAAAAATTATAAAATAAAATAAAATTCAAACAAAAACAATACTAATTATCATTATATAAATACTAACCTGTTCACACTAATATAAAAGAAATAGTACAAATCACTTCTATATAGTAGTGTCTACAAATTTACGCCCAGTATTGAACATCCGCAATAGATATAGCCAATTGTATATTTACTACAGTATTTCAGTTAGAAAAAGAAGTAAACTTTACCATATAATTTCCTATAACAAAAAGAAAGTCTGTGGTAATAAACTTTCCTAAATAATAGAAAATTATTTGCTAATAGAAGCAAATCTTTTTCATTTTCTTCAAAATACTCAAGTTTCTAATACCAAGCCTGGATTTCTAAAAAACATATATTACACTTGATTAAACCAATCCTTTTCACTAAAATCTAACAAGAAAAAATAATTGTACAAAAGTTAAAACATACAAATTTTATTTTTATACTTGACAAAAGACAAAAAAAGAAAATTTTATAATAATCGAATAGATTTTAATAAAAATAAAACATCAAGGGATTAGAACTTCTTTTTAACCCAATCTCACCAACTTATTTAACATTTAAAAAAAAAACAATAAAATGTCTAATTACTGCTATCAAATATATAAAATAATATTTTGAAGAAAAATGATAGAGGGTTTAGAAATACTGTTTTGAAGAGTCAAGTAACTCCAGTACAATAATATTAAAAAACTAAACAGACTATTGTATTTAATTAATTGTGAAGATCCAATGTATGGGAAAAGAATACATAAAACTTTTGTTCCACACGAAAGATATAAAAACAAGAAGTGATTTTATCCTAAGACTTAGAGATATTCTAATATCTCAATACATACATACCTAATTACTATAAATTTAAATTAAATAAAAAGATATATAGTGGATAACAAATCTGTATTTAAGTTGGAAACTCTTTTCTGAAGGGACAAACAAATGAAACGAAAACAAATGGGGAATAAAGAAAAAGACTATAATGACAATAGTATTTATTCATTTATTTATCTTTATAGTAACATAAGTCCAATCTATATATATATATATATATATATATATATATATATCCATCTATAATCTATTTAATAGTCCAATCAATCAATATATTAGGAAGATTCTTCACCCATCAATTGTTTTAATTCGTCAATTCTATCCATCAATTTTTTCCTCTTTGTTAAAGGTACTTTAACTTCATCACAAGGTAGATCATTGTTCCCTTTCTCGTCAGAAATAGATTTAGCCATGGAATAGTACCCGCTAAAAATCTTTCTTCTTCTTTGATTGATAAACCAATTCGACAATTGAATCTTAGTAAGCCCCGTCTTAATCAACAAATCCCTCTTTTCTTGTGCTGTAGGATATGGATTATGTAAATGGTTCATTAACCAGTCGTTAAGAATCGTCACGCAATCCTTGGGTAGATTATAACGACAATGTTTCCTCGAGATAATTTTCAAACCATCTTTTTCGTAATTTATCTTACATGGGATAGTTTTTGCAGTGACAATTTTTCGACTACTGCTTTTACTATAGATAGTTCCTTTAATTTCATTAGAATCATTTCTATCTTTAGTAGTAGCCATAGTGTTAGAATTAATTCCAGCAGTGATGGTATTAGATATAATAGATTGAATTGCTGTGATACTTTTCTTTTCAGGATTAATTCTTGGAACTGATGGGTATTGTTGCAATGATACTGAAGTAAAAGAATTTGCTGAGTATGGTATAGACTGTTTATTATTGTTAGCAATGGAGGAGGAGGAGCCAGAGGAAGGTTTAAATGAAGACATGGTATTGATAGACGGTAGGGGTATTAAAGTCTGTATATCATTAGAAGGATCCTTATTTTGTCTATTAATATCTATTTTATTTTTAAATGGATCAGGTAAAAATATAGGAATATTATTACTATTACTATTATTACTATTACTATTATTATTATTATTAGTGATATTGATATTAATAATATTTATCTTAGAATCTATTTTATTATCATCATGATTTAAAGAATTCAATAAATTCTGAATCGAGGGCAATTGCACCTGGTTATTCATGATGATAATGCTCTTAATAATCGACTGTAATGTAATATGTGCTTAAGTTAAAATGAAATAGAGAACTTATGACTATGATCCACCATACAAAAGTAAGTATAAGTACGGATATTGATATAAGTATATGGTGGTGTTTATATGTATATGTATATAAATATGGATATATATGCATATAAATAAAAGTGAATACTCGTATACTTCTAGACCAAGAAAACAATTACCAAAGAGAAAAGAAAAAAAAAAAAGACAAAAAGGCTGACTAAGCTAGCAAGAAGAAAGGAAGGACCCGTACGGACAATTTACTGTAAAGAGTTGGATAACCTATAGAAACATACTTTTATAAGATATAGAAGAGACATGCAAGTGAAGTAATAATTTGTGTCACTTATATGTATATATACAAAAAATGTACTGTCCAATGTCATATTGTATCTATAATAAGTATACTATAATATTATTAAACTATCACTATAATAATAACAATAATAATAAGCCTTCATAATTTGTCGATGGAATTAAAGCAAAAATAAACAAAAAAGAAAAGTAAAAAAAAAAATAAATAAAAAGAGAAAAAAGAGTGACATTAAAGAAAAGACGGGTGAAAAAAGAAAAAAGAAAGAAGAAAGAAAGAGGCACAACGATGTGTGATGGTGAGAAGAAGGAAGAGGGAGGGGAAATAAGACGAGAGAAAAAAAAAAAGACCTTTTAATCGTTAGAGTCACATTATCAGACAAAACGAACAATACACACGTTTAAGCAAGATCTATCCGAGTCAATTATCCGGCAAAACAAAAGGAAAAAAAAAAAAGAACAGAAAAACACAGAAAAATTCCCGACGTTTTCAAATATGCAACGGTTGTGATGATTGTTAAAACAAAAGAAAAATACAATATGCACATATTGTGTCCAGAATATTAATCTGTTCAAAATCCTATATATTGTATAAGAGAGAGAAAGAGAGAAACAAAGAAACTTCACAAGAATAAAAAAAGTCTTAAAAAAACAAAATAACATTAATAAATTAGCAAATTATATCAAAACAATGAATAGATCTCAAATAAAATACCTAATTGGTAAAGAATTAAATGAATCAACCAAAATATTTTGCAATTTTGATGTCATTATCTCTATCTCAAGATCATAGACAGTAGTAAAATAAGACAACACAAAGAGAACCACACTCTGTGACACAATTTTGTTTCCTATTCTAGAATAGGAAACAAAAGAGATTATGGCAATTGAATATCTTAATAGGACCTTTTAATTACGATAATGTAGCAGGAGTTATAACTCCGTGGGACCATATATTCTTCTTGTATATGGGTATATAAATATAAATATATGTGTTTTCCGGTTATTTTATTTTATTTAATTTTTTTTTTTTTTTTTTTAAAAGAATTGTTACGATCCTTTTGATCATCAGTATTGATCGATATATTTGTAGCTTTAATAATTTTTTTCTTCTTATCTCTCTTAGGAAAAGATATAGTGTTATTGACAGAAATACAAATTGTGTAAGTTGAACACATTGTGAAAATCCTTCGGAAGGTTGTTCCGAACGTGCACATATGGCGTGCTGTATGGGTGTTATACACAATACGACATACATGCTCTCATTTCATTCTTGGGTTTGTATGTCCGTTATAAGAAAGGCACAAATATTTGTCTCCGGTTTTTTTTCCCTTCCCCCCTTTCCCGCCGGCCCGTAAGATCGCAACAGGGGTACCTCACCTGTTCCTCCTTTCCTTGAGAAAAAAAAAAAAGAAAATTCCAGGGACAAAAAAAATTCTCAGGACAAAACAACTAAGCTTTACAAATTAGCAAAAAAAGAACGAAACAAGAAAACCAATACTTTAAGTCTCTTGAACTGACATAATTATTTTAAGTTAGGGTTCAATTGATAATAAAAAAAATAGACACATAGGTTAATCTGTACTAGGGTTGTGAAAAATTTTTAAAAACTTTTTCTTCCTTTTTTTTCTTTTTTAAAAAAATTCTAAAAAGATACCGTCAATAGTGATGTGATTTCCTGCCTCTAATCTTTTTATCCCCCGCCGTCAAAATTGCAACTAAAATCAAGATTTATTCTTGAATAAATGAGTCATCCCTGAAATGAAATTATTAGACCAGACAACTGAGCTCGTGGTCATTACATACGCAGCAATTGTTCAAAAAAATTGTTCTAGTCCACAAGCTATTTGCTGAGTAATTGAGTTAGTAAGCAAGTCTAAAGGAAAAAAAGGAAACAATTCGAAAACAAAAAATAAACAAAATACAATTTTTCCCCTCATCTCTACGCTCACCTTTATTTTTTCTTTATTTTTTTTTTTTCAATCCTCTGTCTCATTTACTTTAAGGTTATGTGGAAGATCAAGAAGAAAAAAATGTCTGTATATATGTGTATATATGTGTATATACGTGTTGTTCAAATCAATTAGACAATTAATTGAATAGAATTAAGCCAATTCGATCGTGATTTTATCACCCACGTCATTCTCATCTATTTCGTTATTAGTAGGGATTTCTCCATCTCCATCTCCTTTTTCTTTTCTTTTTCTTTTTTATTTTCCAATTCATTTCATTCTATTTGTTTACTTCATCGAATTTGAAAAAATAGAGAAATAAAAAAAAAATTTTTTTTCCTATCTATCCCTTCCTCCCTTTCCATCTCTCAATGAGTCAATAATATTTGTTTCCTGTAAAAAATTTGGACTCACTCTCGATCTTTTCTTTTCCCCTCTTCTCTAATGCTCGTTCTTCCCACAGCTCTGTCCTCCGTTTTCTCTCTTACTCTTTATTGTTTGTTAACTATGGACACTGGCCAACTCGCTTTTCCTTTTCTCATTCTCAATGATAGTTAAATTGTCACCGACGTTTGCTACTTTCCCTCCTACCTGCATTTCCGCAATCCTATATATGTTTCTATATATTAGAACCTGTAAAATTCGTTAACGCCTCTGTTCGTCTGTAAGACTCATAGCTACTTGCAACGCAGTTTCTTTTCTGCTCTTTCCTACCGTTCTTTTAATCTTTCAATTTCTTTCTTGTCCTCTTTATTATTTCTTTTCAATCCTTCTTCGTGAACATTACCATCGACAAAAAAAATATCAGGTGTCATTATTTTGCATAACTGATTATTTCGATAAATTGTTAGGAATTGCATAACCCTTTACTTATAATACACATAAATATACACATATAAACATATACAGATAAACCTTTAGAAAAAAGAAAAATGTCCCATACTCCAATGTTCGATGCTAATGATAAAGCTACCCCAACTGAAGCTAGTGAAGATGTCAGAATTCTTGGTTACGATCCTTTAGTATCTCCTGCTCTTTTACAGGCCCAAATTCCTGCTACCCAGAAATGTCTTGAGACTGCTAAAAAAGGTAGAAAAGAAGCTATTGATATCATCACAGGTAAAGACGACAGAATCTTGGTTATTGTCGGTCCATGCTCCATCCACGATTTAGATGCTGCTCAAGAGTACGCCACTAAATTGAAACAATTATCCGACGAATTAAAAGATGACCTTTGTATCATCATGAGAGCATACTTGGAAAAACCAAGAACCACTGTTGGCTGGAAGGGTTTGATCAACGATCCTGACGTCAATAACACCTTCAATATCAACAAAGGTTTACAATCCGCTAGACAGTTGTTCGTTAACTTGACTTCCTTAGGTTTGCCTATCGGTTCCGAAATGCTAGACACCATCTCTCCACAATATTTGTCTGATTTGTTATCCTTCGGTGCTATCGGTGCAAGAACCACCGAATCCCAACTACATAGAGAATTAGCCTCTGGTCTTTCCTTCCCAATTGGGTTCAAGAATGGTACCGACGGTACTTTAACCGTCGCTATCGACGCTTGTCAAGCTGCTTCTCACTCCCACCACTTCATGGGTGTCACAAAACACGGTGTTGCTGCTATTACCACTACTAAAGGTAACGAACACTGTTTCGTCATCTTGAGAGGTGGTAAGAAAGGTACCAACTACGATGCCAAGTCTGTCGCTGAAGCTAAGGCCGCCTTACCAAAGGATGCCAACGGTTTAATGATTGACTACTCCCACGGTAACTCAAACAAGGACTTCAGAAACCAACCAAAGGTTAACGATGTTGTTTGTGAACAAATCGCTAACGGTGAAACTGCTATCACTGGTGTTATGATTGAATCTAACTTGTTTGAAGGTAACCAACCCGTTGTACCAGGTGGTAAAGCTGCTTTGAAATATGGTGTTTCTATTACCGATGCTTGTATAAGTTGGGAGACTACCGACTCAGTCTTAAGAAAATTGGCTGAAGCTGTTAGACAAAGAAGAGCTACTTTGAAGAAATAATTTTAACTTATTCTGTATATAATAACAAATATACGTAGGAACATATTTATACATACACACATACATACATATATATATATAGTATCTTCCATTTTAATTTCTTTACTTTGTTTTTATGTCCCTTACTCATTTCAATTCTAAGCCTTAACATTTGTTATCTTTAAACAATTATATATATATATATACTGGCTCAAGTATTTATCAAAATAATATGATCACCAATCTAGGACTATTCTCAGCTTTAAATCTTGAATCATCTATGTTTAGTCCAACCTTATCTAATCTAAACTTCTAAGTATCTCCATGGAAAAAATATCAAAACGGCAAAAATTCCAAATTCGTGCAAATGTCAAGATATTGCTAAAAAAAACTGCTTATTTGAAGAGTGAGTCATATACCCCTCATGCATATTTAAACTACCACCAGTTTATTAACTCATACGGGAATACATGAAAAGAGAAGACAACAAGACAGAGTACATTTTTTTAACAGCTACCACAAAATAGACCGAAAACCAAACCATCCAAATGTCTAAGGCTACTGTCCACGTTATTGATGTTGAAAGTGGTAACTTACAATCACTAACCAACGCCATCCATCATCTTGGTTACCAAGTTGAATTGGTTAAAACTGCCGATCAATTAGTTAAATCCAATCCAGAGAGATTAATCTTACCTGGTGTAGGTAATTACGGCCATTTTGTCGATAATCTTTTCAGTCGTGGTTTTGAACCTGCCATTAGACAATATATTCAATCAGGAAAACCTATAATGGGGATATGTGTAGGTTTACAAGCCATGTTTAGTGGGTCTGTAGAAAGTCCATCCAGTAAAGGGTTGAACTATATCAATATGACCTTATCAAAATTTAATGATTTAAATAAACCCGTCCCTGAAATCGGTTGGAACAGTGTGATTCCATCAGATTCCCTATTCTACGGAATAGATTCATATAAACGTTATTATTTTGTTCATTCTTATGCAGCAATGTTGAATGATCCAAGCTTAGAGGCTAAATTAAGAGAAAATGGTTGGAATTTAGCTAAAACAAAATACGGTGATGAGACTTTTATTGCTGCAATTTCTAAGGATAATATTTTTGCTACTCAATTCCATCCAGAAAAATCTGGATCTGCTGGATTATCAATAATCGATAATTTTATTCAACAAAAGAAAACCGTTCCATTGCCAGAATATACTGAAGAACAAAAATTACAATTGACCAACGATTACAGTAACTATGGTTTAACAAGAAGAATAATTGCATGTTTAGACGTAAGAACAAATGACCAAGGTGATTTAGTTGTCACTAAAGGTGATCAATACGATGTACGTGAAAAGGATAGCAAAAATAATAATGTTAGAAATCTGGGTAAGCCCGTCGAATTAGCACAAAGATACTACGAGCAAGGTGCTGATGAAGTAACATTCTTGAATATCACTTCTTTCAGAGACTGTCCATTAAGAGATGCTCCAATGTTGGAAGTTTTAAGACTCGCTGCGAAAACCGTCTTTGTTCCATTTACTGTAGGTGGTGGTATTAAAGATATTATTGATGTGGATGGTACAAGAATTCCAGCTTTAGATGTAGCAAGTCTATATTTTAAGTCAGGTGCCGATAAAATCTCTATTGGTACCGATGCTGTTTATGCTGCAGAAAAATATTATGCTAATGGTAAAAAAGGCGATGGATCTTCTCCAATAGAGACAATTTCCAAAGCATATGGTGCACAAGCTGTAGTTATCTCCGTAGATCCAAAGAGAGTATATGTGAACAGTCCAAATGATACAAAGAATAAAACCTTCCAAAGTAAATATCCTGACGCACAAGGACGTACATGGTGCTGGTATCAGTGTACCATTAAGGGTGGAAGAGAGACAAGAGATTTAGGTGTTTGGGAATTGATTCAAGCTTGTGAAGCCCTTGGTGCAGGAGAAATTCTTTTGAATTGTATTGATAAAGATGGATCAAATACTGGATATGATTTAGAATTGATTGATCATGCTAAGGTTGCTGGTAAGATTCCTGTTATTGCATCCAGTGGTGCTGGTAAACCAGCACATTTTGCAGAAGCATTTAGTAAAACTAAAGCTGACGCATGTCTTGGTGCTGGTATGTTCCATAGAGGGGAATATACAGTTAATGATGTCAAAAACTACTTGCTAGAGCATAATTTTAAAGTTAGGATGGATTCTACTGCAAATTAATACCTTTTCACGTAAGACTACAGTTAAAATCTTAGTAAAACTACATGACAAATATTTATTTATCTACACATATATATGCGTATACTTTTTATTTTCAGTTGATAAAAAATTTAATGAAATTTTAACAAGTATAAACTCATGTGCAATCATTTATAAAAACCAGATGTTTTGACTTATTGTATTTATGAATGATTCGAACACCAGCTTATTGAAATCAAAAATCATTAAAATTTCTTCTACTCTCAGAAAAAAAAACCTTGAATTAAAAGGAAAATTTTCAAAGAAAAATCTTTTTTTTTCCCCCAATATTTGTAAAAACTTTAAAATCTTTGCGATGAGCACTAATTTAAAGAAAGAAATACAATTTAACTATTAAATGCTAGTGATCAGAATATATTCTTTATATACAGAGTGTTAAGGTAGTTTAGAACCCATACCAATCCAGAATACTTATACTACAGAAAAAATAAATAAATAACTCATAAAAAAAGAAAAATATAAATAACAGAATAAAGTATGGGGAAAGCTACTAGTTCTAAGAGCAGAAAGCAGAGACATGATCCTTTGATGAAGGATCTGAACACCGCTCAAGGTGCACTTAAAAAGATCAAACAAAAGACACAGAATACAAAAGATGATGAAGATGAAGTTGAAGAATATGTGGATGCTAAAACCTCTAGAAAGATCTTACAGTTAGCAAAAGAACAGCAGGATGAAATTGCAGAAGAAGAAGATGCAGAAAGAAATAAAATTAATCCAGACAATGCCAGGTTTAAACAAATTAACTACAATGAGAGTGACATAGAAGAAGAAGATGAAGAATATCAAGATGAGAATATATCAGATTTTGAACCTGAAGGTGATTATTTTGAAGATGAAGAAGAAATGGTAGAAATTGATGAAAAAGATGCTGCCATGTTCGAACAATATTTCAAAAGATCTCAAGATTATAATTCTTTAGGGGGCAGTTACAACTTAGCTGATAAAATTATGGCTACTATTAGAGAAAAAGAGAATGAATTAGCTCAGAACGATTTTGATATGGAAGATAATAATAACAATAGTTCAGCATCCCCTAATGATTTTGGAACTAATGGTGGAAGAAGACCTATTGATGGTGTAGAACTACCAGAAAAAGTTATTAGAGCCTATACTACTGTTGGTGCCATTTTAACCACTTGGACCCATGGTAAGTTGCCTAAATTATTTAAAGTCATTCCATCTTTGAAAAATTGGCAAGATGTTTTGTACGTGACAAATCCAGAAGCCTGGTCCCCACACATTGTATATGAAGCTACAAAATTATTTGTCTCTAACTTGAATGCGAAAGAAGCACAGAAATTTATTAACATGGTTCTTTTGGAAAGATTCCGTGAGAATATTGAAACGAGTGATAATCATTCTTTGAATTACCACATATACCGTGCTATTAAGAAATCTCTATATAAACCAAGTGCATTCTTCAAGGGATTCCTTTTCCCATTAGTGGAATCTGGTTGTAATATTCGTGAAGCTACAATTGCAGGAAGTGTTCTAGCCAAAATTTCAGTTCCAGCTTTACATTCTGCAGCTGCATTAAGTTATTTATTAAGGTTACCTTTCTCACCTGCTACAACTGTTTTTATAAAGATTCTCTTAGACAAGAAATACGCTTTACCATACCAAACTGTAGATGAGTGTGTTTTCTATTTCATAAAATTCAGAATCCTTGATGATGGTAGTAATGGTGAGGATGCAACTAGAGTTTTGCCAGTAATATGGCATAAAGCATTTTTGACATTTGCACAACGTTATAAAAACGATATTACTCAAGATCAAAGGGATTTCTTATTAGAGACAGTCCGCCAAAGAGGCCACAAGGATATTGGGCCTGAAATCAGAAGAGAGTTATTAGCTGGTAAGTCAAGAGAATTTGAAGAACCGCAGAATACCAAAGATACAGTGATGATTGACGTTCAATGAACCTTCGTAAAAGAAAATGAAAGCAAAAAAAAAAGCATTGAAATCCCTTTCATATAAATAAACGACTACAAATACTTCCATATTTATAAAAATATAACATCCTTTGTGTACATTATTACAAAATTTGTATCCGAATAGAGCTATCTGTAAAGGCACAAATTATTATATAATTAAGAAAACTCTATTAAACATATATAAAAAAAGAGGAAAACAAATTTTCGCCCACCTACTATCAAACCATGTGCTGTGGGAAAATCAGCCATTGTTAGCGAAAAAGGCGTGTATATTCTATTCTAGGGCTAACTCATAAGTAACTCTCCATGCATAGGGGTGATCTATAAAAGAATTAAACTTTATGTAAAGAAAGAATGAAATTATAATTGAATGTTAACAGACGAGAAGAACTCTCGCAAAAGTTACTACATTTAACCATAACATCATATCAGACTCCATTTAACTCTTTCAAATTGAACATATTGAATTGAATAAAGAAGAAGCCCACACTTTCCTTTTAGCATAACAAAAGGTGTAAAAAATTTTCGCAAAGAATAGAGAACGTGTCTAATAGCCAATTTTCAGGTTGTAAAGCGAGTTTTCTTGACTTTTGATCTTTATATACAGACAAAATTTTATTTTTTTTTATTTTTTTTTTATTTTTTTTTTTTTGGAAATAATAACCAAAAAAATCACACAACAGAAACTCAATCTTGAGAAACAGTATTGTTTTCTTCTGAAACAAGAGGAGAGTGAAAATTTTTTATTGAACAATAGATGTTTCAAAAAAAAAAAAAAAGAAACGACCTAATTATTTTATTTTTTTGTACTAAATTCCTTCGATGTTTCCTAAAAAGGAAAGTAAATACCTTTTTCAATTTGTAGGATAACTTCTGCCTTTTAAAATAAGAATACTGTTCAGGTTCCCAAGCCTTGAAAAATTAAATCTGAGGACTTTAATGTCAGAACTATACATTCAAATCGTCGAAAGATCAATAATATAAACATATACACAAATGTATATATATATATTGCTATGTGTATATACGCGTATGTGTCTCTCATCCTGATGCAAGTGCTTTTATTACTTGCCTTCTTTGCTTTTTTCCTTATTTTGAAAGCCAATCCCAATAAATATGCCAAATCATGAAAAAATAATAATATATGGATAGGACATAGATAATAACGTGTAAGCAACTAAAACAGACCACTCATATGTACTTCAATCTGCCATCATAAGTGCCTTCTTTCTTGCTTTCTTGTTTTTCTTGTTATGTTTTTTGGAATTGCTACCATTACCATTTTGTCTATGAAATGGATCAGTCAATTTCCCTTCAATACTATTCATCTTGAAAAACTCCTTATCTAAATCCTCTGCAGCATTATACAATGCAGCTTGTTTACCGCCATGTGTAACAGACATAGCTTCCTTGGTATCTGTACCACCAGTATGAGCAGCAAATGTCAAGCTTTTTAAATCACGAGCTAAATCGACAACATCAATACCTTTAGCTTTTGCTGCTTCTCTAATTTGTTCTTTCCTGGTGGTTGGGAGCCTATCAAATGTATATAAATCTTTATTAAATTCACGACACTCTTCCAAAGTATATGGAGTGTCATCTTCGATATGTGGAGGTGGGTTAATATACAATAATTTACCATTGACATAATCCTTTAAAATATAACGACTAGCACGAGACTCATCAGCAGAACCAAAACCTTGTGTCATATAACCACGAGCTCTAGCATAAGCAACTAATAATTCTTGACCAGTTGGAGTCACACCATCACCACCTTCTTCCTTTGTTCTAGTTTGAATATGAATACCATAAATAGCCTCCAAATAATACTTGGGTATCCTTTGTGCTACCAAATTTGATGGCCCAACATAATCACGTAATTGATCAATGGGTAAAACACCATTACAGACCAACTCACCTTTATTATAAGCAAAATTTGGAAACACTAAACCAGGACAGTCACATAACATAACGGAATCTGATAACATAATTGTTTGAAAGTGCTTGGTCTTACCAGGAGTAGATGAAACAGACACTTTCTTAGCCCCAACTAAAGAATTAATTGTAGATGACTTACCGACATTTGGATAACCAACCAAACCAATCTGCAATATGGGTTTTTTACCAGGTAATGGTTCTGTTAATGGTTCTGATGGTGCTTTAGTCAAAAATAACTCTTCCAATTGATCAATACTTAAAATAGAAATCTTCTCCTTAACTTCTTCATCAATATCTTCATCTTCGGTGACTTCATCATCAATCTGAACCATTCTTTCTTGATCAAACTCTGAGGTTTCCTTTTCTAATTCTAATAATTGATTGGCTCTCAAAGCAGAGTAAAATGTAAATGAGATTCCTCTTGAAATAAAATATTTGGCCCATGTAATTCTTTGTTTTCTAGTCAATAAATCAGCCTTATTAACCAACAGTAAATTTTGTTTTCTTTCATCAATTTCTTTGACATATCTTTCTAAATCAACTGATCTAAACAACAAAGGATCCCTTGCATCCACGATCTGAACAACAAGATCTGATCTTTCCACCACTCTCCATAATTGTTTCCAAACTTCAATATTTCGTTCAAAGGGTGTCAGTAATAAATCCTCATTAGATTCCTGTAAATTAGCAAGCTTCCTTCTCCATTCTAAAAATGCTTCACCTTCTTGTCTTTGCAATTCTGTTTTAGTAGTAAATTCATCCCAATAGGGTCTTCTTGGAACAATCAAATCCTTAGCATGTTCTCTTTGTTTGGCGTTCAATTTCTCCTTCTGTGCATTAGTCATACCAACAGGCTGGGTACGAGCATCCATATTACTATCCATTCTAATAATTTTAACATTAGAATGTCTATCTGCTGTAAAATCTTTATTTGCCAATTCAGCAGTACTCAAAAATTCATCCAATGCAGATTCTTGAGTCACAGATCTCAACTTGACCCAATTTGCTTCGTGCTTGTCCGTTGTGAATCTCATTTCACCATCAGGTAAATATTCAACTACATTTTCTTGCTTACGAGCACTTTGAATGGCTCTACCTAATCCAATAGTATTTTTATTCTTACGTTGAATTGGTTTAGGGCCCTTTGGAGGCTTCCATTTCTTTGGTTGTGGTCTTTCTTTTGGTGGCATAATTTCTAAATTCTAGAATGGGAGTGTAAAAAATAATAAGGTTGTATCTAATGTTCTTCCTCTAAATCTGGGCACTTCTATATATGTATATCTATATTTCAATATATAATTAGCATTGCCTGTTACAATATATTAGCCTTTGTGGTTGAATCACATACCAATAGTTTTAATGTATGGTTCTATGAAATTTTTCTTCTACATAAAATAGTGATGACCCGTGAAGAGTGATATGCATACACGCTTTCACAGAAACCATTTACAATAGCAATAATAGTAAAAATATTGAAAACAGTAATTATAATAGAATTAACAACTTATCATATTCTGCTGATAATTTCTACTCATTAAATTATGATAAGAGCTACAATACTGGCAATTATTTAATAATCAACAAAACAAATAAGCAATATAATGTAAAGAAAAAAGAATAATTGGAACATATCTATCACTTATATATTATTTTATTTTAGTTCACTTTGTTATATTCTATTGTCTATTAAATCATGGATTCCATAGCTGTAAAGATTTATCATAGAATGAACAGGTTGCAATAAATTGCGAAGACCAGTCACCACCATAACACATTGATTCATGTCCAGATTTCAAATAATGCTGAACCTGGAAGTAATCAGATCCTTGATCGGTGGCATCCTCATCCATAGTAACCACTTTTGCACCATCATACATACAACAGACCATCAATGTATCTTTGTTTGATGGCTGAGTCTTTTTCAATGATTCTGGCAATTCACTAAATCTCCATACTCCACCACCAAGATTTAGTTCTGATACCTTCATTGCAGGTACATTGTTACCAGGGTAAATCGTATCACCCATCATTCTGAGGTCCAAAGATCTTATATGATCATCATATGATCCGGTAATTATTGAAGTAGGTCTATAATGTCTAAAATTTTTAGATGCACACTTAATACCAACAACACCAGCTTCATGGATTCTATTATTACTCCATATCTTATTCTTGACTCTGAGATCATGTGCCATAATAGTAGCATCATCACCACCAGTAAACACAACATTTTCAAATGGGGATAGTTGGCCAAATTCTGCAGTCCAACACTCTAATGAATGTGATTCATCAAATAATTCCACTACGGTGTCCATCATATTTATCTCCTCCCCTTGTGCTACAAAGAGTTTTTGATCAATACTAGCATATGAATTGGTTACTGCTTGGCCTATAATAGATTCAATTTCTTTACCAATTTCAATATTCGTTATTGCAGATTCACCAGAAGTATTAGTAATACAAACTAATTTTGGATCTGATGGAGAAAAATGTACACTGGAGATCAAAATATTTGTATCAAATAATTGTATATTCCCTATTATTTGAAGACGAAGAAATACTGGAATGTTAGCATCTTCAATACCATCTTTAACATATTCTATCCTCCATAGCATAATGTTACCAGTAGAATGTGCAGTGACTACTAAGGTGTCATCGAATGGGGACATTTTTAAATCTAAAACAGCTCCAATTGTAGGATAAGATTTAAGCAAATTCAACTGACTATCATATACATCTACTGAACCAGTTCTGACTCCACTTGCCTTATGTAGTTCGTACGTACCCACCAAAACAAACTGATTACGAAAAATCCTTAAACAACAAGGCGGTAATCCTGTAGTAGCATGATACAAAACTTTGGATTCCTTAATAGACATCACTTTCTGTTTCTTTCTTTTCTCTACTTTGATATAATCCGTTTAATAACTTACTATATATTCTGCCACTCTATGACTCCATTTACCTATCAATTATATACTTCTTTTTTAGCCCATCAGTGCTTCCAATATCACAACCACTAGTATGTACTTCAATTCCATCGAAAAATCTAAAATATTCAAACTTACGAAAAAAAAAATCTTAACACAAAATACTAATGCAGATTTTTAAAGTAATTATGATTGTATAATATAAATGCCAAACACACAATCAATAGCAAACTTCTGTTACAATAACTACTGAGAAAGAATAACACTTTGATAGCAATCTATTCAGAAAGACTGTATGGATCTGTAAGAAAAAAAATAATAGTACAAGCCGAATTGATACTAAATTAAACGTGACAGATAGAGACAAACAAGAAAATACTATACTAGGTGACTCAAAAAGATTTTTTCATATCATACTAAGTATTTTAAATGGAACCAGAGTACATAAGCCAAGAGTATTTAGATAGATTGAAACCTTATAAGATAGATATTCCTGAGGACTCCAAGGAATCTAATCAAAAACGGTATCTGTTGAAATATACAGATACTTCACCCTTTGATCTTAAAAATACAGTTCAAAGGTTTGAACATCTATTATCATTAAGTCATTTGTTTAAACATTTTATAGAGAATAAAGCTCAAAAAGATCTTAAATTCAGACAGGTCTTAGATGTGTTAAAAGAGAGAAAAGGTGATGATTTAAAGAAAAGTAATAGTCATCATGATATAAGAAGACGCAAAAGTGAAAGAGAAGAAGATGCGGAATTGTTGCGTGAAGAAGATAGTGATGATGATGAGGGTATTGAATTCCAATTTAGAGATTCACCAGCCTACATTAATGGTAAACTGAGAGATTACCAAATTCAAGGTGTAAACTGGTTAGTGTCCCTTCACAAAAATAAATTAGCCGGTATTCTTGCTGATGAGATGGGGTTAGGTAAAACTTTACAAACAATATCATTCTTAGGTTATTTGAGATACATTGAAAAGAAAAAAGGCCCTTTCCTTGTTATTGCACCTAAATCTACATTAAATAATTGGTTACGAGAGTTTAAAAAATGGACCCCAGAAGTGAAAGCTTTTATTTTACAAGGTAATAAAGAGGAAAGAAATCAGTTGATTGAAGACAAATTAATTGCTTGTGATTTTGATGTTGTCATAGCATCCTATGAAATTATTATTAGAGAGAAATCCTCATTTAGAAAATTAGACTGGGAATATATTATTATTGATGAAGCTCATAGAATCAAGAATGAGGAATCCTTATTATCCCAAGTGCTTAGAGAATTTACTTCAAGAAATAGATTGTTGATCACTGGTACACCATTACAGAACAATCTTCATGAGTTATGGGCATTATTAAATTTCTTATTACCTGATATTTTTTCGAATTCACAAGATTTTGACGATTGGTTTTCATCAGAAGTTACTGAAGATGATCAAGAAAAAGTAGTTAAGCAATTACATACTGTTTTACAGCCATTTTTGTTACGCCGTATAAAGAATGACGTAGAAACATCATTATTACCAAAGAAAGAGGTAAATTTATACGTTGGTATGTCTTCAATGCAAAAAAAATGGTATAGAAAGATTTTAGAGAAAGACCTAGATGCTGTTAATGGTGCTAATGGGAATAAAGAATCAAAGACCCGACTATTGAATATTGTAATGCAATTAAGGAAATGTTGTAACCACCCATATTTATTTGATGGTGCAGAACCAGGCCCACCATATACAACAGACGAACATTTGATTTACAATTCAGAAAAATTAAAAGTACTGGACAAATTATTAGCTAAATTGAAGGCTAGTGGATCTCGTGTATTAATTTTTAGTCAAATGTCAAGATTGTTAGACATTCTGGAAGATTATTGTTATTTTCGTGGATATGAATATTGTAGAATTGATGGGTCTACTGACCACGAAGTAAGAATCCAAGCTATTGATGAATATAATGCGCCTGATTCTAAAAAATTTATTTTTCTTTTAACTACTCGTGCTGGTGGGTTAGGTATCAATTTGACCACTGCTGACACAGTTATTTTATATGATTCTGATTGGAACCCACAAGCAGATTTACAAGCAATGGACAGAGCTCACAGAATTGGACAGAAGAAACAAGTGAAAGTGTTCAGAATGGTAACTGATAATTCAGTAGAAGAGAAAATATTAGAAAGGGCTACTCAGAAATTGAGACTAGATCAATTAGTGATTCAACAAAATAAAACTACATATAGAAAATCTAAAAAAGAGAACAAAAATGATTCTAAAGATGCTTTGTTATCTATGATCCAACATGGTGCGGCAGATATTTTCAAAAATGAAAATGAAACAAGAGAATCAACTCCAACACTAACATCGACAGAAAATGTTACTACTATTACTACTAATAATACTAATAACAGTGGCAATACTTCTATTAAAGATGAAGATGATCTTGAAAATGACGATTTTGATCTTGATGAGTTATTGGCTCGTTCTGAAAGTAAAACAAAATCATTAAACGCTAAATACGAATCCTTAGGTCTGGACGATTTACAAAAATTCAATCAAGATTCTGCATATGAATGGAATGGTACAGATTTCAAAAAAAAAATACAAAAGAATATAGTCAACCCACTGTGGATCCACCCATCAAAACGTGAAAGAACCACCAATTATTCTGTAGATGGATATTATAAAGATGTTTTGAACTCAGGCAAGGGTACCACACCGACTCATTCGAGGATACCCCGTGGTCACTTATTTTTCCCTCATCAATTTCAATCACCTCAGTTGAAACCTATTTATGAGAAAGAGCGTATGTGGGTAGCCAAGAAAATCAAATATAACCCAGATATAGATGACGTTAAGACAATCTTTAGTGATAGTTATCGTGATGGTGAAGAGTACGAAGAAGATAATTTGAAATTATTAAACTTGTTAAAATTGATGATTGCAAATGCTCAACCATTATCAAAGGATGAAGAAGATTTGAAAGAAAAATTGGAGAAAGAAGGGTTCCCCAATTGGACAAAAATTGAGTTAAGAAAGTTTATTAGTGCATGTGCAAAATATGGTAGAAATAGCATCCAGGCTATTGCTAACGAACTCACACCAGGTAAATCATTGGAAGAAGTTATTGAATACTCTAAAATGTTTTGGTCCAAAATGGAATACCTTGATGATTTTGAAAAGTATCTTAAATATCTCGATAGTGAAGAAGAGAAATTAAAGACTGCCAAATTACAACAAGAAGCCCTACGTCGTAAATTATCAGAATATGACCATCCAATGACTGAACTAACATTAAAATATCCGCCAAATTTGAAAACTTTTAGTATTGAAGAAGATAGATTTATTTTGTTAATGTTGTTCAAATATGGATTGGACAGACCGGATGTTTATGATTTAGTAAGAGAAGAAATCCGTTCCAGTCCATTATTTACGTTAAATTATTCATTTAGGAGCAAAAAGAGTCCAGAGTTAGCTAAAAGAGGGAACCAGTTATTAAATATTATTGAGAAAGAATTCAATAAAGGTATAATATTAAATGACGAAATAAAACAAAGAATGGAACAAGAGGACGAAAACGGTAAACGTATTCGTAAAGAGATTATGACAGAAGAAGAGGAAGAAAACAAAAGATTGAAACTTGAATAAAGCTTAGCTAAAAAGTAAACAACATCGTTATATATGAATAATTAATTATACATACCATTACTAAAAAGAGATAGCATATATATATGTTATATGTTTGGTTATTATTAATATTAATATTATTTTAATAATTCGGCAATCTTAGAATCTAAAGAAACTGGTTTTGTTAGAGAAGAAAATCTTTCAATAACATTACCCTTTTTATCGATTAAGAATTTTTCAAAATTCCATTTTATTCTTGTTAAACCGAACATACCAGCCTTTTGTGATTTCAAATAACGATATACAGGATCTTCGTTATCTCCATTGACGTCAATCTTTTGCATTATTGGGAATGTGACACCATAATTCAGTCTGCAAAACTCTTGAATTTCTTCCTGTGTGCCTGGCTCTTGATGACCAAATTGATTACATGGGAAACCAAGGATGACTAAACCTTGATCCTTGTATTTTTTATATAGCTCTTCTAAACCATCATACTGTGGGGTGAAACCACATTTGGAGGCAACATTAACAATCAATACAACTTTACCTTCTAGTTGAGAAAATGGATATGGATTACCAGACTTATCCTTTGGAGTTAAACTGTAAAACTCGGACATTACTGAATATAAATTTTTGTTACTGTTATTGTTATCGGTGTACGCTTGTATATTCGTAGTATTTATGTACTTTTCTGATTGCAATTACTGCAACACAAAGACCATAACATATAACAAATGATGGCTTCGAACGGACTAGTAGTGTTCAGCAAAGGCTCTAACACTTTATATATGATTCAAGTAGAAGGAAAAGACTCACCCCTATGTCAAAAATTTTCAAAAGAATGGCACAGTTGTACTAACAATGGTTTTATTTTTCCCCCATTCTTCTTCCTACAATAGAGGGAACAAAGTGAAGATAACAAAAAGAAAAAGAAAAAGAAAAAGAAATTACAGCAGAGCACGGAGATTAAAAAAAAAAAAGTATTCTCCGCGGAACTGCTTCCCTTTAGCTTATGTAATGAGGGCTTTCAGGGGAAGGAATACAACAAGGCCACCATCAATCCGCGTAAATGCCGACAAAATGCCTTCTGTGGCGGTGAGGCACAGCACTTACTAATACTGAAAGGTTGCAGAGGACGCTTAGTAAGGGGCGATGGCCTGGTCTGGCCATTGAACAGGAAATCTTTCATAAGCAATGACGCCCACAATAATGCAACACTATACATCACAAATATTAACATCACCCTCTCTCTCTCTCTCTCTTCATCGTTACCACAACAGCATTCATAATAACACTAACCTGCCGTTCTTTTGTTACAAATCTCCCTTTGTTTAATTAACAAGGATTGACTGCCTTGTTATAGAAGCAATAAAGACTTGATTCCTTCGTCATACCTAAATGGCTTACCATACTGATCGCTTTTCCCTCCGCTCCTCATCTCTCCTTACTTAGTATATTAAACAGAAAAGAGTATGTAAATAAATAACCTAATATGATAGGATTTCCTACCATCTAGCACACTACAATTGCATGATTATCTGTAACATGTGTCTTACTCACTTGTTTTTTTAAACAAGTATGAATTGAAAATATACATTATACACATAATTTTGTTTTATTTTCTATTCTTTAACTTTTTTTTTTCTTTTTTTTAGTATGTAGAAGATCTAAAGATTCAAAAAATGAAATGTAAACATTGAAAAAAGGAAAAAAAATAAGAGTAACACAATTTTTCAATATTCACAAATAAACAGACAATTGACTATATACATAAATAAACAGTACCCACACTTTAGTGGATTATTAAAGGTGGACATCTCAAAACTAAAATACACCTGATAAAAACTAAGTATTTCATTTCAATATTTGTTACATAAAATAAAATAAAATAAAATAAAATAAAATAACATAACATATATCTATCTATCTATCTATCTATATGTATAACAGGTATTGAAAAGGGACAAGATACAAAAGAAAGGTGGAATTGAAGGAAACAATGTTTACTACACTGTTATTTTTGGTGGCTACATCGCTTCTATATTATTCGAGGTATGAATCAGCTATCTTTGCTGCAATCGGATTTTCCATATACGGGTACATTGTTACTGATGTATTGATTCCTAAAGTAGGTCCTTCATTTATAAAAGCTGGTCTTTTTGGTAAAGATATGAGTAAGCCAGGTAAACCTGTATTACCCGAGACTATCGGAGCCATTGCCACTTTAGTGTATTTAATGATAATGTTTATTTGCATCCCTTTTATCTTTTTCAGATATATGGTGATTGAAACTCAAGGTGGTGGACAACGTAATTCTTTTATCGAAATAATAAATCATAATATCAATAATGAACATTTAAGACAATTCTTTCCTCATAACAAATTAAGTGAATACTTGAGTAGTATTTTATGTCTAGAAAGTACTTTCATTATTGGAATATTCGATGACTTATTTGATCTTAGATGGAGACATAAATTCCCATTACCAGCAGTTGCTGCCATTCCCTTATTATTAGTGTATTACGTTGACTTCGGTGTTACATACGTAGTGGTTCCCAATTTTGTTAGGGATTGGCTATTTAATGGCAAGTCACTTATAGATCTAGGCATATTTTATTATATTTATATGGCTGCAATGACCATATTTTGTCCAAATTCAATTAACATTTTAGCTGGAGTCAATGGGCTAGAAGTTGGACAAAGTATCATACTTGCTGTTTTATCCCTTGTTAATGACACATTATATCTCACCATAGGAATTGATACTGCAAAGGATTCTCATAGATTCTCAACTATTCTAATACTACCTTTCCTAGGCGTCTCCTTGGCTCTTTATAAGTGGAATAAATGGCCTGCAAGAGTCTTTGTCGGTGACACATATTGTTATTTTGCAGGTATGGTTTTTGCAGTGGTTGGAATCTTAGGTCATTTCTCAAAGACAATGTTATTACTCTTCATACCACAGATATTCAATTTTATATATTCATGTCCCCAACTTTTCAATATTGTACCATGTCCGAGACATAGATTACCAAAGTTTAATGAAAAGGATGGGCTACTATATCCCTCAAGAACAGACTTGAAAGAAAACCTCCCAAAAGAATGGTTCATACCAGTCTTGAAAATATTACATAAAATAAGACTAATTGATATTGAATATGATAAGACAAAGAAAAATAATATTGTTTCATGTTCAAATATGACTTTAATTAATTTAACTTTAGTATGGTTTGGCCCTATGAGAGAAGATCAGTTGTGTGACACCATATTACTTGGACAGTTTATTATTGGCATCCTAGCATTATTAAGCAGACATGCTATTGGCTCTTTAATATTTGGCCATGACAATTTATGGACTATTCGTTAACAGAATGAATAGTGGACCTCTTCTCTCACTCCTGATTATGCACATATGCATATGAGTGCATTACATATACATATACATACATATACATATATATAATTGTACTCTTTAATTTTTTAATGATTTAAAATACTCATCTCTTAATGTTGTTAATTCGTTTACCCATTTTTTGACTTCTTCAGTTTTAATTAATTCTACAGCTTGAAAGAATTCATCAAAATTTTTTGTACCTTGAAATTGTTGTTCATATTCAAAACATTGAACAAGTAATTCATACTTGTCAATATCTTTAACGTATCTTGCTTCCAATGAACTAACATTCTCATAAGATAACCAATCTTCCATAATCTCTTTTGATGTCAAGGGACTTATTGGTTTTACTAAATCCTCACATATATACTTAATAGTCTCCCATTCTCTTCTACTTTTTTCCTTTTTTCCGATTGGATTCACAGGTGTAATATCACCAACTATAGATTCTGCCATATCATGGACCAAAGCGATCCTCATACATTTGTCTCTGTTTACTAATGGATTCGTTATCATCATACAAATACAACTCATTCTATACATGTGATCAGCAATACTTTCGCATTCAGTCATACCATAGTCTAACCAACCTGTTCTCTTTTGAATTTTAAGTTGTTGGATCACATTTAGAAAGGCCAATCTATAGTTCGATGATGGTTTATTTAGTAATTGTTGCACAGTTGATGGGATATGGTCTCTAGGATCCCATTTTTTAAATTTTTCCGCAGTTGTATTAATACGAGCAGATATTTGGTTTTCAGTTACCAACGGGTTAATGGTGGAACTGAAAGTCGTTGTAGTTGTAGCATTAGTTGTTGTTGTAATGGTGCTCATCTCTATTAAATTTGTTCGGTATTTTAAGCACAATGGAAATCTTTCGAATATAAAATAGATTCTCGGATATAACGTGGTTTATATTTACAGGTATCTCAACAGTACCACAACTGATGACTTTTTATTCTATACTAGAGATAGAAGTAATTACGAACTTAAAAATGATCAAACAACTTTCAACATAGGAATACATAAGTAGATCATATACTGCACATCTTTGTATGCATACATATATATATATATACAACTTTTACAAGTTTTATTTTTATTTATTAACAAACAAAGACATTTCCTAATTGGGAACTGCGATAAACATCATCGATAAATTTCTTTTTCGTAAGAATTTTAGCTTAAATACGTTAAATGCTAAAAAAAAAACACTGCAAAATTCTATTGAGCAGAACCACCTCATTTCAGCGTCTACAGACCTGCAAACCTTTTGCCTTACCTGTCTAGAAACATCCTATGCAGAAAAAGTAAAGAAAGGAGCTATTAACCTACTCAGAAACTATGAACTAAAATTTTTAATATCATTTAATTAAAAAAAGTACTATACAATTATATGCTATAAAAATATATATCCTTTTTTCTAATTAACTTAATTAAGCAATTAATTCAACAACACCACCAGCTGCCTTGATCTTTTCTTCAGCCAACTTGGAGACAAATCTGGCCTTAACAATAACTGGGACGTTTGGAATTCTACCCTTACCTAAGACCTTACCGTAACCGGCAGCTAAAGTGTCAATAACTGGAGCAGAAGAAGCAGAAGCATTCTTTAAGTATTCGTCTCTCTTTTCTTCTGGGACTAAAGTCCATAATTTGTCTAAGTTTAAGACTGGTCTCCAGAAGTGGTTCTTTTGCTTGTGGAAATATCTCATACCAACCTTACCGAAGTAACCTGGGTGGTACTTATCTAAGTTGATTCTGTGGTGATGTTGACCACCAGCCTTACCTCTACCACCAGGGTGCTTTCTGTGCTTACCGATTCTACCCTTACCGGCTATTTAAAAAGAAGTTAAAAAATAGTTAACACGATATATTAAAAAAAAATAAAGAGTAGATCAATGACAAAACGTCTTGAACTTGCATTAATTTTCATTTAATATAAAAAACTTCGGTTAGTATGTAACGATCAAATAGATATTCCAAAAAGTTATATTGTTAAGATCCCAGCGGTTTATCTTTATTACTCTACAAAAGCATTCAATACTACTCCACTCTTTCATTGCCAGTACTGCTCAAAATCCAAATAATCTTGAGCAGAGCTTTCATTTGGACACAATAGAAGAAATCACACAAACACGTGTAGATTGTTATGAACACGATGGAAGAGTTTTCATATCGCTCACATTATCATTTACCAATAAGATATTTGATAATGAAACGTCTCCACGAAAAAAGAAATGGAGAAAAAAAAACATAATTGTAGTAAGCCTAAAAATAAAATAGTTCAGGCGTACTTGTTCGTGACTAACAATCGATTTCCTTATACTGTATCCAAAATAACATGAGAAAGGAGCAGGATAGAGCTCTATAGAGCAGAAAAAAGATTCACCGTCTTGGTTCTTTCATTCCCTCTTCCAAATGGAACTACATACCTGAGACGTGACCTCTGTGCTTTCTAGTCTTAGTAAATCTGGTTGGCATTTCTGATTCTGGTTTACTTAACGGATTCTTTCCGTATGATTAGAAAAAGTTGTCAAGAATAAGAAAAGTGCCAAAGTATATAATAATGTGTAATACTCAAGTATTTTCAATTAGATGATGTTAAATATCGCATGTCTCATAACCATATTTAAGAAGTTAGGTCAAACAAAATTTTGTTATGAAAAAAAAAATGAATCACAAGCAATGAATGAAAACTATTTGGTGAAAATCAAAAAAAAAAAGAGATGACACGCGTCCCAAAAGTTCGTATAAATTTCCCAAAACTGCAATTTTTGTTTCAAAGGAAAGAAAGTTAATCAAAATTTCTCCAAATAAAAATTTTTTTTAAAAAACTGTAATAGCAATAAAATGTATGGGTGTTGGGACCTGAAACAGTCTTCTAACTTCTTTTTTTTTTACTAGTAACTGTTTCTTTAAATTTTCTACAATCCTCGTTTCTTTTTCTCTAAATATGCTGCATTAGAGGCCCAAAACCTTGGATAAGCAACCCTTTTGCTCTTAATTAAGGGTGTACTCCTAAAATCATCAAGGTGTTCCTATTTAAAAGAAAGCAAAGAAATGGTACAAAAGCAAGCAGATCTTTAATGAATACTTTAAAATAATATGATTTTCTTGAAAACTCAATGGTTTCATAAGAACAAGAAATTGTTTCATAATAAAAATAGCAATAACAGATTGGAACCAGAGAAAATATATAGAAAATAAAAAAGAGAAAACCCCATAAACATAGTAGATCAATGACAGATATTGAGTCATTATTGGGTCCAAAAGAAAAGTATCGGTTTACTAAGACATTAATCATTGCTACTACAGTGGCATGCATGGGTTCATTACAATATGGGTATCATATTGCAGAATTGAATGCACCACAACAGGTAATGACTTGTAACAATACACATAGTTTTAATGGACAGTATGCTGATTGCATTGAACTCTCAAATCAACAATTTGGAATAATCACTGCTATATTTAGTATAGGTGGTTTATGTGGTTCGTTAGTGGCAGGTAGATTCGCAGATAAGTATGGTAGATTAAAAACTGCGATTTTAGCAAATGTAATTAATTTTGTGTCTTCATTAATTATGTTTTCTTCGAATAGATTTCGACAATTATTTATGGGTCGGATTGGTGTTGGATTTGCATGCGGATTAAATATAGTTATTACCCCTTTGTACATTAATGAAATTGCTCCAACTAGTCTACGTGGCTCCTTAGGTACAATGAATCAATTTTGCATTAACCTTGGGATTTTATTAACACAGAGTGTAGCCATTAAATACGCCACGATAAACCACTGGAGAAATATTTTGTTTATTGGTTCTATTTTATCTGTTGTAAATATTATTGGCTGGTTTACCATATGCGAATCACCTAGGTGGTTATTATCTAAGAATCAATTTAATTCGGCATATTTTTCATTATCACATATCAGAGAAATATCCATTGAGGAGGCAAAAATGGAGATTGAAGGTTGGCAGAGAGAACATTCTAATGCAACAGATAATACAAATACCACAAGAACCCCTAGTAATAGTACCAATAATATTAACGATGATAGTAATGATTCTGATATAACAATGTGGCGATACTTAACAAGTCCAAGGTATTCTAAGTCACGTACAGTAATCACTGCTATTTTAGTAGGACAACAATTTTGTGGTATTAATAGTATAATATTTTATGGTGTTAAAGTGGTAAGCCAACTATTACCAGACCAAGCTCTTCTTATAAATTTTTCAATATCAATAATTAACGTTATAATAACATTTTTATCGTCTATTTTAATTGAGAGATTTGGACGTAAGCCATTATTAATGTCATCTACAATTTTTATGTCGATTATGTCAATTTTAATAAGTTTGAGTATTGTAAAACACATTTCTGTTTTGTTAATCATATCAATATTTGTTTATATTGGATTTTTCGCAATTGGAATCGGTCCAATCCCGTTCTTAATCATCGGAGAATTATCAGGCAAACAAGATAAAGCCATTGCACAAAGTTATGGTACAGTATGTAATTGGCTAGCAACATTTATTATTGGTTATGGATTTCCTATTTTGAACGATTATGTTGGAGGATATGTATATCTACTATTTGCTATGTTTGCATTATGGTTCACCAATTATATACATCACAAAGTTCCAGAGACTAAAAATAAGACCCAGCATGACGAGATTTGGAATGGTTACTAAAGAATTTTTATTTTTACTTTCATTTTTATTTTTTTGTAATAAAATCACAAGTTTTCTTATACTTGAGAACATTAATCGCTATACATACTTATATATCACCTTTTCATATTCACAAAATTATATCAATTATATTTTCTATCACATTCCTTTGAAGATTCCAAAAGACTCGAGTTTCTTGCTCAAATAACTAGTATACTTTGTAGAATTTCCCTAAATAACAGAGTTTTTTTTTAAATCTACCCATATTTATACATATTTTCTGGAAGTACGTTGTTTAGAGACCTAGGCCATAAAGAAATGGGATGGGTACATTAAACCACAATTTATGTATTTTGAAAAGAAAAGAAAAGAAAAAAAAGAATATTCACAACATTGCAATGAAAAATAACCTTGTATATCAATTATTCATTCACAAAGAACTACTTATTTATTTTTTTTGTCGTTAGTTTTTTGTTGTTAATTTGACACAATCAACATATTCTTCAAACCTAATAAGTTTTTTTATACTCTATTATTCACGACAATTCTCGAGTAAAATCCCTAATTTTGATTATTGAAAATTTTCGATATTTAGAAATTCTGCAAAAATATAACTTAAAAGAAAGAGAAAGAAAAGAAAAAAACGAATGAAACCTACCATATATTGACAGAATACATAAAAAGAGCTATTATTGAACATAGTAATTTAATAATTATAGTGAATATAATAATAAATATGTACATTGGTCAATAGATAGACTGGTAGACAGATAGATAGATAGATAGTCTATTAGTCAATTGTTACATTACATAAATTAGTTGTGTTGACAAAAATAAGAAGAAAGAAAGAAAGAAGGAAAGAAAGGTATGCTAAAATTTGTTACTTTTGCATGGTTTTCTTTACAATATTTGTCAGTAAGAATCTGTGTGTTTTTTTCTCTCTCTCTCTCTTTTTTTATTTTTTTATCTTCTTAGAGAGAGATATGGCATGTGTGAGGTCTGGGTGTCGGAGTGGCTTTTTCGACTCGTCCCGAAAAGTGAATAAAATTCAAGAACTGCTAAGTGCATATTTTCTGTCATCTTTTTACTTCATAATCACTGAAATCATTGCTGCCACTTATCTAATATGTAACTTGAGAAACAAAAGAGACTGGTTAAAGAAAATGTGTCCTAAAGCTGCAATGATATTGTTAATTATTTGTAATTAATCTCCGACTCAGATATATTTATCTTTCTTTGTAAACTACTAATTTAGCCGTGACAAAATATATCAACAATTGCATATATATATATACTTATACTTATACTTAAAGTACGTGTTTAAATTCTTATCAGCTAGCTATGACAGCTCTTCCACGTTCATTTGGATATAAAGTCGCTTTTATTCTCTTTTTTTTATAACGTTTGTCTCTTTGTTGTAGTCTTAGAATAACAAAGAAAAATATTCAACTAATACACTCCATCAAATAAAACCGTGTACAATTGTGCCATAATCCATACAATTTATATTTTTTATAGATTTTTATTCTCATATTCATTATTCTACTTTTCTTTTTTTTTTTTTTGCTATTTTTTTTTTTTATAGAATAAGAATATATTTATAATTATTCATATGTCGATAAAACTAGATAAAAAAGAGAGAACTTTTACTGGCTGCTGGTCATGCCGTTTAAGAAAACGTAGATGTGATGTACGCAGACCTGTTTGTACGTTATGTGCTAAACACGATTTACCTTGTTCATATGAAGTTAGGTTGGTCTGGCTAGAGGAAAATATCTACAAGACTACAGATGATGATATCATAGATGTTTTACATTTAGACAAGAAAAGAAATAAAGTCACCAAAAATAGGAAGCATGGTTTATCAAAGAACGAATTTAAAGATATTATTCATTTGAACCGACCAATAGATAGCAAGCCATCTCCTCGAGATACAACTAATAATGATCAATCTTTTACAATTAGTGTAAGAAGATTCCAAATTTATGATAATGAAGTTGAATCTGTTTTTGGTCCAGCACCAATCAAATGTTATGACCAAAAAATTATTGATAGAAAATTGACATGTTTATTAAATGCTTTAGAAAATGAGGTTGAATCAAATAATAATAATAATAATAATAATAATAATGATAGTGATAGTGATATTCCATTAGATAAGAAATATCGACAAGGCCCATTCAACGCCTTTCATGTGTCTTCAAGTTACCTATCCTCAGAAAGAGGCGGATCATATGATACAATTAGCCTTACTGGCACTTTAAGCAACGCTGAATTTTCTATGTTTTCTCCAGGATCAGATATGTCACATGGAACTATTGCTGAGAATAATATTGAATACCTGTCTGAGCTTAACAAGTTCAAGTTTAAAACCAACCAATTAGAAGATTCGTATACAGCGTTATTATCATACAATGAACCTATAGGTTTATTATCACCACTAACGTATTTGGATATAAATATACAACAATCAAATCATAGTAAAGGTTTGAAAGAAACAATATTCGATCTATTACTGACTCTTCATACAAGTAATATGGTTTTAAACTGTCAAACGTATATCCATTGGTTTTTAAAACATATAAAGCAGGTCTGTGATAAGAAATATAGAACATACCATTTAATTGATGAAATCTTAGAAGGGCCGTATCCAATTGATTTCGAAAAGTATATTAACAAATTGATTGGTCTTGGATCTCGAGACAAAGAATTGCAAATTATAGGATTAACTCTTATCATCCTTATATTTTGCAGCTTGTACGATATCGAAATCCAAATTTTTGACCAAGTAGAGAAATGGATATTGTCACAAAAATGTGTCAGATATTCAATGTACCCATTGATCAACTTCATTGTAGATAGGACTAATTCGTGCGAAGTCTTCAATCATTGTCACTATTTAGTTAACACATTTCTAGAATCTGAAGATTGGTATCAGGAGAGTTTAAGTTTTGAATTAGATAGGTTGATCACAGAGAAATTAGTTAGTAAATGGAAAGAAAAGGTATATTTACAAATGGCTTTAAATGAAGATGTTACTGAATCCACTGCACAATTAAATTACTGGCAATTGCAATCTAAATGTAATGAACAATTTTATAAAGACATTTATGGAATAACTGAAATGTCTACAATCAGTCCAATTTGCTAAAGGGAAAAGGAAAATACATGTGTACAAACATATATATGTATATGTGTATTAAAAGGTGTATATATGTATGTATGTATAAAGATGCAACTACTCAAGAAAAAAAAATTGCCATAGTCAACACGGTTGACATGAAAAAATTTGTTAACTACAAATGACAATACTAGTCGAGAAGAAGGAAAGAAAGAAATATACATATACATATACATATACTTATATTTATACGAAAGTGTATCTATATAAGTATTGAATAACGATTTAACGAACTTGAGCATCAACAATTGTAGCAACCTTGAATGATTCGCCTTTAGCGTTAGTTAATTTCAATACAGGTTTGTCTTTATTTTCATCATCTTTGAAGATGACTTCCAAATCCTGATTAGTAGTAAAATGTGGTTGTAAGGCTTCCCAAATCTTCTTCTTTGGATTCAATTGTTTCAATGGTTCATCGTCACCGTAACCTTCGAAGAACACCTTATCACCAGCTTTAGAACCGGCTGGAGGTTCAACGAATTCAACTTTAGAGTCATTGGAACCACAAAGGACCATAGCAGTAGATTTAATACCTCTCATGTTAACAGGCTTCAAATTGCAAACAACGACAACGTAACGTTCTTGCATGGCTTCCAATGGGAAATGCTTTACAAGACCGGAACAAACGGTTCTTGGACCTTCTACATCACCTACGTCGATAGTGGAGACATATAAAGAGTCGGCATCTGGATGCTTAATAGCTTTTTGGATGAACCCGACGCGGAAATCGATGACAGATGGTTTTGGTGGTTCCACTTCTTTCTTTTCAGCAGCTTGCTTAGCAGCATTGGCGGCCTTCTTGGCGGCCTTCTTAGCTTTGGCCTCTTCTCTCAATCTTTTTAATGTTTCTTCATCAGGTTTACCTCTTGGTTGCTTACCACTTTTCTTGCCACTCTCAGCTGGAACAGAAGAAGAAGAGGCAGCAGTGTTTTCAGCGTCAGATTTCTTATTGTCATCTGTCTTTTTCTTCTTTTTCTCAATAACTTCACGTGGTAAATCTAAATCGTAATTTAAAACCAATTGATCTTTACTTGGAACAGCCAACAATTGTTGTAAGAAATCGACCCATCTAAAGATATGTCTATACTTAGAGTAAACATTCTTGATGTCCTTGGTGCTAGTGACCAATTGTTTAGCGATAGGAAAAACTGCCTCGAACATTGAGACGTCAGTGACTGTTGGTTGCAATGTAGATGCCAAGAAACTTGAGTCTCTTAAAGAGAGATTGATCTTATCTAAATTTTGTTCGATTTGACCGGATTTCAAAAGAGAGTCCCATTGAGCAGTTAACGCTAGTTGTTCCTTAGATAAGTTGACAGCTTCTTTAGCAATAGTTAGGGATTGAAATTTTGTAGTTAGTTCAGACATCGCTATATTAGTGAAAAGAGGGACTGACCAAAGCTTCGTATATATATATATATATTGGGAGAGTAACAAGAAAAGAATGAATAAGAGATAAACAAAGAGGGGTAATAACTAATTAGTATTAATATCATATAGTCAAAGAATGTACGCAGTGCAAAGTTATTCTATAAGCAAGTTAGCCTTTTCGCATAGCCGGATAGTTGTAATAATAATAATGATAATCAATATTTCAATATTCATCAAAAACAATGTCATATTTTATTAACCAGCTAAACCCAAAAATTTTCATTCTTTTTTTTATTTTAATATTTTTCCCCTATTTAATCATTTAGAACGAGTGCTGAAAGAGTACGATCGTTTTGTACATGATAATTCTGTTTCATCGTATAGAATGACGTACCAAGGGAATGGAAAGTCAAATTAAGTCGAATTAACTCAACTGGATTTGATTCTCCACCAGTCTGCAATATATATACATATATATACATGAGTATGAGTATGAGTATGTGTCTGTGTATATTTGAATAAATGGATTGATTTCTGCAATGTAGATGTTTATACATTATTTGTAGAAGAGATTATATTTGAAGTGTGATTTATCTTAGTGGAAACAACAAATACAACATATACATGACAGAAAGATAACCATGTTTTAGACTGGTCATGTTGAATGGTAGTTAATTTGATCATTAAGTCTAATGAATGAATGAACATTGATCTGTGTATACTTATTTCAACGTTTCAACGTTTCGATTTCCATGCCTTGCAAATTCCGCATGTCATAGAAAAAAAACCGCGGGAAAGCCGCACAGGGAGAGTTACCTTATCCTCGCTAACTTTCTGGGTCTGTCCTTTTTTCAATATTTTCGAACTGGTTAAGGCTAAGACACAGTTTAGATTGTAATAGCACATTGTACATGTGTGTGTGTGATGTCAGTAGTTGTAGGAAAATAAAATATTAACAAGACAGGCATATTGTCAGCATTTGATGACATCCCTCATATCCCATGTGATTCAAGGTCTGTTTTTGACTGCTCCACTTTCCTTTCTCTTTCTCTTTCTCTTGGAATATTATATATCCAAACGAACTGATATATAAATAAAGCGATAAACTATCAACTTATGAACATTGGCTCATCTGTAAGTAACAATAAAACTCATAAGGGCAAACCACGTAGAAAGAAAAATACAAATGTTGCATGTATCCACTGTTCCAGGTGTCATCTCTCCTGTGATTCAAATAGACCATGTAGAAGGTGTATAGATAAAGGCATATCGGAGACTTGTGTGGATGCACCGAGAAAGAGACATAAATATCTCTTGGGTGTACCAAACAATATTCTACCTGTTGCCATGCAAAATGATTCTACTATAATCCCTTCTAATAGGTCTCTGTTAAGTATTAAAAATCAGAGTGCTGATGCTAATGTTAATGCTAATAGTTCTTCTTCTAATCCTTTATCTCCAATGTCGTCGTATCCACAATATCAATCGCAAAACGTCGCAGTGGAGAAACAGCATTTCTATAAACCACAACATATTATACATAAATCTAAGTTTCTTTCAAATGCTGCAGATGTAGAATATTCAATGCTAAGTAATATGATTCAACAAGATGGTTTGTTTAATAAAATTCCTGTAGATAATATATTATATCATGATCCTATAGATAATAATAATAATAATAATAATAATACTCCTACCCCTACTCCTACTCCTACCCCCATTCCCATTCCTACTAATAATAAGAATTCTATTAATAATAGTAGTAATAGTACTAGCGTTTCTATTTTGAATATATTATCACCAAGACCAAGTGAGGTAGCATTATTAAGTTCGGCTTATCAACAACAAATATCGTCAAATACTTCAACCACTAGCAATAGCAGTCCTATAAACGAAAATGTATCAATAAAAAGAAGTCCATACAAGACAGATCCACAACAGACAGCGAATGCTACAATGAATATAATTAATGTTCCAACACAACAATACCCTTCAGTATTTCAGAATGTATATTCGATACTGTTAGGCCCACATTCTGATAGTATTCTTAGCTCGAAGATTAATCTCTTTACACACCATTTCCCATTGATCCCAGTTGAGTCGAACCCGCCAGGTAATAATTCACTATCATTTAAAAGGCTGATCGCGTTGGATCCAAGATATAAACATTCGCATTTACAAAAAAATAACAAGATCAATCAAATTTATTTAAATACCGAAACAACAACTTTCCCTGAAGTCGCTACTAAATATCTTAATTCAAATATAAAAAACCGGTCACGTTTGTCCTTTGCTTTAGAATGTAATTCTCCAGAGATAACAAACATCAAAAATAACCCCGAATGGGAACATTCGTTACGATACTCGACCCCAATGGAGATCTATACTATGATAAATAAACCATTTTCACATACGGCTGGGTTCCATCACTTGCTAATGTATTTAAGAAGTAGGTTTAATAAAAAAGATATTATAGAGATATGCCGGTCGATGGCAGAATTTAGACCAATCTTTATTGCGTGTTCAGTTACTTTGACAGAAGAAGACATGATATTTATGGAACAATGCTACCAAAGGACATTATTGGAATATGCAAAATTTCTCGAACAGATCGGCACACCAACATGTATATGGAGACGTAATGGACAGATATCATATATTAATGAAGAATTTGAGATTTTGACAGGTTGGACAAGGGAGGAGTTATTAAATAAGATGACGTTTATAGTCGAGATATTAGATGATGAAAGTGTAAGGGATTATTTTAAAACTTTTTCCAGTGTCGCATATAAAGATTTTAAAGGTTCAGAATATATGAGAACCTGTAGAATCTTGTCCCCAATTAAAGGTAATATAATTGATTGTCGGTGTATGTGGACTCTGAAAAGAGATATATCTGGGTTACCGCTAATGATATTAGGAAACTTTATGCCAATATTATAGATTAAATGAATCATTGTTTATTATTATATAGTTGTACAAATATATATGTATGTATGTGTGTGTGTGTATTTGTGTGTTTGAATAGAGTAAATTTTACTCAATGAGAGATTTAAGTAGAATCCGAGATTTTCTTATTAATAAATATATCATGTTTCGAACTTACGTCAAAAATTGACAAAAAAAAACAAGTAAATAAAGTACAAATTTCGAAAGAAAAAACCGGAAAATTAGCTGAAATTAGGGGAAAATAAGAAATGTAAAATTAAACACAAAAACAAAAACAAAATTCAAACACGGAAAATTTTCATGCAAGCCAAAAAACTATTGTTCTTCTATTCTATTCTATTCTTTTCCTTTCCTTTCCTTTTTTCCATTTCGAGAAACTGAAAATAAATAAAAGAAAACACAAAAAAGGCATATCTTAGACGTCTAGAACAATAGAGGCTCTGAACGAGGCATATTGTTTCAAGATCACTTATATAACCCACCTTAACAAAAAATTTTTCACTGCGCTCTATTGTTTCTTCTCTCAATTTTTCTTTGTTTTTTTTTTTTGTGTCTCTTCCTTTTTTTTGGTGCCTATCAGAACACAAAAAAAAAGAAAAATGACCAAATTGGAAATAGAAATTAAAAAGAAAAAATAAAAAAGAAGAGAAGAAACAAAGAAAAATTTTTCATCGTTTCTTTTTTTTTAATTGATGCGATGATTTTTTTTTTCTTTTCATTTTCTTCGATTTTTCTCGACGACAAACGGTGTCGTGTTTTTTTTTTTAATTTTTTTTTTGTTTCTATATTTTTCCTTCTGACTCTCTGTTGTGCAAATTTATAGTATATATACATAAACAACTAGAATTTTAAAGCCAAGCTATTGCGGGTGCTATGTTAAAAGTGTATCCCGTCTTTTTTTCTTTATTATAACTTCTTGCCATTTCACAATACGTTAAATAACTAAGATAGCAAAAAAGAACAAAAAAAAAAAGAGAAAGAAAAAACGACAAAAAGTAAGAGATATCTTTAGATAGTCGCAGAGTAACTTTATTTTGCTATAATATTCTTTTTTTTATTTTTATTATTATTTTATCTCATATCATCGTAATTTTTAAATTGTTCTATTTTAATATCAAATATATATTCCATTCATTTTTTTTTTTTGTTTTTTTGTTTAATAAGCACTTTAAACCATCTTTAAGTTATTTTATCACTGCATCAGTTTTTATATCCAACACCTTTTTTTTCATGTATAGATTACAACAACAGTCTCAAAATCCACTTTCCCCAAGCTTAAACCATTTTATGGTTCATTCTCCTTCTCCCGTTCCTAGTCCGTTACCAACTTCCAATATTCCTTTTCAAAATTATAACAGTAACAACAACAACAACAACAATAATAATAATAACATTAATAACAGTACTATTAATAGTATTAATAATGCGTTTAACAGACCTCTGTTAGGTAATTTTAATTCCATGGAAAATTTAAATAATTTTCAATATCAACATAATCAGAATAACAACATAATCAATAATTCTTTCCATGCGGCAAGCTCAGCTATCTTTAATCATAACAACAAAAATTTGTTGTCTAATCATTCAAACTCTGTGCCGCAATTAACTTCTATGAACCTAATGTCGCCACAACCATATAATCATATTAATATGATATCTGGTAGAAAGACTCCATTCCAATTTCAAAATAATAATGCTCCACAGAAAAATAATCACATTAACAACAGTATTTCAAGGTCTTTACAAGGTACTCCTTATACTTCTAGATCTACTAGTACTACAAACTTAGGCTATTTAAATAACGACAATAATAATAATAATAATCATGCCAATATTAATAGCAGCAACAAAAATAATAATAATAGTAGTAGTAGCAGTAATAGTAATAATAATAACAGCATTAGTCCAGATTCCCCATGGTTTCAAAAGGTTTGTGCTTTTGAAGAATGTGTCTCACAAACTTTGTATATGTCACAGACTCCAAGACGTAAAAATATCAAGCATAGATCCGAACACCCTAATTCAAATGCCAATCCTTTATTCTGGGATTCCATTGGAAGGGCAATGGGTTTATATCATGATTTGATGAATACACCAGAATTGAATTCTGACCGTGTCTCTAAATTAGTTCATCTTTTACATAATGGGCTAAGAGCTAATAGAAATCAGTTGACTCGTATGAACAAGAAGCCTGATTACGATTCTCAATCCTTTCATAAAGAAATGACAAATTATTTATGTAAGTCGCTAAGAGAAATATCGGATGATGTATTGAATGGTAAAGTAGAATTGAATGAATATGGTGCCATGCATTTAATTACTGCCTTCAAAGAATTATTGTTGTTTGAAGAAGCTGTTCAAATTTGGAAAAATGCAATTAATGGAGTTAATACTTACACTTCAAACATTTTCCTAAATCCGAGAGTAGTAGGTGTTATTTTGCCTATCTTATACGACAATGGGGTATCTTATCCAGAAATTCAATCGCTTTATGAAAAATCATCGTCAATGATTAATTATTTTCATCCAAACTTATCTGTTGGGATGATTAGGGCATCTCTATCAGCAAATGAAAATGAAATGGCCTTGAAGTTGTTTCAAAAATTATGTGAAGAGTCTACAGAGATGAAATATGGGTATTTGATTGAAACTCATTTGTCGTTTATAGGTGAATGTAAAGATTTGAATGTCGCACAAACCTTTTTCGATAAAGCATTAAATGATGAAATGCCATATAAAATCGATTTACAAGTATCTTATGTAAAATCATTCTTAAGAAATATTTGGAACCAAACCCACAATTTTAACCATATTTACAAGATTTGGTATAAATCATCTTTACATTATGGCCGTAATGTTAATCATGGTATTTCGTCCTCACTAAATGATACATTCTTTGATATCTTTTTTGAAAATTATGCTAATGATAAAGTGCAAGGTTTCCAAAGATTACAAGAATTAATTCAAACCTACAATAATATTAAGAATATTGATGAGCCATTTTTTAATATCATTTTAGCTAAATGTACAATTTGGCATGATAGAAAGATTTTGGAGTATATTGATCAGGCATATGAATCGTATGATATTCCAAAGACAATTGTTGCATATAGAATCTTATTAAAATCAATGGGATCAATTGATGATGCTACAAATGAAGAAATTTTAAAAAGATGGATCGACCTTATTAGTAAGTCTGATGAAATTGGACAGAGGTTTATTGCTAATGCAGATTGGGCGGCTTTAAGAGATGCTACAGTCACATGGACTCAGTCAAAGAGAGACAATAATACACCTGTTACGATTAATATGGCAGATAGTGTTATGAACACTATTCCACCAACGCCTTGTGGTTCTCCAATCCCTCAAAGTCAAGTTACTGATATTGATTTTTATTCACATCCGGCATTTCAGGCATTAAATGCGTCTGGTGCCTTTGATGATATAAATGCAGACGCAGGTTCTTCAAGTAACAATGTAACGCCAACAACAAGTAATCAAGTTACTATGTTGAAGGATGAACAAACTAAACCAACTAGTGAAGACAGGATGATTCTGTATTTGAAAATTGTTAAGCGTTATTCTCCATATTGTCGTGACTCGAGACAGTTGGCTAGATTAACTACTGGTACAGCTGTGAAATATTCCGTTTTACAAGAAGTCTTAAACAAATTCCAAAATTTAAAAGTTGATGATATTCCAATTCCAGACTTGAAAAATTTGAAACCAACATGTGTTTGATCACATTCTTTTTGAAATATTACATTATTTCTATGTGGTACTCAGATAAAAAAGCTATACATTAGAAATGATATAGCCTTTTTCATTATCATTGTTGTTATTTAAATGAAGTTATTTAACTTCTATTTTTTTCCTTTTAACTTACCAAAACATTTTATTCATTGTATTTGCTTTTTCATGAAATCTTTGAAGTATAAATATTCACATTTTCATTTAGCATTAATGATTTTATGTTAATAATCATATTCGACCTTATAAATAATATAATATCATTCCAAAGTTATGTTTTTGCACCATTAATAGAGACATTTGTAAAGTATTTTCTGTTCAACGCACCTTACTATGTATAAGTTTTAATGTAACATATATATTGTTATTAATATATAATTTTAGACATACTGTTTATGTATAGAAATAGTTGTTTATTTTTTAATGTATACTTGATAATTTTGTATGGAAATTTTAAAAGGATTTGCATATATATCTGTATATATATATACGTGTGTGTATGTTGATGGTTATGGTACTGTTGATTCCATCTAACTGAGTTCATATTAAAATTTTGTATTTTTAAACGCCTGGTATTCAACTTTCTTTATACCCTCTTGTACTTTCTCTTTTAATAACTCTATACAAAGTTTTATGTTCTTTTCTTCATTGGTTTCTATTAACAAATATAATTTAGGCTCTGATTTACTATCTTTTGGAGCAGTACCAGGTGGATAATAGCGCCCACGAGTGGTTATGCTACAGCCAGTTTCATTTTTAATAAAAGCTAATGTAGTGTTTTTAGTAGCTTCCCAACGAACAAGTTGAGGTAAATCATTGACATTAACCTTAATAGTATAAGTTCTGGTACTATCTATTTCTTGATTTACCATTGTAGTGTATTCCAGTTTAGGAATTTCTATGTCATTGTTTTCATTATTGTTTACAGAAGGCTTTGTATCATTCTTGCTATTTTCTTCAATTGCATTAGGATAATAAGTCAATACTTCCTTATCTTTTATTTCTTGTCTTTGTGTTTCGATATTTTCTAAACCTTTACCTCCAAAACCTTTGAATAATTTAAATTTACCATTTTTTAAGCCAGCCTCAAACTCATTAGCCATTTGAGTAAGTAAATCGATTTGTTTTTGTTCATGTGATAATAATTCGTTTTCTCGAATGGCCTTTTTAACGATATATGCTGCTGCAAGTTCATCTTTTAACAATAAGGTCAATGCTTGACCTTTTTTTGTGCCACGCGCAGTCCTACCTGTAGTATGGACATATTCTGCAAACGTTTTAATAGAATTATATATAAGAACTAAAGAAACTTCTGGAACATTCAAACCACGTGAAAGCACCTCAGTACATATTAAAATACTATTGGGTGTTTGTTTAAAATCATTAAGGTTGGTCACTCTTTCTTGGTAAGATTTACCTGCATGTATTGAAAAGATTTCATAATTATAATTATCTAGTTTTTCATACAATGTATCACATGTTTGTTGACTAGATACAAATATAATTATTTTTTCATCAATATCATTGGATTTTGACATTACAATACTCTTCAAATGATTTTCCAATATCATTAATAAATTATTAAACTTTTCAATATCATTGTTACAGATCATGAAACTTTGTTTAACATTTTCATTTACCATATTAGCCGAATTGACCGTGATGCTCAATGGATCCTTTAGGACTCTTATGGCAAATTTTTTCAACTTGTTAGGGAATGTAGCACTAAATAAGATACATTGCTTATCTGGTCTGATCACCTTCATAATTTGAGTAATTTGAGGCTCAAACCCTAAATCAAATAATCTGTCAGCTTCATCTAAGACCACAAACGAGATCCTGGATGTATTAACTAAGTTTCCATTGTTTAGTGTCAAAAGATCAATAAACCTTCCAGGTGTTGCTACTACTATCTTAACACCCTTTTTCACATCAGTGATTTGTTTCTTCATTTCTGAACCACCTGTACAACAAAGTGATGTTATGGACTTGTCAAGTTTTGAAAATTTGTCAATCTCTTCACTTATTTGTAATGCAAGTTCTCTAGTTGGTGCCAAGATTAAGCCTATAGGCCCTGTTTCATTTTTCGCTAAGTCTCTTTGAGCTTTTATATGTCTAATAAGAGGTAAAAGATAGGCAAGTGTTTTTCCTGAGCCAGTCTTAGATATGCCAATAATATCTCTTCCTGACATAATGGCAGGGATCGTCTGTGTTTGGATTGGTGTTAAAGTTTCAAATTTAAAAAGATTTTCAATAAGATCCATTATTGATGTTGATAATCCTAATTGAGACCATCTTAGAACAGGGCATGGACAATTTTTTCCTTTGACTTTTATGTTGCCTAATCTTAATCTCAATTCTTCAATGTCATCCATAGTTAGTCTTTCTAATTCTTTGGGTTCGCGATAAAACACTTTTCGAATCGGTTCTAATGATGTTTGATTAAAGTTAACATCAGGAACAGTTTTTAATTTTTTTAATCTTGCTACCCTTTTCATTTTATTTTTGGTTTCTATATCATCTTCAGAATCTTCCATTCTGTCATCATCTATTGTGCCAGACTCATCTGTGTTAAAAAGATCAAAGGTATTTAGATTTATAGAGGAGCTGTTATTTTTATTATTAGTTATTTCATTTTTTTCCAAGTTGTCCATTAATTGTTCGAATATATCTACACCATTGTCATTATTGTTCTCTGACATTTCACTATTTTTGAAAACATTTGAAGATTCATCGATAGTGGCAACGGGTGTACTGAAGTGATTGAATGATAATGGTTCCATAGACTTAAGTATGTCATTGGCATGGTTCTCTTCATCAAATATAATTGGTCCATGTATATTTTTAGATTTTTTATATTTTTTTTGGTTGACGATTGTATTGACAGTTGAGCTTGGATTTAAACTTTGTTCCTTGTTATTCTTAGATGCATCTCTCTGTCTTTTCTTCAACTTCCATGCTTCTATTTTTTTTTGCCTAGCTAAACTTTTATCATCTTGTAAATCTTTATTGTTATTATTACTATTCAATGAAACTTTGTTTGATATACTTCCATCAGGAATGTTGTTAGTAATATTATTTTCAGTGGATAAAATTTTATTAATTGTGGTAGTGGTGGACGTAGGTATGGTGGTAATTTTTGTTGTTTGATTTAACGGTTGCAATGATAATTTTGTTGTATCATTATCTAGAGTCTTTGGTGGCTGTTGATTTTGAATCTTTTTCAATTTCCATTTAGCTAATCTAGCTCGTCTTTCTTCTAGTAACTGTTGTTTCGATTTTGTAGTTTCTGATATAGGTTTACTTACTGATTCCATGATAAAATAATACTGTTACGTTCAATCTTCTTGTTTTTATGTTTGGCGTGATACCTTCTTCTCTTTGGGTTGTCTGACCAGTTTCTTAGTTCTTCACAGTTCAAACATACATATATATATTTGAAGAATACTTTCAATGCAATGACAATTGTAAAGCTTTATCAAATTTTTACAACAAGGTAGATGTTACTTCTAAACCTTCTCTTGTTCTGACGTTAACTGATTTCATATATTCCTCCTTCCAACTCATCGCTTCTTCTTCTTTTGTGATGGAAATGAAATTTATTTTTTCCCCATTAAAGATTTTTACAGACTTAAAACACAGATCCTAAAAAAAAAAGGCCCAGAAACATTATTTTAGCCTATGTATACTTGACAATCTGTATGGATAATGTGGTTGGTGGCCTTGTGTAGATAAAACAGTACCATTTATTGAAAATTCAACCCTTCCCACACTTGAGATACTACAATAAGTGTAGAAACTAATTAGACCTTTTAATAGGTATTTGAAATAAGTATGGCGGTATCCATTGAAAAACCTGTGTGGATGTCTCAAGAAGACTATGATAAACAATATGGTAAATTTAACCAAGAATCTACATCTACGGAGGATAAAGATCCTGAGCAGAAATCTGAAAACTTGCTAGGAGAACTTCCAAACCGATCAGTGAATTATGAACATGTTGACCCTCCTGATGCTCAGGTTAAAAATACTTCATCTTATGGTATTCAAAAACGTAGACGTGAAAGGTATGATCAAGAAGAGAGAAGAAGAGCCCTTGAGAGACAAAAATTGATAGAAGAGCAATTTAAGAAACATGAAATAGAATTAACAGCGAATAGAGCGATCAATGTGGATCAAATAGTTAGAGAACATTATAATGAAAGAACGATGATTGCAAATAAAACTAAGAGATATTTGTCACCAATCTTGAAACTGCGTAATTTTAATAATGCAATCAAGTATATGCTAATAGAAAAATACACAAGGTCTGGTAATGTTGTATTGGAATTGGCATGCGGTAAAGGAGGTGATTTGAGGAAATATGGTAATGTTGGTATTTCACAATTTATTGGTATTGATATATCAAATGCATCTATTCAAGAGGCTCATAAAAGATATAGATCGATGAAGAATTTGAATTATCAAGTTATTTTAATTACTGGTGATTGTTTTGGGGAATCTCTTGGTGTGGCAGTAGAACCTTTCTCGGAATGTAGGTTTCCTTGTGATGTCGTTTCTACTCAGTTTTGTTTGCATTATGCCTTTGAAACAGAAGCTAAAGCAAGAAGAACACTTTTGAATGTTACTAAATCATTAAAAGTTGGAGGTTTTTTCTTTGGTAGCATTCCGGATTCCGAATTTATTCGTTATAAAATGAATAAATTTAGTAAAGAAGTTGAAAAACCATCGTGGGGTAATTCCATATATAGAGTGACTTTTGCAAATAATGATTATCAAAAGAATGATAATGAATTCCCATCACCCTTCGGTCAAATGTACACATATTGGCTGGAAGATGCTATTGATAACGTTCCAGAATATGTGGTGCCTTTTGAAACACTTAGAAGTCTTGCAGACGAATACGGTATGGAATTGGAATTGCAAATGCCATTTAATAAGTTTTTTGTTCAGGAGATTCCAAAATGGGTTGACAGATTTTCTCCAAGAATGAGAGAAGGTTTGCAACGATCAGACGGGAAATTTGGGGTGGAAGGTGATGAAAAGGAAGCAGCTTCATATTTTTATACTGTATTTGCATTCCGTAAAGTAAGAGAATATATTGAAACCGAATAGACGTTGAATCCTTATATACTTAGTATACTACATACAGATCCACATATATTTGTATAGTGGCAGATAAATGTTAAATAGATATTACAATTAGGATAAATAGAACGCTAAACTATTTGTAACAGGATTGATGCATGCATTTTAGTTACTTTAGGACCAATATACGTCGAAAATAGGATTCTTGGAAGAAACTGTGATACGACCTGAAACTTGCCTCAAATGGAGAGTTTTTTCTAATTTAGTCTTATGATTGATCTTATTATTATCATTAATGAGAAAATGACAGTTTATATTTGCCATGTGCTCTTGACGCTATGATTGTTTTCTTTTTCTTATAATGCAGTTGTAACAGTCATGGTTTGTGAGTTAATTAGCATGGTTGGTGGCAACCTTTCTAACCATATATCAATATCCTTTACATATTCAAGACTATCTTCCTCATTTTTGTGAGTTCCCAATGGTGGAATAGGTAGAGTAGAAAAAATTAAGGCAGAATTTCGAGACAACTGAACCATCATATCATTTAAAATTAAATACTGTGCCCGACTTGGTAAATCATCGAATTTAATATTGTTCATTGCTTCAATTAAACTGGCATCAGAATTACATGGAGATAAATCAGGAACTATGGGGCTTTTTGGTGATAGATTGCCTCTGCCATCCTCTGTGACTGGTACGATTGTAGGTTTATCTCCTGTTCCATCCTCTAGAACTCTAGTATTTGGTAAAGCATTGCTTGAAAAAACTGGTTTAAGATTACTTGAGGATTTGGCTTTGTACGTATGCTTGTTTGGCATAAAATATTTCTTTTTTAAATCTACCTTATGTAATATGGACGTAATTTGACTTATAGATAATTGAGACCCGTTAATAGAAGTATCATCATCACTGGAAATGTCGCTGATCGCAGGGGTAGCAGGTACATCAGTAGGTATTATGGCACTCATCTTAAATGATACACCCATTTTTTGTAATTGAGATAAATCGTATTTTTTAGATTTCACTTTTTTGTGTTCCATGTTAACAGATGTATTTACAGAAAAACGGCGTTTTGGTTCAAAAGTTCTTCTTGCTTCAGTCAATTCACACCACCATTGGTTATTTTTCAATCTATTTTGAACATAAGCCAAAGATATGGAATCACCTTTTACAATAGTGTTATACACACGGAATTGGTCTAGTGATACTACCACTAAAGTTGCTTCAATTCTTAAAATTTGTAACAATTTTGTCATACGTTCGACTTCCATAACTCTATCAACTTCTCTTTCTACGAATAAAATCACACGTAATATATGTGACTTTTTCCATTCTGGAACTGTGACCAAGATTGCACCTAATTGTAACATCAAAGTATGTGTATCAAAGTTGGAAGTGGTTATTGTTGGATACTTACTATTTGAGTTCATTGTTGCACACATTTGAATTGGATATAAATCGATTCTACGTTTCTCTGAATCATTTTTTACAAAATTCTTCGAGGGTATATTTAAATATTTGAAGCCATGTGCTACGGCAATATTTGATTGCATTAATGACAAATCTTCCAAAATCTGTACCCACTGGCATACATTGATCTTTTTATTATTTTCACAAGAGTCAGTAGGTAATTCGCTATAATATTCAGGAATGTCGATTAAGACATTATTTAAATTAGGGTTATGTTTTGCTGAGAATTGGTCATTGATATGCTCAGAATGAAGGTCAAAGAATCCAATGACAGTAATATTTGGTTTCATACCTCCCAGACCAGAACCTAAAAATACATTTCGTATGCCCCATGAAATGGAAGGACCCATTCCAACTTGCACAAACGCTTTTATTTTAGTCATATCTCTAATCTTAATCCATGCATTTTGTTGTTGTTTAATTTCATTATATTGTGTTTGGAAATCAGGCATTACGACGACGTGCCCTAATATGTAAAGACCACCCTTTTTCAAATGATTACAAAATCTAATTAAATTCCAGCTGGTACGGGGATTGTCTACAAATAGTAAAATTTGAGGCCTCCAATATTTAATGTTATCTTGTTTTAATCTTAATAAATATTTTCTAACTTGATGATAAATGAGACTTTGAGAAACGTCACCCCATGGTTTTGGTGGACATAGGTAATGAATTATTAAAAATAGAATCATTATACCAAAAATTAAAGCAGACGCGGTTGATCCATCTACAATTATCATTGAAATTACAGATATGACACCACCAGAAAATGCAGTATATCTATTAAAATATTTGAAGGAGGGTCTGAAATTAGGCGCTGCAGCTATTTCTAATAGAAAACAAGCTAAGTTCATTACAATGAAAGTTAATAAAAATGTCATTGTAATTAACGATGCAATTTTATTTACATCTGAAAATAAACATAATTGTGTTAAAAACCAAGTAAACAACAGCGAAATTCTAGAATTATTACTAAAAATGACTAATCCTGGTAAAATAGCATCTTTTGCAATTGCCTCAAGAACATACGCAGCACCAACCATACCTACAATGATAGAGAATAATGAAGTCGATAATTCACCCAAAAAGATAAGCCATTGAACAGAACTAACGGACTGAATAATTTGAACTTCTTTGTAGAAAGATTCCCTTGGTATTGAAAAAGCCATAAATATAACAACTACAGAATAACACATAAAAGTAAACAATAGACCCCATAATGTACCTTTTGGAATAGACTTTGATGGTTTCCGTAATTCACTAGACATACCAGCACCTGCAAATATACCAGCAGTAGCAGGGAAGAATATACCAAAAAGGCTGTAAAACGACTCTTTACCCGATCGAAGAGACCCTACTGCACCTTTAGTAAAATGTGGGAATAAATTGCTTTTGAATGTTGATAAGGATAGGCCTGTATATTCGATATATCCATTATTGAATGCATTTTTTGTTAAAGTGGATATTGGTATAGATATAATCGAAGCAAATAATATGAAGAATAATAGACTACCTGCTTTTGATACAGTTTGTGGACCTATTATTGCAATTGATAAGCATATAAATAATACTATAGTAGCATAAAAAAATTCATACCATTCCCCGTTTGGCAAAAGAGGATAAAGTAGACCAACAGATCTATTTGTTCCAACAGTTGGAGCGCCTAGATTATAAAGAATTGGTTCCACAATACCAACAGCGTTCATACCACTATTAAATACTTGGCCTAGAAAAAATACTAATCCAATAGAGCCACCAAATTCAGGTCCCAAACATCTTGAAATCATATAATATGCACCTCCACCTCTGACAGTTCCATTTGTTGAAATTGCGGATATACTTAGTGTAGTAAGCAGATTTATTAGATAGCTTAACAGAAGTAGAATTAGAGTACAGATGATACCCAATTGACCTAAAATGAATCCAAACCTTAAAAACATTATAATAGAAAGGACATTTAAGGCGGTAGGAATAAATACACCATCATATGTACCCAATTTATCTCTATCTGGATTTGTCAAATCATATTTGGATGATATCTTTCGGCTCCTTGGGGTTGCTTGATAACTAAAATATGTTTCACTTTCTCTCCTTGAAGAAAGTAAAGAAGAAGATTCTGTGCAAGGAGTTCTGTAGGTGGGTCTATGAGATCCAGGTATATCATAAAACTTACTAACCATAGGTATCTTAGCTTCGTTTTGTTGTGTTTTGTATAATTTATAAATGCTACCAATGTCAGACAAAGGCTTAGTAAAATATAAGTTGAAAATTCTAATATGAAATAAAAAGAGAATAAGCAGAATGAGGATAAATGAAGAGGAAATAGGTATTTGTCACACACAGAGAACGTTTAATTAACTAGGACTTATGCTTAATATTGAATATTATTAATTGAATTTACATATTTTTTTAAGTGATTCAAGCAAACTAGAAAAAAGTAAGGAAGTTGCACAGTCGTAATAAATTAACAATTGATCTTGTGAAAACGATACAAAAAAGGCGAGAGATCAGTATGTAATAGGACTTTCTATCTTTGTTTCTTTCCTTCTCTTAATCTTCTTGAAAGAATATTTCAAACTCTTGTAGCCTGTTTTGGTTTCATAAAATATGGAATGGAAAATCCAGACATCCAGATATATATAAAATGATTTTAGTATTATGTACAATCAGGTTGATGAATGGTAGACATGATGATAAATTATTTTAATAATGTGTCAGGTAGCTCCACAATGGTCACTAAATAACTAATGTATTTATTATTATTGTATATAGATATCTATGTATAATACATTCTATAAAAAGAAAAGAAGGAAAAGAGACAAATAAGGATATCTACACTCTTTTCCTATGGATTTCTTCCATCTTTTATTACTTTGATTTCCTTGCCTTCTTAGTCTCTCTCTCTAATTGTTCCCATAAAAATTCTGGATCTTCTTCTTCCTCATATATTGCTTCTGAAGTCCTTTTTGTTGAATCATTTTTGGATTTTTTATTAGAGTCCTTTGAAGCTGGGTCAGGTAACATAATATCATTTTCATCTATTAATTCTACAAAATTGGATTTAGATCCAACATATACTTTAATCAAAGTTTTTAGTGAATTTACGTCAAATACACGTAAATATCTATCTAAACCAACTTGGATTAGTAAATTTTTGTTTGGGATGATATGAATATAATTAGATGCACCTACTATATCAGCTTTACCAAACTTTCCGATTAGTCTACCAGAGTTTGTGTATTTTAAGACTTGGTTTTTAGTGTCTGTAGTAGTAAAATTGAAATTAGTAATATCAGATGATCTTAAATTCCCTAATGGTGTCAATTTATTAACATCATCATCAACTAATTCTAATGATGTTAAAGGTTCTCTGTTTGGTAATAGGTCTATGTAATGTAATGGTTTTTTACCATGTTGGGTTTGGTATATCCCTAAATGGGAATATCTTGTAATAGTGACAAATTGATAATTAGTTTGATCCTTTTGTTTAATATTTTCACATGGATTTAAAAATTTTAGTGATATTGGCCATACAGGGATTCTCATATCTAATCTATCATTTTTGACATTTTTAGCTTCCCAAATTTTGGACAAAGTTTGTAAATCTTCATTCAATTGATATAGTTTAATTAAGTTTTCTTCACCGCCAATAGCAAAGACATGATTTTTACTATTACTACTGTCATTATCGTATAGTTGAACAAATTCCAAGGGTGCTTTAACTTCGTGTGTTACAACTTTAGATATACTTGTATAAGTACTATTTAGTGCTAAGATATGAATTAAACCAGACTTGGTGCCAACAAGAAATTTAGTTTCATTCTCATCTAATGGGGCAATACAAATAAATTCATCGACCAGTTTGGTTCTTTTCTTTGATTTGATAAATAGCGGTTCTAAAATCTTATCATTTAATAAATTATCATCATTTATAAAATCCAACATTTCAAATTCACTTATATCATATTCAACTTGCCTTTCATCATCCTTCTTTGAAATGTTTTTTCTCCTTATTAATTGTATGACTCCGTGGTTTCTAGTAATTATCATTCTACTTGCATCTTTTTTCAATGAATGCCATCTGTCAATTTTATTCTTCGAACCTTCTGAAACATAATTTGCTATATAAAATGTTTGTAATGAATCCTTTCTGGATGAATCTGTACCAATATTACAAATGATTTCTTTAAGAGAACCATTTTCTGGGCATCCAATTAAAAACCTCATCTTAAAAAAGTCCTATGTTGAGATATTGATTAGTACTACTTTTTATGTGTGAAAAAGAGTTATGTATTTAATGTTAACTGTATATGATTGTATAGTTTATAGCCTAAAATTGGCTCGATGACTTAAATAAATAGATCAAAAAATCCAATTGCAGGTTAAAAAAAAAAATTTTCTTTCAGCTTGAGCGAAAGAAAAAAAATTCTATTGAATATTAAATTGATGTTAATAATAAATAAATACAATAATGTGAGAAATATGTAGGAGAACTGTGCGTGAGGCTTTAATAGTTTAATAGTAGTGTTAAATATAGTATAGAATTTAGGAAGTAAAATATATATATATTAAACTTCCAAATTTTTCACGGGCATTTTTTTACTAAACAAAACTAGAAAGGAAAAGAAACCTCAATGCGGTGTTGATATTTGTCAGTGATATATGGTTTTTAAACACTTTAATAACAACAGTAATAATAGTAATCAAACATATGGTTAATAATCACTAGAGTATTATGGATGAAAAATTAACGATTAACAATTCTGTTCATGAAAATAATGAGAATGAAGAATATAATGAGGAAGAAGATGAAGATTTTGTGCCAGACAAGGAATTTAAGACGATATCTTATGGACATGAGGAGGAAGAAGTAGACGATGATAAGGGTGAAGATAGCGATGATGGCGAATCTATAAAATCTAGAAATTATTCTAAGATTGAGAGTGAAGTCGGAGGATTAATTAAGACTCGTAGAGGCCATCAATTGGAGAGGGAACGTATGGCTAAACATAAATATGATAATATTATGGTATCATCAGATTTGCACCTGTCTGACAAGATCATAGATATATGGAGTGAGATGCAGAATGAAAGCACCAAGAGATTAATTGACTCAAAAATGGCAAGACAATCAGTTATATCTGTTGAACCATTGCATGAAGATACGACAGAAATGGGAGTGCTTGGTTTAGTTAAGGAGAAAGAAGGGGAAATTTTAATTGAAAGAAGTTACAAGTTTGCAGGAGAAATAATTCACGAGAAAAAATGGGTACTTAAATCAAGTGCAGAAGCTAAAGAATATTTAAATAGTTTGAAATTTAACCATAATGTCAAGGATGTTGTAAGTGGGAGCACTATTGGTAGAAGTACTATTGAAAATGATGAAACAGATGGAAATTCTAATAACGATAAGAAAGATTCAGAAAAAGATGAAATAATCAAACACAAGGAATTTCAAGATGACAATGGTGATGGTGATGGTGATAATAAGCCGAAATTAAGAAGACCACTAAAGAGACCTCCGATCTTAGAAGATATTATATCGGGGGCATTGAAACCCAAATTAAGTACCTTAGAAAAGTCAAAATTAGATTGGGTCCAATATGTTGATAGAGAAGGTATAGAAGATGAATTGCAATATAATAAGAGAAGTGGTTATTTAGCAAAACAAGATTTCCTTTCACGTGTAGAATCAAGACAAGATGCACAATATAAAGAATTCAGACGGAAGCAACTGGCATTGAAGTTTCAGACTACACAACATTAATAAGTAAATAAAAAATAAAAATAAAAAATATAAAAACCCGAATATTAGATATAAACAGACATAACTTATAATTTTTAGGTTTGTATATATATTTATTGTATATTGTATATACATGAATGTCGTCATAGCATTAAACAAGTCAATCATGTGTCACATGACCTTTGGAGGATTTGTCACATAAAACGGAGATATATGTATAACACCTGTACCTCTCTGGGTGGTCTGGGTTTTAGGTTTAGGAAAAAAAATCATATTGCTTGGTGTATGGGTGTATAGACCTAGAAAATATTAATTTCTTTTTTTTTTTCTTGTCTTGCTTTTTTTTTTTTTCTTTTCTTTTCTTTTCATTTTTTTTTAGTATAAAAGGAGAGAGGTCGTAAGACTTCTCAAAATGAAAATGTGTTTACTTCCGTTCCTCTGACATTCTCGGTACATATTTTGTCTTAACTTCTGTTCCTCCTTCTTTCTTGTTTTTCCTGTTTTTTCTTTTGATTTATTTTTCAAAAAACCAAATCTCTTTGCCTTTTGGCTTAGATCAAGTGTAGTATCTGTTCTTTTCAGTGTAACAACTGAAATGACCTCATTGAGGTTCATTACCTTTAAATTTGTTACAACCGTATTTTTTGGAAAAATATTTTTTTATTTTTATTTATATAAAAATAGATGATAAATGGTTATAATCCTTAACAGGTATCACTATAGTGTGTTGAGTTGTATTAAGGGAATTTTGTTGGAGATTTCTATAAAAATTGAATTTTTCTGTCTCGTGCAAAAAAGTTTCTATTAATATCATGGCCACCTATGATTGATTATGCGGTATCTGTTAATGAGTGATATTGGAATACCACATATATGTAGTGTTTTGTTGGATGATGAGGTCTCTGGCACGTTCGAAGCATTCACATTTATTTTTGTTGTCCTGTGTTCAGATGAAAGGGTTCAACTCTTTTTGTAGTCCATTTTATGAGGTTTTGTTTATTTTATAAGATTCTTGAAAAGGAATTAACAATTTTTTTTGAAGAAACTGGGATGAATGGAATTGTTGTTCTGATATGAGTTTTGGAGGAAGATTATATTTTGGGGTAGTTTTGTTTCTTTCAAATTACTCTGGTTTGCCATTTGTTTTATAATGGATGTAATAGGGTAGGCTTGCTTATCCCCCAGAGATTAATTTTTAAGAGATGTATAACTATTCTGTGATATGTTTCTTTTTTCTGTAATGGTTTGTATTGGGGTGGCAATTACGTTTATTCAGTATCGGTTTTTTGGAGAAGGTTTTTAATTTCTTTTTATCTATTTATAGCGTGAACAAATTCTCCGTGGTTATAAAAGAGCCTTGATTTTAAGCACTATAGGGCCTCGAAGATAGTGTTGTGGAGAATGAGACGTTTGTTATTTACATTGTGCTATTTGTAGTGTTTTGATAACATTCTAGGGTATTGTGTGATCATGAGTAGAGGGTCTGAAGCTTTTGGTGGAATATTTTATTTTTTAAGAATTTCTAATGCTTTTTTTTGTTTCTTTATTCTGTTTAATACACTGATATTTTGTTAGTTTTATAATTAGAAGTGTCGCTTTCTGTCACATTTAACACAGTGGTTATGATGGCAACATTGTCTCCACTTATATTGGATTTGATATTCAATATATTCGTTTGCTTGATGCTTCTTTTTAATTTATCATCACCTTTTTTCTAATTAAGATTAAAGAATGGGGTCATTCTTATTATTTAGAAAAATTGGTAGGTAGATAGGGGGGTATGTGTGTTTTCTTGAAAAGTTTTTTCTCCGTCAGGAGATATGCCGTATGGTGTTAAAGAGTATTATACAGTTCATATGCACAACTACTTCGATTTATTTTTTTGCATTAATTTATGTATTAATGAGTACCTAGTTGTTGTTTTTTTTATACATCTTTTATATAAACATTTTGTCTATAATATTTAGGTTTATGATTTGTTGAGTGGTTTTGGAATTGATTTGTAGAGATTTTTGGTTCTGACACCAGCTTTTTTAATAACTCTTCTTGAAATGTGATGTACCATTGAATTTCCTTTTGTAATTTAAGATTCCAGTGGGTGGTATCACTGGGAAACTTCTCATAGATATCGTTAATTACTCTAAAAGATTGGAAAAAATCACGGAAATAATCGAATTTGACAATTAATGGTTGGAAAAACATTAGTAATGATTGATCATTGAACGAATCAAATTGACTCAAAAATTCGATAAATTCATTGTATATTACGTTGATCTCATTTAGATTTGAACAATATATAATCGATCTTTTAATATGATAGAAAATATGCTTGAACTTTTCAATAATATTAATAGGATATATTTGTCTTATCTTACCGCCATTAAAATACAATGTTTCCAAACCTTTTAAAATATTGGATAAAACATCCATATATTTCAATAATGGTGTTTTTATCAATTTAATTAACTTTCTTAAAACTACTTTTTTTAATTTTAACGTTTCTTTACCAGGCATAATTTATTTAACTTTGACTTGTCCAAATATAGTAGAAAATTTTTGTAAACGCACATTTTTAAATATTATAAAAACTAATAATGATTGTTGGTTGATATGTTGTGTGATAATAAAAATTTATAGGGGAGAGAAATAAGGTCACTGATTACTGTCATCTTTCTACACTGGCTGTTATTCTATCTCATGGCTGTCATTATTATTGATTTGTTATTTTAAAATGGGGTAAACAAGAGGACAAAAAGAGAGATAAAAAGTGCTAGTAAGGATAGTTAAAAGAGAAAAAGATAAAGGCATTTTGTTGTGAAGATATATGGTTATATATATACATATACGGGTGTGTGTATGTAAATTTAGCGTTAATTACTTTTATGTCACTTGAATGAAATTAGAAAAAAAAAGCTGACTCATTTTTTATGCTCTATCTGTATTAAATTGCAAAATAAACGGCAAACTTCTAAGAAAGGAAAGAAAAACAAATGTGTCATAAAATGCGGCTGAGGTTTCCAAAAAGAAAAAAATACGACTGAAAAAAAAAATTTTTTTTTTTTCGAATTTCTTCAATTTTGATTTATACCCTATTCTATTAAAATTTTTGTTTTTCATTAAAGGAAAATTATTGCTTTTCTTTTCATTTTACAAACCCTTTATTTGTATGTAATCAAAAAAATTTAAATTTTATTACAAGCATCGTAACAAAGTTGATTAAGTGAAAAAAAGTTAGTACTTCTCTGCTCGAACGACTTCTTTCAAAGTTCACAAATTGTATTTAAATTATTTCAGTTTTTTAGTGATATTAAAAATTATCCTCAATTCTTCGGTTGTTATCTATGTATCATTTAAAAAATAAGCGTGTCACCACCTTATAGTATATAAACAATGTAACTAACAATTTTATTAAACCCTACAGTATTTTCTATCATTCTGAAAATCTGTAGCTCTTAAACCTAACGAAACCTAATTGATTAAACTTTTTCCTTCTAGAAAAAAATAAAAGAAAAAAAAAAGATAAATAGAGAAATCGATAAAGACAGGGTATTTTTTTTTTGTAAGTTTTTGTGACAAAAGATGAGACAAAAATAACTGTGAAATGAGTCATTTAGTTGATGTCGGAAAAGAGTGTGGAAGTGGAAAGATTACCAATGCAAAGGAAGATGTTCCTTTCCAAGAAGGCAATGCTAACTGAGAATTTTAAATGGAAACAAAGTTATTATAGGTTTTTCTTAAGGATAGTTAATCATGCTATTGAATGAAACAATTTTTTTATTGGTGTACGCATAAAAAGTATATATATATATATATATACATATGATTATTTTGCCCTATTACTTCTTTGAGAAGATAAATATTGAACTAGATAGATGAGAATATGAGCATTATAAACTAGTAAAGTTAACTGATTACTTGGGAACTTTCTATTTTAAAAGTTCAACTACCTTAGATACGTATCGAATTTCAATATTATGTTCATTTGATTTATTTTGCTCGTAGTAAAGCTGATATATATGTAAAGAAAGAATTTTATACAGGCCAACTAATATATTATTTGAAAAGACTAAAAAATATAGAGTGTTTAATAAACACTATAAATATGATAGGAATAGAAGAGGGTAGTTATAATAAAAATGTCAAGCAAGGGAAATTTTTCAAAGCTTTTAGTGAATTCGTAAGTTGTTTGGAGATTCTAAATATTTGTTGTAATGTTTGTTTCTTACTTAAACTTGTTTATTTTCATACTGATTAAGCTAAGTACTAGTATCCTTGCTAACTTCGAACTTTTTTCATGAAATATAAAAAGCTTAGAATCTCACCGATATCCAAAATGTTGAAATATAATTATTAGAGTTATGTTTGATAATCTAAATTCATCGTACTAAGTGATTAAAAATTATGAAAATTTATAGTAAAGAAGATTCAAAGATAAAATGAGTATACTGTATAATATTGTATCTTGTATATTACTTATATAGAAAGAAAAGGACCAAGGAATAACTTATAAAAAAAAAAAAAACTTATAATACCACCAATATTCTATTGTAAGTTACCTTATCTTATTATATTAGTTTAAAATGAACTCTACTAGAATTTTTGATTCCGAAGCCTTGCGTCAACACAAAAAAATAACTTCTACTAAAAACACAATATATCTTAACAATATAATTATATACTTGATAAACTGTATGTATCTTAATTCTAAAAGGTGGTATGAAATTTTAACTACATTATAATAATAATAATAGAGGAAAGAAGGACAAAAATAAACATGATAGACTTAAAACGAATGGCAAAAAAAAAAAAAAAAAAAAAAAAGAATAGCTTTTTGTTAAATAGGCACATGATAAAGAAGTCAAATCTTTATGAAAAAGTTATTAAGACTTTTACAATAACATTTTTTATTCTTTTAATGAGAGAAATGCTAATATAATTAGGGTACAGGCAAGATCAAATCAAATAAAAATAAATAGTAATTTTATATCCTTTTACAATAGAAAATACAATGAGAAAAAAATACATTTTTTTGCTTTCTTAACAACGCCAACTATACATTTTTTTTATTTTAATTGAAATAATTTCAACTTCAGAATTACACTATTAACTTAGTCGACAGTTATGTGTAATGATATTATCCATATTTAATTGTTTAAATTAGATAGCAACAGATTATATATGATTTAGAAGAAGAGGAAAAAAAAAGATACACTTGTTGGTATACAACACTTAGAGCTACATTTTGTCCTTACCTTAAATGACTGGGGTATAAAAGTCTAGATTTGTAAGCTACATATATAATTAAATCATATATACTCTTCGATAAATTATTTTTATCATACCCATTTTCTTCCAGCTACTTTTCATATAAAAAAAAAGAAAAGTTCTCCTTAAAAATAAATAAATAATATCAACAGCACAAAAAGTTTGGCATATACCATTTTCTTCTTACATATGTAAAAATAACACGTTATAATTTTTTTATTTTATTATTTTTACAACTAGATTACATTTGATCATTTGAATATACCCCCCCTAAAGTCCTATCCTACTTTTAAACAACACTGAATCCAAGTCATCAATTGTGGGGCTGTGATAATTTTTTTAAACGAGATTCTGATAAAATTACAAGTCATGGTTATAACTTTTATTGTATCTTATAAGAAACATTCAAAACAAAAATAGAATTAAAAAATAAATTATATGATGAAAATTCATGTGGGGAAACTTTTTTAGTATTTTTTGACAACTACTGTCTTTGTCTTTAATACAATAAATGATAATATTACCCCTGTTACCCCTCTTCATTCAAAAGCTTTTTCATCTATAAGTTTATACTAATTTTTGACGTCTTTATTCTTCTATTGACAATCTAATAACATAATGACCAAATAATAGAAATAAAAAAGAAGTAACGGCATGTTGATGAAAAAAAAAAACAAAAGAAAGTTCTTGGGAATTTTTCCTATTATAGGCACTATTGTATTTTGCCTATTTTTTTTTTTTAGTTATTTGTTTGTTTTCTATTGTTCGAGGTTTTCTCTTGCTCCTCTTTTTTTTCACCTATTTAAGAAGTAAAACAAAAAAGAAAACTCTACAAAATAAAATTTTATGGGCTCATGTCCTATAGTATGATTATTGATTGTTTTTTATTTTTTAAAAAATATTTAGACAAACCTATTTTCCTAAATGGAGTAAAAGGAAAATTTTGTGGTTTGTTTAACTTTTCAATATTAAAAACAGTTAAACCTAATATTATGAAGATATTTTACGACCATAAAAAATTGTTACTTTATTAAAACCCTTCTACTGTTTACTTGAAAAACAAAAAAAAAGAGAAAACAATAGAAAGGTTGTTTTTCTTCTGATGATAGTACATTCCTTGCAAAGTTCGAGAAATTGTAGAAATGCCCCGCATACCAACGCCTTCTAAAATTTACAACAGTAACCTGCCTATTATTCTTGCACCTAAGTGTCTGCTTCTTTCATTCTAAAAATATTTTAGACGTCATAAACACAACTAAAGACACATTCTTCAAGCATAAAAAAAAAATTAATGCGGGGAAAGAGAAGGAAGAATCAAATGCCCATAATACCTTTGCCTATAACGTTATTCTACGATTGTACTATGATTGCCTTTACAGTATCCTTCACAAATTGTTGCCTTTTCTGTTATGTTGCTTATTATGCTACACCACTTGATATACGATTCTATTCTTCTTGTCCAAAAAGTGGGGCATCTGTTCCTTCACTTGTTTTGACTAAATCGAAAAATAAAGAAGGAAGATCCCTCGACCTGATAAGATATAAAGGGGACACAAGTCGCTACTTGAAATCAATTTGATTATTCTCTTTCCTCTAAATAATAATCTAATTTATAAATAATAAAAAAAAACCACTGAACAAAATTACAATAAATTAAACAAGCCACTAATAATTGATTCTCTCTTTTTTTTTTTTTTTTTAACTAAAAATGTCCCAGATAAAGGATGAAAATTCAACTTCCACTGAAAGTGGATCCCGTTCTATTCTCTCCCAAAATTCAAACAAGTATGACAAAAATGATTTAGATAATTTCGAGAAACAAGAAACTACACAAGCAGAAATGCCAAAAAAACCTGCTTCTGCATATATTGTTTCATCAATTTTGTGTTTAATGATTGCTTTTGGAGGTTACGTTTATGGTTGGGATACTGGTACAATTGGTGGTTTCTTAAATCATATCGATTTCCAAAAAAGATTTGGTCAACAACATGATGATGGAACCTACTATTTCTCAAACGCAAGAACTGGTTTAATTGTTTCTATTTTCAATATTGGTTGTGCTATTGGTGGTATTGCATGGTCTAGAATTGGTGACATATGGGGTAGAAGACTCGCATTAGTTTGGGTTACTATCGTTTATATGGTTGGGTTAGTTATTTCTATCACTGCAACAGACAAGTGGTACCAATACTTTATTGGTAGAATTATTTCCGGTGTGGGTGTTGGTGGGATTGCTGTATACTCTCCATTAATGATCTCTGAAGTATCTCCAAAGCATCTTAGAGGTACTTTGGTCTCATGTTATCAATTAATGATCACCTTAGGTATCTTCCTTGGTTATTGTGCTAATTATGGTACGGAACACAGTTATAAGGACTCTAGACAATGGAGAATTCCACTTGGGTTAGGTTTTGCTTGGGGTTTATTTATGATTGCTGCTATGTTATTTGTCCCAGAATCTCCACGTTTCTTAATCGAAGTTGGTAGAATGGAAGATGCTAGAATCTCCGTAGGCAGATCTAATAAATTACCTGCTGATGATCCTACTGTAATTGCAGAAGTCGAATTCTTAGCTGCTGGTATCGAAGCAGAAAGAGCTGTAGGAAATGCCACCTGGGGTGAATTATTTTCTACTAAAGGTAAGGTTTTACAAAGAACTATTATGGGTGTCATGATCCAAACTTTACAACAATTAACAGGTGCTAATTACTTCTTCTACTACGGTACTCAAATTTTTGCATCTGTTGGTTTACCAGATTCATATGAAACTGCTATCATTATTGGTATTGTGAACTTTGCTTCAACTTTCCCTGCTTTCTATGTGGTTGATAAATTTGGTAGAAGAACTGGGTTATTGTGGGGTGCTGCTGGTATGATTTGTTGTTTTGTTATTTTCGCATCAGTTGGTGTCACCAGTTTATATCCAAATGGTAAAGATCAACCATCCTCTAAAGGTGCTGGTAACTGTATGATTGTTTTCACTTGTTTCTTTATTTTCTGTTTTGCTACAACTTGGGCCCCAACTGCTTATGTCATTGTTTCTGAATCATTCCCATTAAGAGTCAAGGCTAAAGGTATGGCCTTATCTATTGCCGCCAACTGGATCTGGAACTTCTTATTAGGTTTCTTCACTCCATTCATCACTGGTGCAATCAACTTCTACTATGGTTATGTCTTCATGGGTTGCTTATGTTTTGCTTGGGTTTATGTTTTCTTCTTTGTTCCAGAAACTAAAGGGCTATCTTTGGAAGATGTTAACATTATGTGGGAAGAAGGGGTTTTACCATGGAAATCAAGCAGATGGGTACCACCAACTAAGAGAGACGAGTCTTATGATGTTGAAGCCATGGCTAATGATGATAAACCATTATATAAAAGAATGTTGGGCAAATAACCTATATTACACAACATCTAAATAATCATGGACCTATTACTTTTTTTTACTTTTTTTTATGATTCCTTATTGTATTAACTAATAAAAATTTTAATAGTTGAAATAAACTGCCAACTCATGTCTATATATTAGTATTTTTTATGTATTTCTAGATATATATTCTCTAAAATTAATGATGTTTTTCCTTCTTTAATTTTGATTTGTTTTTGTTTATACCCTTATTTTAAAGTTGACAGAAATAGATTTGAAATCGATACTTCTACCAAACTGAATAAATCTTTTATCCTTTTAATAGTTGTACAAGTTTCTAATCAAATTGATCTATTTTACAAAAAAAATAGTTTTAAAATCATCATAAGCTGTATCCAACCTATCTTTACAATATTTTAATAAAAGTAACAGGAAAAAATATTGTCTAAAATAACTAGTAAATATGTATGTACCACCCTTTTTATAGATAAGATATATTATAATTTAGGTATAAAAAGATAATAATTTCTGTTAAAATTTGCAGCACTCAGCATCCATTGCAAAGAAAGGTATCATTAAGTTATGGATACTTATTTTTTTCTTATCTTAGATATATATGTTTATCTATTATATACATTCTATTTAGTGTAAATTTTTTTATTTATTTCAACTCTTCTTTTAAAGTTTTTCGTTTCTGCAAATCTCTAAAAAACAAATTTAGTAAAACATGCAAGATTTCCACATATAATACATCCGTGCACAACATAATATATGGAAAACTAAACTAAGAATACAAATGGGAATGACAGGAACCAAACTCTCATTTTTTAACGAATTCAATGATGCATTTATGTGTATGCATAATTCAAACACTTAAGTGTCTCAGTATTGTTTTCATTTTTTTAAGCAGTTTGGCATGAATTTTCTGATAAACACCAATTTACAAACTTCAAAATAGAAAATCTTGATAGTATTCATTACACAACCACAATTACTATTGCTTAAACACCCAAATAATTTTTATTTTAGAGTATAATATTCTAATTAGTATTTCAGCTTTGTGAAGGTGAAGCGGTGGCTCAATGGTAGAGCTTTCGACTCCAGTTAGTTTCTGGGACAATTCGGAAAGATTGCAATCGAAGGGTTGCAGGTTCAATTCCTGTCCGTTTCATTTTTTATTTTTGCTGTAATATCCCTGATATTACTGTTTAGGGTTTGTTTAGAAAGATGAGGGTTGACGATATTTTTCTAAACTTTCCTTTTTGCAAAATTTTACAAACACACATAAAAACAGGAGTAACCAACATAAGTACAAGAAAGCAACCAAGAAGAAGGAACAAGGAACCAAGGACTACCTAGGTTTAGATATAGTATATAAGTGTATACTATTAGGTTATCTTAGATTAGGGATATAGATATATAGATATATAGGAATATTACAGCTAGAGATATAGAAAGAGTCTATATCTTATATCTATCCAAGTGAAATATTATTGAGATTTCAACAAGATTAACTGTTATCAGAAACACATAATCTTTGGGTTATTACAATTGCAAAAAAAAAATTTTTGCCTACGAATGGAATCATTACTTCAGGTTCTCTACAATGTACAATTTTGTCTTGTCTACTGGACTATATTACACTAGTGTATCCAATTTTTTAAACTCTTCACTTAATCACAAAATTCCTTTTTTTTCTTTTACATGTAAATTTTACATTTACACTATTTCGTACATACAGTAGATTTTATGTATTATGTATAAGGAATAACAACCAAGAAATTTTAGTTTTATTCTATACTTTGGAAAGGTCTGTTTCTTGCAGTAGAACCTCATCTATTAAAAAAAAATATATTTCCTTTTTACTTTAATAACTACCTAGATTTTTGTTTATCACCAGTTTATGGATTAACAAAAATATAAAATATTCCTTATGGATATTAATAATAATTGACGACCTACATTTTGTAATACAACTATGCCATGAAATTATTGACATTAAAATAATACAGTTTTTTTCGTACAAAACCTTTGAAATCTTCAACTATTCTTTCTTATGTCAATACATTAAACTACTCTAAAATTAAATCAAATATCCCTTTGAGTTTTGTTAGAAAGTTAATGCACTATAGCAAATACCTATAAAAAATTTTATAAAAATACTGAAATTTTGATAAATCTAAATGTAAAGTGCGTAAAAATTATGAACTTTAAGGTATTTTTATACAAAGTAATAATAGTTTTATCATATTCTTTTCTCTACAAAAAACATACTGGTTACAAAGATTTACTTTAAAAAGGTAGTTGAATGAGATGAGTCAGAAATAGTAATTATTTATGCTTATTATTGTTCAAATGAAATTTAATAAACGTCCTATTCAGAAAGAATACCGTTTGTTTGAGTTACTTTATTAAATGAAAGATCTAAGAGTTAAGTGTTATTTTAGCTAGTGGGAACAAAAGATTGCAATAGTTAAAAATAGAAGAAACAGTATGACAATATAAAACATATTTTATATATCTACTAAAAATTTTCATCTTCAGGTGTAGAATTTTCTGCTATTGTTTTTCTTTTCATTTTTAATGGTTCAAATACTTAGGTGATCTTCACAGAGTTGTGTTTATTCTAACTTTCTGTTAAGTTTCTCTTGCATTTCAATCTATCATTCAATTATAGAGGTAAATAGTTTATAAATTCTGTAATAGACAAAAATTTAATACTAGTGATAATCATATTAAAATCGATTTGCTATAATAATATTTTAGCATAATGAAATACCAAACAAATAAATGACTCAATTATATCAATATTAATTACCCAATAGACCACACCACTAAGTATTCATACTTTCTTTCACAAATAGTAAGCAACTTTTAATTAGAAAAATGTTACACCGTTCAACCAGAAAATCTATGCTACTTTTTAATAAATTCGAATTCATTAATCAAATAGATATTTTATTGTGTAATAATAACAAGTATATATAATAATTCAAAACATCAGAAAAGAAAAGGAACAGATTAAAAAAAATAGTTAAGAATAAAACATAATTTTCCTTTTGTGCATGCATGAAGACCCCAACCGTACGCCCTATTTATTAAATTTGTTATGATATATATAAATTATACATTATATAGAAAACAGCAAGCATCTATAACTTAATGATGATTACCATTATCATAGACACTGAGTGTTCTAAACTCCAACAAAAACTAAGTTCAATGCGTATATAATTAAACATTATCATATATTAACTCAAAGGATGGAATTTATTAGAATTTTTATCACAAAGTCATTTTCTTAACATTATGCAACTTCATATCGCTGCCATAATTCAAAGTACAGAAAAATTAGATGATAATAAAACATACTTAATTATTATCTGGTGATGACTAATATAAGAATTTTTAGTTTATTTGAAAGGATAACCAAAAAATCCAAATAATAATATAATATATCTATATATATACAAACTGAATTATTATGAATTATACACAGAGAGGTTTATGGCTTTTGTTGGAATTTGGAGCCCTCAGCGTCCATGGTAATGGTAGACATCGTTAAGTTATAGATGCTTGTTTTATTGTGTACTAACTACATGTATATACTTATTATATAGTGTGTACAGTATACATTTTTATATTTACTTCAAGTTTTCTTTTAAGTTTTTCATTTTTCTTCAAAGCTGTGAAAAACATATTTGGTGAAAAATAAAATGTCTTCCTGATATTATGGTACATCCGTACACCACATAATATACAGAAAAAACTAATTAAAAATAATTCTTATGGAAATGACAGTAACAAACTCTCATTTTCCAACAATTATGTATGTTATAATTCGGTAAATGGTTTTGTTTTTTAAATTTTGATATTCTTCTTCCTTTTTTTGGGTTGTTTTGAAAAAAAAAAATGAAAATGAATAGTTTGCACGTGACTAATTATACCACTTAAATTGGAAGAAAAAACACTTCCTTTAGTTCCCGGATTAGCGTCTGTGGAACATTTGGTCAATTTGAAACAATACAGAGATGATCAGCAGTTCCCCTGCATAAGGATGAACCGTTTTACAAAGAGATTTATAAGTTTTTTTTTATTCATAACCAAACGAAATGAAAGTTGATACAACGAATATGAATACTCAATTGTTTCTGTACGTATGTTCTTACAACGAACTAGAAGGTTTCTCCTTTTTTATTTTTGTGTCTCACATTAATTTTAAATGGAATTAAAAAGAAACTAAACAGTTCAGAGGTTCGAACCGCGAACTTGTCAATGTGTCAAATAAATAAATTTGGGATGAAAAAGAACAAGAGAATATTCTTCATATAATACATATATATGTAATATTATATAAATTGAGTGGCTTTATTAAATTCTTTTACATTAGTTAAAGCATCAGCTTTAATTGCAATCATCATGATTTTACCATCTTTTATCCCACACTTCCACATCGATTTATTTAAATTCAAAACAAATCCGTGTGAAAATGTCAATTCATCCATATTAGAAAAATCAACAATTCTCTCTATCTGCGTGTATTCAGTAATAAATTGTGCAACATTTCTGCATGGTACTGAATTAATTGTCAGATCACAAATTGATATGCACGCAGGTAAAACTAAATGATCCAATTCTCGACTGCCAACTTGTTTTTTATATTTACACTTAAATTTATTCAAATCTATTTGTTCATTTTGGAAGACCTTCTTGAATTTGTTTTCAAAGTTTTTTAATGTTTCGCCAATCATATCAATATGGATACTTTTTGATGACTTATTAAAAACCAAAGAACTTTCATTTCCATCTAGCTGAAAGACTAATTCATTTGGTGTTGTGTCTATTTGATACGGGCGAGAATACTTGATAATATCCCATGATTTCTTCACCTTGCAATTTGTCTTTTGTTTCTTTTTCTGTGGTTGTAAATCATCAACTTCATCCTCTGAACTTAAATTGGAATTTCCACATGAAGTAGCCTTTTTTTTGTTATGATCTACTGTGCATTCATTGGTTACTTGATTATAACCATGTTTTAAAGTTATGCCATCCTTATGTAAGGAAGATAATTTAATATGAATTTCTGGTAGATTATCATCATATGGATTTGAAATAATCTTATGTTTAATCAATTGATGTTTTAATTTAAAGAATTTAAAATATTCACAGTATTCAATTAGAAATTCTCTATTAGCTACATCAATAATATTTTCAAAACCATTACCAATCTCTGATGAAAACCGAGATTGAATTAAAAGTTCATATAATTGTTCAAAAACAATACTTGATAAGTTTGGGACAAAAGAGTTTTCTATCCAATTGAATTGTAGGCCATTATCAATATGCAGTAAATCTTTATTAATTTTAAAATCTTTATAGCCGATTTGAACCATGTAATAAGGTAAACTTTCAACTAGTTGTTTAAATAAAGAATCTAGTTGGTACTGGATGAGTAATTGCTTAAGGTCGTACCAGATACTATAGGAATTAATTTTGTAGGATATATCCTTGTCTTGTATAAAATCATGGATTAATTTAAAAATCTCTAAGTCACAATCTAATGTTATGTTATCATCATTAGTTTTGAATAAATCCGGGTTATATTTTTGGAATAAACTTTTAGAAACATTAAAATCTTCTTTACCCACATGAACTTTTAACATGAATGAATATATTTAATGAATGAAGAAGGATCTATTACTTTATAAAACGAAAAAAATAAAAACAAAGATATATAAACCAGCTTTAGAATACTTATATGGATGAAACAGTTAAGTAGTTCACAAAAAAGTTTTATTTATTTATTATTAATAGTTTTAGCGTTTATTATAGGTGCCAGAGCAGTTATTTATTAGAAGTTACATAATGAGGAAAAAAAGGAAGAAAGTTAGATCAAGAGAAAATATATTGATTGTAGGTCGCAAGCTATTAAGTGCTAACATCATTATGTTCACTTCTGTTTTATATCTATATATAGGAATTTAGTTAGTATAATATACAACGACGTATCGAAGGTTTTTGTCTTGGTTTGTAAGCCATTTTTAGTGATAGACAACAATACAAAAAGATAAAGAAAATCAAACAATGTCTGGATTACAAATCAAATGTATCCTTTTTTTATTAGTAATCAATCTTTTTTAAAAAAATAAAAAAATAAAAAAATAAAAAAATAAAAAAAAAAAGAAAGAAAAAATGAAACCTAAAATATAACAATAAATTCATGTAAAAAAAGGTAGTTGTCATGGAAACAAAAACCCTATATCTTATTTTTTCTTTTCAATTGGGTATACTAACAACCCTAACTATTGAATTTCTTAAACCCAGTTAGAAAATTTTATTTTCCCAGTCTAGAACAAGTTCTTTGAGAGTATGTAATGTTCCTAGTAGAATGATTACTAATTGAATAAACTGAAAAAGACAATATAAATTTTCGAAACACACTAACAAAATAAAGGCAACCGGGAATCAAATTATCACCGCACAAACAAAAGAATTATTAAAGATCTGATCAGTCGTAATGCTATTATATTACAAATACGCCTTTAAACATAATAATATGACAGGAAAAAAAAGAATTGATAGTCACTAGCGTGCAAACTCTTGTAAATAAGCCTAAAAAGTGTACACTAAATTAAAGGATAGCTGTGGGAAATTCATTATTAATACTATTTCTACTGTTTGCGGTAGTTGTAGTATTATGTAATTAGTAATTAAATCACAGGAAGATAATTGCCAAACTCTTTTTTATTTTTGTTTCTTACTTGACTTATTAATCAGCTTAAAACAATTTTATATTTTTTTATTGTACTCTAATATGATGTAATTGTTACCAGCAACTCTCCACACCCAAAATTTATCATCCCTTTTTTTTTCTTCAATATTTTTTTTCTAGATTCCTTACTGGATATGGGAATATCCTTTATAAGGTGATTTATTTTATACAATAGTTCTTCATCGACGAATTATTAAAATAAAATGATATATAAAGAGAAAGGGGGAAAGATAATGACCCCTTGTTTGTTTAGTTGGTTTTTTTCTTCACCGTAAGTAAATATTTAAACACTTACATTTACATGTCAAAAAACAACAACAACAATAACAACAATATAGTACAGCAATTCTAACATTAGTTTAGAAAAAAAAAAATATAAATATAGATATAAATATAAATAAAAATGTCTGCTCCAATTTTAAACCAACCATTGAACACCCAAGGTTTGTCCTTCCAATATATTGCATTGTCTCCAAAAGATTCTGAACAAGGAGCTTGTAAATTACCAGAAACAGTCAACTGGGATAAGTTCATTGCTGAAAACAAGACTGTAGTGATTACTGGTGCCCCAGCAGCCTTCTCTCCTACATGTTCCATCTCTCATATTCCAGGTTACATTACATACTTGAATGAGTTAGTAGAAGATAAACATGTAGATCAGGTTGTCGTTCTAACTGTTGACAATCCATTTGCCAATCAAGCATGGGCTAAATCATTAGGGGTCAACGATACCACACATATTAAATTTGCTACTGATCCAGCTGGTAAATTAATCAAATCGTTAGGTTATGAATTCAAAGTTGGTGAAGGTGTTTACTGGTCTGGCAGATGGACCATTATTATTGAAGATGGTAAGGTGACTTATGCTGCCAAGGAAGCAAACCCAGCTTCTGATGTCACTGTTTCTTCTGTTGAACAAGTTTTATCTCATTTATAAAGTGTAATAAATTAAATATTTAGATGAATAGAAATATATATATATATATATATATATATATATATGTATGTACACGATTATGTGTATGACACCTCCTTCTTTTTTAATGAAATAATATAAGTATGAATATACTTTTGAATATTCTTTTTTTTGTTGTTCAGTTTTCTTGATAAACTTTAATTATTCCTAGAAAAACAAATGCAGAAGAAAAACAAGCTAGGATAAGAAGAAGATGGATGTTCCTTCTTTTTCTACATCTTTTATTCAAGAATAGATATGTAAATTATACTTTATGAAAACAAAAAAAAAAAGAAAAACTAATAGACTGATAGATACAACATACGTATAATATATTTAAAATAATATTAAAAATAATGGAATATAAATTCAAAAAAGAAAAAAGAAATTATTATTAATGTAATTAAATATGATTAAATAATAATGTTCATTTATCTATTTATTTGTGTAAGTCCCTTTTTTTATATTTCTTTTATTCTATTTTCTATTATTATTGCTATTATCATAAGCTCTTGTTCATCTTAGATTTATAATAAGAAAGCAGCAGCACCAGCTAATAAAGCACCAGCAGCTGGTAAGGCCTTAGCACCAGCACCGTGGTAAGAGGAAACACTGTGCTTAGTAGAAGCGGCAGAGGTAGCGTTCTTGGAAATGTGAGCAGAAGAAGTAGCAACAGTAGTGTTGGCAGCGGCAGAAAGTGGACACCAGGTGGTGTATTGAGTAACAACGTTGTCAACAGTAACGGTAGCAGTAGAGACTAAAGCTGGAGAGACGGTTTCCTTACAGATGTGGTCTTCACAGGAGGTGATAGTAACTAAAGTAGTTAAGTTTTCAGTAGCAGTAGAGGTAACAGTGGAGTTGTATTGAGCGTTAGCAACGGCAGCGACAGCAGCAACAGTAGCGACGGTGGAAAATTGCATTTTTGTTCTTTCTTTCAATAGTTTGTTAGGAAGGGGCAAATAAAAAATAAAATAGAGTTGCAAAAGTTAATAAGCGAGTGGATCGAAGATTAATTTCTTGATTTCTTTCGGCAAAAAGTTGAAAATTTTGTAGAAGAAATGTAACTAGAGATCAGGAACTAAAGATCGAGGAATAAGAACCACACGCATATATATATATATATATATATATATATATATTTGTTTATCACAAAGAAAAAAAAAATAAAAAATCAAAAAAAAATTGTTGTAAAAAGTTTTACTTGGTGAAGAAATGAAAAAAAAAAAAAAAAAAAAAAAAAAAAAAAAAACAAAAAAACACTCAAAATTGTTTATTTTCCTAAAATGGAAGGAGGAGGCAAAAAAAAACACGTGTGGAACAGAATTTTGCAAAATTGCATCACCATTCGTGGTGTCTTTTTGCAAAAAAAAAAAATGTTACAACCCTACCGTCCTGTAACGCATATCTAACTTTTTTTTTCTTGATTAGACCCTAACAATAGTTAGTTGAACAGAAAACAATGTATTTATTCTATAGATAAATATATAGATAGTATTGAATTATAGTATCATTGTAAATGTTTACATTTAATGATTAGTAAAATGCTTTCTATTTTTCTTTTCTTTTCTTTTCTTTTCACTCAGTTGCTAATACTAACTAGACTTTAGTAAGACAATATTGGAGTAGTAAGTTAGAAAACAAGTATTTTTATAAATGAACATCTCGTAGATTTATAAATTTACAGAATAATGAATATATACGTATATGTCTAAAATTCATGTTAATGGACACGTTCCAAGATGTCTTTTACAAAACCCTAACTCCAAATCACTGTGGAAGTTGGAGGAATGTAAAACATTTTTGCTTAGCCCGGATTTTTCTTGTGCTCGTGCTATGCCTGCTTTCTTTTCTCCCCTTTAATTTGTGAGTTTCTAGGCCCTAGTTCTTTTTTTTTTATTTTTCTTGTCAAGCGATCTCCACATACAAAAAAACAAAACAAAACAAAACATGTCCCTGTTTTTTCTTTCTGCTTTTCTAACAGGAATTTCCCTCTCCTTCTTCTCCTCTTGTATGCATGCAATCCCACCAAATAAACAAAATTAACAAAGTGGAACAGAGGTGAAAAGGAAATTTAGCGGTTGTTGTCAGTTTAGTTTAATTTCTTTAACTCGGTGATAGTCAAACGTAATATCTCGAATGTTTTGTTTTCATATTCTTTTTTATTTTTTATTTTTTTTTTTTTTTCACATTGATCTTTAGTATTATGTTAGCTAATATTACCACAAAAAAACAAAACAAAAAAAAACACGCCATTTGCCTAATTTGGAATAAACCCTGCGTTAAATTGTTTATGCTTGCTTTTTTTAATTATTTTATTTTATTTTTTTGTTCTTGTAAGTTCGAGAAGGCAGAGAGAAAGATGGAGAAGTTTCAAACTCTATTTTATTTCTTTTGTGAAAGTTGCCCATTGACCTCTAGATAATCTAGATAGATTTCGTCAAATTCGACTTCTGCTTCTTTTTTTTGTTTCTTTTGGTTATTTTATTTGTAAACTTTTGAATAACACTTTTAAAAATGGTGTAGAAGAAATAAAAATGAAAAGAAAAGAAAATACAATTCGTAACAGTCCACGAAATGCAATTGACGCGCATCTCTCTTTCTTTTTTCTTTTTTCTTTTTTCTTTTTTCTTGTTTTATTATTGTTGTTTGTTTATTTGTTCGCTTTTTTTGTGTTCAAATAACGTAATTTATGGTTTCGTGTTTGTATTTTGACACTTTAAGTGTCTAACGGAGTTAATCATTCATTGTACAAATGCATTTGCTTCTACCTTTTTTTTACCTGATGAATTTATTAATTCAGTTAATGGTTATGACTATCAAAGAAAGAAATTTATATATATATATATATACATGCAAAGATACAGTACGCTCTTAAAAGTAATATCGAACGAGCTCGTTTTAGACAATTAAACACGCGATATTATTTCTGTTTTTGATTTTTTTTCTTCCAAAGAGTGTTCTCTTTGTTAGTGCTTGCCTTAATTGTTATATTTGGAATGTCTAAAATTAATCCTCGTATTGTGGTGAATATTCATGGGTTTTCTCTTTTCTTTTTTTTTCCTTCTTTGCTTTTGTTTTTGAATGTTTTCATTTCAGTATTGATCAATAATAAAAAAAAAAAAAGCCGTTTCTAATTTTGATTTAACAGACAAAGTAAGTATTTTAATGTTTTAATAGTTCTATGCTTTTTTCTTCATCTACATTATATGTGGACATTATCTCTTTTTTTTTGTTTTATTATGACAATATAAATAATTCTTGTTAAACTTTGCTTGTAAAACATATACATATATATATGATACGCTCTATTTACTTAAATATATTTGGGTAAGTAATATTATTGATATTGAAAAAAAATATCTGTTCCAAGCTGCTTGTCTTAGTGATATGTAGCGGCTTTTTAATGCGGAAATAATTCCGTCGCATAACTGAACAAAGTTTTTTTTTATTGCCTTTTTTTTACGTAATCCTTTGTCCTTTTTCTTTTCTTTTTTTTCTCTTTCTTTAAAAAAAAAAAATAAATCGATTCCACCAAAGATTTCTTTACTTCTCCCGCCGCTTCGTCCGCTACCATTTTTCTTTTCTTAGTCGTTCTAATTTTTTTTTTTTCCTTATATTTTTTTGTATTTCTTTATTTCTTTATTTTCTTTTTTTATTTTTCTTTTTTTTTTATCCTGGCTTCTCTTTTGTTTTTCTCGCCCTTCAGTATGATAACGGTTGCTATCTACAAGAAAACTTAAACTAGGAAAAGAAAAAAATAAAAATAAAAATAAGAATTTGAAGTAGAACAATATTATAAACATTTTTCAATCCTTCTTATGTCTACTGTACACGTATATAATTTTAGTCATTATTTACTTGCTATTTAGTACAATTATATACATTCATATTAACCTCCTCAACTCCCTAGAACCACTGTTTTTTTTTATTATTTATCACCCTGCTACTATTAAATATTAATTGTAATATAAATATTCACAGATTAAGATTGTTATAGATACCCCTATTCCCTTCCGTCTCCATCAAACATCTATTTCTGAAGATAAATAAAAACTATATTTTGCTTTTGTTTATTCTTTTTTTTTTTTTTATTTCATTTTAGTTCTCTTTTTCTATTATTATTCTCATTATCATTATAGTTACTGTTGTCGTTACCATTGTTGTCGATATTTTTGTATATATATATATATTTTCCATTTTAAAACATGTCTGCTAACGAGGAATTTGTAAGAACACAGATTTTCGGTACTGTTTTCGAGATTACCAACAGATATATAGATTTAAATCCAGTAGGTATGGGTGCCTTTGGGTTGGTTTGTTCCGCAACTGACACTCTTACAAACCAACCTGTGGCCATTAAAAAAATTATGAAACCCTTTTCAACAGCAGTGCTAGCTAAAAGAACTTATAGAGAACTCAAACTGTTAAAACATTTAAGACACGAAAACTTGATTTGTTTACAAGACATCTTTTTGTCCCCCTTGGAAGATATCTATTTTGTTACAGAACTACAAGGCACAGACTTGCATCAATTGCTACAAACAAGACCATTGGAAAAACAATTTGTACAATACTTCTTATACCAAATCTTAAGGGGCTTGAAATATGTTCATTCTGCAGGTGTCATCCATAGAGATCTAAAACCCTCAAATATCCTCATTAATGAAAATTGCGATCTAAAGATCTGTGATTTTGGTCTGGCAAGAATCCAAGATCCACAAATGACAGGCTATGTGTCCACGAGATATTATAGAGCTCCAGAAATCATGTTGACTTGGCAAAAATATGACACTGAAGTAGATATCTGGTCGGCTGGTTGCATCTTCTCAGAAATGATCGAGGGAAAACCGTTATTCCCAGGCAAAGACCATGTTCATCAGTTCTCTATTATAACAGACTTACTAGGTTCTCCACCAGAGGATGTCATTAATACAATATGTTCCGAAAATACTTTGAAGTTCGTCACATCTCTACCACATCGTGATCCAGTACCTTTCAGTGAAAGATTCAAAAATGTAGAACCAGATGCCGTGGATTTATTGTCTTTGATGCTAGTATTCGACCCAAGGAAAAGAATAACTGCAGCTCAAGCTTTGGCACATCCTTATTTGGCACCGTACCATGATCCAACAGATGAACCAGTGGCTGAAGCTAAATTTGATTGGCATTTCAACGACGCAGATTTGCCAGTAGAAACCTGGAGAATAATGATGTATTCAGAAATTTTGGATTTCCATAAAATAGACGGTACTGATGGTCAGATTGATACAAATGCAACATTCGATGACCAAGTGATTGCTGCAACTGCTGCTGCTGCTGAAGCACAAGCACAAGCAAGAGCACAATTACAAGACTATGTAAATAATAACAACAATAATAATAATAACAATAATAATAATAGCAACAACAATAATAGCAATAACAATAATGGTGTTAATGTTAATGATAATACAAATGTAGTAAGTGCTAATAATAATGGTAGTGGGAATGGTAATAGTAATAGTAATAGTAATAATGCTTACAATAATCTGGTCCCACAGAACAATAACAATAGTACTGATAATACAATACTATCTAACTATGCTGATCAAGCGACACATTTTGTTAATGAATTTCTATAATTCTATTGTTAACAGTATTTCTACATTGTAGAATTTTTTCTAGAATTCACAAAACCATTATTGACACTCTTTCTATTCCATAGTTTTTCTCCTATTATTAACTCTTCCTTTTATATGTAATTAGCATTATATAAGAAATAATATAAATAATTTTATATTAGAGTAATAATATCTGGATTTTAGTAAGAAAATATACGATACGTTTTTCAAAATGGATTCAAAATCTGCAATAAACAGGAATTTCTATGTTATTTATCTCACAGATATCAAAAGTTGAACTTAATCTAATTTATGCTTTATTAATATTTAATATTTATTGTGTGAATCTCTCTTTTTTTTCCAAAAGATTAAAGGAAAAAATTTTATTTTTTTTTTAATTTGCCAAAAGAACATACAATAAATAAACAAATTAACGATCCTAAAACATTTGATCTATCTTAAGCAATGGAATTATTCTATAAAAAAAAAAACTTTTAACCGAATTAAAATAATTTATCTATTTGTGATTATATGTTGAATGATCTTTTGTCACACATATCTGTTGAAATAAAATGTTCTATAATGAAATAGATAGAACAATAAGATATTAGCAGACACTAAACAATAAATTGTTGAGTAATAATTGTTGAGAGGTCACCAAAGGTTGTTGAGTTTGTTTATTAAATATCTTACTGTTCGTAGAGGAAAATGGCTTAATGTTAACATATATAAAGCCAAGGATTTCATCATACATTGTTTTTATCTTATTTACAATCTTTGTATATTATTATTTCTATGTTGTATATAGAGAAAGAAAGTGAAGAACTTTATTATAATTTTATATACTAAATCTGTTTAATATAATATTGAGAATGTTTACTATATATCCAATGAAAAAAGGCGCCCATTCTCAACAATATCCATAAATAAGGACATTTTATTAGGACTATATTGTTTTCTTTCAATATTTCACAGTATAAACCATATTATACATAAAATTTTTTCCAAAAATCTAAAAACTATATTTTTCACATGGCTCTTTTAGTTATACTACAACCTTTTATTTCTAAGAATATTTTTTTGGATGTTTTGCATTAAGAATCTAACTATTAGAAATACTTTGAGAACCTGTTAACTATATAGTCACTGTTTATCGAATATAATAAAACCTAATATTTCAAGAACTTATATATAACCTCTCTTTCATTTCATGTGAAAGAGATCTTAAAAACAGTATAAATATATTTGCACTTTAACATAATTCTATAATTTTAACTCAACTAAAAGTTATTTTTCTATTGTGACACAAGATAATATTCTACTTTTGTTTATATAAGTTACGTATTGAGTTATTTTCTCTAGAAAAATAAAATTATTCCAAGGCTTGGTGATAATATAACTAGTTTTTATATACAGGAAAATTTTCAATAAGTACAGAAACAGAGTCTAAGATCTTAATGTATTTTTCCTATTCTATCTTTCAAAAGTATACTGTAAAATCTTTTGTCCAAAGAGAAAGCATTATCAAAATGTAATCCTATGAGGTAAAAATATTTGTTATCGTTTATATATTTTCTTCTTCCTAAAAACATCAAAAATAAAAATGTTTTTCACTACATGATCATTCAAAAATCTTCTACACCTACTAATCAACCAACCATCTCTTGCGGTGCCAAAAATGGATGCATAATATCCTTTCGAATCCATTAGTGAATTTTGTTTGTACAAAGTGTCATAATCCAAGTGAACAGAAAGAATATCTTTTTAAACTAACAGTTCGTATCAAATGACAATAATAAAAAAGTCACAAATGTAATAACCCAGAGGTTATGTGTTTCTGATAACAGTTAATCTTGTTGAAATCTCAATAATATTTCACTTGGATAGATATAAGATATAGACTCTTTCTATATCTCTAGCTGTAATATTCCTATATATCTATATATCTATATCCCTAATCTAAGATAACCTAATAGTATACACTTATATACTATATCTAAACCTAGGTAGTCCTTGGTTCCTTGTTCCTTCTTCTTGGTTGCTCTCTTGTACTTATGTTGGTTACTCCTGTTTTTATGTGTGTTTGTAAAATTTTGCAAAAAGGAAAGTTTAGAAAAATATCATCAACCCTCATCTTTCTAAACAAACCCTAAACAGTAATATCAGGGATATTACAGCAAAAATAAAAAACAATACTTCCCCGCCAGGACTCGAACCTGGAGTCTTCTGGTTCGTAGCCAGACGCCGTGACCATTGGGCCACGAGGAACAAGTATCTTGCTATTGTCTTAGAATAGAATAATAATTACCATGATTAGAGAATTGGGGTGCAGTTCTAATCTACTAGTGCACCTAGATTAATGTAATAAATTTTAGGGTTTGAATCAGTCAGATCATTAATGTACTAATCTGAATAATTGATCGAGCTCCAAAAAACACATAAAAAGACAACATTTTCTGGAAATAAAAGATCATCTTCCATAACCGTTTTTTGTAAATAATCTATATATTGTATAAAAACATAAATAGAAAAACAAGCAATAATCCTTAATTCTCCTATGTATAACGTTCTTATATATTTGTTATTGCCCTTACTATTCGTTCAATAGTCCTATTAAAAGAATTGGTTCTAAGTCCAAATTATAACACCATGCGTTGTAGTATTAAATTATCAGATTCTTTGTGTATTCCAGGGAAGCGCAAATAATATTAATAGTTATTCAAATAATCGAGACAGTAATCAACTATAGGCGATACTATACTTACTAAAACAGTCTTATATATTGAGCGGCTTATATCGAGCTAATATAATTATTCGAAGTTACCTGACTTGTTACTTGCTTGTTGTTCTATTTATGTTTATATATAATATATAAATTATTTACAAGAAACGGTTATGGAAGATGATCTTTTATCTCCAGAAAACGTTGTTCTTTTATATGTTTTCTGGAGCTCGATCGATTATTCAGATTGGTACATTAATGATCTGACTGATTCAAACCCTAAAATTTATTACATTAATTTAGGTGCACTAGTGGATTAGAACTGCACCCCAATTCTCTAATCATGGTAATTAGTAATACACGTGGGACTTATTAAAACAATAGATAAATTCTAGATTTGCCAAAATCTTATATAATCTTGATGGTAATAACTATTCTATTCTATAACACCATGTGTTGTAGACCAACCTTGATATTATGATTAAATAAAAAAAAGGATTAGGGTTGAAAAATATTGTTAGGGTATTTGTAATGGTTGTCAAGAAAAAGTTCTAGTCTGGATTTATAGGACTTAGGATTTGTTGATAAATCCCATGTGATTGTTGAATACTAAGTAACAAAATGAAACATTCATGAAACATCAATGAGTTAATTAATGAGAGATGTGTTTACGGTGACAATCGTTACAGAACCCCAAATAAGAAACTATCAACCCATGATTCATATATAAAGGACCATCATCTTGATATCTAAATTTGTATGTTTAATTGATTTATAATTATATGTAACATATTGTATAATACGAAAAAGAACAAGCAATAATCCTTTAATTCTCTTATATATATAACGTTCTTATATATTTGTTATTGCCCTTACTATTCGTCCAATAGTCCTATTAAAAGAATTGGTTCTAAGTCCAAATTATAACACCATGTGCTGTTGTTTGGATTATACAACTAACCTATATAATTGAACTGCCGAACGGAAAATTAGGGCAATAAAAAAGTATTATTGGAATTTGGAGCCCTCAGCGTCCATGGTAATGGTAGACATCGTTAAGTTATAGATGCTTGTTTTATTGTGTACTAACTACATGTATATACTTATTATATAGTGTGTACAGTATACATTTTTATATTTACTTCAAGTTTTCTTTTAAGTTTTTCATTTTTCTTCAAAGCTGTGAAAAACATATTTGGTGAAAAATAAAATGTCTTCCTGATATTATGGTACATCCGTACACCACATAATATACAGAAAAAACTAATTAAAAATAATTCTTATGGAAATGACAGTAACAAACTCTCATTTTCCAACAATTATATATAGAAGAACAATAACTTTAAGAAGAAAATTCATCTTTCATAACTTCCCTTTCATACACGATCTATATAATATGTACAATAAGATATAACGGGAATTAAAAAGAAAAGTCAGGATCAATATCTCAAGAAAAATAAGTTTAAGATAGTCCATTTACTAATATCATTAATGATAAAAATAAACCCATATTTAATTAACAGTGGATAATGAAAAACAGAATCAAAATAACTTGACAATCTTATTTTAAACCTATACACATATAACTATTTTTTTTAAGCATTTTTGTTGCTATTCAACCAAATGAAGTTCTATAAAAAAACCCTTTTATTAGAGTTACGAGATATCTTATAACTCATATGGTCTAATTACATACATAGTTTCCAAATATTTTTAATTACAATAATGTATGTTTTTTCAACTTGCGTAAATTTTTTGTTTTGATCTTTTTATCCGTTGAACTATTATATATTGTAATTGCAAATAATTGTATCCATAATTTTTTTAGTTATAGCCACTACAAAAAAATAACTAAGAGAATTAATATTACGGTAATAAACATGGGTTTGATATACCCGTTAACAACTACTTTATAATACTCTATCAATCTTATATAACTTAAAAATATTTACTCTCTACAAAAATCGAAAAAAAAAAACTGCAACCAAACTTTTCAAACAAATTTGATAATGATACTGAAAAATCTGTATTCTATTATTAATCATTAAGTTCATTTATGGCTCTGTTAATAAAATATCACAATAATATACTTACTAAAAAACAAAATCTTCCTAAATTTTTTAGTCTATACTTACAACATAAACCAATATTTTATACAGTCAATAATTTCATATCAAATGATTTTCGGAATAAACAAAAAAATAAAAAACTATTAATCTCTTATGTAGCTACGTACCTATGAGCTAGTTCCCTTTATCTAAAACAACGGTCGAATCAACATTTAATTCCTCACCACTATTATTATGAGAAATAGATAGACCAGATACCGTCTCGTCGCTACTATCTTCATTTTGATTTTTATTGACATAAATTCCAAGTCCCAATAAAGCATTTTCAAAAACATTTCTTGTACTTTTGTGAGATAAATTATTATTTAAACTAATCTCCTTGGTAACATGAGACATATCTTCTTCCTTTTCTTTGAGAAATTCATTTTTTGAAGTGGTTAATTGGTCATCATCTCTTGTAGATTGTTCTGTTTGTTGGTGTTGCTCTTTCTTATCCTTTTTAAAATACTCTTTCCATTGGCTCCATATATTATTTGTTGGTGGTTGCAACTGACTGTTAGATACCATTGATGAATTTAAGATTGACTGAGATCCAGACGCTGTTCTTGATATACTATTTGCTTCATCTTCATTAGAAACTTTATTTATACTGTTATCATTATCAACATTTTCCTTATCGTTATTTTTATCTAGATTCTTTGCGTCACTATTAATACTCTCCTTACTTCGACTAGCCGTACTTTTTTTCAAATTTTGTAAAGTATTTAGAAACCTTTGTTGAAATATAGTAAATGGATCAACACCATTGTAAACATGTCTTGGCGGGAATAAATCAAAAATACGATCATCTGTTATAGCATTGAAAATGCGGAAATTTTGTGTAGTCAACCATGATTTTACCCAATTAATATTAAATGTATTTATTGGTCTATTTTTAATCATATCTTCTGGAATTGTAGCCATTGCCATTTCATTACCATCATGTAACTTCAGATATTCATATAATTTTACACTGCTTAATAAACCAAACAAATATTCTTCAAATTGACTTCGAAGGAAATCATCACTACCTTCATATGATATATTTGTTATCTTTGTAGATTTTTCGTCTAAATTATCCGAACTAATGTTGTTAGAAGTCTCTACTGAATTAACAATATCCACAAGTGAATCAATCCATTTCTTATCATGATGTGAAAGACTTAATAATGGTTGCAAATCTTTATTGAGAATCTCAATAGTGTTTTCATCCATATTAACAAAAACTTCACATAATTGGTCTCTTTGTTCGTATAATAAAGAATTTGACGTTCCAATCATGAAAAATTTTGTCTTATCACTTTTAATGTTACCAATTTGTTGTAGTGGTGTGTAAGGTGAAAACAATCCACCTTTCTCAAATATTCGTAAAGGTAACCCAAGAAACTTATAAACAGATTTTTTATCACTAGATTTAAAAGAGTCAACTACTTGCCCATTCTCCAGGCCTTTCTTATCATATAACTGTGGACTAATGGAATCATCCAAGTTAAATATTAAATCAGGTATTAGACTTATTAAACCAAATTGTAAATTACAAATATTTTCAACATGGTTCCCATAAACAATAATTTTTCTTTCCAATAGCAATGCCTTTAACAAAACCAATAAATTTTTTTTGTATGTCAATAATAAATTTTGTAAATGTATGCCCATATAAGTTTGACTATTATCGTTGTCTTGTGACAAGTATTTATAACTAATGGGACTATATATCGATATGAGACTATCATATAATGTATTTATTATTTTCTTGTCTGTAAAATCATGCTGCATGAAGAATACATTGGTAACAATACTTAACTTCTCTTTAATTTGACTTAGAATTGGTTTAAAAGATATCACCACAATTGCTTTTTGAACAGTCGATCTAGTTACACTCTCATCTTTAATCAAAAGTTCATCAGATTTAATCTGTTGTGAACACGATATTCCATACAATGTCGTATAATTCTCCATTTCACTCTCTGATATTTTAGTTACATCATTTGGATAACTAGATTTATCTTGTTTATTATAAAGTAAGGTGAAGTATGTGAACGTTTCTTCAAAAGAATGTGAGCCATCCGGAAGGGCTTGAAATGGTAAATCTGTCCATAATCGATCTGCTTGAACGCCGTCTGGTAAACCATACCAATATTCTACTTCTGGACCTCTTTTATGATGAAAGTCAACCAAACAAACACCAAATATTATTGATTCCATATCTATTCATTTATATTGTCTCTGGTGTTGCAATCATATAATATCTTCCGGTAGTTAGCAACTAATAAAATAAGAACAATCAATGTCAACAACAAAGAAAATCTCTAAGACATGCTAATATCTTATAGATTATCCACTTGTTGTTATTTTTGAAGAGACATCCTTCATTATCTTTACTTAACTTTACCGTCACTTAGTATTTTTTTTGACCTCAGCGAGTTTAACTTATTTGAAAAAATCTTCAATTTTGGTTATTAAAGATATCGTTGAATCTGAAACAAAGCCACCATAAACAAACATACACGCAAACAAGCAAAAACGGCATATTTGCTCAGTCGTAGCTATTAATTAACCGATCCCTTTGTAATCACTAGTTAAAAACTCCAAAGGCATTTATTATTCTTTGTTTTACTCTAAAAATCTAGTTGGTGCTAATAGGATGACATTCAAATATTTATGTTGTGATGACGGTTCTGGAACTCTGGTCGGAACTGTACTTCAATTTGAAAATGTGACAATTTTAATTGATCCCAGTTGGGTTGCAGACAAAATATCTTATAAAGCAGCAGTCAGTTATTGGTCTGAAGTGATCCCCACAATTGATTTGATCATTTTGTCTGAACCAACAATCGAATCCCTGGGTGCCTACGCCTTATTATTTTACAATTTTCTGTCGCATTTCATCTCAAGAATTGACGTGTATGCAACTTTGCCGATTTCAAATTTAGGCCGTGTCTCTACAATCGATTATTATGTAAATAGAGGTATTGTGGGACCATTCACTACCAATGAAATGGATTTGGATGACATTGAAAAAGCCTTCGATTTTATTAAAAGTTTAAGATACTCTCAAATTGTGGATTTAAAGTTTAAGTTTGATGGATTAACTTTGACTGCATTCAATTCTGGATCAACACCTGGTGGATCACTTTGGTGTATTTCTACATATGAAGAAAAAATAATATACGCAAAAAGATGGAACCATACTAAGGGTACACTTCTAAATGGAGCGAACTTACTGGATAATAGTGGAAAACCTATATCAGCATTAATGAGACCATCTGCAATCATAACCACTTTTGATAAGTTTGGTGTATCTAAACCATTTAAAAGACGTAACAGAGAATTCAAAGATCTTATTAAGCAATTGATAACAAAAAAATCGATAAATAATACTATCATTATTCCGGTAGAAATTACTAGTAGATTTCTAGAATTATTTGTAATTATCCATGAATTAATATATAACAGTAATAAATTAGGTCAATCATTAAACATTCCTGTATTGTTTATTTCATATAGCCGTGGAAGAAATCTAACATATGCAAAATCTATGTTAGAATGGTTAACAGCGTCATTATTAAAGAATTGGGGAGCTAAAGACAACAAATCTCCATTCATTATGGGTAATTGTTTCCATGTAATAAAGATTGAAGAATTAAATAAATTCCAAGGTCCTAAGATCTGTTTGGTGTCAAATGTGGATACTTTAGTAAACAAAGTTATAGATAAACTTAATAATTCTGATAATTTAAATATAATATTAACAGAAGCCATAAGCAAGATAAATTCTAACCCAGATAGCTTGTTGTCTAAATTTTATGAGAGATGGAATGTTTCAATTAAAAATGACTCAAATTTTAAAGATGGTAATACTATTCAATTTAAAGACTCTATTGCCTTGACGGTCTGGAAGAATGAATATTTGAAGGATAAAGAACTGGAGGACTTTAAAACAAAAATAATAGAAAGAAGGGAAACAAATAAAAGAAAAGAAAACCAATTAAGACAGGAACTGAAGAAAGGTACTGACAGTTTTCAAATGAATAATGGAAATAAAAATAATATGAATGGAATTAGGAGCAATGATTTTAATATAAATGGAATAAGTAATAATGAAGGACGTAATAATGAAGAAGATGATGACGGAGAAGATGACGACGACGACATATTTTTAATGAAGAATAGAGCAAATATTAATAATCTGAATTACGAAATACCTGTAGATATGCACACAACCGGGAAATCAAAGTATAAAATGTTCCCATTTAATCCAAAAAGAGAAAAACCTGATGATTATGGTACAATTGTTGATTTCACTAAATTTATACCCAAGGAGGAGAGAGATACCGAATTTGAAAATGATGAAATAGAGGACTCCAATACTTCAAGCAAAGATAAAAACATATTAAGAGGAACCAAAAGAAAACATACTAACCTTGGTGGTAGGAATAAAAATAAGAGTGGAAATGAATATTATAATATTGATGAAGACGAAGAAGATGAAGATGAGTATATTATTACTGATATCCCAATAAAGAGAACAAAAAGAGGTCGACCATCTAAGGATATCAACTATAATGAAGATTCAAATGAAAACTTTGATAATATAGACTATTTGGATGCATTAAATAACCCATCAAAAAGAGTTTGTGAAACAAAAACTATAACACTAAATGTGAATTTGATCCCTTTTAGTTTAGAGAACATTGTAGACCAAAGATCTGCTGCTGTTATTTGGCCATTATTGAAATCAAGAAAAATAATTCTATTAGGACCACCAGAAGCCCAAAACGAGACTATTATAAATAACCTAAATAAAAAGAACATTGATGTTATGAAAACAAGATTTAGCGATAAAATTGTTATAGATACCAAGATCAAAACTTTAGATATTTCCATTGATATGGAACTAGATCAATTATTAAACTGGCAAAAGATTGGTAATGACCATACAATTGCTCAAGTAGTGGGACGTTTAGTGAAAGAAAAACCCAAAGATCATGCGAATGAACACTACCATTCAAGAGAAAAACTAATATTAAAAGCATTAGACAAACCTTCTGTTTTGCATCCAACAGGCACATTGTCTGTTGGGGATGTTCGTCTAGCTGAATTAAAACGTAAGTTAACAGAACAAGACCATTCTGCGGAATTCAAAGGAGAAGGTATGTTAGTTGTTGACAATGAAGTAGCTGTTAGAAAGATAAATGATGGTGAAACCGTTATAGATGGTTCCCCATCAGAACTGTTTGACACAGTTAAATCTATGGTTACTGAAATGTTAGCCAAAATATAGGATAAGAAAGCTGTTTCCTATCTTTTTATATATATATACATACATATCTTACAGTTAGATATATTCATTCTTTCACTGTAATCATATAAACAACAGCTATAATAAGGATACAATTGATTCATTGTTATAAATGATTCAAACAAACTACAAACACCCATTCTATTATCACTTCTATTATTTGTTCTTTCACCCTTCGTTGATACCAATACAAATCTTGCCTCTGTGTTATAGTAGCTGCTTTAACTGTCTGTCTGTGTATATATTTAAGTTTTTTTATGCCATTAAAGATTATTAGATTTTGGAAAGAAGATTACAATAAATTTTTTCAGATGTCTACAGAAAATTTCAAAGATTGATCCAACAGATACACTGAAACACACAGATTGATACACATATTTGCATACCAACGTTTATATTCTAGATGATTTAAAATTATTGTTAGTTATAATTCAATAGAGAAGAATAACTAGAACAAATTTTAAACCAACTGGTGCAGGGAAAAACCATATATATATAAATAAAAAATTGCACATACTACTTTTTTATTTGAGTAATAATAATTTAGATATATTGCAATGCCAGACATAGAAGAACGTGGCCGTACTGAATCTAAGAAGTCTTTAAAAGTTAACCGTTCACTTTGGAATGGTGGGAAACCTACTAAGATACAGAAAAAAGGTGAAAAATTACCAATTAATATTACTGGACCACTTACATTAGAACAAATGTGTGCATACCAAGCTATGTATAGAATTAAAGAGATTACTAGTTTACTCAATAAGGAACACCTTAAACCTCCCGAATATCTACTCAGGTCCCAATCACCACCACCAAAATATGATGCTCAAGGTAGAAGAACTAATACAAAGGAACAGATATATAGAAAAAAATTAGAGATGGAAAGATATAGATTAGTAGAGATTGCATGGAGAATGATTCCATTTTATACACATCCAGAGGGATATGTTAAACCTTCCACATTTGAGGAAAAATATTATATTCCAGTCGATCAATATCCTGAGATTAATTTTGTTGGGTTATTACTTGGTCCTCGTGGTAACACTTTGAAAAGATTACAATTAGAATCTAAATGTAAAATCGCTATCAGAGGTCGTGGTTCAGTAAAAGAGGGTAAAAGTGCTAGTGATTTACCAGAAGGTGCAATGAACATGGAAGATCCTCTTCATTGTCTTGTAATTGCTGATTCAGAGGACAAAGTAATTAAGGGTATAAAATGTTGTCAAGGTGTTGTGATAAAAGCTGTAACTTCTCCTGAGGGACAAAACGATTTAAAAAGAAACCAACTGAGAGATTTAGCCGAATTGAATGGGACTCTTAGGGAAGACACATCACCATGTACTATTTGTGGTTTAAAAGGTCATAAGAAATATGACTGTCCGGAAAGAGAATCTGTTGCATTTAGAATTATCTGTCATAAGTGTGGCCAACCTGGTCATATTACGAGAGATTGTCAAACCCAGGTTCCTCAAAATACTAGTAACAATGATTCCTTTATAAGTAAAACGCAGAATCGATTCCAACCTGCAACAATTACCACTACTACCTCTCCTAATAACAATATTACTGCAACTGGATCTAATTTTAAACACTTACAGGGAACATCATCTTCAAGGTATCAGAATTCTGCTTATCAATCAAAGTATTCCAATTCATATAATACTAATAACAATCAAGATAATTCAAGGTATGGTGACGGAAAATATGCAAACAATGTTACTAGAAGATATCAATCAAGGTACCAAAGGACTATTCAGCCCCAACAACATATACAAAGTTTTAATGACGTAAACTATGATAATAATTATCATAACAATAGATATAACAAGAATACATTGCTACGGAATAATTCAACAAATATAAATTCCAATGCTTTCCTTGATGCAAAAGAATCAGCAAAAAATCATATATCAACAATAAATGTAGCCCCTGGGTTAGATAGTTTTGAAACTTCTATGACTCCACCAGGGATATCGATGTTTACTCCTCCTATTCCTGGTTTAGAAGCAAATAGAAAATCTATTACACAACCAGAAAATAATAATGGTGGTGAAATATCTGTTCCTCCAGGCTTAAATGAACCCTCTTTACATAATCCATCATTACCCCCAGGTTTGTCTGATCCAAGTATTGATATGTCAACATCTTCATTACCACCTGGATTGGCATCAGATACTCCACCTGAAAACTCTCATTTACCACCACGTTTAGCAGGTCCACCAGGCCTATGATTACATATATAAGATATGTACTGTCTGACCTTACTTTCTTAAATTAAGGTTCATCGAAATATAGTATCCACGAACAATAGTATATTTGATCCAAATATTTATAAAATGTTCTATATCGAACTTATATAATTATTTGTTTTGGTCTTGTTTCCATTTCTTAACCAAAGCTAAGAATTTAGAAGAATTATTTTCTGACTCAACTGATAATTCATTATCCTCAGGAAATATATAATTGATCTTCTCCAACTCAACCCCATTTTGTAAAAATCGTTTTCTTTCTAATTTAGGCAGCCTTTTAGAAACCCTGTCTTGTGTCTCATCAGTACCAAATCTCTTTTCAAATTCTTGTAAAGCCTTTAACAACTCAAATCTATTTTTGGAATCATTCTTATTTTTAAAATACATCAAGGCTTCCTCATAGACCTCTCTACCTTTATCAAAATTAACTTCATCTGGTTCAAACATTATTTCATTATCCTCATCTAAATCCTGATTTGCCTCTGACATAGCGATTAACTGGTCGTCTGTTGGTACCGAACATACATACATTGCATATGATATCCATGTTTCTAGAGAATAATTAGTAATTTCTAAAAATTCTCTATAAAGAGATTTACCATTGTTATATTCTTCCACATCTGTTTCAAATGTTATAAATTTTTCCATAATTATTTTCCTAACACCTAGTCCTAAATTCATTACTTCGTTATTCAACATAATTCTAAATATACCTCTAACCCTATCTTCATCACCCAAATTCTCTTCCAATTGAATATATGCAAACCAAGTGGACATATCCATTGGATTAAATTCAATAAATTTTTCATACAATTTTCTCACTCTATCAAACTCTTTTAGTTTAATTTCAATGTTTATATATTCTTGAAATAATTCCTCATTTGGTGATATGCCAATACATCGTCCAAGTATTTTTCTTGCTAAATCTATATTCTCCTGCCTAATTTCAAATTGTGCGAACATTAACCAAATTTTATTATAACTCAATTTTGATGGTATTATAATCTCTTCAATAACTTTACTATACAATTCTCGGCATCGACTAATATCATTTGATTTTAATTCAATATAAATTAAACGCCTTATCCATAAATACAGATATCTTTGCCACGAAATGTTAACTTTGCTCTGGGTTAGATTTAATGGAGGTTTATTATTCAGATCTGTAGCTTTTTCTAAACTAACTAACATCTGAGAAGGGAAATTTTCTTCAATAAAATCTAAATATATCCACCATGTATCATAATCTTTTTTTCTTTCAGACAACAATTTCTCGTAGTGTGATTTCCTTTTCATTAAGACACCTTCATCAATCGTTTGACTATCGCCATACCTTTTCTTCAAGTCTAAGTATGATTTATTTAAAGTTGTATTATTAGGCCATTTTTCGATAGCAAGACTAAATATTGCTTTAGCACGCTCAGTTTCTTGTATAGATGCTTCCCAATTAGCAAACGATATGATCAACTCGATTAAATTCTCTTGAAAATCTGGGATATTCGATAGAGTTTCCTCATGTGATATCAAAGTATCTACTGCAATTGAATAAACCTTCCGAATTGTACTATTAGATCCGTATATAGATTCAAATTTTAACCATTTAAACCAAACCTGCGTAGTCTCTGGAAAAACATTAACATATCTTGAATATATATTTCTAACATTATTCATTTGATTCTGTCTGATCTCAAAATCAATATAAGAATCCCATGCATTAAAATTTGGTTCTAAAGAGACCCATCTATTATAGAGAGATCGAACAATATTCCAATTCTCTAAGGATTCTTCTACAAATAAATATTTGTACCATAACTTATCAACTCTTGGCAGGGTTGACACTGCTCTCTCCAAAAGATTCCTAGCATGATTAACATATCTGTATTTTAATTCACAGTCAATATATCTAATCCATAACGGAACATGTGAGATATCGACGAGCAAAGCTCTTTCAAAGATGGACCTTGCTCTTCTCATATCATGTTGTTCAATTTCAAAGAGAGCATATCGTATCCATTGACCTATATCTAACCGATTTCTTTTCAAATATGATTCATATTCTGTTCTCTTCCTTAATTGATAGTCCTTTAACTCTTCTAAATCTATAACGTCAACTTTTGTAGATATTTTAACAGGTTTCTTACGAGCAAAGGCTTCATTTAAGATCTCTATATCAGTAATGGGAGGTTTCTTTTCCTCGATAAGAGAGTCCATATTCTAGATATCCAACCAGAAAAATTTGCAGAATTTATATTTACTCAGAATATATCTATCACAATCAAAAATGTCTGTTCACTCTTCTCTCTTTCACAAACGATATATATTCATATCTGTCTATTTCTCTGCCTCTTTATCTATTTAAAAACTACATCTGTATATGCTTACAGAATTATCGATTTGCTAGACTTACATTACAGGTTTCTCAGTTGTATTCTATCTTTTTTCCCATCCTCTTGTTCGTTTTGTGGGACGATGAACAAATACATAAAGGAAAACTAAAGAGAGAGAAAGAGAGATATGAATTCAGTTCATCATTGACCTGATCCAATGTAATTCACTGACTGATTAAGGATACAGACATAATTTGGCATATAACCTACTTTTTTTTTCATTTATTTGAATTTAGCATTGATATTGGAGTTATAAATCCATATCTTAAATCTCAAATATCAGTAGTCAAATAACAATATCAAAATTATGGTATTAGATAGCATAATATTACATATAGTTATACATATGTAAATAGTAAAAAAAAAATAGAAATAATTCATCTCTAATCAAAAGTTCCAACATTTCTTTATGAATTGATATAATTCATACAATTCTTGCTCATTTGCAGAATGTTGCAAACCTTGATAAGAATGAAATTCTGCCCTTTGGAATCCATAAACACCCACCATCCAATCCACTGATCGCTTCCCTAGGGATAATGCCACTATCGGGTCTAATTCCCCATGTCCATGAAATATAGGCGTCTCATTATTAACCAATCTATCAGCCTCTTTGTTTTTAAATATATCTTTATTACATGATATGAAGCCAGATAAAGAGATAAACCCCCCAAGTTTCCATTCTAAATTTATTGCAGAACCCAATGTGATAGCAGCACCTTGAGAGAACCCCCCAAGGATAATGTTCTCTGAAGGAATACCTTCGTCCATAACCTGTTTAATATATTGTTTTACGACCCCATTCAATGTCTTTAAATATCCTTCATTATCAAATTGTTTCATTTGTGGATCCCATTCCATTATATCAAACCATGCATTCATTGGATAACCTCCGTTAGCTGTAATATTCACAATGGAGGCTGTAGGAAACAGAAATGTGGTAGATTGGAAAGCCTTTGGATCCATGGATTGTAACTGTTGTCCCAGGAAAGACCATCCACTACCAGAATCACCTAACCCATGTAAAAAGATTAATGCATGGGTAGCTGGTTGCTTTGATGCTGCTAACTTCACTAATTGGTTCATCTGTAGAAAACTCTATTTATTTATCTGTGTTCATTTCTTACAAAAATCTGTCCTGCTATTTAACTAGTGGATGTATCTTCTTATTCATTCTTTAAGGTATATTCTCTCTTTACTAACCTTGAATGTTTATTTATTGCTAAATTCTTCGGATCACAACTAATTGGATCTACCCTGTGAAAAATATATATATAGAAATATCTCTTTGGTTAAGGACGGAACTCCATATCAAAAACTAACAGTCAAGCAGAGGGAGAATAAAAAGCTATATATATATATATATATATTTATATACAGCATCTAACAAGTCATAATTTGTTAACACTTAGAGAGACACTGTACTGAACAAAAAAATGAATGTACCGTTACCAGAGAATACCACTTTACTATCGAATAATGATTTGCATGATTTGATCAATAACCATAAGAAAGAGTTATCACAATATGCAAAACTATATCAAACAGATAATATTGATTCAATTATCAAACAAACTGAACTTCGAAAGGATGAATTACTTTCATTGCAAGATAAATATTCTCAACTGGAAACAAATAAAATAAATTTAAATAAAGAAATTAATTCTTTAAGAGTATTATACGAACAATATTCCACCAAATGGCAAAACCTGGATACTTTATTTAAACAAGAATATAGTGAAAATGTCTTTAAAGTTCAATTGAAAAGAAAATTAAGTGATATAAATGCCCAGTCTGCTACTTTAAAGCAGAGAATTTTTTCCATAACTGATCTGAACCAACTAGACGATCTTCTAGAACAATATAAAGATAAAAGAAAACGGTATCATTACTCAAGGGAACAATTAGCCACTTGGGAACAACAAGGCACTTTAAAGAGTTGAATATCAGCCTCAAACTAGTCAGGTAATCCTTACCTCTCTATCTCCATTTCTAATTCTCCCTCTTTCCTCATTCTATGCATATCCTTAACTCCTTTTATCATATATCAATAATAGTAATAATGTTGAAATACATTTATATCAATTTTAAAATATACACATATATATGTACGTTTATAGGTGTCTAATGATTATAAATTTTAGTTTGTAATAAATGCTGAGTATTATCAATATCCTATCTATACAAATGTTTATATATAAAGAAAAAAAAACCTTTTTTGTAATATCCTTAAACTATAAAAAAAGCTATAGGAAAAATAATCAACTATCATGTTATTACAAGTTTAAGAATAAATCTATAATGATGTTACTAATTACTACAGTTTATTTTTATTTCTATTTTTTTTAGTTTTTGATCTCATATACTCCTTTCTATAAACCGTTTTCAACTAAGATGTAGAAGTATGAGTGTGGCCATTATTTGAATTGTTTTCTTCTTGCTCATTGCTTCCTGAACTACTGTTATCACCACTACTACTATTATTAGTATTATCATTATTTTCACCGTTTTGGTTATCTGTAGATGTGGAAGTTGCTGCACTGCTATTGTTATTATCGTTAGTGGAGGCATGAAATACTTCATGTGCACCAAGATGATATGTTGAAACATTTCCTGATGGTGTTCTGTAACTTGCTACACCAGAATTGAACAATGTTGGAGCATCACCATTATTATGTGTACCTGATAAGACGTTTCTTTGTTGCAACAATACATTTCTAATACTATTTCCCATGGCCAATAAATCTAAATTTCTGGTTGCATTTTGCACATTACTTGGGGCTGTAGAAAAGGTAGAGTTGGCATTAGTTGTACTATTACTATTAACTGTTGAATTATTTGAAGAAGATGCTGATGAATCTGTGATATTGGTATTACTGTTACTATTGTTGTTCTGATTGATTAGACCATCAAAATACGATCCAATAATAGCTCTGAAACGTTCATATGGGGATGGCCTTTCACTTTGATTCGAGTTATTATCAACTGTATCATTTGTAGTCTGGGTATCATTATTTTCTGAACTACTAGTGTCATTATTACTTGTAGTAGTACCATTATTTCCAGTTCTTGCAGTTGCAGTTACAGTTGCATTGTTTGATGTAGTATTTGGTGGTATATACCATTGGGGAGTTATGAAAACAATGTTACTTGTCCTAAATGGTATGTTCACAGTAGATGCAGTTGTAACAGGTGTAGTAGTAGCAGGTGTAGCAGTCGCAGATGTAGCAACTGTTGATCCCTGGTTAGAAATTGAAGGTGTTGTGGTATCACTATTAGCAGTATTTGTTATCACTGAAAAATTACCATTATTACTCTCTGTAGAATTATTATTATTATTATTATTTGTATTGTACAAGAGATCATGAATTCTCTGAAATGCAGCATTAGTAGTAGCTGCAGCTTGTGCTGAATTAACCATAATAGGTGTGTTCATACTCTCTGCAATAACTTGCCTACAAAGTGGACATGTATTCTCAGACTTACACCATTTATATAAACATTCTCTACCAAAAATATGCCCACAAGGTGCTTTCACAGCAAAATGATCATAAGTAGGGTTGACTTCTTCATCATTTGTTGTTTGAGTACTATTGTTACCGGCATTGATATTAGTATTTTCTACCGATGTTCCATTAAAAGTAACATCCCCAATGTTAGTAGATAAATTATTAGTAGGTATTGTATTATCATTATCATTATCATTATTATTGTTGTTGCTATCAGATGAGTCACTTCTTAATCTTTTGTTCTTTCTGTTATTTCTAGATTCCTTTTTTTCATCATCATCTTCTCTGCTACGTTTCTTATTCTCGTCAGAATTACTATCCGGTATAGGATCAACAAATGGTTCATAACATATACTACAACCATCCTCTTTTACAGTGGGATCCAAATCTTTAATCGGAACCACTGGAAGAGACTCAAATTTTTCTTTTGTGATGCCTCTATTATATCTTACACTAGATAAATCAACTATTCTACGAACTGCAATCTCGGATGCAATATTCATGATAGTTTGTAACCTTTCTTGAGTATTACCTGCTGGGATATCTCTGAACTGTAAAAAGACCACACCTGCAGGAAATGGTCTCATACCTGCTGGAGGTGTCTGCTGTTGTGGTTGTGATTGTTGTGATGTAGTTGTTCCTGGTTGTGAATGTGCATTACTCGAGTCTGCAGATCCTGCAGCAGTAGGATTACCATTATTATTACTATCACTACTAGTACTACTATTATTTCTATTAAGGTTGTTGTTGTTACTATTATTATTCTGCGTTGCAGGGATATTTGGTGTCTCATACATATATTCAATAGAAACAGTAATATTGTTTCCACTTGTAGTTGTAGGGTTATTGTTATTGGTAGTGTCGTTGTTTAAATTCGTCCTATTTGGTTGTGAATCACCACTACCTTCACCAGGCTGTGTGTTATTCGCATTTTCTGACATTAGTTACTTCTTATAAAAGACCTTAAAATAATGGTTGTTGTCACTAATGAGAAACACTTGTCACTTGTAACTCTCTCCCTACCTATTTATATATCTCTATTAAAATATATATGTATTAGTAATGTAAAGTTGATAGTTTCTTTCTGTATTGCTTTTATTTCTCTTTATAATCCAAAAAAAAAAATTAACTATATCAATTTTTGTAAGAATTCCAGATACAGTGATATATCTATGTACAAATATTCAAAAACTCACAAGATCACATAAGATTATGTCATAGAAAGTTCCCTCAGGAGAACCATATATTAGTGCTCGATACAATTTCTACGAATGCTGTAAATACTAATGAAAATGAAAGATAAAAACGTTACTCAACATTAATATATGTATATATAGTTATATTTGTAAGTTACTCTCCGCTTTGCTCTGTTATATTTCGTTGATAAATAACTTCCAAATAGCCTCTGCAGCTACAGTATATCCATGATTCTCTAATGATGATGTAAATCTTTCCATTTCCTCGACTTGTTTCTCACTAAACTTTGAATTTGGATTGGATAAATTCTTTTCCCAGCCACGTTTAGCTACCTCTGAGACAAATTCAGGGTGTCCTTGAAATGTCAATAAACGCCCTGGTTTATAGAACCCCTGGATTGAACAACGTTTTGTACTTCCCCAGTTGACAATAGATGGGTCATGTTTAGGTAACTCTAAGACCGCGTCGTTATGTACCATTGAAAGATTAATCTGGTTTTGGCCAAACAATTTGACACCAATCTCATTCAAATCAATTGGAACAACACCTCCTTCATAACCCAAAGGATTTCTATCTACTCTACCACCCAATGCATGTGCAATCACTTGATGCCCAAAACATATACCAACAATAGGTGGGGCATTAACACTCATATCTTTACTTTTATCGTTACCCTCATCAGTTAATAACAATTCAACCAAAAGCTCTCTTAATCTAATAATCCAATCTGTATCCTCTGAAAATGAATCGTACCTTGATCCAGTGATAAATATACCCATATATTCGTCACTATTTAATTTCTCACTGGTTGGAATATCGCCGTTATATATATCAAAAACCTTGTATGTTACATCCTCCCTTGATAACGTATATGGTACAGTCTCATCTAACAACTTGATTGTCATTTGATCGAATGTTCCATATGGATGGGTCCATTCAGCTGCATGATCTGTATGAAATACAGCGATCTTCTTCCTACTCTTTGTCATACTTATTTTTGATTTTTTATCTATTGGCTATTCCTTCAATGACTATAAGAATACATAAAAAATTGATTGTTTATACCAGAATATTCTTCTAAAGAAACTCAACCAACTAAACATTTTTTATGAATTCAACCATGATTCTAGCAATATATGACAATTTAAAGTGAACTCTTTTTATATTCTATCTCTTTCAATGACTACTGATTACTAATCATTAATTTTTTTTCTTATCAAAAAAAAAAAACTTAAGTTAATTTATATCAATATATATATACTCTTATGCAAATATGATATACTATATGAGAAAACCAATTCTTCTATTTAGCTTCTTCTGTTATTAGCTTTGGTTGTAGAAGCAGAGGAGTAATACAATGTTATATACGTCTCCCCATGACATTATGCTAAATTTTAAAAATAACACTTCTTTCTTGCTCTATATTACATTTTATGTTGTCATATCACATGCGCAAAAAATACCATCTTTGTATCTTAAAATACCCTTTTCTATCCAGTACTGTGCTGCATTAAGCAACTCTGAGTCTGTCATCCCACATTGTCTAGATAGGTCATCTATTTTAATTTTTGATATATTGTTATCAAATTTTTCAATTATTGAATATTGACTCATTGTAACATCATGCTTAGTCTCTGTATGTGTATTAGAATCACATAATGTTATAGAAACGATTGTATCATCTTTACAATATTTAATTACCCTTCCTGGTCTTAAGAAATTATAACCTTTTGTATATGAAAGAAGCTTGTCTTCTAATTGATTATTGATCTTCATTCTATTTTCAGCATCACTGTTATGATCTCTGTGATTTATTTTCTTTAAATTCCAATAATATGATGTCACAAATTTAGGATATATTCTGACATCACCTTGCATTATATGTTTCTCCAACCTATCACTCTCTTTCATATCCCCTAACATAACATTAATCTTATTGAATTTGACAAATATCTCTTCTTCTTCATCAATGGCCGTAACATATCTTATTCTATCATTATATCTTTTTATTTGTCCATCATTTATGATTAGTTCACTATCGATATCATCAACATTTTGTGTTGAATTATTTTCATTTGAAATATTGGCATTATTAGTCTCACTAGTGTGCTTATCTAAACTTACAATAATATCGTTAAATGTAATTAAATTATGACCATATCGAATTCTTTTATATATAAGATGATATGCGACTAAATATTTTCTACCTAATTTTCTATTGGGGGTCTTTAATAATTTTAATGTAATAATATTCAATAAAATCGTAATTAATTTATCTTTATCATCGATTATTGAAAGCAAACAATCTGTTATTAAATTACTTCTACCATAAATTACTGCATTTTTCATGATATTTTTATTCGTGCTCACAGCCTTGTTTATATTATTGTTCTGTTTAAGCATATTCATATCTTTACCTGGATCCATAGATATCCCATCAGGCACCCATGCTTGATATTGTCGTAACAAATCAAATATTATCATTCCATCCTGCTTATTATTAGAAGCAAATGACAAAGAAGTAGAAGTAGTGGTAGTGACAGTGGTAGTAGAGGGAGAAGAAAAAGAGATATGCCTATTCCTTATATGTAATGGTCCAATGTCGGAAGATACGGAAGTAAACGATAACAAATGATCACCTTTTAAAACATATATCAATTTTTCAAACCCTTCAGGTTTAATAATATTAAAAAGACAAAATTCTTTATTGTTAAGATTCAAAATTGAATATAAGTAAATCTCTATCAAATCATTTCTTGAGGCTAAGATGGGCTTAATGAAAGTGGTCAAAACTCTCAAATAATGGTCACGAATATTTAAATATATGAAAACATCTATACTCATAATAAATGTTGCCAAAATTTCAGTTGTGCTCCTGGATTCATCATTTATAAACTTTTGGAATTGACCTAAAAATTTGATCACAAACTCATCTATTAAACCATTATATCTAGAGATAGTGTCTCTCAATTCATATAGAGTAGGTCCAGTGTTTGAACAATTTGTGATCAATTCAAAAATTTCATCCAATCTAATATCAATAAATTGCTTCTCAAAATGATTATAGATTAATCCTAATATATCTTTATCATCAGTAATATTAGTATTCCTATTATTATTATTGGTGTTGTTACTCGAAACACTGTCTGGTGTTTGTAATAACTTAATAAAACCTGGCCATACAGCGTTCATAAATTTATCATAACAACACTTAACAATATTAATATCATTCCAAATACCCCTCATCAACCTATGACAATTATTTTCGATTTCTTTCAACATTATGTCAAGTACCAACCCCTTTGCATTAAAATTATCACTGTTACTCTCTTCAATCCACTTAATTAACTCCTGACAAAGATTAAAATCTTCTTTATAGATTAAATATTTAATTTCACTAGTTAAATGATTTCTAAATTGCTTGTTAGTGTCAATAAAATAATGTCTAATAGAAAATATGACATTATCTAACGAATCTTCCATAGAGTTTACATCATTTAAGATAATTATAAATTGCAAGGGATAATAAAACTCTGACTCTAATTTGTATAATTGAGTATACGTAATCGAATTTATATGAGCATTTAGAAATGTGAAATATTGACCTCTAACTATATCGTAATAATACAATTTAAAACCATTATTAAATTGTCTATTAGAGAACTGTACAATTTTTTTTATTGAATCCTTGACTCTTAATGAGGGTGGATGGCACTGATGTTCTTTTGGTAATAACCATTGCAATACAATATTTAAATCATCTTCTAGTTGTAAATCCCCCAACTGCCCTAAAAGTACATCCACAGAGATCATCAGATTATATATATATATCTGCGTATATATTAATGAAGAGCTACCACCATTTAATGCAGCAAAGATGATTTTAGTACATGTATATGAATGCGTATGTGTGTATCAATGTAGTATCCTTATCTATAGAAGTATGGGTATATCTTGTACATTTCACAACAAAACTTGAATGGATTTATAAAATGTGCATTAATTAAAAAATCAACATAACAATGTTCAACTAAAGAAACAATAACAAATATAATAATAAAGAAACAAAAACACAGCCATACACGTATAAAAATACTTACAGACATATATATATATATCTTTAGATTGACATAAAAGAATGGAAGAAGATGATTTAATTAAAAGTTTTTTGGAATTAACCCATTGTAGAAATGAGATAGCTAAGAAATATCTTACAGAGAATAATTGGAACATTAACTATGCATTAAATGATTATTATGATAAAGAATTGAATAGTTTTGTTAATGAACCAAATAATCAAGACAAAATATACCCAGCAGATTTAACAGATTTATTTAATAGATATTCAGATCAAGTGTGTCCAGATGGAACAAAATGGATCACTTTTGAAGGTATGATCAAGTTTATAGAAGAGTTAGAGATATCCCAGCAAAATAGCGATAACCACAATAATACCACCACCAATATTAGCACTGAGGAGAAGTTGAATATAAATAGACCTGAAACTGAAACTGAGGATGCTAATAATGATATCTCTATTGTGATCCTAGCTAAACTCTTATCATGGAAGAATATGAACGATTCACTCGACTATGAACAGTTTTGTAACTCTTGGTTTATTCAGGGGTGTTCAACTTTAAAAGATATGAGACTATTATTATTTGATTTAAACCATAAGTTTTACCATGATCCGATGTATTTTGTAGAGATCTATAATTACACCTTTAATTTGCTCCTAGATGTAGACTCTACACAATTGGATATGACTACAGCAACTGAGTATTGGAGACAATTTTTAGTGACAACAAGACATAAAATACCCATAAACGTAAACGAAGAGATATGTTGTATGTGGTTCCAATTCTTAAAAGATACAAAAAAGACTTTTATAACATTTGATTGTTGGAAAATGATCCTACAATTCTTCCAAAAATATAGCAATTTCCAAGAGCTGGCTTCAGATTATAACGAGACTGCTGCATGGCCCTATATTATAGATGAGTTCTACGAGTACTTAAAAGATCATTCAAAGATATGATCATCCCAGTAACCACCAATACACACATATGCACACACATAGATATATATATATATATATATATATATAGAAGGAATAAATTGAACGATTTGAGTGTTTGTTGTTTATTCAACTCAGGATTTTTAGCGGATATATATCACCGATTACAATTAGGGTTTGTCATTAGGGCTTTGTCTATAACCCTAACTTTTGTTGCACGTGACTTCAAAAGATTTCTAGAAAAGAAAAACAAAGAGAAAAAAAGAAAAACAAAAAAAAGAAGAGAAAATCGATGAGCATTTCTTCAAACAGTTAAACATGGAAAAATATTAATTGAGTTCAAAGAGGTTATATTGTTCATGTATTATATCTATCTGTATACTTGTATATATTTGTTTTAATATCTCAATTAGGTTTGTTTTTACTCTTTATATTTTGATTAATTAACGCAGATTTGATACCAAAGAAGAATTATAAAGTTAAATCAGGTTTTAGGAGATAGTCCACTCTAGAATCTATCTTCTTCTTCTTCGTCTTTTCATTTTTCTTTATCTTTAAAATTCCCCAATCATAAAACATGGTAAAGTCATACCAAAGATTTGAACAAGCATCTGTGTTCGGTGTGATAAGTTCTAACTCCAACTCAGTTTGGCTTCCATCCTCCTCTACAAGACAAAAGGGTCATCACCATAATAACAATCCAGGCCAAATCATTACCAGTTGTTTAGAAAATATTAACATATGGGATATCAAGACCGGTGAACTAGTCTGTACATTATCTGATGGTCTTCCACCAGGCTCTATTGATGCTAGAGGTTCTAAACCTGCTGAAGTCACCTACTTGAAATTTCATTCTGAAACAAATCTTTTAGCTGCAGGTTACTCTGATGGTGTCATCAAAATCTGGGATCTAGTGTCAAAAACAGTTCTACTGAATTTTAATGGTCATACATCAGGTATATCTATTCTAAAGTTTGATCCAACTGGTACTAGACTTATATCTGGTTCTAAAGATTCCGATATTATAGTCTGGGATTTGGTCAGTGAAGTCGGTCTTTTCAAATTAAGATCACATAAGGATGCAATCACCGGTCTTTCATATCAAGATGAAAATTGGTTAATAAGTACTTCAAAGGATGGACTAATCAAAATATGGGATATGAAAGTTCAACAATGTATAGAAACCCATATTGCCCATACTGGTGAATGTTGGTCCCTTGGCGTCGAGAACGATTTTGTAGTGACCACTAGTGCCGATACTCAAATTAAGATATGGGAATTGAATTTGAATAATGAAAATGGTTCTAAATTGGTTGAAAAGGGCATATACGAAAAACAAAGTAAGAATCGCGGTCTTAATGTTGATTTTGTGACAACCAGTGATGGTGTCAAATTTTTCTTTATTCAAAACGCTGATAAGACTGTTGAAGTATTTAGAATCAGAAGAGATGGAGAAATATCTAAAGCTTTGAAAAAAAGAGAAAAAAGATTGAGGGAAAAAGGTATGACTGATGAAGAAATAGCGCAAAATATTAAAGATTCTCATGTATCTATCGTTATGCATCCATTCCAGATGATAAGATCCCCATATAAAGTTAAATCCACTACTTGGACTATTGCCACATCAAACAAACTAGAAATTGCAATAACTACCTCTGCAAATACCATTGAGTATTATTCTATACCATATGAAAGAAGAGAACCTACACAACCTTCCCCTAACAAATTATATACAATAGATTTGCAAGGTCTAAGAACTGATATTCGTGCTTTAGATATTAGTGATGATAATAAGTTATTAGCCACTGCAAGTAATGGCCTTTTAAAAATTTGGAATATTAAAACACATTTATGTATAAGAACTTTTGAATGTGGTTATGCCTTGACTTGTAAATTTTTACCTGGTGGGTTATTAGTTATCCTTGGTACAAGAGATGGTGAATTACAATTGTTTGATTTAGCCTCATCAACTCAACTCCAAAATTTGACAGATGCACATAACGCAGCTATTTGGTCATTAGATATCACCAGTGATGGTAAAAGATTAGTCACCGGTTCTGCAGATAAAACTGTTAAATTCTGGGACTTCCAATTAGAAAAAAGTATTATACCAGGTACTGAAGATAAATTTGACACAAAGTTGACCCTATATCATGATACTACATTAGAATTGAATGATGACATTTTAAGTATCAAGATATCACCAGAAGATAAGTTCTTGGCCATTTCTTTATTAGACAATACTGTGAAAGTATTTTATTTAGATTCAATGAAATTTTTCTTAAGTTTATATGGTCACAAATTGCCTGTCCTTTCAATTGATATTTCATATGACTCTAAATTAGTTATCACATCTTCTGCAGATAAAAATATCAAAATCTGGGGGCTTGATTTTGGTGATTGCCATAAATCTTTATTTGCCCATCAAGACTCTATTATAAATGTTAAATTTCTTCCTGAATCTCACAATTTTTTTAGTTGTTCTAAGGACGGATTAGTCAAATACTGGGATGGTGATAAATTCGAGTGTATTCAGAAATTAGCTGCTCATCAAAGTGAAGTTTGGGCCATTGCAGTTGCTTCTGATGCATCGTTTGTAGTATCTTCATCTCATGATCATAGTATTAGAGTATGGGAAGAGACAGAAGATCAAGTATTTTTAGAGGAAGAAAAAGAAAAAGAAATGGAAGAACAATATGAAGAAACTTTATTGACATCTTTAGAAGAAGGTAATGGTGATGACGCCTTCAAAAAGGATGGTGAAGAAACTATGGAATCTTCAGACGTTCATAAGCAAACAATGGAATCCTTAAAGGCTGGTGAAAGATTAATGGAAGCACTAGATCTTGGTATCAAAGAAATTGAGTTACAAGAAAACTATGAAAGAGATCTAGCAATATGGAATAAAAAGAAAAATACCACATCTTTTGAAATGCCAATAAAACCACAAGGGAATGCTATCTTAATTGCTATTAAGAAAACACCAGTAGAGTATATCTTAGATACATTGATGAAAATTAAGGCTTCACAACTAGAGGACGCTTTATTAGTGATGCCATTCTCTTACGTTCTTAAATTTTTAAAATTTATTGACATTGTTATTCAAGATAAGAAATTGTTCAATAACTACTTAGCATTAATATGTAAAAATTTATTTTTTATCGTTAAATCCAACCATAATGAATTAGTTTCACAAAGGAATGAAGAACTGAAATTACAAATAAAACGCGTAAAGGATGAATTGAGATCAAATTTACAATCTAATGTGAACGACCTTGGCTTTAATATATCTGGCTTAAAATTTATTAAACAGCAATGGAATTTAAAGCATAATTTCGAATTTGTTAATGAATATGATCAACGTGTTCAAGAAAAGAAAATGGCCAAGAAGAGGGTCTTTGAAACACTAAGTTAGCATATCAATATAATAAACTAGTAAATAAATAATCAACTACCTGGCTAAATAAATAAATAAATACATTAATGTATATTATACAATATTGATAACTGATGCAGTATAAATATTAGCAAGTAATCTAGTAGAAACATTAACAACCTTATTTGTGATTTTTTTCTTCATTAATCAGTTGCAAATAATCTCTTTGGTAAGTTAAAAATAATAATTTATGAATATCAATGTCATTAAAAATGATTATAATCATTGCAAAGGAATAATAAAACAAATGTATAAAATGTGAAATCAAAAATAAATGCTATAAATAAATAGATAAAAATAATAAAAAAAGATCAATTATGCCCACTTACCTAGTAATGCCATTAGACCAGCACCAAGACTCATAACTATATAAGCTGCTAACATTCTTTTTAATCCACCTGGTCCTTTAAATTGATTAGTAAATAAGAACTCATGTGCCATTAATTCTACTAGACCAGTATATATCAAAATTCCAGATGATATAGAATCAAAGACACCATTTGCTATTAGTGCTCTTCTAGAACCTGGAACCCACGAATTTCTCACACCAATACCAATTGCGACTGCGATAGGACATGTAAGAGAAAAGGCTAACGCCATCAACCAAGGAGTAGCGCGTTTGGAATGAGGCCAGTTTGTTTCTGCTATACGAGTACCTAACCCTAAACCTTCAAACATTTGATGAAATGTCAAAACAATAAATAAAGTTTCGAATTCTTCACCTGAGACTGATAATGACAAACCAACAAAAACAGAATGAAACAAAACACCTGCTTCTAAAATAGTCACTGCAACAATTTGATTCAAATATTCTTCTTTATTTTTTTCTTCTACTGGTATACTTATCTTAGAGAAATCTTGATGTGTTATTTCATATGAATAACGATTTTTACTTAATGGAGATGGCTTTAATATGTTGCTATTGGACACTATGTTTGAATTCTGTGGACTATCTTCTAAATCATTCCTTAATTTAAACTCCTTGATATACATATCTTGGATATTACTTGTCGACAGTTCAGAATCGATATGAGATGATATATCTCCTTCCTCATCTTTCAACTCATCATCAAAAAATCCATCAGAATGAAGATGACAAGTTTCTTTTATATTATCATGATCTGAATCATGTGAATGTGTATGAGAATGTGAATGCCCAGAACCGTGTTCATGATTATCACCAAATGAGTTTGAGACAAAATAATGTGAAATAATTTCAGTTAAAAATAGTGCAAATAATGACATTAAACATATCCCAAAGGCCCATGGATATTCGACAAACGTACCTCCTAAACAATCATCTCCTAAAGCTTCGCTAGCTGGTTGTAACAAATGAATAAATGCAGTTGCAATAATAACACCGGACCCAAAGAATTTACCTATAAAGAAACACCAATCTGGCAACCTAATAAAAGAATATCGAGATGAGAGAATTGGGAAAAAGGCCCCGAGTGCAGACGATATAAGTATAATAAATATAGAAAGAATTCTCAATCCATTATGACCATTATAACTATTAGAAGTAGAACATAGAGGCGGTGAATCGGTAGACCCGTCTCTAGGCAGTAAGGAATGTAATGACGAAGACATGTTAACGGTTAATAGTAGCCTTTTTTCTTCCTATGGCCATATTCGGCTTGACTCTATATAAGCATATAAGTATACTTTTTAACGATCTATAATCAAAAAAAAAAATAAAAACAGATTTGTTAAAATAATTCTTGGCTTTTCGAGACGACAAAAGTAAATCAACTAATCTTAACAATTCTTTCTCGTCGAAGAAACTAGCTCTATTTGTTTTCTTGATTCCATTTCCTCGAGGAGCTTTGATTTTAGAAGATTACCTTGATACCTTCAAGGTTATTTGTTGTTCGGAAGCTCGAGAAATCTTGTTATTGTTTTTTTTCAAACAACAATAGCATTGCCGAATTGCTATTGTTTTCTTAAGTATGTAAAGGCAACGTAATTTGACCATAATGTAGGGAAACTTGACTTTCGACATTCGACTGTGCAATTTCAGTAATTTATTGGTGACCAAAATCAAACGTATTTCTGATCAGCACACACTATGAACACCCAAATAAAAAAGCCCATTACTCTGCAATGTTAGTTTAATCACGAATTTTTTTTAAGAAAAGAAGTGTCCTATTTTACATATATAAGTAATTATTTATATGTATGTATTTGTTGTAAAAGAAGTGCTTAAAATGTAATGATATAGTGTAAAATAGAAATGACTAGTTTTTTGTTGTGTTTAAATGTTTATAGCGTTAACAAAGAATAAAATCAAACACTTATTTACTTATGCAAATTATCATAACTTGATGGTGTAGATGGACTCTCAATAGGTGATTTATTATCCCTTGGTGTATATTGCTGAATATATTTTAAAGATAACTGTTCTTCCAACTTGTTTTGAACATAGCCTGTGTTATCTGTTTCCACGCTACGTTTAACTGGACTCTCCGAACTATCCCTATGCTTCTTTGCAGGTGATTCAGAAGTGGAGACTGTAGAATTTCGTGTTGGAGATGATGTTGCAGTTTTCTTAATCACCATGAAGTTATCATATTTCTTGATATTCTGACAAAGCATCAATGATTGGTGTTGTTTCAATAAATCTCCATCGGCAAATTTCTTACCACATGGACAACTAAAAGATTTATTTAAATGAAGTTTCTTGTGCCTTATCAAATCATGATTTCTTACAAACGCTCTATCACAGCCAGGGTAATCACATACATAAGGTCGATCTTCCAAATGTGTTTGAATGTGTGTTCTAATGTTATAACGCCTTTTAAAATGTTTGCCACAACCTGGATAAAGACATAAATATTGTTTATCAGGTAGCTCTTTCACATATTGATCTATACAACCTCTAGGTAAAGTCGATAGTTTCCTCGTAATTTTTATTGGACCCATAAGTGTTTCCACTGGTGGAGGCATCTGAGGACTACCTAATACTATAGTTCTTTCGCCCATGTAACTAGGTGATAGAGTTGTTCTTTGAAATATGCTATTAGATGGCGATATATTTGCGAAATTTAAAGGTGGCTGCAATACTGGTGTAGCAGTGTCATTAATAACGACCATTTCTGGTTTTTGTTTGATTGGAGTATGTTGAAATATGTGTTTCTGAGGAATGTCCCCTCTTGAATCATTTATTGAAGTACCAGCTTCTTTATTTTGTGATAGAGATTGCTTCATCGGTGTATTTTCAGAGGATGCAGGAATAGTTGGCATTATTTCTACTTTTGCGGGAAGCTGACGTGTTTTATTAATAATCTTTGTTTTTACTATATTATTATCATTACTACTACTATATTTATTATCTTTGTCATTTTGATCATCTGCAAGAGTAATACCTAAACCTAGCAATTCTTGACCATTTCCTGTTTCAATATCGCTATCACAAGCGGATAATGGGATAGTAGAAACTGTGGAAGTCACTGATTCCTTTTTTAGATGCTTTTGTGATCTAAAAGATGGTGATGTCAAATTGAAGAATGGTGAATTCAATGGTTCAATGACTGTTTTTTTATTCGCTTCATCATTCATATCTTGGAATAGATCATTTATCTTATCATCAAAATTTGATAAATTATTTTTACATTTATTTGGAGATAACGACGAAGCCATTAAAGAATTTGATAAGGAGAAAACCGGATTCCTTGTTCTATTATGAGATCTTTTTATTGGAGAACCTGTCAATGAAGTGTTTGACAATGCAGGAGATAACATTGAAGGAGGTGGGAATTGATATTTGCCATCAGCTGAGTTACTTGTTACAATCAATTCATCTTCTGTTGTCATCTTAGCAGGTGTCCTATAACTTCTTTGTGGTGAAGGTGATGCATTATTATTAGTTTGATGATTTTTGTTGTTTCTCAATACTGGAGACGTACAATTAGCTTGCTCTTCTAAAGCTCTTTGCAACCTTTCTTGTTGCAATTGATTTGCTCTTAGTTGTTCTTGTAACTTCTGATTAACCAATTTTTGTTTCTCTAATGCCTGTCTCAGTTCCTGTTGTTGTCTAAAGATTAATTTACTAACTTCATCTTCCTGTTCAATTAGATCATTAGTAATATTTGAATCCTTTTCATCAAATTGGTTAAGAACATTAGGGGAATTTCTATTTTTGTTATCAGTATTAATAGAAATAGGAATATTCTCTAAACCAGATCTTTGTAAACTTGATATACTTAGGGTTTTATTATGATTTGTAAACCCAAAAATAGCAGTACCACTTAACCCTCTCTTATGGGAAGGCATATTTTGTGATTTATTCGTATAAATATTATTGCCAGTATCCTCAATTATACCGTAATTACTATTATCATTATTATTCTGACAATTTGAATAACTATTCCAGTTTAACAATTGATCATCACCATTAGATATCGACGAATCTTGTGTATTAGGTAATATTGGAATATCTAAATCTCTTAATTCTTGAGTCAAAAAATTATCGATGTCGTAATAGTTCATATCAAATAAATCATCAGTGGCAACATTATTGGTAGTGGTAATAATACAATTGTTATTAGCTGTAACATTAGCATTGCTGTCGACACTATTAGTATCATTAATTTTATCAATAATAGTGTTATTATTAGCATTAGAATTCATGAACGCATTTGATTGACTTTCTGGTGTATACAAAGCTGTCCCTTTATTATTATGATTATTATTATACTTATTTATATATAAACTATCACTTGGTTTTAACAACTTATTGGGGGCGAGTCCCCATGAGTCTATTACCTGTTCCATGACTCCACAGAAATGCAATAAACAAAAAACAAAGACTCAATGAATTATTGTAACACCTCTCGACTTTATTAGTATTAAAGTTTGTGAAAAAAAAAAAGACAACAACTATAAAGATATATAATCTGACTTAAGCTTATTTATGTAGTTATCTATCTATATCTATACAACCTTGTACGATAATGATCTCTTTAATCGTTCACCGTAGTAGTCAGAAATTGGCACAATTTAGAGAAGGTAAAAAACATAAAACAAACAAAAAAATAAAATCTTTCTCCAAATAATTCTTAATCAAACAATTGACAAAGTTGTTCCACACTTAACTATATCCCACTGTTATTTGGATGACTTCCGAGAATATACAAACTCCTTTAACAAAAACAAACATAGCCTCTACAAAAAGATCCTTTTCAAATCAAAGAATAAAAAAAAAAAAATGAAAAAATGTACTAAAGAGGAAAAGGAACATGATCCAATATTTACACTCTTACCCAATTAGGAAAAAGAAATATTCAGAGTGAGGGATTCTCTATCTTTATCATATTGAACTCTATGATCTTCTGGAATAATTAAAGGAGTATCTAAAGGTGGTAGAAGCAACGACCTTGCGTTCTGTGGGATTTTAGACCACGTTTTAGCAACCGAAACATGTGCTTTGTTAATGAATGATTCAGTCAAAAAAAGCTCTGGTTGAGGTGATCCCGCAATATTATCCCTAGAATTCCATAAAGTTGCAATTTCATTGAACAATGGTTTAATATAATTAAGAAGTGTATTTGAGTCTATAGGCAACGTCAGAAATGTAGCTAAAGAACCTGGCGTGTTCATTAATACAGGATGTCTTTCCAACGATATAGTAAATGATTTAGACATCTTTAGTGTCAAATTCTTCTTTAAATTGTCAAAGAACTTATCTCTCTCAAACTCAGTACTAAATTTCAAGTTCGGGGATAATGAAACATGTAAATTCAAAGGGGTCCCCAAATCACTATAAAACAACGGTCTAAATTCAATTCCATATTTTCCATATTGATTATTATAATAATTCAAATATTTGGATAAAATTTGTCTATCTTTTGAAGTTAATCTCCAATCAATATAGATAAAGCTTGTCCAAAATCTTGTCTTCATCAAATGCCCAGATCTGGTCCTTTTGAGACTTGTAGTTGGTTTAATATGATATTTATCTAATAATTTTCTGTTTATTAAACTTGTATCAAATTGTTGTGATATCTTATCCTCTTCAATCTCGGTTTCAGTCTCACATTCACTTTCACTTGAATAACCTCCCAGCAAATCCATTTATGTACTACAAAAGAATAGAATAGCAACAATAACAACAACATATAATATTATACATATATAATAATGTTGTTTAATGATCTAGGATTTTTCTTTCTCTCCGCAAAGAACATATCATTAACACAAATCTAACCATATCTTAACTCTTTGTTATATTTTCTTACCTCCCTGTCTATAAGAGCTAGTCACATAGATACATAAACACAAACACTTATATTTTATCTGTTTTAGATTTATCATCATTAGTTTTCAACCATTTGAGACGGACAAAAGACGGAAATAAGCCATATTGCGGGGAGATAATAAAATTTCTTGTTGTCGGGGTTTTTTAGGGCTCTTTTAGGGTTTGTTGATCATGTTTCTTTTTATTTTCTTTTTTTTTTTGTTTTTTGTTTTTGTTTTTGTTAGCGGGAGAACTCGAAGGGTTTTGTTGATTTGACATAAACGGTAGAGAAAGATAGAGAGAGACACAAACAGGTTGGTTCAATGAACAGGCCAAATGGACAACAGTGAGGAAAAGACTAGCAAAGTATCTACCACACATATCATTTGAAATATCTGCATGTAATCTATATGTTGAGTTTTATTATCAATTGAGATTACAAAAAAAAAAAATAAAGAAAAAGTATCAATAAAGTAAATGTATACTGGAGTAAGAACATAATGGTAACCAACAATAGCAATAAAAAACTTTATGGATCTCATTCATGTTCTAATATATCTAATGCTTCCACAAACACTACAAACCCTACCACAATTACCACAACAACAACTGCTACTGGTACAATTGGGAATCCAAATATAAATACAAGTAATGATAAACATTCAAGAAGACCTTCATTAACGAAAAAAAGATCAAGTCAAAGGTTGATCAAAAAAATAGGCATAAACTTAGATAATACACTTTCATATAAAGATGATCACTCTTACAATAGCGCAGATAGCGATGATATAGAATTTATTGTCAACGATAATATAAATAGAAATAAGGGTAATGATATTGATGCTGATTCGGAGCCTCTTTCAATAAGTAATAATAATTATAATAATGATAATACCAACAAAAACAGTTTACCCAATTTAACCAGTTTGAAAATATATAATGGGGATCAAGATAAAAATAACACTTATGTATCAAATTCACAAAATATTTTCGATGTGATAGAAGTCCCCTTTGTTAAAGCTTACTTAGATCCAAGTCTACCCGAAGACTATTTAAAAGACGACATATTAAATATTATTCAGACTCTAAGAATACCTAAGTGGTACCGCAAGGGTTACTTGGAATCTCCACTAAGTAGATCTAAATTAATATTAAATAAAATATCCGGTGCAATGACCAATGCTATCTTTAAAATCCAATATCAAGGATTACCATCCTTATTATTAAGAATCTATGGGAAAAATAACGACTCAATCATCGATAGAGATAATGAATTACAGATTCTTGCAAGATTATCTGTCCAAAATATCGGCCCTTCATTATATGGATGCTTTGAGAATGGTAGATTCGAACAATTTTTAGAGAACGCAACAACTTTAACTAAAGATGATATAAGAGATTGGAAGATTTCTCAACGAATAGCAAGAAGAATGAAGGAACTACATAATGGGATTCCTCTATTAAAGTCTGAATTCGAGAACGGACCAGTGAGTTGGAACAAGATTGAAAAATGGATAGATATAATTGAAAAACATCCCAACTGGATAGATGACAAAAAAAGAATACAGGATATTTTCAATTGTCAAGATTATGTTTCTTTGAAAAGAAATATTTATAAATATAAAAATTGGTTATTTAAGAATTCTCCTAAAAATTCACTTGTTTTTTGTCATAATGATACACAATATGGTAATCTTCTATTTAATTCTCCTCTAATAGATCTAAATTCTCTCTCTAATGCAGATTTATCTATTTATATAGACAAAGATAAAAATTACAATAAGCATGATACACAATCATGGACCCCCTCAGATTTAACACCTATTTCCACGGATTCCTTATTCCCATCTACATCAAACGTCTCTTTAGATACAATTATTAACCCACCAAAACAAGATCAAATTCAAGATAAAAAATTGGTTGTGATAGATTTCGAATATTCTGGCCCCAATCCAGCATCATACGATTTAGCCAACCATTTCAGTGAATGGATGCATGACTATAGCTCTACAAAACCTTGGAGTTGTAATTCTTCATTGTTTCCAACAAAGGAACAGTTATTAAATTTCCTTTATTCTTATGTATCGCATTTGAAAAGTTCATCCAGTGTAAATAAAAGAAAGGCTACAAAGGAATTAGATGATGAAGTTAGGTTCTTCTACAACGATGTAATTAAATGGAGAGGAACAGTGCAATTATTCTGGTCTATTTGGTCGATTATACAAAGTGGTGAATTACAAAAAGATAAACAATCTTTAAAGAATCAATTCGAAGGTATTAATGGTGAGAAATATGTGATTACTGTGGATCCAATAGATATCCAAGATAATAATAATAACGATGAATTTGAAACAGGATTAAATAAGAAAAGTGAACAAGAAGAGATTGAAGAAGACAAAGAGATGGAAGGCGTTAATATTGATACATTTGATTACTTAAAATATTGTAGTGATAAAATATCTGTATTCTGGGGTGACTTAATAGGACTAAGAATAATATCTTCAGAAGATATTATAGATGCTAATAGAATTCAAAGATTAGATACTGAAATGATATGAAAGTCACTCTACGTTCTAATTGATTGATAAATATATAATATATTATTATATATCTATGTAGAGGAAATGTGCAACTTATTTAAGTTGAATCTTTATCTGATCCTCAATCAGAGTTCAATAACATTAATAGTTATCTATTTTTCTATATATTTTGATATCTAGAAGTCAAAAAGTTTTATAGAAGAAAAATTTATAAAACCCAGTCTTTTAAACCTTTTTCAGAAACAAAAGAAAAATCAAAAAGTTAATTATCACTGTTTAACAAGGCTAAAAGAAGAAAGATACATGCCACATCTAATTGCAGAAGCATTGTTTACACGTTATTTAAAGATACTTTCTGTAAAAAAGAGAGATTCTATTAAGGGAAATCAGCAGCCCCTGCTAACACAGATACTACATATATATACTTTATATATAAATAGATGTTGTAAATGACGTGATGGATTTTAGACGCGCACAACGAAATTTGAATCTTTTGTTGGTAGATGGGAACCCAGATAATTCATTATTTAGTGAAAATGACAACCCAGACAGATTTGATTCTAGTCCTATAAAATCGTTTAATGATACACAAGTGCCTGATTTTGATTTGATATCCTCTGATACAGATATTAAACACCCCATCACTACCATATCTCAAGAGATTACAGAGAACAAAGAGATATCTCGAACTGTGATAATGGAGGATAATATGGAAGTAAATATTAACAGAGAAAATGAACCTAACAGCAATACTCTTGGTGTTAGTGAATCTACTAAGAATAAAACATTGAAAAATTATGATAATGACAACAAAGATAATATTAGTGATAATAATAACAATAATTATTCCAACCAAATATTTTTAAACACACAAATACAGAGTAGACTGGATGAAGCCAACAAAGAAATGGAAATAAAATCTCAGCTTAATCAATTCAAGTATACCCAAGAGGAATCTCAACTTATGGGATCACCACTTATCCTAAAAAAACTAAACAGTAATACAAACCCACACTTAAAGCAAGATAAAAAAATAAGAAAAACTAGTTCACAACCTTCTCGAAGATCTCATTTAATGGAGATGCTATCAGGAAAGAATAAGAAAGTGAGAGATATTCTTAAAAATCATAATGAAAAAACAAAAGCCAAATCAAAAACTTCTACAAAGAAAAACAAGAAAATTGTTTACGATATTTATAACGAAGAAGAATGGACTGTTTTAAAACAACTTCTCTTAGAAAAATTCCCTGAAAATACTAATGAGGATATAAATGAAATATTTAATTATGCATATGGTGATAGTGAATCGCAAATTGAAGAAAATATGGAACGAAACTCCGTTGATATGTGGAGTGCATCACAACAATCTTTATATATATCTCCAAAAATAAGTCAAGATTCACACTTCCCAACACAGGGCAATAATGATGAAAAACTTAAACTTCTTTCTTTATCACAAGTAATGGAAAATACTAGTGTAACAGATATTAATCAACTCAACGATACAGATAACAATACCGATGAAAAAAAAGAAGATATAAATTTACTTAATAGTGACTGTGAAATCTTGGAAGGAAATGTTGTAACAAGTTATAGGAAAAATCAACCTTTAATAATTGATTCTGATAATTCTATAAAAGATACCGATTATAAGCTAAATAAAGAAAGCATCGAAAAAGACTTCATGGAGGAAAACAATGCGAAAATAATAATAAATGATAATAGAAGAATGGGACATAATCCTGCAGATAGACTAACTAATAACAAAGATCATATAGTAATATATGATAGCATGGAAGAAGAAGAAGAAACAATAAATAGAATACATATAGAAGATGAAACCAAATTTAAAAAACAAAGAATATATTATTCTTCACAGAATGCGTCAGAAATTTTGAAGATTAAAACTACTTCAGGTTTAGGTTCTATTCCTTTATTACCATTTGATCCAATTTCCCCTGAGAAGAAGAATTCAATGATAAATTTGACTCAAGGATCATTCAAGGTGACTAGTGAATTAGTATCTCCAATTAAATCTATCCCATCTGAATCAAGTACTACTAAGGAATTACTAATTGAGCAACAAGTCCAAGTCCCCGCTACCAGAACAACGACTTTTAATGATATTCAAGAAATAGAAAAAGCTAAATATAGTGAATATGTTCCAGATATAATATTAAAAATACATAAAGAGCAATTAAACAATTTAATTGAAACACAGGATTATTTTAAAATTAAAAATGTTGTACGCATGAATGAGACTGACCATATAGTATATGATTCTTATGGTGAAGAGGAAAATAACGGAGGTATGATAACTACGCCGGAGAATGATATGATTGTGACATTGGAATCAAGAACTAAAAGAAAAACACCACCAGCCTTAATTATATCTCCAATAAAAAGTTCTTTAAAGACACATGAGATAGACTTGTTTGAAGTCCATAAGGATATACAATCTGAACTATGGGAAAGTCAATCAGTTAAAGATATTAGACTTAATATCCATCAGATAGGATTAAAGACATCTCGCAAAAAAGCAGAAATGATTGAATCATTAAAATTAGCATCGCAAGTACTACAATCACAAGGTGTTTTGGATATTACATCCCAAGACCAAACGTCCAAAGATGATATATTTAAGTATTTGTCATTATTGGCTAAGCAGTTTCCTTCTTCAATTCTTGAGAAGTTTTATACATTTCAAGCAATTCCAATAACCGAAGTAATTGAGAATTTTAATCTGATAAACCCATTTGTAGATCGTATAGAGGAGCAAACAATTAAAGAATGGGCTGAATCAAATGGAATAATTCTTTGCCAATAATATCTAATTTATGTAATATCAACATATCTCTTTTTATTTTTTTTTGTACTGTCGTTTTGCTATTTTATATTGATAGATTTTTTTATTATATGATATATTCAAAATTAATGAATAACTTAATTAGTGTTTTTTCTTTAAAACCGTTAGACTGATTATATTATATGCAATACTAATTATAATCGTAGGTACCTATAACACATATTCAACAGTAGAGCTATTATATTCCTATTATGAACTCTCTATAGTACAACTATTGTAGCACTGTAGATAATATATATAGGATTAGAAACAAGAGCAACAAGAAAAGGTTAGTAAATGAATAGTTAAAGAAGCAATTGGAACATTCCTAAACTAGCGATAAACATCGGTTTAGTACGTTTTCTTACACTGCTATAACTGTTCCTTTGAAATGTTTGTATAAAACAATACTCAAAAAAAAAAAAAAGTTAAAAGATTTATTTCACTTTTAAATTCATCATCTTCGTGTTTTCAACACTTATATTTTCCATATACTTATGTTTGATCCTTTTATTATGGGATGTCTCTTTACTTCCATTTTAAGAAGTGCAATGAGGGAAGTCCGACATATCAACGATATCAACAATAGTTTGGATTTGGATGCTTAAACATTCTTATTTCTATCTATTTAGTTATTTATATTCAGTTATACAAGAAAAGACTTTTAACTGTGAATAATCTTTTTTTTTTGTGTACATGTGTACATGCAGATGTCTAAGCCTAATATAGAATAAATTCAAGTCTGCTAGATGTCATCATTGCAATTTTTTCAATTGAACAAAGATACTCTCTTCGAACATATTTTTGAAAGATATGTACGGTTAGAAGACAATATTAATGACTTAAAACAGGATTTAGGAATTCAAAACAGGAATCGTAATCAAATTGAGATCAATATTGAACCATCTGATGAGCAGCAACAATACATTGCTTCTATAAAAAATAATAAAAATAAACAACAAACTAAAAAAAATTTAAAAAGAGGAAGAAGAAGAAGAAGTGGGAAAAGAAAACAGGACCTAGAAATAAATCCAGATACCCAAAAAGCATTAGGTACTACAAACACGGCATCAATTTCAATCGTTAAAAATACTTTTAGCTTTATAGTTGATCAATCGTTGACAAGCCTTAATTCTTCAAGGGATAATAATAATTCCACTACAGGTTATGTTTTATGGTCTATTACCCCATTTTTTCTTAAATGGCTATTATATGATCCAGCTGCGAATGTATTTAGATCTGGGATAAGTAATTATCCATTAGAAAGAGAATCTCTTGAAGAAGAAGAAATAGATACTCCACTAAAAAAGGATAATCCGTATGTTCAAATTTCTTCTATTTTAAATTTACAATCTATATCTAATAAAGAAATCGCTAAAGACAGTAAAGAGGATCATAAAAAGTGTGTTATAGAATTAGGTTCGGGAATATCTGGTATTTTACCAATAGTGTTAGGTAATTATGTGGACTATTACATTGGGACAGATCAACAGGGGATATTAAATAAACTTAAATATAATATAAAAGAGAATTGTTCACAAATAATATTAAGAGAAATATATTCAAAGAGTTTAAATATTGAGCCATGTGGCGACGATAGTTCTATTGTAGAGAAAAATGATACAGATACTGAAAGGAAAGCTCTGGAGAGACCAAAGCTTTTTTTAGAAATTGAATGCATTGATTGGGAAACATTTAAATTGGATAATGAATCGATATCGAGTTTGTATCCTTCGTTAGATACAATGAAGCAGCTAGAAAGTAAAACTGTGTATATAGTAGCTATGGATGTTATTTACAATGATTTTCTTATCAAACCATTCCTTAATACAATACAACAATTGAGAGCCTATTATCTAGAAGACGATAACAATGGATCTGTCACTGTTGTAATTCTGATTGGTGTTCATTTAAGGTCACAAGAGGTTGTTACTACATTTTTAGAGCAAGCGATTGAACAGGATACATGGTCGGTTTATTCAATAGACACTTTAGAGTGGAAAAAATCTCGTTTCAATCTTTACATGATAAAATAGGTAAATCTATTTACAGTCAACTAAACCAATTACATAGGTGTAGTTATGTTATCTATATATCCAAATATATCCAGCACAGGCATGCATATGCATTAGTTATAACAATTAAACTGCAATCATTGTTTCTTGTAAGGCACAATCGAGTGCATCCATATCCATATCTATATTATATATTTTCATTATATCTATATCCTGTTATAAAATAAACGGGGGCCATCGAAAATTGTTATCGCTATTGTCATTGTTATTGTTATTATTTTTTTTTCCTTCTTTTTCTTCTTTTCTTTTCTTTTTTTTATTTTATATTTTTTTTTCTTCGAAATTGTGCGGAGCAAAGAAAAAAAAAATAGCCTCCTCATCTCTGAAATTATATAACAGATTATCTTAGTCATATATTATGGGTGTTTTATGGTGCCTGTGCCCATATATGACTAAATATGTGGGCTAGCTCTTTTGAATCACTTGATTACTTCGTTGGTTAATCAGTTGAATGTTTAATGGTTCACTACTAGTCCAGCGTTATACTATATCATATTACAAGAGTTTAATAATAATTATAATCTGTTTTTTCTTTTTTTTCTTTTTTCTTTTTTTATTCCCATTTTCTTTATTCCATTTAATTAGCAGACATCATAAATATCCGTTTGATTTGTGTAAGCTATTCACTATACACTATCAAATAGTTGTCTGAAACAAGTTGTAACTATAATTTCATCGCGTACTATTTTATTTAATTGTTACAATTTTTGACTTTCTATCACTAAATAGTTTTCCAAGTGACTTTATTGCATTTTATTTAGCAACACACAACCCCCCCATTATACTAATATTCATATCGTGGAGTGAAGTGAAGAAAACAACTGCAACATTTCTACCCCCCCCCTACTCTATCATTATTACTGCTAGTATTCTTATCTTTTCGCTACACTCATTTTAAATATTATTGTCATTATCATTATTAACATTTGCATATTCAAATCAAATATACCACTCAATATCATTTCAATTCTTTTTTTTATTCTTATTTTTAATTTTTTTTTACTTCAATTGATTATTTTTGTTAACTGTATTACACTTTCCTTTTTAACTGTTCTATAATATCATTGTTTATTTATAGGGATTGAATTATGGCAGTCTGGGAACAGTTAGAGGTATCAAAGGCACATGTTGCTTATGCATGTGTTGGTGTTTTTTCCTCCATCTTTTCTTTAGTGTCTTTATTTGTTAAAGAAAAATTATATATTGGTGAATCTACCGTTGCCGGTATATTTGGTCTAATTGTAGGGCCGGTTTGTTTAAATTGGTTTAATCCATTGACATGGGGGAATTCGGATTCCATTACATTAGAAATAACAAGAATTGTCTTGTGTTTACAAATTTTTGCTGTTGCTGTCGAATTACCAAGAAAATACATGCTTAAACATTGGTTATCAGTGGTCTTACTATTAGTTCCTGTAATGACTGCGGGCTGGCTGATTATTGGATTATTTGTCTGGATCATTATACCAGGGCTAAATTTTCCTTCCAGTTTATTAATATCCGCATGTATCACTGCCACGGATCCTATTTTAGCACAATCTGTTGTATCAGGTAAGTTTGCTAAAAGAGTGCCAGGCCACTTGAGAAATTTGTTATCCGCAGAATCCGGTTGTAATGATGGTATGGCTTTCCCGTTCATTTATTTATCAATGAATCTTATTTTGCATCCTGGAAACGGACGTGAAATAGTTAAAGATTGGATCTGTGTCACCATTCTATACGAATGCATCTTTGGATGTATTCTAGGGATTTTCATCGGATACATTGGAAGAAGATCAATTAAATTCGCTGAAGAGAAAAATATTATCGATCGTGAATCCTTTTTGGCCTTTTATGTGGTTCTTGCATTCTGCTGTGCTGGGTTCGGTTCTATTTTAGGGGTTGATGATCTGTTGACATCCTTTGCTGCAGGTACAACATTCGCCTGGGATGGTTGGTTTAGTGATAAAACTGAAGAAAGTAAAGTCTCCACAGTTATTGATCTTTTATTAAATTATGCATATTTCATCTATTTCGGTGCTATCATTCCCTGGAGTCAATTTAATAATGGCGAGATTGGTTGCAACGTTTGGAGATTGATCTTATTATCGATCATTGTCATTTTTTTAAGAAGAATACCAGCGGTGATGATACTTAAACCTTTTATACCTGATATCAAATCATGGAGAGAAGCTATCTTCGTAGGCCATTTCGGTCCAATTGGTGTAGGTGCAATCTTTGCTGCGATTTTGTCTCGTGCAGAACTGGAAGCTCATGTTACTGATGAACCAACCCCCTTGAAACATATTCCACCGAAAGGCACTGAACATTGGCAGTTAATGGCTTGTGTTTGGCCCATGACTTGTTTTTTTATTGTCACATCAATCATTGTTCATGGCTCTTCAGTCGCAGTCATCACTTTGGGGCGCCATTTGAATTCAATAACATTAACCAAGACTTTTACTACCCATACTACAAATGGGAATGGAAAATCCTCTTGGATGCAAAGATTGCCATCTTTGGATGCTGCAGGTCGTTCCTTTTCACTTCATAGATTGGATACTTTCACACAGAAGGAGATCTCTAGAACGAGTACTGTGGAAACTAGTGGTATACCTGCAAAGCCTGCAGGTGGGATGAGAAGAAGAAAACAAGGAAAAAAGAAAAGTAAGTTGAGAAAACATACGAGAAAGATCTCTTCTGTTCAAAGAGAAATTTTTGGTTCCAAATCACACAACGATGAATTAAACGATTTAGGAAGAGAAAGATTACAACGTGAAAGGGAGGCTCGTGCTGCTACTTTTGCATTAACCCCATCTGTTAGGCCGACAGAATTGCATGATGATGACCTGGACAGGATTCAACCTTATAATGGGAGAATAGAAAACAGAAGTAATTCTAGCAACTTACCTGAAGAAGGAGGAAGTTATGAATCTATTGTAGTTACATCCCCAGTAGAGGCGTTAAATAACTATCCAATGTATGAATCTGATATGGAAACGGAAGAAAATATTGACAGTGAAGAAGAAGATAACTTTGATGAATATGATCCTCAACAGGCTATTCCTGATCATTATCCTCAAGATATAGAAATGGGTATTAAGAATGTTCATAAAGATTTAGACGATGTCTCCTCTACTACATTGGAAGAAGAGGAAAAAAGAAGAAAAATAGAAGAAGATGAACACACAGGAAACACTGCATATATAGATGGCACACACCTTATTATTGAAAATAAACATGGTGAAATTGTTGAACAAGCTGAAATAGGTAACCCTCCTAGAGATGAAGAAGAGGGAAGTAGAATAGACAGTTATTCTCAAAGTGAATCTCATATATCTCCAATTCAAAGTATAGCTTCTAGTAGACCATTGGCACCATTAAAGAAAATTTTATCTCCTGAATCTCTTCATAAAATACAATCTTTAGTCGATGACAGTCAATCTCAAAGAAATACCATATCTTCTAAAGACAGCAATGTGGATGAACAATCTCATATTTCTAAAAAAAAAACCAAGTATCACGCTTATAAGATGGACCAGCATTTAATTATTGAAAATGAGGATGGTGAGATTATAAGGAGATATATGATTCACCACCATCCAAGCTCACAGAAAAAAAAATCTGATGCAATTGTCAATAGAGTGCTAAATTCTGTAGGAATACGTCGGAATATTTCAATTAGCTCAGATGCAAATACAATACCATCTTCAACGTCTCTTGACAATGATATACCACTTGAACAATTGACAAAAAAACATAGAACGTTAACTCCAGCACCTCATAAAGTAGCAAGACACGCATCTATATCAGATAGTGAAGAGATTGACAATAGTAGTAGAGAAGACAGTTATAATGACGATGAAGGGGATACTACTGATGAATCATATACTGATGAATATATTGATGATTCAGAAGAAGAGTCAGAGACTGAATTTGAGAGACAACGAAGATTACATGCCTTAGGCCAAGCTCCAGCACCTCAAACAAATGCTAACAATAATAGAGATAACAATGATAATATTAATGTTTATCTAAATGAAGAAGATGAAGAAGAATATCCAGTTACAAGTCCATCCGCTACAGGAAATCATGGAGGGCATCCAAAATCAAATACGTTAATGGAAAAATTTTCCAACAAGATAGGCAAGAAATTCAGATTTTAATCGAACATCCATCATCATTGTATATTAGTGTTGTTTTGCCTATAAACGTTGTCTATTGGCTCTTTTATCTGATTATTAGTAGCTGTTTTTTCAATGTATTTGTAAACATAATTTTGCTTGACAACGTTGTGTTGATAATTTTGTATTAAAAGAAAAATTTGCATTATATAATATCTATTTGCATTAATCTTGTTGTTTGTATTAATCTTTCTAATGCATATTTAGTTAACATGCATGCAATAAATTATTTCAAGAAAATCCAGATTTTTACATTTCTTAAAAATATGTATCTATATCTATATCTATATACAAGATGATTAGTAAAAGGAATCTATAAAACAATGACGGAATTTCTTCCTAAAAGTATTTATAACAACACATGCATACTTTCTACTATATTCTTCATAGGAATTTAATCAGAACATAAAAATATCCTTAATAAAAGCCCTGAATTCTTTTTTTGTTGGTTTTGAATCGCTAGAAATAAAATCTATTTGTTGACTTTTACCACCAAAGTTACCTCCATCGATTTCAGAATATTGAACACAATATTTATCCATATATTTCAATTTTAAAATTTTATGCCTATTACAAGTAACATAATTATATCCAATCGTTGGAATTAAATGTTTGGTATCCGATAATCCTATGGGATTATTCAAACATAAATTATATGGTATTTTAACATTATCGATAAAATTACTCATTTTGATCTCATTTAAAAAAGAGATTAATCCGGGCTGGGATTCTAATGTAGCTTCAACATTCATAACATAATCATTAGAGATTCTGTAATCAAATGGACGTTCTGGTGTTTGAATTAAATAATTTTCTCTTAAAATGGGAATAATAGCCTGTACTGAATCAAGAATAATTTGATTATTTTCATCTATTTGTAACCATAATTCTAATGGTTGATCTTTTAAAGGCGTATGATTATTCATAGATTCTTCAAATTGCTTCCTATCGGGGGTTAATATTATTTGTAAATAATAGTCATGTTGATCTGTTAATAATAATTCATCTTTAGTAAACTCTTTATCAAAAAGAGGTAATTTCAATAATTTTTCTGATAACTGTGGAATTCTTGAATGGAAAATCCAGTTTGAGTGCAAGGAAGAAAAAGATGACGACTCTTCGACATTAGAGGAAGAAGAAGAACAAAGTGGCATAGGAGATGTCAGTGATGCTTTTTTATTTGGTCTTAAGACTTGACCTAATGATATACTCAATATATTAGATACATTTGGTTTTAAATTTATAACAGAGGCCTTATTTGCATGGTTAAAGAAATTATAAAATTTATCAATCTTTTCATCTGTCAATAGATTATTAAGAGAATCAGATGTTAATTCTTTATATGATTCATTCTTGATTGGGCAAATTTCACGCAAAATTTCAAATGGTTCAATCTGTCTTAACCAATTTAAAGTTTGTATATCAACAAAGGGGAACCATTGGAATTGGTTTTCTTTATTAGTATTCGAACTAACTTGATCAATGGCTTGTTTCCAATAATCTGAATACGCTCTTGATACTTCCATATTAAGGTAATCTGCCCATAATAGTAGTCTTTTAGCTAATTGAATTCTTTTATTACCAAAGGCAAAAATTTCATTTTTATCCAGGTTTATATCCACATCACAGAGTCTTGTTATCCTAGAGATGATTTTATTATTGTAAGAAGTAGTAGTTGAAGAGGTAGATGAGTTAGTTGAAGGCATCCACTTCGTCATTAATATGTTTTTTAATATATTAGTTATTGAAATTTCAATATATTTCAAAACTGATTCATTTCCCCACAACTTTAATTGATTATTCGAATAATCTAATTGAATCAGAAGATTCTTATCCAATCTAGATAAATTTTTTAAAATTTTACCATTTTGTGTCAATAACAATAACTTCGTTTGAACATCATTTAAATTGATAATTTTGTGTGACATTGAATAACTATTCATAGTATTCATTTTAGACGAAACTTTTAGATTCCAAACGTCATTCAACAATCTTTTCACTATATCTAATTTAACCAATTTTGATGTGGATATTCTTGTAAAAGATTTCGTTGATATATAATAACGTAATTGTTTGACGGTATATCCGTCATTTAATCTTTCTACTAATTCATCAAATATTTTACTCGACACTTCTGTAGTAGGCGGTCTCATAGAATCGATAGATTGGATGATTTGTTCATTTGTAAGTTTAGATTCAAATTGTAATAGCGTGTTAGATGATTGTCCTTTCGGATCACGAAGATAAACATTATTCGAATTATCGATAATAATATTATTATTGCTATTATTTTTACTACACCCGTTACTAGGATCAGTATTTTTATAAGCGTTATTATTGTCACCTAAGTCCACCCCTTCTAAGATTGTAATATGTTTTGTATTATTATTATTACTATTATTATAATTGGGACGATCCATTCTATTTGAATGATTATTTTTTTTAGTATGTTTGTGATTATTTTTTTGAGTATTTGGCAACAGACCACTTTGTTTTAAATCTAATACAAGAATATGTGGTTTCTGTGGCTTAATTTTCTTACCCCTGGTCACATTGTGAACATCTTCTTTATTGTTTCCACAATTTTCAGATGTTGGCAATAATGATGAGCTAACAGGAGCAGTGGGGATGGTACAAGTGATAGCACTTATAGTAGTAATTGTATTAGCATCAGTGATGGTAGTTCTATCGTTGTGATCCTCGGTGTTATTATCTATAGTATTATTTGTAGAAATGCTGTTATCAATATTATTTACAAGTGAATACCACAATTTATTGGTGTAATTTAAATACTTCCAAGTTATTAATTTATTATAATAACATTTCAATAATAGTGACATTATATTAAAGTGTATACCATAGCTAAATCACCTAATGTTTATCTCAGTCTTATTATATGTGTGTGCGTGTGAAGATGCTTATATTAAGATCTGATTAATATTCTGTGTATCTTTTTTTTTCAAGGGAATATACGAAAGAATAAAACTATTTGTGTCAGGTTATATATATATAAAGAGAGAGATGAATGATATCTCTTCCTAAGTTCGAGAGAGTTCGAGGAGTAGCGGTAGTAAATAGTTCCAACCCATTGAATATTTACTTTCTTTTCTGTTACTTCTTATTTGTTTTTGTTTTTGTTTTTTTTTTTTCTTTCAAGATATTGAAAAGGGAAAACAACGATATCACAAATAAAAAAATGAAAAACATATTTTAGTTTTGCAAAAACCCTATGTTTGTTCTAAAATAATGGGAAATTATTTGTGTATATATTATTACAACCCTAAATTTAATGTTGAAAAAGTTTTGTTTTATTGAAATTTTATTATTATTTTGATTATTTTTTTTTTTTTTGGTCGACATTAAGAATTTAAATTAAAGAAAAAATAAATAATACACAAATAAATAAATATATGAAGAAAAAAAAAAAAAAGAGAAGGCACTAGGAAATTAAATCAATAGATAAGTAAGCCAGTCCATGTATCTTTATGAAAACTCTAACTGATTTGTATTTCGATTTTGATACATCAATGATATTTTGTATTTCTGTCTACAAATCAACTAGAGATGTATAAATGATGCTGACTAAATAATTAAATGATAAGAGAATGGGTAGAATAAGGAAAAGAAACTTGAGGCAAGATGGTAAGAAATCAATCGATATTATAAAATTATCAAATAATGGTCATTCGGGAAGATGCATAAATTATTATGATGTGACGACACAATATATCAAATGGTACAATAGAGAAGTCACCAATTTTTTTGATTGCACACCAAATATGTATCCGAAATTACATTCTTCCTACGTTCATGTCAATAGTACTTATGAATTTCATAAACATAAAAGTGATCAAGCAAACGCTGTTTCAGATGCCGAGTATGATGAGATGGGTGAATTAGACGAGGAGAGTGAAGTGATTGAGTATGGTTCTTTTTGGACATCAAGTGAGAAAAGAATGTTTTTTAATCTTTTAAGCAGATATTCAATTCATAGACTAGATGATTGGTACCCATATTTTAATGGTACAAAGAGCAAAATAGAAGTATTAACATACTATAATGTATTACAGAGAAACCTGAAATCAGTTAAAGAGAGATTACCTAACCTTTTGTATAAATATGAGGATTATCCTATATCGTATGAGATGGATGACAATTTTATTGAATTCGATGAACATATGAGTCAAAGACTAATTGATAAAGATGAATTGGAATATTATTATGATAATGAACCGGTGAACAGTAATAACAACAGCAATATCCAAAGTAACGGGAATAGCAATAATAATAATAACAATAATAATAACAATAACAATAATTTAATTGTGAATTTTGACAAATGGAATCAAATATGGAACCAATTTTATCGAAAGAGTATTAATGATGATAAGAATATGGATGTCGATACAAGATATCCGGAATTCATTGGAGATGAAATGAATTATAAACAAGATTCCAACAAACTTTATGAAATCCAAAAGGAGATAATAGAATTGAAGGGGAAAGAACATAGAGTATTACAATATACACCTGTGGATGAAAATGAAACAAATAATGCCATAACAACAACAACAATAAAAAGAGGGAAAAGAAAAACAATTCAACCATTACCACTTAATAAAGAATCTATGGAATACATTGAAACATGTGTTAGAAATTACATTCGAGATATTTTATATTTTACGATACTGTCAAGAATTAATAAAAGAAGTATTCATGGAGACCATGTAAATAGGTTATTTCGATATAATAATAGGATGAATTTCAAGAAGATATTAAATAAAAAATATAGGAAAGCTATTAAATTGTCAGTGAAGAATAAAGAAAGAGATTATATAATAAGGAATAAAAGGAATAGTAATAATAATAATAATAGCGATAATGATAATGATAAAGAGGAAGGAGAGGAAGGAGAGAAAGCAGATAAGAATGATAGGATGTTGTATCCACATGTCATTACTAAAGAAGAGATCTTTAAGGGGATCATACTAATGAGACAGGATAGACCCAAAAGGCATATTGAAATGAATAAATCTATTGAAGTTATTAATACAATAAACAAATTTGAAATGAAATTGGATGATAAAGATGTTAGTAATAATAATAATAATAATAATAATAATAATAATAACATGATGATGATGAAAATATTTAAGGAAAGATGGTTTTTACGGTCACTAATAAATGAAATGGTATATGATAAATTAAATCATCCAATCCCAATAGTAATTAATAACACTAATTATAATGATATAGATATATATGATGATATTAAGAGTACTAATAGTGGATTTGAAAGAGGAAATAATAGTTACGATTATGATATAAATCTACAAAGTGAATATAGTAGGTTGATTAAGAACCCAATTGATCAAGAATTGAAAATGATAATTGGATTAATGAGAAAGGGTACACTTTCTATATCCAAAAGAGGTAATAAAATAAAGATAAATAGTGAAGAAGAGATAACGATGCAAAGGAAGAATAAATATAACTTTGAAATAGTAAACGATGATAGTAGTTATATTGAATGGGGATCAATAATTAATAAGATATTGAATAAAAGATTAGATAACGAGTTAGAGTTAAGATTGATAGAGAGAGAGAGAGAGAATCTTGAAAGAAAAGATCAGTTGAAATCAAGACAATATTTAGATACATTATATCATTATTTTGGTAGTATATTAAGTATGACCCCACCTGGAACTGGTGGGAACAGCCATCATTATAGTGATAGTAATAATATAATTACCAATAGATTATATGTTATGATAGATGAGGATGACATGGGAAGGGAAACAAGAGAAGAAGAAGAAGAAGAGGAAGAGGAAGAGGAGGATTATATATGGCCATCTACTGTCAAAGTGTTTGAGAGAATGAATTTCTAATAAATTTAGTCTAGATAATATAATACAATAGAGTAGAGTATAATAATAATAATAATAATAATATAGTAGTGGTACGCTACAATATGTAATATTATTGTTATAAGATATCATTCTGTGCCAATGCTGGCGTAACAGAAGAGAATATAAGCAGTGTGGATTACTTATGAGACATTCGATGGAACTCTGTTTGCTGAGTCAGATCAGTCACATGTATAAATCGAAACAAAAACTTCGAGACACAAAGAACTGGAAAATAAAATAAAATAAAATAAAATAAAAGAATTCAGGGAGAAGGGGGGGGGGAAGGCAAACAGATACAAAAACACCCAAACACCCAAATTGTTATTCCCAATTCCAACGGCAGGAATTCGTTTTCCGGACGAATTCTCCCAAAAAAATTAAAATAAAAATGAAAAAAAAAAAGACACGGAAACCGAGTTCCGTCTATTTTTTGTATGTGTTTTTTCTTGTTTTTGTCACATTTACCGTATTTATTATATTTATTATATTTATTGTAATTGATGTGAGATAGAAACGGCTGATACAATTGTTATTATTATCAATAAATGATGATAAGTGATAATAAATGATAATAAATGATGATAAATGGCAGTTATGACAGTTATGGCAATAAGTAGAATGAGAATGGCATTACAGAGTGCTCAGGAAATTATACCATACGCATGTGTGTTTGTTTGTGCGTTTGGGAACGTATGTGTAGACACAAAATAGATAGTGATTACTTGTGTTGATTTATGCAAAATTTGGTTTGTTTTGATTTGTCTATCTGTTCTTCTCTTATCAATCTATCCTTAGGATTATGTAATATTTCATGTGTCCTTGTTTATCTATTCATTTGTTTATGTCTTTTATTTTATTTTATTTTATTTTATTTTATTTTTTGTTTTTAATGTGACTTGTTTGTTGACTGATTAACACCGTTATAGCCATTTGTTTCTATAATTTTCTACAAACTCCCACATATATATATATACTTCATAACTTTTGCTATTCCAATAATTATCCAATCGTTTATTTCTTCCTTATTCATTTATTTTTTTTTTCTTTCCTCTCCTACGACATATTATTGATTTTTATTATTACTTTGAATATTCTAATAACGATTTTTGCCTAGAATCATCATATACAACTAACTACTCACCTAAACCTTTCTATAAAAGGATCAATATATAATTTATATCAGATAATATTCCTTATCTAACTTTCTATTAGTATCTGTTTTGTTTTTACACTTTTATTCTATTTTATTGCTCTTTTTTCTTTTTTATTTTTTATTTTTCTTTTAAAGGATTAAAATACATATATAATACAATATCACACATATACTTATAATGGGTATTCATCGTATCACCACTAAAACACAAACAATACTTCCTTTTAAACTCTTCGATTTTAAACTATTTAAGAATGATATGACATCTGCTATGTTTTATCGTCATTATGTTTCAGGAACTAACATGAAAGAAAATACTGGAAACTCACTATTATATACTCCTGAAAATACAACTGCTACAACTTCTACCTCTAATCCTATATCTACATCCACATCTATCTCTAATTCAACTACAGTTATCTCTTCCTTTCCTTCTTCTTCTACTTCTCCCTCCCCTTCTTTCCCCACTTATGAAGAATATTTCAAAACTTTACCAAAACAAACCTTATTTTCTCTATTCCTAATCGGTGTGTGTTCATTAAATAAATTGACTTTATCAACTGCTACATATATTTTCCCATTTATTCCACTCTCTTTAGTTCGCATCCTGGTATCAAAGCTTTACTGTGGTGGTGAAAACATGCAAGAAGTCTTACAATGTGGTCAAGAGTTACAAAAAAGAGGTATCTCAAATATGATGCTTTCTTTAACAATCGAAAATTCTGAAGGGGTTAAGCAAATAGAAAATATCGACCAAAGTATAGTGGACCCAACTATCGAATCCATCTACAAGGTATTGAAACCTAACTTATTATCTCAGTTGGATTCTCTTACCGATGAACAAAATATTAACACAATTGCACCAGGGTATATCGCTTTGAAACCCTCTGCACTAATTGAAAATCCGAATGACATTTTAATGAATTATGGTACTCATCCAGACTCGAAAGTGTTGTTCGACCGCTGTGCAAGAATCACTCAAGTGGTCCATGATTTGAATCAACAATTATCCAAGATCTATCCATCACGTAAGTCACCCTTCTTCGTTTCTACCATTGACGCAGAAAAATTTGATTGGCAAACTAAAGGTGTATACAATTTACAACGCCAATTGATGCAAAAATTTAATCGCGATCCTTTGATCTCTGTGGCCGGTACTTGGCAACTATATTTGTCAGATTCCATAAAACATCTGACTAATGATGCTTTACTGGCTAAACAAAACGGTTATAGATTAGCATTAAAGATTGTCCGTGGCGCCTACATTCATTCTGAACCAAATAGAAACTCTATCATCTTCAGTACAAAAGAGAGCACAGACAACAACTACGATAATATAATGACCATGGTTCTCAATGACATGAAAAATAATGGTAAAGATTCTGTGTATGGGCATTTGGTTGTGGCCTCCCATAACGCAGAATCTCAAATCAAAGCAGCTGTCCTATTGGATCAATTGTCTGAAGATACATACGTTAGAGCTAATGTTTCACTTGGCCAATTGTTGGGTATGTCCGATAATTTGGCATACAATTTAATCAATAACTACCATATGCATAATTTGATTAAATACGTTCCATGGGGCCCAACAAAAGAGACAAGAGATTATCTGTTGCGTAGATTACAAGAAAATGGAGATGCAGTTAGAAGTGATAATGGATGGGGATTAGTCAAGAAAGTCGCAAAAGCTTTATTCTAAATCAATTAGTACTGGAAGTTCCGATTTTAGGTGTTCATTTTTGTATATTTATTGTATACACGTTTACTCACATGCCTCTTCCCAACCTAACTGTGCCATCTATCCTTTCCTTCTTTTTTTTTTTTGGTTTTTTTCTTCTTTAATCCATAGTATGTCATTATATATAGACCCCTGTAACTGTAAGTATGGTAATATTCACTACTCAATATAATAATAATAAATAATCATCATCGTCATCATGAATTTTTTTTTTTTTAATAGTATACCACTTGTTATTTTTTACTTATAAATAAGTTAAACAAATAAAATGAACCAGAAAAATAAATAAATAAATAAATAAATAAATAAATAAATAAATAAAATTAACTTAAAACATAAAAGGTTAATCTTTAAGTAGATATACTAACAAATAGGGCTTGGACAGAGGATACCAAACAAGAAACTATTAATTAATGCGCCGAAATCTTGATTTCTATATATGTATGGATTATAAGAATTCACTTTAAGTATGAAATTCGCAGCTTTAATATCAGGTGGGAAAGATAGTTTTTTTAATATCTTACATTGTTTGAAACAAGGTCATCAACTTATAGCATTGGCTAACCTATATCCTAATGACGAAGAAATTCAAGATTTAAACAGTTTTATGTTTCAAACTGTAGGACATGATTTAATATCTTTATACAGTAGGTGTTGTAATGTGCCACTGTTTAGAAAACCAATCAGAATAGATTCTTCGATTAACAAAGAATTAAATTATGTCACTGTATCCAACGACGACGAAATTGAAGTTTTGTATCAATTGTTGAAGGAGATCAAATCCAAATTGCCTGAATTACAGGCTGTCAGTGTCGGTGCTATCCTTTCCTCATATCAAAGAGTTCGTGTCGAAGACGTTTGCAACAGATTGGGACTTACCGTTTTGAGTTATCTATGGCAGAGAGATCAATCTGAATTACTAAGTGAAATGGTCACTATGTCTACACTTTCTACTCAATACGATGAAAACGGCAGTAGTAATAATGATGATGAAGATACAAGTGGTAAAGGTTATTTCGATGCAAGGTTGGTTAAAGTGGCTGCAATTGGATTGAATTCTCGTCATTTAAATATGACTCTGCCACAGATTCAGCTTATTATGATGAATTTGAATAATAAATACGAGGTCAATGTTTGTGGTGAAGGTGGTGAATTCGAGACTATGGTATTAGACTCGCCGTTTTTCAAAGATGGTTATTTGAAATTAAAAAATATGGAGATTACATCTGATTCAAAGGAACAGAACAATGGGGTTTATAATGCTAGATTGATTGTAGACTATCAACCAAGACAAGTGTCTGATAATTTTTTTAAACATGAATTGGAAAGATTGCCTGAACCAGCTTTGCTAGATGAGAAATGGCAAGAATTGTTAGATAATTTGAAAAATAATGATACCATCAGTAACTTGGTTGAAAAGCTTGCATCTGTTGAACTAACCACTTTATCGATTTTACCATCTTCGTTACCATCTGATTACAAATTTATTCCAAATGTGTCTGTTGTAGAAGTTAACGATCTTCTTTATATCTCGAATTTAACTTCCACACTTCCATTTATTGGAAATGATAATTTACAATATTCTTTAGAGGCACATATGTTGAATATTTTTAAACAATTGGAACACATTTTGGCATCTAGAGCATTATATCCATGCCAAATAATTTCGTCGTCCTTGCTTTTAACTAATATTGAAGCCTTTAATAGAATAAATAAGATTTATTCCAAATGGTTTGATACACAAAAATGGGGCCCTCTTCCACCAGCTAGGGCCTGTGTTGGATCTGACCTACTGGGCCAAGAAAATCCGATTCAACTATCTGTGATTATAGACCTAAACTCAAGTAAAATATGTGAATATCAAGATGGTAAAATCAAAATGAATAAAAATAAAAATGGTTTGCACGTTCAAAGTCGATCATACTGGGCACCATGTAATATTGGCCCTTATTCCCAAGCTACGTGGCTAAATAGCGATCAGGCAAATAAAGTTGCTAGAATTAGTGGGCAGATTGCTCTGATACCCAGTTCAATGGAAATGTTACCAAAAAACGATTACTTAACACAGGCTGTGTTGTCTTTGAAACATTTCAATACTGTGAAAGAAACAATTGGCACTGAAAAACAATTATTTATGACTTGTTTTGTACGTGATGCAAATATGATAGCTATCATATCTAAAACATGGTCATTATATTGTCGCGAAATGTCATTAAAATCTTCATTATGGTTTGATAAGGAGGATGAACAATTAGAAAGTTTGATTATTGTTAAAATCTCTGAACTACCAAGGAATGCACTATGTGAATGGGGTGGGGTTGCATGTGAATCTTTATATATTGAAGACATCTATGACGATTGTTCTGAAGATGAACAAAAAGAAGAAGAGGAAAAAGAAGAGCCAAGTAAAGAAATGGATTCAAATATTGCCGCCGAAATGGGTTTATATAATGATATCGCTGTATCAAAGGGTACAAACCACAGACATTTTGTCACTGGGTTCTGTAATGACGACAATGCGATCATATTATTTTTAAATAGAATTAAAAATGGCCACTTAACTTTATATTTTAACCCAAGTAAATGCGGTTCTTCTTCTTCTTCTTTAGTTTTGAATCAGTTATATTCTAAGACTAATCTTGAAATGTATCCGGTAGAGAAAGTTTACGACTATCGAGGTAATGAATATAAATATGGTTATCAATACTTCTATTAAAATATATATATATGTTCCATTTTCATTTCTTCTATACCCATGTATATACTGTATTACGTTGAGAGAATGTGGTTATGAACTGGTTCTAAAGTAGACTAAAGTATTTTAATATATATCTATGTATATGTGTGTGTATGAATTGTATATAGTTGATAGATTTTCACTTTTATTTTGTGATGCTTTCTTATGTTAGTTTTGTGTGTTGATCGATTTTTTTTTTGTCCTTATGAAATTTTTATTCAATTGATAAAGAAGAAATCTTCAAAAGAAAGAAACATCATAATTCGTAAGATTATTGTACTTCTTAAACATAGAGAGCTGATTGAAACTAACAAAAAATTTCCTACATCTACATAAGAAGTAAAGGGTATATTAATCCATATATAATCGTTAGGGAATAATATTTGATTTCAATTAATCCAGCTCATATTTGGCGGGTTATTCGATTATTATGTCAGATTACCAGTCAGAAGTCGGGAAATTATTGGATTTCACAGAAAATGTTTTGATTAACCTTTTAAATAATAAAGATGCTTCTCAAAGTTCATTTGTACAAAGGGCAATGATAGAGACTAAGTTGAGAAAATCATCAAGAGACCGATCAAAGTTTCAAAGATTGATCAAGAGAAGACAACTCCACAAAGTACCTCTTGATATTGTAAAAGAAGAAATTATGGACTATGATGATATCTTACCATTTCAAAGGTTATCAAAATACTTTAGTCATTATGTCGATGCTGATCGAATGGATCAAGTTGAATTTGATACTAAAGTTGATTCATATATAAGAAAAAATAAAAAATGTGGGTTTAAAAATGAAGAAAAAACTAAAACCCCTAGTGTTAACAGGATAACCATATCTTCTAGAGGGAAGCAGTTACAAAATCAATCCTCAAGCACTATAAGTAATGTTGCTCCAAATAATAATTCACCTAGATTGCAAAAAGCACAAGATATTTCAATTTCAACTAATCATGACAATAACCCTGAGTATAAAACTCGTCCACTTAATCTAGTAGGAAATGAACCTGTAAGATTGCTAAAGGAAAAGGTTGAAATTAAAGCTAGTGATGCAAAAATTAATAATCCAGTCATTATAAAACAACAACCAAAACTTGTGCTATCTTATACAAATACTTTCAAACCGATTAATCAAATATCAAATACAAACGTACAATATATTAATGAAGATAAAACTAATAAAACTATAAAAAAAGAGGATAATCATGCTAAAACGACTGCTACAGCATCTACTAAATTATCAGATGAAAAGAAGTCTAATTTGATCAATAAGAAGGATATACAAAGTGGAATAAATGATACATCTAACAGTAATAAAGTATATGGAAATTCAATCGACTTGAAAAGTACAAAGGTAACAGATGTAGCTACTAAATCAGGATCAATGAATCGTATGTTCGAGAAAGGTCAATTAATTAAAGTAATGGAAGAGATCGTGTATTCACAAAATAAAGAATTGGAAAATACCAATATGATTATAAATAATACATTAGAATATTTTCATAAAAGATCAAGTAATGAGTTCAAAAATTCTGTTAAAAGTGCAAATGAAAAATTGAAAAGTCTCAGTGAAAGTGTGAATAAGGAAGTAAAAAGTTTGGATAAGATTCCGGATAAAGAGGTTAAGGAAAACGAACAGAATGTAATATTGATCAAGGATAAGAATAACAAAATACTCGAGGAAAAGCAATACATATCTGCAAAAAATATTGAAACCAATGATGGACGTGTGTTGAGCTCTTCAACAGAGGAAGCTAAGAAATCTGTATCAACCATAAATACTAATAAAATTTCTATGTATAATTTATCAAATAAAGTTGAACAGGAGAAATCAAGTGATGATAATTGGATAATATCTGTAAGTGATTCAAACCAACTCAGAATAGGTGATAAAAGGAAGTTAAAGACCAAAGATCAGACTAAAAGTCATAAGAAATCAAAAAGAAAAATCAATACAAATAAGAAAACAAATAATAGTAGTAATACTGATAGCAATAACAAGATAGAAAAATTAATTGAACGTATTCAGAATAGTAAAATTACATTAGAAACATTGTTAGGTTCTGTATCAAATGAAACGACCTTTGAGCAGTTTCATGAAGTAGAACCACCGTCACCTAAAGTATTTGAAAATGAGAATAAAAATAAGGATGGAAATAATATCCGTTTGATGCAGTTGTATGATTCCATTACAAAATCAGATGAGCGAGACGAAGAATTTCCCGAATCAGTGAGAGGAGAAATTCATGTTGGTGATTCAAAGCAATTACACAATCAAACTTATAATGGTGCAATCTCTGCCGTTACTGATAATCATAGTGATAATGTTGACAAAGTTGGCATCATTTCGAACAATATGTTTACCGATAAAAATGATACCAAGGAAAATATTCCGCTGAATCAATCAATCTTAAATGCTAGCCAAAGTCTCTATGATGCATACATGTCAAACCATAATAGTGGACTACTACATCCTACAACAGATAAAAATTCTTTATCAACAAAGAATCCATTTATAACATCACATCGAAACAAACAAAAGACTAATAAGTTCTCATCAGTACAGTTGTCCAAACATATGGTTAATAAGAAAGTGCCAAAAGCTTTAAAGAAAATAAGTAATCTTGTTTCCAAATATAATTTAGATGACACATAAGTTGCTTTTCTTTTTTAATCATGATAAATTATAAATATGTATATTCATAAAGGTGGCCATTAATATTTTATTATTCTTTATTTATTCAATTATTTTTTCTCAATATATATATTTACATATATATATTATATTATATTATTGTTCTTGTAAGAGTAAGGATAAACATGCACAATATGATAAGGACCATGTTAAACTTTGTCCCCCATCTAAATATTTTTTATCGAATTGAGGATTAGAGAAAAATGAATATGCTAGGATCGGATCACATAGGGCCATATTTAGCATAATAATTCCCTTCCAACCATCATTTAGTTTATCCACAATATTTTTTAATAATTGATCCCATTCTTGTTGAACAAAAGTAGACGATCTTATAAAGGTTGATATAGGTAATATTGGAATAGCATGGATCATTTGAATATATTCAAGGTTATTACCAAAATAGGTGGTATGATGAATCTTATTTTCAAAGAGGATTCCACTACATTTATTTAAAATAAATTGTGGAGGTTCAGTCACATTTGAATCATCATAAATGAAATAATGGTTTATGGAATCTTTCAAAATTGTTAATTGCAAGTTTGTAATTAGTTCAAGGTTGTTATTTGATGTGGCATTAGCCCATAATTTAATTGCATATATCGACATTACGTCTTCTGAACTTGATTCTTCATCTTTACCATCACTACTTTCAAAGAGACCCTTAGCCCAGGAATGGCCATTAAACCAATCAAAGGATCTAAATTGAGGGAACCATGGATCATTAAGTGATGGATTGTTATAGTCTCTAATTAGCAATTCGATCCAATTTCGATTATTCATATCCTGGTACCATGGAGAATTCCCATAAATAAACTGTTCTACTTTAATAATGATTGCACCAGTCATAACAAAATATCCATAATGGAAATGGTGATCATTATAATAAGAATTACCGAAGTCTTTCATTGGTTCATTTGTAGAAGATATAACACCTTTCCATGTTGTATCATAATTTAATGGTATTATTTGATTATTTGAGATAAATCTACTAAATGCTGTTTGTAACATTTTTAAAAGTTTCTTTGTTAAGTCTAGATCCTTTATAATAAAACAAGTTGAATACAAGATCCATGCATATTTGGCTAAACATTTGCCAGAAAAATACATCGAATCTAAATTGGATTCAGACAAGATATCACATTGTGATATTTCTTGGGTTGCTACATTATGTATCAGTTGTAAAATTTCATTGTCAGTTATTATTGGTGGATTGTTTCCAAACCCCATTGGGTGAAAGGACATTGATTTCATTAAATCCAAATCGTGTACATAATTATCATTATTCATATCTAATCGATCAGTAATAAATCCAGTCATTGTACCAGATACAGTAGAATTCAAGTACGAGGGGATCCTGTATTTGGATAAAAACGTTTCAGAGATACGATTCATATGGTGCGGTAAAGCATAGATAAAGCATTTAGGGGGTACAGGATGACATAATGGATTCAACATTGATTCACCACTGATTGAATATATAAAAGAATAACCAGATAAATCGAAGGAACTTGTTGTTGATGATGATGATGATGATAATTTTGTTAATAGTGAGATTTGACAAGATATAGGGTAAAATCCAGCGACTTGATCGAGTAAAGAAATAGAATTGGGATCACTTTCCCAAACAGTAACTTGTATTGTGGTGTCCTTTCTTATTCCGCGATTGGATACTATGGTTTGGGGATCTTGCATAAGCAATTCTAATGACTGATCGTTGCAATACAAGAACCATAACTTATTATCATTTAAAACAATTTTATATCTTTGTGGAGTTTCTCTAACAAACGATCTAAAACCCACCATAGACTTGACACATATCTTTGATGATTGATTGGGGTAGAACTTATATAGTGCGGTTATTAGACCTGTACCTTGGACCAGTGGAAACTGTATTAATGGCATTTGATTGTGAGACCCGATTAGATCCAACTGGCAGGCCATATGGGTTAAATTGTGAACGGATATAGAAGTAGAGACGGTAAGAGTAGTTGAAAACATAATTGACTTAATTCCAACCGGATTAAAGTAAAACTGTGGCGGGAAATTGTCCCTGTCGAAAACTCTTTGATGAGCAGAAATATAGGATACACAGATAGAGTTATCGTGTTTACTATACCATAAAGAATAGGGATGGACCCATAATGGCAACTCCTGACCGTTGGGTAGTAGTAAATTGCCATAGAATTTATTGGTTGGGATAGGAAAACCTCTTGATAAAGTTAACGTGCTTGAAGGTGGAGACAAAGCATGTATCTTGGGTGGCAATATACCTCTAGGGTCTATGGAAGATACCAAATTTAACGGCAAAGGTTGGTATTCTGTCGTAGTAGTAGACATAGTGTCTAACAAGTTGTTCTGTTCACCAGGAAGAGGAAACTTTGGTCTGTCATACATGATGGAATTGCAAACTTATTGGTTTTTTATTTTTATTTTTATTTTTATTCTTATTTCTATTTTTTATTTCTTCCTCTCTTATGAGATTTAGGATAATACACACGCTAGATATTTATTATTATAGTTAATACAACACTAATAAAAATGGGATGGAGCAGAAGGGGAGCATGTTTCACATAAAGTAGAATTGCTTTAGTTTTTTGTCTGGTGCTGGTTGTCTTATATATCTACGAAATTGTGTACTCATATGTTTTACATAGTTAGTTATACATCTTTACATTGGAATCAAACCAGAAACTTGTAAGGAAGGGGAAACTGTTTGGCGGCTAATGCAATTTCTCCTCAATCTTTTTGTGTGTGTGTGTGTGTTTTAAAAAAAAGCCCAAAAGAAAAAAAAAAAAAAAAAACTTTTCCAAAGTTTTTGATTGGAGACTTTTGAAAACTGCAGGAGATAAGATAAAATGACTAAATAAAAGAATCCATGAAGGCACAAATGTCATCAGCATCATCACTGTCATCATCATTGTCATCATCATCATCATCATTATCAGTATTAAAATATTAGTACACGTGTATGTACACGTGTGTATTTATCTGGGCATATGTGCTTATCTTTGTGTTTACGTTCGTGTGTAAGGGATAGGTAGGGAGAAAAAGGGCAATTGATACTTCCTTTGTTGTAGTGGAATAGTGGTGGATTTATTTGATTTGTGCTAGTGTGTTTAGTGAGTGAATAGTAGAATATTAACAAAACATGTCTGATTTGAGAGATGCTGTACGATCTTTACAGTTAGAGTACTGGTATATCCATTTAGTGTATCATAGAAACAATAACCAACATAAAAAGACCCGTTGGTGGCGGCAATTTAATATATTTAAAAGATCGATTAATAAGATACTACAACAATTGGATAGGAACAGCGGTAATAAGAGGAAGAAAGAGGATGTCAGTTTACAGAATATTGTGGAGAGACCAGAGGTCCAGAAATTAATTAGGAAATTTTTAAAGTTCCAATTACCTTCTATCTACCGTGAATTCCAAAATGTTTTAACTATGGGGCAATTTGTTACATTAGCTGTTGTGTTAATTGGTTTGTTAGCTAGATGTCGTTCGTTATTAATGAAATTACAATCAGAAAACAAAATAGAAGTAATTGGAGAAAGAGAAAGAGAAATAGAATCTGTAAAGATGATAGATGAAATGAGATCTTTAAAGAAAAGTGATGAAGATCTTGGAACGGAAGTAATAATAGAAGAGGAAGAACAAAAACAAAAACAACAACGTTCGATAGAAACTAAAATTGTTGATCAAGATATTGCGACTATGGATTTGGTATACAACACAGATAAGAAGAGGAATGAGAAAAGTAAGAAGAAAAGTAAGAAAAAGAGTAAGAAAAAGAAGTCTGCAATAGATGATATTTTTGGATAAAATCAAGCATGAAATATATATATATATATAACAAAATAGAATACAATGTATACGTGGATATTTATATGTATATGATATTTGTGAACTCTGAAAGTTGCTGTATAGGGATGAGAAAGAAGAAGAAGAAGAAAATAATGATGGCAATAATTAAGGGGATTTATTCCATTTAGCTTCAACCCATTTAGGTAACACAAAGGAAGCAGAATGAATATTTTTATTATAATATTTCAATTGATCTTGTTCTAATTCAGTAGGTTCTCTTATTGGTACTCTTAAATTTTTATCTCTGTTATTATTGCAAATCAAAAGACCCAATTGACCAGACGTATAACTTGGAACCATTGTGTAACAATATTCTACGTTACTAAAAACACTACGGGTTTGTCTAATCAGTCCAGTCAAGTAATCCATGTTTAACCAAACATTTTCAGAAGTCTGTGAGATGATAAGCCCATGGTTTGGGTCCCGCAAGGAATCTTTTAGCAGTTGGAAATAGTCTCTGTGGAAAAATGCTTCAGCAGGACCTTCTGGATCACTACTATCTGTAATAATGATATCGAATTTATTATCCTGGGGGCCCAAAGAGATTTTCTTTAAATATTCAAAGCCATCACATATGTTCAATTGGACCCTAGGATCAATAAACTTGCTAGTCTCTTTCTCTGGATCTGCAGTCTTTGTTGATGATTGTGGTTGCAATTGCAAACCTGTTGACATTGATGGGAAATATTTTTTAGCTAAAGAGATTATATTTTGGTCGATCTCGACCATGATTGCATCCTCGACACATTTATGTTTAAGGACCTCTCTAAGGACACCACCATCACCGCCACCTATGATAAGGACTCTCTTTGGGTTGTGGTGTAAATAAAGAGGGATATGTGCAATCATTTCCTGGTATGCAAACTCGTCTCTTTCAGTACACTGAATGATTCCGTCTAGGACCAAGACGTTTCCATACTGTTTGTTGTAGAAGACCAACACTTCTTGGAACTCAGTCTTGTAGGATTCAAGGATCTTATCCACACGTAAAGTGAAGGCCTGGCCAGGGAAACATTTGTCACTGAGTTCTCTAAACCATCCGTCCTTGATCCAAGGATGGTCTTTGGTGTGTTGTTGAACTTTGCCAGTACTGGGTTGGAGTTCAGTCATATTTTAAATCGTCATGCACCTAAGTAGTTCCAATATCCACAATCTCTTTCTCATAGACACATAGACATTCAAGACTTTGTTTATTTGTCTCCTTAGTAGAAACAGTAATTTCTTTCTTTCTTATACAATTGTTTCTTGTAGTTGTTTCTTGTTTCTCTTCAACTGTTCGAAAGAAACAAAACAGAACAAAATAAAATAAAATAAAATAAAATAAAATAAAGCAGAATGATGAACATAATAACTAACTTCAATCCATATAGAGTGTGCAGATCTACGTACATGTACATATATATATATGTATATACATGTGTGTGTGTAGATGAGAGATGCAAATTGTTGAAGAACTGTTGGAACAAAGTGTAAAATTGCAGAGTGATATTCGGTCGATTGCTTTAGAACTGGCACAATTGCAAAATGGTTTGGAACAAGAGGTAACTGAGTTTTGTAATCTCGTAGATAAAGGCCCCAGCGATCAAGGGTTGGTAGAGTTGACCATGAACATGTCTTCTTTCATCACAGGGGTAACAAAAACATCTGACGGTAACAACAATAGTAGCAGCAATAGGAAGAAGATATATGATAAGAATAATGAATCATTTTTTTGATATGTGTTACTATTGATTATAATATTTATCTATGTGTATATGTATATGTATATGTATATGTATATGTATTATTAATAATGTATGTTTCTTTCAACCTCTGCCACGGTTGAGAGGTCCTCTTATTGGAGGTTGTGGTTTTAGTGCTTGTTTCTTGAACAACGGGGCATGCTTCAACATCTCTGGCAACGTTATAAATCTGATTTGTGACCCTCTAATGAACACATTATCCATTCTTGTTACACCCTTGTGTGACTCCATTGGTGTCAACGTTACGTCTCTTAACTGCATGTTCATGTTATCTTCAGATTCTACCAATTTCCCACGGTATGTGTCCCCATTGGATAACTCTAAAGTTATTGTATGGCCTTGTGCTTCATTTAACAATTTAATAGGTATACTCATTTGCGTTTATATCCCTTGCTTTATTCATATATATATATATATATATTTTAATGTTTGTAGACCATCTTTTATGACCTTTACGTTTATTGTATTTATTTGCTCTTTTCTTCGTTTTGTTTTTATGAGTTAAACACTCCATTTATAAAGGATTTTTTGAAGTATACATATAGATGGGAAGAGAGGGAGAGGGAGAGAGAGAGGAGAGTCGATTAGATAGATACAAGGAGATGACATAAATGAGAGATACACGCATAAAGTAAAAGGTAGTTCAAATTATATATACGCATCTAAGATGAATGTGCAATTTGAAGAAGTTTCTTTGGATTTCGTTCCACTGACGGAAAGAAACCATGTAGCCAGTTTACAAGTATCAACAAATATTTTCACTTTAGTCACCGTCTTTGGACAACTCTATGTCATTGACTTGGTTAACCCTGAACATATCGGTCAATACGAATTAGATTTATGCAATAGCAATGTCACCAGGAACAGCAGCAACACAAGGAATGGTAATGATTCCGCGGTTAAGGGGGAAATAGTTCTCAATTCATGGCTCTCTAAAGGTGCAAAATATCTGCTGATAAAGACAAATTTTGATAAATATCATTACATTTACATCCCCAATCTATTATCACCATCCAATTCGAACACAGCTACTACTGCTAGACAACTTCTTCCCAATAATAGAGGAAAAACAACAAATCTAAATGATGTTAAATTGGTCCAATGGCTGGATGAGGATCGGTTTTTGTGTTCCACTGTCCAAAATGAAATCCTTTGGGTTTCTCTAACTGATAATTCAATTAAACTTGTACTCAGTCTCTCAAACAATAAAAATAATCACATCGATGGATTTTTATATTCAAAAATAAATCATATTTTCCTACTGGTTGTTAATGATTCCATAATGTATTGGTCAATTAATGAAGATAGTAAGAGTAGTAGTCGTGGCAACAGTATGAACAATAAAGATGAGTTTTTTTCCCTAGATAAGGTATTCAACAGTCCTCTTCAATTGGAAAAATTCACCAGATATAAAGCGTCAACTTCATTTCTTAAAAAAAGATTTCATTCAAACAGTTTGGATCAATTTCTTTGGATCACTGCAATGGGCATCATTTATGGTGATTTAAATCCAACTACTAATAGAACACAACCTTTAAATGACTCAAAATTTTCTTTAAACAACTTTAATGTGTTTCTTCCATTGGAATTACCTGAATCAATAGATTATAACAGTCTAAAGGATGCCCTTATATTAGAATATTTCATCATATTGTTGTTTCATAAAGATAATCGTATCATTATAATCAACAAATTAAATAATAAGATTGTATTCAACGAAGGGATCGATACTCTATATCCAATAACGAATCTTGTTTTCGATCCATTGAAAAATACAATTTGGTTAATTTCAAATTTGACTATATATGAGATGATAATCAAGAATGCTTCAGAGATCCTTTGGGATCTATTATGTGAACAAAATGATTTTCAAAAAGCATTAAGTTTGAATGGACTGAAATCATGGCAGGTCGATCTGATCCATTATAAAATGGCAAACTATTATCTATCTGATTCAACAGAAAACTTTAATGAGGGCGCTAAACAATTGGCAATCTCTAATTCATTCTCTGTAAGTTCCAACATCTTAAAAATACTAGGCCTAAAAATGAATCCCGGAAATGATAAAGATAATGACTTTGGTCTACAGACATATCTTTTAACTAAGCTAAAACAATTGAATGATCGTGATCCGCATGCAACATTATATAAAGTTCAATTTTGTCTGTTAACTAATTGGATAATAAGAAATTATATTAAACATTTAAATTACTTGTTCCAACGTTCTATGGAAAATCCATTGTATAATTCAATGGAAATTCCGATTGATGATTCGATTGAAGGTGTGGAAAAAACAGTTTTACACTTCTGTAAGACATATAAACATCTTTTGGATTTTGACACAATCTACCAAATTGTAGCAAATTATGAAAAGTGTAATCATTTATTAATTGAGATTGCAACATTAAATAATGATTGGAAATTTATTTTAAAATATTGGATTAAAAAGGAAAATTGGTATGAATCGTTAAAAATCCTAAAAAAAAGCGCTGATTTATCTCTAATCTATCAATATTCTACAATTCTATTAATTAATTGTCCAGAATTGACAATCGAGAAATGGATGCAGTTAGGATTCGAAATTGATCCAGTGAAATTGATACCAGCTATACTAAGTTACTTTACTGTATATCAGAAAAATCAAGTTCAAAGTGATTCGAACGTTAATTTTGGATTGACGTATTTACAGTGGTACATCAATAAATACGATCCAAAGGACAAGATAATTTATAATACAACATTATATATGTTGATAAGTGATACATATTATAATAACAAAAGTAAAAATAATACTGAAAAGCACGCTTCTATCTCTTCGATGACTACTAATAATGATTATAAGAATTATAACGATACAGATTATAACGTGATTGAATGTTTAAATCAATATGGAAGAAATAAATATGATATTAATTTTATTTTAAGGTTAAGTTTAAATTTTCAAAGAGATAAGGTTTCAATATATCTAATGATAAAACTGAAATTGTTTCAGAATGCAATAAATTTATCACTTGAAAATAATTTTATTGACTTGGCTAAACAAACTTTAAATGAAATTGATGATAAAATATTAAAGAAAAAATTATTTTTGAGGTTGGCTGAAAAACTGTTGTACAATGCTACTATTAATGGCATGAATGATTCCATATCAAATACAAATAGCGATGTTAAGGCTATTATTCGGTCAATAATTAAAGATTCTGATGGACTGATCCAAATTAAAGATCTTTTACCAATTTTTAACGATATGGTAACTATGGGCCATATAAAGGATGAAATTTTGGCAAGTTTGGATAATTACAATGAGACTATGAACGATATGAACAAAGAGATTAAAAATTCAATCAAATTAAAGAAAATTATTGTGGAACAAATGCAGGCATTTAATGAAAGGTATGAAATTTTAGAGGCTAGTCAATCGTGCGATTTATGTCACAAATTATTAACTACAAGAAAGTTCTTGGTATTTCCATGTAATCATTGTTTCCATTGTAATTGTTTTATTAAAATGGTTTATAATTCGGACAATATCATTTTAAAGAATCAATTAGATGTTATACAGAAAAAAATTTCAAATGATAAGAAAAAATTTAAAAAGGATCAGGTGTTGGTTTCAAAATTAGAATCTTTAATGACAACAAAATGTTGTTTATGTAGTGATATCAGTATCAATAATATTGATGAATCGCTTAATATTACTCAAGAACAATTGGACAAATGGAAGTTGTAATTATATTGAAAATAAAATGGAATAATAATAGCAATAATGAATTGCTATTAAGATAAAAAAATGATGAATATATAATTTATTGTCTGACTACGTAATGGTGTGTATATATTAATTTATAGATGTGAAAAGGAAAGAAACAATAAAAATATTGGAAATAGAAATGTAGAAAGAAAAGAAAGAAAAAGCAGGGAGAGAAAAATATATTATAGTTTCATATTTTGTTAATAATATATTGATGATGTAAAATGTTGTGATGAAAACTCTGCTATTTTTTGTTGGACTTAATTGTAATAATAATAACAAAAATTAGAAAGAAAAAATAACGTATAATTAATTAACAAAAATTAGAAAGAAAAAATAACGTATAATTAATTAACAAAAATCATAGCTTGAAAAACTTCTTCTTGCCCAAGAATTGATGTTCCACTTAATGATGCCATAATCAGTACCAATAATTAATGAAGATCCGCTACGATCTTGTATCCAGTCAATACCAGAAATGTTATTTTCTTCACCAAATTCATTATCAGGAAAATCCAATACGGTACGTTCATTGAATGTTGGAGAATGGTACAATGTATTAGTTACAGTATCATATGGACCAGAATAAAATGTATCATCATTATTGTTCATGTAATCATTGCTTCTATTTCTTGAATGTCTTGCTAGATATCTTGATTCGTTGGTTAAAAGATCATCAAATAACGAATTTCCTGATCTTTGGTTGTTATCTTCCGCGTTAGCCGGTATCGAAATATCGGGATCAATGGCGAAATCGTCATCTTCATAAAATGGATAATCTTGGTCATCTGTATTAGTTGAAGTGGTAGAAAATCTCCTAATCCTAAAAGCGTTCCTATTGTTGTCGTTGCCATTGTTATTGTTGTTGATACTAGATGAGCTATTTAAAGTATTATCCCCTCTTATAATAGAATCAGATAACTCAAGGGAATGTGATGATGAATCCACATTTGTATTCGATGGGTAGTGTAAATGATGGGAATAGGTTTGTGCATTCCTTCCACCATATTGATAAGTACTATAATGATTAGATATTGGTGTCTTATCAAGGACTCTAGGGAATGGTAAAATTTCTGGTTCCAGGTATTTGATTGGAATGGTTAAAGCCTGGGTGATTCGTGGATCGATTATTTTTGTAGATGATGGGGCAGAAAAGCGCCTTTTGGAATTTGAAATATGTATATTATTTCTATTTGATGAAACTCTATTATTACTATTATTACCAAATAAAGAGGACGTAGAATTTGTAATAGATGGAGACAATGAGTTTGAACCTGTGGGTAAAAGTGGATAATTTGAGTCTCGTCTATCATTATTATTATCAATACCGTTATGTGGACTATTATTGAAAAAAACTGGACTTACATCTGCTTCATGAATCCTATTTTGTTTCATAGAACTATCTACTGCTTGCACTGTATCTGGAATCATAATAACTTGGTGATTATCAAAATTCCTTGTGTCCACAACATGGACTCTCCCTTGATGTTCTGATATAAATAATAAATCGTCAAGTCCGTAACTAAATCTACAAACTCTAAATGAACCGTTATGTGAATGCGGTCTTGTTGATGTTATTTCGGCTAATGGATGTTCTAGGTTTCTTATATCATAGATTAAGCAAACCCCGTTTTGAAATAGTGTAGCAAAATGTAAATCATTTTCAGAGAAACAATTATAAAAACCGTGATCACCTTTCCTAGTTGTATAAATGTTCGAATCTAATTTTTCGGATGAACAAGGAACATTAAACCTTGTTCGTCTTTTAACTGTATAGGTTTCATTACTACTACCATATGTCGAATCCCAATTTAGACTTGGATCGTAATTTAGTGTAAATAAATCAGTTAATTCATCTTTTCTATATAAAGCAAATTTGTTTGTATCACCAGATACAACCATAATCTTCCCATCATGAGATAAGGCTGCATTGTTTAATGGAAATTTCAAATCTGAATAACGTCTTAGTAACTGGACATCACGGTTACTTATATTACAGTGATAGATATGACTATCGTTATTACATGTATAGATATCATAATTATTTGTTGAATTCTGGGATAAAGTAACGCAATTGTTAATAAATTGTCCCAATATTAAAGTTAAAGAGAAATCCATATTTTCATTGTACAAGGATAAGATTCCCTTCCATATAGAAGAATTTGAATAGTTACTGTTATCCATTAATACACCTGTTGATGCAATGCTGATTGGTTGAGCTGGTGCTGGGATTGGAGAATTTGATCCATTTTTTTCATGTGACAATCTATTCCAATTGGTTGGAAAACCTTTATCATCAGATCCGATAAGACCACCACATGCAGTTAAGCCATTTAATTCGGTGAAACATCTAGGTTTAAAATTAAATTCTACAAGTTTTTTAGATGGTGTTTTAAAATTAACATACAAGGGGGACTTTAAATTATTTGTCTTAGAAGAAGGTCTATTATTATAGATAGAATGACGACGGCATAATCTATTTGCATATTTCGGTTTAGAAAGTTTATAATTATCATTTTTACTAAAATTTGAATTATTTTGGGACAAAATAGAGGGGTTGGTATCTAACGTTCGAATAGAATGATCATAAATATAATAGAGTCTACTTGGATCTCTAGAATATGGTTTAATACAGTCTCTTAATTGCCAATGGTTTATTGTTATTTTTGCATCATACAATTCTAAGCCAGGCATCATATAGTTTTGGTAGACTCGATCTGAACCAGTATTGAGAGATTCATCTTCAAATTCGTCCTGGTTAGTTTTGTTATCGATTGTCATATTGGTAGTTTATTCAGGTATAATATGTTGATGTTTTAGTATTCGTTTCTTTTTTTGGTGGAGAGGGGAGAGGGATAGTTATTATTTTCGATAAGTTGTGCTGATAATTAATGTAGAGAAAATGCCTTATAGACTGGATATATTATAAATGAGTAGATTTAATGAAATGCAGATCAATTAGAATATATAATAATGCAATGATATGGGTATTGGTAAGTGATATAACAAATATACAATTAAAAAGCAAAAAAAAAGGGAGGGTAGGGACAAAGAATAAAGTCTTATGTAACTTATTGATATGTAGATGTGAATTTGTATATGGATACAAATATATGTAATAAACAGAAAACAAAGTTACTATTTAAGTATGCAGGATGAGTTGGATTGATGAGTATTGGATCTGGCTTATTATGACCATTAGAATAGTCTAACAAACAGATTTAAAAGAAGAAATAGACTATATTATATGTTACTTAAAAGAGAGACAAAGAAAATATTACGACTCCTCCTACATGAGACTTATATATTCTAACAGATCTATAGGGTATCCATATATATATATATGTGTGTGTGTGTGTAGGTACATATGTATAACATATATATATATATATATAATATTTGTGTATTCATGTGTCGGTTGTAAAAGTTTGATCTTTCTTCTCCCCTCAGAGACGTTTTTTTTCTGTTTTTGCAATTTTTGTTCTTGTAGACTTTAAAAAATTAAAAAAAAATTATATCTTGTCTTTTTTTTAACATTATACTGTAAAGAAAACTCCTATTAGGTCATTGATATAAAGAATAGAAGGATATATATATGAGACTGTGGTTATATATATACATATATATACATATATGTATTAATAATTCTAATCTGTATTTGCAAGTACTCTTTTATTTAATTGTTTGGTAATATTTATATGGATTTTTGTGTGTCATTTTAACGACAATAAAAGACTAGCAACTTCTTTTGTGTCTGCAGTAGTGTAATTATGATCAGTAATTGTAGTATCTTCAATATTTTTCCTTGTAAGCATTCTTGGATCCATATTTTTCCAATCTTCTTCTTCTGTATCTGATTTGTTATCTGATTTTTCATACCTTTCTTCCTTTTTTCTTTCCAGTAGGAAATTTGACGATTTATCTGATTCTAATGTTTGTGATGATGGGTTATTATTTTCTTTTTCTTTCATATTTATATTGTAAGTTTCTAATGTATCTAATTTTAAGGAAAATTGGGATGTTGAAGTTAATGGGGTAATTATTGTATTATTGTTGTTGTTATTTAACGTAGTACGAAGGCTGGATTCCTTTGATATTGACGTTGATCTTACTCTCTGCAATGGTGTATGATGATGATGGTAGTGGTAGTTTTGATGGTATAAATATCCATCATCGGATATATTTATAGCCTTTGGTTTAGCTGAACTGGACCTTCTTGTACGGTTCTTTGTGAATGAATGTCCTTTCTGTGGTGGTAGTAATAATAATGTGTTGCTGGTGGTTGCGGTAATGGAAGAGAAAGAAGTGGAACACAGTTCCATATTCGAATGGATTGTTGGTTGTGATATTATGTTATCTACACTATTTACCACACTCGATACCCTCCTTTTCATGGAATAGATATTAGAAGAACCTCTTCTACGTTGTGTCATTTGTGCCTTCGAATCCTCCATATAACCTGTTTGATTTTCTTCGAAGTTCTCATCTTCCTCATCTGATGATAAACTTACAGCAAACTCATCTATATACACCGGTTTAGGAGGAGATACTACCAGAGTAGTCGATATCGGATCACTCTTTGTATCTTTCTTTACTATGGCTGCATTAATATCATGACGAGTATCATTTGATATAGAATCTTTCCTTTGTTTATTTAACGAGTTGACAATTTGACGCTGTTGTTCAAACGGTATATTTGGATCGACCATCTCTATTTGCCATAGTCCCCAACCGACCTTTTGAAACAATACCTTGTTTCTTTCATCTCCTTTTTCTAACGCATTCATTATCAATCTTCTCTTTTTGGAGGATGACATGTCCTGAAATTGTGGAATCTCTTCACTTAACAGCTGGGTTATGTGTCGCATTGCTAATGGGCCATGTGTCTTCAATAACTTGGATAAGATACTCGGCTCAATAGATGACAGAAGTGGGACCTGTTTATCCTGATTATCACTATCATATGATGTGACAACATTCTGTGACATATCTTTTCGAATAGGAGTTCCCATTATGACCAAATAATTTTTTCCCCTGTTACAAGCAGTTGTTTAGTTTTGTATATGTGTGTGTTTAGATAGAAGTGAAGTCAACTGATAGTATATTATATTTAGTAAAGGGAATATTGGCAATATGCAGTAATATTATATTCTATAACTCTGACACTTGATTCAACTTTGATTAATATAAAGTAGGACTGTTCAGATCAAACAGTTGGAGTCGAATATTGCAGAAGTTTACCTGTTGTATGCTGTCTGCTATTTGTTGCCTATTATTGTTTGATATTGAATGTCTGCAACAACCACTGGCTATATACATATATATATATATTATGATCAAATACAAATTGTGTCTTATCAGCCGCAGCAGCACTTTCTGTCTTTGATCTCCTTGGCAACAGACGGCTGTATGCTTTTTCCAGAAAAAAAAAACAAAAAAGATATGTATATATAAAAGACGTGTGTTCGAATCCCGCGAGTGCAGTTTTCTGACGTTGAATCAAGTTCGTATTTTTTGCAATTTAATTTTTTTTGTTCATTAGCCCTCAAAATTGTTTTTAACACGATTTTACTGCCCAGCAAAATACCTGACAATTTTTATTGAAATAAGGAATATTTACATTATACATTATACATATTTTCAGAACTGATAATGGTTCAATCAGAATATTGAACAGAAAAGCAAAATAGTAATAATAATAATAATATCAATAATAATAACATACTCGATGATATTAAAATGATAGTGAATTCTTTTTTAATTGTGTTATAAAAGTCTCTGGTAAAACATCAGAATATTTGGTACCAGGTTTATTATTGATTAATGCTTTCTCCCATTTACTTCTTCCATCTGCTTGGAATTGATGACCTAAATCATGTAACCCATAAATTAAGTCTTCATGTCCCATACTTCGTTTATAACTGTCGTTGATATCTAAATTATTACCGATTGCAGCAATATCTGCTATGATCTTAGCTGTAAGACCCCATACGTCTCTGTATTTTATCTGTTTTATATAATTCATATTGTCTTCATACTCCGAGGTAGAGGTACTTACACTTAAATCTTCCATACGGTTCAACCATGTTACATCTTTGTGGTTATCAATGGGATAATGGAAATGTTTCACATTCCATATTAATCCACCCCAATTTATATTATTGGATATTTTACTCGAATATTCTGGTTCATATTTCTGTTGTTTCAGATCCTCATATATTAAATCATTTATTGGTATGGAGAATAGAGATGATGTCTCGCCAGGGTTTAGTTTACCAAAAAAATTTATCACATTTAGTGGTTTACTATATTTATTATCACTCACACCTTGAGTGTTGCTGGTAGCAATGTCGCAATCACTATTATATAGGAAATAGATAACTGGTTTCACACTTAATAATGTCTTTGACATATAGCAAGGAATCTCACTAGAAGCTAGTTCAAGTTTCATGTTATATTTATTTTGTAAAATAGTGGGATCCATGGGTAACCCGATTTCTTCCATTGCTTCTCTTCTCGCAATTGAATCAAATGTTTCTGAGGGTGAATCGGCTTTCCCACCAGGTAAAGAAACTTGGCCCGAAAATGACCTTAGCTTTCTTGACCGTTTAGTTAATAATACTCGTAATTCTCCTCTGTTGCCAATAAATAAAAGTACTAATACGGCAGATCTTCTACCTGGTGGCCAAACAGAATTTAGCGGATAAGTACATGGGTTTTGAAATAATTTTAAATTCTCTATTATCTGATATGGTTTCAGCATTTGCTTCTCTTTCTTTCTGCCCTTTTTTTTTCTTTTTCTGACTTTTTTGATTACCCTGTTTCTTCTTCGACGATTTCTAGTTATTACTACAATAGCATCTAACTCGCAAAATACATCGACCTTTGTCGATGATTGGAATTACTCGCAATTCTTAACCATAGTTGATTAAAAGGTCCTGAAATCATTAAGTATTCTTGTGATAAAAGTTACTAAAATCTAGCAGATCCCAATATTTAAGATGTTTTTAAACATTTATTTTTTTGTTGTTTTAGCCTTCTATAAATCATTAAAAATAGAAAGCAAAAAAGGTCGTATCCGGATTCGAACCGGAGTTGTTCGGATCAAAACCGAAAGTGATAACCACTACACTATACAACCTTGTCTAGCTGTCATCTGTTGTGGAATAGAATAGTTATAACCATCAAGATTACATAAGATCCTGAATGAATCTAGAACCAATTAGTGTATTAATAAGCCATACATGTGCTACAACATTAGATGCTGCATAATAAAAAGATTGGATTACATAAGATCTTGGTAAATCTAGAATTTACCTATTGTTTTATTAAGTCCCACGTGTATTACTAATCACCATGATTAGAGAATTGGGATGCAGTTCTAATCCAGTAGTGCACCTAAATTAATATAATAAATTTTAGGGTTTGAATCAGTCAAGTCATTAATGTAGTAATCTGAATAATCGATCGAGCTCCAGAAAACATATAAAAGGACAACGTTTTCAGGAGATAAAAGATCATCTTCCATAATCGTTTCTTGTAAATAATTTATATATTATGTATAAACAAAATAGAACAAGCAAGTAACAAATCAAGTAACTTCGAATAAGTACATTAGCTCGATATAAGCCGCTTAATATATAAGACCGTTTTAGTAATTATACTATCGACTATAGTTGATTACTGTCTCGATTATTTGAATTACTATTAATATTATTTGCGCTTCCCTGGAATACACAAAGAACTTCACCACACCATACTACAACAACTGGTAGCGTTTATTTCATCATGTCCTCGAATAATTTAAATATGAACGAATTTTTAGACGCTATTGATGCATCTACGGCTACAGAACATCATACCACCGCACCAACCACTACTCCTGCTCCAACTACTAACCTAACCGCTGACCCTACTTCTGCTCCTGCTCCAGTCCCATCCGATTCCAAATACTACAGTACTGCTCCAATGCGCTTCTCTGGTCGCTATGATTTATTTAAACTACCAGATTTCCTTGTTACTGTCGAAGCACAACTTTATGCTCGAAACCTCCAAACAGATGTGGATCGTATAGCTTTTTTTGGCCGAAACTTAACTGGACCCGCTGCTCAATGGTATGTCCAATGGATCCGTAATCATGACCAACATTCCTATGAACAATTCCTTGTGGATTTTAAAAATAAGTTTATTGGTATGATCGACCCTCATGCCATCCTCAATGCGTTCCAACGCTTGAAGGAAGCTACCGTTGGCATTGACGCTTATAATCAAAAGTTTTCACAACTATTAGCTTTGATGCCTCCAAACATTTGGACTCCCAAGGGAGAATTACTTTTTTATTATCGCGGTCTTACTCCTGATACTGCCCGTATGGTAGCTCTAGCTCGCCCTACCACTGTTGATGCTGCTATGGAAGCTGCCAGTGAAACAGTTTCCATCACCAACCGTTCATTTCCTACCTTCACCACCTATGATATGGATGGAGACATCCATATGACCGCTGCTCTTAACCCAGTCCCTATGGACTCTACTACTGATCATCATCCTCAAGTTGCTGCTGTTTATCGTTCACACGGAAGAGGGGGCAGAAAGGGAAATCACAAATCTTCCCAAGCAAACAAACAACCAATTAAGCGTCCCTCTCGTCAATATTGTATTGATCATGGTTTATGTTTCTATTGTTACAAGCCATTACACCGCTACAGTGACTGCCCTAACCGTAAGGCGAGCAGTCCCAAATGAAAAACAATTCCACAACAACACCGTCACACTAGCTCCCATCGTGTCCGCTCCCCATCCACTCGTAGGCAACAGTTGCCAAATTAAAATGTTTATTAAAGAAAAACCTGTCAATGTTTTAGTGGATACTGGTTCCCCCACATCATTTATTAGAGCCGATATTGCTGACAACCTCAAGTTAACACGTTCTACCGCTCCGCCATTCCGTTTTAGAGGTGTTGTATCATCCGAATCGTCATACACTAACGAATCCACCGAAATTTTACTTGAACTCGATGACATAAAAATTAAAACACCCGTATACATAACTGATGCTATTACTTTTGAAATCATAATAGGACACCCGATTATATCATCTCACCCGCTGCTCCACAAGATATTAAATAACAAGAAACCGGTCCCTGAATACATTGTATCCGTACTTACCGAGAATGATACCGAAGAATTAGATGCTGAAAATGCTGCTGCTGTGTTTGCTATAAAGATTTCTGAAACAGATACAGATGATCGATTTGATAAACTACCTCGCTGGTTAAAAGAGAAATATTCTGCTACGGTCCGCGATGATTTACCACCTAAGAAATTCGCTGAACCTCCAAAGGTTGAACACGAGATCGAAATTAAGCCGGGTGCACGCCTGCCTAGAAGACAGCCATATCAGACGACACCAAAAATAGAACAAGAGATAAACCTGATCGTTGCCGACCTTCTCGAAAAGAAATTCATTGTACCCTCCAAATCACCCTGTAGTTCACCAGTGGTTCTAGTTAAAAAGAAAGATGGTACATATCGTTTATGTGTGGACTACAGAGCTCTAAATACTGTGACAATCAAAGACCCGTTTCCATTACCTAGAATCGACAACCTATTGGCCAAGATTGGCTCTTCAACCATTTTTTCAACTTTGGACCTCCACTCAGGGTATCACCAAATACCTATGAAAATGGACGATCGTTTCAAAACCGCTTTCGTTACTCCTAATGGAAAGTATGAATATACCGTCATGCCGTTTGGTCTCGTTAATGCTCCAAGCACGTTTGCTCGTTATATGGCTGATTTATTTAGGGACTTACCATATGTCTGTGTTTACCTCGACGATATTTTAATTCACTCCCGTTCCGTTGATGAACATTGGAAACATATAGACATCGTATTGCAAAGGTTAACTCAAGAAGGATTAATTGTAAAAAAGAAAAAATGTAACTTTGCCGCTAAATCTGTTGAATTTTGGGATACACTATCTCTGCTAATAAAATCCAACCGTTGATCTCGAAATGTGCAGCTATAGAACAATTTCCCACTCCCAGAACAATTAAAGAAGCTCAAAGATTTTTGGGTATGATAAACTATTATAGACGCTTTATACCCCGCTGCTCTCACATCCAACAACCGATTCAGGATTACATACATGGTAAAAGTAAGTGGTCGACGGATCAAGATGAGAGCTTTAACACATTAAAGTCACACCTAATCTCAAACCCAATATTAGTCTCCTTTAAACACGATGGTCATTACAGATTAACAACCGACGCTTCAAAGAATGGATTAGGTGCTGTACTCGAAGAAGTGAATGAGCAAGGAAAAATTCTCGGGGTCGTGGGTTATTTTTCAAAAACTTTACAAGGCGCTCAAAAAAATTACTCTGCTGGAGATCTTGAACTCCTAGCCATTGTCGAAGCCTTATCACATTTTAAATATATGCTTCATGGCATGCATTTTATATTGAGAACAGACCATATTAGTTTACTAACGGCACAAAAGAACAAAGAACCCTCTCGTAGAGTAATTAAATGGTTAAATGAATTAGCCGAATATGATTTTAAACTAGAATACTTAGCAGGTCCAAAGAATGTAGTAGCTGATGCTATTTCCAGAGCAGATTACAATATTGCTGCTATTGAAGATGCTGCCGTCACATTAGATCCGAAAAATTGGTACGAAGAATACCTAGCTGACCCATTATGTGCTGCCTGTTTTGTTTATATTACCAAACTTGATACAAAAGACTTACCCATTTGCAACTCATCATTGTTCAAGAAATATATGAAGAAATTGAACTTATCAAGAACCTTTCGCCATTGTTTTACAATTAATGACAATATTATTTACTTTAAAGAACGCTATGTTGTTCCCGACGCTAAACGAAATGAAGTCCTTCGAATATATCACGACCATGGCCTTTATGGTGGTCATTTCGGTTCAACCGTTACATACAATAAAATTGCAAGTCGTTATTATTGGCCAAAATTACACCACTCTGTTAATGAATATGTCTCTTCCTGTATACAATGCCAGTTGATTAAATCTCATCGCCCTAATAGACAGGGCTTATTGATGCCTTCTGAAGTTCCCGAAGGTCGATGGTTAAATATTAGCATAGATTTTGTATCTGGTTTACCTAAATCAGAACAAGGTAACGACATGATTATGGTTGTAGTCGACATGTTTTCAAAAAGAACTCACTTAATTGCTGGTAGTTACCCATTTGATACTACTTCCGTTATTAATGCTTTATTCCGTTATATTTTCGCTTACCATGGATTTCCATATTCCATTACTTCAGATAGAGACCCTCGTTTTACCTCTACAGAATACCAAGAAATGGCAAAAAGGTTGAATATAAAATTGAAAATGTCCACAGCAAATCACCCACAAACAGATGGTCAAACTGAACGTACAATACAGATCCTTAATAGGTTATTAAAGACTTATACTGGTAACAATCATAGACAATGGGATCGTTTACTTCCTCACATCGAATTCGTCTATAACTCTACTCCCAATCGCGTAACCAAGACAGCTCCTTTTGAAGTAGATATTGGATACATCCCTAATGAACCAATCATAGTTACAGGAGATGCTGTTTCTTCCCGTCATGATTCAACACAAGAACTAGCCACAAAGTTGAAAGCACTTACTTTACGCACAAAAGATTTCTTAACTGAGAATCAGATCAACATGGAAGTTACACATAACAAAGGGAGGAAGGAAGTTACCTTTGAAATTGGTGATTTTGTACTGCTACATCGTGATGCTTATTTTAAGAGAGGTCAATATCTAAAGCTACAACCCATATACGTTGGCCCATTTAAGGTAGTTAAGAAAATAAATGACAATGCTTACGAATTAGATTTACCTTCGATGAAAAAGACTCACAGAGTTATTAATGTTGAAAAACTAAAACCGTTAAAACGTAGAAAAGACCGCTATCCAAAAGATCCGCCTAATACTGCTGCCGAAAGGAAATTAAGAGTACATGAAATTATTAATGTAGTCGGTTACGATAAAGATAACAAAGTGTTTTATTGTCATATGGAAGATGTTGATCCGACTATTACAGTAGAATATCCAGTAGAAGAATTTAACTTACTCCCAACAAATATTGGTCAATCTTTAATTGACAATTTCGTACAATTATGGAAACAAGGTTCCCAAGAGAGAGAGGAAGATGTTGTGGAATAGAATAGTTATAACCATCAAGATTACATAAGATCCTGAATGAATCTAGAACCAATTAGTGTATTAATAAGCCATACATGTGCTACAACATTAGATGCTGCATAATAAAAAGATTGGATTACATAAGATCTTGGCAAATCTAGAATTTACCTATTGTTTTATTAAGTCCCACGTGTATTACTAATCACCATGATTAGAGAATTGGGATGCAGTTCTAATCCAGTAGTGCACCTAAATTAATATAATAAATTTTAGGGTTTGAATCAGTCAAGTCATTAATGTAGTAATCTGAATAATCGATCGAGCTCCAGAAAACATATAAAAGGACAACGTTTTCAGGAGATAAAAGATCATCTTCCATAATCGTTTCTTGTAAATAATTTATATATTATGTATAAACAAAATAGAACAAGCAAGTAACAAATCAAGTAACTTCGAATAAGTACATTAGCTCGATATAAGCCGCTTAATATATAAGACCGTTTTAGTAATTATACTATCGACTATAGTTGATTACTGTCTCGATTATTTGAATTACTATTAATATTATTTGCGCTTCCCTGGAATACACAAAGAACTTCACCACACCATACTACAACATCATCTGTTGTAGAATAGAATAATAACAATTATCATGATTAAAGAATTGGGGTGCAGTTCTAATCCACTAGTGCACCTAGATTAATGTAATAAAATTTAGGGTTTGGATCACTAAGCTCGTTAATATACAAATCTGAATAATTGATCGAGCTCCAGAAAACATATAAAAGGACAACGTTTTCTGGAGATAAAAGATCATCTTCCATAACAATTTTTTCGTAAATAATCTATATGTTGTATATAAACATAATAAAAAAAAAGAAAAACAAGCAATAAACCCTTAACCCTCCTAGATATATATAACGTTCTTATATATTTGTTATTGCCCTTACTATTCGTTCAATAGTACTGTTAAAAAAATTGGTCTTAAGTCCAAACTATAACATCGTCTATTGTATAATAAAGAGATAACATCACCAAGATTACGTAAGATTCCACTTGAATCTAAAGTGATTTATTGTGTTTTAAGTACAACGTGTCCATTTGTTACCTAGCGTACAGTGTGTTCACACATCTCTGTTACTGCGTTACAATAACCTATTGTTCTAAATGTTCTATGATCTTCGATTATATTATTGTAACTAATAATAAAGATATGGGTTACTAATTCATTAATATATCAAGTTGAATAGTTGATCGAGTTCCAGAAAACATATAAAAGGACAACATTTTCTGTAGATGGAACTATCTTTTGTCACTCCTTTCTTATACATAATTTATATATATTATATATTGAACGTAAGAACCAACGAACATCGAACGCAGAATACAATAAGCGAATAGTATAATTATATAAGCTCGATATAGCCGTTAATATATAAGACCGTATTAATAATTACATTACCGATTGTATCAATTATTGTCTCGATTATTAATAGATTATCTGTTTGATATTTCGAGCGCTTCCCCGAATAATACTAAAACTCTGACTACATCATATTACAACATTATGCAACAGAATATATAATTTTTATAAAGTATGTAATTATAGAAAACTATTGTTTTATGCTGATGAAGAATCATCCAATAATTTATTTGATATAAATCTACAATAATTTCTAGTAATATATTACTTAATATATGTTGAAATAGAATGTTCTATAATAAAATAGATAGAACAATAAGATTTTAGTAGACACTAAACGATAAATTGTTGAGTAATAATTGTTGAGAGGTCACCAAAAGTTGTTGAGTTTGTTTATTAAATATCTTACTGTTCGTAGAGGAAAATGGCTTAATGTTAACATATATAAAGCCAAGGATTTCATCATACATTATTTTTATCTTATTTACAATCTTTGTATATTATTATTTCTATGTTGTATATAGAGAAAGAAAGTGAAGAACTTTATTATAATTTTGTATACTAAATCTGTTTAATATAATATTGAGAATGTTTACTATATATCCAATGAATAAAGGCGCTCATTCTCAACAATATATATGACAAAAGGTATCAATATGGGTACTTTAATACTATTAGTAAACTTATCATTACTATATTGCTATATGTTGTTTTGTCTTATATGAATTTGTATAAAATTAAATAATAATACAAGAATAGAAAATAACATTTCCCAACATTAGTTCTTTATGTAGTTTTTTATCAATGAGTTTTGATTTGATTCTTGTCAAGTATGCAATATTAAAATGGTACAAATCATTATGAACCCTATAGCGTTAATTTTGATTTCACAATTCACCACTTTATTATATTTTTTGTTGAGTATCGGCTATAATAATAAGGTTTGAGAAATGGTAATTATTGGAAATTGGTGGAATTGAGGTCTAAATATATTAATCTTTTTTTATGTTATAATATAAAAAATATTTTAAAGAATAAAAAATATCTTTTTCTAAATTTCTTATCTTTATATCGATACAACACTTATATAATTATAAATTTAATAATGAATTTCCCATTTTAAAAAAAAAGAAAGACTTCATTAAAAACATTATTATTAAAATGATAATTCCCGTAATAACACAATGATCATTGGAGATTGAATAAATTTTTACTGCTTCATCTTTATGCTTTAGAAATTTTTTTTCAGCAGTATTAATAATTATTACCAAACTGTTATGGTCACTAGTCTCAGCAACATCTTAAGTGTTTTTGTTAATAAGAGCACATGTCGAAGTTATAATAAAATTTAAAAAGTCACAAGAGTAGATTTTTTTTTTTTAAAAATGCCATACTGTGATACAATAATTTTATACAATTATTGATTATTTTTGATATAGAGGTTACAGAATAAGCTTACATCTCAAACATATTTAACATATTACTAATCTAAAATTTATTTTTCTTTTGGAATTACTGTATAAATTTTTCTAACAATTTATGAATTGTTTAATTTTTGGAAACTTTTTCATGATTACATTAACATTTTAATTGGAATCCGTCCAAAATGTAATCACACAGATGAAACTTCAAGAAATAGTGTCAAATAACATACAAATCATATAGCAATTAATTTTATTGTAAAATATCAGTCATTTTAATCAAATACAAGTTAATACTGATATTAAGTAGTAACTTTTAGTATAATACAAGACTAATGACATAACAACAGAGAAACTCATGCCATGTTATAGTAAATCTTGCACAGAACTTTCTATAATTGTATACATTTTGAAAAAACATCTAAAGATTAAACAACAGAAGTTCCAAACCATGCTAAAATTAAGTATACAATACCATTATATTTACAAGCGTATTAAACCACAGATATATCTACACAAGATCCATCTATTGGATACAACATTGACTTTGTTTATTGGAAAATGTCGTTTTATCAAATGTTTTATTTTCTTTATGCTCATCTGGGAATGATGTCACAATATCAAAATTTGAAATAAATTCACTATTCATTGGATCCTTTATTTCATTTTCTTCCTTTACTGTACTATGTGGCAAAAGGTTGTGTATTGCAAATAGATCATTCTTTTCTGTAAACCAATTATCTGGTGGAAATTCAATATTGCATTTAATATAAAGATCACCAAATTTTATCTGACCGTTAACTTTATATGGCCAACCTTCTCCAGACACCTTTAAAATATCACCTGGTCTAATCACTTTACCCAATGGTACATTTAAATATAGTAATCTATCATCGAATGTTCTAGTTAAAAATTTATTTTTAATTCCAATTAATGCATCACTCAGCGGAACAGTAACCTCCATCATACAATCTCGATCTCCAGCTTTATTAAAATTTATATTTTTCATTTCATTCTGCTTCATTTCCTTTTCCTTAATTTCGAATATTAAATCCTTGATCACATTTGTACTTAAATCATAATCACCAGATTTCTTTATCGAAATCTTGTCACCAAACTTCATTCCTCTAAAAACATCAATAGTTAAAACCGAGGTTTCTGCATGTAACCCTTTGCCATTACATTGTCTACATTTATTCTTATCATTATTAGGTCTTGCCTCATATTCGCCTTTACCTTGGCATTTTTGACATTTTATTTTTTGTACATATTGGAAGAAGCCCTCATTTATAACACGTTCCATGTAACCTTGCCCTTTACATTTAGAACATCTTATAACAGGTGGGCTATACAAAGCACCATTTTTTTTTCTTTTCCAACCATTACCTTGACATAGAGTACACAACACATCTCTTCGTAATTGATATTTTATAGTTTTCCCATTATACAATTCTTTCAAAGTTAGTAAAAGAGGGATAGCTTGCTCATTTTGTTCTCTTTGATTTTCACTATAATTCTGACCATGGCTACGATGTGAATGATGATTGTTATTATAGGAATAATTGAATCCACCAAAAAAATCAAAAAAATCATCATTATATTCATTTGGGATATCATCATCGCTCTGATACTCTCCACTAATCAAGAGTTCATAAGCCACTGTAATTTCTTTGAATTTCACCTCATTTTCAATCTTTATATCTGGATCGATAACTTTATCGGGATGATATTTTAGTGCCAATTGTTTATAAGCTTTCCTAATTTCTTGTTCTGTGGCATCTCTCTCTAACCCAAGAATCTCGTATGGAGATTTCTTAGTACTCATAGATTATCAAATAAATAAATAAACAAAAAAATACAGTAAAACTAACACAAAATTCTTTAGTTAAATGACTTCCTTTCTAGTCTCTAAACTAATTCACATTAATCTCAAAGGAATCTATGTATTGAGTTTATTATATGTTTTATTACCTTAGGTAAACTCACGCCTATATCCATATATATCCAACCACACATTCTTTAGGTCACTTTGTCGGCTGTGTAGGGTTCGCTTATGTCTTTACTAACATTATTTAACTTAAAGTCTACATATCAAGCTCAATATAAACCAACCCTAAAAAAAAAGCAAGAAACATGGTAATATTTTTATTTCCATAAAAAACCCCCCATTAACAACCCTATTAATGAAAAAAAAAGACAAAAAAAATTTTTCTTGAACGAAGAAAAATCACGTGCTAACACTTAGCTACGCATTTTAATATCCGTTCGCATTTTAATGTGCGTGTTTAAAATAAAAAAAAAAAATAATATTGTCGGACATTAAAGTGAAATAGTATTCTAATATGAATAAGAGGGATTATCTATTATTATTGTTGTTATTATTTAGAAGACTATATAATGTGTAGCAAATAATAAATAATAGTGATGATAATTTGAATCATCGACAATTTGTTGATATTTTTTTTTACTATTATTCACACGACTCAAGATCACCTTAAAGGATTTCTTAGACGTATATAAAGGCTTTTTCTTGTGCAGATAGCAAGATGATAATAATAGTCATCCGCTAACGCTTATATACAACCTAAATGGACAACCATCGCAGAAATTTAGGATATAGTCCACTTCTACATTTGCTAGAGTCAATTAATTATATATAGTTGTGTGGTGTGAAATATAACATATACAAATACACATACTTATACAACTGAAGTATATCTCTACTGTATCCATCAACCAATTCAACTTTGGAATTACATTGTATCTATCAAAAGATAGACATATATGCTATAAGAGAGCCAACACAAAAGAAGTGACTCAACAGTATTCGTATTATTCTTCTCTGCTAACAAAAAAAAGATTAAATTAGTCATAATCTTTCTACATTTTATTTTTTTTTCTCCTTCCTCAAGTGATTTGTTCAATTAATCTGTTAATTCTTTAAGAAAATTTTCTCATAATTATACTTCTTTTTTCTTTGTTTTTCCTACTGTGATTTCTATTTTGCGTGACTATAAATTAAAATCACTCTTTCTTTCTTCTTTTTTTTTTTTCTTTTTTAACAAATAACACATAAGATATCAAAAAATCTTCCTTCATACAATTTTACTTTGTTTTGTTACATATACAAACATTATTAGAAAGAAGAACTTTCAGTTGATTATTTACTTTGCTATTAATTTCTGAACTATCTAACATAACCGAAACAAATGCTGGCTTCGACCCTTAGATTTTCAAGTGTCTCGTCAAGTGACTACTATATCACTTTATTGAATTCTACAAGAAAATTCTCTACTTCTAAAATAGTAAACAAAACCCAAATGACTCCATCTGTCCTATTAAGTACATGTTCAATTGATCTCTATTCGACTTCTAGAAAAGAATCTAGAAAGTTTTCAACTTTACCAAATTTAAGCAAATCTTCTGCTTCTATTGCTACTTCTAGTTCAATTCCGCGCACAATTAAACGTCCTCGTTTAAATGAATTGGAAAATAACAAAAAGTTTGACTTTGTACCTGCTCCACAATTAACACTTTCTGATATTAATGAAAATGTTAAAAAGGCTAAATATGCTGTCAGAGGTGCTATTCCAATGAGAGCTGAAAAATTACAAATGCAATTGGATAAAGATCGTCAATCGTTACCATTTGAGTCTATTATTAATGCTAATATTGGTAATCCACAGCAATTAAATCAAAAGCCATTAAGTTTTTACAGACAAGTTTTATCCCTTTTACAATATCCTGAAGCTATGGATAACCCCAAATCTGCCTCTATTTATCAACCAGATGCTATTAAAAGAACTAAACGTATCTTAAAGGATGTTGGTGGTTCCGTTGGTGCATATTCCGCTTCTCAAGGTGTTTATGGTATAAGGAAAACTGTTGCTGATTTCATTACTAAAAGAGATAACGGTGAATTAGCTTACCCGGAAGATATCTTTTTAACTGCTGGTGCCTCTTCTGCTGTATCATACTTATTATCAATCTTTTGTAAAGGTGAAGAAACTGGTGTCCTAATTCCAATTCCACAGTATCCTTTATATACTGCCTCTTTGGCTTTAAATAACTCACATGCCTTACCTTATTACCTTGATGAAAAGTCTGGTTGGTCTACTAATACAAAAGAAATTGAAAATATTGTTCTTGATTCCATAAAAAAAAGTATTAAACCATCCGTCCTTGTGGTTATCAATCCAGGTAATCCGACAGGTGCTGTCCTTTCAAAGGAAGCCATTGGGGAGATCTTTGAGATTGCTGCTAAATATGGTATTGTAGTCATTGCAGATGAAGTATACCAAGAAAACATTTTTGGTGATGATGCCGAGTTCCATTCAATGAAAAAAGTGCTAAGAGAATTACAAAGAGAATATCCAGGTCTATTTGATGATGTACAGTTAGCCTCCTTACACTCTACATCGAAAGGTGTTTCTGGTGAATGTGGTCAAAGAGGTGGTTACATGGAATTAGTCGGTTTCACACATGAAGTTAGACAAGTCATTTTGAAACTGGCTTCCATTTCCTTATGTCCTGTTGTTACTGGCCAAGCTTTGGTTGACTTAATGGTGTCCCCACCACAACCAGGTGATGAATCCTATTCTAAAGACCGTGCCGAACGTAAATTAATTCATGATGAGTTACATAAGAGATCTACTAAATTATGGGAAACTTTCCAAAAATTAGAAGGCATTGAATGCCAAAAACCACAAGGTGCCATGTATTTGTTCCCACAACTACTTTTACCATACAAGGCTGTCCAAAAAGCTTTACATGAAGAAATGTCTCCTGATGAATTCTATTGTAAAGAATTATTGGAAAATACTGGTATTTGTACTGTTCCAGGTTCTGGGTTTGGTCAAGTTCCAGGTACTTATCATTTAAGAACAACATTTTTGGCCCCTGGAACAGAGTGGATCGAACGTTGGGAAAAGTTCCACAAAGAATTCTTTGAGAAATATCGTGACTAATCAAGATGAAAGAAAATATTGATAACCAGAGATAAGTAGAATAAAAAAAAATAATATTGTGTTTATTACTAAGCTTCCCAAATTTTTACTTTCAATTGATATAAAGAACAATTTGAAATGTTGTACTATTTTTATTTCATCTCATCAATTTTTTCATATGATTATACAACGGTTTGAATATCAAAGTTACTGCAAATAAGCTACTTTTTATATACAATTACATACAACTATAAGTACAATACGAATGTGATCATTCGCTTCATTAATGAAAATAATCATGAACTAAAGCGCTCGCAATCCAAAATAAAATGTAATTAGTGCCACTATTAGTGATAGCCACCGTTTATTATTGTACAATTTTTCTCAATATGAGAGGAGTATCTTAGTAAATATAGAACACAACCAAATAGAGTCAAATAAATGTATGAATCACAACTTTGCTAAGGGATTAAAACATTCTTTGTCCTTTTTATTCATATAGAAGTCCAGCATAAATATACCCGTTTGCTTCGTCTGGCCTTTTCTTTAAGGTTGTTCTAGGTTTAACTTGGATAATTAAAGAAAAATTCCATTTTGCTAAAAAATGGAAGATCCAAGAAGAAGAAGAAAAAGGAAGAAAACAGACTAACCGGAAACAATTCACCTCATTCTCTAATGTTAGAGTAATCAACACTCAAAATAGCATAAGCAAAATATAATAACACATAAGGTACAAAACTTTATCCTTTAAATATCAAAGCAACAAACGTCATTGTATTTTCAAAAAAATTGAGAATTGGTACACCTGCAAAGTTTTCTATTTAATCATTAATATAGCATATCATTTGGATTAATTATTTCTGTTCATCTATTTACATATTTGCATAGACATTTTATCTCACAGTTATTTTTCAATATATATATCACACTAAACAAATAAACTATTTTTAAAGTGCATTTTATAAATTAACAGCATTACATAATAAAACTAGAAGGAATCATATAATAAATAAGGAAAACAAGCAGATGGATGATGTATCTAATTTCTATACCAAAGCTTTAAATAATGGGAGGAATTTTAGTTGGGTATTTCTAGTAAACTGGATTCTCACAGTCATTCTGATATCCAGCGTAACCTTTTATCTAGGTAGATCATTAGCATATCTCCTCAGTTTTCTATTGGAATGGATTCTGTGGAAACATGCCAAAATAAAAATAAATTTTCAGTCATTTAGAATAAGTTTCCTGGGAGGGAGAATATTTTTTAAGAATTTAACTATTATTGATAAAGATTATACCATATCTTTTTTAGAAGGTACAATAACATGGAGATATTGGCTTTATAGAACTAGAAATCCTCAATTTATTGAAGAATTAATCCAAAAATATAATATAGAAGATAATATATTGAAGCAAAACGAAACATTACCATGTAGATTTGTTTTGGAATGTGAGGGTTTAGAAATTTTTATTTATAATAAAACGATAGCTTTTGACAATATTTTGAATGATTTACCTAAGGATGAAAGACTAAAATTTGAACAATATTTAAATGAGAAAGTTTTCAAGAACAGCAGCAATCACAATGATATAAATAACAGTAAATCAAATAAGAATTCCAACAAACCATATTCTTCAAGTGATTCTTCTAATAGTAGTGACTCAAACAACAAATTCAATCATGGGACTACATCTTCTGAAGAAACAGAATCATATTCAAGTGAATCATCTACCTCAAATAATTCACCAATTAATGATAGAATATTTCAGGAACAAGAATCTAAAAACGATATTCTATTACAATCATTCCCTTTTGAAGTAAAAGTTAATCATACTGCAGTAGTTATCGGTAATAAATTTACACCATCTTTAATGGTCTTAAGTGCTGATAACGCAAAAGGTATATTGGATTATTCTCAAGCCCATTCTAAATTAGATTTATACAAAAATAAATTTACTTTAGATTGTAAAAATTTTAATATGTCACTGAGACAAAACATTGGATATAATAAAGATGACACATTTAAATTTAAAATAGACAAAGGTAGAATATCAAAAGTTTGGAGAAAATTCATTAAAATTTCCGGTAATATGTTAACACCTTTAAATAAGAAGGGATACAACAAAAAACCGTTAGATTCAAATGCAGCATTTCAAGAAAAATGGAAAGGCTTATTGATATATAGGGAAAATATGTTTGCTATGGATAATAATGATATAGATGACATTGAATTTAATTTTGCTGCACATGAATATGCTAAATTTACAAATATCGTCAAATGTCCCAGAATTATCTTTACGTATAGTTTCGACATACCTGGTTCTGTTCCTCATGGTGCACATCCAACCATTGATAAAAATAAAGGTCCAGATATTGGTAATAGTGGTTCACCACCCGCCCTTGAACTTGATATAGAGTTATATGGCGGTTCAATTTGTTATGGTCCCTGGGCACAAAGGCAGATTGAATATATTAAAACTCTATTTAGTCCAGTTTTATCTCGGTCACAAAACCCTACCCCAATTTTAAAACCAGGTGATAAAAGGGTGTATACACAATTCAAAATATCATTTAATGTGATGGAAGAAATAACGTGGAGAATACCTACGAGAGAATCTAGTAAAGATGCGGAATTTTTAAAACATTATAAAGAAACAAATGATGATTATAGATCCTTTGGTTGGTTAGACTTAAAATTTTCTCAAAACTCATCTGCTTTGATAAGTATCGATCTTTGTGCAACAAAATCAGGATCCAGTAATATAATCAATATTCTATTTGAACAAACTGAAATTCGAACTAGTGTCAACCATGATATATTCATGAAAGCAAAGGCTTTAACATTTGATATTTCTTTATTATATCCATTAGGATGGAACGACAAGGCGATAACAACCATAGACGTTTTATCATCACAGTTAGAAACTTTTATTCTAAGAGAACATATTACGCTAATTGCAGACATTTTGTCAGACTTCAGTTCCGGTGAACCTACTCCATATGAGCTATTCCGACCATTTACTTACATCATTAACTGGAAGATTGATGGATATTCCATCTACCTAAATGTCAATGATCACAATATTGTTAACAACCCATTAGATTTTAATGAAAATTGTTATCTTTCCTTTCATGGTGATAATATTTACATAGATATTTCTACCTCTACTGATAGTCTTGGTCAGAGATCTTCAAATATAATTTATTGTATAAAAACTCCAATGTTCAGACTGTTATTAAATGCACCCCCATGGAATACTTTAAACGAATTTATGAAACAAAAAGAAGTGGGCAGATCATATTGTTTTAAAGCCAAGGAAAATTATTTAATATATAATGACTTAGATGTGGATAATGTTGATATGGTTACTATAGAATGTACCAGTAAAAATACTTTGCTTTATTGTTATGGCTTTGTTATTAGATATCTGATAAATGTAAAAATGAATTATTTTGGTGATTTTTTTCATTTTGTTACAACTGAAGAATACACAGGTGAAATTAATATAAAATCTTCAAATGAGATATCAAATCTTCAGGAAGATAGTAAAAGTAACAATTCCTTCAGTACTAAATCTTCAATATCTATTAAAGATACGAGCCAAACGTTAACTGCTAATGACATGAAGAGAACTACAAATGAAACTGATCTTTGGCTAACTTTTTCTGTTTTTGATGGAGCTTTAATATTACCAGAGACTATCTATAATTGCGACCCTGTAATTGCTTGTCATTTCAGTGAGTTAATGATTGATGTTAGAAGCTCTAATTACTACATGGATCTTCTCACATCCATAGAGGACATTTACTTTAGACGATATATAGCAAAACAAGCACATAATATTTTTGATATTGTAAGAGATAATAACGGAAACAATATTAAACAAGAGGGTTATCTTTCTAATATAACTATTCATGGTCACAGAATGTACGGATTGCCACCATCCGAGCCTACCTATTTTTGTAAATGGGATTTCGATTTAGGAGAATTTATTATTAATTCAGGAATTAATTTTTTGAAAGGCTTTATAACATCTTTTCAAAAGATTGGCTTTGGTTTTAGTGATTTAGAAAATGTCTTATTATATGAAGCAGACGTCGTAGATGATATGACTTCTCTAACTATAAACATAAAACAAATTCTAATTGCCGTACGTGAACCTGAATCCAAAACAAAATTATCCATAAAAATAGATGGATTTAATTTTGGAAGAATTGACTTTGAGAATAAAAAGTATTCGACAAGATTTGATATGAGGATACCAAACATACACATTTCATTAGTCGGGGCAGATGAAAATAAAAACGAAATATCATACTTTGAATTTGAAACACAAGTAAACTTTTCCAACTTTTGTAAATCTTGCAATCTTAACCACCATAGAGAGATACAAATCGATTATATTACCAAAAATGATGCACCATTTCGTCGTTGCCCATTTTTGTTGCCTGAAGATAAGCAAAACTCTCATATATACAAAACGTTACAAGGGTCGATTGTACCATCATCTTCTCTTCCACCACTTCCAATACCTATAGTTGAACAAACAATAAAATATGTTGTATCAAACTTTTTCGGAAATGAAGAGTATTATGAAACTCATAAATCAATTTTTAATAAATATTTTACTAAAAACGAACTTAAAGATAAGCTACCTCATAAAGACCTTGATAAATTGGAATCTTCCATATTTTTTCAAACAGATGAGGAGAATTGTAACTGTAATAATTATGTTATTGACACAAATTATGTTTCCATTGTTGTTGACCCTAAGACATTAAGCTTCCTTGAGAGTTTCCTGGTTGATTTTTATAATGATGACATGGAACAAATTATGGATAGTATTGAAATTGGTATCGTCAAAACTTTGAGTAAAATACAAGAGGGTATATCAACAATTAATAATATAAAATTTAGAATTTTATCTTTAGATTTATTTTGGGGTAAAAGGCAATCTGGTGGCCTTGAATTATATCTTAATTCTATTGATTTTGAAATGAATGAAAAGTCCATAGAGAAAGATCGTGAAAAAATTCTAGCAGAAGTCGCTGTATTGTTAAAAATGAAATCAATTAGAGCAACGATTAATTCTAAATATGATGGAGGTATAGAAGAAGAACTTCCGCCAGCATTGTCATTTATGATTGAAGATCTAAATTTTTGGTCAACCATGAAAGAAAAACAACTAAACTCTATTAACGTTGCATCAATGGATATAACAATAGATGAAACTCAAATAGTCTGGTTATTTACATTTTTTGGTGTTCAGAAAGAATATATTGAAAAAGCCATTACAACTTTTGAAGATGTACAAAAAAAGCGTTCTGCATCTCGAAAAGAGGTTATTTCAAGAGTGACGGCTGCTGGTGATTATTATCAAATTAGTCACGATCCTTATGTGATAACAAAACCAGCATTTATTACAAGACTCTCAAGAGGTCATGTTCGTGAGAATAGAAGTTGGAAAATTATCACTAGATTGCGTCATATTATTACATATCTTCCTGAAAACTGGAATAGTGCTGTTACCAAACATCTACAAAAAAGAAAGTTTGATGTATCTCAAGATGCTAAAAATATTTTCATGTCTGTTTTTTCAACCTGGAGAAACTGGGAGTTCTCAGATATTGCACGTTCATATATATATGGTAAATTATTTTTAGTAAATCAGTCAGAGAAGCAAAAAAAGGCAATGCAAATGTTCACAAGACTAGACATGACATCTCTTTATGTCACCATCTACACTGCAGGACAGGGTGTTGACCATAATTTTATCATAACAAATTCAAATTTTATAATTGAAAAAACACCACCATTCACAGTTTCAGGAATTACTAGAGAAAAAGTTATAAACATCACAGCTAATTTGGGAAAGATCAAGGGAAAGGTAAGCGATAAAATGTTCAAAATTGAAAGTTTAATTGCCTTATTAAAAGAAGAGGAAGAGCCTGCTTTAAAACGTATTAATACAATACGAAAATCTTTTAAAGTTAATATTGCTGCTATTTTTGAATCCTGTGATCTTCTTTTTGTTTTTGGTAAAACTGAACTTTCCTTGCTAATATCATCAGGTAAAATAAGTGCACTTCTAGAAACTCCTAAGGAATCAGTAAGACAAGGTGGTTCTGCCATTTTATATGCAGGTAGGTCTGAACTATCACTACAACACAATCATAAATTGTTATTAGAAACTCAAATTACAAATTTATCTGTTATATTTGTGGCTGAATCTCTGAATTATAAACCCAATATTTTAACAAACATACAATACAATGATATACATATTCGAATCATGCCAGAAACTGACACAGTAATTCAATTTATCAAAGATTTAAAAAATAAAGTGGATGACGTGAAGGAAAACTTTCATTTTACAAAAAAACATAATAAGGCAAATACAAGAACGGAAAAGACAGTTTCTTTGATAAATGCAGATATCACATGCATATTTTCTAATATTAGTGTTGAACTAATGCCTCTTTCACCATTTCAATACAGACAGGAAACCAAAAGATTGGAAGTCTCCTTCAATTTCCAAAGAATGCAAAATTTTGAGATAACTATTCAAGAGTCTGATTTGTATTTGGGCTCACATTTAACAAAACAACAATATCTTCGTTTATCTCTGGGGAATGTTAATCTAAAAGGATCAAGTAGTCTGACTCCAAATATTGTTATAAATGCTGAAATAGTTGCTTCTGTAGTTAAGTTAACATTGTCCGAACCTCATAGGTTATTGATTAGTTTTCTTCAAGATGAGCGTGTAGCTTCCTCAAGTTTAAAAAAACTCCTAGCATTGAAGACACTATTTGCTCCTACTTCCAAATCATCATCTGCTAATGAAACAAAACCTACTGCTAGGATCCAATGGTCTCTAGATACAAATGTACAATATTATGGTATTTTAATCCCCATTTCGACAACTTTTTTTGTTATGGAAATCCATCAGCTATTAATGTCTTTATCGGATACAGGATTAAATGAAGCTGGTAATAATTCAAAAGAACTTTCTGGACATTTATCTATAGAAAACATACTAATTCTTATCAAAGATAGAGGTATACCATCATCTCTTTCAAAAATGGTAGACCTATCTTTGAAGTTATCAACCATCCAAAAACCTCTTGAAACTCAACAGTCATATCAAATCGAAAGTCCCCATTTTAGAATATGCCTGTCGCCATATCTACTTGTCCGTTTACTCTGGGGTGGTAACCAGTTGATGGTATTATATCAACACTATACTACACATCATCCGAAAAATTTATGGGATTTTCTATCTTCAACAGATATCCATTCAAATGATAATAGTTCAAGTTCACTTTTGAGTTTATTAAAATTAAGTTCATGCCACATATTATCATACAATTTTTGTATTGGTTGGTTGTTTCATAAAAACAACCACGAAACCAATCCTGGTCTTATCATTGGTTATAATAGGCTATTTTCTGCATTTGAAAATAATTGTGGTAAACTTACGGTAGTAGATGCGTTTTTTGCAGTAGCGAATGGTAATACATCAGATAATTTTTATTCTGATGGAACTGAAAAAAGTACATTTAATAGAAGCTTTCTTCCAAATCTTCAAATCCTCTACTGGGTTAAGAATGTTGGCAAACTAAAAGATATATTTATCCGTCTTCATGGGGAATCATTGGATGTTAACTTCTTAAATACATTTATTAATGTTATTGAGTCTACATTACAATCAATACAGGTGTTTCAAGATCTGAACAGATTATTAGTCCATCCGTTAAACAGTCATGTTAATGAAAGTGTGAATAATGATGAAAAAAATAAATCAAGTGTAAAGGATATTGCGCCATTTCTATCTAACATTAGAAAAATCAACTGCCAAGTAAAATACGATGGGGGTGTGTTTAAAATATACTCAGCAGATGATGCCAAATCAAATCTTGAACCTTCTTTGGAATTTAAAAGTCCGGGTGTTACCGTTAATATTGACTATAAAATAGATGAGCAGAATATAAAACCTCATTGGATAAGGACTTTAATTAAAATTGAACCCACTCATAATATTTTATTTTCGAAATGTGCACCATTACTTAATAATTTTTCAACAGATATTCAAAATATGGTAAGGCGTCATAGTTCTAAAGGCAAACTAACACCCAAAGTTCAGCCTTTAAAATCTTCGTCACAAACCATTGATTACAAGAAATTATTAGGGGCATTTGATATATTTTTTGAAATACAGTCCTCTAAACAAAAATTAAGCTTAAGCTGTGAACCCAAGGCAAAAGTACAGGCTGATATTGGTTTTGACTTTCTTAACTTCTCTATAAACACTAACAACTTGGACAGCTCTGAGCCTTTGGGTTTTTCATTTATTTTACAAAAAATCCAAGCATCCATTAAGCATATTTTCTCACGTGAAACCAGTGCATCGTTTAATTTGGATTTAATAGATTTAATTTTCTTGTTTACTAAACCTAATATTGTTAACATGTATGCAACCGGTTTTATATCTGATTTAGATGCATATTTAAATGTTAAACAAATACAAAATCTATATTTATTTCTAGATATTTGGCAATTTGGTGAAATGCTACGTTCAAAACCATTGAATATACCGGATGTAACAACCCCAACTGGCTCTATGTTATCATTACAACAAGTAAATCACGGCGGGAGCTTAATTCCATGGTGCTTTACTTTAATATTCTCTAATATAAGAGGGAGAATAGATTTAGGTCCTTCATTAGGTATTCTTTCATTAAATTTGAAGAAAATATGGCTTGCATCCGATCATTATGAAAATAAAAGACAATTATTGCATATTTTTACAGATGTAGTAAAACTTGAATCAATAGGAAGATTGAGTGGTATTTTTGAGGTTACTGGAGCCTTTTGGGTTGCGGAGGTAAATTGGAGCAGTATAACAAGAAATTCTAAACATCCACTAGTAGCAATATCCTTCAATATTGACAATATCAAAATCAAACTTGCTTTTGATTATCATATATTCCTAATTGGTACTATTGATAATACCAAAATACATTTACACAGTGAAAGAGACAGGCTTGGTAATATGCCTGATCTTTTGATTGTAACACTGACATGTAATGCCATTAATTTGTGTTCAACAGCTTTGGTTGCTTCCAATTTACTTGATATTTATAATACTATAATGAGAATGAAGCAAGACACCAATATATCATATTTAGAAACATTAAGAGAATCTGATACAGCAGAACTTAAGAAAAAGATAAATTATAGAGATGTACTAAGGGTATTAAATTTAATACAAACTGATGTATCCGTAGATATTAAAACATTTAATGTGCAAATATCACCAATTTCATTATTCAATATTGAGGTTGTAGTTATTAAGATCGAAAGTATACTTGCAAGTGTAAAGACACTTTCTGGTGGGAAAGTGGCGACATATCTAGATTTACAGATATTAAATGCTAAGGGATCGTTATCTACCTCGAAAAAAGAAATTGATGAAGAAACGGTTTCGCGTATGTCAGTTGAAGATTATATGAAATATGCTTCGGAGATTAAGGGTGGTACCATTATTGATATCCCAAGATTACAAGTTAGCATGCATACGTGGCAATCCCATAATAGCGATATTTTGGAATACAAATATACAAGTACATTTGGTGATAAAATTGCAGTGAGATGGAATCTAGGACCAATCAATTTTATCAAAGCAATGTGGGCTACGCATGTGAGAGCCTTAGCCGTACGTCGCTCTCAAAATATAGGAAATTTTAACGAAGAAAGTGAAGATAACATAGAAAAGAGAATCAAAGAAGAAGAGAATTTACTAAAACTTATCTACATTGCAATTGAAGAACCTCGTATTGATATGCCACAGATAAAAGATTTAGGTGATGCAACTCCTCCTCTTGAGTGGTTCGGGCTTAATAGAAAACACTTTCCAATGTTTACTCATCAATTAGTTATGGTACCAATCCAAAAGCTTATACATAGCGCTGAAAAAGAATATGCTAGTATCATTGGTCATTCTGAGTAAGCATTATACTGCAAGTGGGAAGTTTGCATAATGACTAACTTATATAAGTATATAATTGCCGATATCTATAAACGCACTATAAAGATGTATTCGATTTCTTAGAAAAAATTAATTAGCATGTGCCCCATTATTTTTCATGGTAGCACTTTTTGACATATTTTCATATTTATATATCCCAACTAAATTCTTAGCAAGTTCAAACATATTATTCCTCAACGATATAACAACAAATTGGGCATTTTTTGTTCGTTCGGTAATATAATTTGCGACAATTGAGACATTCCTGAAGTCTAATGCTGCATCAATTTCGTCCATAACATATAAAGGCGTTGGCTTATATTTATGCAATGCAAACACTAATGCAAGCGAACTTAATGTTTTCTCGCCACCAGAAAGATTTGTAATATTTCTCCAACTTTTTTTTGGTGGCATAACACTAAAAGTGACACCTTCTGAAAAAGGATCAAGACTGTCTACCAATTCTAATTCAGCATTACCACCCATAGTGATCATTTGATACATTTCTTTCAAAGTCATTGAAATAATACCAAAGCCTTCCATGAACTTACCAAATCTTTCCTTTTTTAAATCTTCTAACTTTACTGAAATATCTTCTCTACGTTGAATAGCCTCATTTAAATCTTTCTCTCTGTTATTATACTCCAAAGTTCGTCTTGCATACTCTTCAAGAACTTCAACATTAACATTTGTGGTGTCAACATATGTTTGTAATTCTTCAATTTTTTGATGTTGCAGAGAAACATCTAATTTTTCCAAAGTTTCCTCTGATAGTGAAGGTATTCCTCTTGATATTTCTTTATCCTCATGATCAACATCCATTTTATCTGAATTCAAGTTATTATTCATCGAGTTAACATCATTTTCACTCATATCGTCACTCTCACTAAATGATTCTGCAACAACAGAGGAATCGTGTTTATTAGTTTCTGTTTTATTATCTACTATTGATATAGACTTATCTTGGGCATCGCTTTCTAACAACTTCAGGATCGCAGATACGTCTCTCAATTTATATCCTGATAATTCATTTGTTAGCTTTGTGACTGTTTTTTGTAATGCTTTGAGTAGAGTATTTAATTTCTCAGTCTTATTAGACATTTCAAGCTCATATAATTTAAAATCATTTAAATTCTTTTCCAATTCTTGCAACTGTTGAGATTTATTATCTATCTCAGAATTTAAATCATCCTTTTGAGACTTCAGAGCATTAAGTGAATCATCTATTTCTTGTAATTTACCTGTTGCATTATCTATTAAAATATGCGCCTCTTTGGAATCTTTTTCATATTTTTCCAACTCGACAATCGATGTCTCATACGTTCTCTTATGTCTTTTCAGTACAGATGCCAATTTTTTTAGATTACTTCTTTCCTTTTTTTTTTTTTCTTCTAATATATTGATACGTTCTAAAATCGAGTCCACCTTTGAATTTTGCATTTGTAATTTAGAACCACCGATTTTCATTATTTCATTTTTTAACTCACTAACTTTTTCATTAGTGCTCTTGCATCGTTCCATAATATTCTCAATTTCATCATTTAAACTCTTTACCTTTGCATGTAACTTATCTAGCTGTCCTTTATCGTTTTGCATACTATCCTTCTCCTTCAATTTTTTTTGTAATTCCGTTTCCTTTGAATCAATATCAGATCTAATAGACTCAACATCTATTTTTAATTTGGCAATATCTATCTCCAATTGTGGCTCCTTCTCTTCTAATTTACTTAATTCTAATTCCATTTCTTGGAACGTTTCTTTGGCAATATCATAACTTTTTTCCTTTTCCTTCAAGCTTTCTTCCATTTTTGAAACTTCAAATTCTGTAAAAATTGGTTCATGGTTTGATTTTTTTGATTTCAATTGCAACAAACTTGATGCAACAACATTACCTCCACCAGTTATAGCACCTGAAATATCTATCAATTTACCATCCAAAGTTACTACTCTGAAACGTTTTTTACCGTATGCAACCCTATTAGCTTGCTTTAAGTCATTAGCAACGAGAGTATTTCCCATCACATTGAAAAATGCAGCAGCAAATTTAGATTCCTTTGGTGTTATTAAATCAAACAATCTTGGAGTATTTTCAGGAGTGGAAATTTTTTTGATATTATGGTTAATTTTATCTAAAAGGATAAAACGAGTAAATCCTAATTTGTTTTTTTTAATAAAATCCAAACAGTATTGACCACATTCGACTGTTTCAACCACTAGATCATTAAGACGAGGACATGCAGTAGATACAGCGGTATCATATTTATCATCTATGACACCTAAATCTCCTAACCGGCCATGAAATCCTGATATTTTTCCGGATTGTTGTAATTTTGTCAATTCAATTAATATTTTATTCCTATTTTCCACATTTAATAAAGTTGATCTTGTTTCTTGGGCTTGTTGACGTTGTGTATTAATTATTTTACCCATTTCATACAATTTTTTTTTAGCATTTAAACATTCCTCCTTGCCAATTTTTATATCCTGTAAGATCTTTTTATGTTGCTTATCTAACATAATTATTGTATTATCTTTTTCACTCAACGATACTTTTAATTTCTCAATTGATTCTTTTATTGAATTTATATGATTTTCAAATTTTGTTTTACTTTCGTTAATAAGAGTAATATCCATTTCAGTTAATTTAATGTCTGATTTCTTTTTCTGAATTTCAGCATTCCATGGTTCCAGATCTTTCTCTAATTTATTTATCTTTTTGCTAATACTTTCAGTTTTATCTTTCAAAGATAATTTAATGTCATTTAAAATAGCTTTTTCGCTGATTATAGTATTTTGTAACTGAACTAATTCCTTATCATATTCATTTTGTAAATGCTCTAAATCTGCCAATTTATTTTCAGTCTCTTGAACACTGAACTGTGATTTTTCAATAGCATTTTTTATCATCTCTTTTTTCTTAGTTATATTTTTCAAAATTTCTTCATTTGATACTTTTATTGTGTTAAATTCTCTATTTTGATTAGTCAACTTTTTAATTTCATTTTTTAAGTCATCTAATTTATGTTTTAATGCTTCGAGTTCATTTGCAATAGTTGTTTTAGAATCCAATAAGGCATTATTTTCTAATTTTCTTTTATTTATATCATGATTAAATTCATTAAGTTTCGTTAAGGTTGAATGAATTTTTTGATCATTTTGATATAATTCATATTGAGTCATTGTGGCCTTTTCAATAACCAATTGTTTTTCCTTCTCTATGAATTCAAGAGCTTTATCTTTATCTGATTCCAATGATTCTTTTTCTTTGGCAACAAAATCAAACCTATTTTTTTTTTCAATACAAACATCGTTCAGTTGTTCAATTTTAATTGTATTTTCTTCAATTAAAGGTTTGTATTTTGCAGTACCAATTATATCTTCTAGATATTCTAATAACCCATCATCACTCTCCTTCTCTGCTTTAGGTTTCATCTGGGCAATATTTTCAACTTCCCCCTGTAAGATCAAGAATCTTTTATGATCTAAATCTATCCCTTCTTCTCTCAACCTTTTTGTAACTTCTGTATAATTACTCTCTCTTCTATCAATGAAATATTTTGAAGAATTATTCTTGAATGCTTTTCTTTCAACTATCAATTCTTTATCAGGTACGATTTCAGTATTTTTACCTTCCTTATCTACGGCATAACGGAAATAAACTTCCACAGAACACGAATTAAGATTTGGAAATTGTTCAGACTTGTGAATTAAATCAGACAACCTATCTTGTCTCATTTTGTTAGCTCTAAATCCAAAGACAAATAACATTGAATCAATAACATTTGATTTCCCAGAACCATTAGGGCCTACCACAGCAGAGAAAGAAGGATCAAAAGGACCAACCACTTGACTCCCAGCATAAGATTTAAAATTATTTAAGACCAATTGATGGATGAATAATCTTTCTTTTTTGGATGTTTTTGCTCTTTGAGCATCATATAGTCTTTGCAACTCTAATCTTGACTTCTTTGTTGGTGACAATTTAATCAATTCTAAAGTTCTTGTTGGAGACCTATTTGGGGATTTTGGTGGTGATTGAGTGTATACTTTCATTGTACTACGCCTGCCTCTTTCTTCCAAACCATCTGTTTGTGTTAAAGGTGGGAGGGAATCTTCTCTTAGGTTAGGAACTTGTCCACTTGGCAATTTTACCTCGGTACTTGGCATTTTAACAGGTTGGGAAAAAGCAAATCGATGTTCTGGAGACCCCAACACCAACTTCCTTGGCTGTGTAGCAGATGCAGCTTCAGTATCAAGCACTTTGGCCATTTGAGGTGTTTGCATAGTGGTATGATCTATGGGAGACGTAATAATAAATACATTGTCATTAGTTTTAGAATCATTATTCCCAGTCGTATCCTTACCTTTACGTGGAGATATGGAATTGGGATTGGATTGTTCTTTATTGGGTGTAGGTGTTGATACCAAAGTCTTTAGTTTCTTATTTTTGGGTTCTTGATCTACCTGCATTAGAATATTATTATAAACAACGTCTTCAAAAAATTGAATAAAAGCAAACTTTCGATATGCCTGGTGTTATTCTTGGTATAATCGATCACAGTTAGTCTTATTTTATCTTTATTTAAATGATTAGAAGTTTGTTCATAAACGTAAATTATACGTTGTAAAAGCACAATTTGAAATAAACAATTAAATTATAAATGAGTAAATCAAATCAGCAATACTAAAAACTGCTCCAAGACCACCAACATTACCATTAAACACAGAACAGAAAGCTGCTACAACAAATCAAACCAATATTTTTTTTTTGGTTTTGTTTATCTTAGAGAAGATGTTCTTGAAACTTTAGAGAGGTTTCCCTTTTAAGAAATATCTCTAAAATTTGTCTTCTGGCAAATGGCGAAAAGACTTTAAAACAAACAAAACACACATACAGAGAGAGAAACAGAGACAAAGACGAAAAAACAGCAGGAATTTGATATATGGAGGCCACCCTTGTATGTATCTATTCATAAACAAGTATCTATGAATGAGTATAAGTTTAAGTGTAATCACTTGAAGAGAGGAAAGATTGAATATGTCAGAAATTCCATTAGTAATAGATAACGGATCCTATGAGATTAAATTTGGATTTGCCAATTCTTCCAGACCATTTAGATCATTAAATACATTGGGCAAGGATAAATACGATGCATTATATCTTGGCAATCAAATTAAAAATATCAAGGATATATCAGCAGTCACATTACATAGGCCACATAAGCTAGGACAATTAACTTCATGGGAATTACAAAGTTGTCTCTGGGACTACTGTCTATATAACCCAGATGAATTTGATGGCTTCCACTTGGGTAATTCTATTAGAGACACACATTTAGTCACCAATGAAACTTGTCTGACCATACCCGAACTAAGTAAAAATATGGATCAAGTTATATTTGAAGAATATGAATTTGTTAGTCTCTATAAAGCGCCATCTATGGCATACATTCCATTTGCATCATTAAATAATAATAATAATAATAGTGGTAGTGATGATAATGATACAGACAACAATAATACTATAATATTTGATAAAGGTAAAATAGAACAAACAAACAGCAATATTATGTCATTGGACGATTCCAAGAATAGGAAAGAATATCGTGATTTTCAATTAGTTGTAGATTCAGGGTATAATTGTACGTGGGTGTGTCCAATAATTAAAGGAATCCCGTATTATAAGGCAGTGAAAAAACTTGATATAGGTGGTAGATTTCTAAACGGATTCTTAAAAGAAACATTGTCATTTCGCCATTACAATATGATGGATGAGACTATACTGGTTAACAACATTAAAGAAAAATGTTTGTTTATGAGTCCTCTATCGTATTTCGATAGTTTTAAGAATAGAATGGATAAATCATTACAGTATGTGTTACCAGATTTCCATACAAGTTTCCTTGGATATATCCATGACCCTCAAGACCCGGGTGATAGTTCAAAATTACCATCAAATGCCCAAACTATTACATTAGTAGATGAAAGATTTATGATACCAGAGACATTTTTCCATCCAGAAATGGCTAAACTACTGAAGCCAGGTCTTGTAGAGACCATACTGGAGAGTATATCTATGTTACCTGAGCTGTTACAACCTTTAATGGTAGGCAATATAGTTTGCACAGGTGGGAATTTCAATATTCCACACTTTGTGTCAAGACTAACAAACGAATTACAGAGACAATTGCCCACAGATTGGAATTGTAGAATTATAACAAATAAGAAAGACAATGAATTGAGCAATTGGTATGCAATGTCGGAGTTTGCAACAACAGATGCATATAAATCTGTAAGAATCACACGCGAAGAGTATTGGGAACATGGAATAGAGTGGTGTACAAAAAATAGGTTTGGCTACCAAAATTGGATTTAAGAGTTGCTCAATAATGGAACAATCTTTATCATCATCATCATCTTCTGCTTCTTCTTCTTCTTCACTAGCACTACTTTTTTTCATATCAGACCTTCTTTTAATTTTTTCGCTTTTATTGACACTCCTTCCCAATTTGGTAAGTCTGGGAAATTTTTCGTGGAGAACGGCTTGAGCAGCCAGAAAATGAAAAAAAAAAAAACAAAATAATTTTTCAAGATAAAATGAATGAATTAAAAAAAAAATAAAACCTCAAACAACTCACAGAAAAAAAAAGAAATATGTACAATGCAATTAAACAGAGGAAGTAATTAAACTACTGATATAAGGGTTATTAGTCAAATATATATCATTTGAAATTTACATTTAAATATACATACATACATACATATATATATATATGTATGTGCATAGATATACAGAATTTTAGAGAAAAAATTGGTCCCATTTGTTTTTTATAGAGACAAAAACAACTGCTAACGACTTTCTACACCTTGTCATCAATTGAAATAAAATAAAACAAAAAAAAAAAAGGAAACAGATAAGTTTTCTTACTTACTATTTCTGCATTACTATTCTTTGATATACCAGTTACATAATACATTATGAAGTTTTCCAACTTACTACAGTTATGGATTGTTTCATCCAGATATGTAATGGGATATGATAGCTTCGATCAATCACATTTATCAGAAATAAGTCAGTTATTAAATATATCACAGATACCGTCATATTCTATTTCCTTAGGATCTCAGGATGATAATTTTGAAATATTGAATCAAATACAGGACCTTACATTTATACAATATAATGGACAGCAAAATTTTACTAAAGTAGATATAAATAATAATAATAATAGTATGTCTCATTCTGGTAATCATTTGATATATGCTTCAAATAATACTTTTATTCAATTACCAGATAATACCAATAATAATAAGCAAAATTCATCTTTTACTAATATTATTCCCTTTCAAGATGACAGTTTCATATTCAATGGGTATGGGACATTTGTTAATAATAATAATTTAGCTAACCAACTCCTCTATAATCTGTCTGATTTGTCAATCACACAATTATTTGATCAACCATTAAATTCAGTAACTACCATTGTATGTGATGATTACAATAAAATGATATATTTTGGTGGGAATTTTAGTTTCTCTAACAACAACAACAACGATAATAATGATAAGGCCAATAGTGTTATTCAATGGAATTTTACTTCCCAAAGTAATGCAACCTTACCGTTTCTTGGATTCGGTTCTAATTCACATATAAATTCTATAATTATGTTAAATAATGATAACATTCTATTCACAGGGAAATTTACTACTTTAGATAATAGTACCTATTTATCCAACTCCAATACAACAAATCAATCCTACCCATTTAATCCAAAGATAAGTTTAGCATATTCAACCTGGAACACAACATCTGGTAACATTTCCACAAGTACCCTTATATGTCCCAAGGATTCTTCATCCACATCTAATGGCTGGTTTGCAGATGGTGTCTCGAATCTATTGACTGGCCAACTCCGATTTTCTGCGATTCCAACAAAGATAAGAATATATAATAGCGATAACGATAATACCGCCGTATCATTATTTAGAATATTGACTTATCCAGCATCCAGTATTATGAATATGACATATCTTGACCCTATATCTGGAGAATTATCTACATGTACTGCATTTTGCCCCCTCTATTCAATTTCAACGTTACAGGGTCAAGCAAAAAATCAAACTATCAAATCTAAACTAATTAATAATAATACAACTAGCATACAATGGTCATTAACATTTCAAGAATTCGCATTCGTTAATCCTGTATCTGTGTCAACTCTTGAAATATTGACTTTGGCATCATTTGGAAATGAATATGTTAGCCTTAAAGGAATTGAGTTATTTCAAAACACATATACGGTGTTTGCTAATGATACATGGAATAAACAAAGCTGTGATTCTGATACAAGCTATCAAGTTGTCTCTTCATCATTATCACCAAATGATTGGATAACCAATAAAACAAATACAGATACCTATCTAGTTACCAGATATATTCCAAATTCAGATTCTGCTATACCTGAAGTTCAATTTAATGTCAATATTCAAAATGAAGGTATATATGATATAAATATCATTACACCAGGCTGTTCAGCAGATGGTACATGTTTTGCAAGAGGGATTGTCAATGTAACTGTAATTGATAAGACTACCGATGAAATTTTGTCGACAAATTTAATTTACCAAAATAATGAACAATACAAATATGATACTATTTATCATGGACAATTGAATAATCCATGTCAAGTTACATTAAAATATGTTTCCGGGTTATATTCCTCAAATACAATGACTGTAGTGGTTGCAGATAGGGTAGATGTTAACATAGTATCTTTAAACGATACTTTTTCTAATAATGAAACAGTAGAATTGAATGGTGTTTTCCAATATCAGCCTTCAAATTTTACGAATAATAATATAGTAAATCCTATAGGTTTAACAGATTTAAATAAATTTGGTTCCAAAATCTCCAATGGAAAAGAAAATGACATTACTGCTACTTTATATGGTAATTCTACTCTAATTATCAGCAACTTAGAGAATCAAATTTATGTATTGGAACTTAACGAGAATTATAATATTAATCAAGTATCACAACTAAATGTTTCTCAAAAAATTACAACTCATCATCCATTTAATCAAGGTATTGTTTTACTTACAGAAAATTCAAATGAAATATTTATTTATAATGGGACGTTGAAAAGTTTATCAGTTTTAAATGAAACTAATATTAACTCTGTCTCTAATGTAACCTTATTTGATACCGAATTATTAATCTTCAATGATAATATTATTTATAATATGACATCTTCTCAAATATTAGATTCTTCTCAGCAAAATTTCAATATTACTTTACAAAGTAGTGGTCAAAATGATGTGAACGATACCTTGTTTTTTGGTCAAATTTCAGTAGTCGATTATTCTTCCATTGATAGTCCTATAGAAATTAACGGATTAAATAGACAGGTTGTGCCACTTAATCTACCTGATAATATTGTACCTTACAAAGCAATCTATTTCAATGAATCATTGACAGGATATTTTTACAACAATGATGATACATCATACATTTACTTGAATAATGGAATGAACAACTCTTTAAAATGGCCAAATTTAGTCTCAGCTACATTATACGAAAATAATAATACTTTATTTGTCATTGCAACACAATCAGATTCACCTAACAAAAATACAACTTTCTCTATAATTGATTTAACTAATCTCACTACTATTCAAAATTTGGATTTGGGTCAATATACCGAGATTAATTCAATTTTAGGATTCCCACAAAATAATACTTTGCTAATTGGAGGTGCTTTTCAATTGAATAACAATAATTGTTCGAATTTGTGTTTTTATAATTACAAAAATGAAAAATGGTCACCTTTTCTATCAAATTCATTAAAGAGTATGCAAATCAAAAAACTAAGTTTTTTCAATCAAGATACTATTATATTATTAGGCGCCAATTCATCTGATATCAATCAATTATTAACCATTAATATAACCAGCAATAATTTAAATTATCTTATCACTGAAAAGAACACAATTAACGATTTTATTATAAACTCTAATGCTAGTAATTCCGTAATAGCGTGGAATGATACCCATATACACACAATAGCGAATGAAACATTATCATCTATATCTATTCCAAATATAGGTCAAGGCAATATTATATATTCAATTGAACCAATAAGTGTTGGAAACGAACAAAAAAAGGACGGTTTATTAATACTAGGACAGTTTTATGATCCCAATTATGGGTCATTTCAAAGTATGATTTATTGGAACAATCGATGGGTTCCATATCTGTATTTATCGACAATCAATAATAGTAAAACAGATATTCTTAATAAACTTGAATTATTTGTTAACAAGGACACTTCATCATTTTCAATATTACAAACCCAATTACCCGATTCCATTGTGAATCAAAGTAGTCAATCCACCAGTACCATTGGAACCAAACCTACAACATCGGCCAGTACTCCTACTAGAAAATTAGCTAAAGGTAAACAAAAAAAGATACATAGTGGGCTTATTGTGTTGATTGGATTGGCATTATCTTTGGCGACTGTATCTATAGTTGGACTTGTTGGCATATTGCTTGCATATGTTTTTAAAGATAGCACAAGCGGTAATTCTCAAGTGTTTAATCCTGTTATTGATGAAAATGAAATGGTCAATACATTGCCTCCAGAAAAGATTTTGAATTTGATGTAAATCGATATAAAATTTTACTTATTTATTCATTCTGCATTTACATATTTTGTTATGATACCTAAAAATACTATATCTTATATATTGCAAATAACGTAATGAAATATAAAGACAATCTACGAAAAAATATCAGCACTAGTCCCAGTAGTAATATAAATGGTTTACAACCAACTGCAGACACTTGGTCATGCGGTAAGGTTATATAAGTTTGCTCTTGTTCCCTGTTTGACTCTCTTTATGACTTCTTATGACGATAATAGTGAGAATGTATCTAGTTAAAATTTGTATCGTTTCTTTTTTTTTTTTGCTTTTTTTTTTTTTTTCTTTTAGAAAATTCTTTTACTTCCTCGAGCCATTTTGTTTATTTATTTTTTTTCTTTTTTCATGGCAAAGAAACATCAAAAGTAAGAAAATCGATCAATGAACAAATTGACGTGGATAGACTGCAGTAAAGATAAGGAAGCCAAAACATTTTCTTCTGACTCTATTTCATTATATTTGGATAAGTTCTTACAGACTGTTTTCTTTTTCTTAAGAAAAGTAAAAACTGCTTTTGAAAAGAAAGAAAGAAGGATCGAAACCCTTGCTTAGATGTTATCATTATAAATACATAAGTAATTATATTTTTTGTATTGTTTTTTTTTTACTAAAAACACCCTTCTATTTACCTGCAAGTAAACACATAGTTATCCATACCTTCATTACTGTTTTCTACAACTCAACAGAATAATTGCATTAAAAGAAAATATAGGTCATAAGTACTTTTTGGAATATTACAAACTAAAATAACATTAGAGGTCAGATAAAAAAAGAAAAATCATAAAAAAAGAATGCTAACACTTTATCCTATCATCTTAGGACTTCTACTATCGCTTGTAAATGCTTTTTATTTACCTGGTGTCGCACCAACCACCTATCACCAAGGTGATGATATTCCATTATTAGTTAATCATCTATCACCATCTGTTTATTGGCAACATGAAAATGAGGAAGGTAAAAAGATTGGTAAAGAACAATATCTTTATTCATATGATTATTACTATGATAAATTCCATTTCTGTAAACCGGAAAAAATTGAAAAACAACCATCTTCATTGGGTTCAGTTATATTTGGAGACAGAATATACAATTCTCCTTACAAAATTAAAATGTTGGAAGAACAGACTTGTTCTCCACTTTGTAAAACCGTTATTCCAAAGGATGATGCAAAATTTATTAATAAATTGATTAAAAATGGATTTTTCCAAAACTGGTTAATTGATGGGTTACCAGCTGCAAGACTTGTTCATGACCCAACTACTGATTCCGACTATTATGGTACAGGTTTTGAATTAGGATACGTTAACATTGTTCAAGGCCTTTCTACTGAAAAAAGAAATGTTCAATTAAATGTCCGTGATCCAAAAAATGTTAAAATGATGAAAAATATAGAGATTCCATATTTTGTTAACCATCATGATATCACAATTGAATATCATGATCGTGGTGAAGGTAATTTACGTGTTGTTGGTGTCACTGTCACACCTGTTTCCATTAAACGTTCATCTCCAGGTACTTGTGAAACTGAAGGCGATCCATTAGTGTTAAGTGAAGATGAGGACAACGAAGTTTATTTCACATATTCCGTTAACTTTGTAGAATCTGATACTGTTTGGGCTACTAGATGGGATAAATATCTTCATACTTATGATCCAACTATTCAATGGTTTTCTTTAATTAATTTTTCCATAGTTGTATGCCTTTTATCTGCTGTTGTTATTCACATGTTATTAAAGGCTTTAAAAAATGATTTTGCTCGTTATAATGACTTGAATCTAGATAATGATTTCCAAGAAGATTCTGGTTGGAAATTAGTTCATGGTGATGTATTCCGTATTCCAACTAGATCAATGTTGTTATCTATTTTTGTTGGTTCCGGTTTGCAGTTATTCTTAATGATTATAGTTAGTATTTTCTTTGCTGCTTTAGGTTTCCTTTCACCAAGCTCAAGAGGTTCTTTAGCCACTGTCATGTTCATGTTATATGCATTATTTGGATTTGTCGGATCTTATACATCAATGGGTGTTTATAAATTTTTTGGTGGTCCTTATTGGAAGGCTAATTTAATTTTGACTCCAATATTAGTTCCAGGTTTTATTTTCTTATGTATTATTGCATTGAATATCTTTTTGTTATGGGCTCATTCTTCAGGTACAATCCCGGCAAGTACCCTATTTTTTATGGTTTTGATTTGGTTTATCTGTTCCTTCCCATCTGCTATAGCAGGTTCTTTAATTGCTTATAAGAAATGTAATTGGAATGAGCACCCAACAAAGACAAACCAAATTGCAAGACAAATTCCATTCCAACCATGGTATTTGAAAACGATCCCAGCCACATTTTTCGCTGGTATTTTCCCATTCGGATCCATTGCAGTTGAATTATATTTCATTTACACTAGTTTGTGGTTTAATAAGATTTTCTACATGTTTGGATTTTTGTTCTTCTCCTTTTTATTGTTAACTTTAACTACATGTCTAGTGACAATCTTAATCACTTACCATTCTTTATCATTGGAGAATTGGAAATGGCAATGGAGAAGTTTTATTGTTGGTGGTGTGGGTTGTGCAGTCTATGTTTTCATTCATTCCATTTTGTTTACTAAATTTAAGTTAGGTGGGTTTATCACTATAGTTTTATATGTTGGTTATTCTGCATTGATTTCTCTATTGTGTTGTCTAGTCACTGGTTCAGTTGGTTTTATTAGTAATATGTTTTTTATTAGAAAGATCTATTCATCTATTAAAGTTGAATGAAGCTAATATAAACAAGAAAATTGAAAGAAATAATTCAAAGAAATAATTATATTGAACGAAATACAAGAAAAGAGAAAGAGGTTTTACATTATATAACATTTCGATCTCTTAAATAATATTATTGCTACTGTTATTCCTTTTTTAGTTTTGATAAATACAAATTTATATAGATATTTCATTTTAATAAATATGGAAATTTGCACAATTAATTGAATATATGCATATTTTTGGGAAGACGTTGTGGAACTATATTTAAACAACTGTTATATTTTGTAGAATATGCACAGTTTTTTTTTTTGTTTTGACATTACCTACTTTATTTTTTTTTTTTATAGAAAAAAAAGCTCTTAAAAATTTCAATTTATCCTTTCATCTCTAGAGTGAAGATAAGAAATATCATATCTATAAAAAAGTCTTATGGTTAGATCAAGTAGGGCTTAAAGTAAATAAAGGTACTTTTTCATTACCATATTATAGTTGTAAAAACAAGGTATTCAATAATTCAGTTCAAATACTTTCTAACTTCCTTCTTTTTTTACCTTTTTCTTTTTGTTACAGTATTTATAATAAATGGAGAACAATAACACTATTGATAATAATACCGATAACAACTTATTAAAGGAATCCAAATCCGATACGACCTTATCATCTATAGAAACTACAAAATCTTCTAAAAATATAAAACAAGATGAAAAGTTATTAAAGGAAACCAAATTACTTAGAGACACATTAGACTTACTTTGGAATAAAAGTTTGGAACAACATAAGATTTGTGATGATTTACAACGTGAAAATGAGCATCTGCAAGATTATATTAATAATTTAATGAGTTCTAGTAATGTATTAGAGAAGTAATTAGATCATGATACTGCTCGGAAATTGATGGCCGGTTATCTGTCCTTACTTTAATTTTGTGCTTTTCCACAGTTCCATATGTCGATTCTCAAGATATCAACAAAAGAATGGAAGGACTTTTTTGATGTCGACATTTTTTTTGCTACTTTCAAGGCTTGAATTTATTTTTGTTTTCTTTTCTTTTTTTTTTCTTTTCTTTTCTTTTGTACTTAGTTGATCTCCCAATAAGGATTGTGTGTCATAAATTCGAATTCAATGAAACACAAACAAAAAATATAGAGAATGCATAGACAATTAAGCATTTAGAGTGATTCTGGACAATTAGTAACCAATTGTTTGTTTTCAACTTTTTGAATTCGCTCTCCTTTTTATTGTATTAATATCTCATTATAGTTAATAAGTAAAACAGAAAATATCACAAGTGAATAAGCACAAATTGTTTAACATATTATGCAAACGGTTAATTTAAATCTAAAAACACCCATAATCAAAACTCTCAAACCTATATATAAGGGGAAACCACGATTGAAGGATTATTCTGATAAACAAAAATCTAATTCTAATATCCAATTCATCGATGAAAATGATGAATTATATGATCTTTATGTTCATGGATTAGATGAATTTAATTCTCTGTTAATGGATGAATCATTATCAAGAATAGGACAGCATTCTTGCTTTTCAAATTGCTTAAATACATCTAATGTTGAAGTGTTTAATGAAATGAATCCATCATTAAGTAATATTGACGATGGTCATATACAAGAACTGTCGTATATTGTGGAGGAAGAAAGTCAAGAAAGAATATTTTCAAGTAATAATTCATTTATAATTGATTTATCCATGCTACATGAATCATCGAATAGTTTCGGACAGAATCAATTTGATTGTAGTCCATTTAGATATGTTTGTAACTACGAAAATCAATTAGATCAAGGTGGTGTAATCAATTCTATTATTTCTAATTCAATAGGAGATAAGATGTTAATGTTTCCACAAGAACTAGAATATCAAGAATTATCGAAATTAATATCTAATATGGATAAAATGATGTATTATTTATTTGGTAAAGATAAATTTAATTTTTTCCAATTATCTAAACAGAGAGATCAATTTTATGATTTTCCATTTCTTTCATTAATGAAGCCTCTTGTATTTCCAGGTTATGAAATTGAATATGACAATGATAATAAAAATGAAGATGAAAGTTATGTTGAAAGTAATAAGTTTAACGAGGATAACGAAATATTAATTGATTACAGTAGTAGTGAAATAAGAGATGAGTTGAATGACATAAATCATTCTGAAGGTTTGGTTTAAATTATTCAAATTTTTTAAGAAAATAATTTAAAAAGTACATTTATTTATTTGTTTGTTTGATTTTGTCTATCCTTAAGTAAAACCATTAAAAATAGATATGTTTGTAATTATTAAAAACGTTTTACTATTTATTGTATTATTACTGTAAATTCTTCTCTTTTTTTTTTTTCTCATTTTTGTTCCCTTAAAATTATGAAAAATGCCCAGAACCTCTTTATCCCCAACTAGAGTGTTAAGTTAGCCAACTAAATATAAAAAAACAAAAAAACAAAAAACAAAGTTCCTCTATTAATCTGTAGAATCAGAGATACCACTTTGGGTGATAATATAAACACATTCCTTCTCAGGCATATCTGGAGAATCTTGTAATTTAGCTACTCGTTCATCACCACGACCCTTTCTCAATAAGATTCTCGTGGCTGATGCATGTGCCAGAACATGACCACCGACCGGTTTTCTACCATCGGCAGATGCAAAAAGTGCAGAAGCACCAGGATCAGATTGGACTTGATTTGTCATAAAAACAGCAACATTAAATTCTTCTGCAAGACGATTCAGTTTTGATAAATGCTGATTTAATTTTTGTTGTCTTTCATTTAATTCACCTCTACCACAATAATCTACTCTAAAATTGGCCATTATTGAATCAACTATTATTAATCTATAATCACCAGAACTCAATTCACTACCTAATTGCTCGACTAATTCCATTTGATGTTCGCTGTTAAGTGCTCTTGCATAAGTCACGTTTTCTAAACAGGTTTCTGGATCCAAATCATATTTTTCAGCAATCTGTTTTATTCTTTCTGGTCTAAAAGTACCTTCTGTGTCAATATAAGCCACTTTCCCTTCACCGCCACCCATCTCTTTGGGTAATTGTGTTGTAACACATAAGGTATGCGACATCTGTGTCTTACCACATCTAAACTCACCAAACACTTCAGTTATACTCATGGTCATAATGCCACCACCTAGTATTGAATCCAAATTTTTAGACCCAGTTGATAAAGAAAATATTTTTTTTCTAATATCCATCTGTAGAGTAGCCGGTATAAATCCAATAGTTATAATTTTACTTGCGGATTCCTTGATCTTCTCTACCTTTACTTCTGAAAGACCTTTAATTTTGCACAGATGGCGTCTGGTTGTGGAAAGAACGGTATTAATCGTGAAGATGCCACCTGACTTTAATTTCTGTATATCTGATACGTTTATGCCATAGTTTTGTAATTCATCAACTGATATGACAGTTTGTTTAGCTTCTTCTGTCATTGAATTAAAAAGCAAAAAAAAAATAAAATAAATAAAACAAGAAAGGTCTGATCCTTGGGGTTGGAGGTAGTGATATACTTAATGATTACAATGGTACAAACAGTTCAGAAATAGGTAGTTGTTGATAAAAGAAAAAAAAAATACATTATTATATATATATATATATATATATATATACGGTTTACATTATAAGACTTGAGCGGCTAAAATAACTCAATAGGAAAGAACATATTGATTGTAAATTAAGGGTTCTAAATCACCAGCCTATGAGGTATATAGACATATAGATAAAACATCATTTTTTTTAGTTGAACTCCGCGGAAGAGCAAACGGATCGAAAAGGACTTTCTTCCGTGGATACACACTTTTCATTTTGGTAAACTGTACTATCATCCATATAAATAAATGTAATGGCCTGTAATACATATAAACAAATATATATGTATTATATTTACCTTGAATAGATATAGAAGCTTTAAAGGAATAAGTAAATATCTGCACATAATTATTTGAGATATATAACATTCAAATTAAAAAAGTGATCAACAAAGAATAAATAAGAAAAGAAGATAACGACAATTACAAGTATACTAATAATATGAATATTTTCATTTCCTTGTTTGTTTTATTATAATATCAACAATAAGCAAGAAAAAAAACAAAACAAAACAAAAAAAGACACAAATAGAAAAGAATTTTTACTCGTTATTTTTCATGTTGTTTTAATTTTAGTAGGTCTTAGCAAAATCATTCTTTTCAAAATCCCAAGTATCTTCTTGAATTCTGCCTCTTAAAGTTGGAATCTCAGTTCCTTTAACATAAACATCCTCAAATAAGATGGACAATTTAGGTTCAGGTGGGGCAGCTTTATCAGCCAAAGCAACTTGTTCATCAACATACTTTCTAGCAGCTTTATCGTAAGCTTTAACTTCACTCTCAGTAGCAATACCCAATTCAGTCAAATGCATCTTCAAACCTGCAATTGGGTCATTCTTAGATCTCATGTTTTGGATCTCTTCTCTTGTTCTATAGGTGGTACCTGGGTCAGACATGGAATGACCACCGTAACGATAAGTCTCGAACTCCAATAACAATGGACCTTTACCGGATACACACCAATCCTTTGCAAATTTAGAAGCTTGGTAGACAGCAAGCACATCCATCCCATTGACTTTAATACCGGGAATATATTGACCACGTTTGTAGTATTCGGTCATAGCAGAAGATCTAGAAGCGGCAGTACCCATCCCATATTTATTATTTTCACAACAATAGACAACAGGCAAATTAAACAATTTAGCCATATTGAACGATTCAAAGACTTGTCCTTGGTTAGAAGCACCATCCCCATATAAAGTGAAAGAACATGCGTCCTCATTCTTGTATTGATGGGCAAAAGCTAAACCAGTACCTAATGGGACTTGTGCACCGACAATACCGTTACCACCATAAAAGCCTGGTGCGTAAAGATGCATAGATCCACCTTTACCGAAGGACACACCCTCTCTTCTACCCATCAATTCTGCAAGGACACTCTTTACAGATGCCCCTCTCATATAGGTGAAACCATGACATCTGTAGGAAGTGATAACCGAATCCAATTTTGTGATAGCATTTTCCACACCAACAGCAATAGCTTCTTGGCCCACAGATAAATGGCAGAACCCTCTAATCTTTTTAGCTTTATATAGGGCATCACATGCCATTTCCATTCTTCTGATAATAACCATATCTTTATACATTTGTAGAAGTGAAGATTTACTGGTTTGATAGGTTAATGATGGAATGTCAACCAAATAACCTTCGAATGATTTTTCTGGTAATTCAATTGTGACGACATCGTTTTCAGTATTTGGTATTGATTGATCTTTAGTTTTATCTGTTGAGTATGTTCTCCTTTTTGTCACTGACAATAGAGAATTTTGGATAGTGGAAGTGGAGGTAGAAGTAATGGTACCAGACACAATCGACCTACCTATTAATGATTTAGGAGCTTGTAAACGCGAAATAGTAGATAACATAATGAATAACAGACACGCAGACGCAGACAGACACAAAATAAATGAAAAAAAAAACTAACTTGTCTATTTATCTGGGTTCAGCTTGTCTATACTCGATTGATACAACTATAGAGCAAGATTTATCTATAATATATACACACAAGTGTTATCATCAATAACAACCATATAAACACAAGACCTCCTACAACTTCCTACTTTTCATATACTTAAGTCAATTTTTTTTTACCCCTATATGTGAAAGTGTCCAATTCCAAGAAGTCAGTTATTCATAACCTGGAAGAATAAACAAAAACAAGGAACAAAAGAGAATTTGATAAAAAAACAAAAACAAAAAATCAAAAAAATGAAAAGAACAAGACAAAATTTGAAAGTTACACAGAGCAGGGACAAAATGACAATGGAGGGGGAAAATAAAAAAACAGGGCAAAACAAAAAAGAAAAAAAAAAGGAAAAAAAAAAAGAAAAAACTGACGCTGTTATGTTTTTCTTTTTATTCCCCCCTCCCCTCCCTCATCTCCAATATTTCATACAAACCAAGTCTATAGCTGAACAAACATACCTACCTATATACCTATAATGTATGTGTACACACCCGTCATATTTATATGTATATGTATATGCAGATCTGACACCTCTCATTTGCTCCCCCCCTCCTATTTTTTTTATATACAAATATCCGAAAGCTATGAAAACTTCCAAGAAAAATATAAAAATCGTAATGATTGCATATTTTTAAATCATATATATTATATGTAGATGATTCTTCTACTAAATTCGCAGATATAGTAAGCAAATAAAACTGAAAAAGAAAAAAGCTGAAGCAATAAAAGTCTATACTGCCATAAAATGTAAATTGTGTAAAAAGACACAAAAAATAGCGCAGTCTAACATTCATATATATATGTTGATAAAATAGGTTAAAATAAAACAGAGTAAAGTATAGTATAGTAACATAAAATAGTATAATAAAAAAAAATAAAACAGAATAATTAATTTTTTTTTATAAGAAGGTATAAATAAAAAAAAAGAAATAGTCATCAATAATTATTAAAATAACAAAGTAATATCAAAAATAAAAAAAAAATTAAAAGACATAATAAAATAAAATTAAATTAAAAGTAATGATAATAATAGTAGTAGCAACGATAATAATCATAACATTTTTCAAGAACACTCTTGCAGGATACAAAAAAAAAAGATTAATAAAGGAAATCAAAATCAATTAAACCAATTTTATTTATTATTCCCGTTCCGATTTTTCATATCTTTGAATCATCCTTATGTACGTTTTTTTTTTAAAAAAAAATCCTTTATTTTCTTGTTTATTCTTTTGTACTTTCAGTAATGTTATTATTATTATTTTTTTTCTCATCCTAATTCATAAACATTAGTTCTCCAAAAAAAAAATTCTTTACGTTATTTTATTTTATTTTTTCTTACCTTATTTTGGAGGGATACCTTCATCATCGTTATCATCATCACCAACCTGTTGTTGATCTTGTTGCTGTTGTTGTGATTCGTTAGAGATAGGACCTTCAGTCATGTCAGAAGTCCATAAGGTTAGATTGTCTCTGAGCAATTGCATGATTAAAGTACTGTCCTTATAAGATTCTTCGGATAATGTGTCCAATTCAGCAATAGCATCATCAAAGGCTTGTTTGGCCAAATGACATGCCTTATCTGGTGAATTTTGAATTTCATAATAGAAGACAGAGAAATTAAGAGCCAAACCTAATCTAATTGGATGAGTGGGTGGCAATTCAGTGGTGGCAATTTCGGTGGCAGTAGTGTAAGCCTGTAAAGATGATTCAGCAGCATCGACTCTCGCTTGGTCCTGGGAAAATTCAGCTAGATAACGGTAGTAGTCACCTTTCATCTTATAATAAAACACTTTGGATTCTCCGGTGCTAGCTGTTGGAATCAGATACTTATCCAACACAGATAAAACATCATTCGAGATATTCGTTAATTCAGCTTCAATCTTAGAACGATAGTTTTTAATTAACTCAACTTGATGTTGTGAGTTTTCCTTTGATTCTTCCTTTTGTTCAATAGATGAAACGATTCTCCATGAAGCACGACGACCACCAATAACGTTCTTATAAGCAACAGACAGTAAATTTCTTTCTTCAACAGATAATTCTTGACCTGCAGAGGCAACGTTCTTCATATTTTCGACCATTTCTTCATAACGTTCGGCCTGTTCGGTCAACTTAGCTAAATATATGGAATCTTCACGACTTAGAGACATTTCTTTACTTTTCTTTTATGTATGTATGTGTGTATATATGTATATTCTCAGGATCTTGTGATGATTATTAGCTCTTGATGATCACACGTGTTCTATATTTTATTTTATCGTTCTGTTTAATAACAAGTAATAGTTAAAGTTCCAAAACTATTCCACAAAAGTGAATCTATCTAGATCTGATCTTTTCTACCTTAAAGTGAAATGTAAAAAGAACAAAAAAAAATACCAAACGAAAAGAAAAAAGAGAGAGAGAGAACCAAAAGTAACAACAAATGAATCAGATAATATTTTATCTAATACTTAAAGGTTGAATTGGTAAGACTAATCGTGCCAATTATGATAAAACAGATTACCATAAAAAAAACCTTATCAAAGTATACAAAGTACGCAAAGTGTTCTTAGAGTAATAACGTTTGAACTTGGATCAAACAAAGAAACTAAGAGACACTCACCCTTCTTTCTCTATTTCTCGGCCTTCTCCTTTTGCCCCTCCCGTCCCCCTCCCCTTTTCCACTTCACACACCACACATCACACCACCGTCTTTGATCCAAAAAGAAAAATAAAACAATACTAACAGACACTATAGATAAATCACTCATCATACGCATCGTTCAACATGATAAACAAAGGGAGGGTAACTAAATTGTAAGCCTAGAAAACCCCATGAAGAGTTGTATTGTATATTGTAGATAGAAAACACTTGGAAAATTTATCATTAGCAGTCATGTATTATGAATACACACATGCACACACGTACACAGAAACATTTATAAATACACTTTCAATACTGATCTAATGAAGGAAAGATCAACTTACGCCCACGTAGATAACGTATATATGTTCGCCACATACCACCTCCGCGCTCTAACACAGAGTCGTTTCCAACGAGAATCAATCCATACTTGCTTCTTGTCAGTGCCACATTTAAACGACGTTTGTCCATTAAAAAACCTATTTTATTCTCCTTGTTACTTCTAACACATGAGAAAATGATAAAATTCTTTTCATGTCCTTGATATGAATCAACGGTAGCCACTTGTAACCCATTAATAATATTAACCGTATGAGATTGAATTCCATTAATAGTGCTTAGTAGACCATTGTCCTTCTTTTCGCTAAATTTGTCTTCTTCTATCTCTTGCACCATAGCCAAACCCTTCGGATTAATGACCATATCTTCAACAAGACGAGACGATATATAATCTCTTTGTGCAGAGTATGGTGTGACAACACCAATATCCTCTAGCGAAACATGTTTCTCGTCCAATAGTTTATAAATTACACTAATAATAATGTCACATTCATATGTATTGATATATGTGTAACCTTGCAAACGAAAACTGTTACTAACAACGTTATCACCCCTATTCATAGAGTCATTTGTAACTTTGGTCTCTGATCCTTTCCTACAACTAATAAAATATAATGGATACTTAATACCATCCCAACTCTTGTCTGTCTTGGTGACACCATTTTGTAATTTGTTGTCATAGATATGAGCAATTGGGAATTCACTGACTTGTGGATGCATACGGTACTGCGTGTTCAACATTTTTGGTTCCTCATACGATCCATTTTTAAGAATTCTTTCAAAAAGTGACATCTCTAATTGTAATACATTACTGAAACTTGATAATTGCTTGTCATCACCAACAAACACAAATTTCTTAATCCCTGGCAGAGATAAAGGCACTAAGGTAGAGACTTCTGATGATTGTGTAGATTCATCCATAATTACCACTGGTAATTCTTTAATGACTTTCAATTGACGTCCTCCAGCGGTCATGTTTGTAGTTAAGATAACTTGAGCGCGGCATACATGAGCTGTGATATATTTAGTGACATTTTCATACAGTTTCCTGTCTGCGTTCGCACTAAGAATCTCACCTCTTTGTTTTGCTAAATAATTATTTCTAACATCATCTGGTAAATCCCGCATAATCAAATTATGTAAACATACTGATCCCAATGGATGGTCCATTGCATATTCTGATTCTTTTCGATCTGATAAAATCCTTAGAATCTTTATATCTGGTTTAGATTCCATCAATTTTTCTGCAATGTTATCAATTGCAATATTAGAGGCTGCCACACAAAGAATAGGATATGTATGTAAGTTCTCTATCAGCTGAACAATAATTTCCTCAATAGTGGATGTCTTACCAGTACCAGGAGGACCTTGTATTACTGTGACACTATTATTCAATACAGTTTCAACAGCATCCTTTTGAGATTCATTCAATGTATCTCTACTAAATTTTAACCTATTATTAAACTTAATCTGTTTAATCTTTTCATTACCCAATAATAACTGAATAAATTTAGGATTAGTTAATCTAGTCATAGAAAATAAAATTCTATTTGTTTGTACCGAGGTAGGAAGTATCATTAAATCATCACTACCTAAAGTTGTAGGTAACACTAATTTATTCCATGGAAATAATTCTACTAAAACATGATACTCTTTACGTACTTTAGCCACTTCTTTAATAAAACAATACCATACTTGAGTGTCATCATATTTATTGACTAGCATTAACGGTTGCATCTGGTTAAATGGAATACGACCTGCTTTCAACAAATGGGGAGCTAGGACATATTGTAATTCTGGATTATTTGTGGACGTTTTAAAAACAAAAACACTTTCCTTTTTGTCTAAAGGCCACATGATCTTAATATCTTTCATAAAAGAAGATTCTAGTCTTTCTTCTTGAAAAAGAGCATAAGAAAATGTATCACAATAAGTTTTCATATCCGGGTATGCTAAAACGGGCTTGAATTTTTCATACGCTCTTAAATGAGTACCTTCTTCAATACTATTTCCACTGTATTGTGATTCAGTGCTTTTATTCTCTACGGCATGATAATTGTTATTCTCGTCCTCTTTCTTCTTCTTTTTATCTTCTTTCTTCATCACCTTTTTTGTAAAGGCCTCTTTAACTTCCAAATGCGAAGATACCTCGGCACCCTTGAATGAATCATCCCAGCCAGTTGACCATGTTTTGGATTGGAATGTTTGTTCATTATTTTTCTTATTCCTTAAATTTCCTTCTTCCCCAGATTCACTCGTGTTGTTATTTAATTCAACCACTGTTCCAATTAAATTATTGCTCCATCCATTTGACCATGATGTAGATGCAACTTGACTTTTACTTTCTTTTCTACTCATTATACTATTTCCTCTATTTGATTGTATGGTATTATTATCATTTGGAAAATTGGTCTTAGCTTTCTCCTTAACGGATCGTAATTTGTTATTGTTACTTTTTAAGGCAACTTTTTGCATGTTTTTATTCTTTTTGTTAGATGACTTGTTCAACTTTGTTTGTTTAGAATTGGATGCTGTCTGAAATTGTTTCTTTATGGTATTTTTCTCGCTTGTTTTATTTTTCTGCTTCTTCCTATCGTTCTGTTTTGTAGTAATTGAATCATTTTTTAAACTAATAGTACTAACATCTTTTTTACTAGATTCTTTTTCTAATCGAGATAAATTAGGAGTAGATTGAATTTTATCAACACCATTTGTCATATTATTTCCTTCCGGTTTCTTGAAAACGAAGGATAAAGTTTTATTCTTATTGTCATTATCTTTATTACTATTAGTATTAGTACCATTACTTAAAGAAATAGACTCTATTTTTATAGTCAAACTTTGTAAATTACTCTCTGAATTAATTGCTTTAAAACCTTTAAATGAGCTCAACTTTACATCAGAGGCACTAATAATTTTGGAATTTTCTCTTTTATTAGAGAACGCCTCTTTGGTCATCTTCTGCATTAAAGTCATCGGCTTCGGTACTTTTTTAGAAGAGATCTTACTCTTTGTGTTACGTTTATTTTTTGAACGTCTTTTACCCCCACGCAAACTTTTCCTTTTTCTATTTAGTTTCTTTAATTTATTGGATGGTTCAGGAATGTTTAATAGATGATAAATGAATTTATGTGAATCTTCCGATATAAAGTAATCTCTTTCATTTTTAGGTAATTTATTCACACAATTATCACAAAAGACTGAAGGATGTGTATTAAGCGTGTTATTTTTACTCTTACTACTATTTTTGATTTGATTCATTTTCTTAACATTCATCTTTAATTCATCATCCCCACATTTCAAACAGTAACAATCTCTGAAAATTTTGAATTTAATCCAAAAGGAAAGCAAAGCACCATTATTTAATGAATAAGATACCATGGTTTGTTTCATATCTTGATCAATTTTGTCTTCATTGTTCAATAACTTACTGAGACAAGACTTACAATAAATATCCATATCATCGCCGCCAAACCTGATAATTTCCAATTGATGAACATTATTGTTATCCTTACATTCCTCACAGCATAATTCTTCAGGGTTTTGTGGATCAGATATATCAATGACCGTTTTATGCCTGGTTGTAGATAAATGCTTCATTAATTGGTCAGCGGAACCCTTTTCATGACACGTTTTACATTCAAATTGTGAATCATCCATTTAATATATTTAGCTTAGATCAAAAACAAAAACAAAAACAATAATAATGGTATTTAATGGAATAATTATATTTCTCGAAGATTAACCACTGAAAACTATTTTTTTTAATAATCTATCTATTTATTTAGCTATCTAGCAATCAGTTTACCAGTCAATAAATATGCATATATTGTTATTTACTGACTAATATTATTTTATTTACAAGTTGCAAACTTGCTGTTTTGTTACATGTCAATTCTTTGTCGTTATATACTCGCATCTGCTTTTCGATGTATTCTTTTTTCGACATATATTAAATTATTCAATTATTCAATATGAAAACAATACAGAAAAAAAGCAACTGCAGTTCGAACCTCGACAAGACACAAAAATCAGTAAGAAAAGGTTAAAATTAATACTTGAAGTGATATAAGAAGAGCTTAACATATGTTGTTACATGTGTACTAAAACTGATAAATTTAAATAAATACTTTTTTAATTAACATATTATAATACCCAATAGAAATTGAATACTACTATTGATATTTATTACCTATTTTATTTCTTATAAACTTTAAAACAAACCAACACAAACTATTTATTATGAAAAAACCTTCCTTATTTGATCTAACATAAAAGTTGTTATGTTTTATCTTGCCCTGGTTACTTCTTAATTCTTGGTTTTGAAAATGGAAAGTGTCAAAAATGTAATAATCAAACCTTACTATTTATAATTGTTAGCTTCTCATACATATACATATTTTTTGTTTGAAGATCTATTTTTTTTTTTTTTTTTTTTTGATTTACTGTTTAGCATTTAACTCCGGGCCCTCAGAAAAGATACTTACAATTTAAAATAAGACTAGTAATATTATATCGATAGATTGTGCCTTTTTTTCGTGACAGCTTACCCTAACCTTTTCAAAATTTAGTTACATGATCAAGAATGAATGATTGTAAAAAACTTAGAATAATGTTTTGGACACACACACGCACATATACATATATAGACATATATAGCAAGAGTGAAAGTGAGAAAGAAAGTAAAGCATAAATAAGGTTCACCTTATTTTTTCTCATTTATTTTTATGGGTTCAAATTCACAACAACAGTACCATTCATAACAATTAACATGTCTGCTTTTTCAAATAAATCGTTCAACACTATTGGATATTTTCTTAGTCGTCCAGATTATCCTGAATCGTTTTATGAAATATTGAAAAATTATCATGAAATCAATCAATTGAATAAGAAAATTGGACAAAGTGTATTGGATATTGGTTGCGGACCAGGCACAGCCACTTTTCAACTGTCACAATACTTAAATGAAAGGCTACATGAAAACGGGGACTTACCATACAAACACTTTCTTGGTACCGATATATCTTCAGTGATGATTCAAAAAGCCAATAATGAATTACAGAAAAGACAAGTAACAACAAACATCAATCCAAACCTAGACATAAAATTTGATGTTTGTTCATATGATAATGTCGATCAATCGAACTACGTCTCATATAAGTTTGATTTAATTACTGCAGCTCAGTGTGTTCATTGGTTTGACTTTGATACTTTTCAAAAAGTTGTATACGATGATCTATTAGCACCTGGTGGAACCCTTGCCATTTGGGGGTATGTTGACGCCATTTTGATTGATTATCCAGATTTGGATGATATTACTATTGATATTGCGTATGCAGATAATCAATTGGGACCATATTGGCAGCAACCCGGTAGAAATATCTTACGTAATCTGTTAAATGACTTTAAATTAGACCCAAATAAATTTGATAATATCAAGGAATCATATTTTAATGCAAGGAATTTTAGAAAGAACAAACAAATATTTAACAATAATAATATTTTAAAAATTTGCAAGACTTGCACTTTACAACAGTATGAAAACTACTTAAAGACTTTTAGTGCATATAGTTCATGGAAATTAGACCCACAGAAAACTAACGAATCCGATCCATGTGAAACTTATATTGATGAAATAATCAAAAGACACCCTGAACTATCTAGAAATTCTATAGTAAATTTAGTTTGGAATACATTTTATAAATTTGCAACAAGGAAAGAATAAACACCGAATGTCCAAGAAGATAGCAATGATAAAACATAATTCATCTTGTTCTATTCTTTATTAACAATTCACACCTTAATACCCCCGTGTATTCACATACCTCACCTATATATATAGTATATTATTAATCATTTTCCTTTTACGGTAATTTTCTTATCTAAAAATCATTATAACACCCGATTTTTTTTTGGGTGTCACAAATGCTAAATGGATGTGAAAGGTTATATCCATAAAAAAAAAATGGCTTATTATTCTAATACAACATGTGCTTAATTAAAGAATTAGTAAATGTAGAATTTGGAAATCACGTCATTATTTGCAATATCTTACTAGAAGTTTTTGCACAAAATGTTTTATAAAACAAACTGTGCCCCTGCGTATATATTTTTCTAAAAAATTTATAACAACCCTATCATCTCGTTACAAAAAAAAATAATGGAAGAAATGTCTAAAATAGAGTCATTGTTATTTAGTTGTCATGATACCGTTTATTTAGTTTAGACTATATATGAAATTCATATAAATTAAAAGGTTCACAAATTTCTTCTACAAACCCTAACTCCATATAGCTATAGCTATTGGAAAATCACCGAATATTATCTTTCAACCCGGTTTATGCTGCGTTGGTGTTATATATTGCATCTTATTTTCTAACTTGTAACTTTTGTTCCTAAATTTTCTTTAATGAGCTATCATTTCTCTAATGTCAAAAAATAATTTTTTATTCTAACAATAAAGCAGCTTGTATATTTTTAGACTTCTTTAAAGGTGCATTTGTTTGCAGAGAAATAACAAAAGATAGAGGTTTATACTTTTCTACATAGAATGCTTCCGATGAAGAATTGAGCTATTAGTAACCTTTTCCTCTTTTTTTTTTTGTTATTTCTTTTGACATACTATTAAATTATACATTTTTTTATTTCAATAATATTTATTTTAATATTTATTTGGAACTAGTTGTCGTTGATTTAAATATTTTAGCTAAACTTAGTCTTTGTTCTGACCTGCGACAACCCATTTTATCTTATTGTTGTATATATAACTATTAGATAGAATGTAAACTACATATTAATATCAGTGTTTTTAATACTCTACTATTTTTTTGTTAAAACAGAAGTAGAACAAGAAGTACAGTGAAGCAATTTTTCAAGATTCATTCTAGACCAAATGACAATTATTTATATTCAAAGTAAACAAAATTTACTTGAAACTATATCTTCTTTGCAAAAAAAAACAAGGAAATTTTTTAATACTCCTTTATTTTTATAATGAAAATAATAAATTATCTCATTCAATTAGCAATTTCATCATAGAATCAAATACAGGGGTTAACAAATTTATTTTTCTTCTTGTAAATATGGAATATCCTCTGAATAAAGATATTTTGGAGATGTTTAATATTTCATTTGTACCATATGGCATTTTGTCAAGGGATGGTTATATCTTACAAAAATTTTATGGATCAGATCTAATACATTTCTTACGAAATCTGGACGAATGCACTTCTACAATCTATAGTGACCTATATATTAATAATAGGTCAATAAAAATTAAGAAACAAGAAAACAAAACTCTGCAAAGAAGTAATCAAACTTTTAATAACGATACTTTATATGATGGAAAATTGTTGGGAATGAGCGCCTTTATTCATTGGATATATAGTAAACATTCTCAATATTATATTAAACAGATTTAGTATACAAAATTATAATAAAGTTCTTCACTTTCTTTCTCTATATACAACATAGAAATAATAATATAGAAAGATTGTAAATAAGATAAAAATAATGTATGATGAAATCCTTGGCTTTATATATGTTAACATTCAGCCATTTTCCTCTACGAACAGTAAGATATTTAATAAATAAACTCAACAACTTTTGGTGACCTCTCAACAATTATTACTCAACAATTTATCGTTTAGTGTCTGCTAAAATCTTATTGTTCTATCTATTTTATCATAGAACATTCTATTTCAACAAAAATACTATTCAGATACAGATACTTTAATAAATGAACTAGATGAAAAACTCGAAAGATTAGTTAACAGTGTGCCTGTTATGATATTTATAAAAGGCACACCTGATGAACCTAAATGTAGATATTCAAGAGATTTAATTGACTTGTTAAGAAAAAATCATATCAGATTTGGATTTTTTAACGTCTTAAGAAATCCCTTTTTTAAGGAAGAATTAAAAAGATTTGCGGATTGGCCCACTTTCCCACTAGTTTATCTTAATGGAGAGTTTCAAGGCGGATTAGATATTATTATAGAAAAATTAGATGAAGATCCAATGTATTTTCAAAAAAAAATATGACATAGTTAAATTTTATTTTCGATTTATTACTTAACCCTATATCTACTTTTTTATTGTTTTAGTTTATTTCATTTCACGTATATATATATATATATATATAGATGAAGTTGGCAGTTACCATTATTTTCTTAATGAATGTGTGAAGAATTAATTTATTAAGATGTATTAATTTTGATTAATTAATCGATTCCATAGTTATTATTTATGCATTACTTTTGATTTTTGCATCAGAATAAATTTTCTAAATCCGAATCTGACAACATATCCTCCTCATTATCATCATTAATTGATTCTGAATGACTTGCAGCACCCAAAAGTTCACACCCCTTCTTAGGCTTCTGTTGTGACAAAATTTCATATATTTTACTTTCGTCCTCATCATCCAACAAACTCTCTAAATCTTCTTGTTCACTATCTACTAATGAATCATCAAGATAATCTTCATTATAAAGATCATTTTTATGGGCATCACTTTCAAACATATTTTTTTGCTCCCATCTTTGTATCAATACTTGTAGTTTTTCGTCTCTTTTTCGAAGTAAGTTATTAATATTTCTCTCTATCTCATGTTTTATATCTTCCTCTGATTTAATGTTTTTTGAAGAATTATAATTAAATTTAAACAAACCACCTATTCTTTCTAAAAGATCAATCTTATCCTCAACATCCTCAATATTCTCTATATTAGATATTATTCCATTCTTATTTTCATTATTCTTGTCAATTTTACCTGATCCTTTCAAATAATATTGGATTGCCTTCATTCTATAATCATATTGTTTCCGTATCAATGGAGAATAATATCCTAAATACAAAACAATGTCTTTCATTAACACAGATTCATTATATTTATAAAACGACACGTTTTGATAATCAGTAGATTCCACCTTAACCTGTTGTTGTTTTTGGTAACATTTCCAATCTCTTGGGAACATAAAATCCCCATGTACTCTGTCATTCCCTCCGTTTGGTTTACATTTTATATTTCTAGAATAGCTGTTAAATTGATTTCTTATTTTGCGTATCATATATTCTAAACCTTCCAGACTGCATGAACCATAGAAAAGAGAGTCATTTTCACTTAAAGACATTACTATTTCAGAAGCAACTTCTATTGGAAATTGGCCTTTATTAAAAGAACCGTAATTTTCTAATAGCCCTAATTTAAAATTATCATTGAAGGATGTGGAACTGTTATTGTTATGAATTTTATTATTATTGATACTGCTACTAATAGTATTGTGACTATAACTACTATTATGCAAAAGTTTGTTTATCATTTCATTATCATCAATCAAATTTCCCACTTTATCATGAGACCCATATATAATCTTACCAATACTATGAAAGAAGGAAATTGATTCATTTCTTATATATACACTATTATCAACAGTCTTTATGTCACCTTTTGAAGTTGCCCAAAATTGAAATGATGATATCATTGATCTTATGTCACCATTGTTTGATTCCAATAAAGTTTGAATATATTGGTCTTTTAAACCCCATTTATTATTTTCTTTTAACATTAACTGTTCGTTCAAAGCAATTATATTTAATAATTTTTTCATTAAAGTGTTATTAACCGGATTAAACTTTATTCTTTTCAACCTAGGGTGATTTAAGATTTCTCTACTGAATATGGTCTCTGCATTATATGTATTAGTAATATTAATATTATGACCTTCATTTGCTATCTCACATTCGGTAAGACATATTATTAGTGGTGGTAATCTATGATTATTAACAGATGATAACCAATCTTTAATAATAGATTGAAATTGTAACCTTGTTTCTAAATGGAATACATTCGGCAAATCTTCCACTAACAATATAGACAAATTATATATCCCATTAAAATATTTAGATCTTTGCAAAAAATCATTAAAAGATTCAACATGATTCAATTCATTTAATTCTAGAGAATTTTCATATTCAATAACATAATTCTGACGAAATCGACTGTTTTCATTAGTATTGTTGTTGATAACATCCAGGTTTTCATTTCTATGTTTATATCTATATAAAGGTACCAATTTTTCACTTAATATTTTAATCAAGGTGCTTTTACCACAACCGCTTGGCCCAGTTAACAACATAATTCTTATATCTTCATTATAATTTGAAAGCATATCTGAAAGTACTTGCTCTACATCCTTTATTTTCTTTTTATGAACGGAGACCTCATCAATAATTATTGGTGAATATTTATCATACCATTGTAAAGAATTGTCATATGTACCATTTTCTTTATCATATATATTGGAACCATATACATTCTTATTTTGACTAATCGTTTTTTGATAACTATTATTACTCCCACTATCCATCTTAGTGTTGCTATTAAGAAGTGATTTTTCACGTTCGTTTTGAGTAGATTGTACTGATTCCCATAATTTAGTTTGAGATTCTAGAAAACTGGAAGAACTTCTAAATAAAGAACTCATTTTTTATCATACTATGTCTATTCCTATATAACTGCAGACAACAAAAGAGATTTGATGAGTGACAGATGAGAGATCAAATAAATACTTCTCTTACATAAAACAAACCATTAATTATTTGAATGTTACCTTCAAATGCATTACTTTCTAATTTAGACTTCACCTACTCTAATCAAATTATATATAAGTTAAGAACTGATTGCACTAACTAATTGAACAGCTGTAATCCTAGTAATTCGGACTAATCGTTTCTTGTTCTGACACGTACAATAGTAAAGATATAATCTCTTTTTCACTTGCATCAGTTCTGTTATTCTACTTCTTTGGGTATCTATCTATTTACAGATTTGTAATAAATTTTTCAGATCTGTTAAAAAAAATATTTCAATGTAATTGAAGAGAGAAGAGACCATACAGTGTACAAACAAAACTTGAAACGCCACTTTGTATACATTGCACAATTACTAAAGTGTATGAATAGCATATAATTTTGCATGGGTTTAGTTAGTTAATGTGATATTACATTCAAAAAGAAAAAAAACAAAATAAGAATTATTTGAACAAATTTTGGAATATTCAGTAGTAAAACCCAGAAATACCAATCAAACCAACAGAGTAATTGTAAAAGCCAAGTTGAGTGTATTTTCCATTCTATTTCTACATATTCTATTCCCCAGTTGTTTAGTATTACTAATATCAATTATTAACTATGTCTGCATTAAATAATGATAAGAATTCTAGAGAAAAAAGGATCAAAGAAATTTATAGACATGATGAAATGTCAAATAAAGTTCTTCAAGTGGATAAAAGATTACAGAGTTTTGAATCAGATCCATTGAATGATGCAGAATTGTCTAAGCCAACATCAATGTATGGGAAAGTTAAATTAAGTGATATGGGAAAAAATGTTAATAAGCAAATAGACACTGAAGAAATTGATAATATTAAAAGACAAATTCAAAATAAAGATATTTCTTTGAGCAACCATAATGATAACCAGAACAAAACAGCCACTAATATTATTAGCGATAAGACTATTTTGGAAATGGATAACGTCTCAACATTGAAATACTACCCAAGTGATAGCTATAATAGTGAAATATATGAAAAAATACTGAAATGGACTATGGAATTACTAGGAAATGACATCCCACACGATATTATCTTAGAAACATCAGATATCTTGATATATAATTTAAAAGATCAATCAAATAAAAATGGTAATAAAATCGACACAAACGTACAAGTACAACAAAATATTGAAAATGATTTAGGTGTATCTATTGATACAAAGAGATTTACAGATTTAATCAAACTGACAAATATGATTACCGATTATGACTTAAACACAAAATATAATACTATTTCAAAACAGTATGATAATACTATAATAAAGACAAATTCACTTAGTGATGAGGATGTTGAGGAAAATCAGAATGATATAGAGGATCTGAATACTTTAGAACAAGAATTACTTATAGAAGAAGCAGAAGGCGAAGGGGAAGAAGCAAATTTATCGAATATCGTGAATAACAATAACTCTACAATAATTAAAGAAAATATCTTAGACACAAAGTTATTACCAAATAAAGAGGAAGTTATAATTGAGTCAACTATGGAGAAAAATATTCTGCCAATAATCACCCTTATAAATAAAGATTACATCAAAAGAAGAATACAACTAGATTTTAATCAGAGAGAATCAACACTCCTTAACAATATATTTAATAAAATTATTAAATTGTTAAAGTCTACTCAACATGATAAAAAACAATTTATTGAAAAAATCGAAACTATATTAGACCATAATAAACATCCTAATTTAATTAAATTCTTTTCTAAAAATTATCATAAATTATCTTGGGGGGTAATTCTATCAGAAGTGAAACCTTCAGATCTAAATAATGTATTTGAAAGAATGAAATTGAATAATTGTCAGGACCTTTTAGAGGAGTATCTTTCAAATAAAGACGTTGGTAATAATTTGTCAATGAAAAGGTCATTGGAAGAAAAAGATGATGAAAATGAAATAAATGAGCAACATCAAGGACAGAAGAAAATATTGCTAAAGAAGCAAATACTTCCTCCGATAGTAGATCTTGATGCAATTAAATTTAATCAGAATTTAAATATTTTAAATATTGATAAAGTTAATCTCCCAGAGGGTTCCTTTAAAAAAGTTAAAGACAATTATGATGAAATTCACATTCCAGCACCAAAGAAACCATCTGCTAATTTTTCATTAATATCTATATCAGAATTACCAGATTGGGCCCAAGAAGCTTTCCCCTCTAAGGAAACTGTAACTCTTAATCAAATTCAATCAAAAGTTTATCCTCGAGTATTTGAGAATGATTCTAATCTTTTGTTATGTGCTCCTACTGGTGGTGGGAAAACTAATGTGGCTATTTTAGGTATTTTACGCGCATTATCTCATTTTCATAATAATTACACCAATAAGTTTAACCTCTCTAGTTTTAAGGTAGTCTACATTGCTCCATTAAAAGCGTTAGTCCAAGAGCAAGTGAGGGAATTTCAAAGAAGGTTGTCATATTTAGGTATTAAGGTATCAGAATTAACGGGTGATTCTCGATTAAATAAGTATGAAATTGCTCAGTCACATATTCTGGTGTCAACTCCAGAAAAATGGGATGTTGTAACTAGAAAGATGGACGATTCATCATTTGTCCTTGACATTAGTTTGATAATTATTGATGAAATACATCTTCTTCACGATATCAGAGGTCCTGTTTTAGAAAATATTGTTTCTAGAACATTATATTCTCGATATTGGTTAAACATTCCTAGATTAATTGCATTATCTGCAACATTACCAAATTATACCGATGTTGCCAAATTTTTAAGAGTCCCTGATGACTTTATCTTTTATTTTGATTCTTCTTATAGACCATGTCCGTTGACCCAACAATTTTGTGGTATTCGTGAACAAAGTGCCTTAAAAAGGATGGCAGCTATGAATGATGCATGCTACGATAAAGTTTTTGAATCTTTATCTAATAATAATCAAGTGATTATTTTTGTTCATTCTAGAAAGGATACTGTACGCACAGCTACTTGGTTGAAAAATAAATTTCTACAAACTGATAATATCAATAAGATGAAACCGCAAGAAGCTGGTTCCAAAGAAATTTTATTATCTGAAAGTAAAAACGTTAAAGATCCAACTTTAGGAAAATTGTTTGAATATGGAATTGGTATTCATCATGCAGGATTGACCAGAGAGGATAGGTCATTATCCGAGGATTTGTTTGCTGACGGTCTATTAAGAGTATTGGTATCAACTGCCACTTTAGCATGGGGTGTCAATTTACCTGCACACACAGTTATTATTAAAGGTACTGATGTGTATTCTCCTGAAAAAGGTACATGGGAACAACTTTCACCACAAGATATTTTACAGATGTTAGGAAGAGCCGGTAGACCTAGATATGACACTCATGGTGAAGGTATCATTATAACTAAACAATCTGATTTACAATATTATTTAGCAATTCTTAATCAACAATTACCAATCGAATCACAGTTAATGTCAAGATTAGATGATAGTGTGAATGCGGAAATAGTTCTGGGAAATATTAAATCAAGGGAAGATGCAATAATATGGCTAACCTATACATATTTGTATATTAGAATGCTTGTGTCTCCTACCTTGTATAAGGTTGACACATTTGGAAATTCTGATGAGCCAACTCTTTCATCATTTAGAGCATCCATTGCGCATAGTGTCCTGACTAAATTACGAGATCAACAATTAATTATATATAATGAGGAAGATGGTTCCGTAGAACCTACAGAACTTGGCCGTATCGCATCTTACTTCTATATTAAACCTGAATCAATAACTATTTACAACAGGGAGTTAACTGATCGTAGTACTATTATAGATATGTTTAGAATATTTTCTCTTTCAGATGAATTTAAATACATATCTATTCGTCAAGAAGACAAAATTGAGTTACAAGAATTATATAACAAATGTCCAATACCTATTAAAGATAATATTACTCATCCAACTACTAAAGTGAATATATTATTACAAGCATACATTTCTCAATTAAAATTTGATGGATTTGCACTGAATGCTGACATGGTATTTATTCAACAAAATGCAGGACGATTAATAAGGGCTATGTTTGAATTATGCTTAAGGATGAAATGGTCTCAACCAAGTAAGGTACTGTTAAGTTTAGCAAAATCTATTACTTGGAAGATGTGGTCCACTAACACACCTTTAAGACAATTTAGAAAATGCCCTACAGAAGTGATAAAGCGTGCTGAATCAGCTATATTACCATGGACAAAGTATCTTGAATTTACTTCACCTTCAGAATTGGGCCAAGCTATACGAGTTGAGGGCTACGCAAAATTGGTATACGACTTAATTCAAAGATTTCCAACTGTAAAAATTAATTCAATAATCCAACCATTAACACCAAGTTTGTTAACATTTGAAATCCAAATTTTACCACATTGGATATGGGATGAAGGCATTCATGGAACAGGCGAAATTTTTTGGATATTTCTTGAGGATACAGATGGCAGGGAAATACTCTATGCCGATACAATTTTAATAAAGGAATCAGATATCGATATTGAACAGTCATTATCTTTCCATCTCCAAATATCACCCTCACAACAAAAACGGTTACCTCCTACAGTATATATAAGTGTTATCTCAGAAAGGTGGTGGCATTGTATATCACGGTCACCTATCGTATTAGAAACTATAAAGTTACCAAAAAAATTTCCGTTGGGCAGAGAACTTGACGATGTTGATAAAGTTATAGTAGATTCGTTAGGGTATAAAGAACTCAACGACATATTTAAAGGTATTACATTTAATGACATTGAGAAAGACGTTTTTCCTGTTTTATTTGAATCAAATGAAAATATTTTAATCGGTTGTCCTAGAGGATCTGGCAAGACAAATATGGCATTACTTGCGATATTAAACCATTGGAGACAAAATAAAGGTAGAGCTGTATATATCAGTACCTCTCAAGATCATATAAACAACAATTATGACCAATGGAATAAAAAAATAAGTCATATTGCTGGAGGGAAAACTATTAATAAATTAGGCGATAATTTAACATCTAATATAAAACTCTTAGCTCAAAGTCATTTGATATTAGCTACACCACAACAATTTGATGCCTTGTCACGTAACTGGAGAAAACGTAAGAATATCCAACGTATTGAATTATTCATCTTCGATAATATTAATGAAATTAGCCATGAATCTTTTGGATATCTATATGAAAATATGATTTCTAGAATTATTTTTATGTATTCTCATATTAGCAATGATATTAGGATTGTTGGACTTTCGTCATGTTTACCAAATGGTATTGATTTGGGTGATTGGATTGGTGTAAAGAAGGAAAATGTTTATAATTATATTCCAAATACCAGACTTAATCCAGTTGAAATTCATCTTAAGTCGTTTTCCAATATTAATCATTTACCATACACGCCAACTATGATACGTTATGCATTTGATAAAATGAAAAATAAGGCTCACTCAACACCATCAATTATATATTTGAATTCACGTAGAGATTGTGTTGAAATTGCTAAAAAAATTATAACTCTCTCTAAAATTTTTGGATGGAATATGTTAAAGACTGAAGGTGAACAGATTGAGAATTATGTCAACTCTCTAGTTGACAATGCATTGAAAACATGTTTGTTAAACGGTATTGGTATATTGTACACAGGGATAAATAAAAAAGATAGAAAGCTTATCCAAGATCTTTATAACCATGGTGTCTTCTCCATTCTTCTCATTACAAAAAATTTTTCATATGATGCACCCAAAGCAGATATGATAGTAGTTTTGGGTACAGAGTGTCTAGATTACAAAACAAATAAATATGTTAACTATCAAGCTGATGAAATTTCTGAGATTCTTGGTTGTGTTAGCTCTAATCATCATATAGCGGGAAAACTTTTTATTCTTACAAATGATTACCATAAAGCTTACTATCGCAAGTTTATTTCAGAACCTGCGCCAGTTGAAAGTTATTTATATTATTTCTTACATGATTCTTTCATTAATGAGATAAACAATATGGTAATCACCAACAAGCAAGATTGTCTTGATTGGTTAACTTATTCATATTTTTATAGAAGAATACATGCTAATCCTAGTTTCTATGGTGTTACTGATAATTCCTCTTATGGAATATCTGCATATTTAAGTGAATTAGTTGAAACTACAATTAATGATATGATTGATTTGAATTTAATACAAATAAAAGAAGCTAACCATGATGGAAATGCAGAAATAATATCCCCATTAAATGGATGTTTAATTGCCTCACATTATAGTGTATCTTTTTTTACAATGAACATTTTTGTTAAAACGTTGACAATTGATTCCACACTGAAGGATATCCTATTAGTTTTATCTTATGCTACAGAGTTTGAACCTATTCCTGTGGAGAAAGATGACATATTAAGGCTTTCTAGGATAGAAAAAATATTGCCATTACAATATCCTGATAGTAAAAGACTTAATATTGTTTCTTATAAAGTATTTATATTATTACAGGCGTATTTTTCTAGAATATCTCTATCAGTTGAATTTAAAAATGATTTAAGATTGATACTACGTAAAACAGAATCATTGATCAATGCCATGGTTGATATTTTATCAGGTGAAGGGTTTTTAAATGCAACTATAGCAATGGATCTTTCTCAAATGATCATGCAAGCTGTTTGGGATGTTGATTCACCATTGAAACAAATTCCATTTTTTACAGGAAATATATTGGAAAAATGCAAAGAATTAAAAGTTGAAACTGTATATGATGTAATGGCTCTAGAAGATAAAGATCGCGAATATATCATGACAGTATCTGATGAAAAGTTAATTAAATTGGCTGACTTTATAAACAATTACCCTAATATCGAAATGGACTACACTATAGAACATAGTAAATTTAAAACTGATGAACAAATTATGGTGCATATCACTCTAAGAAGAGACGACGAGCCAGAAACATTGATTGTAACTTCTGAATATTATCCTTATGAGAAAATTGAAAGATGGTGGATTGTCATAGGTGATAGTTCTAAACGTGAGTTATATGCTCTTAAGAAAGTTACATTATCAACAGAAGCTCAACAATATGATATACCATTTGAACTTTCCAAAGTAGGAAAACATGATTTGACTATTTGGTGTGTATGTGACTCATATCAAGATGCTGATAAAGAAGCTTCATTCTTTATAGAAATTATATAGTTTAACCATGAGATAAATTTATTTCAACATGTTAGATTTTAAGTATTATTTTGGAGTTAAATAGCTTCAACTTTTCGTCTATCAAGTAGAGAAAAACTGTTCAAGAATTGGTCAAATCCAAATTACGTTAATAAGAAATAGTCATTGCTATTCGTACAAATATGTAATCTTAACACTTGGTACGTATCTATGTATAATTATGTATTTAAGTATTTACTAATTTGTCATTTGAAGATCTCCATTCATATCAATGACATCTTCTACTTTATTTTCAGTTCCTGACTGTTTTTTTTTCTGATATGCCAAAAGATCATCTAGATTCCAAACAGAGACACCTTCTTGGTCTTTCGGATCCGTTGGTTGAGCCATTGTTCTTAAGAATTGCTTAGCGTTAGAGATAGCCATATCAGTTGATAAATTTAAATCGGCGTCCGAAAGCCCTTGTGCAATCCATTTGGGTAATTGTGATTTTTTCCTAGAGAATCTACGATCTGCTAAAACCATCACACCATAATCATCCTTCCCTCTGAGAACTCGCCCTAAACATTGTGCTGCATGTCTCATTGCATCAAAAGAAAGAAAATCGTTTTCTCTGATTTGATAATTTTCTCTTAAAAACTCTAAACGAGCCTTTAAAATACGAGATTCTGTATATTGGAATGGAATACCTATCATCAGGACAGTTCTACCATACTGTTGATCAAAATCAATACCTTCAGAAACTTTCCCTCTTGCCACGGATAATAGGATTGCTCCACGTCCATTAGAACATGCCTTTCTATAGGTTTCTAAAGCTAAAGATGTTTCCTGTGCATCAGGAGTTTCAACCAGAATCAGTTTATGTTTCCAAACTTCATCTAATATACCCATAGTCTGCCACATAGACACGATACTTTCCATGTATAAATATGATGGGAAGAAAACAACCATACCATCTGGTGTAATTTTAGCGAATTCCACTAACATGGAACCATAATTACGGACTATACTTGGATCATTTCTAATTTCAAATCTGGAAGATATGGCAACTTGGTCTGAGCCCTTTGTTACAATCATTGGTAAGAATGATTTTTTTGCTAAAGTCATTGCATAGGATTTTTGTAACACAGTATCGAAATTTAACATTCTTGGATACATATCTAATGGTGAGATAGTACCAGAGGTGATAATAACCGAGGAGAATGTTTCAAATACAGGTTTAATCGCAATTGATGCATCTAGACAAGTGAAACGCATAATTGGATTGGGAACAGCTGCATTTTCAATTTCGTAGGGTTCTATAATTAACAGGAAACCATTTTCATATGTAGATATTAATGTGGCAAAAGTTGCAATTTCTTTCAATGCAGTAAAATCCTCCACTTCAGCTACTTCCAAAGTTCTTACAAGTAAAGAAAGACGTTCTGCACAAAATCTTAGAGGCTTTCTATCAATAAATGTTAATTGTTTCAAATGTTGTAAAAACGATTTGGGTGTTTCGGAGATAACGTGCAACACTTTCATTCTTGTTTTAATATACTCAATAAATCTTTTTAAGAAAGATATAAAATGTTCAGCTCTACGAATATTCCCAGGTACCGCTTCTCTCAATAAATCTTGTGGTAACACTGGAGTCTCTACGAATTGCTCTTCTTGTTCTGTGATGATATCTGCAGTATGTAAACCCTTCACTAACTTATCATATTCATCTTGTAATTTAGCTGCATCGATTCTACGCACTTCGTCTATTTTCTCTTCTAAAGTTGTGGCACCTTTTGAAGCTCTTCTCAGTACATCATTAGTTAAATCTAAAGACAATGATTCTATGCAAACGTTATCTATATTGTGAGCTTCATCAAAAATCACAATACTATCTTTAGAGACCTCTTTGGAAACTCTTTCTGCGATTTTTGGATCTAGAAGATAGTGATAAGAATAAATAATGATATTACACATGGAGATCATTCTACGAACAATAAAATATGGACACAATTTTCTCTCCTCACAATATTTAATCAATTTTTCGAAAGAAAATACACCATTTGGTAAATAATTTTCGACTTCTAAGTTGTATAAATTTTCATGATATTCACATAATTCAACATCTGCATTAGGGTCAGCTTCCAATTTACGCTTGTTAACTCCGTTTGTTAATCTACGACATTTTTCATCGACTACTGTACCCTTTCTTTCCTTACTGACAACGGGGTGCAAGCAAAGATTTTTTCTTGAAGTTAAACCTAGACCTCTGAATTCTTCTCTATGACCCAATTCTTTGGTACGATATTCCATGAGATTTTCCAATTCTACTAACGCTTTTTCAATTTCTGACATGGTACGAGAACAATATATAATCTTTCTATGTTCAGGATAATGCATTTGGTAAGCAACAGTCAAAGATAACAAAGAGACAGTTTTACCTGTTCCTGAGGGCATTTCTAGGATACTATTACCACCTGCATCTAAAGTTTTTTTAATATCACACATATAGTGATATTGTTCAGGATAAATTTTGGGGTATGGAAATAAAACTGGTAAATCGTCAATATAGAATTTCATATTATATATTTGTGTGCTTTATGGATGGGTTATGATAAGGGATATAATGATAGTTAATAGGAAAGAAAGAAAGTAAAAAAATCAAATGGAAGTCTTAACAAATTTCAGAGATAAAATGATATTAATTACACACAAGCACATACATAGAGAAAGGGAGAGAGATCCAGTTTAATGAAATGGATTGAAACCTTTATTAGTGTGCTAGGTTAATGAAAATAAACCTACTAAATAAATAAAAAAAGACAGTAAAACTTGTAAAAAACAAAATACGCAAAAAGATGATATATAATCTTTGTATGTATATAAATTTCAAATTTCGATAGATCTTCTTTATATCTAACAGATATTTAAATGAATATAGATATATGTGTATATATGTACATGCTTTGTGTGAATACAGATGTATAACCCTGCACAAGTGTAAAATAGGATGGGTCTAACCGATCTTCTTTTTTTTTTTTTTTGATCAAGCTTTAATTCTTTTTTTATTTATGATCTTCAATAAATTTTCTTGGAAAAAAGAAAAGAAAAGAAAATGTTATTCTTGTAAAAAATTCAAATTTGGGTCTCCTGTGCACGTGACACTTCTAAAACAGTATCCAGCAAGAGAGGATAGATCTCATCAGATGAATCCCCAGAGATGACACTTAAAAGTCCTTTATTTTTGTAAAACTGTCTCAATGGGGCTATAGTGGCTTTGTATTCTCTTATTCTTGTTTGCATAGCCAATTTGTTATCATCAGAACGCCTAACTAGAGGTTCTCCAGTAATGTCATCTACTCCGGGAGTCTTAGGTGCGTTATAGGTATCATTATAGGTCCTTCCACTCTGCAAATGTACCCATCTTTCCTCAATTCTGGATAGGATAACACTCTCTGGAACGTCCAACTCTATAACTAAATTGATATCTTTGCCTAGTGGATTCAGATATTGAGACAAATTTTGTGCTTGGATCAATGTTCTGGGAAACCCATCGAGAATCCAACCGTCATTTAAAGTGGAAAGATGTTTAAAGACTAGTTTAGTGATCAGTTCATTGGGAACCAATTTCCCCTGTTTGATGAATTGTGCTGTTAAAGTACCAATTCTTGTGCCGTTTTTGATATGTTGACGTAGAATATCACCTGAGGAAATAGCTTTCAATTGAGGAAATTGTGCTAACAGTTTTGAAGTCTGAGTGCCCTTTCCGGCACCAGGAGGACCTAACAACAATAACCTCAGTTGATTCATTATTTATAACTAGTTAAAGATTTTTTTTTTCTTTTCTATCTCAAGTTTTTAGCTTGTAAACACACAATAATACTTCTTTTGCCTCGCCTTCTGTCTTCTTCCTTCACTCAAAAAAAAAAAAATAAAAACAAAAAGACTTCTCTTTAGTTGTCTGTGTGATAGTTGTTACATCGCATTGACATGAAATACGTTTGAACAATAAGCGTAATTACACTATCACTTTTATCATTTCCATTACATTTGAAATGTCATCTTGGTCGAGCAAAGTGTAGTTCCTCTAGTTCTTTCAGTTTTGGCCACAAAAGCTCGAGACTTGTAGTTGTGTAATTTCCATTATACAGTCTATTGTGTATTTTCTGGAAGATTTTCTTCCCTTGTTTTTATTTTTTTTGTTTCGTGTTTTCTTTTGTTTTTGTTTGTTGAGAAAAAGGGGAGGCGTTCTGGGACCATTCTGCATTTTTAATTCCAAGGGACATAAAAGAAAGAGAAAGCAATTAACTACAGACACAATGTTTAAGCTATTTAATCTACCTAACACAAAAACGAAAAAAATCAATTCTAATACAAAGCAAAACAAAAAACAAACAAACAAACAAGGCAATTGTAACTGAAAGAAAAAGAAAATAATATATATAATAAATAACATACATAATTATGTAACATCCATCCATGTATATTATTAATAATGTATTCTTAGAATAAATGCATTCAATTGGTTATTGGTGGACTGTTTATCTCATTTTTCTCACTTTCTTGTCGTACCATATCATGTCCAATACTTACATTGGGCATCGATGCTTCGATATTTGTTACAGATGCAGAGTAAGATGATGAGGACCCAGTCACTTTTACAGTTCTTGTCTCAGCAGTTGCTGGACTCTCATTATTTTGGCTATTTCCTGCAGTTTTAGCTGTTGAATTACTCTCTTCGTTATCAGTTGGAGTACATGGAATTTTCTTATTCAAATGTTGTAGAACATGATCCCTTCTTTTGAACTTCTTCCCACATTTAGGACAAGAGTATGGCTTTTCACCAGAGTGTACGGACTTCTTATGTCTTGTAAGATGATGTCCTGAAGAAAATTTTCTTTTACATTCTTGGCATATATACACTTTTCCAGATTCAGATACAATTACTTCTTCACGACTGAATCTTCCTGGTGGCGAAATAACCGAAGAACCCTTGACATTTGTCTTTTGACCATTTTTGACAATATCCTGCGATACAGATAAAGATGAATCTGTATTTTTCTTTGGACGTTTTCTACTAGATTGATTGTCACTATTTTTGTCGTATTGTCTTCTTATTGTTGCTGCTGTTGTTGTGTTAGTAGTAGCACTAGTAGTAGCTGTAGTAGATGAAAAACCAGATTCTAATCTATCACTGGCATTTGAATTGAATAAATTTGGATACACTGTTGAAACAGTAGGTGAAAGAAGTGAATCATCTTTATTCAACAAACTATTAGAACCAGGGCCGTTTGTATTCATAGGGTTAAGCATTGTAACAGGACTTCTTGAGCCTTCCCTTGATATATTTAATGTCACAATATTTGACGATTTTGTTCTTTTCAAAAATGGCATACTAGATGAACTCGTCGCCGTTATTTTCCCTGAATCACTATTAATATTACCAATACTATTACTGTTGTTAACATTACTGATAATATTGTTATTATTATTATTGTTGTTGTTGTTATTGTTATTAGAATTTTGGCTTGTTAATAAGTTGTTGAATGGTGATAAAGGTCTAAAAGTATTACTACTTTTTTGGGATAAAAATGATCTTAAGGGAGTCGGTCTCTTCATGTCATTAGAAATATTAGTAGGTGTTTTAGAAATGCTGATACCTTCTCTATTAGAAAACATTTTGCTTAAGGGAGAATTATTAATATCTATAGATGTATTTAACATGGGTTTCAAAGTCTTAGGTGAGGACCTTCCACTATTGGCCAAAGAAGTTAAACTCATTGCTAGCAGATTATCATCGTTATCATCAAAAGTGAACGGAATTGCACTATTTGGTCTATTTGGATTCATAGGATTTGGATGAATCAATTGATTATTGATTGTTGCATCATTTATCTGTCCGTTATTGTTATTGTTACTACTACTACTACTATTATTATTATTATTTAATAACTGATCCTTTAAAATCGATGGAGACAATGGTGATGGAGACATTATGGGATTGTTGATATTCGATATATGATTTTGCATGAATCTTTTGGGATCATTTATATTATCTTGAGACAAAAGAGATGGTCTTGGATGTTGTAATTGCAATTGTAATTGAGATAAAGATAGTACTCCTTGGAGTGGCTTCATATTAGAATTTGTTTGTTTATTAGTAGTAATGGTGGTGGGGGTGGGGGTGGGGGTGTTACTGGTAGCAGTAACACTAGATATATTAATATTAATATTATTAATATTATTATTATCTGTCGAATTAATTTTTTTCTTATTGAATTTCAATGTTGTGTCTTCCAAGGTTGGTTCAATGATATTTGAAAGGTCCATCATTTTAGCCAGAAACGGAGACGATACTCTACTGATGGAAGACTGATTTATTAAAGGGTCCATTGGAGCAGGGCTGGTTGATCTTAAAGAAACATTAGATTGTATAAGATTTTCTGTTTGGTTATTATTCAAAGGAGCCATGATAATACTGTTGCTGCTGTTATCTTCCTTTTTTATACTTTTTTTATATTTAGGATTTTTAACCCTATAATTATTGATTAGTTTCTGAACATTAATCTCCACTGAATCCCTTACGCAGTTACAAGATTTAGTGACGGGAGCGAAATGGTCCAGCCAATATTCATCGGCGAAATTGACTGCTTCTGCTAAGTTATACCCATAATTGAAACCTGCATGGTATCCATGAGGGAAAGTAATGATGAATTCTTTTTGGTAGTGGACGATTTTATTACAACGAATATTGTTGTCCCTTAGTAATTGTGGCGATACTAAGATGGTCTTATGTCTTAGATACTCATGGCAAGATTTGAATTCGTTTGGGAATTGCTCTTTTATGAAAGATTCGAATTTAGTCAGGTCTTCCTGAGGTATAGAATACCATTGTTTAGGGGAACCGAAGTGGATATAGTTGATTGAGTAAAGGTCCTGATCTTCCAAATGCCATGCGAACGTGGATTTCCATGCACCTGCGTAAAGGTAAGAATGATTTACACCGGGGATGTCTTTATCTATGAAATTTAATAGATTGGGCAGCATATTCAAGTTCCATATAGAGAAATCGTTTGGGAATAAAGAACCTGGGGTATCTGCGCCGTATATGGGCATTATAAAATTCAAAGTTTTCCAATAGTAGGCTTCTAAAAAATCTGTTCTTTCTTTGTCATGAAACTGAGCCAGATAAAGCAAGTCTTCATTATTTTGTTTAAAGGTTTCAAAATCCTTGTTGTTGTCATTGATATTGAGACATGTAGTGTTAGTTGTGGCAGCTATGGTGGCGTGGTTATATCTGGGGTTATTTGGTAGTTTGTAATCAGCTGATACGTTTTTCCATTGAATGATATTATAAATTTTTTTCTTTTCGATGTTCTGTATCATGTAAAGGCCTTTATTACCGGAGATATTTTGCTGGATGGGAGATTTTATTTTAATGTTTTGCAAAGACTGGAGATCCAAGTAGTGTTTATTTTTATCCAAGAGATCCAGCCATTTTTTAGGGGGTATGACTTTAATTATTCCGGATTTCATACCATAATGTCTTATGTGATCGATATATGATTCAAATGATTTAAATTCATCGAATGTAGGTTTGAAGATTGGAACACCGTCTATAATTTCTGTTGGTATGAAAGTCATGTTATTTTATCTTTTATTTTTTTTTTCTCACTTTTTTCTATTCTAGATAATAATTTAAGGAATATATCAGTTATGAGTAGGAATGAATGAACAGATGAATAAATAAATAAATAAATAAATAAATAAATAAATAAATAAATAAATAAATAAATGATTTATTGATTTATTAGTTAGTTGATATTGATATCGGAGGAGAAGAAAGAAAGAGTCCGAAGAATAATGATAATAATAAAAGGAATTAAGTTTTGATCAAAGATGGTTAAAACTGAAAACTGAAAATGAAAATGAAAATGTAATAACTAGTGTTTAGTGCTAGTGAGTCCTGTGCTATTAAGAAGCTTTGCTTGATTCTTCAGTTCTTTTGGGTCTTTTGGTTTTCTCTGTATATTTTTCTTTTGGTCTTCTGAAATGAAATAAAATGAAATAAAATAGAAAAGTGATTATGAGTGATAATAATAATAATTGATAATAAGGGGATCCAAGAAAAAAAAATAAAAAAAAAAAAAGAAAAAACGAAAACTCCCCTTTTACTTTTCTGTTTTTTTTTTTTATTTTTTTTTTTTATTTTACAGAAATGTTTTGTGAGCGCAGAGAAGAAGGAAAAAAAAAATTTTATTATTATTATTATTATTATTATTATTATTACGATTATTTTATTGTTTGTTTTATTATTTCGAGTGATGAGGGGGGCAAAAAGGGGAGGAAAACGGAAATTTAAGGGAGAAGAAGAGAAAAACAAATCGCAACAGTAGAAATAAAAAGAGGGGATGTTTGTTTGTTTTGCGTAGGGTTCAGGGCTGCCAGATAAAGATGTGTAGGGTTCGTAACTGTATACACATATATATATGTGTATATATATATATCAGAGACTTTGTGTGTCGCAATTACATGTCATCACCTATCTACCATCGCTTGTCTGTCGTGTGTTTGAGATAGCGAGGCCTGTTCCGCAATGTTTCGTAAAAGGGAGAGGAGATGGCGACGGTGATTCCTACCGTCGATGGTGGTAGCGCCTCTCTTGTTCTATTCTACTTGGTGTTTGTATCTTCTTTTTTTTCCTTCAACCCTAACTTTATTTGCTCTCTTTTTCCTTTTTTTTTTCTTCAAACCCAAACCCCCCAAAAAAATTATACAACTAGTATACAAATGTATATACATATATATATATATATTAATAATTTATGTTAATTTATCCGATGAGTGAAAAATTAAAAATTAAAAAAAAAAAAAAAAAGAAAAAAAGATATATTAAAACTTCGAGCCGGCAAAAATCATAATTGTTATCATCACTATATGTCATATCTGTCATTAGAAAATAATCGCTTTTAGCTTCTATATAACACAGAATTATTAACACTTGATTCAATATGTTCCCTTATATATTTTTACAATATACATACTATTATATTGTTTGTGTATAAAGAAAGGAAAAAAAACAAAAAAAAAAAGAAAACAAGAAGAAAATTAGACACTTTCGGATCTTTTTTTTTCCCCTTTCTTTCTCCATCTTATGCAAATAGATCTGAATGTTTAGTAGATCATTTGTAAACTTTGGTAGTAGTATCGGTGTTTTAACCAATTCATATAAACCCAGAATATATAGAATAATAACAACAACAACAACAACAAGGGAAAACAGAAGAACTATAACAATGTCTGAACCTTCACAGCACTATAAAGTTGCTGAAAGAATAGTGTTGAGTGAAACAGAATCTAAAATATGTGATCTTTTGAAAGATTACTGCAACTATTACAACAATACTAACAATTCCGCTGCTAGCAATGAAGCATTGGTGTTAAGAATCACCGGGGGTTGGGTTAGAGATAAACTTTTGGGTCAAGGATCTCATGATTTAGATATAGCTATAAATAAAATGTCTGGTGAACTCTTCGCTCACGGGCTAAACGACTATCTTCGCCAAAATTATTCAAAATACGGTATAAAACCTCATTCCATCCACAAAATCGATAAAAATCCTGAAAAATCTAAACATTTGGAAACAGCAACAACTAAACTGTTCGGCATCGAGGTTGACTTCGTTAATCTGAGATCCGAAGAGTACACAGAACTCTCAAGAATACCCATCGTAAACTTCGGTACCCCTGAACAAGACGCCTTGAGAAGAGACGCTACTCTAAACGCCCTATTCTACAACATCCAAACTGACTCCATCGAAGATTTCACAGGGAAAGGTTTGTCGGACTTGAAAAATGGAATCTTGAGAACCCCGCTCCCACCAAAACAAACTTTCCTGGATGACCCCCTGCGTGTCTTGAGGCTGATTAGATTTGCTTCAAGATTCAACTTCAAAATCGACCGCAATGTCTTGAAGGAAATGAGCGACCCAGAAATCAACAAATCCTTCAACTCAAAAATCTCTCGTGAGCGGATCGGTGTGGAGATGGAAAAGATCCTCTCCGGTCCAAACCCCTTGACTGCGTGGAAACTGATCCAAATCTCAAACTTGGAAAATGTTATCTTTTTTTGGCACTGTAATGAATCCGTCATCGAATTCAACAAAAGACAAAACTTCTCCAATGTTGACAAGATTGAAAAAGTTTATCGGTCAGGTCTATTGAACAAGCATATGTCTCGGTTCAACTCGCAATATCCCGCTTTTATTGAAGATGTATTGAAATCAAATCCCTCATTGCAAAATAAACTGTTGACTGATAAACAATTGAGACAAAATTTTATGCTTGGATCATCTTTGTTACCATTCCACGATATGAACATCATTGCATTTCCACAAAAGAAATTAAATAATACAGCCCCTGTTATTGAATGTATCATAAAGGATGGGCTAAAAATGAGTAAGAATGACGCTGCAGTGGTCTCGCAAGTGGCACAATCAATCTCAAAATATAGCTACATTGTAACTCTTTTCAATACTAATATCGGTAGTACTAATAGTGCTTCTGTTTTAAAAAGATCGCAAATTGGTCTTTTCATCAGGTCCTTTAAGGGTAACTGGATGTTAGTTCATTTAGTAGCTTTATTCAATGATCTTTTGAATTCAGATGGTTTACAAAAGATTAATCCTACTATCATTCAGGAATATGATAGTTTCTATAATATGATTCTACAAGAAAATTTACAAGACTGTCATTCATTAAGACCTTTGATTGATGGGAAATCCTTACAAAAGATACTTAACATGAAACCAGGTCCCTGGATGGGGAATATTAATGATAAACAAATAGAATGGCAATTCGATAATCCAACAGGTACAAAGGAGCAATTGATTAAATATATACAAAGAATTTTATCAAACTGCATTTAGACAAGATTTAATTTAATTTAATAATACAACTTCATTTCATGCATATCCACCCTTTTCCCTTTCTTTAATTTTATATTTAATATTACGTTATCGTTTATCATTACATAAAGAAAGTGTATAAATATATATTAATATTAAATTCTATATAAATTGATGTATGTATGTATGTATGTATATGTACAAATACATAACATGCTCAAGTGGTTCTATTTTGCATATTATCAAAAAAATAATTGGTCAATCTATCAATATCTTGGTGATTCATAGGCAAACTATTAAAATCATTCATATTATCATTACCAAAATTGTTAGTCATTGGAATTAAATCATTAAATTCATTAGCAATCAAATTGTTCTCATATAATTGGGAGTTTTGAATATTTGACTCGTCATGCACTAAATTTATGTTTTTGTTGTTATGGTTTGGAGATACAAGTAATGATGTAGCGTTGAGATCGTTGTTTATTGTGAGGTTTGTGACACTATTTGTACTAGTGTTATTGTTTGGTGCTTTAAGTACAGTAGAAGAAACAGAAGTTGTAGAAAAATTCTCAACTGACGTTGCTGTGGAATCCATTTGGTGTATAAATATTTGTTCATTGCCATTATGGTTCATAGCTTGGATTTTCACATCTTGGTTAGGATCTTTTGTCATACTAAGGTTTTTATCCTTGTTTTTATTTATTGAATTATCTTTATCATGTTCTTGTAAGAAAGCATCTGGATTTTCAAAATTAAATTCAAGATACAGTTGTTCTAATAATTGTTCATCATTTATTCCCGTCTCATTAAAATTATGATGACTAGCACTGCCACTATTATTATTATTATTATTATTATTATTATTATTATTGGTGCTGATTGATTCTGCCATAGATTCTTTAATATTATTATGTTTGTAATTATGATCTTCATTTAGATTATTAATCGTATGGAATAAATTGTTATTGCATATATCTCTGGAAAGTAGATGAGCAGTAGTCTTGTTGTCATTGATAAGAAAATTCTGAGGTATGGAATTGGTAGTGGTTGTGGAAGTAGTAGATAATATATTGGCCATAACAGATTCTGCACCACTACTATTAGCGTTACTATCAGTAAAATAGGAAAATGCATCAGTTCTCGATACATTTGAAGATTCTCCATTCTCTCTATCATTATGAAAATTCTCATTATTATCCGTGGTTTTGTAGGTACCGTTGTAATTATTTTTAGAAACAAAATTTGGTTCGTTATTGTTGGAAGAATTTAGTAAATTCATATTATTGTTCATATTGGCGTTTGTTGGTTCTTTTGATAGTGTCTTAACCAATGGTAATGATTCAGCAAAATCTGTTAATGCATCACTGATATCATTTGATTGTTTCCCCTGTTGAAAATGGTTGGTATAAGCTGTTTGCCTTGAAGAACTATTAATAGCATTTAGGTTATACAATTCAATACCACTAGGTGTAGACACTGTAGATAAGGAATTTGGTGGTTGTGTCAATGAGGGAGTTACATATGGTGGTGTCAATAACAAACCTGATGAAGTCATGGCAGTTTGAGAATTTGTATTTAAAGTGGTGTTTGGTGTGGTGACTGATGTTGTGGATGTGCTACGACTATAAGTTCCGTTACTAAAAGTGGAAATAAATTTATAATTATCTGATATTGACTCCTGTTTTCTTCTATGACCTATTTTGTTGGCATTTGTCGAACTACCTGAAGATAAAACAGACACACGTTTTGAGACACTGTTTAGAGTATTACTGGCAGTAGGGAATTGAGAATCCAGAAATGTATCAGTTTCTAGTAATGGGTTAACATCATGTGATAGAGTGTTGGGACTATATATTGTACTAACATCACGAGATAGCCGATGCATTGAGGAACCCCTTGTGGACGATCTAGGCCTTGCAGGAGATTGTGTTCGTAGTGGTGAATATCTTGAATTGTTTGAGGGAAGAGATGTGACACTCGCGGTTCTTTGACTATGAGGTTTAGATATGGTTATTCCACTCATGTTGTTTGTACTTGAGACCGTGTTATCAATACCTGAAATAGGTGGCGGAATTAAAGGTTTTGGAGAGGTATTTATATCTGTTCTTTTTTTAGAAATCAGTTTACTAAATGCAACAGAGGCATCGTTGTCTTCTACAGCTTTAGGGTCTGAACTTTTTTGCTCAATATACTGTGGAATAACTTGTCCTAATCCATTAGGTGTGATTTTCAAACCTTCATTAACAGATATCGATCTACTTATAATGTTATTACGATTATTGTAGATATTGTTGTTATTGTTACTATTGTTTGTAAAGGTATTGTTTACACTATTATTGGTATTGGTATTACTGTTGTTGTTGCTATTTTTAGTGGTAGTACTGCTTTGATTATATTTACGATTGATATATTGTGTCATATTATTCATGCTATTCAGGATCAGTTTTGATTTACAAGTTGTGGGTGGTTGAGCTAAAGTTGGATCATTTTTAGATTTTGGAACATATTCCATATTAGAAATATCTATTTCATTTAAAGTTGATGTATTCTCACTAATTGAAACCTTATTATTGTTATTACTGTTGTTATTATTATTGTAATTAATAGTAGTATTTGTTGTATTGACAGCTGTAGTATTGTCATTATTATGATAGTTTAAATTATCATATTTAAGAAATGCATTATAAGATTTTTTACCAATACCGTTGGAATTGTAGAGATTAGAACCTGATAAAGATCTTTCTAAAGCTACAGATGCTTCATCAGTAGTATTATGATGTAAAATCGGTACTGATTTTTGATGTTTGGAAGAGCCAAAAATTTTTAACATTCGTTTTCTATATAATTTTTGTGATATCGGAAAAGGTTGTTGTTGTTGTTGGGACTGTTGTGGGAATTCATTTATTATGGGAGATACAGTTTCGTTCTTAAATGCCTCAGTTGCTGATTGTGACGGTGTTAGTTGCTGCAAAGCATTTTTATTATCTGCAGTGTCTTGCACAGTATAGTTAACAAATACCATATCATTTTTGTTTTTCTTCTTTGAATATTTCTTGACTGAATTAGTTGAAGACACTGAAGAAACGGATTTGTTTCTAGGTCGACTTTCCAACACTATTCTTTTAGGACTATTTATAATACCTAGAGCAGAAGGAGATTGCATGTTCGGTACATTACCAATTTTATAGAAGGAACCATCTTGTATGTGATTATTGTTATTGGTAGTAGTACTAGTAGTGGCAGAAAAAGAAGAAGAAGATGATGATGATGATGATGAATGGTGATGGTTAGGACTGTTATTTGAGAATCTTTTATAATAATGTGGGATTTTCCATTTATTCATAGACTCTGAACTTTTCAACATATTCGTATTAGGACTATCTTGAGATTTATGACCACTGACGATTCTACCCATTTTCATCAAAAAGAAAGAAGTAAGGGTATTTCACAAATAAATAACTAATGATTCAGATCTAAAAGTATTTAATATATGTGAAAAGAAAGGAAAAGAAAAGAAAAAAAAGTAGGCAGAAAGGAAAAGTCACTTTTTGATTGTTATTCGTCAGTAATGGTATACTGAAATATTTTTATTTTTCTTCTCTTTTTTTCAGTCTTTTATGATGATTTATTTCTGCTTTAGTTTGGTATATGTAGTTAGGTATGTCTTAGGTATTGTGTAATGGACTATGAGAAGCGTAAAGTATTTATATTTTTTTCTTATATAAGGAGTAACAAATTAACCTTAGAGTATATTGAAAGGATTGCTTTTTCCATTCACTATCGAATTAATAATTAAATGTAAATAACTATTATTAACTACCAATTGGGATATATATGTATAAGTGTGTGTATTTTTATGAATATGTATATGTGTATGTGTATTTCTGATTACAGGTAGAACTAGTATGGAGGGTAAAGTTAGAGTCTAAACACAGTAACGGTGTCAATGGATCCTCTCTCAGTTAATTTTTACGGATCTGAAAAAAGAAAAAACAGAAAAAGAGATTCTTTGACAAATAAAAGTTGGGTCAAGTGGTAATGGGTTATATCCAAACCTTCACTTATTTGATTTTAATTTACTCCAATCTTTTTTTTTTTGACGTATTTTCGGCAATATATGAAAAGAAAATGCCCACTAGTAAAACGAAGCCCTTGTCTGAGTTTTTTTTTATTTTTTGTCTTCTTCTTTTTCTTCTTTGCCTGTCTCTCTGTGGGTGTGTGGGTGTATCTCTCGTGCCCAAATTTTGATTTTTGATTTTTGATTTTTGATTTGCGTCTTCCATTTCAGTTGCTCGTTTTTTGCTGCTCGTTTTCTCCTACTTTTTTTTTTTCTCACTTCCTGTTGTTTTCTCCCCTTGCCTCTTCTCTCCTCGCCTCTTCTTCCCGTCTCGTTCTCTGTTGGAGTCTATCAGCCTGTCTGTCTAAAACCTAACCTGGACCAGTCTAGGCTCGATTTGGATGGGATGGACTGGCTTGGTCTGGGCACAGTGGTCGAAGACTGCGGTTGCAAAATGCCTCCCCTCCTCCCCCTTTCTTGGTGGTTTCAAGGTGGTTGGAGCCCGGTTAAGTTAAGATCATCGTTAGTCTCCAACAGTATTTACTACTAGTATAAAAAAGGGGGGAGCGATAAGTTCCATGTAGAGGCAGTAAAATGTAGTAAAAAAGTTGAGAAAGTATATGGAGACTTGGAGTTCAAAGAGTGTCTAGCATTAACAATTACAAAAACTTCAGTTTCATTGTATACACTAAAATGCTAGACCATCATATAGAAAATTCAATGTTTTAGAATCATTCCTCTTTCCTTACTCTCCCTAATGCTCAGTTATATTACCCCTATTTCGCTAATCTTTTATCGTTTCTGTTCTTTTTTTTTGTTCTTGTAATATGTTACAATACTTGATATGTCTAAATGACATGCATATATATATATATATATAGGTATCTAGTTAGATGGTTGATTCTTACTTAACGCTCTATGGCAAAACTTTTTCTGCCTTCTAATAAGCTTTCAGCATTAGTGATTCCAGGTAAGTCCAACGAGATACGTGCTCTATCCACGGAATATCTATTGTCTAATTCATGGTTAGCCAACATGTGCTCTCTTGTCAAGTCTAAGGAAGTTCTAGTATCTCTCTTATTCATTGGATTACTGTATCTTAAATTGGAACCATTTTGTGGATTCAAAGTCTCAAACCTATCATTGTTGTTATTACGCTTGTCATCACTGTCTATTACTGGTGAGAATAATAAGTCTTGTGTTTCCTTTGGCGACGCCATCCAATCCTTATTCTCACTAACCCTACGTATCTCTGGCGACCCCAATGGATTATTCATAATATTCATCGGAATCTCTTCAGTGACAACACTGTCTTGTGATAAGTTACCTTCTCCATAATTATCCGATAGCATAATACCACCGACCGGGTACTCACCGAATTTGCCGGGTTTAAGTATTCTTGGCCTGTCTGGATCGGTTGGGTCGTAACCTGGAGGATAATGATCGAAATCCCCTCTTGCCCACATTTCTCTAACAATCTCCACATCGGTTGGATAAAAAAACTTTCTTAAACAATCATAGGTAAATCTTGGAACCAAGCAATAGAAGATACCAACGAATAAAACTCCCCAAAACGAAGGCGATTGATATATTCGTGATCCAGCCTTAAATAAATCTTTCGATAATAATGAACTAGACCATACACCTGTCCAAAAGAATAAAAACAAACAAGATAACGTAATCCATAAGACACTAAACCAGTCCCATCTGTATTGATGTAATAGAATGTATAGGTTACACGATATCACCGCTATACTAGCAACCATGACACCAACTTCATAACGATGATCTAAGCCTAATCCATTTCTTGTAACGATCAATGATCTACGATACAACTCGCTGGGGAAAAAAAATGAAATGCAGGATTGATAAAGCCCATCAAACATGTACCATAAAAATTTCGTTTGTTTCCATTCTAAACCTAAAATACCAGCCCGATACAATTCAGGTACAACTAAGGAAACAGTGTCACTGACGTCTTGATCTAAAATACCAAGGAATATGACAGGTAATGATGTGAAGGCCAGATTATAAAACATTAAAAATGTGTATTCAAATAAATATGACCCATCAAAATTGTTGTAAATACCATACCAAAATAATGCTAGAGTGAAAATAACGTTTTTGTAGAAGAATGCCGGAATCATTTCCGCCAACCTCTTATATGACCATCTACCGTGGACTAGTAATAGCCTAGCCAAATATCTGAACTGACCAATGGCGTAATCAGAACACATGACAGCTTGACGACCCTCCTCACCAGCAATACCAACGCCAACATCAGCAGATTGGATCATGGCAACATCATTGGAACCATCCCCTATTGCTAAAGTCATTACATCTAACGTGTTCTTAACTAATTTAACCACAGCTGCTTTTTGAGAAGGTGATACTCTACAACATAATACAGCACGACAGTTTTTACACAATAATAAAAATTTTTTTCTTATTTCATCATTTTGCAAGGCTAATTTCAAAGCTTCACCATCGATGATAACAGCGAAATTTCCCCTGGGATGCTCATGATCCTTCTTTGCATCATCTAATTCTTTATCATTACCACTTAAACCAAAGTGTTCTCTTAAATATTTACAGATTAGACTTTCAACAACTATAGCAGGGTCTTCTCCGAATTCCTTTACATCATCTCCAGATGTCTTAATGACTAATAGTTCCATATCATTGTTTAACAAATTACATGAAAACCCAATATTAATGGCTGTTTCAACTTTATCACCAGTTAAAACCCATAATTTAATACCTGCTTTAGCTAACAATGCAATGGAATCAGGAACACCATCTTGTAAACGATCTTCAATGGCTGTCCCACCCAATAAGATTAGATCACGTTCAATTTCATCAGCAACAGCGTCAAGTTGTTCTTCACGATTAGTTAAAGCAGCTGCTGCAACATTGTATTTTTTATTCCAACATTGATAATCAGACCAAGACATTTCCTTTTGTGCAATACATAGTGTTCTCAAACCTTCCGTAGCATACTGTTCTAAATGTAGAGCTGTTTTTTCTAATAATATTTCATCATTGGCACCAGCTTTAGTAGATAATCTTGAATAAATAATAGAATCGGCACCTTTACATATTAATAAAGCTTTTGGTTCATCTTCAGGGTTTAATCCAGGAATTTTTACAATACAACTCATTCTTTTTCTTGATGAGTTGAATTCTAAAATATTCAAAATTTGGAATTCCTTTTGAACACCTTGAATTTCTACAATCATACCTGTTTTGGTCTTTCCAAGAAAACTAAACCCCATATCTCTTGCAGTAGTAACCAAGGCAGCTTCATCTGGAGATTGTGCTTTAAGGTCTAATTTATTAGGATCAAGTTTATTTTTTTCAGTTAACACTGAATGGCATAAGGCTAAAGCCAGCATAAAATGTTGGCAGCAATTACGTTGTTCTTCGCCATGAGCACCTGCTAAATCCTCCACAAATTCTTTTGAAACAAAAGTAATATCTTCTGGGTAAAATTGAGAGTTTTCAGATAAATCTAGTAACTTTTTAATCATAGTTTCTCTGTCTCTTTTTATACCCTCTTTTTCATGACGGCCTTCACTTTCTACATCCACACCTTGTCTTTTTCTTAAACCAGCTAAGGCTTCAGTATACGCCCTACCATATGAAACACCATTAATTGTACATTTTTTAAATTCCATCACATTTTGAGTTAAAGTACCTGTCTTATCTGAGAAAATGTATTCTATTTGGCCTAGATCATCCGATATGTTCCAAGTTTTTGGTGTACATGGATAATCTAGTCTAGCATTATACAATAAAACATCGCCATAGATAAAGGCTGCTTGTGCTGTCTTTATAATTTCCACAGAGATATATAAAGAAATTGGGACTAATGATTGATATAGAATAACTGATACCCAAAACGAAATAAACCCATTTGTAGCAGGAGAGCCACCAATTGAACCAAATTCAAAGAAATCTCTTGATACAGGACTCTTTTGATAGTAGACACCATTGATCACAGCAGAGATAAAACATAGAATAAATAAGATTAAGAAATTAATGGAGACTGAGAGATTAAGTTGTCTAGAAATTTTTGATGTTTTAGTTGGTGTAACACCAGAATTTAACATGATCTTAGTTTCATCACCCGTAAAGATAACCATACCCATTGCCCATTTTGTGTTTCTTAAAGTACAACCACGTAATAGTAAATTGTTTATAGTTATAGGTTCATTTTTTAAGTCCCCATCTTTTGTATCAACATATTTTAAATTACCTTGATATGAATATAAATTAGCATGAGGGCCTTCACTTTCAACCCAGAATTTGGTTCTTGCAATATCTCTAGAACTTTTAATGTCAAGTGTCACTTTTAATGACTGACGAACTTTCAAATTGGTTTCACCATCTAAATTCTTTGTTTCAATGTAGCAGGCACCATCTGAATCGGATGTAGATAATAGGATAATATCAGCAGGAATCTCATCATTATTATGGATCCTTACAATATCACCGACTTTAACATTTTTCCAAAAATCTTTAGTAAATTTAGTATCATTGCTGACAGGTAATGATGTATCAATGATATGACCTTCATCATAAGTGTCTGTTTCGTTCATATTTTCATAATCAAGGGAGGGACGTCCAAAATCTGCTGAAAAACGGTAACTACCCATAGAATCAAAAGATCCACGAGGCATATCAACACCACCGCCTGTAGCAGCAACTCTTTGAGCACGTAAGTGATTTCTTTTACGCATAGCACGTTTCCTTTTACCTTCTTCTGTAAAAGTTTCTTTGCAAATTTCAATAAATTTAAACAATAATCTAGTATTGGCCTTTTTGAATCTTCTCCAAAGAGAAATATTATCAGTGGAGACATTTTCATTAAGTACACCTGTCAAAACATGCGTCTTTGTGTTGTTAACTTGCAAATCTAAAACTGTTCTTCTTGAATCTTCAATGGCGTCTTTAATAGCAGTAATAATAACGATGACAATTAATGGAACAGCACTCAAGCCTGGATTAGTGACACCGAAGATTTGGAAGGCACCTAGGATAATTAACATTAAGAAATAAACATTAGCGAAATTTTGAAATTGATACATAATATTCTTAGGTAAAAAGGTTAAAGGAGTATATTTTGTTGTTCTAATCTTATTACGAGCATAAATAGCGACTGGTTTACCTGTTTCGTCTAACATGTCGCTAGGAAGCGGCATGTTATGATACACAGTTCTTAATTCATCAGCTCTATTAGTTAACCCAGCATCATCAAATGCATCTTCTTCTTTCAATAGATCTTCAAAGGGATTATGAAAATTCTTCTTCGCCCATTTGAGTGTTTTAACTCTTCCCACTTTATTTCTACCAAATTTATTTCTTTGAGTACCCATTCTTAATCTTTTCATTTCATGTACTTCATTATTATCATTTTCTAATTCAATATCATCAAATGTCCCAGATTCATTTAAAGTTGTCCCTATGTTTGGGGTGGGCATAATTGAGTCATTATCAGATAATTCGTGCTTTGTTAAATAATTATCAAAAGTCAAGCTTTTGTTGTTATTATTCTTTGTATTAGCATTGCTACTATTAGTTGTGTTATTAGTATTGGTGCTGGTATCTAACCCATTTGAGTTATTAAATGGATTAAGATCATCTGCAAATGGATTGCTCTTATCAATCTCCATGGTTATTCTTGTTATTGCTATATTTACTCAATAATAGAAAAGCTAACAAAAAGAGAAGGCGAAAAGATAGCGAAAAGATAGCAATTATAGTATTAATGATGACAATGATATTTTACAAAGCTATCTGTATGTACGTTGGTGGGATAAGTAAATTTAGGTAGGTCAGACCACTATTACATATAACTATGATATCCTTAATAGAATTTATAGTCTGTTAATGTTGTTTTATTGTACTACTGTACCTATCCAATTCTCTGAAAAAGAAAAAAGAAAAAGAAAATAACGCTTTATAATATGTCAATTATTAATCAACTATTCTGTAATTTTGTTTTCCTTCTTTTGTCCTATCAAGTTATATAAAATAATTAAATATTGTCTTGTTCGGGTGATATAAAAAGAAATTCAACAGATGATAGAAGATATCACTACCTTTCTAAACATATAACTATTTTTTTATTATTCTTTTTATTCAGTAGTCTGTAATCGTAGCTAATACCAGTATATCAGAAGATTGTTTAATTGTTATTGTTCAAACTTCCACGTACTGCCTTCAAAAAATTTTTACTACGTTGTTTCAGGACCGATGGATTCTTAAGGAAGTCATTATTAATATTATATATTTCCTTGCATTTAACGTTAATTATCAAGCCACGTATAAACAAACATAGAAAAAGAGCCAAAACAAAATTAAAAAATAAAATTAAAAAAAAAAAAAAAGCACAGACATGCGCGTCTGGCCGAAGAGAAAAAAGGGAAGATTGATGGAAATCGGATTTAGTAAACCTTGTTGAATTGGAAAACCCGTAATACGGACTTTTTGCATTAACAAATTCCGTTGTAAGCCTTATTAAGCCGTAAAGAGTTTTGTTCTTGTTTTTTTAATGAGGTCTATTGGACGGTTATGGGGAAGATCTCAACAAGTATTTAATAAAAAGATTGCAAGGGCATGGGGTTCTATAAATGTATCTTTGATAGAGCAGTCCTTCATCTTAGAATATATATTCAGCAACTATTAAACTTCTTTGAACACCGGTTTTTTCAAATTTCAACGTAGTAATTTTATAACACAGTTTATTCAACAGTCACTATTTCTATTAACGATCAAAAAAGTTATAATGGTATTTTTAATTTTGAAAATTCGTGTTTAATGATAGAAGACTGTATTGTTTTTTAGCTTCGATTGCATATTTTGTTATTGTATTTTTTTGCCAGTTTTCTTTTATTGCTATTTTTGAAAACAATGGTGAATAGATGTGTCAATTCTGGTCGTAAACTTAAAAGAATTAAACTATTGCATAGAAGAAACTTACTAGTTATTAATTATTTATGTTTGATCTGGGCATTTAAAGAAGCTTGAATTTTAATAGTGGTTCTTTTTTTTTTTGTTTAATTTCATAAGATTTAATTGTTATCTAAATAACAATGAACCTTATTTTCAAGTAACCAAAAATAATATAACCAAAAATATTGATTGTTTAACTTGCAACTTTTATTAAATTTAAATTACGATGAGACTGTAAGGAACCTAACTAGAAATCCAGCAGATATGCCATTTCGAGGGTAACGCTTGAGTGTCTGGGTGGAGGATTGGTACAGCCATATGCGCAATGGCTCGTATAAGGTATTGAGTCTGATTGGAGGATTTCCAGAGAGTGATAATTATATTAGATCTTATCAAGAGGCCTTTGATTAATGAGAGATATGCCAGGGGTAATCATCTTATTTAAATACATCTTAGTAATGATATTAAGAAGTAACTCTTAATATCATACAAGATTAAGAAGAACAACAACAAGAAGTAATAATACTATATCAGGGTTATTAATTAGTGATATATAGGGCTTACGTAAGAGTGTTTATACTTATACTAATTGATATGATCCATCCATTTACATACAACAACTCTTACAGAGACTACCATCATCATTTTTGACCGGCAGCATTTGTGTCTTTTCTTTGCAAATTCATTTGAATACCATATTTTACAAAATGTTACAAAGCAATATTTTAAGTGCATTTATAAATATCACACCAAAAGTTTCAAAAAGTCATAATCAAACAATTGTATATATAATCTTGAATTGTCATTATTATTGGGCGAAGAAAGTATTTACAATATATTAAATATTGTCAAATATATATTTTATTGTATTTGCATGAAAATTCATTAATTGAAGAAAGAGCAACAGTATTTATATAAAGAGACCCTTAAAATTATTTATGGAATTTACTTATTTAAATTCTGTTCTCTACCAAAGATTAAACTTAGGATTATACTTTATTTAGCATGAAGTTAAAAAAATGATATTGTATTTTTTTTCTTTGCAAAAATTTAATTGCCTATCTTATAACTGCAATAGGGACTGGGGAATGGGAGATAATAAAAATTGTGTCACTTATGCATCAGAGAAAAGGATTTGAACTTCATCACTACTCAAAAGGTAATAGACAATAAAGTAATGGATAATGAGGAATCTAAAAACTAGAAATTAGGAATATGTGTAAGATTAGAGCAAAATAAGATAAAGGACTATTTTACAGTATTACAGAAATAGAATAAAAATTGAAGAAAAAACAAAAAGGTGTATGAAGATATGTTTCTGTGAATTCATTGAGAATGTAGAATGATAACAATAATTTAACTGAACCAAAATATGATGGTAAAAATGGTAAAGAAATATATGATGTTATTATATTTTCAAATAAATACTTGGTTTTATTTTAATAACTTAATGAACATAACAATATTTAATAAAGTATTGTTTGGCAAAAATAGGATAGTTGTTTTGTTTAAAGAAATGCTGAAAAAAGCAAAATAAATTTCAACAGTTGCAAAACTTTACAAACCGAATGTAACAGATAATTGTAACACATATATTTTTTTATCTAATTCAACATTTACATATTTTATTTGGATTCGTTACCAACACTGTGCCCAACAGGAAATTGTAAATATTAATTTCTGATGCTCTATTTATTATATTTAAATCACTGAGGCAACGATGTTAGTTTCTATGAATATTTTCTTTATTTACAAAGGTATGCTAATAATGTTAGAGAGTTCTCTAAACTTTGCATGTTTGGTTGTTTGTATCAGTATTGTTTCCTCATTAAACAAAATACCTCTTGACATAAAAGAGTTTAAGTGTAAAAAAACGTTGCAATTTTCTGGCTTCTATTTTGTATTATGTTGTTTTAGCATGTAGTATTACACATCACTATATGTCATACCGATTCATTAAGTGATAGTTCCGCCTCTGAGATATTTTTCTTATCCATTGAATTTGCATATGATGTTGTCTTAAATGGGACAGCTTCTTGTTCAGTAAAGATCATCGATTCGTCATTGTTATTGTCTTGATTGTAGGTTGCATCATTTGTCACTAAGATTTTTTCCCATTTGTTAATAAAATGATACAATTTAGTAATACCAGTAATCTTTCCAATACAATTGCATTGATGACAAAACATTCCTCCAAAACTATATAATTTAATACTACTTAGTCTGATCATCAAAATAATGCCGGATGAAACAAAACCGCCTACTGGTGCTGCAACAAATGCTCCAAATGTGCTCCAATCCCGTGCATACAAACCATTCCAGATCAACAATAATCTGGCTCCTTCTAGTGCTGATTTATAGTAGATAGTACCAAAAATAAATGTAGTTAACAGTCCTCCTAGCCCACCTCCAATAACTTCCCAGGTAGTCCAGTATCCATTTAATTGAGGAAACAAACCAATAATCAATACTGGAATAATACTACTGGATAGCAGATCCACAATTAAGTATATCATAAGAATGTCCTCTGCAATTAAGCCCACAATTACTGTAGGGAACATAATCAACACCACAATTCCACGTACCCAAAGAATTGGTAATCTGTTTCTAAACACATCATTAGAGATCGTGGAAACTAGAGCACTTTGTAAAGAATCAAATGTGCAGGTGGACAGCACAATGACAAAAACTAACGTGAAACCCATCACCCAGCGTGGTAATTGTGCTAAAAGAATATAAAACGCAGACCCTGAGTTTACATCATCTACCTGTATATATCCTGCCCATACAGCGATGAACCCCGTGATACCAATTATACTGACAAAGACGAACAAAATAACAGATGCAATAGAACAGCCAATCATTAAATCACGGTCAGATCTGGATGCAAAGGTTCTAAGCCAGAATCCACTCATAAAAAAATCATTAGTAAATATAGCAATGGTCAATATATAAATTAATTGCCAACCTAATTTACTTTGCTTCAATAAATCAGATGGCCCTATCTTACTTGTGTCAATATGAATGTAGCTGCCCATAGCACAGGAGACGATAATTAAAAGAATAAAAACAATAGTGACCTGAAGAGAATCTGTCAAGAATGATATATTAAATCCACCGACACTAGTATATATTGTCGTAACCACAGCTTCAATAATAATTACAGCGATAGCTTTCATTCCAGTCATTGTTTCCACACAAAATTTTAATGAACTGATTTCACTAACCAGAAAAAGATACACAGTTAAAATAGTGCATGCACTTAGGTACCATCCACAAATAAGACCATATCTATGGAAAACCCATTCAGTCAAAAGAAAACCTTTAGGTGTTCTTCTCCTAATGATAGGACCTAAAAATGCAAACATAAACATAGGTAAAGCACCTGTAATAGCATAGACTAACAGACCCTGTAACCCAGCAATATTAGCAATCTGTGGATATGCAGAAAAGACACCACACCCAAGTGCGGATGCTACAAAATTAAAAGATAATGGTATGGCTTTCTGTGTCCCATTTGCAGCCAAAAATGCTTTTGAATCCCTTTTCCAATATGCTAATGCTGTAGCAGAGAATAATAAAACACCATATGTTGGCCATATAATGGCATTAGCCGCCTTCCATGAAAGGGTATTGGAATCCATCTTTGCAAGATTTAGTTGTGGATTTATCTAACGTAAAAACATATAAAAATGATGTACAAAAATATATGAGATACATAAAGTTAGTTTGATTTTCGGCTCTTTCTTGTAAAGACACAACATCTAGACATTTTACGCACATATGCACACATACATATATTTGTTTGTGTGTTTATATATATATATATAGCAATGATTTACTTACAAAAAATTAACGGCAAGGCTGAACCAGAGAAAAAAGCAATTATAAATCAAAAAAGAATAATAACATTACTCCACATCGAAAAAAAAAATCGGTGTATCGTTGAAAAAACAATATCGAGAGATTCGTTGGTCATCTTCAGAGCAATCAGAGTTACAGAATTAAACTTTCTATAACTTTACTTGTTTTGCTCGTTTTGCTCGTTTTACTCAGTCCTTATACTACATACAGATAAACTTGAAAAGAAGAGATAGAAGAGAAAAGACAAAAAGAAAGATGTACCAAGAATTCTTAGAGTTGTAATTGTGTTAGTTCTATTAGTTACTATTATTATTACTAGTATTATTATTATTATTGTTGTTGTTGTTGTTGTTGCAACATGAGTAATACATGTTTTCCTTAATAGTTCTTCTCATAATAATATATTAATTCTAATAGTTTCCTTCCAAAAGACATATTCTTAATTTAAGAATAGAAAAGAAAAAAAAAAAAAAAAAAAGAATTTTTTTTCAGAGTTTTTTATAAAAAAAAGTAAACAGTAAATGTAAAACAAAACTTGTTCATTTTTTTTAACAAAAGAAAGAGGAGATAAATAAAATGAAAAAAACAATAGCCATATACTTTATATTTTATTATGCATTATACCACAAAAAATAATATCTATGTAACCTAGAAAATCAGGTTTCTGTTGGGTTAATCATATTGTTTAATGGGTTTGGCTGGCTCTTGTTATATGATTAGAATATTTTTATTGGAAATGCAAAAGATTATATATATATAATAATAGTCATGAATAAGTAATCTTAATCCTACTATGAAAAGTTTGAAATTGTTAATTTTGTAATATATGTGCACATATATATTGTATATATAATAAGATATTGCATAACACTTGATAGTATTTTTAAATATTATTGATAGGTGTAGACAGTGTGTTGTTAAAAAAAGTTTGTAATGGATTGTTTTTATTATTTAGAATTAAACTTTGGCTTGTAAATAGCGTTATTAAGCAAAATAGAATGGTGACATAGAATCGAATGAAATATTATGTAGCAACATCAAATCTTATGGGATATTAGAATTATAAGGGCAAAATATTAACATCTTTAAGTCATATAGACTATATATTTCATTCTCGATATTCATAATTACTTTATTTTTATAGAAACAAAAGATAAAAGTAAGAGCAAGGTAATAAATATTAGGATATTTATATACATATAAAAGACGAATTATAATTTAAGAAGTATAGGAAGCTGTTTTTAATTCTAATGATAAAACTTTTTGGTGACACCGTACATAGAGGGTGAATTGAATATAAGTATATTAATGTGATTCATATCTATTATGTAATAAGTATTTAGAAGAATTTATGATATAAATACAATATATTAGTCGTTGAATCATATTCTATATAAAAGGTTCACTTAGAGGAAAAATAACTAGAATACCTATAAATAATCTATTTATTAGTTTAGAATCGAATATCATACAATTTATAAGCGTTTATACATATAATTAATGTTCGTATTTTAATATAAAACTAATAATAACCCTTACATCTAGACTGTAGTTTTTCTCTATTATTATTAGATTAATATCTGTTATAAATTAAGTTGATAGATATAAAAAGAAAAAAAACATAAAAATAATAAGAGGATGCATATGGATTTAATGACAAACAAACTGGCGGAGCCAAGTTTCTTATATTAATCTTAAAATAGTATACATATTTATTCTCATATACAAAGTTTTATCATATATTTGTTATCATATATTTCACTATATCATTTAAAATTAAAATTGGAACAAATAGCTAACTTTAAAAATTGTAAGGGTTTTTATTATCAACCAAAAAAAAATATCCATGATCTTTAACACAGTTCATTTTTATTCAGCATATAGGTACTTTTTTCGAAAAAACTTTTTTATCACAATACTCACATTCTTCTTTTCCACAAAACTATTTTTTTCATACCAAATAATTAGAAGTTCTACATATAAAAAATATTTGATGTAGGACACAAAAGTATATAAAATAGGAAGAACTTTTAGATTTTTGAGCTAAGTTGTACATATTTTTAGAATTGGCTATGTAGTATAACGCACAATGTTATATGTGTCTAGATTTCAGAATACCAAGTGAATTTATCTTATATATTAGTTGTTTTTTTTTGCAGCATTAAACCTGTATCCCCCACATCAAGATTCTTATTCCACTTTTGAAGTGTAGGTTTAGATATCTCCACAATTAAGAAACATACACAATATCTTAGCAGGGACAGTGTTTTTTTTTGTGTTGTGACACAGACGCTCTTACCTAAAATGGCAAGTGTCAGTAATTAAATATTGACACCCTGGCATAAGATAAGAAATGAATACTTATAATCACATGTAAAAAAAACTTAAGGAATGAGAACTGCAATTTTTGAAGTAAATAGAGTTTGATTTTTACCTACCCTTTTCCAAGTTTGGCTATTTTAATTTTTTTTCTAAATAATTTTATACATTATTGTTGTTGTTTTTATTATTATCTTTATTGCTATTTTTTTTTCTCTTTTTTTTTTTTCTTTTATTTCTAATATATTTTTTTGCTTATAGCAATATCTAAATACATATCTTGTTTTAAAAAATTATTTCTAATATAAACTTATAAAAGAGAAGTGTAAACACACTCTTGTTTTCTTTCTTCTACATTTCACTTTTACACTTTCCTCTTGAAAATTTTCCTTGTTAATATTAAGTCGTTCTTTGTACTAACAATAACACAGACTTTTTTTCTGATACGAGGCACTATATATATATCATTTTAGTATCTCAGTTAAAACAAAAAAAAGTTTATTTAAAGAGGTTTCATAGATTTTCACTTATTATTTATTACTAAGGCAATGGTGGTATCTAAATCAGAAGAAATACAATCTAAGATATCTTCAACAAAGAAACATTTATCTAAGTTTAAATCCTTTTTCAAAAATATTAATGTTGAATCTTTCAAAAATGATAACTTCTCTTCAGCAAAAGGTATTAGACCTTTAGTTTTTCAAGAGACTCAATATTTCTCAAATGGAGAGATTATTGAAACAACTCAACCAGATAATCATTTAATTATTAAAGATAAATCCAGAACTTTTTTCAATGTTGAGAGAAAAGATGAACATACACCTGTGGTTGAACAACAATTACGTGGTAGAAGAAGAAAAGAAACAGTGAATAAGATAAAATATTTTTTTAAAGAAAAAATTGCTCCTGTTTTTCAATCTTTTAAGAAAACAGATGATGTGCTAGGTTTGGATATAAAACTGTATGCCACGGCATGCAAAAATTATAAGGTGAGGCAACAAATTAAAAATCTTAAAGAGACAGTATTTGAAATTAAGCAGATTAAGCAACATCTACTAAAAAAAGTTGAAAAATATAACTCAAATTTTGATCCATTAGAATTAGAATACATGGAATTACTGAGTACAGAAATAGATTCACTAAAAACTTTATTACAAAAAAAAAGATTAGAAAAAAGAGCACAAGTAAATAGTCTAGTAGAATTATTATACCGGTTACAATACTTAGGGGAAAACATTGAAGAACATGAAAATGTATTGAAAGTGCAAAAGGAAGAAGACAATGAAAGTAGAGAAAACATACTAAGAGAAAGACATCTGATACTAAGAGAAAGAGAACGGCGAAATGAAAAAACCGAACTATATAAATGGCAATTAGACCAGATTGAAAAGCAAAGGTTGCGTCCCAAGGAAAACGAGAGGCCAATCCTTCATTTTTCAAAAATAAATCCCTGGACAGTAAAAAATGATCTGCTGAGGGATCAGAGTGAGCAAATCTCATCCTGGCAGTTAAGATTTAATTTTTTACAACGTCAAAAACCATCTGTAACCATATGGGAGATACAGAGTGGTGAGGTACCATTGTCAGGTGTTCATCCTCGGACATTACGATATGCACAAGAATATGCAAAAAAATATTATGATATGCAATTAGAAATAGAACAAATTATACAGCAACAAGAACAAGAAAAGCTTCAATTAGAAAGGGATACTGTTGAGTACGTGAAGGCATTCTGGAATACCAAAAGTAGACAAATAGCAAGAGAAATTAAGGAAAGTGAAGTCTTACAGCAATTGATAACATTTAATAATAAGGTTGGAATTCATATATCCAATCTTTATCATAGAATTATTTAGAGTTCCTAACCACAACTCTATATTAGAGCATGCTGAACTGATTTTTTTTTTTCAGAAGAGTTTTATAGTATATAGAGAAGTAAAATTGTTGAATAGTATTCTGGCCAAATATTGCTCATACGATTTTCTTCTGTCAACTCCTCTAGAAATTTTATTAAATCAGATCCATTGTTAGTTCTTCAAATTTACATATCTCCATTATTATTTTTGGTATTATTTTTTAACAGAGACTTCCATCTTCCTTTATATTTAACTTCAATTGTTGTCCTTTAATATTATTTTTTTGTTTGGTAATTTAATATTCAGATTGTTTTTCTCCCTTCTACTACTATCAGCTAAATTAAAATTATACCTAATTTGATATTGGTATATTTAATTGCAGTGGATTTTTTTGCATTTGCTATTCTAGTTTGTTCATTCTTAAATTTCTTTTACCACAATTCTTTGTTGTTGGTTTTATGACACTCCATATCTGTTTTTTTCACTATTGCTAATCTTCATAATACTGACATTTGTCCAGATGATAAGATTTACCATTAGATTCTGAAAATATTGATTGCATAAAAGGATTTATATTGACAATCCTAAATACAATTTAAAGAACCACATAACCCGTTTTCAAACATGCTAACCAAAAATGTTTGTTAGGGTTTTAAATTGTGTTTTGTTGATTATATAAAATAAATTTCTATTTCAGACTGAATATCAGTTGAGTACTCTTCCCTTTTTAAATCATAATAATTAAGAATACTCTATTTCCCCCATCTGCATCTCTCTTCAATCTTCCTTTTTATTTTTTGTATCTATATTGTATTTTGATACAGCTATGTTTTTAATTCAATAATATCTAGTTTATTTTATTGTTTTTTCTTCCATACTCTAGCGATTTATTATTAAGTTTTCACCTAGTTGAAATAAATTATAATATATATATATATATATATATATATCATGTTCAATCTATGGAAATCATAAGTGCATTATGGATTTTCTGGATAAAACGAATATCACAGGAAATTTTAGTTAATATGTCTACGGACCAGCATATGTATGTGTGTATATGTGTGTAAATAACCATATGTTATGTCTTTACAAGAGCAGAGAATCTACCTAGAAAAAAAGAGAGAATTCCAGTGAAAAAAATTTGATAGTACAAGAGAAATTCCCTTTCCCAATAACGATTTTGTCTTGAAGTCAGTAGTTGAATTTAAAAAAGGAATTCCATCCAAAAGGAAATCTTTATAATGAATGATTTGGGTAGATATACAGTGTATACATGCACAATATATTTAGAAATTATAGTTAATGCAAATATAATCAGCCTAACAAACCTTTTCTATTGTTATCCAAAAATCTATTTTGCCTATACCCTTGCAGATTCCGTAACAGAATTGATTCACAAAAAAAGTATAAGTGAGTAATTTTACAAATGTATAGCTACACTTCCTTATAACATGCTTCACCTTTATTTTAATTTAATTGATTAACAATTAACTAGCACACTGAAAAGCATTATTGCTATTTTCTCTTATACTACTCGTCAAACTTTTATATTGAATTAAGCTTTTTAGAATTAACAGGCTAACCAACTTAAAATGGTTTCACTCTCAATATATAGCATGTCGCAGAAACATTAAACATAAAAAAGAATTATATCTAATGGAATTTAAGTATGGTTTTAGTTTAGATTTTAAAATTACCAACAGTTATGATTTTATTAAAATCGAATTAAAGTATGTTCTTAATCATGTAACTCTTGAATATGTTTTCATACTAATAGGATTAGAGGAATTGGCTGTTTAATAAACATGTTTTTCAATTTTCTTGAGCTTATAGACTTAATTGATTGAGGTGCCAAATTAACAAATTTTCTCAACTAAAAATATAACGAATTTAGAAACAAAATTATGGATTTTTGAAAGAAGCCAATTTAATCAATTAATATAATAAAGGACATTAAGATCATACATCTTTCTTTTTGTCTTGGGTGACAAGGTAAAGAAGCAATATAATTCCAAGTTGAATAAAAGAACTATTTTATCTTTATTATCCAAAGAATCTGCCAGTAAGCCAACTGCTTAGTAGAACGAATATGATAAAATATATTAATCAGTTATGCAAAGAACTTGAAAAGAATAGTATTGATGGAAGAGAATACTATATTGATTTAGAATATTGGGTTTACGATTGTAGTCATGAAAAATTTAATAATTACTTCACGTGTAGATATTTATTAAGATGTTATATTTAAAAGTTAAATATCAAAATAATGTCATTATTAAATTCTAAACTTGAATTGCTTTGCCACTACTGGTAAGTATATTTTTAAGCTATGATAGGCTTGAAAGGTTGAATTCGATACTAATTCAGCATGAAGAATTTGATATTGAGAACACTAAAGAAAATGAAATTTTTAATTAGGATAAAAATAGTTCTGATGGTTAAGATAACGAGAATAATACCTCAGCTGAATCAGAACTAAGAGATCAGGAAAAGAAAGTTCTATTTGATAAATTTACTTGTTTAAAATTAGTCTTAATGTTGTTCATTATTTTTCTTTTTTGTTTCTGTTAAAAGTATTGAGAGTTTGTTTATTCAAGATTAACTTTTTATTTATTTATTTTCCTAAAGATTTCCATTGTTTCATGAAAAAGATTCCGACTTTTCTATTATTTTTCAAAAAAACAATACCTTTTATAAAGCTAGAAAAAAATATTACTTATTTTTTTCTGTATTATTAACTATTTTATACATCCTTCATGAGTTCCCTTTGACTGTTGACCTATTAGTTTATCTTCAGGTTATCTCATTGACATTAGAATAAAATGACACACTATGATATATATATATATGTGTTAAAAGTAAGAAACAACATATACAACGTCAAACAGTATAAAAATAATAAAAATTATAAAATAATGATAAATAATATATATATGTATATATGTATATATATAGGAATGTCTTTAATAAACTTAATAAAAGACACATACACCAACTAACATAAGAAAAGACAAAAAAAAGGTTTAATCATATTTGTACATAGAAATGAGACACCTTTTATTCAGAGGTTTCAGTAGAGACAGGTTGAGTTTCTTGTTGTGGTTCAGCTGCTGATGTGGCGGCAGCAGCTTCCTGTTGCTGTTGTTGTTCCTTTTTGAAGGATTCATAGGCAGCAGAGGCTTCTCTGAAGTGTTGTTCGAATAATTCTTCGTTTTCTAATAAAGCAACGACTTCTTGTGGAGTCAAATCTAAGATCATACCAGTGATCTTTCCAGCAGCTTCTTCATCTGGATTCTTGGCTGAGATCTTCTTGTATAATTGTTCTCCTAAAGCTTGTCTTTGCTTTTGTTGGTAGAACTGGTTAGCATTAGCATTGACGGCAGCATTTCTTGGAAATGCACCATGTGGGGCACCATGTGGTGGCATACCATAGTTCATTGGACCATTTCTGAATTGTTGTGGTGGAATACCGTTCATATGTTGTGGGGCTGGTCCGTTAAATGGAACACCTCTTGGTGGCATGACACTATAAAACATTGGTGGCATGAATTGACCTGGGATACCAGCAGCGGCGGCAGCGGCTGCAGCAGAAGCTTGTTGGAATCTCATTTGGTTTCTAGCTTGGATTTGTTGAGCTAATTGAGAACGTCTAACTTCTTTTCTTTGAGCAATGGCAACGTATAATGGTTTACCAGCAACAATTTGTTGGTTCTTTTCTGTGATAGCTTTAGTAGCTTCTTCTGGAGTGGAGAAACATACGAAACCAAAACCTTTAGATTTACCATTTTCAGTTCTCATAACTTTAGCTGAGGTAATGGTACCGAAGGGAGAAAATTCTTGCTTTAATTTTTCATCATCAATAGAATCATCCAAGTTTTTAACGAATAAATTGACACCTTGATATTTGACCATCTTTTCCAATCTAGCAGCTTCATATTGTTTCTTTAAAGTTTGTAAACGTTCATATTTCTTTTGAGCTCTACCAACAAATAATTCTTGGCCTTTAAACTCTTTACCATTTAATTCCTCGACGGCTTTAACAGCATCATCATGAGTTTCATAGTTAACAAAACCGAAACCCTTCAATTTTCCTTCATCGTTCTTTTCTAAAGAAATAGAGGTAATGTTACCCATCTTACTGAAGTATTCTTTGAACTCTTCTTCAGTGGTATCTAATGGTATGTTCTTAATGTAGACGTTTGTGTAATTGGCTCTTGTTTCTTCTAATTGAGAATCACGTTCTTTTCTGGAAAGGTGTGGGGCGACATAGATTTCTTGGCCATTTAGTAACATACCATTCAAAGCATCGATAGCTTCTTTAGCGGCAGATTCGTCTTCGAAGTGAACAAACCCAAAACCTTTAGATTTACCATTTTCATCAGTAGCGATCTTAGAAGATAAAATGTTACCAAAGACAGAGAAAGTGTCATACAAGGCCTTGTTGTCAATATCTGGGTTCAAGTTCTTAATGAAGATGTTACCACTACCTTTCTTTCTTAAGGATGGATCACGTTGGGACCACATGATACGACATAACTTACCTTTGATTGGGGTATAATTTAATTTTTCAATAGCAGCTTTACCAGACTCATGGTCACTGAAATTAACATAGGCATAACCCAGAGAGGTCTTAGTGACTGCATCTCTGCAGACACGAATGGAAGTAACTGATCCAATTGGAGAGAAGATGTCATATAATAGAGCTTCAGAGACAGAAGGATCTAATTCACCAACGTATAAAGAAGTTGGTGCATTTTCACTGCTTGGGGTTTCAGAACCAGATGGAGTAGCAGAGGTTTCCTTTGATTCTGGTTGATCATTAGAAATCTTTAAGTTTTCTAATTGTTCTGCAGTTTTATCAGTAATATCAGACATTTTTTTATTTGGTTAATCTTGTCTTATTCAATAAAGGAGTTGATTAATTTCTAATAAAAAAAGTTTCTTTTCGAGTGAAAATGGATGGACAATCAGATCAAGTTGTTAAGTATAATCTCTTGCCTTTTTTTATTTTATTTTATGAGTTATTCAATAGAGAAAAGAATATAACAACAAAATACAGTTACACACAATATAGGATCTAATTTAATACAATAATTCAAACAAAATAAAGAAAGAATATTGATATTAAACGATTGGATATAAAAGAAAAACCCACAAATGTAATAAATATATTTTTATTTGGATATAAATCTCTCTAAATGAAGAATTGATTTTTTTTTTAAAAAAGTTTTTTTTATATTTTTTTTATTTTTTTTGTTGATAGTTTAATATACGTTTGATAATTTAGTTGAAGTAGATATCACTAAACTGTCAAATGTATTTTTTAGAGTATTGCTCTTTATAATAAATAAAAAAAAAAAAGAAAGGATATAAAAAGTTATGCCTTCTTAGGGTAAAATAGGAACGATAACAAAGTGACAGTAGATTGTGAATAGAATACAGAAAGGATTGTATAATAAGAATACATAAAATAGATATAAAAGATAAGAGTAGTAAATGAACGGAAATCGATTTCAGAATAACCAAAAAGGTAAATGAACCCAAGAAACAAACAGATAAACAAACAAACAAGCAAGTAAGCTTTTTTGTCTTTAAACGTTAATGTGTTAGTTGTTGTTGAAAAGAAGTTAAAAAGAAGAGAGCAATGATCTTTGGTTGTCCTTTTCCTTTCTCCAAATGTAGCATCGCAAATTTTTCACTTTGATGATTCTTCGCAGACAAACAAAACAAAATAGAAAAAAAAAAAGAAACGAAGCGAAAATTTTTTTTGTTTTTCTACTGTGGATCACTATGTACGAAAACTGTCATATTGGTCAACAGAATGTAATTATAGAGGAAATGAAAGTACAGATATCAAAATACATAGATCCAGAGATCTGTGGCTTTGTGTAATCTCATTTCTATCTTCTATCAATAGTGATGTCTTACATCACACAACGAAAGAACCGCTTTTTGAAAAAGAATACATTTTGGGTAATAATTATCATAATAAGATAAAAATAATGAAGTAAAATAATATATACACAACAGTTCATATCTGAACATAAAAGTACTTATCATCGTATACTATAATCTTTTTTTATTTTCTTGATGCCTGCAAAGTTATAGGTTACATTATATGTCTTTATTTATTAGCTGCACGAATTTTATCATACATTGCCATCAATTTAGAACTTTTCACAGATGCAGGCCAGAAATTGGATGCATACGACCATAAATGTTTCTTGAATTTATCTGGTGATGTTCCATGAGATGATTTATTCTTTTCACTTTCTATATGATTACCGATATTTGTTAATTCAGTTTTCAATATTTGTGCCCACTCTTTACGGTCTAGGCCTTTACCACCACGTCTTAATCTTTTTAATGATACTCTAACTGCACTCATTGTATGACGGCAATCATCTTCATCCATACTATCATATTCCTTTTCATGGACAATATTATTGGTGTTAGTGGTTGTATTAGAAGATATGGTATTGATTGAAGTAGATGAATTAGATCTAGATTGTTGTTTCATTGCTAAAGCTGGACCCTTAGGTAATGGTTTTAATTTTTTAATGGATGGAGACGTCGATGTATTTACATCAGCATGATCATCTTTATTCTTATTTGTCGACTTTCTAGCTCGTTTCCTCTTGGGTCCGGTTGGTAAATCACTATTGGCTTTATTCGTATTTATATTAGAAGCTGAAGTTGTGATACTTGAAATAGTGTTTGGACTGATATCAGTACTGGAGGCACCCGTAGCAGTATTAGTAGTAGGTGTAGTAATAGCTGTTGGTGTGTTACCTGTAGTGTTGCTACTATTGGATGTAGAAGTAGTGTTACTACTATTAGCTACAGGAGAAGTGTTGTGATATGTATTAGTAGATTCATCATTAGATGGAATGATGTTGTTTGTACTCATAGAATCTTTCAAGAGAGTTATTAAATAATCTATTCTTCTACCTAAATGAATACCTCCAGGAACCTTCTTGGATGACCCCGTTATACCTTTACCCCTTTTAACGAGAACTGCAGAGGATTCTTTGGAATCTAACGGCTTCTCAGTTTCTTTAGTTTTATTTTTCACGACAATTTGAGAATCATTTAAGAATATCTTATCGGATAATCCCAAGAATGGATCATCTCTTATTTGACTCCATGAACCATATCCATACTTATAAACACCAACAAGTAATTTTTCATCATCCTCTTTATTCCAACTACAACTCCAATTTTGTACAGGTTTAGGATGTTTCTTATTTTCTAATGTAAATTTCAGTGGATCTTCTTTAAAATGCTTACTAATATAGTCTTTTAATGTCTTTAAATCTTGTGCTCTATTAACAAATGTCTCGGCATTAAGGGACTTAACACCCATATATTCGAAGAACGCAACTTTCTTTTCCCTTCTTTTGGACGATAATCTAGACAGGGGATTGTCTTTCTCTTGTTTAGAAATATCAATTTCACCTGATTTAATCTTATTGCGATATTCAGCAGCCTCTTTTTCCAAATTCTCCAAAATAGTATTACGTTTTTTTTCTTCAGTGGAAACAACATCCTGGGCTACACTTAGCATTTCAGAGTAAATTTCTTGGTATTTGTCAATTGATCTAACAGGAAGAGTGCCATCAGCAATAAGACTTTCAAAAAGATCTGATAAGTCACCATATTTCAAATCAGCTTTATACAAAGCACGAATCTCATTGTCACCAATAGCGTTTAAATCATTAGCTCTGGCTCTTCTTCTTGATCTTGATCTTCTCTCATCATCTGAACCTGATATATCGGAATCATCAGCTGTATTACTCTCTCCATTAACACTATTTTTTATCCTTCTTAATGCATTGTTTCTTCTATTCATCATATTTAATTGTTCTTTCACATATTCCTCATCCTTACGTCTAATTTCTTCATCCTGAAATTTCTTCAAATCTTCTTCAGGGATAATATCATCCCAATCAACATCCGCTTTATAATCTGTAACCTCAAATTGCTTTAAAAACTCCTCACCACCCAGATGAGATTCACCTAAATCAGGCGTGGTTACATGATCTTCTGCATGATTCAAAACATCATCTAAATTCAAATCTTCTAATTTCTTTTGATTGTCTTTGGCAGCAAACATGTTTCCAGCACCAAATTTTAAAATTTCTGATAATTCCCCTGCTGATGGTTCATTTTTTTTAGTATATTTCTTACCATCTGTAACACCCAACGATATAATTGCATATTCCAGGATCATCTTTTTACGAGCCCTTTCTAATACTTCTTCCTCAACAGTATCTTTAGAAACTAATCTATACACCATCACATGATTCTTTTGCCCAATACGATGTGCTCTAGCCATAGCTTGTAAATCTGCTTGTGGATTCCAATCAGAATCAAAAATAATAACTGTATCTGCAGTCATTAAATTAATGCCTAGCCCACCAGCTCTTGTGGATAATAAAAACACATCATCATTGGAACCGGGTGCATTAAAATGATCGATTGCAATTCTTCTTTGAGCTGATGGTACTGTACCATCTAATCTTTGGAAATTAATGCCTTTAATCGAAAGATAGTCACCTAATATATCCAACATTCTAACCATTTGAGAAAAGATTAATACACGATGTCCATCTTTTTTTAATCTCGTTAAAAGCTGATCTAATAGAACCATTTTACCTGATGACATAATTAATCCTCTAAGAATATTTTCACGAGACATAGTACCGCCACCAAATTTTTCTAGAACACGTTCTTCAGCATTGTCAAAAAGATATGGATGATTAGAAGCTTTTTTCAATTCATTCATGATATTCAGTAATGAGAAGTGACCACCTTTAGCGCCAGCAGTCAATGCACTGTAATTTTTTGTAAGAATATTCTTATAGTATTCAGTTTGGATATCAGATAATTCAACACGTAGAATACGTTCTGTTTTAGATGGTAAGGATTTTTCAACATCTTTTTTTAATCTACGTAAAATGAATGGTTGAAGTCTTGTATGTAAATCTCTAATATATTCTTCTTGTTTCTTATCTTGATTTTCAAAATCAATTTCTTGATCAATAGTAAATCTACCAGGCATCAAGAAATTAATTAAAGCTGCTAATTCTTTAATGTTATTTTGCAAAGGGGTACCTGTGATAAGTAGTCTATTATTCACCTTAAAACTATTTAACGATTCATACAATGATGATTCAGAATTTTTTAATCTATGTGCTTCATCAACAGCTAAGTATTGCCATTTAATGGAACCCAGTTGTTCTCTATCCTTTAAAATATATTCGTATGTGGTCATTAATACATTAAATTTAATAAATTTCTTTCCCTTTACTTGTGGGTTAGTATAGAATTCATAATCTCTTATAATTTCCCTTGATTTTTGATTACCCATATAACAAATACAATTTAAGTCTGGAGCCCACTTAGCAAAAGTTTCTTGCCATGCAGGCATAGTAGATAGGGGTACTACAATTAAATGAGGACCATTTTGCCTTCTACTATATATCAGCCAACTGATAAAAGAGACTGTCTGTACAGTTTTACCCAAACCCATTTCATCAGCAAGAATACCATTATCGTTCTTTGACCACAAAAATGCCATCCAATTAATACCTGTTAGTTGGAAGTCTCTTAATTCACCACCTTTTATATATGATGGCTGTGAATCCAATTTTTCAAATTTTGGTCTATTAGAATTATTATAATTACTAGAATATTGTGGTAATATCTTAGAATTAGATCTTTGTTGGAAATTTTTAACTTCTTCAGGGCTTAATTTAACAATATCATTTGCATTTTCCCATGTAGCTTCATCATAATTCAAACGCCGCCATTTCACTAAATATTGTAATTCATTATTGCCATTATCTGTAGAAACTCTTTGACTACTAATAATTCTCTCAGGTATTGAATACTCTTCAAATTCATCAAGACGTCTTTCACGGTCCATATCCATTAATTCTAGATCTTCACGAGTCAAATAGGGATCCATTCTAATCTCTTTATCCTGAATGATATACTGTTTACAATAATTATCTAATCTTTTCAAACCACGCATTTTAGGGCCCAAAGATTCATACGATTCCCATGTATTATGTAGATGGGATTGATCAGCCCATTTAATCAAAAATTCATACCATTTCTTGCATTGATTCAGATCTGGAATTATATTATCGGGGTGATATTGTCCCTGTTTCATTCTATGATCAATCACCATGTCAATACTATGAAGTTCTTGTGTTTGTGATGCTGGTGTCATAGATTGATCTCTATCATAATTATCACTATCCAAATTTTCATCATCTGCACCGGTTTCGTCAAAGCTATCATATTCAGACTCTAATAGATCATCATCATCAGAAATATCCACATTATAGTTGACAGTTTTATTATTATTACGCGCTGAAAATCTGGTTGGAAGCCTCTTTAGTTCTTTATCTTCATTACTGATTTTATGTTCATTCGAGACTTTTTTATTGTTTCTAGCCTTTTTGGCTGACACATTTTTTCTGTTCTTCTTTCTTGTGTTTGTTTCATAATAGTCTATATCATCGTCATCCACTATAAAATCATCTTCATTTACATCTTCTTCATCTTCATTCATTAAATCTTCATCTTCATACAGATCAGATTCATTGTCATAATCATTATCGTCATTACTGTCCTCAACATCCGTGGTTTTCTTTCTTCTTCTTCTGCCTATGGTAACATCATCATCATCATCATCATCATCATCATTGAAAGTATAATGGTGTACTGCGGTTCGTCTATGTGACCTCCTTAACCCATACAATTCCGGATTTTTTAGAATATCGTTCTCGAAATCGGAATCTATAGCAGTTGTGCCCATTATATATACATAAATATATATTACGTGTTAATAGTCAAGTAAATACAAATTGGTGTACTTGTATTTGTGTTTAATAATAATGTCTTTATGTAATAGACATTAACTGAATTTTATCAGATATAAAATGATTGATAGTTTTTAAAGGTACAAGATATGAAATTGGATATCTCAAAAATCATAAGCACACAAGTAAAAATTTAATTTTTTCTTTGTTCTTAATGAATTGTTTGTATTTTTGAGACCAACCCAAAGAGAAACGCGAGACATATTCGAATAATATTTTTTTTTTCATTTTATTTCTTTTTCGTTTCTTGACGGAATGCGGAGTTAACCATAGACGGAAAAAAATTCCGTAAGAACTCTTTTTTTTTTGTATTGGTTAGTTCACTTTCATTTCAGTAAGCTCCTTTAAAGTCATCACAGCGAATGTTTTGATCTTTATTATCTGTATAAGCAGTATTAATAATATAAAATATGTGTAGGGAGGGATGAAAGTAAAAGGTATTAGAAAATTTAATATCTGTATATCCACTCAAAGCAACTAGCTGCATTATTAGAAAGAAGTACAGTAAAAGGAAAACAAAGATATCAACTAATAATAAAGGTTATTGTGTGATGACTCAAAATAAAGATGGATTATGGGTTTTGGGGTATGGCTCTTTGATATACAAACCACCTCCACATTATACGCAAAGGATTCCTGCATTGATATATGGGTATATTCGTAGATTTTGGCAATCGTCAATTGATCACAGGGGTATTCCAGAAGCACCAGGTCGTGTAGTTACCTTAATACCCTATGATGATGTTATGAATGATCCCAAATACCGCACTGATGTAGAAAAATACTATCAAAATCATAATAGAGAACTAAAACACGATGATTTAACCACACTAGGTGTGGTATATTATATTCCACCAGAGTATTCAGATGAAGTGAGACAATATTTAGATATTCGAGAACAGAATGGATATACTTTGCATACTGTTTCCGTGCATCTATATCCAAATGAATCACAACGTGAAGAATTGGCTGAATCTCTGTCACATTTAGAAAAAGATCCTGTTACTGGTTGTCAAATTTTGCAATCATCAGTTTATGTCGGGATAACAGATTCTAGTTCGAATGAAGCTTTTGTTGGCCCTGAAGATATTGAAGATACGGCTGTAGTAATAGCTAAAGCAGTAGGGCCAAGTGGATCTAATTATCTTTATTTGAAAATGTTATATGATTCATTGGCGGCTATGTATAAAGACGGAGAATTTGTTGGAGATAACAGTTACCGTAAAGACATGTATTTAGATGTTTTAATGGATAAAGTAGAAAAATTATTAAATGAATAGATGGATAAAATGATAGGTATATTACAATAAAAATGTATAATCATTATACAACTTGTCATATACAAATATATATATATATATATGTTCTTGCTGCGCTTAGTTAGATTGTACATCTTTTCCCTCTGGTCACACTCTTTTTTTCGATATATATATATATTTTTTTATCAATACACTTAGATAGTTATTTTTTAAAAGTTAGGGTACTAAAGGAAAATAGTAAATTATGTACCAGCTAAGAGTAGGGTCCTGAAGAAAAATCTATAAAGCCCTGTTTTATTTTTCGCTTCCCTTAAAACTTTGATTTTCAAAGTTTTCGGAAATAGCATTAGAGTGTTAACGCAAATACATATCCATCTAATAGAGAAGTCATTAGACTTAACAAAATAACATTAAAATATGTATGAATAAGGGAACCTAAGAAACAATACTGAATGAAATAAAATGGAATAAGAATAGTATACGGTTAAAAATAATCATAATACTTGGTAGGATAAAAATATGAATAAATAATGTCTCAAGATCTGACTCGTGAACAATTTGATTTAATACGAAAAGTCCTAAAAGAGAAGAAAGAACAAGGTATATCTTCAGATAATAATATAAGGCCAAGAAAGAAACGGAAGAGAAGCAATAAAAATGAATCAATATTGTGGATAGATAAAAGTCCATCATGTGACACAGTCGTGTTAGATTCAGAATCTTCTGGAACAGAAATGGAAATCATTAAAGAGAAACCAGTGGAAGAGCAGGAGGAACAGGAAGATGGAGATGGGGATGAAGAGTTTGATTCAGAAGAATTTGAAGATGTTTTATTCGATGAGCAAATAAACAAAGATGATGATATGAGTGGGGATTTAAATATTACGATTAATAACTTGGACAACACTAAGGAAGTTGAATTTAAGAAACAGAAGGAAAAACGTGCGCGGTTATTGCACAGAAATATAGTGTCAAATGATGTGCGACAATTTAGAAAGGAATTTCATTTTGAATACTTATTATGTTTATTAATTCATGGGCATTTAAGAAACGAATGGTTAAATGATGATAAGTTATTAAATAAGTTGTATAAAAAACGTATTATTTCCGAAAAGGTACAAGATTTGTTACATCCAACATTAGATCTAGAATTACCATTACGTAGTACAAGGAAGTTACTTGATGGATTGAAACAAAGTATGCAACTCTGGATAAAACATTGTCGCGTTATTAAACCATACAATGGAGTAGGCTTATATATGAGACATTGGGATGAAATTAAGACGCATTATCATAACCATCCTATGACAAAATCTCAGTTTATTAAAGCTGTAACTAAAGGCTGCGGTAATAGAGATATTCTATCTCAAGGGTTTGTTGCACTATTGAGAGCTTATCAAGTTAATGCAAGGTTATGTTTTTCGTGTCAGCCGCCTGATTTATCTGATATGAAATTGAAAAGTGCAATAAATTCTCAGCATGATAATTCCGATATGTTTAAATTTCCAATTTTTTGGTGTGAAGTTTGGGATAAATTTAGTAAAAAATGGATAACTATTGATCCAATGAATTTCCAAATAATTGAACAAGTACGTAATGTTTCGAAGTTGGAACCTGATTCTAGCAGTACTAGAAACTTGATGAGATATGTTATTGCATATGATAGAAAACAAGGATGTAGGGATGTAAGTAGAAGATATGTTAAACAAATGCATTCTTATAAATTCAGACATGGAAGGGCAACAAATGACCAAAAGGGATCGGAATGGTATAGTAAAGTGTTAAAAAGATTGACATTAAGGAAAAGAATCAAAATTGATGATTATGAAGATCTATATTTTGAAGATAGAGATGAAATGGAGGGGATGCCTACAAGTTTACAAGATTTTAAAAATCATCCCAAGTATATTTTGGAGAAGGATATCAAAACTACACAATATTTAGTCAATAATGCAAAGGAATGCGGATATTTAAGGTTAAATAATAAGAAACAACCTAGTAAAGTATTAAAAGTGTTTTTACGTAAAGATGTGATTGATTTAAAAACACCGAGGCAGTGGTATCAATTAGGGAGAGTATTAAAATCTGGTGCTAGATTTAAGAAAACTGTTAAGAAAAAAGATAATATTGGAGTAAGACTTAAAGATTCAGATAATATTAATGATGATGGTATCGAGAGATTATATAGTATAGACGATACTGAATTGTATGAACCTCCCAATGCAAACGAATTAGGTGAAATTAAGAAAAATACTTATGGAAATATTGAGGTATTTACACCAAGTATGATTCCACGTAATTGTTGTCTAATTGAAAATCCTAATTCCATTAGAGCATGTAAATTTCTTAGAATTGAATATGCACCCGCAGTGACGACTTTTAATTTCCAAGGGAAGAGGCGAATGGGAAAAGGTAATGTTAATCCTGTTATCACTGGGGTAGTGGTGGCAAAGTGGTTTAAAGATGCAGTAATTGCCACAATTGAAGGTATAGAATATTCTTTGGAACAAGATGTACAAAGGGCAGAGCAGTTGAAACATTTACAAGATTGGAATGATATGTTATTAAGATTAAAGATTAAATCAAACCTTATTGAGACATATGGTGTAGCAAAAGATGATGAACAAGATTACACGGCAAACCAAGATTTGAATGAGAACGATAGTGATGCATATGTCGAACCAGGAGGATTTCTTCCTGCTAAAGTGGATCAAATTAATTCTGAGAATTTCAGTTCAAATTTGGCAACAATGGAAAATAACCAAGTTGTAGGAAGTGGGGAAGAGAAAGAGGAAGAGGAAGATGATGACGATAAAAATGATGAAGTTGTAGATGAGGATATAAATTACGACGAGTATGAGGCCTTTATGGATGAACTAGAAGCATAAGTTTTCGTATGAAATGATGAAGTAATTTTTTTTCATGCTTTCTTTTCTATTTTTTTTTTTCTCTCTTTTGTGGGTTTGATTTTTATCGAAATTTATAAGAAATTATCGTATTGATATACTTGTTGTATACATTAGTGTATTAGGATTACGTAGATGTTTGTAAGAGACATATATGGTGGAATTTTCTCTCTTTGATCTTCTAATTTTAGGAGTGAGATGAAGATGAACAAACCGTTAATATGAGAACGTAGGCTAGTTAAAATGAGCTTTTTATCGAAATTATCTGCATTGAAGAAAAATACACCAGTTAAGCATACACCCGTAATCCCAGATAAAGAAAGCAACCCGGTACAAGAGGTTGAATCATTGTTACCTGTAAATTATGTGAGAGATGAGGATCCGGCAGTGAAAAGATTAAAAGAGTTAAGACGTAAGGAACGGATTAAAAACGGGGAGCTTTTAAAGAAAAGAAATGCAACTGCAAAAAGACAATCTGGTAGTGGTGATTCGCACAGAAATAAAAAAAATAAGTTGCAAAAAGACGAAGATGGAGGGATGTTAGGGACAGTATACAAAAAAAAGATTGGTTCTTCCACTCGTGCAAATTATAATGATAGTAATAAGGCGATCAAACCAAGAATGTCTATAAAGAAGATGTCTTTTGAAGAGTTGATGAGACAAGCTGATCAGAATGGCAAACTGCCTATGAAATCTACATCAGAACCACCAACAATAGGGCGATCGAAAAAATTGATTAAACCTGGATTTAAAAGAAAATCAACTAGGGTTAATTCTCCTAATTCAAATGAATCTCTTAGAGGAGATCGACATAGAGAGGATAATCAGGCGTCAGGTTCAAAAGAGGTATCTACATCTTTGAATAGGAGCAAATCAGCGTCGAATATTAAGAAAGATAACATTAATAATGATAGCAGTGATAGTGGTGGTGATAGCAAGAATATTGTCAAGATACCATCTATATCAACTAATAGATTTGCACAACCAAATGCTAAGATTAAACAAAGGCTAGAAAGAAAGGGATATAAGGTTCAAAGTCGGCATGATAGGTTTGGAAGGCATTATAATGGACGTAATGATAATTATGATGAAGATGAAGATATGGACTCTGAATTGGATGATTTTATTGAAGATGCTTCAGATGAGAAAGAAAGTAGATATTCTGCACGTTCAAGAAATCCAGGGTATAATAGAGACGAAATATGGGCCATATTCAACAGAGGTAGAAACAGACCACACTATTATAGTGATTATGATGATGAAAATGAGGATGATATGGAGGCTAATGAAATGGAAATTCTAGAAGAAGAGGAATACGCAACTAGAATGGCCAAGCTAGAAGATAAAAAGGAAGAAGAATGGTTAAGGAGACACGAAGAAGAGAAAATGCGGTTAAAGAAGAAATATAAATGAATCAAGTAATTATATATATAGAACGCTATATAGTCATCACGAGCACGGAGTCAATCCATTTTAATTATTCATTATTACAGGCATTTTCTCCATGATTAATTGTTCTATTTTTTGACCAACCCTAGTCCATAATTTTCAAATTTTGGGGGGAAAGGAATAGAACCCTAAATTTTTATTGTGCTGTATTTTTCGTTTTACTTTCTTTTTTTCACTCTTTTTTTTTTTTCTCTTCTTTTTGGTGTTCATGGAGGAAAAAAATATTCAAACACCAACGTTGTAAATTTGGGAGGAGAAAGTGAAAGAAAATAGAGAATGGACACTTCTGTTTTTCTTTTCTTTTTTTCTTCTGTTTTTTTTTTTTTTTTTTTTTTTTGAGTTTGTGCGATGAATGCCCTTTATTTATTTGCATAAAAATATAAATATATAAATGTATATATATATATGTATGCACCTCTGAGTGTCTGTACGCATGTATGTACAAGCAGCTGTTGCCTGTAGAATTCGGTTTCTGTCAACATTTGAAAGATTCTAGTTTGTATGTCAAGATAAGTTAGTTCAATTGACGAAGTTAATTCTTGGAATAGTGTTTTTTATTATAAAGTAAAAGACTAGAATACATTAAAAAAAAGAAAGATAATAAAAGGTTAGATACATTATTATTTATAATAAGACAAATTTAAGACGCACTATCAGTACTATTATTATTGTTATTGAAAATGGAAGTAGGAAGAGGAAATATAGTATTGCAAGATCTTTTGACAGCAGACATGCCACCACCAGCTGTGTTTGCTGAGAATACTGGGTTAAATGTTAATCAAGATATTCAAAATACTGACAATGAAGCTTTACAAATGAATGATGTATTTAATAGGATAAAAACACATTTTCCTCCTGCTAAAATTAAGAAAATCATGCAAACTGATGATGATATTGGTAAAGTTTCACAAGCCACTCCTGTGATAGCAGGCAGATCATTGGAATTTTTTATGGCAATGTTAGTGGAACAAAGCGGCCAAATGGCACGTCAAATGAATACTAAACGTATTACTGCGGATATTGTTAAAAGAACTATAATGGAAAACGAAAAATTTGATTTCTTAAGAGAAAATTTTGGTATCAATGAAGAAGGTGAAGATGATGAGACTAATAGTAACAACTAAATTACGTTTGTTATTATTACTATCAGCGTATTCTTCTTTAATTTTTTTCTCCTTCTTCTTTAATAAAATATGACGTTTTTGCCATTTGTTAATTTCCTTGTTATGTGTCTAAATATTCATATTATATGGTTTGGCTTTTAAGTATTTTTTTTCATAATATTTTGTTTGTTTATTAATTTCTTTTTGTTGCAGTCTCCCATTAGTTTTTTAAGTTTACATATGAAGTGAGTTGGTGAATTACAATATAAATGAGATATCTTTACCATGGACCCTTACTACAGGAAGGGATTGTTGTTATTTTATGACTACTGGTCATCATAGTTGTCATTTTGTTGCAATTATTTGCTTTATTTTTTATTTTATTGTAATTAAAAGATAACATGTATATATATATATATATATGTGTGTGTGTGGTATGTATTTATAGATATTGACATGAATATATTTATTTGATTATGTATATATAGATATTGTATATTATTTTTTAATTGATATATATTTGGACAGTTTGTGTTTTAATGTGGTTCCCTTCAATTTGTCTTGAATTCTTTGGGACAGATATAATGGTAAATTATATAAAATATCTTGGTTGTTAGTCAAAAGATGATCAAGTAATTCATACACCCTATACGCATCACATTCGTGGACTAAAATTAATATACTTTCTTCTGCAGACAATTTTGGATGTATATTATAAAAAGTTTTAAATAAATTAATCCTTTTATCCAAATGTATATTATTTTGAAGCAATATTATATTTAATAAAAGTGGTAAAGTAGTCTCATTCTTAACATTGATATCTTTGTCTTGGAATAAATATTTTGACATTAAAATTTCATTACTATTATCTTTGCTATTTTTGTCAACATTTTGATCTTTGTTATTTTGATAATAATGTTCACGATAACTGTTGATTAATTCAGGGAAATCTCTAAAACTAAATTTACAGTAAGCTGGTAAATAATTATCCATATCCTTTAAAAATACTTTCCATTTTTCACTGAAATCCTTATTTATAATGGTCTTTGCAAACATCTCTGTCTTGATTCGAAGTAATTCATACTCCCAATATGTAAATTCTCTTGGGTTAACCGTACGCCAACGTTTACCGTAATAATGTGTATAATATGTATATAGATCTCTTACTATAAAACTTTTCCCCTCACTGAGTGCGATTTGACCTATTTCACATAACACATTAGGTTCAATCAACATGGAATTATTTCTTCTAACGTATTTGTACCATATAAAATTGATACATTCCATATGATCCCATTTACAACTTTGACGTAATACCAATTGTATCAGATTATAATCCATATCTTCTGTTGGGATCTGCCGTAGACGTGGTAACAACAGGTCAAAGTCTCTGTTTAAACATTGTGCATAGAGGGATCTTCTTAATTCACTTGTCATTACATTCCGACACTGAACGATCATCCCTAATCTTAATGATTTCATAATCCCCATCCCTTTTATATATATATAAATTTACCTACTTTTAGTTCCTTGTCTGCCTTTTTCCAACATTATTATTCCCCTAATATATCCTTCGATACCTCTCTCCTTGTCTCGATCCTTTTACCTTTCCTTTGGGTCTTCCCCAATGTTGTTTCTTAAAGTTGTGGATTTTATTTCCACCTTTTTGATTTTTCGAACTCTTCTATTTGTTTTTTTCTGTTTTTTGTAATTCTCGATCAACTAAAAATTGTATGAATGAAATTTTAGTTCGAGGAAGGTTTAGATCTCTTTAGAGACAAAAAAAAATACATATTTAAGTTTCTCTTGTCATTGATAGTTAAGGCACTTTTATACGATTAATAGTATAGTGTTTGGTAGTTACTGTTGAGTCTATATTATCTATACCTTTCACCTAGTAAGTTAAAAAGAGTGTCTTTTTAAAAAGGAAAAAAAAGTAGCTAATAAGATTATTAACACTAACAATAACTATAAAGTGGAAAGGGGGAAATACAAAATCATGTTGAGGTTAACTATGTTGAGGGCTACCTCAAGATTGGTATGTTTTATTATATTATTTTCAAACAATTTCAGTTAATTTTTTTTTTGAATATACTTCGATAAATAAATATAATTATACATTTTTATGAATATATCCAATATTGCATCTCGTCGACATTCTATACTAACTGTTTCTATATAATTAGCGTCTTTATGACTTAATTTGTTTGTTTTCCTTTAAGGTTCATTTGAATATAGTCTTTAAAATTTACCCCAAGAATGTCTCCAGGTATTCATTATTCTCCAATTAATATTACGTTGGGTCGTCGTTTTAAATCTACTTCAGAGACCATAGCTGATCTTTCAGAATCCATATCAGAAGTTCAAACTCAGTTACCTTCTGTTGATCAAATGACTGATACGACAGCAAAGATTGTAGATCAAGCTAGTCATTCTATAGGTGAATTATCAAACCATATCGGTTACTTAAATAGTATAGGTTTGGCACAGACTTGGCACTGGCCCGCTGATATCATTCAACATGCGTTAGAATATGTTCATGTTTACACCGGTCTACCATGGTGGGGTACTATTTGTACTGTCACTGTTTTAGTTAGGTTGTTGATGTTTCCAATCTATTTAAAATCCTCAGACATGATTGCTAAAAACTCCAAGATTAAACCACAATTAGATAAAATTACTAAACAATTAATGAATACAACCGATTTAGCAGAGGGACAAAAGATTGCTCTAAAGAGAAGGAAGTTATTATCCGATAATGGGATTAAAAATAGATGGTTGGCTGCCCCAATGTTGCAATTGCCTATTGCTATCGGGTTTTTCAATGCTTTAAGAAGCATGGCCAATTTTCCTGTCGATGGGTTTACTAATCAAGGTATTGCGTGGTTTAATGATTTAAGTATGACTGATCCATATTTTGGACTCCAAATCATTACTGCCTCTGTGTTAATGTCATTTTCTAGGTTAGGTGGAGAGACAGGTGCACAACAATTCAGTGGTCCAATGAAAAGATTTTTTATAATATTACCTTTGGTATCTATACCAGCTACAATGAAACTATCAAGTGCTGTGGTACTGTACTTTGCTGTTAATGGTACTTTCTCGGTGTTACAGACTTTACTACTTAGGAACAAATGGTTTAGAAAGAAAATGAATATAGCAGATGTAGTTCAACATTCTCCAGACCCAACAAAGATTAATAATGGTATCTTTGCAGCTATAAGAGAAAATATGAATACTGTTAGAAAACGTGCCGAAAAGAGAAGATTAGTGAAGGAAGAAGAAGAAAGAGTGCATGAATTAATCAAAAAGAAAAGAAGCAATGAAAGAATTAAAATTATACGTAGATCAGATTTGAAGAATTAAAGTTGGTTTGTATAGAAATAATATGTGTATGTGTAGGTTATAGTTGGTGTCATGGTTTCTTTTTAATTCTTTTATGTAATTTGATGTATATACGTATATATGTTGCTCGTTTAAGTTAATCTTGTAAATATATTCAAGATACCAATAGTGTCCTTGTTCAACTTTAAATACTTAAACAAAGCCGAAATCCAAATTAAATTAATCTATGCATTATTTCTTTAAAATTTAATTGAATATATGAAACATATATATGACTAAATAGAAGAAGGCAAAAAAGACATACACGCCAATGAAGGTGAAATAAAAGACATTAATAATAGTGGTTATAATTTGGATGTTTAGTAATATAAAGGTATTATATGAAAAAATCTTGAGGACTTTTGATAAATTGTTGTAATATTGTCTGGATAGCGCCAAGAGTTGCGCCCATACAACGTGCTAAATCGTCTTGGTCGATAAAACTCATTGAAAACACAATGGCTAAGTTTGAAGCGTCCATACGATTATTTTCTACATGCTGATGAACCTTATTTAAATGTAAAACTATTCTCTTCATCGTGTGATAATAACATGCAGGTAATTTCAATAATAAATTACTAACATCTGTTTTATAAGTCTCATACGATGGATTATTTGATTTATAATTTAATACTAAATTTGCAAATTCTTCTATTTTATTAGAAAATAGAGAATCCGGTAATTCTCTTAAATACATTTTAAAACATCCTGCTATTGCATTGATTTCAAACCATCTATCATCTTCTAATGTAAAACTGGTATTAACAGCACCCTCTTCATCGAATGCATTCTTTAAGGCATTAATACTACCAACTGAACCTGGAATTCTATATAACCCTACTTCATCCAGCCCACGTAATTCAATTTCTTCTAACAATTTCATTACTATAGTAGGTACTAATGTGCCTTCACGTTCACATATGCATTCTAATGGAACACCAAATACCTTGTTGTGTGTTTTGCCTTTGAATTTTTCAGAATAAAATGAATATCTTTTCGATAAATTTAACATTCTAATCCATTCTTTCAATTCACGAGCGTCTTTAGCCTGAATCATGTATTCATCACCATCTTGCATGACAATTTTGAAGGAATGAATATAAGCCATATTATTTTTGTGATTAATAACTTCCATAATATTTTTGATTTCAAATGTTTTCAATGTTAGGACTGGTTTCAAACCTTCTAATTCATTGTCCTCTATATCAGGCAATAAATCAGGTTGAATAACTTTTCTTGCTGTCCCATCAGGTACTAAGGAATTATTCAATGAATAATTAGAAGTAGATGTATTGAAACCTGCGATGGAAAAAGGTCTTCTGAAAAATCCTCCAATTTTCTTGCTGACACTACCACTGGAATGGGTAACAGTTGAATGGTTTCTTGATGTTGGGGCAACTGAATTCCGCTTATTCTTGTTTCCTGATGAATTGGACATGTAGGAGGGGTTTAAGGTAGTCATGGATGAATTTAAGGATAAATGATTGGAGGTAACAGCATCTTTTTCTGCATATTTAGAGTTTATTGTAATATTTTCACTCACCTTGGAATATTTTTCCTGTTCCTTTAATAGCTCTAATTTTCTTTCTTCTCTTCTTATTTTATCAACTTCATCACCAATAATACCATTGAAAAGTCCAGATTCTTGAAATTTTATTGCTTTAGACTTGTCTAATGATATATTGTATGCTTTTTTTTTCAGATTACTAGATGGTGGTTCAATTTTGTTAAATAAAATTTTCGCCCATCCAGTTCTAAAGGTGTCAAGATTATTATACAACTCTATTTTAGAGCTATTGGGGATCAAACTGAAAACATTGGATACGATGTTATTTACAAAACGTCTCTTATCGAAATTAATCAATTTAGAATTGCTTGTATCCATATTAGGAACATACTGAGATATATCAAGTAATCTACAAATAAACCATCCAGGACAGGGGCACAAATTTTTTGAATTTTTATCTGTGTAAATATTGTCGATCTCTAGAAAATTTCTAATATGAACTGGATCAATATTTTCAATTATATTTTTAATTGATCTCCCTTGGTTTCTATTATTTTCTGGCATAAGTTTTGATCCTGCTAATGACCAAGCGTACTCAAAAAATCTTGACTCTACGCTTACAATACTGTTGCAAATTGCAGATTCAATAAAGGATGGAATATGTGGAGATATATCATTGTTATTTTCTAGATTAAACAAATCTAAGGCGTTGTTCTTCCATCTAACATAATTTAGGATTTGTAGAATCAAAGCGCAAGTATTAATACGATCCTCATGTTGTTTATGAACATCAGTTATTTCAGCAAGAAAAAATGATGTTAACGACTGATGGATGATAAATAGTAGTTGAAGTGATGAGGCTAAGCCTGAAAAGATAGACTGGTTATTGACATTTGATATTGTAGATAACCATAAGAATATGTTAGATATTTGCATTTCCTTTAACTGTGATGAGCCGGTATTAATTAAGCGTTTAGAAATGCTATGAAGTGGGTATTGAAAAAAGGATATTAATGACTCCTTGGAAAGTAGCTCTAAATATTCATATGTTGCTATCCAATCTTGTTTAGTAGTCAAGGTAAATGCATCAGTAAATATTTTGTCCAGTTTACAAACCCAATTATAAATACTAGAATAGTCTCTGTAATTCATAGACTTGAAGTCAGTAGTCAAGCTATCCATTGGGTATTTTTCATTAAGCATATTAGAAAATTCACTAAATGTCAAATTTCTAAAACTAGACAATTGTTCTATAATTTTCTTTTTCATCTTACTAATTCCAACTGGTCTATAAAGTTGTTTTTGATAATGAGATTTAATATTATTAAATAAACTAGTAAGTTCTTCCAAAAGTAAAGTTAAATTATGAGCGTCTTTTGTGTTGGTATTAGTGTTTTTATTAGCAACTTTGAGTCGTTTTGGCCATTCTATAATAATCTCCTGTTCCATAATTTTTAATATATCAAGGACAGTAGTATGACATTCAATGTTATCAGTGAAATCTGTGTAATGATTAGAGATCAGATGAAGGAGAGCTTCTGCTGTACCAATTTGAATTTTAATTATGTATTTTTCATTGGTATTGCTATCTTCAGGGACATCAGCATCCCAAACAGGAAATTGGATATCAGAATCAGCAGGCACTGTGTCAGAATCAATTACATTGCAAATATTCATTGCACAACTTTTAGCACCTACAAACCGTTTGGCAAGATTCTCCAAAACATTTAAAGTAGTTGTAAAGCTTTTGTATGTGTTAAAAAATGTTTCTCTAAAAGTGTCGTTATCCATAGAAAGTTTTGCTAATGCAAAATCTAATAGACCAACAGTGTTCTTTGAAGTAGATGAATTCTGACGGTGATAACAATAATTCTCTAAATCTTTAGTATCGATTAATTTTGAAAAACTTCCAGCTGTTAGTACTAACAGATCGTATAATTTTTCTAAAGATGCAGATTTGACAACAACATCAATAGCTGAGGTGTCTAAAATGTCAGACGAATTGGAAGAATCTTTGAAGAAATCTAAATTTTCCAATGTTTTACTCAAACGACCTGTGGTGTCTACTGAATCACGAGAATTTAATTTGAGAGAATGTTGGGAAAATCTTTTAGGTGATTCAATAAAAACGCTGGAGGGTCTATGTAAATCTTCTATTGTGTCTACACTGGTCTTAAAAACCAGATCATTGGAAATATGAAACATGTCCATATTGATATTGAACATATCTCTAATGGATTTCATCAAAAGGTGTTTTGTTGAAGGTGTAGACATTAATTCTTTTATTAGTGGACCCTCAATATTCTCAACACCAGTAATTGGATTGGACTCAAAATCGAGTTTTATGATTTGTTCTGGTATTTTTGCTTCACTAAGCACAAGGGCTTTGGATATCCTTGCAGATGATCTTGGCGGTGGTAGTTTGAGGTTGTTGTTATTCGGTAGTAAATTTCCTGCTGCCTCGACTAAAGATTTTCTTGGAAATAGTGTATAATTAGGCAGAAGTTCATTAAAGACTATGGGAAGGTAGCTTCCTGTTAATAGGGAACTTCTCTGAGAGCCAATAATGGAGTAGAATTCTTGATTTACTAATGGTGGTTCATACTCTAAACTGATTTGCATTATCTTAGTAATATTCAATTTGGGCTGTGATGTATGGTACTTCCAGAACTGGTATAATGGATCTGTTGAAGGATCGTTTTCTTTCACCTCAGAATTTTTATTAATAGAAATACCCTTTTTTGCAATTTCCTTATCAATAGTTTCTAATCTTTGTTGCCATTTGTGGAAGGCATTTTTTGTCCTATTTACCTTCTTTTCAAGATATTTCAAAGCAGAATTGTTTGGTAAATCATCCGCAATAACTATCAAGTCACCAAAATATGATATTACGTTTTCTCGAATATAAGGTTCTTCTAAATTTGGAGGAGCTAAAATAAAAACACTACTAGTGGATTTAGATGACATTTGTCTTCTGTCTAGTTGGACAATTGTGGGAACCCAATCTTTAAATATAATTTTTAAAATAGATTCTGGTACATATTGCCAGGATTGAGATAGCCTTAGTATTGGAATAGAACAAACAATTGTGGCAATTGTTAACCACGAAACCATATCACCCAACTGTTCTAGTCTACAACCTAATTGAACCCATTTTATAAGTACTTTAGCTCTAGTTCTAGCGTCAGATATAAAATTGCGGTGGGCACTGGTATTCGACTGTGCCTCTAGGGTAGTCTTATGAGATGGGAATAGATGGCATATCAATAGTCTCCCTAAGAAATGAACATTCTCTGAGTTGTTGAATACTAAGGGATTAAGTATAGTGATATCCATGTCAATATATTTAGAAGAGTATAATAGCAAGTAATCTAGTCTAGGAGCCCACACTTTATCAAATTTTAAATTAATTAAATGGATATTATTGGCAAATGTTTTAGTATCCAGGGATAAAAATTTATTGATATCTAATAGTTCATCTAATAACTTCGGATTAATTTTTAGTAGGTTCCCAGATTTATCTGAAGAATTTGGTCTTATGAAATATGTTAACTTATTTAGTTCATTATATTTGTTTGCAACAGCTATTTTTAAACTATTTGAAATCTCATCATTATGTAATGAGATTGTATCTAATAGTGTAATCGTTGCCTGAAATATTTCGTCACTTAATAAAAATCCTGGGAATGTATTTAACACAGTTTTTACCACTAATGCTAATCGATCTGTTAATAAAGCATCTTTTTGTTTAGAAATATGAAAATACTGAGTTGAATTTAAAGCGATTTTAGAATTATTCTTCGTGAAAGTCAGTCCAAATTGGTTAAAAACAGTCAAAAATTTAATAAAATCATTGATTAACGGTAATATTAATAAAAGATTGGATATATCAATACCTGATGGTTGTAAATTGGTTAAATGGGAGGTTTCTGAGATATTGTCAGTGTGAGAATGGAAAAGAATTGTGTGGCATAAACTCTCCAAAGAACCATCAATAATTTTATCGGTATGAGGGTCTATTATTAAATCAGGATGGGGAAATTTATCATTTAAATATTTTATTTTACAATTAGTTGTAGCATCACTGGAACTGTTAGTTATCTTATCATCTATTGTGGTTGTGCTGGAGTTTTGTACTGATGATAAAGACCCTGCAATAGTGGCTCTTTTGCTATTATTTTTATTTTTAGTGTTCATACTTGGTAAAGATTCGGTAGACAGTATTGTGGACCTATCAATAGTATCGTTGTTTGTAACATTATTATTTTCAGGTGGTAGATTTGGATCAAAACATTTGATGTTATTATTGACACCATTCTTGTATAAAGAAAACACAGAACCTTTTAGTTGAGCTCTATAAAGTCTATAATCAGGTATAATAATTTGTTGAGATTGTGATTGTGAATGGAAATGATTTTTATTATTGTTATTATATGATTCAGGACGTTGTATAGATGAGTCATTTTCATCAGTAATATTATGAGGACCGGATATTAGTAATTCTTTAGAACTACTGTTATTATTGTGGCTATAATTACTAAAGAATCTACTTTCTCTCTTGGAAGAATGCTTATCCGTATTTAAGGACCCTGAAGAGGAAGGGGACATTGCAGACGCTCCACTTTGATTATGGTAGTTGGGGTTATTAATAGTAATCTGGCCGTGAGATTTATTAATCCAATCAGACTTAAAGATGGTGGAATCATAAGTTTTATTGTTCAAACGTATTGTAATATTTGCAGGCTTGTCATTGTTTTTCAAAGAGGTAGAGTTTAAAAGATCTGGATCTGTATCAATATTATTTGTTGATTTTGCGTTGTTAATGTCCTGATCAATTCCAGGGTTTATGATGTTGCTGTTATTATGGTTGTTGACTGTTTCATAGAGTAAAACTGAGTTAGTATCATCGTTTTTAGGTAATAAATGGTGAGTACTTCCTCGAGACACAACACTAATAGTAGAATGGTTTTTAAAACTGAATAATGAGTTGTTTTTAGTATTGAGAGACACTACCGGTTGGCTTGAACTGTTTCTTAAATAGGATTCCTTTGAAATGATAGAACTTTTACGGCTTTGTTGATGCAAATGGGAATGAGATTGAGAATGAGGTTGAGAATGAGATTGTTTAGAGTTGTAGGATGGAAGATTTTCTACTGATTCAGAATGATGATGATTACTATTAGATTTATTTGGCAAAATATTTGACAAACTGTTTTGAGTTAAAGTAGATAAAGAGGTTGATGAGGATGATCTTGTTTTATTTTTGGAGAGTTCCAATATGTGTTGTTGTTGGCTCAACTGACTAGAATATTTTCTATGTTCTTTGTTTTTGATAGTGTTGACGTTTTTATTGTTTGAAATGTTTTCATTTTTAGAATTAGATGAAGTTGAAGATTTCCTTGACCAAAGAAACCCTTTCATGATTGTATATATGTGTATAGATTGATAGATAGATAAATAGATTAATAGATGGATGGATGAATAGATGAATAGATAAATATGGAATATTGTTTATTATTGTATCTGATTAGATCAAATAATAACAGTAGTAGTATAGGGAAGTAAAAGGTAAAGGAAGTAGTGAAATAGAGATATTTCTATAGATTTTAGTCTATAGATTTTATTAGATATTACAGGTAATTTTTGATCTAAGTTTTCTGAGAATCACTATTTGATCTGTGCGTATCACCTTCTAAACTCACCTAAAGTGACAGGTTAGTAAAGGATTAAAGAAAAGGACGTTCCAATATAGAATATTGAACAATAAATAAATGGACTGGAAGGAATGAAAGCAAAGAAAAAGGAGGATTCGTTTGTTGTATACTCTAGATCACCTATTTGGCAAATATCAGTTTTCTCTTCCTGTTTCGTGTCTGTTAATTTTTTTTTTGGCTAGTTTATTGATTTCCTAGGATCTAAATTTGAAAACTGCTCTTTTTTCTTTGAGGAGACGAAAAAAAAAATTCCCAAAAAGAAAAGAAAAAAAAAGCTTAAGGGCTTCTTTCTTTCTGTTTATTGTTTTTTTCGACTGCCTTTGTACTGTCGACTGTTTTGTGTTCTATTGTTTCTGGGTTATCCCCTCGAGGACGCAAGTCTGTGTCCCAAAAGGGAGATTTGTGGAAAAAAAAAAAGCTGCTTCAAGGTTCCAAAATCGTAACCCTAAGACATCATATGTATAACTTTATTATATATATATATATGATGTGCACTATACATACATACAACTGTATGGTATATATGTATATACAATAATATATTACAACAAAGTTATACATATTTACCCTTGAGGGGGGAGATAAGGGGAGAAAGGTCGAGTTTCTTCCACATGGATCTTGTGGATTGAAAAACCTCGAAATAGGTTTAAGAAAAAAGAAACTTCCAATAAAGAAAAAAATAGCAAAAACCCTAATGAACGGTGGGTTAAGAGTTTGATGTTTTTTTAACAGTGAAAAATTTTTTAAGTTAAAAGTTTGCTTTATCTTTTTTTTTGTATGTATATATTTTATGTATCATCAAAAAAGAAAAACTTGCTTTTCAATTGATTTTTCAATGTTATTTCTCATTATTCTGTGGTTTGTTCACTTTTATTTAAATGATAATTGTTTGTTTGAAAGTATGGATACCTTTATATTCTTCTTTTTTTTTTCTAGTTTTGAATATATAACATATGTTGTACTGGCTCTAGTCGTTTGCTTTAGCTGAGGAAACAACCATCCAGCTTCAATTGATAAATTGCTTATTCTTTACAAATAAAATCTTGTATTTTTAGACTTTTTATAAGAAAATTGGTATTGTTTAGAGTTTTTTATTTGTAGTAGATAGTACTATTAGAAATACTTTAAACTTAACCTAGTATTATTAAATTCGACTCACTCCATTTTCAAATATTAGGTACTACATCTTAAAATGTTCAGTAGATTATTTTAATTCTGATAAAAACTTGAAATTTTTGTTTCACATTTCTGAAGATTTCTTCTTGAAAAATTATTTTTCTCCTTCATAATTTATCTTTGATTTCATACTTGTCTGTGTATATTTCTTTTAAAAGATTATTCATATTCTCTCTGTACTTTGTTTTGGTCACTATCAATACATAGATGATTGGAAGCCATAAGTTGGTTTTATTTCAAATCACTAATCAGTATGAGGGTCATATCAATATTTATATAGAGATTGTTTGATGATTTACATACATTTTTCAAAATTAATAATAACCTTTTTGGATTTTTCTTGAAAATTTTTTGTAATTTTTTATGAAGTTTGTATTGAAATTTTTTTTTTAGTTTGTTCTTGAGTATTACTTTTTTTCATATATAATTTAGTAGGTTTCATTTCAAAAGTTTTAGATATTCATCTGGTTATTTTTCTATATTTTTCATAATTATTCTTAAATGATCAACCTTTTTTGATTTTTAGATTACCGAAGGTAATGCATTCATTGTATAGATTTTTACTATGAAAAATTTGACAAAATAAAACTAATAGAAAATTCAAATTGTCTTTACTCTAAACTTAAAGAGGAAGAATTGTCCAGAATTATCATATTTTCTATAATCAAATAAGAAGAACCATTTAAATTTTTTTATTTTTATTTACTCTTTGGATTTTTAGTTGTATTAATAAATATTATCACAGGGATGGTTTTACATAGTAAAACTGATCTCAATATGTATATCAGAAAATTAGGGAATTTATAGAAGAAGAATTTTGCGAATATAGAGATCATTGGTTTTCTTTAAGAACGAAGAAGGGTTATCTTAATTGCAAGTGGTAGTATTATATTTAGTATTTTTTTTGTTTGGATTGAAGTTATTTTGAAGTTAAATTATTCAATGGTTTGTTTAGAAGCATTTTTTTTAAATAATTGTACATATATATATAATTGAGTATTTTTGATTTTTATAATATCATGTTAACATACGATTTTTTAATTTTTGTTTATTATTTTAATAAACAGCTTATTTTCTTAATTTTTTATGTCTGCAACATAAACTACTCCATTAACAAAAAAAAATCCAAACAAATCTTTAGTATGTACTACTCAGTTTTTTAAATACTATCCACTTCAAAGTGACACTTTTATGTATTAAGCGTAACATCCTTTACCGGTTTCACATATTGTTTTTTACATGTGATATCCAACATAACTATACAATTAGAGCATAAAAAAGAATTCTCCAAAAAAAAAGAAAACTTTTTATAAAAGAAAACACTTAATATACCTTATAAATAACAAAGTATTTTAGCCTTGTAAACTGTATAATATAGGACTATATAACTAATATAAAATTGGAATAAAAATTATAATTATTATAAAACATTTTCTACTCTTTTTCAACAAGTATGCCTTAAAAAAATGGATGTTTTATTTTAAAAATAACAGTAATCTAAAAAATCAATAAATTCAATATGAAAAAAAAACAATTTTTATGAACATTTTATTAACCATTCTTAAATATCTATTTCACATAACATAATTTGTCATATATTATATTGAAAAGAATAAGAAATTGCGAATCTTTGTTATTGGCAGAAAGACTGTATTTCTTGCTAAAATCTACTACAAAGAAAACCTTCTATTTATCTTTGACCATAAATAAAAATACACATGAAAGTCTTTAAACTCATACCTTTTTCTTATTACAACCAATCCATTGTTTTTACTTGTAGTAGTCTTTCTTATTTAAATTTCAATAATTCAATAATATATACAATAACAAAAGAATGGTATATATCCTCTTTAAAAAAAAAGAAGATTTTGCATGCTAACAGTGTGTTTTTAAAGAGCTTTCTTTTGTTTTTTCTTTAAGGGCTTTGAAAAACGTTTGATTTCACTTAACAAGATGTCATCGGGTTTGAAAAAAGTTCTCTTGTTTTTATCAGATGAAATATGAAAGAAAAAAACCTACAGACCAAATATATATGTATATTGACTGTGACATTTAGTAAATAATTACACTACATAGTGAATAAATTAAATTAATAAACCAACAAAATAATTGTTAATGTAGTTATGAATAGATTACTAAATAACGATCCTTCTTCTTTGTTACTTGTTATATGTTACTTATTATTATCTATACACATCCTTCATAAAGACATCTTAGCTAATTTCAATGCGGATTCTTTGCTCTTAGCACCACCGATGAATCCTGCAGCATGAATGAAAATACAATCAGGAACACCACTCTTTTCACTTAATTCCTCATCCCTCAAGCCCCTCAATTCTTCTGGTAGCCCTTTTCTAAATTTGAATGATGTTGAAGTGACAGGTACTGTAGAGACTCTCCATGATCCGCTAGAATCAATAAATATGACGAATTCTATTGTGTTCTCAATATCTTCATCTGATTCCACATTATATAAATGTTCTTTCCATGGACAGAATTGAGATAACACAATAATTTTACCACTTGGGTCGACTTCCATTCTTTTTTTAATTGCTTCAACTACAATATTCTTGGCTGGCAACCATGAATTAAAGTAATTATTCACTAAATTAACAAAAATTTCACCAATAAATTTACTAGCCTTTTCAAATGCTTGATCAAATGCAGATGGACTTGTATCAGTTGAATTCCATAATGGATTCATGGTAGAAATGATTCCTGGGATAGTAATTGCATTATCATTAAATTTAACTGTCTCACCTTCTTGTAGATCATATTTATTTATACCATTGTCATTCGCATCAAGTGATTCAATAAACTGTTTATAGACTTTTTGATATATAACCTCTAAATCTTCTTCATTAATAACATCCCCAGAAATCTCATCATTAGTATCATTACCTTTGGATATAATAGATTTTATAATACGTTTGCCAAAATGTTTATAAATCAAGCCAGCGGATGACAATTTAATATTATAGTCATCGGAAAAAGTTTCCATAAATTCTCGTTGATGATGGTCAAAATATTTGATACCATCATACTTAGCAGAAACATCCACTACAATGTCACTCTGTTCCCAATCCTCTGGGTTACGAGACCTAACTAATTTAGCATCTTTATATTCTGGCAATAACCTTAACATGTAAACAGCGAGAGACTCATCAGCATGGAAGGAACCTGAATGTGTACTAATTTGTTTCGGTGTCATCTTCAATTTTTTATTTTCAGATATATATATTTTTTTATCTATTCCGTCTCTCAGAACACAATTTGATGAATTAATATAGATTAGTTTAATTATTAATATTAATGAGTAACAGCAATAGTGAAAAAAAAACAATTGATGTACAAGAGACTAAATGAGATATAAATATAAGCATATTTATGTTTAAACTAAAATTTTCTTTCCTTTTTTCATCTCATCTCATTTTCTGTTTTTTTTTTTTCTTATTTTTCTCTTATTTTTCTCTTTTCTTTCTCTTTTTTTCTCCTTCCTTTACAGATAGTCAGGATTAATAATAAAATAAAACTTACTTGTTTTTTCCTTTTCCTAATAGAAAGTAAACTATTGGTGACATCAAAGGGCCTCTCAGTATTATTGATATCACATTTCTGTGCAATATTGTAAATATTGGTGTCGGTATCTTTTAACGTGAGTCTAGAACAGATTACTTATTAATGGATTGAGATAGTCTCTGGTGTATTTTATCTGTTTTGTTTCTGTTCATTTTGAATTATAATAAAAGAGAATAGTTATGGTCAGAAGTCGTAGAAACTCGTTGGTTCAAAACATTGCATCCAAACCTTCAATATCCAATGAAATATATTCTATTAATAATATTTTTGATGATACGTACCTGGTTCATAAGTTACAAAACTTATCTTTGGAATTAACTAGTAGCGGTATATTAGATAATTCTAATGGTGGTAGTGATACATATACCAATTCTAGTAACACTTCTAACATTAATGATCCAGATATACAAGCATGTATATCTAATAATAAATACACCATTTATGAAGACTATCTAGAAAAATTGAATGATACATTAGATAATTATCAAGATACGTTAAATGATATACAGTCTATTAATGATAATTTTGATCATATTATTTATCAATTTAATCAGATATCTTTATCTACCACAAAATTTCTTAGTGATATATCTGAATTTCATGATTCTCATATTGAATTGACCAAACTTTCTGAAACTATTCCTAAATATTTGCATTATTTTGATTCACTAGATTTAATTATGCGTAGATTAAATCATTCTACCTCAGCTAATATAGTAAAAAGGGATTCTTTTAGGAAACTATTAGCTAATATTGATGAGTCATTGATATTCTTCCATTCACATGCAGATTTATTAGATTCGGAGAGCTATAGAATCAAATTTAAACAATGTCTGATTAGAGCATGTACATTGATATCACATTATGTTAGTAATATTTTTAAATTAACGTATAATGATATTTCAGAGAAAGACAATTTATTACAAAACCCGAATACAAGAGATGCATTGATTTATAACAAATTCTCTTCTATCAGTGAAATTATTTACCAACCTCTTCAAGAATTGTTGACTCGTTGTTATGATAGCAATTTAATTAGATATAGAGATGAATTAGTATCTATATTAAAAGATTGTTATGGGACATATTTTGATATAAGAAGTAAACTTTTATTCCCTGTCATTTGGTCTCAATTAGATGAAATTATTACAAAACAAAAAGATTGTAATTTAGTCACATTTCTTGGATCTATGAAATCATATTTTCAAGATGTATGCCAAAATGAGTATAAGTTGTTTATTACTTTTTTTACATTGAATAGTAAAAGAGAGAAAGAGATTAAAGATGTCATCAATTCCTGGTTGGTTAAACTTTGTGAACCATTATACAACACTACAACAAACAAAATTCTTAGAGAACCTGAAATTAGTCAACTTTGTGATTCGATTGTTTTATTCCAACCATATTATGAATTTGAGGAAGGTTCGGAAGAGTATATGAAACAGTTTAATGAAGTATATTATAATACAATATTTGAACCAATTATGAATAAATTACGAAATCAATTAGCCAAAAGATGTAAAAATTTAATCACTACAAATCTGCTTGATTATAAACCCACAATTAATGATCTTATGATTTCAAATCGTGATACTTCGAAAAAATCAATGACCGAATATGAAACCTCTATTTTGAATTCTTATGTAGATACATTGTCGCAGAGACTGTTATTAAATAATACAAGGTTTGAATCTACGAATATGATCCTGATTACTTATTATACTCCATTATTAAGATCGTTATCTTTACTTTTCAAAATTTATGATATTTTAGTTGACTCAACTTTATTTGATGAACTATGTCATTATGTGGTCCATAATGGTATTCTTTCCTTAAGACGTGCATATAGTTTACATCATGGATCTGCAAATACATTGGATATAAAATTAATTTATTTAACCAATCTTTTGTTGCTAAGAGATGAAATGCAAAACTTGAATATATCTAATAAATTTGATGAATCTAATTCGCAATTAAGTTTCTCCCCAATGGAAACCATTATTAAATCAATCAAGTGGAGCAATTCAGCATTATTTAGTTTTGCTAAGGGTTTGGTTCCTGGGAGAAGAGAAAACAGTATTTATAGTAATGGTAATGAGGGCGATTTTACTACTACAATTGTTGCTGAACGATCCCAACAAATGAGATCTCATGTTCAGGAAAAGAATTTTCGATTTGAATTAATTCAGGAACTTCGTAAAATAATTAAGATTATTACTGATGATATTGGTTCAGAGATTATAGGTGAGACACTACACATTGATACTACAGATAACTATGAAACAAATGAAGAGTATCAACAAGAACATTCATTAGTTGATAAAAATAAAAACTTTGAGAATAATATGACGGACTCTCTAAAAAAAGTCTATACAAGAATAATGGAAATAATTCATAACAAAACCATTTGTAAATTTTTGTTAGAGGCCATTAAAGACTATATCATCAACGAATATAGACAATACTATACCAAGTTGTCCACGTTGATTGAGAAGAAACAGACTAACAGAGACATATTAAATGAGATTATGACACCGGATGTAGTTTCCCAACTGTTTTATAGTAACTTAAAGAGTTTAACTGAGAACAATGCCGCAGCATTGTAATATTTAGAAAAAAATGTAAAAATTAAGAAAGGAGAATGCTTTATGATACAAATTATATAGCTAGTAATATGTAATCTTATCTACTACGGTTAAACCATCCTTGAATATTTTGATTGCTAATTTATTTAAATCAAGACGAAATGGATGTTTTCACCTAAAATTTATGGCATTTTTTTATTTCTCTAGCGACTGAGTGACAAATGACCTAACAAATTTTAAAACATTTTTTTTAAAAATACCCATATTTTTTAACCGTTTCGTGTGGGTTCATAAAGACATATTACTATAAATTAGAAAAATAACAGTGAGGAACGGTCATGCTAAGTATTTTTTATGTAAGCTATTTTACATTATCCAATTAAATTAAGAATACAAATGATATATTCATTATATATAGAGGAAAGTATAGAATGTGGATAATTTATTATTTCTGAGGTTAATGAAGACTAAAGACAAGTTAGAAAAAATATTTTTTAACTAGATTGATAAACAATTGAAATAAATTGACGAAAAAGGTAAATGTTAGTCTTTTTAGTTTACTCCATAGCTGACTTCTCTTTTACAATCTCTCATCATGATATTTCAGTAAAATTACTATAAGATCCCAAACAAATCTTTCCTTTCAAGGATCCAATACAGTAATATCCTTATTTTATTTGCTTGAACAGTCTTCAAATAATTATGGTAACCATAGAAAGTATTTTAAGACATATCCAAAAATGGCTTGTTGTTCTTTTCTCTCTCTTCTTTTTTTTGGATTTTAACACATTCTATATAAAGTAGGCATAAAATAATAATAATAACTATGAAAATGAAAATATTAATACTTTCAAGAATAGGTATAGTATGGATTGATAAGTATATGATATACGTAGAAAGGGAGAAAATATTTTTACTCGACAAATCAAATAGAATAACAATAAACACCATTGGCTATCTAGGATGATTTGTTACTAATGTTGCAATCTGATCCTTCGGAGCTTATAAATAAGATAGAATTATAAATATGTACTTAGGGGAAGGGTGAATTAGATCTTATCTGCTTAAAATCATATACAAAGAGAAAGGAATGTATGTTTGAAGTGAACAGTAATTTAAGATAAACTTAGTATGAAACAGCTATACTGTGTATATATGTTGCTCATAAATTTAAATTGCTGTATCTAATAATTGTGGGTAAATATTTGGTATATATCTTCCTTCTTATTTATTTGCAACTAAGGTTGTAATATATCTATTTATATTACAATTTACTACTTGTTTCAAATTGTTTTTTTATCTATTCCTCCTTTACCTTTTTTTTTGTAAAAAAAATTTTCTCACAAAGAATAAACGTGTTAAGATGAAACACAGAATTAGAAACAAAAATTATGACAATTCAATTCGTGGAACCAAATACACTGTACTCAAAAAAGCAAGGTATCTGAAAAATACTGATAATAAATATTATATTAAAATAAGTAAAAATTGAAATTATAACCAGTCAACAACTATATATATATATAATTAGGGATTTAATATTTCATAGTTGTTTTCTTGCTATTGAATAAAGGATAGATGCCATTTGCCTAGAAATTGTGACATATGAAATCCTGATGTCACTATAAACGATCTCGTGGATTCCTTAGTCGACGACGACGCTCTTGTTTTTCACGTTTATTTTGTTTATATAACTATGTTTATCTGTATATCTATGTATATTAGTTCACTCTTTATGTAGAGTATAGTTCATATGTCATATATAGACAACAATTCAAGCTATATCTATCTAATTTCGCGTCTAGAAGAGTATATCTCTCGTAATAAGTTTTCATCTATTACAAATACGGTGCAAAAAAACTCCGCGACGGGGAATTGAACCCCGATCTGACACGCGACAAGCGTCCATTCTGACCATTAAACTATCACGGACAAAGAAGGAAAAGAGCACTCACGCTGGGGGTCGAACCCAGAATCTTCTGATTAGAAGTCAGACGCGTTGCCATTACGCCACGCGAGCCCAGAACCTGCGATTGTGTTGTAGTATGGTGTGGTGAAGTTCTTTGTGTATTCCAGGGAAGCGCAAATAATATTAATAGTAATTCAAATAATCGAGACAGTAATCAACTATAGTCAATAGTATAATTACTAAAACGGTCTTATATATTAAGCGGCTTATATCGAGCTAATGTACTTATTCGAAGTTACTTGACTTGTTACTTGCTTGTTGTTCTCTTTTTTTCATATATAATATATAAATTATTTACAAGAAACGGTTATGGAAGATGATCTTTTATCTCCAGAAAACGTTGTCCTTTTATATGTTTTCTGGAGCTCGATCGATTATTCAGGTTACTACATTAATGACTTGACTGATTCAACCCTAAAATTTATTATATTAATTTAGGTGCACTACTGGATTAGAACTGCATCCCAATTCTCTAATCATGGTGATTAGTAATACACGTGGGACTTACTAAAACAATAGGTAAATTCTAGATTTGCCAAGGTCTTATGTAATCCAATCTTTTTATTATGCAGCATCTAATGTTGTAGCACATGTATGGCTTATTAATACACTAATTGGTTCTAGATTCATTCAGGATCTTATGTAATCTTGATGGTTATAACTATTCTATTCCACAACAGATTGTGTTGTAGTTTGGACTTAGCACCAATTTTTTAACAGTACTATTGAACGAATAGTAAGGGCAATAACAAATATATAAGAACGTTATATATATCTAAGAGAATTAAACCATTATTGCTTGTTCTGTTTTTTTGTATTATACAATGTGCTACATATAATTATAAATCAACCAAACATATAAATTTAGATACCAAGATACTGGTCCTTTATATATGAACTATGGGTTGATAGTTTCTTATTTGAGGTTCTGTAACGACTGTCACCGTAGATACATTTCTCCTTAATTAGCTATTTAATGTTTCATGAATGTTTCATTTTGTTACATAGTATTCAACAATCACATGGGATTTATCAACAAACCCTAAGTCCTATAAATCCAAACTAGAACTTTTCTTGACAACCATTACAAAACCCTAACAATATTTTTCAACCCTAATCGTTTTTTATATATAATCATAATACCAAGGTTGATCTACAACAAACGGCGATTGAATTCCTCCGATGTAGTGTAACGGCTATCACATCACGCTTTCACCGTGGAGACCGGGGTTCGACTCCCCGCATCGGAGCTTCCTTTTTGCAACTGTGGTAACCCCGATGGTTATGTGTTTTTGATAACTGTTAATCTTGTTGAAATAATAATAAAACCTCAGCTGGATAGATATAAAATATAAACTTTTTCTATATCTCTAGATATAATATTCCTCTATATCTATATATCCGTGTCCCTAATCTACTAGAACTAAAAATTTAAAAAAATCCATTTCTGTAGTAAATGACAAAAAATTACAATACTATTTTATTTCTTTTAATACAAAATCCACTGATACCTATAATGAATGGAGTAACAATTATTAATAAAACACATAGGCTAGTCATTTGGTTTACAAATGCGTTATAATACCCCTCATAACGTAAGAGTAGACCACTATATTTTTCGCAATATACAAAGATAATTATCAAGAGTATTTGAGATTTACAATAATTGTTATTTTAGCTTGTTCCGTATTTTGAGTTATATAAGTTTTTCAACGTAATATAGCCCGCTTTTCTCATAATAAATGAATGCGGTAGTACATTTCATTATATTTTAGTAAAACCAAAAAAGATAAATTTTTAAAAATGTCCGGGTAACAAATATGTATTTTTTAATAATGAAAAATTCTTCGAAACAGTAAAATATTTGAAAAGACAAAAAAAAAAGTCACTTTCTAAAAAATGATAAAAGAAACAAGTAGACAGTTCAAACATAGATCTCTTCTTTTAATACAATATAATATTTTTTCCTTCCCAAACTGCATCATATCCAACAATGATTTGGAATTCCCTGCCATTTGAAACATTGTATGCCTCTATTCAAAATAATGCCTTTGACTCAACAGTATTTCAAAAAGTTTTGAGTGACCTTCAGAATTTAAATTTAAATGCCAATAAATCAAAAAATCAAGAAAGTAGATCAATTCTAGAGAAAGGTAAAATTAAAATTAGTGATGGGTCAGAATACAAGTTAAGTCAAGAATTCATTGTTTCAGCTATAAAATTATCCGATGAACTAAATTTAGATGAAATTGTTACTTGTGAATTAATGCTTTCGAATTTATCAGACTCAGACTATTCTAAAAATGATAGCCTTTTATTAATTAATAATGGTAAGACAGCATATTATTTGAGAAGACAATATATACTGCAAATTGTATCTTATATTGTTAATTGTCTAGATCGAAATGATCATATTATCAATCAACTTATTTTCAGTGATTCCAAATCAACTCTACTATCCAATATCTTACCTGCATTTACATCAATTCATTGTCAGTTAAATGATATTAAACAAATGATTAATCGAGCACAAATTTTAGAGCAGAATGGCATCCTTTTTAATCAAACTATTAAGTTCAGAAGAGAATTTTTATTAAAAGAATATGATATTCTTGGACAAATTCTATATGGTTTAATCAAATTAGGATGCTTTTTAGATAAACAATCTATACTAAATATAATAGAACATGTTGTAAAATTAGATGTCAACGATTATTTCACAATCTACTACTTACCGGCGTTATTCTTAGCATTCAATAATTTAGAAACTTTTAGCAAAGAATCGGAAGTTAAAGATCTGTATTTACTATTTGTGAAAGATTTAAAATCCGATGATGATATTTCCTTAAAGCCAATCAAAGTTTTATTGATTTTTGTATTTTTGACATTTTTTATTTCATGGTGTAAAGCAAAACCTAATGAAAGAACGAAATCATTAGATTTTAAAACCGATATTGATGAACCTATGAGATTGGCTGTTGAATACGGTGCTTTTGAACAACTGTTAACCATTACAGCAGACACTTCTTTAATTGAAAAAGATAAGAGTATTGATCTGTACTACGATATTAGAAGCCTTTTGCAAAGACATATTCCAAAATTAATTCCAAAACAATTATTAGATGATGAAAGTTATTATGATAAAAGTTTCAAACAAAATGAGATAATGAATATAAACCACACTGACATAAATATAAATAAACCATTAGCAAATACTACAACAGTAAATAATATATTTTCTAAGGTTGATATAACAGCCAATCAATACTCTCCTGAAAACATTCAGTTGTCGGAACAAATGGATTCTTTCTTTTTATTTAGTACCCATAATGTACTTCAAACAATTATCAGTGATTGTGCATTCCTTTTAACAAAGATTAAGGATGCTGAAGAGGACTCATTACTTTCTAGTGAAGATCTAGATTTAGATATTATTTGTGAAAAAGCTGAGTTGGAAAGGTTTTTTATTGCACTATATTTCTTCTATACTTTAAGACCAGAATACTCAAAGGAGTTTTTAGAGAATAAAGAATCTAATTCCTATGGATTTATTGAATGGGCAGCCAAATGTTCGGATAGTCTTATGAGATCATGTTTTTATTTGTTGATATCAAGTCTTTCACATGGTTATGACAATGCAACACAGATATTTAATTATTTCGGTGACAATAATATAATATCTTGGAAAATAATTGTTCAGTATTTTACAGATTATATTGAAAAAATCAACAAGTTTAATAATTTAGAACAGCAAAGGAACCAAAACTTAGAATCAGCTGAGATAGATTCTTTGACACTAGCCCTTGAAGTAGGTCTGAATGAGGAATCAAATATATTGTTATCATCTCTATTAACATTAATTAGTTCGGTAGCACATAACGTCGATAATTCCATTAGATCATCTTTAGCATCTTTATTTATTGACAAATTATTTGAATTTTCTAGACTGGATACACCTCTAATAGGCGCATGCCTTAAGACCTTGAGTAATTTGACTCCAAGAGAAACAAAGGAGAAAGCAAAATTTTGGTTTGCTTTGGACTCCATGATATTTAAAAGATCAAAAATTAATAATTATACAACTTCATACATTGCTCCATTCTCGTCTACTTTTACAAATTTTACTGAGATTCTCGGGTTTTTACACTTGTTTAGAAAACTAATCCAAAATAATCAAAGTGATGATAATTCGTTTGGTAAGTTAGAATTTCCAGTAAAATTGGGTCATGGTTATAGAAAAGTTGGTATTGTTCCATATTTTGATTTTATAATACATCAAATTTTTGTTCCTTCTTTAAAAATAATAGATAAAACCTATAAAGAGGGTATTCTGCTTCCTATTTTAGAAACATTTAAATATGCACTGGAATCATTTGACAATTATATTATTATGAACTCCTCTACCATAAATATTAACCTTGACAAGTTAGTTGTTACATCAGATTTTTTTACCTATGTTCAAGAATCTCCTGCTACTGTTGTCTTAAATTATTTATTAGAGGAATCAGTATATAAGGGATTATTTGATATTCTTCGATCCGATAAAGGAGATTCATTTTTTGAATCTAACGTACCATATTCATCAATGAAATTAATAGATTATGTGTTAAATATCATATACAATATTTTAGAATTCCAAGATACCTATATTGAAGAATTAGTTCCAATTGTAAAAAAGTATCACAATACAGATTATGTACTTCCTAAAGAATTTGGTACACACGGGTTACGTTCTTTCTACGATGCAGTTTTTTTTAACTTAGATATAATTGCTCATTTGGGACTTTATGTTGGATATAAAAATTATAGTATCTCATCTAAATCAGTTGCCATCCTCAATAAAATTGCTATGAAATACACATATAAGTCATCCCAAGTATATAATCAAAGCAAATTGTTGGTAATGCTGGATGCAGTTGATGAATCTGCCAAAATAAAGGACTCATTTATTTTCCAATTAGAATCTACCATTGACTCAGAAGATGCACTAAATATGAAGATTGAAATTTTGGAATTTTTAAACCACAATTTATCTTATACTGACTCGTCAATTACTGTATCACATTTTCTTTTGGGTTTTCATGTATCTAACATATTATCTCTTGGTCCTAATTTTCCCACATTTATTGCATCTGGAACTTCATTATTTAGGACTATCTTATATGTCCTACAAACATCATTAGAAGAAATAGACTCTGCTAACGTAAGTTATGCTCCAATGAGATTGGCATGCATTTGCATGGAAATATTGCTAAAGCTATGTCGTAATCCAACAACTTCACGAATTGTTTTAGATGTATTATTACAATATGGTTTCTTTGAAACTATTGTAGGTGTTGATTTATCTATTACAAAGTACACTAGATGGGAGAGTCAATTATTCCAACCTTCTTCTGTTGATTTTGCCAATAAATTTATTAATTCGCCATCTATCGGTGCGTTATTCTCATTTTTAAGTTACAGAAATTATTTGATTCAATATTTAAGTTTATTTATCCATAGAGTGTCATCTTTTGGTACTAGTTCACAACTTCTTTCCTATATTGATTTATTAATTTCTAACACAATGTATTCAGCCAAAATATTTTCCTTTTTAAATAGTCTAGGTTATAAGAATATTAAAATTGATAGAAATTTAGCTGGTGTTGATTCATACCTATCTGAATTATCAATCGATTTAACAACAATCAAATTAGCAAAAAGGTGTAATGAGAATGTATTTGAAATGGACAACATAGACAGACTGTTGTCCTTGGGAAATCAATCACAACAACTATCTTCTACAAAATCTAACTTAACATCAACAAATAAAGAGGAAAAAAATACTGGTATATACAATGAAAGTTATAGAAACCTAAGACAGCATATTATTACTTTTGTTAGTGATTCAAAGCTAAACGATCTGCAATTTTCCATTTTGCACTCATGGGCTCAGTTGGTTCAAATATTGGTTTCTGATGGAAAATTGGGACCACTGAAACGTTCAAACTTTATCCTCGAAATATTTAGCATCATAATTCCCAAAATTAATGATTATGTCGAGTTTGATATTCGTTTATCCGAAGATCTAGTATCATTAGTAGTATTTTTGTATGATATCTATAATCAAGATCGTCTTACAATTAATCAAAAAGACTTATTAGATGGTCGCCTGCAAAACTTATTCAAAGTCTGTATTCATGGCATCACATCGCCATTATCATCCATACCTTTAAGAGCTGACTTTTATGTTCTTGCTAACCAATATTTAATTAGGGTGTTAAACGATCAAACATTTGCAGGTGATATTTTACAGAGTCTAAGAGTTCAGAGTGAAAGATTTGTGGAAGTTATTTGTAATGATATTATTTACGGGGAGGGTACGAGTCGTATTACTGCATTATTTTTATTAGATTCATTGATTAAAGTTGCTAAGTCCAATAAAGAAAATATTATTGTAGATTCCTTAATAAAGAATAGTCAACTTCATTTAATTATTTGTACATTAAAGAATGTCGATGTTTTAATGGGTTCAAAAGCGGAGCCAATTGAGATTGATAACTTCCTACATGAAATTACTGCTTTTAAAGCTATTATTTATCTTCTTTTGCATATTTCTGAAACAAAAAATGGTGTCAAATGTATCATTCAAAATAAGCTTCTCAAAGTAATAGGAGAGATCAAATTTTTGCAAGTAGATCCTGATTTAGGACTAAGGGTTATAGCAGAGAATAAATCCTTGCAGAAATCAGGTATTGTGGAAATTACTCTGGATGAAAGAAAACTAAGAATATATTCTAATAATAATATTTCTTTAAAAGAACTACTTATTCCAATCTTTCAATTGTTAGTTGTTATATTAATAAATGCAGGCAACCAAAATTACGAAGTGATCAGATCTGTAAGAGTATTATTGGCTTCTTTCGAGAAGCTATTAATAAGTGTATTTAAATATGACACTCTAGAGGAAACAGAGACTATAAGACAAGAACAGTCTCCAGGGGAGTTAATTAAGCTAATTGTATTATTATGTTCAATGACCGGCTATTATGGTGAAAAAAATATCTAATATATGTGTTAAGGACTAGTGTGAATTAACTTATAAGTACATAAATATATTAAAAAATTTACATCCAAATATAATGATTCATGTGTTTTATATAGTTTAGCTTATTTTAAGTCTGCTCAGAGAGCTGATACAATACAACTAGGTTCTTTGTTAAATAAAAGTCAAAAAAAAAAAAAAAAAAAAAAAAAAAAAAAAACAACTTTATGTGAAAGTGAATTACATACTTTCTGTATTTTTAAAAACAGGACATTGTAAGAAGAAATTTTATTTTCATCTAATAGCTTGCCCACTAACACATGCATATAACTATATACGTTAATCAAGGATATATTTGAATTTAAAGACTAAATAAAAAATTTTAATCCTAGCATAATCTCACGACTTTTTAGAAATCATGAAAGCAAAAGTTCAGAAATCGAATGTGTTCAAATTTTATACAACGACTAGTAATGGTATAGATTGATCATAAATATAGTAAAACCAGAATATATTATTGGATATTACTACTTTAATTATATTACTTTCTAAATAAAGTGAATAAAATTACAGATTGAAAATTTGAAAACATCGTTTCTTCCTCTATGGCGACATACCAATAATACACTTCTGTTTTGCGAACAATCGATATGTAAAAAAACAAAGCTTTAGTTTATATAATTATATTGATCAATCATTCATAAAAAAAAGAAAAGAAAAAAGCTTTCTTGCATTATAATATACAATAAATAAATATACAAAGCTGTGTTAATTTATTTTAGTGTAAAAGTAATTACAGAAGACTTCTGAAAATAGAGTTTAATTCAAACAAAGTGAGTCTGAATATACTTCATTAAATCATGGTAAAATTCCAATTGTAACTTATTAATACAATTTGGTAGACATATCTAATAAAGTATAGATAAAAGATTTATCATGTTTGCTAAATTTCAAAGTTGATAATAATCTTAAAGTATCATATTATCTGAAAGATATCCGAATTACACTATTTATCGACACTATAAGAACAGTATAATATATAACATATGACTATCTTTATAAGTACGTAGTTTCTCTAGTAATTTGGTAACAAATTGTAGAAACACTATTATCTTTCTACGAAATTCATTAAGCAAAGATTAGTGAAGTATTGTTACATAGGTATAAATTAGATCAACAAGTTTTTGAAAGAGATGCTTTTTTATCCGGAAAAGTAACTTCGCCTTAAGACTAACAATTCCGCATTGGTTTTCACTAAATATCTCTGAAAAAAAAAAAGTAAGAAGCATAAGCATGTTTCACCTAAACTGTCAATTATATAAAATAAAGGATAAAATTATGCCTAAAACTTAAAAGTTGCAAAGGAGTACAAAAAACATCTGAAATAATACAAGTATATAACATACTTTCTTTGCTGTCAGATAATGGCATAGGTCACCAATTATAAATTAGAAATTTTAAGCATGAATCTCTCTACAATTGATTATAAACCCTTGGATGACATCGCTTCAATCTTTTTGAATAAGACCTCATTAGATAATATTAACAATACAATATTGCTGACCAATAAATACAAAAATCATTTAAACGATATTATAAAGCAGAATAAGACTATATCATCCTTCCAAGATCATACAACTGAATTTTCAGAAACTACTATACTTAACAACGCATTGATCAAGTATAAAAAAACTAAGGACAAAGCTAAAAAAACAGAAACTACAATTAAAACATTAACTGAGGGAATTTCTCATTTAGATAATGCAAAGCATAATTTACTCCAAACTTTGAAGTTTTTTCAAAATTTCAAAATATTAGTAGATAATTATTTTGAATGCAAACAATTGCTACAAAAATCGGCATATATAGAAATGGTTTCTCCATATAAAATTATGTGTTCGTTAACAGAAAACACATTCGGTCCATTTAAATCTGTTGACGTGGTCAATAAAATGCTTATTTCTATATGGATTTTGAAATCAAATATTAATAAAAATATAAAAAAATTGTTTATACAGGTACTTGATACTAATGTACAAATAAATGAAACTCTAGAAAAACAGTCAAGAGATGGCGCATGTGAATTGATAAACTCTGAAGAAAACACAAAAAAGGAAATTATTGATTGGTTACTGGAAAGGATCTTATATGAATTGAAAGAAATATTTCAGTTAGATGATGAAGCAGGTTCTTTAGAAAATTTATCCAGGCGTTTTATTTTTTTCAAAAAACTATTAAACAATTTTAATTCAAAACATGCTTCCTACTTCTCACCTTCATGGGAACTTCCATTACAATTGACAAATAGATTTTACCAAATGACTAGAAAAGATTTAAAAGTTTTATTACACAGAGAATTTGGATACAAAAAACCATCTATTGACTTATTTATGCAGTCCTTACAAGTAACTTTAGATTTTGAAAAATATATTGATGTAAGATTCTCTAATAAATGTAAAGAGGAGAAGTTAAGCAGTCAATTTGAACCATATTTATCATTATGGGTATCGCATCAAGATGAGATTATGGAAAAGAAACTACTGTCTTATATGAGTGAAGTCAAGATGCCTTCAGACTCTTCGGACTCTTTAGTAGTTCCTTCAAGTGCAGACCTTTTCAGAACATACAGAAATATCCTAACAGAAACTTTAGAGTTGGTAGGCGAAAGTAAAAATGAATCTATTTTAATATCTCTATCAAATTTTTTTGCAAAATGGCTGACAGAATATTTAAACAAAATTTTAAAACCTTTATATGTTGTAGATGACTCAGTTTCAAAGGAACAGCATAATATAATCAAATATACAGTATTGTTAGTAAATACTTGTGATTATTGTTCAACCACTATTGATCAGCTAGAAGAAAAATTATCTATATTTAGTTCTAATGCAAGAGGTGTTTCTGATCCTTTTATTAAAGCTAAAGATTTTTATGATGAGCTACTTTCAAAGTGTAATAGTTTTCTTCTTAAAAAAACTATTCACATGGATTTATCTTTTGTAACTAAAGAGTTTGATAATACTGATTGGGCTCATATTACTGTTGAAGATTACAGTAGATATATGGTAACATTGAAGAAAATACTAACTTTTTCAAATCCCTCAAGTAATGAACCATATAAGAGTTGTCTACAAGAAACCATCACATTATTGAACAGAGATGTATACAAATGGAATTTTTTGAATAATTTCATCGATTCCTTAACATCTACATATGTTGAATGTGTTGTAAGACTTTTGCAACCCCTTCCACCTTTTGGTGAGTTAAGTAAAAGACGATCTTTTGATATCAAACAGGTTGTTAATATTGGAGAACAATTGTTATTAGATATTGAATTATTACGGAGTATACTAAATCTATTGGCTGAGAACATAGTCAATTCTAATTCAAATACTAAGTCATCTTATAAGTGGACACAAAAACATATAGAAAAAAATCTAGACGTGTTACTGGCCTTTTTTAAACTACTGGTGGTACCAATAACTTCATCAAACGATTATGTTACTACATATGCAAGATTGACCTCTCAAAATAAAAATCCATTAGTATGGGCATTTACTTTTTCTTTAAAAGGGGCTCCCTGGGATATCAATTTATGGAAAGAACATTGGCAATCCTTTCAAATATGGAGGGAAGTTAATACAACAGGAGAAAATGATTTGTTTGTGTATAAGTGGAATTTGAAGAATATTACTCGATATGAAACAAATCTAAAAAGAATTCAAGATTCAATATGGAAGGATTTTGTTAGAGGTAATCTTGAACTATCCGTACAAGCTAATAAGTAGATATATTAGGTTCTATCATTGGGTGTGAGTGTCTTAATTTTCGAAGTGTTTTTGATCAATTTAAATTTTGAAAATATTTTATATAATGCACGTCTATAAATATGTAGATAACGAAAGAAACTACTCTATTGCTCAGGTCAGCCTTGAATTAATCTGGAAGTCAAAGACTCTAAATCTTCCAAAGTTTGAGGTTCTGTTACCTCAATAATATCGTTGTTATCATCAGAGGCAGAATCTGATTCAGCCACAGATTCAGTGATCCTAGGTCTCTTAAATTTCTGCTCTTCATCCGAATCATAATCATGCATATCATCACTCAAATTACCAGTACCTAAATAGACCACTGGTTCTTCATAGTCTGATTCATTTGCCATTTCTCTTTCCATCTCTTTTCTCATAGCCTCTAATCTTTTTCTCTTTCTCTCCTGCTTTTTTTCCTTAGCTATCTGCTTATCGATTACATCCATTTTGGACATTACTTCGGACTCCTTAATGATAAACTCTTTCTTTTGTTCTTCTGCTGTTCCCCTCTTGTGGAAGTCTTCCTCACCTTCTAGTTCATAAACTGGATGAGAAACACCGTCATCATCAAATACGAGTTTTGTAGCATTTCCTTTTGTTGAAATGGAAGCTTTTTTAGATAAAGCTCTTCTTTGTGCTCTTTTAGAGATTGGTGCAGTCAAATCAGGAAGTTCTTCCTCATTTAGTGCATGATCAACACGTTTAATCTGCATAAAATCATCTTCATCTTCATCATTTGCGGTAGACTTGGTAATGTTTAAATAATGTTCACTTAGCACAGTTTGATTTTTACGTTCAAACATTTTATCAATTTTTGTTCTAACAACTTTAGTATCCTTTTCAAGTTCTCCATCTTCGTTTGTATTAGCTAAAGATAATAGAGATCTTGAAGTATTCTTTAATTTCTTAGCACGTTCAATGGCCTTCATACCCTTGATTTTAATTTTTGGAGCACCAGGAAGACCTAGTGAATGTGCGAACTCTTCTGTTGGTAATTCGTCAAATCTAAAGACTTCTTTATCTTTTTGAATATATACGGATCTAATATAAGAAATAAAAGCCTTTTGGGCTAGGTACTTTAATTCTGGATCTTTGAATAGTAATGATTGTAATTGTGATTTGATAGACTTCTTTTTAGATTGTTTAATAGTTAATTTATTTGGCTCTATATTCTTATTCTTTAATCTTGATAAGAATACATTACATTCTTGAGGAGTTAACATGATAAGTGACTTACCGTTTTTCCCGTAACGAGCAGATCTGCCTACCCTATGAATATATGTATCTGTGTCTTCAGGACAGTCAACTTGAACAACCCAGTCAACTGCTGGAAAATCAATACCCCTTGCAACAACATCTGTTGCAAATAGACATACCTGTTGAGCACGACTGAACTTATCAAGAGTTTCTGTTCTTGCTGTTTGTTTCTGTCTGCCATGAAGATGTAACAGTGAAATACCTGGTTGCATTTTTCTAAATGTTTCATAAACAAAATGTACCTGTTTTGAACTGGACAAGAATACAATCATCTTCGACTTTAAATGGGATTTAATGAAACTGAATAGTATATCTAATTTATCCGGTAATGCAACTTCAATAAATGATTGTTGTAAAGTAGAAGGCGTAGCTGCCCCTATGGAACCATTACTTACAGTATCTAAGGTACCTACCATTTTGTAATCTGTTAAAGACAATCTTGCCAATTCTGAAAGGGAGTTTGGTTGTGTAGCTGAAAACAAAAGAGTTTGTCTTGTAAGAGGTAAATTACTAACAATAGCATCTAGAGTATTTTTGAACCCCATGTCGAGACATCTATCTGCCTCGTCCAAAACAAGCATTTGAAGATTAGAGGTTGTCAAACCAATTGCTTGATCCATATGTTGTAAAATTCTCCCTGGAGTCCCGATTAAAATATTAATTTTCGAAATTCTCTCAGATTCAAATTTCACATCTTTACCACCAATAACCAGCCCAGCAGAAAATGACATATGAGCACCAATCTTTGTTAAGACTTCATAAATTTGCATTGCTAATTCTCTAGTTGGAGATATGACCAACGCACCAAGACCATCAAACTCAGTCCATTTTTCACGATATAATTTTTCTAAAATTGGCACTAAAAAAGCCAAAGTTTTCCCAGAACCTGTTTTAGCAGCACCTAGCACATCATAACCTTTCAAAGCTACAGGAATAGCTTCCTTTTGAATATCTGTCATTTTCACAAATGCAGATTGGTTTAAGCCTTTCAGTACATTTTTACTAATTGGTAAATCTTTAAAAAAGGTAGCTTTTGAGGTTTTCGGATCGTATTCCTGAGTCCTTGTAATTAAATCTTGGATATATCTATCTTCTTCCTTACGCTGTTGCTTACGTTGAGCAGTTGTTAGTTTCCCTTTTCTTGCCATTTTTAACAACTTTTGTGATATAGTGTCTCCAACTATAACCTATATAAGTGGATATTGTGAGAGTAACATAGTGTACTGTAGAGTCTCACAAACTCTTATACAGAAGTACCAAAGTTTATCTCATCGATTTTTTTTACCTGATGGAAAAAAAAAATTACAATAAAAAAAATTTTTAAGTCTTATTTTTCTTCAAGTGAAAATTCAAAAGAAAAAGAAATATTGCGATTCGTGAATAAATCGCGTATCACAGTAATAGGCACATCACATAGACCGAAAAAATATTATGAAACATGTTATTATAATGATGATTTTAAAACATTCTATATTAACAAATGTATGAAATTCCTATATAGCAAGAAGTTACTTCTAGTATATCTAAACTGTTAGATATTTACGGAGTTTTGTTGTAAGAGGCTTGAATTTGACAACCATAAGAGGAGTAATCACAATTCATCATGTTCGAAGTAATCACTGTCATCATCTTCATCCTCATCTTCATCATAGACGCCAGAAGATGCACCCTCACCGTTGGCACCATATAATTTAGAAGTTATTGGGAATGCAACTTTGGATAATCCTTCGAATTTCTCCTCAAAGTCTTCTGCAAGAGCAGTGTCAAAGTTGTCATCCAACCATTCTAGAACGTCACTGACAGCATCTAGTAATGTAGTTTTATCATCTTCTTCTAATTTGTCACTTAATTCTCCATTAACTTGATTCTTTAAAGAATGAGCATAGTTTTCTAACTTGTTTCTAGCTTCGACCTTGGCTTTGAAACTTGCATCCTCAGAGGCATATTTTTCAGCTTCTTCGACCATTCTTTCAATCTCTTCTTTAGACAATCTACCTTTGTCGTTAGTGATTGTAATAGATTCAGATTTACCAGTACCTTTGTCAGTTGCGGAGACGGTTAAAATACCATTAGCATCTAAAGCGAAGGTAACTTCGATTTGAGGAACACCTCTTGGAGCAGGAGGAATACCAGTTAATTCAAATTTACCTAACAAATTGTTGTCTTTAGACATTGCTCTTTCACCCTCAAAAACTTGAATCATAACTGTTGGTTGATTATCAACAGCAGTAGAGAAAATTTGTGACTTCTTAGTTGGGATAGCTGTATTTCTCTTAATTAATGGAGTCATGACACCACCGGTAGTTTCGATACCCAAAGTCAAAGCATTAACATCTAATAAGACGATATCTTCAACACCTTCTTCACCAGATAGAACACCTGCTTGAACAGCTGCACCATAAGCAACAGCTTCGTCAGGATTGATACCTTTAGATGCCTTTTTACCACCGAAGTAACTTTCTAATAATTGTTGAACCTTGGGGATTCTAGTAGAACCACCAACAAGTACAATATCATCAATATCCTTCTTATCTAAACCAGCATCTTCCAATACTTTTTGGACAGGTTTTAAAGTCTTTTTGAAAAGATCCAAGTTTAACTCTTCAAATTTAGCTCTTGTTAAAGTTTCACTTAAGTCAATACCATCCACAAAAGAATCAATTTCAATACGTGTGGACATTTGGCTAGATAAAGCACGTTTAGCCTTTTCAGCTTCTCTCTTTAACTTGGCCAAAGCTTTATTATTATCACTTACATCAATACCATGTTTCTTCTTAAAGACTTTGATCAATTGACGGACAATCTTATAATCGAAATCTTCACCACCTAAGTGTGTATCACCAGAAGTAGCTTGTACTTCAAAGACACCATTTTCAATAGATAATAAGGAAACATCAAAAGTACCACCACCTAAGTCATAAACAATAATTTGGTGTTCTTTCTTATCCTTATCTAAACCGTATGCAATTGCTGCTGCTGTTGGTTCGTTAACAATTCTTAAAATGTTTAGACCAGCAATGGTACCAGCATCCTTAGTAGCTTGTCTTTGGGCATCATTAAAGTATGCTGGCACAGTAACAACAGCATGAGTGACTTTGTGTCCTAGATAGTCCTCAGCAATCTGTTTCATTTTACCTAAAATCATACCAGAGATTTCTTCCGGGGTAAACACTTTCTTTTCACCTTTGACAGTGACTTCAACAGCTGGTTTACCATCCTTATTAACAACTTTGAATGGTAAATGTTTGATATCTCTTTGGACAGATCTATCATTATATTTCAACCCAATTAATCTTTTGATGTCAAAAACAGTGTTATGAGGATTTGAAGCAATTTGATTCTTTGCTGCATCACCAATAAGTCTTTCTTCGTCGGTAAATGCAACGTAGGATGGTGTAATTCTATTACCTTGTTCGTTAGCCAAAATCTCGGTCTTACCATTTTTCATAACTGCAACACAAGAATACGTGGTACCCAAATCAATACCAATAACAGTTCCATAATTAGTAGCGTCATCTGCACGTACTAAGAAGTTAGAAGTCTTATTACCACCATTTAGGGGAAGAACCACCAAAAATAATACATAGCAAAGGACTGATAATGGAACCAGCCATTTCGAAGTGTGTGTCCTATTAAAAAACATATTTATATTCTTTTTTCTTTTTATATTAATATATACTATGTTTTTTATCGTTTTTCTTTTTTATTTTCTTTATCTATTTTATCTTCTTCTTCAATTTCTGTGTGTACTATGTAATCGAATTCAATAAAACAAGTATATCCAATTCATCAAGTCTTATATGAAAAGGATTACAAAAGTAAAAGGATGGAAAGATTAAGTAAAAAGAGGCTCACGAGTCGAAACGTTTTAGAAAAGAAACAAGGATGTTTGTGGAAAAAAAAAAAACTTCGTCCAAGAAAGAGGCTAGGAAACGGGATAATTCTCAATTGTCGTACTAATTGTGGTTAAGGACGTGTTTTCCTGTATATATATATATATATATATATGTATATAAATAAATACGTTTGTGTGTTTGTGTTTGTGTTCGATTGCACAAAATTTTTCGTGTACCAAAAAAAAAAAGTACAAATTAATTTTTTTTTTCTTTTTGAACAACTCATCATTTTTTTTTTCAAGGGAACAAAAACAAAGACAAAGACAAAAAAAAAGAAACGAAAAGAAACGAAAAGAAACGAAAAGAAATTCCTGAAATCTCAAATTCGACACAAAATACCTCGTGTTAAGCGACAAGAAACTTCTAGAAAAAAGAAAACGGGAGACAAAAAGGAAAATAATGACACGTTATAATAACAACAAGCGGGCATATGTGAGCATACGTGTATGGTTCTACCAGAAGCTATAGACTTTTGTCTTTTTGCTAGATCTCCAAGCCATACGGGGTATATAACTGAACGAATAGAATAATATATACAGGAGTGTCTGAGGCTTTTCGGTGTTGTTCTTGTTAAAAGTTAGTAGTATAGAACACAGCTTTCTTTTTCTGTTGAAAAGAAAAAGAAAATAAATAAATAATAAAAAAAAAAACTAAAAAAGCGGAGGGTTAAGGAATAGAGATTCTTTAATTATCAAGCATTATTTTGTTAGTAGAAAATTGACATATATGCATAAATTTCTTCTTTTCCACATTTAGTCCTTATCTTGGAGATGATATTATTTATACAGTAAATAAACCTCTTTTAATATATGCGTTTTAAGGACAACATTTCCTTGGCAGAGGCTTGTAATAAACTGGAACTTGAATATTAAAATAGGAAAGAAGACGAACTGTAAAAACTTACAATGACATGGGAAACAATAATGACACATAAAGAACACATGGCTACAGCGGTTAAACTTGCAAAATATGCATTAGATAAAGGTGAAACACCTGTAGCATGTATATTTGTAGATAAAATAACAAATCAAATCGTAGCATATGGTATGAACGATACAAATAATTCGTTGAATGGTATTGCCCATGCAGAATTTATGGCTATAGAACAAATTAAATTGAGATTCTCCAATGATCATAAAGGGTTTGCTGAGTTTTGTTCAAACTGCATTGTTTATGTGACTGTGGAACCATGTATAATGTGCGCATCTGCATTAAAACAACTACGTATACATAAAATCTACTACGGTTGTGGCAACGATCGATTCGGGGGTAATGGTACTGTACTGTCTATAAATAACAATATGTCAACATTGGGATATGACGGTTCCATTTTTCAACAAAAATCTATTCCCGGCCTATATAGACGTGAAGCCATAATGTTATTAAGATATTTTTATGTTAAAGAGAATAAAAGATCTCCAAATCCTAGAGCTAAACTGGATAGAAATTTAGATACAAAAAACTTTCCAAACATTAATTGGTCTCAATATATGGATAGAAAATTATTTGGTCAAGAATTTGGTTTAAATAATTTGAGAAATTATGATTCAATGACTGATTTAGAAGATTATAAAAGTATTGATTGGGATTTAATTGATTCACATTATGACTCTATTGTAAGGGACATAAAAAAGGAAATAAAGCAATTTAAACAGAAGGAAAATAAGAAACTGAAAATATAGAATGATATTGATCGTCTTGTTTTACAATGACAAACTACACGTATATTCTAAATGTCATATGAAAAACAAATAACCAACATTTAGATATAGACGTAACTTTTCTTTTTGTCATCTATTTATTTATGTATTAAATAGCAATATCATAAAATTTTATTTGGTCAGGTATGAAACAATCATTTAGTTTTGTGACTATGCAAACCTTTTGCACCTAAATAAATATTGCAAATCAAAATAAGTTTTATTATAGGCTATTATTTTAAATTTGCATCAATTTCGGTCCATGTTTCTAGCATTTTTTCATAGAATTTTATGTGATTATCTGCAAGGCTTCCAAGTGATTCCTTTAGCTCCTTTGTTTTTGTTTCCTCGAATAATTTGATTTCTTTTAATGTTTCTTTTTCGAATGCATCTGCTATTTTTTTAGCACTTTCTAATTCATTATTTAGAGAATTGATTTTATTTTCCAACTTATTAATTTTTTCACGGCGCACAGATTCTTGATTAATGCCTGCCATCTCTTCTAATTTGTTAGTAAAAAAATTCGTTCCACCATACCCGGATATTAAATTATCTCTCATTTTAACTGCTTTGGTTAAATACTCATTTAATTCTTCATAATCAATTTGTTTTTGATCTTTCAATTTTACCAATTGCCTCATACTGTCAATAAAATGTTCTAAACTTTTTAAATCAACTACATATTCATAATCTAGATATTTGTTCAAATCACTTAATCCATAGGATAATTGAATAATTCCATTCGTAAAACTTTTTAAATTTTGTGACAACTTTTCATCATTACTATCATTTATGTTACATTCTCCGGACTCTTGATTGCGTTTAATTAGATCATTCAACTCCTGTAAATTTGTTCCCAATTTACTAAAATCCTCAGATATGAAATCATTTTTTTTGATAATCTTATGAAAAATTTTATCTAACTTGATAATAGTGTGGTTCAACCTGTCATTTTTTTCCTTAACCTCAACAAATTCTTCACTCTGATTATGAACCGATTTGAAAGCATTCATGAATGAATCTGTAACTTCTTCCTTAGTACTAGGTAACACTTTGGCCAAATTTTTTTTGTATGCTTCCCAATCATCACTCGTCAAAAACATTCGTAAAACATTTGATTCAGATAGAATTGGATGGCATGCAATACGTCTTAAAAATTTTTGAAGACTGTGGCATCTTTTTTGAGTGAATCGTTGACTAAATCTATCACCTGCAATATATTGGAAAACTTTCTTGTCTGGCAACGGTGGAATTATACAGGTGGGATGGTCATTGTATAATATTTCCTGTAATAATAGTAAATCACTATATCTTCTATGCACAACAATAATTTTGTCCATATCATAATCCACTTTGGTGGTGTCCTGATTGTTTTTAAAATTAGAAGTGTGATAAGAAGGATTATTTGTCTTAGTTGATATCTGGTAGCTCACATATGATCCAGATGATCCACGATCACCATGTATTTTTTGAGGATCGGAGACCCTTACTTCTAGAATATATTTTGTTTTAGATTTATTGTTTCTGATTGATAAAATATCACAATCTTGACTATTCTCGTTGGTATTAGAAATATCTTGTTTTATGGGTGTTTTATGTGACGCATTACTAGGTTCTGTCATTGAGATTACTTGCAACTGTAACTTTTTGGTAACAGGCCGTAATATACAAAGAGCTTTATTCTATTTCTTGCTTGAAATCGTCTGTGAAGAGTTACATTACCTGAAAGACGGAATTTTTGTTTCATCTGTTACTTCTTCTTTTTATATTTTTATTGATTGATTTTACCCTTAACTATTTTTCAGAATTAGATAGGTAGATACAAAAAAATAAGCAAAAATAAACCGGGAATTTTTTAGCCAAAACTTCGAATATCAAAGTACATATGAACGATACTAGGTATAGTGGATGGTGAATCCCATACAAATTGAAAAGAAACATACCTGTAAAGCAAAAGTTCTGTCATTCTCTACTATTTGATTTTTCAACTTTTTCTAGATTGGGATTAAACAATTCCTCATGCTCAAGTTTATAAAGAATTAAAGCTTAATCATCAATATATTGCAAAATATAGAAAAACAAGATTGTATGACACTTCAGAGTTTGTTAAATAATGTGTTGCCAAAAAACGGTGACTTTGAGATATTTCATTTACAAAGTAACCCATGTGAAATAGTGCCAATCATTACACCAAAGAGTAAAATAACTGGTTCAAAAGAAAATCCGGATTCACGGACTGTTAAAACTCAACATTTTATTGCACTATCCTGTAAAAAAAAATTTGTATATGCTTTGGAAATATTTGTTTACATAACTGTTCAGAATGACACAGATAAAAAATATCAAAAGATACAGCCTCCTGCTGAAAGACTGATTTTTATTTCAAAGGCAGATACAAATGGATATTCTGATGTACGTTTTAGCACTAAAGATGTTACCAGAGTAATTTTAGAATATATCTTGAAAATTGATCCTAACTATTATTTATTAAGAGTGAAGCCTTTGAAAAGAAAGTACAAAAAAGAGGATAAAAAAAATTTTATTATCGGTAAAGATAAAATACAAAACAATTTGAAAAAGCTTTCTAAGAAAGCTTTGGATAATACTTGTCATATTCTCGATCAGGATATATATTTCTTAAATATCTCATTTGCAGGTAAATTTATAACTAAAATATGTCTATTCACAAGACCAGCAGATCAATATCTATTTCCAGGGTCCTCAAGCAATAGAGGAAAACATATACTTAATGGTATGCAGTTGATGAAGTGGTGGTTGCATATTATTGACAATCTTGTTGAGGAGAAATTTGATAGATCAAATAAACTTAAAGCATGCTTAAAGATTCCTGGGGAGGATGTATTAAGGGTCGGAAAACACTTTGTTGGATGCAGGTATCGTAATTGGAAATCTGGTGATATATTTAGTGATGATCTTAATTCTTTAGCAGCGTTTTGCATTCCATTATTTCCAGATGATCCTAAATCCAGATTTTTACATCAGTTGGTGGAGGAAAATAGAATATTAGATACCAATTTGAGGACTTTTTGGTTTGAATTACAAGAAAGACAAGAATTTAAGTTAAGTGTATTGGTATCAGTAATTGGAGTTGAAGGATATACTGTAGAAACATCTAGTTATTCGCCTATTCAAGGTGAAGATGTCATCGTAACTTCATCTTTGAAGCAATTTCATTTTTTGAAAAATTATATTAGTGCCGAAGAATATGACACTGAAGAAGGAGCAATAGAATCGTATTTTAATGTTTCTAAATATCTATCTTCTAATTTAAACATGAAATTATTAAAATTGGTAGGTAGTGAAAAGGTTTTAGCACGAAAACAAAATTCTAAGGTAAACTTATTAGAGAGGGGTTCTGTGGTAACCATATTGACACCACGAAAGAAACATAAACAATAGAATTCTAAATAGAAGCAGGAAAAAAGCTAAATAAAGTATAAATGTTTGTACTTCCAACACAAATATAGTTAATATTTGAATTAAATAAAGCACGAGATTTTTTATATTTACCTGTTTGGGTCTTATCGATTGTTATAATGGGGTGACATATTGAAACGCATAAATGATATCATTTAGACAATATAATTTTTTATAAATTGTGGGTAATAGTGTATAAACCTATAAGTGTAATATTAAGTGTTGATATAAATTCATTTGTAAAGAATATTTTTGTTTTACTTCTATCTAAAAACAAAATTTTTTGAAGTATTTTAATTTATTTTTTGTATTTGTTGTGATCGGATAAATCTTTAAGAATTATAAAAAAAATTACAATTAGAATGCGGAAATTATTAGAATATATTACTATTTTGCTGCCTATTTATATTATTATATATTGTTGTATTTTTCTTTATTTGTGATATAGAATATTCTCTATGTATCTAGTGTAAAATACTGATAACATTTGTCTTGGTCAAAATAAAAAATAACTGTGTGTAATAGTAGAGGAAAAAAATCTATGTAAACTTTCCCCTGTGATATCTTAAAAATAAAATCAAACAAAATATAATATAATTTTGTATAACACATATATATTAATTATCTTAAATCTGTTTCTTATTTCTTTCTTTAGTTCCTTTACATTTAAAAAAAGTTTTCTTTTTTACTGAGAGATGTATTTTTTTTCACAAAGTATAAAACTGTTATCACGATTTATGATAGAAAAGTAATTGTCCAGATATAATATAAGGGTTGTCACTAGTAACACATTAAAATATGGATATTTAGTATATAACTGATTAATTCTAATTAATGAATACATTAGTTCTTGTTTTCTTATTACTTGTTTTATTTTCCTAGATGAAACCTATTAGATAAAATACAAATGTTTAATTACCTCTGAAACCATTTTTCAATAATCAAAAATGCCTTAAATAAACTTCTCAGTAATTTGTCACTGATGTTTATCCGACAATCGTTTGTTCTTTCAGATACACTCACAACTTTGGGTCCAGAGTTTCAACTGCTCTAAGTCCTTCACCTTGACATTCAACGTTATCTGCAGACTACGTATTTCAGGATTTCCAAATAGGATTTCTTATACATAATCACACATTTACAAATAATTAAACAATTAGTCTAAAGACATACAAGATTACATTTTTTTAGGTGGAATATTCATTAAGACAATATCTATAAAAAAACATCTGAAAATCTAGGATTCTTTTTTATTGTTTATGTCTATATTCCTAAATTCCTAGACTACAAACATATTCCAATATTTTTCTAACAACTTTACAGTGAACATTTTTAGGAGTCTTTAAAAATGTGAATAGAAAGTGTACTGTTTGAGCAATATTGAATCATAGTGCATTAATAAAAAAATTTAGTTTATCTGTCACATTCTATATTCTATAAGGAAAAAAACTGATTTCTTTTTCTATATGAATTAAACCTTACCATAATACTTATGAAAAGGAAAAAGCACTTTACAGCAGTGGAAGGCCAAAGGAGAAATAACATGAGTAGTATTTTCAAATATATTTCAGTGTTATAGATTGATTCGACTTTTATGTTGATCATTCCAATATAAGTAAATAATTCCCTCTTAACTACCCATTATTAGAAATTTTATTAAGTAACTAAACAACAGATATTATGACTTTTAAACAAAATTATGAAAGAGTAAAATATTTATTAAATTATATATAAACTTTTTTAAAGTGTATCATATGACATTCAATCGTATTTTTTTGGGAACTAAAATAATGTAAAGTTTCTTTTATGAACAATATTTTGCCTATTTTTATTTTTTGTGAAAGGATAAGAAAAGTGCAACTTTCATCATACATCATAGCAAAACACTTATTTTATAATGTTCATTTATGTTTCAAGTAAAATATTTTATTTCGTAAAAGATGAGAGTATATAATATATACTATATCACATTCTAAAAAATTCAATAAATAATTTTATACGTATATTAAAATAATTGTTTCTATATGGAATTTAAAAATAAATAAATTTTTAAAAAATAAAAACATATGTTTAATAGTTTTTTTAAAAATATCATGTGCTTTTATAATATTTATTTATCGTAACAAATGATTAAAATTTATTGGTGAATAAAGACAAACAATATTACAAGTAAAAAAGAATAATATCATGTATTAACATATTGTACGAGGAAAAATAGTATTTTGTATGTAAGAATCTGAGTGTTGATTAAACTCAATGATGTTTAGGATAATACTGAATAACATTTTGATAATGTATGAAAAGTATAGATTTTTATTTTTTTTCTTATCTATTATATTATTTAAAGTTTATATATGAAGATGTTATTAAATATTTTTTTACAGTATTATTTCTCTAGAAAAATACAAAATGCTAGAAAAAGGAAATTAAAATGATTCATATAATTAGGTATATTACTTATATAGATTTTTAATAAATCAAAGACCTAATTCAATCAATGGTAGTATTATAGTAGATAGACTATTACTCCACATCTTATAAATTGTAATAGAAGATTTCTTATGTAAGTTCTGGTATATTGATGATTACTTTAAATCTTATAACCAAATTTAATATCTTATAAAAATCATTATATCTATGGTTGTACGAATTTTTCACCTAGGCACAAATATTGAAAGTAAGATTGTGTATTTATTGATCCCCCGTTGGATTCTCTATAATAACATGATAATAATATAAATAAATAATTATCAATAAAAAGAAAAAGCAAAAATATATTATATTTTATAGGTTTTCATATTTCTTTTTTAAAACAAGTAAAAAAAGTATAGTTATTACAAGTATGCAAACAATAACTATAGTTTAGAAATATTTTATAAAACACAGAAAATAATAATATAAGTATAGGTAAAATGTATTCTAATATGTTCATATATGATAAAAAGACAGGAAAACTAAAAAATCTAACAAAATATCATTAAAATTACAGTTTGTATTATATTAGAACAAACATATATACTTTATTTTCTGATATTTGAAGAGTTTGTTTTATTTTAAAGTTAAAGACATCCAAAAAAACACATCCTTTATTATTAATACAAAATTACTGCAATGATTAAAACATATTACTGCCTATGCTGCTTAATAAGTAACAACCAAAAAGTGCGAATTACCAAGAAACTTCAATCTTTGGATTACTTTTTTTATACTAACATTTATTCCTATAAAAGTTGTTTATTATTGTACAAAATTTATTTGAAATTTCCAAAATTGGTGTATTATTATCGAATGGAACAATTTTATAATATTCTTGTTAAATCAATAGTTATGGTTTTTATATATGATATATATTACATTATAAAATATTACAACAACCATGTTATTGTAAAATAAATTTATGTTTAATAATAATTTGAATATTGGACTTTTATACAGTAAATTTGACGGGATCCCTAGGCAAAAAGTAATTGTTCAGATATTATATAACATTATATTTTGTATATTTCCCCTTTCTTTTTTTTTTTTTTTTTTTTTTCATTTTTTTAATATAATAATTAAGCATGACTTATTTTTTGTATCCATCTCATCCGTTTTAAAAAGACAAAAATCTTTTTTATCAGATCGAGAATATTATATTTCAATTATTTTTACTTCACTGTGAAATTTTGATGATTAAATATCCAGTGCATATTCAAAATTATTCTTCATTCGAATATGTATTATTAGTACGCTAATTTGTATTACAACAGGGATAATATGACAAAGATACGAATTGCTGTACAAGGTTGTTGCCATGGAGAGCTTGATACTGTATTTCAAAAAGTTAGGCAGCTTCATTCTTTGAAGCCCCTTGATCTTTTAATTATTTTAGGCGATTTTCAAAGTATTAGAACTAAAGAGGATATGAATTACATTAGTGTACCTTTGAAATATCGAAAAATGGGTGATTTTCATAAATATTATTTTAATGATACCTGTAAGGTTCCAGTTCCAGTTATATTTATCAGTGGAAATCATGAATCAATGAAACATTTGATGGAATTACCTTATGGAGGATATGTTGCTCCAAATATGTATTATTTAGGTTATAGTAATGTCATATGGTTTAAAGGTGTGAGAATTGCCTCTATTAGTGGAATTTTCAAAGATTGGGTCTTTGAAACCCCGAGACTCAGTTGGAAAGATGTAGAACTACGACAGTTAAATAATGGTATAGGGCATCCAAAACTCAATATAAAAACATTATACTGTGTAAAACGTATAGATGTTTTACCTTTCTATTTATTAAATAACGAGAGAGGGATAGACATCATGATAAGTCATGATTGGCCAAACGAAATTGTATACCATGGGGATATACAACGATTATTAAAATATAAACCATACTTTAGAAAAGATATTAACAACCACCAACTTGGAAGCCCCGTAAATTGGGACTTATTGTGTAGACTGAAACCCAAATGGTGGCTTAGTGCACATCTGCATGTAAAATATAGAGCTACAGTACAGCATGAATTGCAAGAGAAAAATAGTCTTTCTACTAAAAAAAATGAAAATGAGATTGACTTAGAACTTTCTGATGAAGATGAAAATTTTGATAAAACACAGAGTGAAAACCTAATAAGATGTAATTGTCAAACTTCAGTAACTAATTTTTTAGCACTTGATAAATGTGCACCTAGAAGACAATGGATAGACGTTATTGAGGTTGAACAAGACAAAATGCATATATCTTCGCAAGAACCTACAAATGGTGACATGTTAAATCTGTATTGGGACGAAGAATTTATCAAGGCTTTAAAGTATGTTCAAACAAACAAAAGCTCCTTAAAAGAGCTAACCAATAATATAATTAAAAAAGATTCATACTCCCTTTTGTCAGAAACAAACGTTTTACACACATACGGGAAATATGAAGCCAACCTTTACAAAGTTCCGACATACACCAAGGGTATTCAAAGAAGAGAACAGGAACAAACGAATTATTTTGAGAAAAATTTTTTAAACCAATAATATTTTGTATAAAGGGTAAATAACAGATATATAGGACAAAAGAGTACAGTCATATGTTTATATAGACAAAAAAGGAACAGAATTTAACGGACCAATTTAGTTTTATTAATCAAAATTTGAACACTTGTTCTTTTGTATATCCCAGCTCCTTTAAAATTCCAATCAATTCACCCTGATCTTTTGGAGATACTTTTTCACCTGAAAATGCCTTCATAAAAGGTGGTGGTCCACAAACAAATACATGTGTTTTTTCAGTAGCTTTTGCAATGTTTGTTTTTAAGAATTCCTTTGAAATAAACCCTAAATGAAGTTTGGAATCTGAATCTAAATTACTTTCTTTGGAGTCCACAAAATATGAAACATTAAATTTGTCAGGATATTTTTTATGCAAGGCGTCCAATTCATGTTTCAATAAAATATCATTTGGTGTTTTGTTACCATATATTAAATCCACTTTTGTATTGTCATTTGGATTCTCAACTATGTGGCGAGCTAATTGGAATAGAGGTGTAATACCGGTACCCGCACCTAGCAAAGTGATTCTTTCAAAGGAATTTGGAACCCAATCCCATTTCTTAATTGGGCCTTTAAACGAAAGAGTATCATTAGGCTTTAGTTTGAAAATATGGTTTGTCATTGGACCGCCTGGATAATGTTTAATAATTAATTGAAAAGAACCTTCCATATTTAAGTCACTCACTGGTGTGTAAGGTCTAATAACATTTTTGCCAGTTTCTTCGTTGAAAAATTTGGTTAATACGGCAGAAGCTAAAGTTAGGCCTGTCACTGAGTCATCCGTAGGTAATTTAAAGGTGAACAGTTTAGTATCATGAGATTGTTCCTCAACTTTTAGCAAAGGTAGATCAATCCATTTATTGTCACCAATAAATACTTTAGGACTTTCATTACTAATAATGGAGAAAGAGGTTTTTTTTGATGAGGTATAATGGTATGCGGTAGTTGCTACTGCGAATGTTGCAGTAGCGCCAATTATATATGTTAACAATTTACTATTTTGAGGTTTGGTAATTTGAGAAAACATTTTAAAAGTTTGAATTTTGGTTTTGATTCATAATAGAACCTAGGGGTTTCCTTATATTCTTTCTAATAAATTGAATTGACAATGTTATTTATTCACTTCTTTTCTTTTATAGGATATTTGCTGGTTTCTTTACCTCCCTAAAAACTAAGTCCGCAGTAAAAGAGCCAATGAGAGTTCCTACTTCTCAAAATAGTAAATAAACATAATTTTTCATTTTCTAAAATGAACAACCATTAAAATGAGAGAAATTTAAATAACCCCCTACTAATCAAAAATAAGTAGGCTAATTGAAGAAAGTAACATGTATTGTTCGAAAAAAGAATGCAGAATTAGTGTTTCCAAAAACACACATAGCTTCGGCAGTTAACACGAATAATGTATTAAATAATGTTTTAACTAAATCTAGAGGAGAACACTGATGTTGTCTTCTTGCGATGTATGTCACGTTTCTATATATTAGTGAATATACTCATTTTCCTGAATTTCAATATCTGTTATTTTGATGGTGTCTATGTATCATAAGTTAACAATATAATGAGATAGTACTTAGTCGAAGATACAGTTATCAACAATTACAATTTATATTGGTATATCTTTAAGAAAAAATGTTTAGTAGACAATTAAATCGGGATTGATTATTTCTGATCATTTTAATTGTATAAGATAATACCTTGTGAAAATATACTAATTATATTTTTGAAGAAAGAAAACTTTTAATTTTGGTATGAAAGAGAGTTCGTTATGGTAAATAATAACTGGTGGTGTTCGTTTATCGTTTCTTTTATAGACACATTATTTCTTTTTCTAATAGAGGTTCAATTTGATTCTTCTATATAAATTCTTCTTAATATATGTTAAAATCTTCCAAAAATAGTCACATTGTATTATTTCGAAATAACTTGAGTTTTTTAAAGAACCAAAAATTATTTTGAATGGAATTTTTATCACAATTCCTGTATAAATAAGAATATTTATATTTATTGAAGTAATTTCATATGGTTTGTAACTGGCATATGGTATATGTATAGTGCATACTGAAAGATTTGAAAAATTCTTTTCGAAAAATCTAAATAGCTTAGAAATACAAAAGATTTAATTGTCATATGTTTGTGTGAATCAAATATATATTTTTTTGCATATTAGTTAGACCATAGGAAAACAATTATTTCTATCATAATTTATTTATTCAATTGAACTCAGCAGGCATGTTTACCACAGTTTTTTACCTATATAAATTTTCTGAAATAATTAGGGGATTATAATAATTAATTAGTTGTTGTTTTTTTCGATTAGAAACAAAAGATATCATCCCAAAATTTCCAGACATAACATAGAACTTTAATGAGTTCACATTAATTCAGTAAATAATCTTTTTAAGATGCTTCAGAACTATGCAATCATCTTAAAAGTTTTTATATATTCGACTTTTAGTAAAATTGTTAGCTAGGTGCTTTTGCTTACATACATATTGTACTGGTAAGAAAATTATAAGCTTCTTTAAAGTAATATTATAATTTGTGATTAGAGTTAGAAATTTTCCTAAAATATGAAGGGCCTGCAAGAACTGTATAATAGTTTTTTAGTTATTTTTTTATTTAGGAATGCAATGTATCTTTTTTGAAGTATTATTATTCTTATTCCTAATGATTTTAACGACTAAGTAAAATCTGCTTTGTTCAGTTGCAAAGATTATTAAAGATTAATCAAAAAAATTGTCGTCTAAAAAATTTAAAAGATAGATACTGATGGATTTATTAAATTTTGATAAAGACACAGTGATGTGTCTGTTGATAGTACTAGATATTTGTTGTTACTAATTTTTTTCCATAGGTCCTTCATGTGATATATAAATTTTTATTGAGAATTTATTACCTATTAAATCAAGAAACTTATATAACATTTTTCCAATATTAACATTGTCAAAGAAAAAGGAATAATTACATACAATAACTAACTCAATATGAATAATAAGGACCAATATATTTTTGAAAAAATAGTCGTATAGATTATTTAAAAAATAATGAATATAATGATGTTTGACAATTAAATTAGTTCAAATTATTAAGGTAGAAGGCAAATATCGTCTTTTAACTAAGAAATAAGTTATTGTTTAAATTAGTTGGCAAATGTTTGTTTCAAAATGTGTCATCTTTAGTAAGAGCAATTTGAATAAATATGAAATTATTGTCATCATGCTTATTTACAAAGTATAATTTATAAAAAGACAAATAGACAAAGTCTTTTATGACCATGAACGTATAAATGAGAAAAGGTAAAATTATCTTTATCATTCCATCTTGAAAGAAATCAATTTTAAACTTAATAATTTTATATATTATATAGTCTTTAAAGAAGAATTAATGAGACTTTATACAATATAATACATAAAAAATATACAGAGAAAAATTACATGTTTATTTAAAAAGAAAGCTTAGACTAAATGTTGATTATTGTTGTAGGAAAAAAACATTCTTCTATTTGAATGTGGCACATGTGTGATATACAGTAGACAAGATATTTTATATAACTATACGCAATGAAAATAAAAACGATATAAATAAGTAATTCTATTTATACATTTCCGTCTAGAAAAAGATATTATAGCATATTATGTTGTATATTTCTCTTTGTTTTGCCTATTTTCTAGAAGAAGACCAAGGAGGAAAATATTTATATCATTGCATATTAGAACAGTAAGTTTGTAATATATATTATATAATATATTCAATGCAGCCCACAGTTTTATGATCCAAAACCTAAGAAATAGAAAATTTATAAGATTTCCTCCTCTAGAGAGATTATATAGAAATTCATAAAAAATTCAACTTCACTCAATAAAAAATTTATCTTCTATAAATTGCTCTAATGAAAGATTTTTTTATAAAAATCAGACACTCTTAAAACGTCATTAGGAGTTTGGCCTTATTAGAGAATCTGATGGAGTTTATCTTCAGAATAAACTAAAAGATAATAGAATTACTGTCAATGGTGAAAGATATGATTAACTTTTTTTTTAAATTTTTATACAATAGTGAAATGTACATCATAAAGATAAAATCACGATTTGATGGGAGGAAAAAATATACTGTTGTTTTACTAGAAAGGTATAACTTCAATATATTAATAGAAAATTAAAATATGAATATTACAAACAGCGTATATAAATTGGTAATTCGAAAATAATGAATTTTTCAATTTTTCATTTTTTTTGTATAATTTAATGTATAATTTATATTATTTATAATATAAAACTCTTAGATAGCATATGTATATTATTTATTATTTTATTTTAAAGTTAGTCACTACACCTAGACAAACAGAAAATAAATATTGCAAAACATTTGGATCTGTTTTCTTTGTGTAATAATGCTTTTATTGAATGAAATATTTAAACTTGTAAATTTAGATGTTGCACTCATCTTTTTTGTATGTTGTTATTATATTCCATAGAAAAATTATGAATTATTTATTGGTTTTATATTAGTCACAAATTTAATAATGCCAATAAAAGAAGCAGTGTCAGAAAAATGTGTGAGAATAACTTATTTATTTTAGAGATGAAATTTTATATAAGGACAAGGTCAGAATGCAAAAAATAAATTTCCTATTTTTTGTTTTAATATCTTATCCAAGTGAGTTTTATATTTGTATATATCCTTTTTCATGATTTTAACAGAGAAGACCATATAATTTTACTTATGATCAATATATAGATATTTTAAATAAATAATCGGAAGCACCAGTTACAGTAACATTCTAAGTACTTCTTTATATGACAAATTTTTCAATTAAGACTTGTTACTGCTGAAATCGAACGTTTTAGAATAAATAGATAGAGTAATTAAATTTTAGCAAATATCAATTAATAACAAAATCTGGAGAATGCATTTTTTGCTTATCAATAAATATAAACAAACCATATTAACAAATTGATGTTGTACATAGACGGGATGTACCAGATATGAAAGTATATAAAGCCAATATTTTTTTCATATTATGTTTCTTCCCTTGTTCTTCTTTTATACATCATCCTTGTATATAATATATAAATAAAAAAAACCGAAGAACTTAATCATAATTTTATACACTCTATATATATATAACATTGAGAATATATACTATTTACCCAATTACTATAGGCGCTAATTTTTAACAGTTATAAGGAAGATATGAAAAAAATGATTATTAGGACTTTAGGCATATTTATGAGATTGACTTTTATTGGATACTTGCAATGAGCTATTTTTGTCTTTACTTGTCCAGTAACTCTACAAATTCAAAAATAAAATATATGAATACAATTATAAAATTCAAAATACACAAATAATGGTAATTAAAGTTTACAAAAATATCATATTTATTCTATTTTTAGCTATCCGTCTATAATATTGTATAATTCTTCTTAGAGCAACCTTCCAAGATAACATAATATCTTACAAGTCCATATGTCACAAATGAACTCTTTTTAAAGGATATAAACTTACAAAAATAAAACAAACTAAACTAGAAATATATATCAGATTTAATAGATGAGAGCTTGCTACAAAAACTGATGAGAATGAGCGCCTGTAGTCATTGGATATATAGTAAACATTCTCAATATTATATTAGATAGATTTAGTATACAAAATCATAATAAAGTTCTTCATTTTTTATTTATGTATATAATGTATAATGATGAAATATAGAAGATGGGTAAGGGAAGAAACATGATCGTTTATAGTGACATCCGGATTTCATATATCACATTTCTCGTAATAAGCTTTCATCTATTACATTGATGCAAAAAACTCCGCGACGGGGAATTGAACCCCGATCTGACACGCGACAAGCGTCCATTCTAACCATTAAACTATCACGGACAAAGAAGGAAAAGAGCACTCACGCTGGGGGTCGAACCCAGAATCTTCTGATTAGAAGTCAGACGCGTTGCCATTACGCCACGCGAGCTCAGAACCCGTGGTATGTTGCGGAATAGAATAGTTATAACCATCAAGATTACATAAGATCCTGAATGAATCTAGAACCAATTAGTGTATTAGTAAGCCATACATGTGCTACAACATTAGATGCTGCATAATAAAAAGATTGGATTACATAAGACCTTGGCAAATCTAGAATTTATCTATTGTTTTAATAGGTCCCACGTGTATTACTAATCACCATGATTAGAGAATTGGGGTGCAGTTCTAATCCACTAGTGCACCTAAATTAATGTAATAAATTTTAGGGTGAATCAGTCAAGTCATTAATGTACTAATCTGAATAATCGATCGAGCTCCAGAAAACATATAAAAGGACAACGTTTTCTGAAGATAAAAGATCATCTTCCATAACCGTTTCTTGTAAATAATTTATATATTATATATGAACAAAAAGAGAACAACAAGCAAGTAACAAGTCAAGTAACTTCGAATAAGTACATTAGCTCGATATAAGTCGCTTAATATATAAGACCGTTTAGTAATTATACTATCGACTATAGTTGATTACTGTCTCGATTATTTGAATTACTATTAATATTATTTGCGCTTCCCTGGAATACACAAAGAACTTCACCACACCATACTACAACATGATACCCTGTTGTAATATGATATGATCAGAGTTTTGTATTATTCGGGGAAGCGCTAGAAATATCAAACGGATAATCTATTAATAATCGAGACAATAATTGATACAATCGGTAATGCAATTATTAATACGATCTTATATATTAACGGTTATGTCGAGCTTATATACTTGTTGGAAAATGAGAGTTTATTATTGTCATTTTCATGAGAATTCTTTTTGATTAGTTTTTCTGTATATTATATGGTGTATAAATGTACTATAATATACAGGAAACAAAAATTAAAGAAAAAGAAAATTTTTAATAGAATTATTGAAAACAATAAGTGAAGTTATGTAAAATGGAATATATTATAAGTATATATGTATTTAATATAAACAAAAAACAAGTATCTAAATTTAATAATGCCTGTCATAACCATAGAAGTTAAGAATCTAATATCATATTTTTGGCAAATTATCAATTATGATAAATTTGTATACTAATAACAAAAATAAATATCATTACTAAAAATTTGTGGCCTAAAGGTTTAATGCTATAAAATAAACATATTTATTCTGAAGTATATATAGTCTAAGTTTGAATTCATATACCTTGCATGCATGCTAATATGGTATTAAAATCTTTTGAAGAATATTGGATTCAATGTGTTTTCTATTTTAATTAAAAAAAAAACTGGTAAGAAAACATCCTCATAATTCACCAAAGGAGGTACAAAAAAATTATAAGTTTATATACTAGATCTATAAAAGATTTCAATTTAAGTTTTCTTCTTCTTTTTGTATTCTTTTTAAATATTTTCCTTGAAATATCCAATGTGTATATTTCTACAAATCATATAGAAGTTTAATGCTGTGTCTAATACTCCTGATAAAAACAAAACAAAACTTTGCTTAGGTAAGAGATGTACCAACATTTTCACTAAATACATCAATTTTTAATATTTAAACTGGGAACAAGTTGATGTGAAATTACTGTCCAATGCTTTTTATACCATAGAATTGAAAAAATATATATTTGAAATGACATATTCACACATAGATTAATAGATTAATAAATTAATTAAAATTCATTGATTTTAGTGCAATTTAGACTTGTTTACATCAGTAATAACATTTTTAAACAGCTAATGTGGTTAAACCTACCGACCTCTCCAAAATCACATATTTTCAATTGTAAAATTATCATATTATCTGTAATTTTGAATTCCAAAGTAATCTATCAAGTTTATAATTGATAAATAAGAGTGTATAGTTGGTGCTTCGTAAAAAAATTTAATATTAACATTAAAAAAACTTCCATACTAAGCTTCTCAGCACTTTAAACTACTAATAATTGCTAAATATCCCATAATAAATATTGAAAAAACTTGCTTTTAAACAGAAATATCCGCAATAAAACCTGTATTTTAATTTTCCCACATTTTCTTTTAAGGTATCTGCATATTTTTACAAATTTATCTAAGACTTGCCCAATTTCAAAATACTATATAAATTTCCTCGAATCATTCATTCTTTCATCTTTCTTATGCTTTGTTTTTCAAGTATTTTCTACAAATAGAAGTATCATCTTATATAATTCTTTATGAACCTAGTTATCAAATTATAAATCATTATTTATTATGTTCAGAAATGTACTTTTCTAAATAATTGGTAGGTTGATATTTTATAAAAAAGATAAAAAAATATATTTTAGTAATGGTAGAAGAATATCCATATTTTAGACCAATAAGTATAAATAACAGCCCCCTCTTTTTGTTGTTTATAATTTACAATTCCAATATTATTTAAATAAATTCTGAACTATTAAGTATTATTATTCGGAGGTGATATTTTAAAAATTGACATATTTTATTTTTTGAAAAATCTGTGTGTTTCTCGTTGTAACAACGTCAAACATTACTATAAAATGTCATGTTCTTTGACAAAAAGACAGGAATTATTAAATATTACAAATATATAATGTAGAGTATTTGAATGTAACATAGTGAAAAGTCTAACAGATCAATTTATCCCAAATACATTATTTTTCATAAAAAAATCTCACAGTTATAAAGAAAAGTTCTATTTCGACTAAAGCTAGTTCATAAAGTATTCATAGTTAATCCACGTAGACACATTTACTTGTTATTAAAATAACGATTCTTGGACAGATCTCATGTTTCCTCTATATTCTTCAATCTTACCGTTATTAAACCACCAAGGTAAAGATTCTAACTGTGGAGACTTACCCTTTGGAAGAAATTTTTTCAATTCAAACTCACTTGTAATTACAGGTTGAAAAAATAACTTATCATTAGTGTGATGATAAACATAATCTAATAAACTTATGAGTGGAATAATAAAATTTTCTAATGTGTCATTAAGTGCAGGTAACAAATTATTATTATTATTATTAGCATGATGAGTATCGTTTCTAGTAGTACTTTTTGATGTTTGTCTGGCTTTCAATAATGTACTCTTAAATGAACTCTTCATTCTATTAATAGGTTTCAGCTTTATTTTAGAAGTGGAAAGGACAGTAGATGTTAATGCTGATCTCGGTATTATATTGCTGAATGAATTTATAGATTGTTCTAACATCCCGATAGCCACCCCACATTGTTCATTTCTAAATTGATCCATAGATAATAGAAGATATATTAGACCTTGGAGGTAATCTTTCAACGTATTATTTATTACACGCCCTTTACCTAGTTGTATACAAGTCTCAAGACAACCCACTGAAATTTTAGAGTAAAAAAGGCATGTACTTGAAGCTTCCTTTAAGTCCTTTGTCTGCAAATTTAATTGGTCTCCACTACCATTAGATAACGATCTTTTCAATTTAGTCAAAGATAATAGTAAAATTCCTAATTGTTGAATCAATTTATATTCTTCTATCATCTCAGATAATCTTTTAAACAAGTCAATGTCAATGAAATTAGGTATGACACTTTTCAAATATTCTAAGATACCTAACCCTTTTTTCAAATATGTTCCACTAGTAGTCCATAGGTTATCTGAATCATTAAGTGATGATCCATATGCATTTTGTAACATATCTAAGGCGACATTCTGGTAGAAAAACCCAACATTAATCAAACATGTAATAATTTCATTTTGTAATTCTAAAGATGCAAAATGATTCTTTGTAAAAAATGTCAAACCATTGGCATATTCCAATAAAATATCTGCTTTAGAAAGATCCGCAATTTTATGGCTTCCTTTATTACTAATATTAAGACTGAGATTAATGTTCTTATTAGTGGCAGCTATTGTCTTTTTAACAATATTTACTGCATTTTGTCTTAAATATCGAAGATCTGAAGGGAAGCTGGTTACAATAACAGAATTATCATCAAATGGGATCGGAATATCATATATTTTCTTAGACTTAATTATGGAAATCATACCCTAATTATCATCAATTCTGTGAACTAATGGTTCACAAAAAAAAACTAATCTATGATAGAGAACACCCTAATGTATTTAATATCCCTTTATCCTAGAATAATAAAATCGATCTAGAAGCTTTTTCGAAATCGACATAATTCATAGTTCTTCACAGCACCAGACGTAGCGAAGGAATCAGAAGACAATCGAGCAGAACTCTTCAACTATTGCTAAATAAAACCTGCTAAATAAGAGCTCTTCTCTTTTCTTATTAATACTATTTTTTGAAATCACTTTAAACGTTGCCCGGACCAAAGTGGAAACAAAAACACTTCTACTATAATACTCACATGCTTGAACTGTTTACTTTACCGCACTTATTTCAACCATACCGTGTTGTCAGTTATTTATTTGTTAACTAATCAACTTCTAATGACAACTAAAAACTCGTGAGTTAATTAATATCTTATCCTCTTATTAGTGGAATAACTGCTGGCACCACACAGTATAGTACAATTATTAACAGGACTAAGATGGACTTTTTAGATGATAATGAAGAACTTGATTTAGAGCTACCTCAAACAAGTGAACTTTCTGTTGATCTATTTGCTAATACATTAGAGAAATATTCTATTAAAAAAAAAGACAAAGATAAGAATAAAGATAAAAATGAGATAGAGTTCGATATTGATCAATTCTTAATGGATCATAATTTCCAATATTCTTCATTAGACACGTTAATTAGAAACATTTCAGGCTTGAAAGACGAATCACTCCGAAATTTACTAAATGCAATTATCCAAAATTATAACAATTATATAAACTTTTTTAAGACTTATGATAGGAATGATAATGAAATTCTCTTAGAATTACAAAGAACAAAAATAGATATTGAAAATTTTACTAAGGATTTAAATCAATTACTGACGAAAGATATACCGTACAGTAAAGAAAAAATTGTTGATATCTGTGAATATTTAAAGGAATTGGACAAAATATCAAATATTTTAATGGAACATGACCTTTTGGCCCAAAGATTATCAAATGGTAAAAAAATGAGTAAGACTTTACACGAAATGTGTGGATTAGACGACTTTGATGAAATTTTATGTTCTGATTTGATTGAAAAGATTAATGAGCATATAATGAAATGTAATTTACTCTTTATTAAATTTGAAGATCTACACTCTCCATTTCTAAATCATCTTTATAATGATTATCAAGGTTTAATCCAAGAATTTCAAGTCTCATTGAAGATAATAACTGATAAATGTTTAAGTGATATTGCTACATATCCCAAGTTATCAAAAGTGTTGGTGTCGTTGATAAATAAAGTAGAATCTTAAAGAAACTTCACTTTATACAAATTATGTTCATATCCACATACGTTTAATAATTGCCTAAATAGGAAAACATTACTCTTCAACTTGTACTTGCCTATTTAGACAAAATATCCAATTATATATATATGTAAACATAATCCCAAAGACTGAATTGTCTCTTAATATGTAAATGGCTAGAATAAAGGCATATATTGTTGGATATATCCATCAAATTTGATACTAATAGAGCTAAATTAATATTGTTCTCCGTATTATGGTGGAACAAAATAAAGTAGTAAGTGAAAAGAGAAAAAAAGATAGACTTGTCATAGTTATTGTGAATTTTGTTCTCATTCTCGTTTATTTTGAGTTGCTTTAGTTAATTATGATAGAGGGCATCGCAGAAAAATATACTCAGCTATTAATTGCTAATTATTTGAAATCACACAAGTTAGATGAAACGTTGGCATCGTTTCTAAAAGAGACTTCATTATCTAACACCAATCTATTAGCCCAGGATAGTTTATATTCCTTTAAAGATGAAAATCTGATCACTATCATTAAAGAACGGATTGAATATAACGAATATAATTTAGCAGAACAAATACAGTCTTTAAAATTAAATAATGAAAATGATTCTCAGGTAAAATTTAAATTAGAATCTTCAAACATTAAACAGTGGAACCATAATTTAAAATGGTCAATAATAAACAGAGTCAATTCAGACTCTTTGATACTTGTCTCTAAGTTTGTCAACAAAGGCCATAATATTGCGTTATCTTTATCAAACAAAAAAGTTATAATATATGATAGATTGTTGAATGAAATAAAGGAGCAAATTCAGTTGAAAACTGTAGTCAAAACACTAGGATCTATAAGTTCCAAATCATTTAATGCTATTAATTATATATGTACAATGGATGGTACATTGCAAATATTTATTAGTTACAAACATTTTGGACAATACTTTTACAAGTTACATCAACGGATGATAACACATATTGATTTTCTTCCCACATTTAAAAATAGTCAATATAGTAAAAATAAAGATAACATAATCGAGGAATATGTCATCGTATCTACAGATTTAGATCAATTACTTAAGGTTTCTTCATTAACTATAGAGAAAGTATCCACACAAAATAAAAACCACAATTTTATCGTACAGATCAAAGAAATAGATTCATTAAAATTACAATCTAATTGTACCTCTTTAAAATGTTGTGCCAAGGAATCTGAGTTGTCAATCTTTTTAGCAAGAAATGATTTCACGAACATTTCATGTTATTCCTTGAATCCTAAAACATCAAAATTGTATATTAAATATTATCTAGCATTAAACAATACACAATTCTCTACTCATTCATTTATTATTCGAGATATTGATATCATTAATAATGAAATCCTCGCCGTTGCAACATCACATATGCCTTATATGAGAGTCATTTTAGTAGAAATACCAAGTAATAAGGAAAGTAGTAAGAATTCAGAAACATGTTCAGAGTTATCCAATATCAAAACATATTATGATAAAATTCTATCTAATATAGCAACTCAGATATCGAACAATAATTTGTCACAACCAATAATTAAATATTGTCCAATCATTAATGGTTTATTAATCGGGAACGATGATGGGTTATTTGCGATGGATCTAATAAAATCCGAATCTTGGTCATTACAAAAAATGTTGCAAGTTTCTGTCAAGACAACTGTAAAACATATTGATATTTTGAATGATGGTGAATACATTTTACTCACATTCTCAAATAAATCAATCTGTCTTTATAACGTCCAGTAGCCAATATACTTAAAATATATGGATTTGGTTTTGTCTATAAAAAAGACCCTTTTCACATAATATTATATTGTATATATTCATAGCACATGGCTATTTCATTTATCTCACTATCAATGAGTAAATTTTACAAAATTGTTACTTTTAAATTTTAGTTTGGTATTCACATATACATATATACATACATAGACATCAACATTTGATACATATTTAGTTTAGTGTATTCTGGTTTTTATTATTTTTTTATTATTTGTAGATCTTTAATGAGATCCCATTAAAATACAATGCATTCACTATTAATGAAAAAAAGAGAGAAAATTATATCACATAATTAACATAATCAAAATTCAACAGAAGGTTGATTTTGAAAAGATGGCACTTGATTACTTTGATCAAAATTGTTATGAAACCCTCCACCATTATTGTTGTTTCTATAATTATTATTGTGGTATCCGCCTCTATAATTACTATTATTGTTATTACTACCACCTCTACCTCTTCCTCTATAATTTCCTCTACCTCTTCCTCTGTAATTCCCCCTACCTCTTCCTCTATTACTATGGAATCTTGGCCTAATAGATACTTGACCAAAGGTATCCATATTTAATTCCTTCTCTTCTTGCCACCTCATATTGGTATTAATCTCAGCAGATGTTGAAATAGTATCAAAGAAGGATGACTTCTTGTTATAGAAGGTTTCTTCTTTAGAAGAATCTACGGTTGATTCACTATCATTATTATCTGGGCTAGTTTCTTGTTTATCTAATGCCATAGTAGGATTTTCCTTCAGGAATTTTGCATTACTAGAAGCAAAATCAAAATCACTATTTGGAATTTCAATTTTTTGGTTTCTTGGACGATAAGAATGAGAATGGGAGTAATGATTACGTTGTTGACGTTGTTGAGCATTATAAGTATGTTCAATTGAAGCAGCAGGTGCATCAGAATTAACATTTGCAGAATCTGTAGTGACATCAATGTTTTTATCCTGAGGTGTATCATCCACTACATTATTATCATTACTTTTTAATCTAGCACTAGTGGTGTTAATAGTTGCTTCTGTTTCACTAGTATGTGTTGGTGCATAAACCCCATACCCAGCAACTGCAGCGGGGATATTCTTACTACCAGATGTTTGTTCCACGTTGTTTGCAGAATTTTGGTTTTGACTTTGTTGTTGTTGTTGTTGTTGTGAAGCAGTAGCATTTGTGGTAGAAGCAGAAGGAGGAGAAACAATTGACAATTGATTAGCAGTTGGTGGTAAAATAGGATGAACATCTTCTAATCTTACTTCAAGGATACTTAAATCTTTAACATCATTCCCATTGAATTGAACACTTTGATATATAGTAGGATTAGGAAAAATTTCTTCTGGTCCCCAATTCTTACGACCTTCCGTACCAAAACAACGAACATTACTTAATGTGACGGTACCCTTTTCTGAATCAATTTCTTTTAGTAACCCGACATATCTATTATCTGTAACAGAGATCAAGGAAATGGTCTTCCCAATATATTGAGACATTTTATGCCTTTATTAAATATATATATATGTATATAAATATGGATATATGTGCGCGTACGTGTAGATGAATAAACAAAAGTAAAATACTAATAAGTATTATTATTTAATCTTTCTTATGCTATCCCCTTTGTCCTAACTTGATGTAATTTCCTTCCTATCGTTGTCCCAATACACAGAACACTACTTTCTCCAAGCGGACAGAAGACAGTGATAATAGTTCAAAAGCTACTAAGTAATACTCTTACGAAATTAGGTGACAGTGTACAAGTTGAAACTCTCTTGAGAATCATAACGTCAATAAATTACTGCAACAACCAACAGGTTGATCCAATTACTCTCTTTACATTTGGATTAAAATGTTTCCTTCTGTCAAAGAAAAAAAAGAAAAGGGAAAAGACTAAAAATCAAAATAAAAAAAATTATTGTCATTTTGTACGAAAAGCTGCATAAATTTGTCGTGTCAAATGACACAAAAAATTTGAATATTCCACCACCAAACAGTTCCACGGAACAGACGGAGATACAAACGGAGATATGAATGAATATAAATATACAAATAAATATGGTGTAATATTATATTACATATTTACACTACATTATATGCTTATACATCAGAACAGCTTATTCTATTCTCTTCCCAGTTTTATATATATCTAATGTGATAGGAAAAGGAAGAGAAAACGCGACGGAAGGGGAGGAGGGGGAGGGAGGAGAAAAGTTAGTCTTTATGATTAAACTATCGTTTTTGTTAGACAATTTATCTTATTGTTAGAGCTCTCCCCATTCAAATGACATCTACATAATGTCATAGTCAATATCAGTAGGTAAGAAGGAAGGTTCATAAACACTACTAATAATGACAACACAGTTCTGTAACTTTTTTTTTTTATAAGGATAGATGTAACTGTTATACCTTTTCATTTAATTTAATATCAATATTATCCTCACCCTCATCTTCCCTTCTTTTTCGATGTTTTTCTATTTATCTGTTTTATTCTTCTTATCTTACCCTCTTGCTTATTATCTGAAAGGTGGTCTTTCATTTATGGATTTTGGACGTCTTGTTACTGTTTTCCTTCTTGTTACAGTATTGGCCACTGTGGTCTTAGTTCTTTGTTGATTTGTAATGGGATTTGAAGCAGATAGTAATGTAGACCCATGTGTAACTCTTCTTGCACGGCCACCTAAAGAATATCTGTTAGATATAGTGTTAGCACCACGTTCATTGCTGATGCTTGTTTTCCCATTCAAAAGATTGGATTCTGGTGCATTACTATATCCTACGCTGTTTCTAATTACATTTAATATAGATTTTCTTCTATATCTGCGATCCACATCATCCATATTTCCATTCCTTAAGTATTCTTGTTGGGAGTTTGATGGATTTACTACAAACGATGCTTCACTACTGGTATCATCTCCGTCATCATAATCGTCCTCTTTATGTATATTATAATCATCATTAGCACTCCCATTATTGCTACTATGGTTTCTATTTCTATTCTTGGGTAAACTTGATATGTTTTTGTTCATTGTTGCTTTCATTTTCCTACTCTCACCTACTGTAAACAAAGGTTTACTAAAATTTTGATTTAACTTAAAATTATTATTATTACTATTCTTACCATTATTATGATTATTCGTTAAATTACTATTTTCTATCATTGATGATTTAGTTTCCTTTATCTGTTTCAAAAGATTGTCTTTTTCTGTTTCCAACTGATTTAATCTTTCAAATACCCTCATTTGTTCCTTTATATTATTAGATAATCCAGGAAACTGTAAACATGAAGATGAACAAATCAGTCCATATACTAGAGATCCAAATGATTCGTTCAAATCAACTAAATTGTTGTGTATATTATTCAATCGATCCAAATTACTCTCCAGTGTGATTACAGAATCGTGTAAATCACTTATCTGTGGACCTAAATACCTATGGAGAATATTAAATGTATTACTGTCTTGATCACTCCCTCCTATGCTTAGACGACCGTTGCTAAATGTATTATTTTTATAGTTGTTATTGTTGGTTTCTCCATTATTTAAATATATATCATTTCCTGTTCCTGCTAAAGAGGACCTTCGAGAACCAGAATTACTATTTATAGATAGTTTATATTCGGTTCCAGTACTACTTCTTGCATCCTTATCTCTATTAGTATTAGTAGTAGTATTGGTATTAGTACTATTATTACTATTATTCATGATAAAGTTTACAAAAAGATATTCTATGTTTTAATTACTATAATATTCACCTTATTATCAATCCAGTCCAAATAATCCCTTTATTCTTTTGAGCATAGGCAAGGTTTTTTGTGTATCTCTTTTCGTATTTTTCTCTTCTCTTTATTTATTTATTTATCATTGGTGTTTTTATGGTTTCCTCTTTTCAAACTCTCTCTGTCTCGAAAGCTTTCAAAGAAACTAAGAAAGAAAAAATTGAATGAATAATATAACCATACAATATGTCTAAGCAAACAGCAATTGGGTCATACACAGATAATGTTGCTGATGATTGTTGAAAATAACACCTAAATATACAACGTGTCCATACATATAAAAGCATGATTAGTGATTTAAGTATTTACACACAGAAAGTGTATATATATATACATATATGGAGAGACAGTGAGAATATTGAATAACTAGAATATAGTTACAAAAAAAAATCTTTTGTAATATTATTATCTTTTTTGATCCATTCCATCCCATTTTATTTTTACAGAATAGTATTTTAGGTAAGGAATAATAACAATAATAAGGAGACAAAATACTATCATAGAGAAGTATATATTTTCTTTATAAGTTATGAAAATCTTTTTGCGTGTTTCAGCTTATCTTGTTTCAATTGTAATTGTGATACAACGTTGCCCTTCCACCAATACTTCCTTAATGCTACTATTAAGAATATAGTACTTAAAAATGATAGACCATACCAGGTTACAAGATATTGTAAATGATTATTTCTTAAATCAACTGTTGGTTTCTTACCAATCGGTACACCTGCTTTCATAAATTGCCATTCTGTAAATTCGGTATTTTTATCATTAATGCCAAATTCATTGGCCTCGTCACTAACATTCTTATTATCATTTTCACTGGATCTATGGTATGGTATTAATTTCCATAAGAAAGATCTTTTTTCTTGATTTGTTTTTCTTTCACCATCTCTACTATTGTTTTGGTAATTAGTTCGCCATTCTGGATGATCACATAAATCATATATGGCTTGGAAATTTATTGGTTTGCAACCAACACTTTTAGCCATATCAAATATATCTGCCACTTGCCATAACCTCGAATCTGAATCTGTTTTTTCCCATTGAAATCTCCCACGTTTCTTTGGTGGACGTACTAAACATATTAGTTCAATATCTTTGTTGGGATCTGGTATAGATAAATGATGTAAAGATCTATTTTCTGGTGGCACATGTTCCTCACTTATCCAACCACGTTCCACCAATATTTTTTCACCTGTATCTGATCTAACAAATGGTGTGAATAGGATATATCCTTTTTCTCCATTCTTAGCTCTTGGACCAACAAATAATTCTTCTTCATATACGAAATGTCCCTTAACTTTAATCTTACGATATTCCCAATCCTCACACATGTCCACTGTAAAATTTTTGGGTATATTGATAGGTGAATAAGTTAATTTGGTTTCACATTCTGCAATCAATTTAGTCTTCCAGTCTAATCTTCTTAGTTGCCAGGTACCCAAGTAAAATGAGATTACTGGCATAGCAATCATCAAACCCAATGCAATTTTTTTACCAGCCCTGCTTTTCTTACCGTTTTGATTTGAACCATTTCTATCGTTTGGATTATTGTGAGATTTAATAGGTTTCCAATCAATAGTAGATGTCATTGTGGTTCTTTGAAAGCTCAATTGCCTCAGAATAACTCCCCGTGAACATTCATGGACAAACTTAAAAGATGAATTTTTTAACATTGTTCTGTAAAGAATATTAATTATATTCATAGGTTTCTGTCAAATATTATCTGCTCATTCATAGATATACTACCAAAATACTTTATTTTACTTTAAAAAGGTATGTATGATTAGGCATAAACGTATTCTAGATATATTGGGACCAATTGAATCATTACCCCTTTCTTTAAATGAAACGCTTTCCCTATCTATATTTATTTTCCAAATTTCTTTATTAACCAAATCCAGATATACATATAACTGTCTATATCTGGATTTGGTGTCAAAAAGAAAAATAGTACACACACATACAAATACATACATACATATAAGTATATATTAGATAAAGCATAATATATCAAATAGTCTGGCCTGCTTAGTTCAGTATATATATGACAAAGTAAATATATATGTATCTAAGTGTATATATCTATATAGAATATGTATATGGAGTTGAAAAGATACTATTGTTTGATGGAATATTCTATAAATATATTCTAAAACCAACAGAACTTTGTATTATTATCCCAAATGATATCTTCTGGTGTTAGTCCAGTTGGGGGTCTCACAGCACTTACTGATCCATTGACTTGATACAATTGAGATTTATTTTCTGAGTTATGTAAAATTTGATCCAACTCTGGATACATCTTAAGAGGAATCTCTTCATCCCAAAATTGAACTTTAGAAAGATTTCTTCTATGTGCTTCTAGAATACTTTGTTTAAGCAATTGTCTTAGAACATCTTCTTTTGAAGTATTATCATCATTGGCAATATATAACTTAAGAAGAATAAGAGTATTTTCGTTCCAATGATGGTGCCAGATTACATGACTGTTATCGGTTAATGAAAAACCAAACGGTATCTCAATATCATTACTTTCATGTTTTGGACTCAACTTTCTCCTTATAAATATATCACGGACATGAAACCATATAAATATATCCAGATCTGGTTTGACTGTGAAAATAAATTTATTTGGTTGTCTTTCAGCTAATCTATATAGGTTTTGCTTAAATTGAGTATCTTGTAATATTATAAGGTGTTCATATCCATCAAATCCTAGAAATTTCCCACCTTGAACAGTATTAATACCTTTATCATCAGTGGAATTTATATGGGTACCAGGTTTATATTTGCAATATTGTTGAAGGATTAATTCGAAATTTGTAATGTTATGTAACGGGATATGCATAGAATGGTAACCAAACTTCTCATAATAATCATCTATTTCACTATAAAGGTTGATCACCATATTTTGGATCAGTTTAGATTGGCTCCCATATTGATCCCTTACATCATCATAATATTTGTTTAATGAATTGATCATATACGATGCATACCCTTTACCTCTATGCCTTACATCGGTGAAAACACCACCAATACATACTATTAGGGCTGGTTCGATTTCATTATTATTTGACCCTGGACGAATACAATATCCAATCCTATTTAAAGTTTCACAACTAGATACAACCTGAGAATATTTGTCTATATTAGGTAAATTTTGATCTTTTACGACAAAATACTTCACTCCTAACCATTTAGAACATTCAGGGTAAAGTCTTTGGAGCTCAGCATTTTGATCTTTATTTGCAATAGAAGTAGATCCAAGCAGTTTTTCTCTTTCTACATATTCTTCATTGCTCAATAATCCTCTCCACGTGGTTGAATTCTTCATATGAGTGAAATGCTTGATTTCATCATCTTCATAGTTAAGAAAGATTAAATTATTTTTGTAATTAGTCATTAGTTTCTTTTTTGTTTTATTCTTTCTGATGAATATAATACAAAATCGACATACACTTATAATTCAAATCAATTTATAGTTTTTCGATGTTATAGTAAATTGCTTTGAATTGTAAATATTACAGTTAGGAAGACTAAAAATATCAAGGTTCTCCGCGGTCGAGAACCTTGATTTTTTTTTTTGTTTCTTTTAAGCTTTTTTTTCTTAAACTCATAATCGATCTTATTTAGTTTTCTATGCTGTGTATTATTTATAACATAAAGAAAAAAAACAAATGTAAGACAGATGTAGCTAAAGCCCTTTTCAAGTAATAAAAGTAATAACAGTGAATTATATTATCATTTAAATAGGAAATACAATATAAAGAAAATAGACAAAAATTTATAAAGAAATTATATTATCACATAATGTCGTTAATTTTTTGTGTTACCTTCATCTTTTTTTCTTTCCAATCCCTTTTAAAGATGCTTATTTCATATATTGGCACAAAATTCAAAATAGATTTATTTATTAGAATAGTAGTAGAAGAAAGCACAAAAAAAAACTAAGTAATAGTTTATTGCTTAACAGGTTCGACATTCCAGATGGTTTCAGCATATTCTTGGATACAACGGTCACTACTGAAGAAACCTATATTAGCAACACTTAGAATACTCTTCTTAATCCATTCATCCTTTTCATTGTGGAAGACTTGATCAACAAGTTCTTGGGTAGCAATGTACGAATCAAAATCATCAGAAACCAAGTAGTAATCACCATGCTTTCTAACAGCATCAACAATTGGTTGGAATTCACTTGGATTATCAGTGAATTCACCACGTTCAATGTACTCTAATACTTTTTCCAAGTTTTCTGGTAATTCTTGTGGATTGTATTGATGGTTGTATCTTAATTCTTCAACATTCTCACTTAAGTTACCAAACAAGAAAATGTTATCTTCCCCAATTTCTCTGGTAATTTCAACATTAGCACCATCCACAGTACCAATAATTAAACCACCATTCATAGCAAATTTCATATTAGAAGTACCAGAAGCTTCAGTGCCAGCTGTAGAGATATGTTCACTTAAATCAGAAGCAGGAATAATAATTTCAGCTTTGGAAACATTATAGTCTGGGATAAAGACAACCTTCAACAAGTCACCAATCTCAATATCATTGTTAATGACTTCACTAACAGAGTTAATCAATTTGATAATTAACTTAGCCATGTAGTAACCTGGGGCAGATTTACCACCAAAAATGGAGACCTTACGTGGGAAGACCTTAGCAACTTCCTCAAGAGTGGAACCATTTTGCAACATTGTCTTCATTGCCAAGTAACGGTATAAAACACCAAAGATATTCAATTGTTGACGTTTGTATTCATGAATACGTTTAACTTGAACATCGAACAAGGTAGTAGCAATATGTTCTCTATCGATAATATCAACGCCATCATTTAATTTCTTGATTAAATCGGCTAACCTTAATTTGTTGTGGATCTTAACTTCATTCCATTTCTTATGAAATTCTCTATCATCAGCCAATTTGTTTAACAAAGTTAATCTTGGCATATCCAACAAGAAATCATATTGTGGGTCATTCAAAGTTTGACTAATCAATTCAGCTAATTTAGGATTGGCTTGTCTTAACCAACGCCTTGGAGTGATACCATTAGTAACATTAGTGAATTTCGAAGCGCCATAGAATTTAACGAAATCAGAAAAAATTGTCTTCTTAATTAATTCAGAGTGTAATTCAGCAACACCGTTAACTTTATGGGAACCAACGATAGCTAAGTAAGCCATTCTAATTTGTCTTTCTGGGCCACTTTCCTCGATAATAGAAATACGGGATAATAGGTCCAAGTCCTTAGGGAACTTCTTAGCAACTTCTTGCAAGAAGAACCAATTAATGTCGTAAATAATTTCTAAATGTCTTGGTAATAAGTGACCGAACAAGCCAACTGGCCATTTTTCTAAAGCTTCTTGCATGACAGTATGGTTGGTGTAGGCAAAAGTAGCAGTAACGATCTTCCAAGCTTCATGCCAGTCCAATTTTTCCAAATCAACCAAAATTCTTTGTAATTCTACAATAGCAAGGGTTGGATGAGTATCGTTTAATTGAATAGCAACCTCATCTGGGAATTCAGCCCATGGTCTCTTAGACTTTTTAAACCTTCTAACGATATCATGCAAAGAAGCAGAACACCAAAAGTATTGTTGTTTTAATCTTAATTCTTTACCCTGTTCAAAGTTGTCATTTGGATATAAGACAGCAGTGATTGATTCAGCACGTTGTTGTTGTTCTACAGAGTTTTGATAATCACCGGAATTGAATTTTGCAAAATCGAATTCTGTAGTTGGTCTAGCTTGCCATAATCTTAGATTATTAACATTATTAGTCTTGTAACCTGGGACTGGGAAATCATATGCGACAGCAATAACTCTTTCACCACCAATCCATTGGGATGGAGCTAAAGTAGTGCTATCTTTACCATCATCTCTTTCAACATAACCGTAGAAGGTAATTGGGATTTGAACTTCATTTCTTTCAATTTCCCAAGCGTTACCGAAGTTTAACCAGTAATCTGGAGTTTCAACTTGATAACCGTCGATAATTTTTTGGGCAAAAATACCATATTGATAACGCAAACCATAACCCCAAGCTGGAATATTTTCAGTAGCCATGGAGTCAACGAAACAAGCAGCAAGACGGCCCAAACCACCGTTACCCAAACCGGCATCTGGTTCTTGTTCTAAGACATCTTCCAATCTGAAACCTAATTCATCTAAAGCACCGGAGATAATATCTCTTGAACTCTTCTTTTCACCCTTTGAGTTATTTGGATTGCTAGAATTGTTCTTGTCAGTGGAGACTTCATCATCATCTAGGTCCATGTTAATCAAAGCATTATCCAAAGCTCTACCCATTAAGAATTCTAAAGATAGATAGTAGACTCTCTTTGGATCTCTTGTAGTAAATTTTTGTTGAGTTTTATTCCAGTCGATAATCAAATTATCTCTAACAGACATAGAAGCTGCTTCATAAGCGGCCAAGTTATCACAATTGTATAAAGATCTAGCCAAAGTAGTTTCCACATGGTCGATAAATCTAGTTTGAAAGGATTCGGCGTCATCGAACTTCTTAACTTGGTGTTTGTTCCATAAGGCTCTTGATTTCAGTGGGATAGTGGAATCAATGGCTTTAATTTCTTGAGGAAGGAAACCAGTTAACCTTCTTGCTAATCTTGGGACTTGACGTGGAGAGGAGGGTTCCTCAGTGATCATATCATTGGTACTAGTAGTAGCTGGGGCCATTATTCATAAAAAAAATATATTATTGAAAAGAACAAAAAAAAAAAGATATAACAGAGAGAAAAAAAAAAGGAATATGGAATATATGTATTTATGTTTGTGTATGTGTATTTGTTGTTTCAGGGGGGGGGAGAAAGAAAAAAAAGAAAGGGAATTCTACTTAAAACAAAAGTAAAAATTGAGGTTAAGAAATATGCCCATTGGGAAAAAAAGGCGAACTGGAAAGACATGGAAAAGAAGAAAAGCATAGAAAACTATTAGGTATTGAGATCTCTAATTTTTCAAATCCTACTATATATATATGTGTGTGTCTGTGTGCGTTCATATGTGTGTATATAAGAGATAGTTTTAATGATATTTAAAGTTGGTTTCCTGTTACTCGAGAAGATGTCTTCGTTTGTTTTGTTTTTTTTGCTCCCTAAAATGAACTGTATTGTTATACATTTCATTGTTAGTGCTATTATACTTGTTATTGTTTGTAAGATAAGGAAAAAAAAAGGGGATGTAAAAAAAAAAATTAAAGGGAAACGGAGTGTAATACAAAAAGGGGAAAATCCTCATATAAGACGGAAAACGATAATGACAATGAAATGTAATAATAGACAATAAGGGGAGGTGGGGGGAAGAAGGGTCGACATACCAAAAAAAAAAAATAGTTGAATTAAATTAAACTAAAATTAAGGAGACGCTTGGTGGATATCTTGATTGTGCCTCTCTCTATTCTGCTTCTTATCCCCCCATATGTCTCATTTCCTATATTTTTGTTTTATCTTCTTTTAAGGAAAAAAAACCCTCAATACGACATTTTGGAATTATATACATTCATATGTAGATACTAGTGCAAAAAAAATAAAAAAAAATAAAAAAAAAAGAGCAATAAGAAATGTAGAGAGAGGAAAATAAGGGGTAAAATGAAGAATATCCTCAATAGAAATTAAAAACAAAAGAAAAAAAGAAAAAAAACACTTTAAAGTAATTACAAATACAACGATAATATCTTATGAAGTATGGCATTGCTAAACCATATTAAAGTTTAAAATTCTACAAAAATAGACACATAGAAGGTATGTAGAGAATTTGAGGAATGCATGACAGAACTATCTATTCTAGGTCAAAATAGACTAATAAAGTCATTTATTGCCTATCTAAGTTCATGTGGTTAAAATATAACAATGGTTGTGATATGTAATATTGTAATAGTAACTTGGCTATAGTGATATAATGAATATTAGTTAGTATGTACAAAACCTCTTATCTGAAGTTATATAGTAGCTTGGTCCTTCTTGCCCTCTTATATTTTTACACTATCATTTAACATTCCATTATCTCCTTTCGTCGTAAATCCAAAAACTTATAAAGATGAATTATGCAAATATATATATATATGTATATGTATATATATATATATATATGTATATATGTAGTTGACTATAAACAAATCTACTATTCTTAACAAGAAAGTTGCCTAAATGTTGTAGAGTAATTAATAAAAAAAAAAAAGAAAGCAAAAGAAAAGAAAAGATAAGAGGAAGGAAAAAAATGAGTTTAAGTTCACTTTATGGGTAAAAAGTAGATATCGATTACTAAAATATACATATATACGTATAGCTTTGATCTTTAGGGAGGATATTGGATCAAACACAGCAGATTTTAACAATAATAATATCCAGTGTCACTATTTTTTATTTCGTTTTTTTTTTTTTTTGAGTTTTCCTCTTCTTTTCATTTTTTTTTTATGAAATTGGTCAAGTAGATCATAAACTCCGCTGATCCGTCATTTTGTCAATATTGCCGCTTTTATAATAACAAACGACAAATAAAATAATACATTTTTGTTTGCTTTCTTTCTTTTTTTTTTTTTTTATTTTTTACCAGGATTAGATGAGAATCATTGCCGGGATAAGGGAAACCGTAGTAATTAGTCTCTATTTTTTTTTCATCTAAATTGTTTTGTTTTGTTTCTTCAGGTTAATTTAAAATATTTCATGATTTAAAAGAAAGAAACAGTTTTCTCATTTATTGGGGTTTTTTTGACACATCCAGAGACATGTGATGCATCCTTTAAACCATCTCAGGGAATCTATAAAGGAAAATCTTGTAAATAAATAAACAAAAAAAAAACACTGAAAAATATTATTTTTAAAACTTTTTGTGCGTAGAGTTTTTCTTGCTTATCAAAGGTATTGCAACTATATTCAAGAAATGTTGTATATATAACCATATATGAAAACCGAAACTCTTGTCTCCTCACTTCCCTTAACTCCACTTTTACTGTTTAAAACAAATAAGAATTTAAATGATAGCAACTTGGTCTAAAATAAACAGTTGAAAAACGTACTGTGACCAAAATGAATACAATTACTTTGGATGACATCGGCCATAACTCTTTTCTTCCTGTTGAAATATTCATAAAAATTATTAGTAATATCAAAGTCGATTCTAAACAATTCATATTGGATTATTTGAACATTACTAACGCTGTAAATAAACATTCTATTGAAACTGAGTCTCTCCTAAAGTATTTAATTGAAAATTTTAATAACCACGTCGATATTATCGATCTTACAAATTCCTCAGACTCTTCCTTGCTAATAGCACAATTAAGAAAATATTTTGATATAAGATGTTTTACTAGTCAGAAAAAGGACAAATATATCTTATTGGTTAATGATGACATTTTAATTAAATATATCAATAGAACTCAATTTATTGAGTTTTTTGAAAAATTGTTTTTCAGGTTTAATACACAAGAATACTCTAAACTATTAATAGATATCGTCTATTCTCCCTCCATGACTGAACTCATCACAGAAAATCAAAACATTGAAGGAAATAGAGATGGATCAGCGGTGAAAAATGAATATATGGTTAAAAAAAAAATTCTGGATGAATCTGGTAAACAAATAGTGCCAGACTTGATAAACTTCATTTCACTTTTTCCGAAGAACTTTGTATTAGATAATTTAATTATTGATTTTAATAACGAGAAAATCTTATTACCTAAGGATTTATTTGGGATTTATTCTCCCAAATTTTTTGTACTTAGTGATAATATGAATAATGACATTACGAGGAATAATATCAATAATAATAATAATAATAATAATAACCATAGGTTTAACTTTGATGAATCTTTACATTTATTAAGAGATTATGATACCCGTAATAACAATAATGCTACTAGTATTAATGATGTTGTTAAGTGGTTAGAACCAAAATGTAATCAGATTACATTTTCCTCTGTAACACACCTATTAATTGATTACATGGCTATGGATACCTTTATTTCTAACATATTCGAGGTTTATGGAGAAAAATCACATCATTCTGTAAATACTACTGCTGAGTCATCTGTTTCATATTTATTTGGTAACTTTTTGACTAAAGTTCATTTTAATGTTCCAGATCTACAAGATCTGAAATTTTATAATAAGAACTGTCCCAACGCTATCTGTAATTTCATTGATCTTTCAACAAGTATTCTAAAAAAGATTGCCAGTAATAAAATGACTTTGAAATATTATTTCGAATTGCATGCCTTAAAAAACTGGAACGTGAATAACTTAGTTAATTTTGGTGGTCATCGATTTAAATTCGATGCAAACACAAGTTCTGGATTGACTACAGAGACCACAAAGCAAATATCAGCAAATATCAAATTATTATCTACTATGATTAACGATGAAACAAAAGACGGTGTAACATATCTCCGAGTAGAACTGTTTCCACCAAGTGTGAAAAAAAGTAAAATCTTAAATTGGTTGCCATTAGGATCAAGCGAAACTTTAGATAGTACAAGCACAACTGGTCGTACAACCTCGCCAACACGTATGTCTAGGCCAGGTGAACCTAAACCCATTCTATGCTTAAAGTCACCATGTTTGGAGACATTGGAATTAAGAGTATTGAAAATAGATAAGGGTAAAAACAATCATATCCAAGGATTGTTTTTACCTAGTTTACAAAGGTTAATTTTACAAAATTTTCAATTTACTATTGATGCACCTTCACCAGTGATAAGTGGTGGAACTGGTATTGGAAACAAGTTTCACGAGGCCAATGATAATGGCGAGGATGAAGTGATGATTAATGACATGGAACTTTATGCTACTGGTTTCTCTAACTGGAATGATTTATCAAGTTGTTCGATAATTAATCTGATTGATAATATGCAACAATCAGATCAAATGAAGTCATATGCAGTTCATTTAGTGTTTAATATAAAAAATTTAAAAAGAATAATGCCAAAGATCAAACTAAAAGAAAGTTTCGATACTTTTGTTGATGAAAAACAACAATTTATTGTTGTTTAACTTGGCACACACACACATATATATATATAATCCAATAATATATTCCCACTATATTGAAAATTAATAAAAAATTTGATGTATACTCTTGATTTTATGTTAACGTCTCTAGTGTACTTGGATATTTATCCTAGATATTTCTTCTGCAATTTAAGACAGGGCGACAAGCTCAACTTACTATATATGAAGAAGTAAACTGGGCAATGAAATACATTAATTAGTGTAAATCAAGAAAACAAGTACTATTTTATTTCAACCAACCTTTTAAATCACTTACAAGTTCAATAATTTAAGGCTTCAACAAGACTACGAAATATGCACGTGGTTCTAATTTCAGAACTCCATTTGTCGCTTGTACGGTGAAATAATTTTTAAACTTAAACCCTAGCTGTCTTTAATTTCTAAGAATAGAAAAAAAGAATAGATGTAGATACAACGTGTATTGTGTGTCTCTTCTTTTCAATGCAAAAACACAACATTGTTCTATTAACACACCAATGATATGTTGTTATCTTATGTATATGAAGAATCCGATGGCTAATTGATATATCCTTTAGGTAGTTAATGGCGTTTGAGATGTTTTCCCTTAAAAAGATGGTCTTGACCCGTTTTTGTTAGGGATAAATATCGGTGGGTGAAGTATTGGTTAAGTTTCTATGTGTATAGCGCACTTATTTACAAATCTCTCTAAGTAAATATTTGATAAATCGTATATTAATTGTCTCTTTTGTGTGTGTGTTGGTTCTTTTCAAAATTCTCGAACAATTCTATATTATTAACATAATATATTGGGTGTCATTTCAGGTTTTTGTTTTTGTATGTTTTGTTTTTACACCTAGAAGGGTGCATAATGAACATGATTATTAACAAGATAGCATTTACATAAAAATTAGCACATGAAATAGCATTTGTCATATAGATAATTACCCAAATATATATAGTGGAACATTATAAATTAATAGTGTATAATAATTGCTTATAGTTCACACCTTTCACTTTTTAACAATTAAGAAATGGATAGAGTAAGGCAAGAGTAGCATTTTCGAAACAACTTAAATTTGGCACCTTTTTTCCTTGAGAGAAAGATGTTACCAACTGAAATATATAATGAAATAATTAAAAAAATTGCCATAGATTCTAAACAATTTTTATTAGATTATTTAGATATTGTAGATGTACTAAGCGATGAGTCATTCTCAAATTTTAGTTTCATTCTTCAACTATTTCTAGAAAACTTTAATAATCGTATTGATATAATTGACCTTACTAGTTCCATCGATAATTCACCCATTATATTAAGGTTGAAGAAATTTTTTACAATCAAATCATTTACTACTACAAAGAAAGAAAAGCTTATATTATTAATAAATGATAATACCTTATATTATTATAGACATGAAATAAATTTTAGGGAACTTTTCACCACAAAGATTTTCCCTGCAGATGATATAACAGACACTTCAAAGTTTCTTTTTGATATTATATATTGTCCCTCTTTAACAGAATATAAAAGTAGTATCAAGAGTGGAACAGATGATCTTAAATGTGGGTACAAGTTTAGAAAACTGTTTTGTAATGAATTTGGTCAGATTGTTGTTCCAGATTTGTTGAATTTCTTATCTTTTTTTCCTTCTAATTTTGTTCTAGATAATTTAATTATTGATTTTAATTATGAAAGAATACTACTATCTAAGGACTTATTAGGTATCCTATCTCCAAACTCTTTTGATGTCGAGAACCAACTTTTCTGTAAAGATGAAAAGGATCAAAAAAAACTTTATAAAGAGATAATTCCACAATGTAAACAGATTACTTTTTCTTCTGTTACATACTTATTAATGGATGATAAAATAAAGGATATTATAGATTTTTCTTCATTACGTATACCAAATATGTCAACTATTGATTCAATGGGCGTTCATAATAGAGAAATAAGAAATAGTGGGAGTATTAATTTAAATTTAAATACAGGTTACCAATATTCAGATTCATATCTAAATTCAAAGTGCTCTGATGAAGTACATGATTTTGTTCAGTTGTATATACCAGATTTGCAAGATCAAAAGTTTTATAAAAACACATGTTCTAATGTTTGCACACAAAAAATAATTTACTAAATGATTTCATCTAGCTAGAAAAACTTTGAGAATTTATATAGGTAAACAAAAAATTTAGTAAGGAGTATACAAAATATCCTTGTATAACTCATTTTTGTACAGTTGATCTTTACTCAGTTTGATTTAAGAACGAATTTCTATGAGGACTTCAGACAAAGAAAATCATCAAAGTAAATGAACAACCAGATTCAAAATAAAAAAATAACTACATACTTTAATAGAGTTTATATAAATCTTATGTTAAGCTAGATATTGTTTATTCTTTATTATTGTATGAATTCAACTACTGATTTTCCTTGATTAAAATAATAAAGAAATATTTTACTGTAAAAATACATAAGTTATTAAAATAATATTTTACAACTGACTTACTTGCATTTCTAATATTGTGAAAAAATTGTCAGCGACTTCATTAATATTATGAAAGTGTGTAGACTTGGATTTTTATAGAGTAATATCAGTAGCTGAATATTATATATACACTTCTTATTTTAGCAGAAACAGCCCAATTATTACAACACATATCTTTTAAAAAAATTTTGTTAAGCATGTTTTCAGAAGAAAAGTACAAAATAATAAAAAAGGTGAGGATTTTGGTTTTCTAACCAAAGTGGTATTATTATAATTAACTACTAAATTATGAGTCAAGTATTTAATTTCCACAACCTGTATGATAGAAATAAAACATTTATATATCATGAACGTGTGATATTGGTTTATATATACCTTTAATTAGTAATCAATAATTATATAACAAATCTATAATACAGTGGCCTCTACTTTGAACATAATTCCAACATAAGTTTATATGTAGAAAATGAACATAAACAAAAACTTGAATATCTCGGTTCTAGATAATTGTATTTATATTTGTATAATTATATAGTATATAGAAAATGTTAAAGACTAGTCTTAGTATTGAGAATGAGTGCCTTTATTCATTGGATATATAGTAAACATTCTCAATATTATATTAAACAGATTTAGTATACAAAATTATAATAAAGTTCTTCACTTTCTTTCTCTATATACAACATAGAAGTAATAATACACAAAGATTGTAAATAAGATAAAAATAATGTATGATGAAATCCTTGGCTTTATATATGTTAACATTCAGCCATTTTCCTCTACGAACAGTAAGATATTTAATAAACAAACTCAACAACCTTTGGTAACCTCTCAACAATTATTACTCAACAATTTATCGTTTAGTGTCTGCTAAAATCTTATTGTTCTATCTATTTCATTATAGAACATTTTATTTCAACACTTAGTAACATTTTAAATACATTTTCTTATGAATATATATATAAGTAAAGAAGTGTTAAGATAGATTTGTTTGTTTAAGACTTCCTTCTTGTAACTCCCCGTATCGCTATTATTTTTATTTTTTTAAAAAAAGCCTTTTCCTACAAAACTATTAAATTATAAAAATAACTAAAAATAAAAAAACTGTCCTTTGAAAATTAACTACAACATCTTTTTGCAACATTATCTGTTGAAATTGAACGTTCTAGAATAAATAGATAAAACAATTAATTATTAGCAAATATAATTTGATATCAGATTGTAGAGTATATATTGTTTGCTCACCTGTAAAAGTAAACAAAACATATTGATAAATTGATGCTGTTCGTAAATGAGATGCACCAGATATGAAAATATATAAAGCTAACATTTTTTTCATATCATGTTTCTTCCCTTGTTCATCTTTTAGAATCATCCTTGTATATTATATATAAATAAAAAAAACCGAAGAATTTAATTATAATTTTATATACTATATCTATCTAATATAATATTGAGAATGTTTACTATATACCCAATGACTACAGGCGTTCAGTCTCAACAAAAATAATAGACAGAATTTTGTAATGTTTGTTAATAAATTCTTATAAATTGAATTTTGGATATCAGAATCGAACAAAAACATGTTAAAATATTTAACTGAATAAAATAATGAACCCACAAACTGAATAAAATAGTACGGTCCTATCTATTCTTCACAATTAAATCTTCATATACCAAATTAAATAATTAAAATTTAAAAGAGAAATTTGCTGCTGAAGGTAAGGATTCCCACGATGGTAAAACTAACGGCCTCAAAACAGATTTTAAAGCTTGGAAAGATTCTGTTGGTACATTTTATCAAATTTATTCTAAGTCTATTCCTGATGATAATTTTATGTTACAATTGATTAAATTACGTCTGAAGTGGGCGGCAAAAGTGTGGTACGAGAATAAAGAACACACTTTTACAACATTAAAACACACGATTCACGGCATTGAGAAAAGGTTTGGTTCAAATAATTCTTTCTGAGACTTTATCGATAAATGTAGAAATTATAACTGAGAAGGTAAGTCTATGAAGAAAATTGGTGATGATTTTCAAGAGTTAGTTGATGTAGCTCCTGAATTCATCTCAGAACAGTTTTTGGCTGGTGAATTTTATCGTCGAACTCCAACTGGATTAACCGGGTATATTTTGAATAATAGACCTCCAGAAACTACGACGTGGACACAATTATCAGACATGGCTTGTAATTATGAAAATACTTTCAAGCAAGCTCAACCAAACAGGACCAAGTTGAATTTTAAAATTTCCAAATCCTATAAAGGGATGGAGAAAAAGAAGCCTGTCAAATGTTTCAAGTGTAACAAAGTGGGTCATTTGGCTCACCAATGTAAGAACTCAATAAATAATACGTCAAAAAACTAGTGAGATCCTCAAACGAGATTGGCCCGAGGACAGAATTAAGGGCAATGGCTGCAAAAATTGAGAAACGCACATAACCATAAAATTGTCACATTTGTATGCAACAATAAATATTTAGAAAGTATAGCATTATTGGTTTGAGATAGAACTTGCATTGAGAAATATGCTAGATTAATGACCCAAGTTACCTTATTTAACGTATAGTCCATATTCCAAACATAAACAACGAAGATCCTCTTTATCATGTCAAAAAGCCGTATCATTTGATGGATTGGTGATAGATAAATTATGAGATCTTCCCTTCCTAAAAATAAAAATTAATACAATATACAGAGTAACTTCCATAAGTAAGATTTGAAGCATAAATAGAGTCTATTAAAACATTAACTGCAAAGTTAATAATGGTAATAGGATCTAATAAACAATGCTCATATTTAGGAGCCAATTCCGTAGTATGATACAAGGAGATTGGGAACTGTAAGACAACTATCTTTCTAGTACCATATTTTAACCCTTTTAACAAATAGCTAACCAATACTTGTTTACTCATGAAACCTTCAGGTAACAAGCTTTTATATTGATAGAATTCTTTGGTGTACCAATTAACATTATTACGTTGAATTACCGAGCAAATCCTATAACTAATATTGCACGTATCCAATTAAACAATAAAGGAATAAATAAGTTGAAAGGGACTAAATATAAAAAAAAAAGTGAGGCATATAAATTATGGTCAACAGAAAAAAAAATTGAAGAACCATTAAATAGCTCTACCAACCAAAAATGCCAATAAACACACAAATTTTTCGGAAATCACCGATAATTCGATGAAGAGCAAACTTTAAATCTAGGGATAGCAGAAATTCACGTAAGTTAAATACTGAACGAGTAGAACTTGTGAATCATTGAGCAACTTTAAAAGCTCGAATAAAAACAGGATTAGTTGGGAATTAAGACTTTTTCAACAAAATTAATATAGACAAACTTATCAATTGTTGTCAGTTATTTTATTTACTTAAATAATTTTTAACACGTAATTTGCGACAGGTTCTAATAGCCAAAATCCAAGCTAAAACTATTGGAACTTGAAGCACTCAATGTCTATGGCAATACCATGACATCACTAAGGTATGAATGCTTACTTTATTTTTGTGGTAAAGGGCGTATATACACTCGATATTTAATATGCATAAATATAGTTAGTGTTGTATGTATAAACATACTTCTCTCGTTTCTTTCAACACTCCTTTTAAAATTTTTAGTTTTCTTTAAATTTTTTGAATAAAATTTTTTGGTAAACAAAAAAAAAAAAAAAATAAAAAAGTTTCTATATATCATAGTACATCTGGACACCACATATACAAAAAAGCTAAACAAGATTTTTTTTTTCATTTAAATGACAGCACTAAAAAATTTCATTACGTAACCGGAACACTTTATTGACAAATATATTAAAACGTGCATTTAACCTTTCAAAAATCCTAATTACGTTTTGATATACGTTTGTGTTTAAAGGTAATTGATTGACTGGACCAGCTGTTGTAGACTAGATGAAATTATGAAAAGGTAAACAAATAATAATTAGGATTAAGAATAATAAGGAATCAGGGTTTTGGGAAAAAGAAAATATAATAGTAAAGTTTAATAATATGACGCCTCTATATCAATCCATTATTGTCCATCTATCTGTTTAATAGCTATAATTTAAAAATCTTAGTATGCAGCATCATCGTCTGTAAAATGACTCCATGGCCAAGCTGGTTAAGGCGTGCGACTGTTAATCGCAAGATCGTGAGTTCAATCCTCACTGGGGTCGTTTAACTTTTCTTTTTGCAAAAATAAATAACATTCACGTGATATGATAACATCACAGGATACGAAGTGTTTACGTATACATATATATAGATAATTTTAGAAGATAATAATAACCACGTAATTTATACATTCACCTGTTTGTTACACTGACTATATTTCCCACCCTACCTGTGTCTGCCAGTCAATAAGTAGCCTTGAAGTATATAACGATACCATGGACACTCTAAAAACAAAAATTCCAAATTGCTCAAACTCTTTGTGTGGCCACCCTAATTTGAAGTCCGCAAACAACGAGAAAAATACATGAGTAACACACAAATACCCTACTTTTGACAATGTACCCTAAACAATCAAGAAATGCGCACGTACAAAAACACAGAAAAAAGGAAAAAAAAAGTGGGAAAAAATGGAAAGAAATCCCCAGATTAGGAAATAAATCAAAAATGAATAACAAAGCCTGTTGCCTTCAAAATGAAAAAAAAATAAAATTAAAAACAATCCATCAGTAGATTTTTTCAATTGTGGCCGGAAATATCGACAAGGCAGAAAAAAAGAAAAAAGAAAAAAGAAAAAAGAAAAAGAAAATTTTTTTTTGTTAAGCATCAAATACCACACACATTACCAAAGTGGGGTAACATTAGATAAATTACTATTCATTCTTGCAAAACTGGTTTTGTAGTGATTTTGAATTCGTCTCTGTTCTATATTCAACAGCCTCTCTGCAACATTACCCTTAGCCGGTTCTTTCTCATTAAATCTATCCAGGTAAAAGTGAGATATTGTTAGGTGGCATATCATTTCATTTTAAATATATACATACATATATATTGTTCTTATCGGTTATCGATTAAAAACTACTATTGTTACTACTGTTACTACTACTTCTACTGTTTTCGTCAGACACTTCCATCCTACATTTATTTCAACCAGTTCAAACAGATTGTACATAAGAACCTTTCATATTTTAAACTATCAATAAAAGCAAGGTGGCAAAATCACACAGAGTAGGAAAATTAAAAAAATAAAAAGACAAAAAAAAAAGAAGAAGAAAGAGTGTACACCTAAAAAAGGACAATTTAATCTATAAACCATTACTGTTATCAGTTTAAATCCTAGTAGTTAATTTTCTTAATCTGAATATCCTTTATTTTACTTCATTTCATTCTATTTTATTTTTTTCTGGAAAAGAAAGAATGGCTACCATCTCAATTTCTTCTCCAAGTCCATCACATCCGTCTACACCGATAGATCATACCCAACCAACCTCTGTAATAAGAAGAAATACATTATCCAAAGTCAAAAATTTTTTTTCATCCAATAAAAATTCTACAACTAATGACAAAAATGATTTAATACAAACACAGTCCCCCAACGTTACCATTTTTGAGAAATCTACCAAATTGACAAGGACAAGCATATCGAGAAACTCATCCAGTAAGATAACTAGACCGATGACTCCTCAAAACAACGCTCCAGGTCCAACACAAAATGAGAAACAAATGCTTTCGCCTGTATCTTCTATTCATTCCAATTCGAACATGACTGGATTAGAACCTGTTCTATCTCCCAGCACCTCAAAGTTCAATGATTTTCAATCTTCGATAAAGTTGTGTAATAATTCTTCAATAAAACTTTACACTAACAATACTGCACCAACTAATAACGGATACCATAGTTCATCTAATTCAACGTTGGCCTCTTCAATGAAATCTAGTACTTCATTAGACAAATTGAATCCTACTATCTCGAATAAAAATGAAAAAAAATTAAATAATCCACCTGGGTCATCAAATGTGTCAATTTCAAATATAAGTATCTTATCAACAAATACCGCAACTTCCAATGTCGTTTGCAACAAAAGATTTATAGTATTTGATAATGGTACTCATGAACATCATCTAAAAATTGCAAAAAGGCAAGAAAAATTGTCAACAATGTTAAAAAATATTATGGGTTCACAAAAGTTAAGAAATGAGGCGAGGTCTGCTGTGCCTGATATAATAACAGATCCGCTAAATAACAGTAACAAGGACTCACCAGCAACCAAATCGTGCACTGCAACCAATTGTCCACCAACATTGATGTCGGGGTTCGTTAAGCAAATGGAAAATAATATTATTGATGGACTTCATACTCCTTCATCTAATAATAATTACAACAATAATAACAATCTAACTCACAAACAGAATCCACATTCCTTTAGTGAGTCCGCAAAAAAACCAGTTGCTGTCTCAAAACAAAAGGATTCATTATCCTTTGTAGAAAAATATGGACATTGCCAAGAAGTTCTTGGGAAAGGTGCATTTGGTGTTGTGAGAATTTGTCATAAGAAATCTGCTAATAAGAAGGATTTAGAATCACTTTATGCAGTAAAAGAATTTAAGAAAAGAAACAATGAGTCTCCGGAAAAATATTCCAAAAGGTTGACTGCTGAATTTTGTATATCGTCGTCTTTACATCATCCAAATATTGTTGCTACTTTAGATCTTTTCCAAGATGCCAAAGGTGATTACTGTGAAGTTATGGAATATTGTGCAGGCGGTGATCTTTTCACATTAATCATTGCGTCTGGTAAATTAGAATATATGGAGGCAGACTGCTTCTTTAAACAGTTGATTAAAGGTGTGGTATATATGCACGATGTTGGTGTATGTCATAGAGATTTAAAACCGGAAAATTTGTTATTAACATCAAATGGGATATTGAAAATCACAGATTTTGGTAACAGTGAATGTTTCAAGATGGCATGGGAGAAAGATATATACTTAAGTGGTGGTATCTGTGGGTCTACTCCGTACATTGCTCCAGAAGAATATACACAAGAAGAATTTGATCCACGTCCTGTTGATATTTGGGCATGCGGTGTGATATATATGGCAATGAGGACTGGTCGTCAGTTATGGAATACTGCCAAAAAGGATGATAAATTTTATTTGAAATATTTAAAAGCAAGAAAGGAAAAAGATGGCTATGAACCAATTGAGATTTTGAAAAGAGCAAGATGTAGGAATGTGATTTATTCAATGTTAGATCCTGTACCACATAGAAGAATCACTGGTAAACAGATCTTAAATAGTGAATGGGGACGTGAAATAAGATGCTGTAGTGATAAACTTCGAAAGTAATACTTATGTAAAAACCGTAAACCTTATTTAAGCATATTCAAATCTCCATAAAAAGAGATAAGAAAAAATGATGAGTTATAGATATACATAATATACATATTCCAAATTGCATTCCATACACACAGAGATATCTATTTATACATATATAGATACTAGATTCCGATAATTATGAATCAAAAAATAAAAAAAAAATTATTACAAATTCGTCCCACAGTTTTGCTTCTAGTACATCTATATCTCCTCCTTCGTTTAAGCTGGTAATATATATCAGAATACATGTATATTACCATAAACATATTTCAAAAGAATATTTCTTGAATCATACTACGTGTGTATATTATATTATACTACTTATTATTGTCCAAGGAGGAGAAAAAATAGTAATGATAAACTAGAAGTATATATAAAAAAAATAATCAGCGTCATAACTTTCTTAAAAACAAGAAGAAAATCACAACGTTGTACTACTTACTTAAAACCTAATGCACAAATATCTAAATTTGACATTTGTTGTAGAAGGTCAGCGATTCTATCATCAAGAACCCCGTTAGCATAATCTTCTCTAGATTGCATATCTAGATACTGTTGAATCTGGGCTAACCTTGTATAACCCTCAGTACAAAATCTAAGTTGAATTTTAACTAAAGCCTCAAAACTTGGATCATAGTATGGAACTCTTAAAGACACTAATTGTGGCAATTCCATCTTCAATTGATCATTTAAATTATCGAAAATATCTTTAGCAAAGGCCAGTTCTTTTTCTGCACGTGGCAGTTTAGTGACATCCTTTGCGGGTTTATCAATAAGTCTACGAACTTTGGCTTTAGCTGCCTCGTAATCTTGTTTCTTATGGCTTCTTTTCTTAATGGCTTCATCGATTTCCTTGAAATATTGTGAAAACTTAGTTATTGGATCTAATACAGTTTCTCTAAAGGGACCATCTAATTGTTTTACAGTCTCACTATCGAAATCTTGTACACATTGTAGATAATAATTACCAACATTATACCCCCCACCACTAATATATTTTGAATCATCATAAAGATTCGATATGACTTCAGCAATGCTGACTTGGGATGCAGTGACTGCTCTTAAAGAATCTAAGTAACCCTTAGCCTCCTTTTGTAAACCATCCCCAGCTTTTTGAAGGATTCTATACCTACGTTCTTCCATATCATATTCTTTATCTGTGGCTTTATCTATGTCTTTTATAAGAACACTATTGCCGGCTCTATTAATAGCCTTTTTAAACCCATCCCAACTCATGATTTATTTATCTACTAATGTATATTTTTTTTTTTGTTTTTGTTATACCTTGAATTACTTTATAAACAAAATAGATTTAATTATCAGTACTTCTGTTTTTATGAAATCATATTAGAAAGCATTTAAATTATACCATAGAGTAGACAAGATCTAATACTTCTTTCTTTATCACTAAACAACCAACAATCTTGCTCTCCTTTATTTCAATTCTTCTTAAGTTAAATCTCTTTCCTTTTATTAAAGAAGTGAAATGAAACGGGAAATAAAGGCGAAAAAGAATGAAAAGGAAAAATAAAAAATAAAAAAAAAAAAAGAAAAAAGAAAAGAAAACTGAAATAAATCAAGTTGCACTGAAAATCAGTGAAGAATATAGTGATGCACAATTATGGGGAACAAAGTATCCAAGATATAGTGATTAACCTAGCAACAAATGTTAGAGTTGCACATGTTGCATATGTTGATGATGAAGTTGACAGAATATATCTGATAGGAAATGCTAGTAATGAAACTGACCAATACCTCTTGTCTTTACAATAGATGGATGGAGAAAAACAAAAAACAAGAAACAAAATAGAAGGAGGTTTGTCTCATCTTTGTTTCTAAAACTTTTCTTATTTTATCTAGAAGAAAGCTTGAACCAACCAGTCTAAATTCTCTATTATATCTCATCTATTAGATTAATACACACGTACATATCTACATACATACATATATTCTTTTCTATATTCTTTTGAAACCTGGTGGGGGTTGAAACTTTCTTGGTTGTGGAACATTTGAAGGTTTCCCATCCCTTTGATTAGATTTAAGATTACTACTGGCCGTATTATTAACATTACTACGACTCTTCTTCTGGTTTTTATTTTGTCTTTTCTGTTTTTTAATTTTCTTTTCCTGTTGTTTCTCTACCTGTAACCTTTGTCTCTTTGTAGTATTTGGTTTATCTTCCACCACAGTTGATAATACATTTTCACCTCTTAGTATAGTTAATCCAAGGACTCTTCTCTCAGGCTTTATACTATTAATAACATCTTTATTTTTACTATTTAATTTCAGTAATTGCCCACGAGGTATTCTTTCTTCTATACAATCAGACAGAATTAGATTCATATATTTATCAAAAGCCATTAATTCTCCAATATAGACCCTACCATCCTGTGTAAAGACCTTCAGTTTATAGTTTATCAAGTCTGATAAACGACTATTTTGTTTCACATTTACTCCTGACATATCTTATTCGACAACCTTTCCACCTTTTGTTTTGTTCTTCTTTTTTTTTTCTCTAATCTCGGTTTCTTGCTGGCCTTGTCCAAAACCACACTGCAACAACAGCTAGTACTCAACCCTTGCTTTTAATCACTCTCTTTAGTCTCCCCAACTTCAACAACATCATAACAGTAAAACATCACTTTCATTTTTAACCAACCCACCTTCTCAAATATTTACAGAAAACCAAACCCTAAGAAATTGGAATCAAAAGAAACAAAAAAAAAAGAAAAAACAGAAAGAAAGAAAAAGAAAGAAAGAAATATTCAACAAAAATAAAAACTACAAAGAGATAAGTAAGATAAATTAATATGTTAAGGAGATGGGCGACTATGATAATCACATGTAAGTGTGCGAGGGTTACACCTGTATAGATTTTAATTAGGATTATTTATATTGACGTTTTTTTGACTGAACTATATTCATATATTGATCTGTTGGTGTCTCCATATTAAAAGTGAACAGAAAAGTACAATAAAAAGAATAAGCAGGTAAGGAAAATATGTCTAAAGAGGTTAAGGATAATAGTAATAATAAGAGTGTTTTAAATAAACCCACAAATATCAGTAGTGGGGATACAATAAATAAAGTTGAAAACAAAAATATAGATGACAGTAATCAAGAAAGCAAAAATAACAAAAGAAAAAGAAGAAGAAGAAATTATGATGATTATGATGCTGAAATAGATAAAGAAGAACAAAAATTTAAAAAATTAAAGAACAACAATAACAACAATAACAACAGTAATATATCAATTTCTAATACAAAAATTGAATCCAATATTAATTTAGATCAACTCTCTGATTCTGATATAGATGATGAAAAATTGGATCAATTATTAGAACACGATTTAGATAATGATATAGAGGATGATTTGGCTGAGATTGACACAGCTAATATTATTTCTAATGGGAGAAGAACCCGTGGAAAAATAATTGACTATAAAAAGACTGCAAAAGAATTAGATTCGATTAAAACCAAATCTGTATTGAAGGACGCATCCCTATCACCATCATCATCTACTAATAAAGAAGAAGCAAATGAAGATGATGACGAAGAAGAAGACGATGCTGATTTCAGAATATAAGTAACGAACTTATCTCTATATCCGTCCATAAATACGTAGATATATATATATATGTATGTATGTATGTATGTATGTATGTATGTGTGTATATGTGTGTTTATCTATATGAACAAATATTTTTTTTTGTTTCTTTGATTCTTTTTGGAAACATTATTGCTAATCTTAATAGCAATTCAACTATAAACCAAGACATTCCATATACTGACTTCTTATGTTGCTTTATGAGTTATGTGAAATTCTTTTTCTTTTAAAGACACTATTTCCTATTCAGGTAAATAGCATGTCAGATCTATCAAAGGCCTTCAGATTTCCTTTTTAGAATTTTTATTTGTTTACATTTTTACCCAAAAGAGACAGCCTCCATTGTAATTTTTTTTTTGGATTACTACTTGTAAACAGCTCGAACATATTTACAATCCAATCTTCTCAAGGAATAAACTCTAAATATCAAAAATGAAAAAAAAAATAGGAAAAATAAAAAGACATACTCATTAGCTTTATTGCTATTATATGGGAATATTTACTACATACTAATAAATCATCTCCAGTTTACTACAGCTCTTTTGATTTTTTTTATTTCTTTCGTGTATGAAATTAGCCAGATATCGTCCCAGATACTTACATCCAAACACGCATAAAAAAAAGGGTTTACCATTTGATTTTATTACATTATAAAAGAAATGTCCAGATTGGACAACAATTTAGCATTCAAGAAAATATCTAGTAAATATGGAAAAGTTGGGTTTCCTATGGATACCATTCCATCTTTACCCTTTCAATCAAATTCAGATCACACTATACTGACAAATCATCAACCTGATATAAAAATAAGTGACCAGCTATATGATGAAACAGTAATGACAAAATATAAATCATCTTCAGGAATAAATTCACCAAAGGGGCAAGTTAGATTTTCCATACCTGCTAGTAACAATGATTGTAATAATATGAATAATAATGATTATGATAGTGATAGTACCTTTGATACAAGCAGTGGTTCTGGTAGATTAGTTAATGCATCTCCTAATAAAATCGTATTTCCCAGAGATCTGAGTGATTCAGAGTCCCAACCCATCATACCATCGTCTATAAATGAAAACACAACGATAAATAAACATAATGAGAATATAAAGCTATTGGCACGAATGGGTATTGAAGGTCATCTAGTAGATTTACAATCAAAAGTGATGGTTAATGTACCAGAAGAGATATGGAATTTTCATCATACTAGAAGCCACAATAAATCGCATCAAAAGACGAAATCAATGGATGAAACGTCTCTAAACCATAATCCAATAATAAGCAATAACATATCAAATTCAAATAAAGGTCATCACAGATCAAAGTCCTTACAGTCCATTATCTCTCAAACTCTAAGTGAATTTAATTCTTTTAATGATCCAAATGATTCTTCATTCTCCGTTGGCAACCTCACTAATTCTAAATTCAATGATTCTCAAATAAGTCAAGTTTCTCCTCTAAATTATCCATCATTCAATAACAGCAATCCGACATTAAAAACTCCAATTAAGTCAACTAGTTTATATTTAGCTTCTGATTCACCAATTAATAAACATAATGTACCAATTCCATTAGAGATATCTTTACCACCATTCTTGTCACCAAAAAACCAACATAAAAAAAGAAATAGTTTAATCTATGATGGTGAATCATATAGTGTCTATAATGAAGAAGACGATAATTCTTTATCTTTGTCAAGTATCAACAAAGAAGAGGGAGATACATTGTCAAGTGAAATATTAAGTGATTCTCTAGTATCAACTAGTTCAATACCGTCTATGACATATAATATATCTTTTGATGCCAATACAATAGATCCCGATAGTTTGTTGGGGATTGATGGTGAAGCAAATGTAAATCTTAAACGTCAACTCAGAAATTTAAAAAAGCAAAAAGACAACACCATAAATCATAAAGAAAAATCAAATAAAATTGATCCTAAAATTCTTCCTCCTCTTCCTTCTATCCCTCAAACTCAAAGGACTCTTAAAAATAATGATACAAACCATCAATTAAAGGAAAAAACAACAAAATCTAATCTACTACCACCATCAAAAAATACACAACATATTGATAATGTACTACTAAATCAACAATCTTCTGAAAAGATCTGTAAATATTCTCTTCCTGACCATTCAAGATTAAGTAAAATGATTGACGAATATAATTCACCTACCAACACTTTATCTCCAATTAATGAACATATACCCAATAAAAACAATAATAAATCTGTTAATACAGATGACTATACAAGTGAATCATTAGCCATCTTAGCAACACCGTCTAAATCGATCATTATACCAGATCTAGATGATATATTACTGAGTACACCAAACAGTACATTACAATCTTTTACATCAACAAGTAACACTAATAGCTCGTTAAAATTTTTTGACCAATTTGAACCACTCTATCAGAATAAAGCGATAGTTTCTCCTATTAATAACTCAAGAAGTTATGGACAATTGGATACATCATTTAAATTTCCTCCATTATTGTCCCAACAGCCGAAGACACCTGTGAAACAAAGCTATCAAAAAAATAATCATAATAACAATAGTAATTCCAACATTCAACATCAAAACCAATATACAGATAATGATTATCACAGGACCCCACAAGATAATACACAAGTTGAAAAAAGAAGACAAAAATTACTAGCATCACACTTATCTCCCAATAACAGAATTGGTCATTCCCATAAAAGAAGTAGAAGTATTCATAGTATGGATTTCATAACTCCACAAAAATTTCTAGATGTAGAGAATCTTCCACCTACCCCTTCATTACCATTTAATGCCACCTCAACCCCACCTGAAAAAGAACCAACAGCTCCAAGAAGATCTTCTTTAAGATTAAGAGAATCAACTGGAAAAAAGGATAAGAAAGCGGTACAAAATAATCAATTAGTAAGTAATATAATAATTTCACCTGAGACCATTGGCTTCAACTCACCTAATTCTAATAATAATTCTGTATCAGGACATAAGTTTCAATCTCCTATAAAACCTTTATCCTCTTTTCAATCCTTTTTAACACCTATCAAAAACGAAAACCTTATACCGAATATCCACACAGACGAAGTTTCTAAGAAACAAAAATCCTATAATCTATTATCGCCAAGGAGACAACTTTCAAATCCAGGAAGTAATCAATCATCTAGTGTTAATTCACAATTTTCTAAAATCTCACAGCTAACGCAAACAACAGTTGCAACAGAAATCTCAAATAACGATATTATTGCCCATAATATAGACTCTAATTCCTCTAATAATAAGGCAAATATTTTTAACGATTCCTATAGGGTGGTTAGAGAAAGACAAAAGGATGGTCGAATAGTTGATGTAATTATTCTTGATGATGACAGTGACATGCATAATAATAATTATACCATTAAAGACAAATACAGACATCGCAATACACCTAACAATAGCCATGAAAACATGTTAACAAATAATCACAAAGAGAACTCAGCTAAATTACTGGCAAAAAACTATAAAAGCTCTCCAAAAATCAAATATAACTCGAATACAAGAAAAGAACAAATAGAACATTACACTGACTTATTAGAAATGTGCGAAAATACTGCTATGAAGGCAAAACAGACTATCTTTGAATTAGCAGGTGTTAGTCCATCGTCCAAAACTAACCTTTAAGTTAATGAAAAATTTTCTATAATAATCAATAATTTTATAATCATTCTTATATATCTATATTCTCATATGAAGTTTTCTTAACGTTTTACAAGTAATAAAGTTTACACAAAACAATTTAATAAACAAACTTGCCATTTCTTATAAAATACAAATATAATTGTTAGATAGTTTAAATGAATATTTAAAATAATATTATTACAACACAATTAACATATATGTATATCAGAAATATGCTATATAATGTATTAAACGTCTTATGAAAATTCAATTTTGGCTTAATCTACCTACTTTATTATCAAGTAGTTGATTCTATATTCTTTCTGGTGAATTTGCTACTGACGATGATTCTTGAATGGGACTTAAAGAGTACTGACTGTTAATCGCATTTATAGGGGATAGTTTAGAAAAATTTTTTGAGTTATTTTTATCCATCTTTGACGGAGATGTTAAAGGTGACCTCGAAGGAGGTGTTCTACTTTCAACACTCCCGTAATTCAGAACACTAAGATTATTCGTAGCATTATTGGACCAATTTCGATTAAAAAAGGTAACAGTCTTATTGTTAATTTCTATTCTATTATTCAATGGTGTGTTTCCTCGAGGTACACCTATTGGTTTTGAATAATAACTATGAATTCGGCGGAAACTTAAAGGTGAACCAAAAGTAGTCCGCAAATGTCTTGATCTACTTCTAGCGACTTCCTCTTCTGAGAACTCAAAATCTTCTGGAACTTTATTAATTTCATCCAAGTCATAAGTATAACCATCCTCTTCAAAATCATGTTTGTCCTTGTTATTATTATTATATTCATCTTCTTCGGCTTCATCAATAAAATATAACGTACTTGTCAATCCTGGGACTTCCGAATCCAAGTTAGAATTTAAGTCATGATATTTTAGTACGTTAGATCTAGCTGTAGGTGGTAAAGGCTGTGAAGACACTATATTACCGGATGCCTGAACAGAAGTATTTTTGCTTTTGCTTACAATAGGGGATAACAGGATGTTCTTAATTGGAGTAAACTGTCTTGAGTTAAGAGGTGATGGTATATCTAAATGAGATGTTAGAGGAGTTAATGATTCATTTTCGGTATCAGTTTCGTCATTATAATCATCTGCTAGTACAGAGGAACTTTTGTAAGATCTATCAAATGGTTTCTTTATTGGTTTAACACTTAATAATTGAGAATTAATATTAGTAGTTATCGATAAAGGTAATTTTGGAGTTTGGTTTCTATCCCATAAATTACTGGCATTGGACAAATAAGTTCTCATTTCACGATCATCGGAAATAGAATTAATTGGGGAATTTAACAATGATTCTTGATTTACATAAAATGCAACATCTTCCGCAGAATCTATCGCATCATCATCATCTGATAGATCAAATAGATCACTATATTTGGTAATATTTTTACCAGTATTCTCTTTAGGTTCAAAACTTTTTAGAATCTTAGAATCTTCTAGTATTAATGGTGTATCACTGTTGATCATAAGTGTTTTTTCTTGATCTTCTATAACACAACATGAGCCGCTCTGCGACGATTCAGTTATTATTTTGTCATTACCCTCATTTGGCATTTCAGCATTTCCTTTCTCTTCTTCATCAGAAATATGAAATAAATCATCAAATGACCGAAGCTGGTGATTACTTGTTGGTATTGATTCGGCTTGCATATTATTTACTTTTGTTTTTTTTGAATTAACACATATTTGTTCAACATTATCATTTTTGCTAAGAAAATAATTATTCTTTATCGATTCATAGCCCATTAGAGGATTATCATCCCTATTTACATAATCATTTTTAGAGATACCATTAAATAGATTAATACAGCCATTACTTTGTTGTGTGTTCCTAGATTCATTATTGTCTTTCATTACTGTATCACCATTGTATCTATTATCATTTTCAATATCATCACTATCAGATATATCAAATAAATCATTATAGCTATTCACTTTATGACCTGCTTCAATAACTGGTTGTATGATGGATATATTATTTATGTATTTCTCGTCTTTAAAAGTTATATCATCCATATATTCATCATTATCACTGGAAGTTTCATCAAATAAGTCACTATACTTTGTTATGGGTTTTTTCAAGGTTACTGATTTTTTGTTAGGAACCTCTACATTATTATTACTTTCGTAATTGTTATTTAGTCCAATGTGATCTGTATTATTGTCAGTCAAGTCATAGAAACTGTAATTTATATCGTCCATATCATCTCCATCATCATAATTCATATCTTCATCAAAATTTTCATCCTCATAGATATCATTAATATATACTGTCCCGTTATTTATTGCTGCTTCCTCATCCTCTGGTTTAGAATAATATTTTACAGATGATGTTCTTCCATTAAGACGAGAATATTCAAAAGAAAATTCTGAAACATCACTTTCATTTTCTTCCTCACTTTCGCTTTCTCTATCATTAGCTCTGTTATCCTCTAGCACTATTGACTTATCTGATATTATTGGTTTTTGAATTATAATACTTGGAATCGCCGAATCGTTTTTAACCAATGAGATATCTGACTTTTGAGTTAATCTATCATTATATCCTCTATCATCTTTAATAACAGTTTGTAAAGATAACAAATCCTCATTTGAATGAATTCGAGCTTTTCTATTTTTATATTTTTGTTCTTTTGAAACATGGACTGATCGCACTTTTGGAATATTTAATTCATTTGGTACATCTCTTAAGTCATCTGATTTCTTACAAGTAGAATACTGTATAAACTTAACGTTCAATTGATCTTTATTACAATAATTTTTTTCGGTTTCATCAGAAATAATAGATGGTCTTCCTGATATTTTTACAGGTGGACTTAGATTTCCAACATTACTACTATCCTTTATCGACGATTCATTGTTATCATTATTAGACGCATTTAAATATATAACATGATCTTCTGAGCTGGTATCATTAAACTTCACATTCTTACTGTTGTTCGAGATAGTCATGCTGAGATTGTTATTATTATCAACACTAGGTCTGTTGTTGGAAGATCCCCACGAATGTACTATTGTACCTTTAATTACTGGTATATTATCAACATCGTTGCTATATTTGTCAGAACCCGAAAGTGAGGATAAGGATATCCGATTTTTACTTTTGTGGTTAAATAATTCGTTGTTAATTTTGCTACTAGCATTAGTATTACTAGTTAAATCGAGACTAGAACGTAAATTAGAAATAGAATTTTTCTTAAACAATTTATGTGTTTTGTTAGCCAATTTATGAAAAGATTCAAAAGTGGGAGAGTGCTTTGATGGTGATGAGCGATGTAAATTATAAACCGAAGGTGGTGGGGTATTAAATTCTTGTGAGCTTATTTTCTTGGGAGTGTTAGAAAAATCCAAATTATCTTGAAAATTTGTAACCGAAGTATTCGTGAAAGTAACAGAAGTATGTTTCGATATACTATGATCATTTTCTACTGAATTGGAATGTCTATGTGATCTAATAAAAGATTTCATTTCATTAAAAAGAAGATAATACTAATCCTTTTTCAATCTTTTATTATAAATTGTTTCCTTCCTGCTATATATATTTATTAAAAATAAGTATTATCAATCAAATAGAAATAAATAGAAATGACTTATTTACAAATAGAATCATTTATACCAATTCTACCCACCCTCCACGAAACACTTTGCTATCATGTATCAGCTACTAATTAACGAACTCTCTCAATATCAACCTCTAGATATTCTTTTACAAATTCTTTTATCTGTGCTCTTCCATCAAATCGAAAACCTACAAAAGTTCTAAAAGTCAACACTAAAAAAAAAAAAAATAGAAACAAAATTCTAAACGTAAGATTAAAATGTTCAAGGCAAACTCTAAACAACTGTCAACGTGTTGTATACATAAAAAAACATTCGTTATAAGCTATCAATTAATACTGTAAGGTTTTCTGTTGTTACCAGGAAGTTTCATTCTGCATTTAAGAACAGAGAACTGTACTAGAGAGACCTTTTAAGAAAATATTGAATCGAACTCGGATTCTAGTTTTGAATAAGTAACTTAATTCAAAATAAGTAAAATTACTTCAAAATTGTATTAATAGATAAAGGAATACATACATAAAAAATATTAACTAAAAACAAACAACTAATGTGGCTAAGTGAAGCTCAAAGTATGTTAATATTATCATCATTTTTTTATGTCATAAAAGAGAATTTCTTTATGTACAATATTTTCTTTTACTAACAAATTATCAATTGCTTTTCTAATTTTATATGCATATATGTGGTATCTGTACATGATAATTTATATTTAATGTAGAATTTGGTGTTGCATTCACTTTTGGTGGAGTTGGTTTCTTTTTTTTTGGTATTCTCACCTTCTTTGATAGAGCGTTACTAGCTCTAGGCAATATTCTATTTCTCATCGGTGTGGTGTTAATTATCGGATTACATAAAACTACTATTTTTTTCACTAGACCAACAAAGAGACGTGGTTCTTTATGTTTTATTTCTGGAATTCTTCTGATTCTTGCGAAATGGACTTTTATTGGATTTATTGTGGAAACTGTGGGGATCTTTGGTTTATTTGGTGACTTTTTCGGTATAGTGGTCCAGTTTTTAAGGTCATTACCTATCATTGGTCCTATCTTATCTCATCCTGCAGTGGCACCAATTGTCGACAGAATTGCAGGAGTATCAGTTTTGCCTGTATAAAAATAACACTAGTAAAAAAGACAAATAATATGATATAGAATATATATATATATAACATATATGCAATTTCATTACCCTTATATTTATACGTGAAGAAAAAGAAAGAACAAAATGAAGCAATTATGATCTTATATAGTTATGAGAACATCAGAATTTATTATAATGTGTTTTGAAAAGTCTAATAGATTATAATCATCGCCGTACTGTCCCACTATCTGTAAACCTAATGATGATTTTTTACACATTGGGATCGATATAGTTGGTAGCCCTGCAAGAGACATGGGTACTGTAAAAAAATCATTTATATAATCCATAATCGGGTTCTCTTTACCTTGGTTCTTATTATTCAAAATGTCTACTAATTTTGGAGGTTTAGTTAAATTAGTAGGTACCAATAAGAAATCTACTCCATCTTTTTCATCATTTTCATATTCTTGATTAGACAATAATATATTAGGCAATCGGAAAATTGTATTAAATTCATCAATTAATCTCATTCTTAACTTTTGCGCTTTCATGTAATTATTTTTATACGAATCTGATGACAGGGTATAATTACCCAATACAATCCTCCTTTTCACTTCTTTACCCAAATGTTTAGATCTAGAACTTGCAAATAGGATTATATCATTTTCCGTGTCTCCACCTTGATTTTGTGTTTCAAAATCGTCACTTTCTCTTGATCCATACCTAATCCCATCATACCTAGCCATATTAGATGCCACTTCTGAGGGACACAGAGTATAATATATGGGTAACGACAATTTCCATGATGGAATGGATACCGGATATAATGACACCTGTGGAACAGATTTAAACAAATTTGCCAATATAATTTTAAAGTGAGACCAAACCTCAGGATCACATAAATCAATAAAAATTTCTTTTGGGATACCAATTTTCCATTCTCTTGTATTCATCTTTGGATCTTGACCACTTTTCGATCTAAATTTCTCTGGTAACGATGTAGTATCTTTTGGGTCGTATTTATCCAATAGCCGGAATATATATTTAATAATATTGATATCATTTGAAAGTATACCTACTGTATCCAAAGATTGTGCCATGTCTATAACACCATACCTTGATATTTTACCATAAGAAGGCTTAAAGCCCATAGTACTACACCATGCTGCAGGTAATCTGATGCTACCACCTGTATCAGTTCCAATAGCAAAATCTACCATATTAGATGATACACTAGCAGCAGCACCAGATGATGATCCACCAGGTACGCAGTCAGGAAACAAGGGATTCAATACATCATTTAGATTTAATTTCAAAGGATCATTAATACCCATAGATCCCATAGCAAATTCATCCAACCTTGTCTTACCAATATATTTCAAATTAGTTTGTTTGGAAAGAATTTCATATATGGTGGCATTAAATGGTGATTTATAATTAGATAACATAAATGAATTACATGTTGTATTTTCATTTGTATCAGAAACACATATATTGTCTTTTAATGAATATGTCAAAATTTGGGACCCTTTCTTCAATAGCGATTGTTCATTGTTATTCTTAATAGATAAGAAAATATTATTAATTAATTGTGCCTTATTCATTCATATATATATATATACAAATAGATAGATAGACAAATAGAGAACGTGCTTTTCAGATTATTTTTCGATATCTTTGTTATTAACTCAATTGATACATGAAAATTTTACATCAAAACACAAACACACATGTATATATATATTTGTATATGTTCATATTATTAACTCCCAATTAGTCAATCTAGATGTTTAATTCAAATTTCTCTAGACTTCATTTCCTTTTACCAGTTCGCTTTTTTTTTTTAGGATGTTTCAAAAAAAAAAAAAATAAAATAGCGCATAAGAAGAATGTGAAAAGAATGTTACAGATGCGGAAAATAGCAATTCCGATGGCGGATTCTCTAGGTTCCGTAATCCTGTGATTAAAGAATCAAATGTTCAAAAACCTATTACTTTTGTCGATAAAGAAAGAAAGAGAGAAAGAGAAAAGGAGAAAGAGAGTTTGTGTGTCTGTGTGTGTGGGAAAGTTGTGGGATGAATATATAAACCATTGAAGCCATTATTGGTGTGCCAAAAACCTTTGAAAATGTATGGGAACAACACAGATAATGATATTTAATAAGATTATTGTTAGATGATGGAAACTGTTATTAATTTTATTATTATAATACTTTGAAAAATGCAGATTGAATTAACTGAAGAAGATATATGTGGATACGACGATGGTGGTGAGGTCGAAGGTGGTGATATTATTGTTTATGAAAGTAAAAATGGGGTATCTAATAAAATTAAAGAGATGAGATGTTTGAAAAATAAAGAAAAAAATATTAACCCTTCTAATGATATAAAATTTAAATTAGATAGTATAGAGAGGGAATTATTATCTTTGGATCTAGGAGATAAATCAGAATCTTCTTTAAGAAGATATAATCAAATAGTAACATTATATAAAAAGATCCACGATGTATATCATAATGTTAAAAATGATCATGATAATAGTCCGGAGATTGATAATATGAATGATTATATAGATACAACAACAGAAATTAGGGAAAACAGTGATTTATTCGATTATGTCACTATGCAAAGATTGACAAAGCTAGAACAAAGATTATCGGTTTTAGAGGAGTCCATTGGATTTGACAATGATCCAGACACCGATTTGAATAATGACCCAACTTTAAACATTATATCGAGGATAAACAAATTATATGCTCACTTAAAATTCATTAAAAATCAATTGAATAAAGAAGAAGGGGGTAATAAAAACATAAACATAAATATTCGAGATAATAGAGACAAAGATGATATAAATATAGTTGAATCATTTGAAAAAATCAATAAATATTCTCCATATATGGATCATATAATAACAAGATTAGAAAGTTATAGTTCCATCTACGATGATATGATTGAAAACAATCTAAGGTTGCAAAAGTGGGACAATAAGATTGAAATTTTAATAGCACAACAAAATAAATGGATTGAATTATTGGATAAAATTGATAAGAAACTTGGATCTAACGACTAGTTAGAGGTAAATAATTAAATAAAAGTCAAAACAAAAAAAAGAAAAAGAAAAAGAAAAAAAAAAGATAAAGAGAAAAACATAGTATACATGATAAATATATATATATATATATATATATATATTTATTAGATTTATATGAATTTTATTTGAATTAAATTATTTTATTTCTTCTTTCTACCAAAGAAGTTTCTTTTCTTTTTCTTCTTCCCATTCTCTAAATCATTATGAACAGGAGGTTGATACACAGGTTGTTCACCCATCATCATTACAGGTGCCTGTTGTTGAGTCTGAATGATATTACCTTGTTCATCGTACATTGGTTGAATATTATTGATATTAGTGCTAAAATAATTAATAAATTCTGGTCTTACATGGAACCCATATTGTGGTGTCTCTAGCTGCTGAGCCCAGGTCGGGTCGCCGGAGACAGCGTATTCGAAGGATCTGATAGTATCCAAAGGTCTTTCATCACGAGATCTAGTTGGATTAGATACGTCAGGTATGGTGATGGGTTGGCCGAAGACGTCTCTTAGAAGTTGCTGTTGACCGTCTTCACCTACTGAGAAATAGGACTGTCTATTCATGTTATCATGGAATGTGTCTGCAGCTTGTTCGAAAGGCTGTGCTTCTTGCACAGCTTCCAAGATTGGATCTGCCACTGATGCTGTACGGACTTTTAATCTTGCCATATCTTCCTTTGTCACTTCTACTTTTGAATGGCGTTTTTCATCACTGCTACCACTGTGGTTGGATACCCCAGATTTTCTTCTAAAATGTTTCATAATAACTTTCTGTTTATTTTTATTTGATTACTTATATTTTGTTCTTCCAATAAAATATCTGATATTACCGAACACAACCTTGCTTGATTTTTTTTTTCTTACTACGTTGAACTGAACAATATATATATGTGTTTGTGTGTGTGTAAATGTATGTATATGTATAGTTACTTAATTATTTAAGGCAAGAATACTGGGGGAAGAAAATAGGAAAGACTGCAGATCAAGTAGTGTTACCTTAACCAATAAGTACATACCATTACTATTTGAATATTCATTTCATTTTATCTTATTTTATTTTTTTTTTGATTTTGTTTTCTGATAAATTTAAATTTAGAAATAATAAACAAACAAACAAACAAAGAAAAAAAAAAAATAAGGAGAAAAAATCAAAAGAGCAAAATTGTTTAAAAGCCTTCGAGAAAAAAGAGACGCCAAAACAACAACAAAAAAACAAAAAAAAAGGAAACAAAAGAAAAACAAAGGAAAAAGTAATTTTTTCTTTATGTCTTGAGAAATGGAGAAACAAAAAACTAAATCCCCGTTTTTTTTTTTTTGTTTTTTTTTTTTTTTGAAGGTATGGCTATTATAGCATTTAACTTTTTAATAAATCAGCAAATTAAACAAAATGACATTGTTGGCCCATGTATTAATATATATATATATATATATATATTATGATGTTGTTGATGATATTTACAAATCAGAAAAAAAGAAAAGAATTAAAGAATAGTATTTCATAAAGAATTGAAAAAAAAAATAAGATGAAATAAAATAAAATAAAAAGAAAAAAAGTAGAGAAGGAAAGAATGGTAGAAGATAGATAGAAGGGAATGGATATTCTCTAGGTGAAATTACCTTCCCCATAGACACCCATGACGGATTGCACAAGTCCGACAACCGATATTGTGGTAGTCAATAATAGTCCTGTCCCAATTGAATTACAAAACGATCTTGTTCTTTCTAATACCTCAACATTAGATTCAGTAGATGGTGATTGTGATCCATTTTGGCCCAAATCCACAATAGATTCATTTGTGGATGAAGTAGGGGATGTGTTAGAATCGTTGTCTTCGGTGATTTGAATGGGTTTGGGATCAGTACTAGTTAGATCCTTTTTATTGTCAATTGATTGTACTCTCAATTCATGTTCAATTGATCCTTTTAAATAATACAAATAAAGATTTGATATTGGAGCAATCAGCATTCCATATAGAAGGTAGGGATGTTTCCAATGGACCGGTGCGCCAAAATAACTTAAACCAAAAAATGTAGTGGATAGGCCACCGATAACGTTGCCAAACTGGAAAATCTTATTGATAATTTGTTTTATTTGTGCTTTATTAATAATGTCTAGGTTAGATAAAATTATCGATGTGTGTTTATTGAATGATAATATAGTGGACGCGGACAATACACCTGCATATAACCCAAGTGATGATATAGCTATAGTTTTAGTAATACCTAAACAAAGAGACATGTTTAATATATGTATGTGTATATGTATATGTATATGTTTTGATTTGTTTTGATTTGTTTGTAGTTTCTTTGTATGCTATTATTTTCTTTTTTTTTTCCTTTTTCCTTCCCTCCAATTATATTCAGATGGATTTATTTCACTTTATATTTTATTTTAACTTATGTTTCTTTAATTCACCTGTATGATATTTAATAATCGAAAAAAAAAAGAAGAAAAGCAAAGAAAAAAAATAAACATGAACGTAATATATACAGAATCTCTACAGATAAGGTTGTTATATATAAATTGTAGATTTAATATGCAACAACAATACAAATGATACAATGAGAGCAAAAAAAGCAAAACACTAAAAACAAAAAGCAAGAATAAAAATTCACATTCTAATGTTCCCTTCTTCTCTCGTCCCCTTTTTGTCTTTTGTTTATTTTACGTTTTAGAGAAGGAAAATAAATAAATAAATAAATAAATAAATAAATAAATAAATAAATAAATAAATAAAACATGAAAAAACTTCCGTGAATCAAATGTAAGAACATAACAACCCCTAAAAAACACACAGGGCTGATTATTATTCCAGTGATCACATTTTTTTTATTTTTTTTTCTTTGCCAAACATGGTTTAACAGATTTCCTAGCAATATTTACATACATACATATGCATATACATACATGTATATTTTTTCTTTCATATTAGCAAGTATCTAGAATGGTGTGTCATACCTAGAAATGGGACTTCTTTTTCATCTTCACTAGAGAATAAAGTTCTAAGGATCGTAATTCTTGACCCGATTTATCTGTCAATTCTTAAATAAAAAAAAGGTGATTATCAAAGTTTTATTGAGAATATGCAGTGGAGGATATGACTCAGACGATAATTTTTCTTTTTCTATATTATTGTAGGACTATACCAGTTTCTTTCCAAAAAAAAAAAATTAAAAATAAAGATAAAAATAAAGACTTTAAATTAAGACTTTCTCTTTTTAAGTTAATAGAACGCATGAAATAGTTTTGTGAACAGAGAGAATCGGTAGAACTTTATTTATTTATTTATTTATTTGTTTGTTTGTTTGTTTTTGTAATCCATTGAAAAGTGGCCGGTACCGCTCCGATTCATTAGCATACCTTCTGCCCCGCCTTGTATTACCAAGATTCAAGATCCTGGAAGGTGATCCTAGCGGACTGAAACAAAATAACTAAAATATGAAATATCTATTTGTTTTTTTTTTTAGAAAATAATTAGCTAGTTAGGTCATTGCCTTGAAAAACAAAAAAGACTGAACAGAAAAATAGAGGGTTGGGAGGAGAGAAAGGAGGTAGTTACTCAATTTGTTTTTTCTTTTTCTCTTTTTGTTTTTATTACACCTAGGGTATCTCATGTGACGAAAGTAAGAACGGTAAAATGAAGAAATGTAAAAGTTGACAAAAAATTGAAGGGGGGCCGGGGTGTTTGGAGGCAGGAGGGAGTCAATTTTTTGTTTTTATTTTATTTTTTTTTTACAATAAAATAAGCGGAATTTGTAAGTTGGATGCCAAAAAAGAAAAATCCGAATTAACGGAATGTGGTTTTTTGTTCTATTTCACGACGCAGAAAAGAAATGGTTTAATGAAGCGGAAACGGACTAAAGAAAAAAAAAGCGTAGGAAAATTCACCATTATTATGATACTGCTTTTCTTTTTTGTCGTTCTTTCTTTCTTTCTTTTGATTCTACTACTATTACTACTATTAACTACTATCAATCACTATTTTGTTTTGTTATTATATTATTTTCATTATTATCGTTTCTCTTATTATTGATGTGTGGTGGTGACTCACAAAATAATCTCAGTCCATTCTCCTTTGTCTATTTTGTGTAATTTTTTTTTTATTTTTTCCTGAATTTTTTTTTTTTTTTGATGAAAAATTAACGATAAACTTTTAGAAATAGAAATATATATAAATACACACACACGTATATATATATGTATATGTAATCGTGAATGTTTACAAAGTAAATTACTTATCGACTTTGTCCTTGTTACAAAGCTTTTTATTTTTTTGCTTTTCCCCTTCTTTTCTTGCCTTCCCTCTAATATAGATATACATCCCCAAAACTCTACAAATTCTTTGGTGTACATATAAATACACGTATCACACACACACATATATATATATATATACATACATAATGTTGAGAACTCAAGCTGCTAGATTGATTGCTAACTCTCGTGTTATCACTTCCAAGAGAACTTTTGCTTTAGCTACTAAGGTTATTGCTACTAAGCCAACTGCTAGATTTGTTAAGCCAATCATTCCTACTCGTGGTATCAAGCAAATTAACTTCGGTGGTACCGTTGAAACTGTTTATGAAAGAGCTGACTGGCCAAGAGAAAAATTATTGGACTACTTCAAAAACGATACTTTCGCCTTGATTGGTTACGGTTCTCAAGGTTACGGTCAAGGTTTGAACTTAAGAGACAACGGTTTAAATGTCATCATTGGTGTTCGTAAGAACGGTGCTTCTTGGAAGGCTGCCATTGAAGATGGTTGGGTTCCAGGTGAAAACTTATTCGAAGTTGAAGAAGCTATTAAGAAAGGTACCTATGTTATGAACTTATTATCAGACGCTGCTCAATCTGAAACCTGGTCCACCATCAAACCATTATTAAACAAGAACCAAACTTTATACTTCTCCCACGGTTTCTCTCCAGTGTTCTCTGATCTAACTCATGTTGTCCCACCAAAGGACATGGATGTTATCTTAGTTGCTCCAAAGGGTTCTGGTAGAACTGTTAGATCTTTATTCAAGGAAGGTCGTGGTATTAACTCTTCTTACGCCGTCTGGAACGATGTTACTGGTAAAGCCCACGAAAAGTCTCAAGCTTTAGCTGTCGCTATCGGTTCTGGTTACGTGTACCAAACCACCTTCGAAAAGGAAGTCAACTCCGACTTGTACGGTGAAAGAGGTTGTTTGATGGGTGGTATCCACGGTATGTTCTTAGCCCAATACGAAGTCTTAAGAGAAAACGGTCACTCTCCATCTGAAGCTTTCAATGAAACCGTTGAAGAAGCTACTCAATCCTTGTACCCATTGATCGGTAAGTACGGTATGGACTACATGTACGATGCTTGTTCCACTACTGCTAGAAGAGGTGCTTTAGACTGGTACCCAATCTTCAAGGATACTTTGAAACCAGTCTTCCAAGACCTATATGCTTCTACTAAGAATGGTAACGAAACCAAGAGATCCTTAGAATTCAACTCTCAACCAGACTACAGAGAAAAATTGGAAGCTGAATTAGAAACTATCAGAAACATGGAAATCTGGAAGGTCGGTAAAGAAGTTAGAAAGTTAAGACCAGAAAACAATTAAGTTTAGGAATATGGAAAAATAAATAATAAATAATAAAATTTTAAATTTAATTCACATAACTCATTTCATCTCATTTCATTTCATTTAATTCAATTCGATTCATTTTTATTCCATTTTATTTTTATTTTTTATTTTTTTATCTTTTTTTTTATTTATGTGTGTGTGTCTTATAAATTCTTTTTATTCCTTAAATGTTTTTTTTTTTTTTGATTTTTAAAATCAAAAATCATAATATGTGTCATAGTACTAATCTATTCCTTTATTGTTGTTGTTTTTTTTCATCTCTTTTAATTTTATTAAATTGAGGTGTGTATTTATATTATTCTTTAGTCAATTGAATTGACAATAATGATACTTATCATAATATCGCATATACCATACTTATTTATTTATTTATTTATTTGTATTTAAACTTTATATAGAGTTTTTAATGAATAAACCTATTAGTAATTGGATCCTTTAAGGGGAACTCTTTCTCTGTTAATTTATTTATAATTATTGTGGTTTGATAAGATATAGAAGAAGCATTCAGTACAAGGTTCCCATTTACAAATTACTATCAACAAGGGACATTTTTATTAGTATACTGGCTATGAAATATTCAAATATCAGTAAATTGGTTAATAAGGATAGAATGTTATCGTTCACTATATTATTTTCAAAAAAGTTTGTTGTTAACTTCATCCCTTGGACTTGACAAGACGTGATCCTTAATTTTTATATATATTATAAAAACTTCGCTACCAATATCCAACACATCATGATTATATTGAATAGTTTGGCTAGAACATTGGTTGTCCGTTCGGATATGTGAAACTTATTGATAAGTGATATATTATTTTACCATCAATTATATATTTAATAGAAAGAAGTAAATAAATAGAATAAAACAAAATAAACGTATGCTTTCCAATAGTATTACTCCCCTTTTTTTCTTCTTCTTCTTTTCTTTTTTTTTTTTTTAATCTTAAAAAAATTTCATTTTCGAGAAAGCAATGCACTTTTTTTATCAAAAATTAGAAAAATATTAAAACAAATGAAAACGAAAAAAGAAAAAAAAAAAAAGAAGATAAAAACAAAAATAAAAAGAGATTCCTTCTTCTTCCTCTTGCTCCCCATTCTTGTGTCCGCCATTAGTTTCGAATCACGCAAGAAAAGAAGAAAGATCCCACCTCCAGAAGGAAAATTTTAAGCAAAAATATCTTCTTTTTCTTTTTGATTAAAACCTTATTTTACTCATACCACCCATTTGGCGATTCCTAGAAATGAAAGCTTTCACATTTACGTAATATTTTTCATTCATCTTATTTTCGTATTGACAATTTTCTTATAAGATAGTTGTTTGCCATTACCCTAACTTATAATGGTAAAATTTTGAAACGATGCTCATCCAACCCTAATTGTATGTCGGTTGGGGAATATAATCCCGGTTGGTGTGTTGTTTTTGTTCTCCAAAATAATTCTTTGAGGATTTCCCAATGTTAATATTTTCTTTGTTTTTTTTTTTTTGTAAAAAATTCCGTTCTCGAGGCATTTTGCCTTAGTAATATTTTCTCGACTCGACTGAACTGTCTAACCAAAGAAAAAAGTGATATTTGCTTAATGTTTCTCTGTTCATAATGAATGGAAAAATAAAATACGAAAAATGTCTGACTAATTTTCCATGTCCTTTTTTCTTTTACTTCCTTTCTTATTATTTTTTTCGCTTGAACTACTAATACTACTACTATTATTATTATTATTACTATTATCATTTGTAACACCGACTCTTTCTTTAATCGGGTTCATTTTGCTAATCACTATTATTATTTTAACAATAATGCTAGTATTGTGGTGGTGCTGGTGGTGGTTTATTATCTCATATTCATCATAAAGATTATTCCCTTTTTGATAGTAATAGAGCATTTTCTCTTGTTCATTAATAGATCTTTTTTGTTCACACCATTCAGTAAATTTACTCTTCTATTTGCCCTTTCTCCAATTGTCTCATTTCTATACACGTATACACACACACATATATATATATACTTTATCCAAATTTCTTGTCGTACTCGCTACTTGATCTTTATGTCCTGACTATTCCTATATTACATACTCTTTTATAACTTAATTGAGATATATATATATACACAAAAACTACATTAGATTAAAATAAATAAATAAATAAGTAAATAAATAAACAATATGGCTCCAGCTCAAAAGAAACAAAAGATTGGTTCTTCCTTAGATCAATTAAAAGCTTCTGGTACTGTTGTGGTTGCAGACACTGGTGATTTCGAATCCATTGCTAAATTCACCCCACAAGATGCTACCACTAATCCATCTTTGATCTTAGCTGCAGCTAAAATCGATACCTATGCCAAATTAATTGACAATGCTGTTGAATACGGTAAAGAACATGGAAATACCACGGAAGAAAAAGTTGAAATTGCCGTTGATAGACTATTAGTTGAATTCGGTAAAGAGATATTGAAAATCGTTCCAGGTAGAGTCTCCACCGAGGTGGATGCTAGACTTTCCTTTGACAAGGATGCCACTATCAAGAAAGCCCTTGAGATCATCAATTTGTACGAAGAAGTCGGTATCTCTAGGGAAAGAGTTCTAATTAAGATTGCTTCCACTTGGGAAGGTATCCAAGCTGCCAGAGAATTGGAAGCTGAGTATGGTGTCCACTGTAACTTAACTTTATTATTCTCCTTCGTTCAAGCTGTCGCTTGTGCCGAGGCTAATGTCACTCTAATCTCTCCATTCGTTGGTAGAATTATGGATTGGTTCAAAGCCAAGACTGGTGAAACTTACACTCCAGAAACTGATCCAGGTGTCAAGTCCGTTAGAAGAATTTACAACTACTACAAAAAACACGGTTATAACACCATTGTTATGGGTGCCTCCTTCAGAAATACTGGTGAAATCAAGGCCTTAGCTGGTGTCGATTACTTAACTATTTCTCCAGGTTTATTAAATGAATTATTAGAATCTAACGAGCCAGTCCCAACTTTACTAACTGTTGAACAAGCTAAGAAGGATGGTGATGAAAAGATCTCTTATGTCAATGACGAAGCTGCTTTCAGATTCGATTTGAATGAAGATGCTATGGCTACTGAAAAATTGGCAGAAGGTATTAGAAAATTCTCTGCCGATATCAAGACTTTGTTCAAGATTGTTGAAGAAAAAATCCTCGCTTGAACCTGTTGATAGATCATTATATCTCACGTCATTTTTCACTTTTCTTTTCCATACATTATATATCATACTATTATGTAAAATTTTCTATAGTTAACGATCCAATATATTATAAGTAATGAATATGTTACGTGTTTTATTATGATTTGTTCTATTTGTCTCTCTCTTTCAATCCTTCTCTACCTCTTTCATTTACTCTGTTTATTGACATATATTGCGTGTATCTTTATAGAAATTTTATTTGCAGAGAAAGAGACACACAAATACACAAACATACACACACACACACATATATATATATATATATACTAACTTTGAGTAAGTGAATTATCTTGTAAGTCCCACACCAAACCCAATTCCAACAGATGCAAGTATAATTATTAACTCAACACATCCTAATAACAATGATAAAGTACGTACCCAATTCAAATCGATGTCCCAAAGGAATCCACGAAACAAGCCAATACGATGTTCTTTATTTAATATTAATTTCATCAATCTATAGTCATCTATACCACAGGTAGATCCCATATATATCATGAAGAACAAGGGTGGAAAAATAAAGCAAACAATAAGTAACGATATCATACGTTGAATTGAATAAATCTCCCAAAATTTATAACTTTGTGAATCAAATGAATGAATTGATGGTAAATCTATATGTTGAATATATATTGGACACTCGGTAGTGTCATTATTAAGAAGGTTATTGGTTTTATCAGTATTTATATCTTCTGCATCATTATTGTAACCCACCGTTGTGTTTTCGGGTATTTCCTTAGTTGCATTATAGAATGTATTTTCTCTAGTAGGCAAAGACAGTATAATATTTGTCTGTTGAGGACTTATAGTAGTGAAATTTTTAGATAAATCATTTCTCAAGGTTGACATTTCATGGATAATATTATCTGATTCTAAACGTTGCAATGATTCTATATTGGTTATATTATGATGTTGTATGGAAGTGGATTCTTGTAAGCTGTCTCTCATGTTTTCATGAAATGATAATTTTTTAATTGGGTTTTTAAATTCATTAGAACCTAGCATAGAGACTATGTGGTTCTCAGTTTTAGGACTTGGTTTCCATCGGCTTGGTCCCGATACACTTTGTAAGACTTGCACTTTTGGTATAGTTGTTGAATGGACAGAACTAGTTGATGGAATTTTTGTATTAAAGGAAATTGAGCCATATAAAGGAGTTACAGTAGCATGATTTGTTAATGATACATTACGTTTATGTAAATTATACGGCGGGAATGTAGGTGATCCTTTGCTCTTAGATGAAGAGGTCACTAAAAATTTATTAATTAAAGATGGTGATCTTGGTACATGTGATTCAGAAGCAGCAATTATCGGTGTTTGTGGTTGTGAAATAGACAGCCTACTAGGTATTTTTAATTCGTGTGGAATGAACTTAATACTTGAACTTCTGGAATTAATTGATATATTATCCTTATCTGTTAGTTCTTCTTCTTCCTCTTCTCCTCCCTTTTTATTCTCTGGTATGAAAATGTCACTTGAATCCCTTTTAGAGTGAACATAATTGACCTTTGGTGTACTAGTTTTAACTTCTTTTTTTCAAAAGTTTAACTGCTTGCTCAACATCGGGTTCAATAGTATCATTATAATCATCATACTGGAATATAGAAGAATATGAGGGTTCCATACTACTTATTTGATTGACTTCTGTAGATGAAATATTTATTTGAGGATTATTCCTTGAAGAAATATAATTTGAGAGGTTTGAAGAGGTCTTGGTGATGAATGGAGGGGTTCTATTTTGAGTTGAAGTTTGTCCTTTTAATGATGTTTCCTCTTGCATTGAGATACCATTTACTTCATCATTTTGATTAATTGGGTTTAATATTTTTTTATTTCCTTTAGTAGTTATTGATGAATCACGATTTTGAGTGAGCACAATAGTAGACAAAGTTCTTACACTATCACGAATAGTTGGAAGAAGTGAATGAGAGTTTCTTATACGGGTATCTAAAATTTCTGTATTTTGAGTATCAATTGAATCGGTTGAATTTTCATTTATGCTATAAGTATTATTTCTATCATTTGTGACATTAAAAGCTACATTTTTTGTACTTGTTGAAAATAATTGAACATCATCTTCATTAATATTATTAGTAGATGTTATGAACTCATTTGTTTCGAAATATTCTGTATCTCCTGTATTCATTGATTCTGGTGTGACTTTTCGTCGTAATAAAAGACCATCTTTCTTTTGTCTCGGTATAACTGGCAACTCTTTATTAATAGTAGGTATTTGACTGAAATTTGATGCATGAATATTTGAAGAATATGATGAATTCGTATTAACAGTAGGAGATGCAGAGTTTGAGGAATTGCTGTTAACAAAGGAAACGTTATCATGCGTATTCGTTGGATTTGTCACCCTAAAAGTGATGTTTTCGGAAGGTTTATCTGATTTGTTGTTTTGGCTAGCTATATTGGCATTGCTACTACTGGAATTAACCTCTGACCATAATGATGCTGATGAAGATGGTATATTTCCATAGACAGAGTCATCAATGAAGACCATAAAACTATGCGTACTTGTGCGATTTACAATATTTAATTGGGCACCATTTATCGTTCGTCTATTTGAATCAGGGGATTCTTCGATAAATAAAGAAGTCCTATAGGGATTTTGAATCGTATTGCTATTATTAATAATATTTCGCGAAAATTCAGCAGAATCATCCTCTGAAAAATATGGTTTAGAACTATAAGAATATGAAGAAGAGTTGGAGGTCATCTAAAATTTAAAATAAAAATGAGTGGATTGTTTGTTTGAAAGTAATGATAGTATTAATATTAATGGTTAAGATTAAGCGAACGGAGAATAATTAATGTATATATGTATGAGTGTTTTGAATTAAATAAACGAATATTTCATTGATTGAATGTAATTTAGTTTGTATAAATATGATAAGGTAATAATGCAATGACTATCAGAAAAATTGATGTATTGTTCTTTTTTCTTCTACTTATATTAAAAAATAAGCTGGAGAATTTTATATGCAATGTCAATAGTATAAATATAGAATTCACTATTAAATAAAATATTTTTAGTCATTGACAATTCCTACTCAAGTGGACTTCTTGAAATGACTAACTTTATGGTAAGAAATTAAAGTTTGAAGCGAAGCCCTATAATATGCCATCTAACATTCACTAATTTCCCATCTCTTCTTTCATTCTATTCAGATATTTCTTTCAGAATGAAATTTCTTTGTTTATTTTTTCGAGGACCTTTTGGTTTGCAAATTTCCCAAACCCGTCGAATGTAAACAAGCACGAACAATAGAAGACGCGTCAGTCTGGACCAAATTGGGACAGAAGCAGAAGTTGTTAGACGGAGATAAGATTAAAGAGGTTCAATCGAAATGATCACAAAATTAGCATTACCAATTGTAATTAAAGATAATAGCTATTCCTGTGTTTTCTTGCAAGGTAGTTAATAGTATGGTGTGATGAGGGACCGGATGTCAACTTCATACTTCAAATCAAATGGCAATAATATTGAATATGAATATATAAATATTTGCTTAGTTGAGTATTTACTTATTTGTTTACTTACCCGACATTCACTTAGTCACTAAATTCATTAAGTCTTTAGACTATAATAACGATACATACCTCTTTCTACACAACCAAATGTTTTATACTCATCGACGACCTCAAAATGAATCTGATATCTCTTGGTTGTCACTGAATCGTTTGAATCATAGATAAATTGTTCAGGGTGTTTATAATAATCGATTTTTGGTTTAGATAATTTTGCAACCTCTGAAGTGTCAACACTCTTCTTAGAAAGTGGCTGGTTGCTTAAACAGTCTATGTTATTAGAAGATCCATCGTTAGATGGTTTCAAAAATGTTTTAAGCATACTGTTGGCTTTATTCTGTTTAAGTATATTTGAGTTACTATTGTGAATGTTATGCAAATTATTACCCTTTAACATGCGATTAGAATTCCGATGATGTATTCTTAATAACTGTAGTTGTGACCTTCTTCTTTGTAACTCAGGATTATTCAGATACTCAGCATCATTTTCAATTTGTATTGGCTGTATAGTAGGGATATCATTGGCATTATTGGCAATGTTATCGCTATTATTATTCTGTAGAGAAAAAGAGTGTAAATCATGCATTGATCTATCCCAATATAAACCAGTTGGTGTATCATGACTCTCATTATGATGTATATGTGAATGTAAAGATGGATTTCTGTTTTCAGTCGGTCTTATTCCAAATCTTCTATTATTATTACCTTCAAAATTATCTCTTTCTATCTCCTCCTCGTCATCATAATCATCATCATCTTGTAAAAACCTCCACCCACCTGGTGGTAATGTAGGTCTTCTAATAGGTGGTGTTATATTACCAAATGTAATACCACCATTTCTTGTTAAAAATTGGGAAATTGGTGGCTTATAATCTTTATAGCATTCTTTTCTACGAATAGAACTTTTTATAACTAAACCACAACTTAATGATATTTTGGTTTGTGCAAATTTTAAAAAATCTGGTTGTTTAACAATCTCAATAATCTTATGACCACTTGAATCAAAGCGTGTCCCTACTTGACTCTTCTTTTCAATATCATCTTTATTCAGGTATGGATCACATCTATAAATCCAATGTCTTCTACCATAAGATACATCCAAAAAGCACTTCCATTTAACCACTTTATTCTTCTGCGATTTATAATCATATTTCATTGAAATAATTTCATTGTCATTATTTGACTTTTCAATTTGTTGCCAAGTTTCAAAATTGACTTCAATTGCACACAATGAATCAGAACATGTTAATAAGTTGGGATCTTGAATAGTCCATTTTGTAATGTATGAATTTCTTGATAGATTGATAAATTTTAACTTTTGTTGTGGTTGTTTAGATAATTCAGTTAAATTAGGGTACTCATCTATATGTTTGATTGGGGATAAAAATTCTACTAATTTATTAATAGATATATTGTTTCCTCTAATACTTAAACTTTTCAACTTAGGAAAATTTAATTTTATGAATATTAATGCATCAGCACATTTATAGTAATATTTAGTTTTTACAACCGTAGAAAAAATTGTTTCTCTACGACTATGACGATAATTATAAGATGTTATGGAGACAGTCGATTGAGATGATGTTGGAGTATTGGATCCAGATATAGAGTGGGCCATCGTTACTTGATGCAATGGTAAACCATCAAGGTTCAAATACTGTAAAGTTTTATTATGACCATATTGACAAAGTTTTTTTAATAAAAACATTGTATGAACCTCATTCCACAAAGCAGAATGAGAAATATCACTTAAATTTAACCATTCTAAAGTGGAAGCATTATTTTCATCGGTGACAGCGGGGTGATGTGAAAAAAATTCTAAAATGGATCTTGAAGTTAGTTGTGAACATGATGCAAAGGACAAATGAGTCAAATTTTTTAAATGTGGTAAATACTGCATCAAAATTTGACCATCGATAGATGTATGTGCTAAATCCACTTTTTGTAAATCGGGAAACAACTTTAATAATTTACCTAAAACAGGTTTTGGTAAATCAGTACAATCATTTAATCCTAAACAAGTTATTTGTGAATTGTACGCAATAGGTTCTGGAATAATAATATTAGAATTAGAACCATTCATATTATTTGGAATTAGTTCAGGTGGATATAACTTGTTTAATGCGTTAATAAAACTCCTTGTCAAATTATCACCCGAACACCCACAAAAGTCTAGTATGCTCAGGTTTTTACCAGGTTTTAAGAGCCAATAAATAATGTTTTCATCTAAATCCTCCTGAATGTTTTCACATGCCAAAAATTCTCTTAGGTTAGATTCGGTTAATTTCAAAAATCTGAGTAGGGTTTCATTAGTTAAATTTTGGATCGATTTATTCATTTCATTTGATCTTCCGAGACCTATCGAGGTCAATTCTTGGAAATCTGCAATTTGAATAATGTTTCTTAATTCAGGACAATGTTCAATAGATTCTAATAAATTATGGAATCTTTTTGCAGTAGTAAAGTTGCAATGTTTGTATAGTAAAACTCGACATATATGATAGAAAGTTTTGTTGACGGTTAGATTACTTCTTAAAAAATTTCTTAAATTTTCATTAAACTTTTCTGATGTTGGTGGATAATCATTTGACATATAATCTTTAAATTGATAAGTCAAAATTTCATATATGATTTCTGGTGGGATAGTTTGAAAAAGACCTGGTCTACCTGTTTGAACATCTGTTGACACATTGTTTGTTGCCATGTTATTTTAGTAGGGATGTATTATGGTGTAGTCTTTTTTGCTATTTTGTTTAAACAAATGATACGTAAACTCAATAAGTTTTTAATAAGTTATGATTCGCAGTCTAACTAAATCACAACAGTTAGATGGAATACAATAATAATAACACTTTTATTTGAGAGTTTATTTGTGTGTTCAAGTATACATATGTATATATAAATGTATAAGATTATTGAAACTATTAAAATCATTGTATTTTTCTTTATATATATATATATGGGTGTGTGTGTGTGTATTACCTCGTAATCTATAAACCTTTAATTTTTCACCTTAAGGGATATTTTTCAGGATCAGTTTATTTTTTTAATTCTCTTACACATATTACTAATCAAAATTAGTAATATCTGTAGAGAATTAGTATTTTGAAAGGAATTTAACAGCGGAAATAATACCGAAGAACTATTTTATCGGAATTCCTTAATCCGCATAGAACTGGTGACGGGAATACAACTCCATGTCAAAAGCATAGTCGAATTCTACAATATGAATAATATATACATGTGCACATGTATATATTAATACATATTGACTCTCAATCATTGTTAACACGGTAGATTTGAAGCATATCTACATTTTATAATATTCTAATAGTGTTGAGAATGAGCGCCTTTATTCATTGGATATATAGTAAACATTCTCAATATTATATTAAACAGATTTAGTACACAAAATTATAATAAAGTTCTTCACTTTCTTTCTCTATATACAACATAGAAGTAATAATACACAAAGATTGTAAATAAGATAAAAATAATGTATGATGAAATCCTTGGCTTTATATATGTTAACATTAAGCCATTTTCCTCTACGAACAGTAAGGTGTTTAATAAACAAACTCAACAACTTTTGGTGACCTCTCAACAGTTATTACTCAACAATTTATCGTTTAGTGTCTGCTAAAATCTTATTGTTCTATCTATTTTATTATAGAACATTCTATTTCAGCAAATAGAACATTCTGAAATGGAATGGAATTTTATTATTGCTGTTTTTAAAATAAAAATTCTTTAAAAGATCCTAGCGGATCTAACAAAAACGATAGGCGATTGTATATTGAGTTTGATATTCTATTTATTTGAATGAGTTGCGTGTTCTAATTGCAATGGATATCATCACAATTTTGTACTAATTTCATCTTTTTCACCGCTTTCATATGAACAAAATAATGATTATATATATTTATTGTGCTTAGATATGAATTTGATGGTTCTTTTCTGCTTGATTTCTTTTTTTTTTTTTGTACCCTTTTTTTGTTATCGAGAAAAGTGAAGTGGAATTAGTCATGATAACTACTTTATTAGATAGAAGTTGTACTAAATAGACTCTTTGAATCATACATTATAATGATTTATAAACAAATTCACGTTCTTTCACTGTTTGAAGAACAGATATTTATTGTTAGGTTGAATAGCTATTCAGAAGGAATTAAATGGCTATAGGGAGAATAAAATTACTAAACTAAGAACGAAGAGTAAAAAGACGAAAAGAAATAAAAAGAAAAATAGCTAAGTCACAATATGTCACAGATTTTATCGCAAAAGATTAAAGTAGCTTTGATTCAATTGAATGGTTCTAGTCCAAATAAGCTGGATAATTTAAATAGAGCAGCCAAATTTATTGAAATGGCCATGCAAAAACAACCTGATACAAAGATTGTAGTATTACCGGAATGTTTTAATTCACCATACTCTGTAACTAAATTTAGAGAATATGCAGAGGTTATTGACAATAAAGCTAAATCACAGTCTATTGATTTCTTATCAAAAATTGCTTTAAAGTATGGTATAATTTTAGTTGGTGGGTCTATCCCAGAAATCGATCCTCAAACAAATAAAATATATAATACATCACCAATTTTTAATAGTAAAGGTGATTTAATCGATATACACCGTAAAGTACATTTATTTGATGTTGATATTCCAAATGGTATAACTTTTAAAGAAAGTGAAACTTTGTCCCCAGGTAACAAATTGACCACGGTTAATACTCCTTACGGTAACGTTGGTATTGGTATCTGTTATGATATGAGATTCCCTGAATTGACTACCATATCAGCAAGAAAACCGAATAATGCATTTGCCATGGTTTTCCCCAGTGCATTTAATACTGTTACGGGTCCTATGCATTGGCATCTATTGGCACGTTCTAGAGCTGTTGATAATCAAATTTATACAATATTATGTTCCCCAGCAAGAAATTTAGAGAGTTCTTATCATGCTTACGGTCATTCTTTAATATGTAATCCAAAGGGTGAAATTATCGCTGAAGCTAGTGAAGGAGAAGAAATCATCTATGCTGAATTGGATCCAGAAGATATTGCAAATTTCAGACAAGCTATTCCATTATCAAGTCAAAGAAGATTTGATTTATATAAAGATATTTCAAAATAAATCAAGTAGTATATAGTAACAAAAAGTTGTCAAATTTATATAAAATTATGTTTGTATATAATATATACAACTATTTTTGCGTAAATATATTGTGGGAAGCCCTAATTGAAAATCTTGAAATATGTAGTCCGCAGGTAATGTCAAATGTCCAGGCAAAGGACTTGGAATAGCTGAAAATTAGGACCCAAGGCCGTGAGTGTATTTGAACGAACGATCGTCAAATTAATATTGATGGCAAATTACTAAGAAGCTTATTTAAGAGACTTACTTTTGATTTTTGAGAGAGAGTACCAGAGGTAATTATCGGCATTAACATTCGTATTCTATCTAATAGGTTCCACTTAAAAGAGGGAGAACGATAATAACCTGAATAATAGGACAAGATCAATGACAACTAGGATTAAGCTATTTAATAGTTAGAATAAACCAATTATATAATTTTTAAGTGTTTATATATATAATTAATATCTATATTTTAGTATACGACTTGAGATAACTTCGTATAATATATTTGATGCTCAGATGTGTTTATTTTTCCAAACTCTTTTTAATATTAAGTTTTGGGATGGCTCTCTTATCTAAAAAAAAGGACAAAAAAACGAAAATACTTTACAAATAACCAGATACCAACATAAAAACAAAATTGTTGTTACGGATAAATTATTAAATTTAATTTCAACACAATTAATTTTACTTAACCTCTACATCGTATTACATAATAACTTTAATACAATCTTTTATATGATCTTTTTAACCTATTATTGCCATTATTTATTATATAATTCTTGTATGATATTAGAAAATAACTCTTGATATAAATATAAGCAAGGATATGATTAAGAATACACCCTCTAGTGCGTCTTTCACTAAACAAAACTAGGTTAAATGAGATCTCTCATAATCGTCATTATCCTCAAATTATTCAATTGTATTCAACAACTAATACAAACTCTTAAACAAGTGATTCTATAAATAAGCTATCCTGATATTGCGATCTTACCCATAAGATCCAAATATCTACTTATTTTTAAATTACTTTATTGCAATTTGTTAAATAATTAAATGCGTTAAATATTTGATATAATTTGTTCAAAAAAATCTAACTTTCTATAAAAGGGGTAAGTAATTATTTTATTTTTATGGTAATTCGCACCTATAAAATATATTTAAACAAATATTCACTATTTACCTATATCTATTTCTCAGTAAACGGAAAAGAAAAGTTTTTTTTTAACGCTTATACAAACAAAGACGTTCATTTTCTTTTTTATGTTGAAATCAAAAATTGGGCATTAGAAATGTATATTTTAAAAAAATATAGGTGGTAGGAAGAACGCTTTAATTTTTTCGGATTGTTGTGGTTTGAAGTTGGTAAATAACTTAGAAAAATATATTGTCAACTGAATAGAAAGTAAAATAATAATTTTATATAAACATGTAATATATGCAAAAATCACAACAATCAATGTTTGCTAATTTTTATTGTATATAATAAAAAAATACATAATTATTAGGCAAAATAAATAATCACAATGTGTAATAACTATGCAAGAATACTTTTTATGTAGTTTTCATCCAGATTTATCAAAATCAAAAGCAAATGAAAAAATATATAATTATTTACATCAATAAATACTACTTATCTTGAATTTGTTTCTTATTCCTTCCTCCACCTCCTATATATATATATATATAAAAGGTTATTCTCATTTAGTGAAATATTTATTTTTATAAAAAGCACAGAATATGTATCACAAATTATGATAGCACATTATCTACTCTACCAATTGCAAATCAGAAATAAATACATTATTAAAAACTAACAAAGGTTTTTCATATGTAAAATTGGGTGTTGTGATTATTTTTAATCGAATTTTCTGATGGTTACCAATTTTTCTAATAATTGTCCTATATAGTTAACTCAATCGTATTTTTTTTATCTTTACAAGTAAATAGTTTATATACCTAAAAGTCTCAATATTGTTTCTATTAGCAAATAAGTGCCTATTATTGTCATTTCCATAAGAATTATTTTATTTTAATCTTTCTGCATATTTTTAATGTAAAAATGTAGCATGATATGTAAAAGATATTTATCTTTTACCAAAATTGTTTTCAAATATTTGATGAAATAAAAATTATTCTAGAAAGAGTATTGAAAAAAAAATAGAAAGGTTTACACAAACAAGAAGCTATCATAAATGTATATGAATTAAATGTAGAAAAAAACGGTATCTAGAACCTAATGATGTTTGTAATTCCTACTGATACCAAAATTTCAAGATACTTTAATGTCAAATTGTCTAACTATTATATTAAATAATTCTCTGATAATTTAAATAAATTTATAAAAACTATTCTGAAAACAAAATTATGATAAGGTAAATAATATATGAGTTCTGTTAATTAGTTAATTAGTTAGGAAGTGCGAATAATATCAAACGGATATTTTAATAATCGAAACAATAATTGTTACAAATGGTAAAGGACTTACTAGATAGTCTTATATATTAACAGCTATAGTGAGCTTTTCTATGTATTTGTTCTTTTTCTCCTATATATATTATATAAAATATCCATAAAAGAGGAGTTACAGAAGATGGATTTATTTTCGGAAGTTGTTGTCCTTTTATATGTTTTCTGGAGCTTGATCAATTATTCAGATTGATACATTAATGAGCTTAGTAATCCAAACCCTAAAATTTATTATACTAATTCAGGTGCACTAATGATAAACGGCACAATTCTTATGGTCATTAGTAATAAATGTGTGACTTATTAAAACAATAGATAATTCTAGATTCACTCAGAATCTTATGTGATCTTGGTAAAAATAACCTTTTTATTATACAGCATCTAATGGTGTAACATGAGTAAGACATATTAAAACAATAGATAGTTTTAGATTCATTCAGAATCTTATGTAATCTTGATGGTAATAAGTTTTCTATTCCACAAGAAAAGTTGTTGTAATATGATGTGGTCAGAGTTTTGTATTATTCGGGGAAGCGCTAGAAATATCAAACGGATAATCTATTAATAATCGAGACAATAATTGATACAATCGGTAATGCAATTATTAATACGGTCCTATATATTAACGGCAATATCAAGCTTATATAATTACACTATTTGCATATTGTATTCTGCGTTCGATGTTCGGTGGTTGTTCGTTTATTGTTTGTTGGTTGTTCTGTTTTATATATAATATTTTTAAATTATGTGTAAGAGAGGAATAACAGAAGATAGTTCCATCTACAGAAAACGTTGTCCTTTTATATGTTTTCTGGAACTCGATCAACTATTCAACTTGATATATTAATGAATTAGTAATTCATATCTTTATTTTTAGTTACAATAATATAATTGAAGATCATAGAACATTTAGGACAATAGGTTATGGTGGCGTAGTAGAAATATAATGAACACGGTGTACATAAACATAATATGTTATGGTGGCACAGTAACAACAATATATGAACACGCTGTACACTAGGTGGCAAATGGACACGTTGGTCTTAAAACACAATAGAGCACTTTAAATTCAAATAGAATCTTACGTAATCTCGGTGGTGTTACCTTTTTATTATAGAATAAAAGCCACAGGTGGTAGGCAACTTGGCCGAGTGGTTAAGGCGTAAGATTAGAAATCTTTTGGGCTTTGCCCGCGCAGGTTCGAATCCTGCAGTTGTCGATTCTTTTCAGCGTTGAATTTTTTGCTGTTTCTTGTAATATCCGTTAATACAAATGATAGGGTCCAATATATAATTTTTTTTACCTTTCATTTTGTAAATGTGTTTGCAAGGTTAAAACCTTAATTTATAGATCAGATTCCAGAGATATTATGTAACGAATGAAGACCTTTTGAAAGATAAATGTTCCCCTAAAATGCCCAGATTTATATTATGATTATAAACAACAAAAACAAGAACCTCATTAGCAACTAAAGAGTTTGCAAAATCGTCCACAGTGACACTAGGACAGCATATATCACATAGTTAAGAATTCTATATCATTTCTTTCTTTTTCTTTTATATCCTATGTCACTAATTATTAAAGTTTCTTTTCAGTTATACTGTATCTTCGGATGTTTGTACCATTCAGATTCATTACATGATTAGAAACCATTCATTATCTCTTTTATTAATTGTAATTAATGATATATGTCCAAAAAACTCTGATACTTTCCAAGAATATATAAACATTAAAAAAGTAAATTTAATTTTTTTTAACATTCTTTATAATACTATCTGATAAAAATCTTGAATTTACGCTCACCTACCTAATAGTTTTGGATAGTTTCGTCACTGTTTAATTACTAACTTTGAAATAATCTACTTATATTTGTTATTTCACCTATTTTAATTTTTATAACCAGGTTCGGTCCATGGAAAACTCTAGATTTTTAAGTATTATAAGGAATGACATCAGTACTAATACAACTATTGACAATTTATTAATAAATAAATAAGTATATATATGTTTACGAAACCTTTGTGTAACTTAACTTTTTCCACCTACGTATAAGAAAGAATGTAAAATCAAGTGTTTTAAAATTCACAACTTAAGTTAATTTTTAGACAGATGATAATAGAAGAAAGAATACAGTTGACTCTAAGATACGTCCATTGTTACATACTGTGTAAAACTGAGTATTATCACCGAAGGCAAATCATATTACACTTTCAAGAAAATAACAGTAAAGTTATATAAATAATACTGTTTGCTTTTGATAGCAATACTATATATAAAATGATCATATCAAATTTTTAATATAACTCTTCAGTTTATGGTAATGTACTCATCACATAACACATATTATTACTACTGGTAAAGAGACTTCTGTTAAGGAATAAAAGGAGATCAAATTGTCAGGAAAGTGTACATTGTAAGTAATATAGTATCATTTATTTGAAGAAAAAACGAAATAAGTCAAAAAAAAAGACTGGAGCATAAACGTCAATCTTAAATTGCCAAATTGCTAATGTTCACAACCCTCTCATCATAGTAATAAAATTGCAAAAAACTTTGTGTTCCTTCAAAATTGTCTTAAGAATGAAATATGCATTTTAAATAATAATCATAATCATAACTATAATTATAACTAATGATAGCGATACCGCTGGATAAAAACAAAAGAATGTGAAAGAGAAATTGTTTTTGTGTATAATACTCTCCAATTTCAGGACACTTTCCAAATTGGGAAACTCGTTGCTACTGGAAAATGACCAGAATGAAGTAATAAAGAAACCATTTAAACCTAAGTTATGTTCTATGTTAGATTGACTTTTTAAAAGAGAAAAATTGCTCACCCAACTTTAACTAAGGGGTATACAAGCATAGAAAATTTCAAATTCAGAAAATTTAAATAACACAGTCTTTTTTATTATAAAAACCCTGAAAAAATTTGATATTTACAAATGAAAATATTTAATAGTTTGAAAAAGACCAAGATAATTTTATCCTTACTATATACTTTTTTTTTATTTTTTAAATTTGTCTTATTTATTGTGGAATATTCATGAAAACAAAAAAATCCCTTTGTAATAATTTCTTTAATATAATATGAAAAATAAATGAATATATTATGTAACTTTTAAAAAAGCGTGACCTCCACTTCTTTTTCTTTTTCTTTCACTTTTTCCAAAAGAATCTAAAAAAAACTAGAAAACCCTGTATTAGAGTGGATTTGTTTATTTTACATAAAGGTTAATTTTTATAAAACCCTGAGTTGTACACGTCAGTCAAATTAAAAATTTAAAGAAATTAAATACAGAAAAACAAAAACTGACTAAAGAGTTTTATGCCGAACGCAACAAAATTAATGTAACCCTAACTTAGAGTATTTTTTCAAACGTAAAAAAAACTGAAAGGTCTTAACAAAGATTACGTAAATATATAATCTGAACTATACAAAAATATGAGAAATAATCATGTAAAATTCTATCACAAGGGGAATAATAGATGAAATTATATCACAAAAAAAAAAAAAACAGAAAATTCAATTGAGAGTTGGTCATCAAACTTGAAAGAGAATGGGCTTATAACCTACGAGAAATCACAATTTTCACGGCAAATTACTATATACTAATGAATGACCATAGATAATCATGCTGTTCTTTATTTAGTTATCTATGAAACTACTGAAACCTTACCACAACGTAGATTGACGGCATCTACTTCAGGATATATATATATATGTGTGTGTATCTATAAATCATTTTGACGCTAAATTTATTGACATATCTAGAGAGCTCTCTACGTAATCTGACCGCTTCTCCTTAAATATCCACTTTACTTGTTTCTTCAACACCATAACAAAAACCTATTAGCTCATTGGGTGTTGTATTATTAGATTTTACTTTTCCTCACTGATCCATACTCGTGTAACTTATAGATTTCCTTTGCAAAATTGTTTTTTTTTTCTTTGATTGACTTGACAAAAATTAAATACATAGAAGAATTCATTTCACTAACAAACTTTTTTGTATCAGATAGTAGAAGCGAGTAAAATCTGAGTTGTTGTAATTTAGATCGTTGCAATATCTATCATTATCTATTCCATACTTTGCTTTTTAATTTAATTTTCACCTTATTTTTCTGCCTTTCATTTCCATCCCCTTATCCTTATTTCTGCTTATTATCCTTTTATAGATTACTTAATAGACTCAAATTTAACAATAAAATATCCCACTTTTGATCTTTACATACTGTTATAACCATAATCCATTTCATAAAGAATGTCGCAACAACAAGAAGAAAGAAAACTACAAAAACAAATTAAATATCCATGGTGGTATGGTGGTGTTGCAGGCATTTTCGCCTGTATCTGCACTCACCCATTAGATTTAGCAAAAGTAAGGTTACAAGCTGCATCTTTACCTAAACCAACATTAGTGGAAATGCTAACAAATATTCTAAGGAATGAAGGTGTTTTAGGACTATATTCAGGACTTAGCGCAGCTGTCTTACGACAATGTACCTATACCACTGTTAGGTTCGGTATATATGATCTATTGAAAGAACATGTGATTCCACAAAAAGAATTAACAAATATGGCATATCTCTTACCAAGTTCTATGTTTAGTGGTGCTGTCGGTGGTCTGGCTGGTAATTTTGCAGATGTTGTTAACATCAGAATGCAAAATGACTCAGCCTTAGAACCTCATTTAAGAAGAAATTATAGAAACGCATTTGATGGTGTTTGGAAAATCTATAGACATGAAGGAGGTGTGAAGACATTATTGACCGGTTGGAAACCAAATATGGTCAGAGGTGTGTTAATGACAGCATCTCAAGTGGTCACATATGATATTTTTAAGAATTATCTAGTGACTAACCTAGATTTTGATCCTGCAAATAAGACTACACACTTTTCTGCCTCATTATTAGCAGGGTTAGTGGCCACTACAATCTGTTCTCCAGCAGATGTCATTAAGACACGTATTATGAATGCAAGTAAAGCTGAAAATAAGTCATCCATTGAAATATTAACGACTGCTTTACGTACAGAAGGTCCATCATTTATGTTTAGAGGTTGGTTACCAAGTTTCACTAGATTAGGCCCATTTACCATGCTAATTTTCTTTGCTATCGAACAATTAAAGAAACATAAGGTTGGTGTAAAGGAGGAGGAGTACGTGTAATGTGACTGTATCTTATATTCGTTTGTCTATGTCTTTTTTTAGTCCTTAATCGACTGATTAATTTATTTATACATATACTTGATGATTTTATTCAATACGTTTGATTATTCGATTCATTCACTTAAATTGACACACTCATAAATAGCATGTAGTTACATAATAACATTTATATGTATATAGACCCCAAAAAAAATTATGTATATGTATCTTTTTACATACAATTATTAGTATGTCTACCCGTGCTGATTATCATCAACGTTAACAAAAAACAAACCAAAAAAGGGTCTTCTTCAAAATATATCACGTTATACGAATACGATTTTTTTCAAAGAAGACGAAAAACTTGAAATGTTTGTGAAAATTTAACAAAAACAATTAAAGAAGTGATGGACGAAGAGTAAGCAAAATAATACTTTGTTTTCTCTATGTATGGCTATATTGTAACGACCTTTCTCAGTTTCTTGTTTTAAAGACTCGAGTACTACTACAAAACTTTCTTCTCCTGTTACACTCTTCTTTTTTTTTAGTGATTTCAAGGATCACCTGAAAAAATACAATCTAACTATATTCCGTAACGGATTGAATATTGCCTTTGTTATTTAATTTTGCAAAGAGTCTAAGTAGTTCAAAAATTCCAATACATTCTGTGAAAGCATCTATTTTAGTTTGAATTGGTTGACTCAATATTGCGTTTGAAATTTACAGTTACACTTATAATTACAATTATAGACATATTAAAATATTACAAAAAGTGAATAACAATAAGCATGTCCACTGCTGAAATTGCCCAACTTTTAGAAAACACAATTTTAAATCCAGATGGTAATGTCCGTCTTCAAAGTGAAACTCAATTAAAGACTTTATCAAATGAGAATTTCTTGCAATATGCAGGACTGTTGTCTCAAGTGTTAATTGAAAAGTCATATAAGATGGAAGCACGTATTTTAGCTGCTTTATCTTTAAAGAATGAATTAATTGCCAAAGATTCTGTTAGGTCTAAACAGTTTGCACAACGTTGGATTACACAAATTGACACCAACTCTAAACAACTTATTAAAAATAATGCACTACAAGCTTTAGTATCTTCCGAGGACCGTGTAGCAAATGCTGCTGCTCAATTGATTGCTGCTATTGCAGACATCGAATTACCAATTGGTGATTGGCCAGAGTTGATGAAAATTATGGTTGATAATACCAACCCAAGTCAACCAGAAAATGTCAAAAGAGCCTCCCTATTATCATTAGGCTATATTTGTGAAAGTGCAGATCCTCAATCTCAAGCTCTAATATCAGAGTCCAACAATATATTAATTGCGATTGTGCAAGGTGCTCAATCATCCGAACCGTCTAAAGCAGTCAGATTAGCTGCTTTAAATGCTTTAGCAGATTCTTTAATATTTATTAAAAATAACATGGAACGTGAAGGGGAAAGGAATTATTTAATGCAAGTTGTTTGCGAAGCCACCCAGACAAATGAGAGTGAAATCCAAGCTGCAGCTTTTGGTTGTCTTTGTAGAATTATGTCCTTATACTATTCTTTCATGAAACCATATATGGAACAAGCTTTGTATGCATTGACTATATCTACTATGGAGTCAGCAGATGATAAGGTTGCTTCAATGACAGTTGAATTCTGGTCTACTATTTGTGAAGAAGAAATCGATATTGCCTATGAATTGGCACAATTCCCAGGATCTCCATTACAGAGTTTCAATTTTGCATTAGCCTCTTTAAAAGATGTTGTACCAACTTTGTTAAAGTTACTAACTAGACAGAACGAAGATTTTGAAGATGATGATTGGAATGTCTCAATGTCTGCAGGTGTCTGTCTACAATTATTTGCTCAAAACTGTGGTGACGCTATTTTAGAACCTGTGTTACAATTTGTAGAACAGAATATCACAAATTCTGATTGGAGAAGACGTGAAGCTGCAGTTATGGCATTTGGTTCTATTATGGAAGGTCCAAATAAAGATCAAAAGATATATTATATTCATCAGGCTCTACCTGCTATTTTAAACTTAATGAACGATCAATCACTTCAAGTAAAAGAAACAGCAGCCTGGTGTATCGGTAGAATCGCTGATATAGTAGTAGATGCTATTAACATTAAAGATCATTTACCAAATGTTATACATTCTTGTGTCAGTGGATTAGGCGATCATCCAAAGATTGCTGCTAATTGTGCGTGGACCATTATTAACCTAGTTGAACAGTTAGCGGACCAGACTCCATCCCCAATTTTTAACTATTACCCAGTTATTGTTGACTCATTAATTGCTGTAGCTAACAGATCTGATAACGAGTTTAATGCCAGAGCTTCTGCTTTCTCTGCCTTAACCACCATTGTAGAATGTTCAAACAACGAAGTTGCTGAGACAACTGCTTCTATTTCTAGCTTTGTTATGGACAAGTTAGGACAAACTATGTCTGTTGATGAATCTCAATTACCTATGGAGGCTCTACAAAGTTTACAAGAACTACAATCCAATATATTAACCGTTCTTGCTGCTGTGATTAGGAAGTCACCAAGTAGTGTTGAGACTGTTTCCGATATGCTAATGGAATTGTTTATGAAATTATTAGATAAAAAAGACTCTACATTTATCGAAGATGATGTTTTTTATGCAGTGTCTTCCTTGTCATTCTCCTTAGGTTCAAAATTTGAAAAATATTTAGAGGCCTTTTCTCCATATCTTGTGAAAGCATTAAATCAAGTGGATTCCACTATTGCAATTACTGCAGTAGGCTTTGTTGCTGATATTGCTAACTCTTTGGGTGAAGATTTTAAGAAATATGCAAGTGCATTCATGAGTGTTTTAGGTCAAATGATCTCCAATTCTAACTCCAAAAAAGAATTAAAACCGGCAGTATTAAGTGTGTTTGGTGATATAGCTTCCAATATTGGTGCTGACTTTACCCCATATCTAGGTGATGTTATGAATTTATGTGTTGCAGCCCAAAATACAAAACCAGAAAATGGCAGTTTAGATGCTATAGATTACTATATTAAAGTGCTTGAAGCAGTCCTAGACGCTTATGTTGGTATTGTAGGTGGTCTTCACACAAATCCACAAGTTATCTACGAGTACGTTGGAACTATTTTCCAATTTATAACGCTCGTAGCAGAAGAACCACAGTTATACAGTGATGACTCAGTTTCCAGATCTGCAGTAGGTTTAATTGGTGACATTGCAGCTATGTATCCTGATGGATCTATTAAGCAATTTTACGGCCAAGAAACCATCATCGATTTTATTAAGAAAACGAGAAGTAATCCAACATTCTCTCAGTCTACTAAAGCTACTGCAAGATGGGCTAGGGAACAACAAAAGCACCAATTAACCTTGTGATATTAACTCAATCATTTATTACTCACCCATTTTTTTTATCTTTCTACCTCTAATATTTCTGACATTTTTTTCTCTCCTTCCCCCCTTTTGCATGCATTATTATCATTATTGAACCCATATACATTTCTTCTATTTTTAATCATTTTTGATTAAAAGTTTATAATTTTTTTTATTTTTTATTTTTATTTAATTATTCCTTCTTTTTCTTTTTATTCTTTTTTTATCTCTCATCTTTTTACCTTTCTACTTTTTCTTTTTACATTCGTTGCTAAAGTAATATTATCATTTCATTACTAATAGTATTTTTTCTTTTTTTCTTCTCCTTCTCACACATTTTAATTGTTGCCTCCTGTACTTTGATCTTTTTTTCATTTTATTTCATAATATTCTTTATTATTTTTTTATTTGACCATATTGTAACATTTCAAATTTTTTAGTCATCTTTCTTTACTCTCTATGCATTTATTCACTAATTATTTTTGTAATTTTAATTCCAATAGTATTTACTATTGATATTTAACCTGAATATATATAAGTATATATTTATAATTTAAATTCAACAAGCAAGATAAACAAATTAGGATTCTTTTTGTTTACCTTCCTTTTTGTTTTTGACTTAAGAATATTTCACTTAATGCAACTGTTGTTTTATGTAAATGCATTTTTAACATCCTACTCCCCAATAAATTTATAAAGAAGAATTAATTATTGACTATTATCTTCTCTATGTTTTTTATCGGAATTTAACAAAGTAAATATTTTATGTTATATCAACTTGAAACATACTCTTTATTGTTAACATTTTGGCTTTATTTTTTTAAGAATATTTGCAAAAAGTTTGATACAAAATTAATTTTTAATGTTGACATAAAACTCATTAATAAAAGTTAAGAATATCGTGTAATTTAACCTACATAGTAAATGAAGAATATTATTGTTATAAAATTTCCCTGTATATATGTTCTTTTTATTCAATATTAAGGAGATCCCTACAAGAACCTTAGAAAAAATAACAATTGATAGAGTAACAATAAGTTGCACACAGTTGTAAGATAATCTCATACAATAGGCTGAACATTCAATATCTTTGGTAACTGTGTAAAATCACTGTAACACAAAAGCTCATTTAAGAGAAAGTTTTTCTGCTTTTGCAGCTCTTTAGAGTGTACCATAACTTCATCATATGTTCATTTAGTTTTCTCATATATAGAGAAAATAAACTAATCATAAGTGTTTAAAGCATATAACTCATCAACAGATATTTTTAACACTTTTTAAGAGTAATATATCATACATTTAAAATATAGTCATGATTTTACATGTACAGAAAATTAGTTTCTTTGATAAGGTAACGATATGCCCATGTACGTTCTTAATTTGTTGTATGAAAAATGTAATAAAATGTAAAATAAAAGAAAAGAATATAAAAGCTTCATTATTTTTACTATAAGGACTTAGTAATTTTACCTTAAGTAATGGATATTTTTTATCAATATTTATTTCTAATCCCTAATTAATAGGGATTTTTTCTACAGTATTACAGAATGGTCCAAAAGTGATTTCTGTCAAAAATTCTCTAGAAAACTCCAACTTTGGTACATCTAACACTGTATATGCTAACAAATACCCATATAATACTCTCAAAGTAGATTCATGTGCAATAATCAAGACATTAGTATTCATATGTTCTAATTCCAGTAAAAGGGATTCCATTCTAACCGCCAAATCATGATATGATTCAGCTCTTGGATATCTATAATGATACGGATCTTTTAAAAATTCTGCATGTTCATTTGGATACTTTTCTTTAATTTCCTCTATAGTCATGTCAGCAACGCTACCTGGTTGCAGTTGTTTCAATTGGCTTCTTTCTTGTACATCAAACCCTTTTTCAATAAAAAACTTACCAGTAGTATATGTTCTCTTCCTTGGACCAGTCCATATAACTAAAGACTCTGTATCTACTTTTTTTCCTTGTCTATGCATCCCAACCCTATCTAAAACTAAATCTGTTAAGTTTTTAGAGTAACGAATTCCTTCTTCGTTCAAGACTTCATCATTTGTATATTTATCTGAATCACTAGTCCCACATCTAGCTAGGTAAACACGACTAGTCTTATTTCTCAAATTCATTAAAAAGAAAACTATTTTGTTAATCAGATAACCTAATTGATTATTATGATTTATAATTAGTTGCTCTCCAAAATTGATATATTTTAGAAAATTACAGTTCTCATCAGGTGTAATGTGTTCATATTGACTTTCTTTTATTGATAATTTCTTCGTGTAATAATCAATTGCATCTTCTTTTCTCCAATTTAAATATTGATTGGATTTTAATGCTATTTCGATATTCTTGTTAACTAACTTCGGATCCGTCACTATTGATTCAATAAACAATACTTTAACATTAATATTTTCAAAAAGAGATACTAATCTCTTTCTATCAGACTTAAGAATATTCAAGGAATCAAAGATTGCAATTTGACCTTTTTTGTTTTCGAAGAAATCGATAATATCTTTAAGAACTTCGTCCACCATATCTTGTTCGAATTTCAAACTTAGAGCAATATTTCTATTACTTTTGTGTCTTCTATACTCTGAGACATGGAATGATCTAGTTCTTACACCTAACCATCTTGTATATCTTGTCATTGATACAGCCAATAAAGTCTTAGATGTGGCAGGTAGCCCAACCAATGCAATCAAGATGTTACCAGCGTGAAATAATGTTCCAGTTTCAGTTGGATACAGTTGTCCTGGTGCCATTGGACATCCGCAGTCTACTGGTTCATGAACTGCATCTTTCCTATAGTCTAGATCATCATTTAAAGTCTTCTCTTTTAAAAAGTTTTCTTTGTTGTTTTTATTAACATTCATGTTTGATAATATTTCCCTTAATTAAACTCTGTACCAGTTTGAAAATTAAAACTCCAAGAGTCGTTTTCTTTTATTGTATTTTTATTTTTATTTCTATTTTATTTTATTTTATTTTTTTTTGAAGGTCTGTGAATTGAGAACGTTATACAAATATACATAAGTTCTCTTTTATTCTGTTTTTTTTTTTTTTTTTTTTTTTTTTTTTGGTTATTTTATTCTCTCTACGAGATACCTTTTACTATGTTTCTAAGAAAGTGGTCGAACGTTCTTTGTTCTCCCTTTGTATGTGTTTTTCAATATTCTACTTATTATTAATTTTAGAGTCCTTGAAAGGTAAAAAAACTCCAGGAAAGTTAAATATTTTTGGTATTATGAACTTTTAGTATGTAATTCTATTATTTTTTAAAGTTACAAAGTTCAAAACTGTCATGTTTTCCTAAAATGGTAATTTTCGGAGATTCATTTTTCTTTTCTGGGAAATTGTTAAAATTAAAATTACTAAATAAAGCGAATAAACAAAGAAAATAATAAAGAGAAGTATTACTGACAAGCTATAACTAAGACTAAAGAATAATCAATATTATGCTACAAGTCAACATGAAATATTGCAGATAAGGTCTTTTCTTAGTTATTCTGATAATTAATGAGTGTCATTTGATATATAATCAGAGATATTTTTCTAAATCATCTGAATTTACCAACTTCTTCTTTGCTTTTTTATTGAAGTACTAGACAATGCATATGTAAAAAGTAGTAGTTTCACGGTGTCTCTTGATTTCTGACTTCATTGAAGAAATGCATCAATGTACTTCTTTTAAATTTCCAACTTAACTTGGTACAAAATTAATTGTTTTATTGACAACCATTAGAAAAGATGTTTTCCTAACACTTAACAAATTAATATAATGATGCCTATTTGGATTCAACAAAGTAAGATAATAATTTATCAGATCCTTGCATAGGGAAAAAGGGACCAACTTTTTACTTCTTACGGAGAATGCAACCGTAGAGTTGAATCAACATTCACATCATCTTACTTTATCGAAAGGTTGACTTCCAACTTATTTATTAAACGTTTTTTTTATTTCTTTTAACATCATAATTTTCCAAATAGGTTTACTACTATTATGACTGCTAAGAATGTCAATAAGAAGTAGTTAATGATGAAACTTGGATACATAAAATTGAACTAAATTTTCATTCATTGTCTACAAATATATGGCCTAGTCTTATGTATGTTGATTTTTTAAGTTGTTCATGTTTTGGCAATCTGAAGTAGTATACAACTAACATATTAGTCATTGGAGAAAGATAAACTTCGTTTGTTTTGAGTTACAAAACAAATTATATGGAGCTAAATATCCTTTAGTGTAGTATTATAAATATTTGATTTTTTTTGTGATCAATTAATACATATTTGTATAATATAACTAATAATTCTTCATATTTTTTTCTCCACCATATGACTCCGTTATAATATGGACAAAAATAGAGCCAAAATATAGGTATTCTCATATCTAATAAATTTGTTACTGCATACAATTTAGATTCGCAAAAATGATATTTTTCATTAATTTAATATATGTGTATATATATTGTGTTGGATTATGAAGATCCCTCGATATAAAATTATGTTTGCATTAAAAAGTTTTAAATATACTCATAAAATAATAAATAATAATGAATTTATATTCAGTGGAAAAGTTTTACATAAGAATTTTCTCTTAGAATTATTTGATTCGTCTTTTGAATTGTTTTAAGTAAAATCCGCTTCCTTCGTCATCATCTTTATTATATTCACAATTTGTGGTTTTCCGTTTCCCACTACAAAAAAAAAAACCTTTAGAAGGGAAATGTGTAATGAATCTTATAGGTAAGGAAAAACTAAAAGGATTGGTTATTTACTGTTATATAGTACAGTATAAGACTGAATTTGCAGTGATAATACCTGAAATAATAATAATAATAATACAATAGCTGCCTTATTGTTAAGTCAATTTACTTAATAAAATTATTATAAAAACGGCTCATAGGAGTAATTTGAAACGATAGAAAATTACATCAATAACAATAAACAAACAATAATATAGGCAGCTGTAATCACTCGAAACATACTATGATACAGACACTCGTCAATAATCTATACATGTACAATATATAAATTACTTCAGTTAAAAAGTATTTCTTGTTTTGAAAATTAAAGTACTGTTGTTATGTATATAGTTGCAAAATAATTATAAATACAGACAAAACGAGATTGAAAGATAAAAAATGAAGAATGATATTTTATTAATTATTTAAAATTTTAAAAAAAAATTTACTCTAATTTACCACCCTTTCTTTCAATTAAAGCCTTTCTGTCCTTGTCTAAGTGTAACTTGGTAATAACGACCTTAGATGGGTGAATGTTGATTGGAACGGAAGCACCGTTAGATTTTTCCTTAGAGATCTTGTCAACCTGAATAGCAAACTTTAATCTGTAAACGGAAGAAACTTTACCTTCTTGACCCTTCTTGGCACCTCTGGTGACTAAGACTTCGTCATCTCTTCTGATTGGTAAAGCCTTAATACCGTATTGGGCTCTTAATTCCTTGGATAATGGAGCAGATAATAAGACACGACGAACAGAAGATGGAGCGTTGAAGTAAGCCTTTCTGGACTTATTTCTGTCAGAGGAAACATCTGTTTAAATTTAAAAAAAAATTTTTCTTGAATATTGATTCAATAAACATATATATTTGACAGTTAATGATTAGACCAATATATTAATTTTGAAACAATAATTTCCATATGTTAGTAAAATGTTTTTCTGGCATTTGACGTTTTCATCACCAGGCTAATAATATGGTTGAGAAATATAATTATCTAATTTGATAGCTTTTGAAACCAATTCTTGGAAAAAAAACCAATCCATACAAATATATGGGAAAATAACAACAATCCACTTTTCAGATTATATATTAATAATATCTGTTCTCACGGTTTTGCTGCAAAGATAAAATAAAAGTCTAGTTCTCATTATGTTCCAAAAAAAGTTTCTCTCATAGTATGAATTGAATATAATCGGCTAAATTTTAAATTTATTTGAAAAACAACGAAAGTTTGTGGCACTCTTAATTACTCGATTATTGAATATTACGATCCTAATTCTTTAAATAATTCATATTTCTTAAAAGCCTTGTTACATCTTACTCTCTCCATAGCATAAAAAAACATACCTAAAGATTGCTTAGCCATTTTTATACAGTTATTCCTGGTGTTATTACTCGGGTCTTCTCAGATGGGCCAAGATAAGACTACTGCTACCAAGACAAGCTGCAAAAATACTGCTATTCTAACTGTAACATATTATAGAATGGATGTTTATTTATGGTAATATTAATGCTTACTGCGTGCTGACGATTAGGTACTACAAGAAGTATTCTGGACTGTATAGAGAGACATTACCCCTAGTAGGAACACTTTCTTACAGTAGAAAAGGTAATAATAAGGAAAATCTTGAACTTGGTCCGGGACAACTGGGAGAATCTGAGTGTCTTCAGAATGAACCGTCCAACAAGCCTGGCATTCTGTTTCTCTCCGCCTGGAAACACTGGCAGATGAAGCAGACAACAGGTAGAATAGAAGCAAACAGTGGGGAAAGATTAAGTGGGAAGGGTGGGGGCATTGTGATTTCTACAGACGGTGTAGACGAAACAGCTTTGAAAAGTTATGTTTGTCTCGTGTATTCTGAAAGGATTGTGCATGCAGAAGGAACACGCCGGGAAAAGGATACAGTTAGAAAGACTATTTTGCTCCTATTAGTCTATGCTGGAAGTATATGGGCTTCTCACTAGATCCAATCTCTGCAAGCCTTGGTTAATAGAATAACCCAAAAAGAAAAGCTACCTTTTGGTGAGGAAAAAATTAAAACGGGTTCTCCAAGAACCACGCGGATTAAGTTATGTCCTTTATTTTTTTCCTATTCTTATTTTTTCTTTCCTTTTATATTTATATTCTAGTAGAATTATCCCAAAAATAAAAAGCAAAATACTTACCCAAAATAGTAATATACATGTAAAAATGAGATATTACTCACTTTTTTCTAAAAAAATGAATTTGTGAAATGTATGGGTGTTGCTAACAGTCCAAAATAAGTTTTTTATCTATTTTTTTCTTTTACGTTTGTTCATTTAAGAGGAAAAAAGTAGCAACTAAAAGATTTAAAAAGTGTTGCCTAGTCGATGTTAATGTATTTAAGATATTAATTTTTCTATATCTTCTAGAATATCTGCATAATATATCAGCCTCAAGCTATTTTCTGGAGCTTATTAATAAGAAATAAAACACTTTTTATAAAAGTCATACATTGCTAAATATCATATTCAAAATAATGTAAATGTTTTAAAGATGATTATTAAAGAATTTCTCAAGATACAAGAGAGATATATAATAGAAATAGATTTTAAGTTTTTTTATTGGTTAAAAAATTACTGTTTTTATTCATAACGTCAACAGAATAATTATTTCATTAATATACACATCCGAAAAGATGTTTTGCAAAAAATAATACGCAATCTACTATATTATTTTTATTAATATTAAGTAAGATCGAAAAAATTGGTTAATTCTAAGTTATGAAGTACATATTATAAAGATAAAGATCTTATATTATCATTACTGCGTGCAATTATTTATAGTGTCAGACGTATTAACAGAGTTAAAAAAGTTAGCAAAAACTGAGCCCCTCCCGGGACTCGAACCCGGATCACAACCACCGGAAGATCGCATGCTAACCATTGCACTAAAAGGGCATTTTCAATAATCTCTTGTTGTGGAATAGAATAGTTATAACCATCAAGATTACATAAGATCTTGAATGAATCTAGAACTATTTAGTTGTCTTAATAAGCCATACATGTGCTACAACATTAGATGCTGCATAATAAAAAGATTGGATTACATAAGACCTTGGCAAATCTAGAATTTACCTATTGTTTTATTAAGTCCCACGTGTATTACTAATCACCATGATTAGAGAATTGGGATGCAGTTCTAATCCAGTAGTGCACCTAAATTAATGTAATAAATTTTAGGGTGAATCAGTCAAGTCATTAATGTAGTAATCTGAATAATCGATCGAGCTCCAGAAAACATATAAAAGGACAACGTTTTCTGGAGATAAAAGATCATCTTCCATAACCGTTTCTTGTAAATAATTTATATATTATATATGAACAAAAATAGAACAACAAGCAAGTAACAAGTTAAGTAACTTTGAATAAATATATTAGCTCGATATAAGCCGCTCAATATATAAGACCGTTTTAGTAATTATATTATCGCCTATAATTGATTACTGTCTCGATTACTTGAATGACTATTAATATTATTTGCGCTTCCCTGGAATACACAAAGAATTTCACCATACCATACTACAACATCTCTTGTAAAGAAATGGGATGATGATAACGTAAGTAATGTGTAAAAATGAAGTTATTAATTTCATATTTGCGCAGTAAAGTTTATAGTAAAAATAGTATCTAAAAACTATATATATAATTGTAAAGCAAAACAAATGATTATACTCTGAAGTTGTCTACCATAACAGTGAATATTCATGTCCTAATTTCCAAAAAGGTAAATGGTGATTAAGTTAGTTGTACTAATCTTTTGTTGGTCATATTTAAAGAAGTATCCCTTGATAGGAACACATAACTAATTTTCTTCATCTACTACTAAAGTTATAGAATATAAAAACAAAAGATTGTCTTTGAGTCGAAAATATATATATATAAAACTAACGTTTTAGTATACTTTTTATGTATAGTATTATAAGGAAACCTTAGGACTGACAGGAGAAGACATATATTATCCAAAATAAAAAAAAATTAGTATAAATTGTTGTTAATTTAAGTTATCAAAGTAACTGATATTTTAAATTCTTTAACAATAACAAAAATATTCCAATTTGAAAAAAAAAGAATATTATATAGAGATGTTGCAAAAAATCAGAACCTTATAAAATTTTTTATGATATCTAGCATTAACATATAGAGAATTAGACTAAAATTATGTATTCTCCTTAATTATTAATAGTTTAGTAAATAAATATGCTAAAGTAAATCTGTTGGAAGTTGGTGCACTTAACGTCCATGATTATGGCAGACATCATTAAGTTATAGATGCTGATTTTATTTTGGTATTAAATACATGTATATACTTATTATATAGTGTATTTAGTATATATTCTTTTATTTACTTCAAGTTTTCTTTTAAAGTTTTTCATTTTTCTTCAAATCTCTGAAAAACATATTTGGTGAAAAATAAAATGTCATCCTGATATTATGGTACACTCGTGCACCACACGATACACAGAAAAACTAATTAAAAATAATTCTCATGGAAATGACAATAATAAGCCCTCATTTTCCAACAAAATCAGTATTCAACCATTAAAAATCCATCCTTTCTTTCATGAAAAATTTTCACAATACCAAATTCAAAGTTACCTAATAACGAAAAGTAAAAGAGTAAATTTTTATAAAACATGTTTAAAGAGTTTCTAAATATTTAAAATTACAGATATAATTTTAATATATAAGAAGGAATGATAATATTCTTCTTTATATATTTAATATGTATTTTTGTAAATATTGTATGTTCTAGAAAAATAACTTGTAAAGGTTATCTAAAGTAATATACTAAAATATGGATATTAATTATATATATAAACACTTACAAATTATGTAATTGGCTGATTCTTACTACTAAATAGATCAGTCTTGGATATTCGTCTTTTTAATTAATTAATCTATTAGATAGATTACGAATATTAATGCTGATAATTACCTCTGGCACTAACTCTCAATATTCAAGGGTCTCTTAAGTAAGCTTCTTCATAATTTGCCACCAATGTCCATCCGACGATCATATGTTCGTTCGAATACACTCACAACCTTGGGTCCAGAGTTTCGGTTGTTCCAAATCCTTCGCCTCGACATTAGGCGTTACACGCAGACTGCGTATTTCAGGATTTCCAATTAGGGCACTTTGCATAAAGACAACAAAGTAATTTTCTTATTGTATGAAATAAAAACTGTATGAATGGCTCTTTGTCTATCTCCAATAATTAATATTTAACTGAACATCATAAACTGCCTTTTTTTTTTTGAATTGTAGACACAAAAACAAAAATACATTGTTAAGGTGTCATAAAAAAAAAAAAGAGATCTTATGACGTATTTATTTTTTTTTATTGTATATGCTTTACTATCCATTTAGTTAATAATATAATATTTATACAGATTATTATTACAACTACCTTACTGCTAGAATCGAACGTTCTAGAATAAATAACAGAACAATTAGATTTTATTAAACACTAATTAATAAGTAAAAAGTGAAGAACGTATTGTTTGCTTATCAGTAGACGTAAACAAACTTCATCATAAATTTGGTGCCGTACGTAGATGAGATAGACCAGATATGAAAATATATAAAGCCAATATTTTTTTCATATCATATTTCTTCCCTTGTTCATCTTCTATATTTTATCATTGTACATTATATACATAAACAAAAAAAAACGAAGAACTTTATTATAATTTTGTATACTAAATCTATCTAATATAATACTGAGAATGTTTACTATACATCCAATGACTACAGGCGCACATTCTCAACACTTACAGATCATTTGCTTTTTTATGGCACAAAAGAATTGATTTTGACAAGTTCAATACAAAATCTCAACATATATATAAACGCTTTTCGATGAAAAAAAAAACAAAAAATAGAAAATAAATAAAAAAAGTAATTATTATTTATTTGATTTATAGAGTATTGACAAATAGTTGTATCTTAAATTTTGTTTTCCTAATGTAGCAGAACACTATTTGAGGTGTTGTGTCTTATTTATTCTTTTATTTTTTTGAGTATATTCTATTAGATTGCAAAAAACCATCCCTTTCACAAATAATGATTATTATATTCTTGCAAGTGCATAATAACAATAATAAAATGATGTTGAAAACTACAACTATAAAAATAATTAATCAACTCAAATATATCGTTATCTTGAAACATCTTTAGCGATACACTGCATTATTATCTAGAATCTTTTATTGATTAGTAAATATGAATATAATTAATTCAGTATAAAAAAATACTTATTTTCAACTTCTAAAAAAATAGAGTTAATATATATAATTTATAAATTAAAAAAGTTAATTTAGAACCCAATTTTAAAATATTTGCTTTCGAGTATGTCACAGTTGTTTTCTCTGAATTAGTACCTTCTATTTTTTTTTCTTGATTATTATTTATTTTTTTAAGAATATTTGAACATATATCAGCTTCTTTGTTAATATTAGAAGTTTTTTTTTTCTTAGGGATTTTTTTAAAAGTTACCCCTTTGGAATCAAAGGGACATATATTTATGTTTTCATTTCTTTGCATATAGAGTTTCGATATTTCCAGTGACAACTTTTGTTCTGTTGAGCAACCCGAAAACTCACCATAATAACCTAGAAACCCATCCGATTTTATATCTGTACAATCAACCTCACCACAAAGGTACTCGAACATACTTTCATAATTAACATTTTCCTTTGAAGGTACAATAACGCAGGGTAAATTTGTATCAATACATGAGCATATATCTTCATTTGGTGTCGGTGGTAATTTTTCATTGGCTTTCCAAAATGGAGATAAACTTGGACAGTTGATAGAAAAATTATTCTTATTTCCTAACTCTTTAGTATAATTTTCTTTGTTAAATTTTTGTAGAGATACTTTATTAAAAGCACTGGAAAGTGTTTCAAAATCATCCAACTCATGAACACTTTGATCCTCCTCATTCAGTTGAACAACACCATATTTGTTTTCTTCTTCAAAATACATGTACACAATCCCACCAGACCAAACATTTGCCATTTGTGATCCAAAAAGTGCTTTTATTTCTGTAAAAGGTCTTGGTCTTATCAAATTACATCCAAATTCAGAAAAAAATATTGGAACTGGATAATTCTTAAACTCTTGTGTCCTTTCTTTATAACCACTGATTTCAAAAGAAGAGTATCCACACCATTCATACATATTTATTCCATAGAAATCCACTTTAACGTCACCACAAATAAAAAACTTAGATAACGATTCTCTTGTATTGATGTCATCGTTTGTAGAGTATCCAACAGGTATATTTCTATATTGTTTTTCTCTAATATAATTTTTTGTATCTCTAATGGCAGCTTTTACAAATGTACTAGCTTCTGTAGTGCTTAAATCGTTTGTAACTTCGTTTCCTGCAAAAAATCCAAGAATATTTTTGTATGTGTGCATTGAATCAATTACAGCCTTATATCTATTCCAAATCGTTGTATCCCAAGTAGGACTATCTCTATTAATAGAAATGTTAGGTTCAGATAAATCTAAAATAACGTATATTCCTGAATTCATCAAAGCATTCATACATATATCATGTTTTTGTAGTGGGTCAATAGCATATACTCGAATAGTATTTATACCTAGTCTTTCAAAATACGGAATATCACGTAAACAGATGCTTGGGCTTCCTAGAGGATCAATGTATTCAATGTTATTTTCAACAATATATTCCTCTTCCTGGTTTTCTTCTATATTTGTTAGTGTATTTATTTCCTTAAAACTTTGTGGTTTTGGTTGATAAGCTATTCCTTTAATAAAGAATTGATCACCAGTATCAGAAAAAAAGAATTTATTTCCAAAAGTTTCAATTGTAGGGAATTCCTGTGATATATGTGAAAAACAAACCCTGTCTAGCAGAGAGACTACTAAAACACTTTTTAAGGTTATCAACATTACGTGTACTGCTATAACTTGATTTTTATTTTTGATATTTTAAATCTTGCAACATGTTAGCTTTATTTTATAAGTATAATTATGAAATATATCTTGTTATTTTGTGACATTTGTCTACGATTTCTTTTGCACAGAAATTTTATTTAAGAAAAAAAACTAAATAAATATTGCACCAAAAGTAAGAAACACTTTTTGAAGGTTATCATGATATTACACTAAAATAACTCTACTATGTTCATAGACAAATTAACAACGTGAATGATGTAATTTTATTAGGAATAACTAAAATACATAAACCCTGCCTATATCATACATATATAGGCATAAATAAACAAATAAGCATAACTTACTAACTAATAACGTAATTGCAGTTTATATAGTCTCTATCAATTTTTGTCCTTTGGAAGTGATAAGAATATTTATAAATTACAGGGAATTCTACTCACTTTCATAAATTCTTTTATTTGATAGTAGACCAAGTCTTCATGGATATCGTTGTAGTGAAGTAGTGACTCTTGTAAGTAGACATACCCAAACCTGTATCATTGTTAGATACATTTCTTGGCTGGAATAAATTATGAGCCACACCAGTCAAACTCTTACCAAGATCATGGACATGGGAGGATGCAACGGCTGGGGCGATAATACAAACGGCAAAAATAACCAAAACTAAAAAGTATAGCGAAGCATATTTTCTTACCATACGCTTACGTAAACGAGCTTGTTTTAATGAATAAATTGGTGGACGAATTTGACGAGATGGTTTCAACCAGAATAACATAACAGAGTGGAATCTATCGATTTGTGGAATCAATAGCAATGGTAAATGACAAATTAAAATAATATGACCTAAAACAAAATCTGCAGCAAATTCAGATAATTCAACAACCTTGGCTGTTAATTCTCTCGATGGTTGAGACCATGCTGCCCAGCCTAAACCTTTACCATACCATTTACCTGTCCAGAAGGCGGTGTTGGCAGAATCATTCTTGAATTCTCTTGTTAATAAGCAGATAGTTATAACTTGGAAAATTAATCTTTGACACTGTATACAAGTAATAACACCAATCAACATTCTTGCAAAATTGAAACTTTCTAAAACCCACATAACAATAAAGAATACAATATGAACAACTACGGCCACCCCATGTGCAATACCAGCCATAACAGCACCAGTTTTCTTACAACATAAACCAAACAATGGCCCAGAACACATAGACATACCCATACAGAAAAACAAAACCCCCAAGTTAACCGCAATAGGAGCTAAAGTACAGATAATAATTCTTAAGACAGAATTAACAGTACCATCAGGACCATTCTTGACACCAGTTTGAGCATTAATAAACGTAAATGCCACAAAACAACCACCAGCATAAATTGCGCATGGAATGATTTCAGCTACAATTAAGTTGCTTCTATGAGCTCTGGTTGCATCACCAGCAGTCTTTTCAGACTCATCACCAGTTAGTTTACGTTTAAAACCAGTAATACGTGCTCTTGACATCCTAACATAACCAATCCAAGAGTTTCTATGGTATTTGCTGTTACCTCTAGATAACCATCTAATAAAATCTCTGTAATCTAAAAAGAAGTCTTCCCATGCAAACTGGTGTGGATTGAAGATAAATGGGGAAAACATTAAAGCAGATAAGGAAGCCCAGAACCATAACAATGCAGCTTGCCAATGTGCCACTGTACCGAATAACAACATTAACATAGATCTAGAACCCATATAGATAGCTGATCCTGCAAATCTCGAATATAAGATCGAAAATGGAATACGGGATGTTGCGAAACCACGACCAGTTGAGATATAACGAGCACCACCAACAGTCAAATCACTGACTAAAGCAGCAGAATAAATCTGACCGGCAAACACTTCAAACATTGGGGATAATGATAGCATATGACGTGCAAATCTTTGGGTCGCTTTCCACACACCACGTTCAATTAATTCTTGAATAACCATAGGGATGAAAGCAATCCAGAACACAATGAAAATGGATAGAGTATAACGTCTGACCCAATCAATAGCCGGAGCTAAATTATAGCAACCAATTGGATATAAGACATCAGTGATTGGTAAGTTTCTGTTGTAAATACAAATAATTGATTCATGTGCTAAAGAATTTAAATTAACCAAGGTTAGCATAAACATTTGGATGGAAATTTGAATGAAAAAATTGTTTAAGTGGAAACCTGGATGGGCGTAATAGAAAGTTAAGAAACGATCTAGTGGTAATTGAGTACCTAAGTAGTAGTATTCACGGGACAACATTTGTTCACCCATACCGGCACCAATCTTAGTTTGGAAATTCAAAATTGTACCAAAACCTAAATCTCTACCTTTACCACATTGGTAATATTCAACGTGCTTAATACGACCACCACGAAGTAAAGCATTCATACCAGCATAGATATCTTCGTTCAAATGTAAACCTTTTTGAGCCTTAGAAACACCACCTCTGGTAATCATGAAAGTACCATTAATGAAATCCGGGTGACCATAATGTAATTTACCACCAATTTGGGATAATGTACGAGCAAAAAGAGTACCGAATGTTTGTTCCTTACCCGCAGCGACATCACCTAAGACACCAGAATTTTCAGAGAAAATATATTCTCTTGCACCGACAATAGCAACTGGATGATTAGTTGTTTGTTCTTCATATTTCAATTCTGGAGCATATGGATTAACTTGTTCAACATTTAATTCCTCGAACTCAGCTAAGACAGATCTAATCTTCAAACATTCTTCTAGATAGTTATCTTGGTTAGCATCGATCAATTGGATATATTCACCTCTGTGGAAGATAATAGCATGGTTTTGATTATCAGATTTACCATCACCTAAAATTGGATTACCAGATAATTGGACTCTAAATTTAGGACGTCTACGGCCGTTTTCCAAAATTTCACAATGACCATCAATTAAAGCAGAATATATTCTTGGATCTTCACCTTCATTCAATGGAGGTTCTTCATCTAAGTAGGCAATTTGTAAATCAGGATATGCTCTCAATAAAAACTCAGCATTCTCCAATTCGTGTGGTTTGAATTTGGCTAATCTTTGCATAGAAACCAAAAATTTGAATTTCCTTCTTGCCATTTTCTCTAGTTCTCTTTCAAGACCATCAACATTACCACCAAACATTTGGACAATTTCTGGATTTTCCACACGGTATAATAACTTAATAGCTCTAGAATAATTCATAAAACCAGAAACGGTACGATATAAGGTTTGTGATCTTAAAGAAGCCCAAATTCTGGTTCTTAAAGTGTATTCTGGGGCAGCAGATTTAAAACCGATACAATAGAATGGTAAATCATCAATTTGAGCCTTCAATTCATCAGACTTCTCCGGATCATTTTCATCATTTTCACATGCAGCAGTTTCTTCAGCTAAGATCTTGGTATCCTTGACAAAGCAATCCCATTCAACAGGGTGTAATTGTTTCAAATATTCTAACAACGTAACTCTGGAGAACTGGTCATCTTCACGAATAATTTCTCTTAAAGAAAGCAGGATCCTTTCAGCATAGTGAGGAGTTAAAACAGTAAAAGTTGGCATGTTATCAACAGGTAGAGGTTCAGGTATTGGAGTAGCCAAGGATTGAGCAAAGAAAGAAATACGACGTTCAGCCTCTGAATCTTTGGGGAAAAATTCTGTTTCAAAATTATTATCATCTTGAGATGCAAAGAAAGTTGGAGCTCTTAAAGTTCTCTTACCTTCGATTTCTGATGGGACTTGGTGGTACAATAATCTTTGGACGTGGTCTATAGCTAATAAATGTTCTCTATACATTGAGATAACAATAGCATTCCAAACTTGGGAAATTAAAACTTTTGGTTTATATTTAATTTCCATATCAGTGGTAGCCAAAATCTTAGAATAAATTCTCTTTGGTAATCTAGTGAAGATATTTCTCCATGGAGTTAAGATAGAAATACCTAGGTAGAATGATTTACCAATGGAGAAAATTGTGTTAACAATAATATACCATAGATAAGTATCAAGGAAGAATAAAATGAAATCAGTGGCAATCATTAAACCCAAAGTGATTTTTGCTTGAGGTCTACAGACCTTAGCCCCCCACCAATATTCACCTGTACATCTCATTGTCATAGTTGATAAGATTCTAATTGGATCTTTTAATGATAGGATTAAGAAGAAGTAGGATTCAGAGTATTTAGCGGCACCAATGGTAAACCAAACAAAATAAGACAACCATCTATCCAAACCATGTAATGGGGCAAAAGATGCAGTAAATGTTTGAGAAGCCACATAACGTCTTGATTTGCTATTCATATAAGAGGTGAAAAGACCACCTAATGGCATAACAGCAAAGAAGATAATAGTAGCGACAGCAATGAAGAACGTGACAGCACCTACAACATGGGCTGCAGTAGAATAAACTGTGTCTTTATCATAAGCAAAGATAAAGATGATTGGACCTAAATTCAAAGCAAGTATACCCACAAGGAACCAAAACCTACGTGATAGATGTTGAGCGCCAGCCCATTTTCTTGGAACAAACATCCATTCGAAGATTGTAGCTAATATTTGAATTAGTGATGCCACAGTACCACCCAAAGCGGCAGTAGCCCATCTATAAGCTGCTAAAGGTTGATTATTAACTAATTGTTGATAATTATGAGTGTAGAAAGTTGGAGCATTATAAGCCACATACATCCAATAAATACAGATATGCATGATCCAAATACGATTGAAATTGGTGATCAAATGTAACCAAGAACGTGTTTCCTTGAAAGTCTTGAAGAAGACATCTTTCCATTCGACATCACCCAGTCTTAAATAACGTTCTTCCACAGGGATATCGATCAACTTGGTAGAGTCGTCGTCATTTAATACAATTTTAGCAATCCCCTCTGGATACCAAAACAATTGGTTAACGTCATCGTAACCTATAACGTCAGCATGATCTTTTTCACGTTTAACAAATCTACCATCTTGGACTTCGTAGACTTGATTTCTGATAAATTTATAGAGTGGAGTAATAATTCTATGTAAGAAATCACCTTCTGGCATTGGTTCAGTTCTCTGTTGACATAATGGGGATTCTAAATAATCCAACCCACATTTAAAGATGAAACAAAGACATTCTGGTGTGAATCTGACTTGATTTGCCTCCCCCCACATTAAGAGATACAGAGCAATATGACGAGTCTTTTCAAATGCGGTTAGCACGTTCATTTTAGCTTTCCATCTGAAATCAGCAGCTTCCAAAGAATCGTCACCTTCAATTTTCTCCAAAGTGATCTCTGGGGAATCACCATTTTCCACGGATTCTTTCATAGCCTTCTTGGCGGCCTTTTTAGCTTTACGTCTTGATCTCCAAGAACCTTTCTTTTTGCCACCGCCACCACCAACAGACATATTTCTGAACCCTACTGCGTCATCGAGATCCAACTGAGCAGCGAAATACCATTTTTTATAGTTTGCGGTATCACCACCGATGTAGTCTGCATGTAGAGACAAGAGAGCCTGGTCTGGCGACATACGAGACGCACGGGAGTCTAAAAGAGTCATGAAATGGTCGAACATGTTTCTCATTGAGTCTCTTTGGAAACCAAATCTGTTGGTCAAGTCGATGAAGATATCTTCAATTTGCTCGATACTTATAGGAGCTTGTGGATCCGCAGTCCATGCAGGATATGGATCGTTTGGTAAAGCCATGGCGATGGCATTAGGATCATACATCAATGGAGTAGAAGAGCCTGTGTTCATGTTATCACCGTAACTTAATTGCGAAGGAGTGTATTGCTGTTGTTGTGGGTCTCCACCATTCATCATATAGCCATTATTCGGTTGTGGAGGACCATAGGAGGAGAAATCTGAGAAGTTTTCCATATTATCTTGAGACATCATCATATTAGGAGGCTGGTTCATATCCTGCATATAAGAATCCTCGTAGTAGCCACCGTTATTCATTGGCATCATGTTGACAGGTTGGCCATATTCATCGTATTGTTGTTGAGGTGGCGGTTGTTGTTGTTGTTGATAGTAGAAATATTGATTATTTTGAGGATCTTGGTACCCACCCTCATTGTTAAAATTTTGGGTTGGATCAATATTCTGGTTGTTATTATTATTATTATTGTACGACATAATAATAACTTAGATATATTTCTCTTTTGTGGATATGGATATATAAATACGTAAGTATGTATATGTGAGTGCGCACGTTTTGTATGTGTTGTTTATTCTTCTCTTTATTTGCTTTTGTTTTTTTCTTTTAACTATACTTATAATGCTTGTTCTTATGATTCTTGATACTACTAGTATTTGTTGTTTTTGTTTGTGTTTTTCGATAAAAAAAAAGAAGGGGAAAAAAAATAAGTAAATATATAAAAATATGAGTAAAGCAGGGGAGAAAGGAAAAAGAACTGGATGATCGTTAATAGTACTTCACTCACCTGTCTTCCTGTTTGAATAAATTTTATATATTCTGTTTATTTGGCTATCTACTTTCTTTTTTGTTTTTTTTTCTTCTTTCTTCCACTGTGTTTGAATAATGTAGTTTAGTTTACCCCAGTTGGAAAAAATAAAAAGGAAAAAAGAAAAAGAAACGAACAAACAAAAAAAAAAAATAATTATATAGTTATAATAATAGACACTTGGATATGTATAAGGATATTATTGTAGGAATATGGATATTTTGTCACACTCACACTCACACTTTGCACTTTGCACTTTGTATACACACACCTTTAAATAATGGAATCAAATAGGCTAAAAGTATCTTCTTCTGCAATTAGACTGTAAGAAAGTAGGTAAGTGTGCAACAGAAAAGGATAAACAGCAAAGATTGGACGTACCTACCCGAAAAAGAAAAGAAGTTACCTTAGGCACCAAGGCTGGTATAAAGTATATATATAAAAACAGGTTAAATCAAATCAAGAGGGGGAAAAGAAAGAAAAAAAGAAAGAAAGAAATGATCGTTGATTGTAGTTTGTTTGTTTCTTTTTGTTTGTTTTTCTTTTTTATTTCTGGCAAAAAGTTCGATCTGTTTGTTACAAAATCAGGTTTTTTTAAAACGGAGAAACTGGACAAAAGGCAGAAATAAGTAAGTACAATTGTATATTGTTATGTGTTATTATAACACACGTAGAGGGAGAGGCGTGTTGATGTTGGAGCATAATAACAGAGAGAAATAGAGAGAGAGAGAGACTGTGGTAGGAAAATAAATGCGAAGCGGTAAGAAAAAATAAAAATAAAAATAAAAAAAAGCACGGAAATGTTACGGTGATGTCGTTAGTGGTTTCAGGGAAACAACAACAACTATCAACAGAAAAAAAGAAAAGAAAAACAATAGAAAAACAACAAGACAAAGAAAGAAAAAAAATTTTTTTCTTGCTGTTTTTTTTTTGTTCTTTTGTTTGAATAATAGAACAATAGTGGCAGAGGGACCACCCGCCAAAAAAAAAAAAAAACAACAACAACAAAAAGAAAAAAAGCTTCGAGATTTTAGAGAAAACAAAGGGCAATACACGAAAAAGTCAGAATGATTTCTTATTTCTTTTTTTTTTTATTGCACTTTTTCTCGGTTTTTTATATAACCCCAAAAGGAAACATATGACACGAAAAGCCCTTTTTCCGTCTCAGGTTTCGTGTCTTATTGTGTTTTTTTGTTGCGCGTTTTATTCATTTTTCTTTCTTCGTTTTTGTGTTGTATTGGTGTCTTTTTTCTTTACACGCCTAGTCTTTTTTAATTACGGCATTTGCCAAGGTTGCAATCGATCTCTATATTATATATACAAACACATACATACATACATATCTATATATGTATATACATTTGTTTGCATGTGTATGTTGCAGACTGGGCTTTCAAGATTGCAACAGTTTAAACTGTGTCGTTTGCAATTATTCGTGGAGGGGAAGGAAGGAGCAGAATCACTGGCATTCTGGCCGAATCCGCGTACTCGTCTACTCGATCATTGATTAATACTTGTATAACTCTCTCACATATATAGATAGGTGGATAGATACACAGATAGATATATATCGGTGCACTGGATTAACAAAGAAAGACACACAAACATCTTTAAATGAAAGAAAGAAAGTGTTTTGTTGTGTCTAGAATAAAAGATACCGTCGAGTCGATGAGGCTGGTATTGGGTGTATGGATGTACGTGCTCTAGAAATCTATATTTCCCGATTCTTTCGTCTTTTATTTTACTTCTATTTATAGACAAATTCGCAGGAAATTAACGCATTCAGAATGTACACTTGATCAAAAAAAAAGATATCTATGTGTTTTAAATATTTATTCTTCTACAGATATTCTTATATAGAAAATCTTCAAAGGTAGTTATGGGTATAAAATGTTGATTTGTTGGTTCTTATTGCTCTTATAAAAGCCATGTATCTTGTAGTTTCTCTTTCTTTCCCGTTTTTCTTTTTATATTCTCTTGCTAACCTTAATTTAGGAGAGGTATTTATCTTAGCAGGTTTAAATGACTATTTTGTAATGTTGATATTTAATTAAAACATATGGCTATATATATATGTATGTATGTATGTAGGTTTTTTTGTGCGTATCTTGTATTCTCTATTAATATTTTATTGTAAAACTTCTTATTTTTTGTATTACATTAATCATCCAATTATATAATCTCTTATACCATGGATTTGGTTTTAGTAAATTTTCTGTTGTAAGAGATAGTGATCTTGGTAAAATTTTTGGTGACGATAATGATTTATTATTACAAGTAGTAGTAGTAGTAATAGTAATAGTAGTACTGCTATAGTAATATTTTGCTAATAGTATATCTTCTCTTCCTATATTTTTCAATATTTCATATATTGGTATTAACAATTCTAACATTTTACTCCTTAAACTTGTCTTTATATACATCTTAATATATTGATTTAAATCAATAGATGTTATATCTCGGTTATCAATAATCAAATTTAATATAAACATTTGTAATTTTAATATTTTAAATATTTCTTCATTAAAAATGGTTGAATAACAACTGTCAATCCATTTTTCAAACTGTAATGTCTTATCTACTTGAAAAATTGTTTTCAGCTTATTTAGTATTTTTTCTTCTGTTTCCCAAATATTCTTTTTTGTTTGGTCATACATTATAGCAACTGCTTTTATGATTATACATTCTAATACTGCTGTTCCCTTTTCATGCAGTATTTTCACATCATTATATTCAATAAATCTACAGAATATAACATTATAATTATCTATTAAATGATCAATAGAATTTATCAATATATTTCGTTCTTCCTTCCTTAAATAGAGATTATCCCCATCTTGATATCTGATTGATCTGATGGTTACTTCTTCTTCAATTGAATAATCAATAACACTCTTATTAGAACAATCTAAAATCATTTTTTTTTCTTTCTCTGCCTTTTTTCTTAATTGTCCTTGTTTAATTGATAATGACACATATATATATATATATATATATGCATGTATGTATATGTGTATCAGTGTGTATATCCAATATTAATATTAATATACTTTTTAGTAATGTCAACTTTTTGTGATACCTGTCGTTCCAAATGACAAAGACATTTCTAATTGGATTGACATTTCTTTAAAATGATTTAACCAAAAAGATTAAAAATTTAATACAAGATTATGATATAGTAAATATAAGGTATTGTATTAAATAGTATATGCTATTTATTCTCATATACACATATACTCATATATATATGTATATATATATATATTACAATTCACAGTTGTACTTTTTTTTATTGTTATTACAAAAGAAAATTGAACTACAATAAGAGATAGTTTAGGTCTGGTTTGTCTTTTCCCCCCCCCTTTCCCTCACCTAAATCATCTTTGCGATAGAAAAAAAGAAAGAATAAAAATAAAAATAATATAACTTTACGACCTATAACTTTATATCAGAGTAACTATGAGTGGACCACCAGCCCCTCCACCCCCACCTCCTTCTATGATTCCAGGTATAAACCCACCCACTTCAAATAAAAATGATAATTCTGCACCTACTCCTGCTCCCTCAGTAATGCTCAATAGAGATGCCCTCTTGGGTCAAATAAGACAGGGTATAACATTGAAAAAGGCTGAAACAAATGATAGGTCAGCACCACAGATATCTGGTGGTGGTGTGATATCCTCCTCATCAAATTCATCAAGAAGCAATAATAACAACAATAATAATACTAATAATAGTACAATGTCTTCTATGTCGGCTCCCCCTGTCCCTCAATTAGGTGATCTCTTAGCTGGTGGGTTTCCTAAATTGAAACATGTCAATCCATCATCATCCAATTCGACAATTGGTTCTGCCCCACCAATTCCTAATCTCCAGGCTCCTTCCATTCCAAAGAGAAGACCTTCTAAAGGGAAAGATACAACACCCAATATCCCAACTAATAGACCAGTTGGTAAATCACATCAGAAGAAAAGTTCAATTTCATATGAGGCTCCTCTACTGCCCACAAGTGCTCCTCCTATACCTGTTGATGTTACTACTACGACTTCTTCTCATATATCTATTCCTACTTCTGCTCCCCCTCCTCCTCCACCAACATTATCAGCTCCTCCAATTCCAAATGCCCCTACAATTGATTCTCATACGCCTTCTATTAAAAAAGAATCAGCATCAATTTCATCTCCTATTTCCCCTCCTCCTCCTCCTCCACAACTGCCTACTTTTGCTGCACCTTCAATACCAAATACCTCTACTTTATCTGAAACACCTTCGGCTCCTCCAATACCCATACCCTCTATTTCAAATACCTCTTCAATGCCTTCGGCTCCCCCTCTACCCACAATATCTGCACCCAAAGTTTCATCAATACCTCCTGCTCCTCCTGCCCCTACTATGCTAACCTTATCAGCACCATCTATTCCATCCGCTCCTCCGCCATCTTCAATATTAAATACATCTTCTATAATTTCTGCGTCAACTTCTTCATCCCCACCACCACCTCCTCCTCCTCCAACAATGCCAAATGTACCGATATCAAAAGAAAAATCTAAAATTAAGCCTGGAAAATCTTCAAAGAGTGGTTCTTCAACAAATACACCTGTAGTTAGTGGTGGTCCATTACCATTTTTAGCCGAAATTCAAAAGAAGAGAGATGATAGATTTGTAGTCAGTCAGGATTCAAATTATTCTACTTATGTAGAACAAAAACCTGTGACTCAATCAAATTCTATTTCGTCCTCTTCTAATAGTAAACCATCTACAGCTGCCATTGGGGCTACTGATAGTTCGATGTCATTCTTAAGTGAAATAGAGTCTAAAATGAAAAGTCATTCTCATTCAAATGTAGATGCATCTGAAGATACACATTCTTTGCTTACTAAGGTACCACCTTTACCTACTGTGGCACCTCCACTTCCTGCTACAGCCCCACCGATTCCCTCCTCTACAACAAACACATTAACTCACAATAATAGTTCCACAAACATTCATGACTCTACTTTTTCTTTTGCAAATGAAATTTCATCACAAATCTTAAATCATCAGAAACTTCATCATGTTACATTAGATAATGAACAAATTGAAAGTACAAAACTCTCAGTATCATCATCATCACTACCACCTGTAAGTAGTGCACCTCCCTTACCAACATCACCTCCACCTGTTCCAATGGCTCCTGCTCCATCTGCTCCACCTGCTCCTGCTCCACCTGCTCCTGCTCCACCCGCTCCTGCTCCACCCGCTCCTGCTCCACTCGCTCCTGCATCACCTGCTATCTTAAGAACGTCTGCTTCTCCTGTTGCATCATCTCCATCGAGTACACTTGCTTCAGTCACACAAACCTCTTTTGCATCAAATACATTAAATGAACAAATACATATATCACATGTAGTACCACCACCTCCTCCTCCTCCTCCTTCTGCTTCTCATGCGTCTCCTTCATTACCAAAAACAAACGCTACAAATAATGATAGTATATCTATCAATGGTGCTAGCAATGATCCTAGTGTAGCGACATCTTCTACTTCATCAGTAAAACATAGATTATTTGCTTCGGAAGGAAGTTTCTCAAGTACAAAGATTGATGCATCAGCATATACTCTAACTGGATCTTCTACAACAAGTAAGATGGCAAGTAACGTTAACAATGATACCAATTCTGGGTCGTCAAATGGTAGAAGCGGTAGTAAAACGAAGATTATGATCGATGATTCTAGATTTAATTGGAGCATAAATGAATCACAAATGCCTGCACCACGAAAGTTTCAAAATATTACTAAACTATATCCAAGTGGGGGTGGTAGTACCATACCATTAGATTTATCATTATATGAATAGATAATTTTTTATACAATCAGATATATATTTATGTACATGATTCCATATAAAGCATATTTTTGAAACACGTTGGCTTCCCTATCTTATTTTATTAATCCCAACCGTTGACCCATCTATCTTCCCAAAATTTAGTGTCAAATGATTCTTTGCCCAATTTAACATTTACAGAATTATGATATTTACTTAACCACTGGCCTAAAGTAGATCTATTAGTAACATCAATAGGATTAGATTTGATATATTGTGTCATATTTCGACCATGTTCTTTTATAGGATAAATTTTGCCAAATAATTCTAAAAATCTTTTCATTTCAATTTTTTCGATCTGTGTTGGTTCCTTTTCATCAAACTTAGAGACAATACTATGCAACAACATCCAAGAACTAGTTCCTATTTCTTCTTTATTCGGTGGTGGAATGCTTCTATATGACCTAGAACCAGGGATTAAATTTAACTTTGATGATTTCACACTCCTGGTGGTAGTGGTGGTTGTCGCTGCTGCTACAGATTTTCGATCTAACTTTCCAGTAGCATATTTGAAATCTAAAAGAGTGTTACAGGCTCTACATGGCTTGCCATCTTCATCATAGATGATTTTTCTACCCGTTAGCCCAGTAGTCGGAAACTTTTTGGTTCCAGCGGAGTTATTAGTATTACTATTATCTACGGTAGACTCAGGCATTGTACTATGCTGTTTCAGGTGCTCATGCTATGTGCAACTGAGTTGTTCGTGACTTACATATACATCATTATCCTCTTCAGACCTATTCAAGTTACCTATTTTCTCCAATACGGGTATTATATACAGTTAAATTGTCTCTTTGTTTAGAAAAGTGTTCGAGAAATGATTAACCCACTACTACAGTTACCGTTTTTCTCATCATTAGTTTCTTTTAATTTATTTAAGTGAAAAATTTTTATTGTTCTTTTTTTTTTTGTGGTAAGGCTGCGATGAGCAAAGAATTGACTGAAGAGGATGAGTGAGAAAAATTAATGAATAAATTAGAGCCGATTGGAAAAGAACGGCTAGGTTCGATCAAGAAACATCTAAGTACGTTTATCTGTTCGTTGTTATAGAAAGTATTGTTGTAATTTGCTTGTATCTATTTGGAACTAAATTTTTTTGTTCATTGTTCGTAATTTGATATACAGTAAGGCCAACTATGTCAAGAAGGCAAGGTATTAATATCCCTGGTGTGATCCTAGATCAATTGAAAGAGAGAGACTATTCTAATGATGTTAGATTTCAAAATGGATCCAAAAATGGTCAGAAGAGAGGTGCTTCTACACAACTGAACAGAAAAGAGAGAAGGAAACAACAAAGAGCAGAGAAGAAGCAGAGAAGAAACAAGACAGGAACAGTAGACAGATCAAAAAAGAGTGTCTGCCAAAAAGGCGGATTTATTTCTGATCAGAAGCAGTTGAAAAATGATAAAGAAATTCGTAAATATGATAATTTAAGTAGTGATTCGAAAGTTACAAAAAGAGATAATAAGAAGGGACAAGATAGTGGTAAAATGGAGTTGCTCTTTTCCTCTGATGATGAATTATCTGAAGGTGATTTTGACGAATTTGATGATAATGATTTAAATGAAGAAGAATGGGAACAGTTGCGAGACTTGGAAGAAGAGGATGATGGAGGTGAGGATGATAGTGGTAGGGAGGGTAACGATAGTGATGATGTATATATGACTGTTGAAGAAACTATGACTAAACTGAAGAAGTTACAAAAGCTTAAAGAATCCAAAAAGAAAAAGGATAAAGATACAGAATCCATTTCTAAATCAAAGGATAAAAAGAAATCACATAATAAGGATAACAGTGAGGTAATTCACCCTTTGACCCCAGCTGAAAGAGCTGCTATTGAAAGAGATGAAATGGATATGAAATATTATGCTAAGAAATTGAATTTGAAGGGCAAAAAGAAAAAGATTCACGCTAGAGATGAATTCGATGCTATTGGTGGGTTATTGGATGGTCTTAATTTCTTTGAAAACTATGGGCAGGATGATGATGAATACGGTGATTTTGCGATAAAGGATAAGAATAATAATGAGGACAATGACAAAGTCTCAGAAATTAGCGGAAGTGACAGTTACAGCTATAGTGAAGTGTCCGAGGGTGAATCCGAGGATATCATTGAAAATCCATTTTCTTCTGATGACGAACTTTCTGAAAGTGATTTTGAAGACTTTGATGAAGATGATTTAGATGATGAAGAATGGGAACAATTAAGAGAATTGGAAGATAATAAATCAAAAAAAAGCGATCAAAAATCTAAAAAGGAAAATCCTTATATTGCAGCAACCTATTCTTCCCCTGATGCTAATGAAACATATATTCCACCATCATTGAGGAAAAAGCAATTAGAAACTTCAACTGAAGAATCTGCTCTTATTTCAGATATTAATAAAAGAGTTAAATCATCATTTAACAAGCTATCCGATAGTAATATTAATGCGATTATTACTGCATTGAATGAATTATATGAGAATTACCCAAGAAATTATGTTACTGATGTTATTACAAAACAAATTTTGGATACTGTTGATCAAGGCAATAGATTATTAGATAGTTTCATTATAAATTATGCTGCTGTAGCGTATTCTTTGTTTAGATTAAGGGGTTTAGAGATTGGTGCATCCTTTATACAAAGAGTAGTAGAAGCATTCTTGTCATACTATTCTAAGAAATTTGAAGAATTGAAAAATTTAAAATCTGATGATGCTATAAATTTATCAAAGGAGTGTAACAACATTATTACATTACTATCTTACTGTTATAATTTTGGGTTTATTTCGTGCAGATTAATATATGATATAATTAGAACTTTTGTTTCAACACCCAACGAATTAACTACGGAACTATTGTTAAGAATTGTGGCAGTATCTGGGCAATTGATACGTGGTGATGATCCATCAGCTTTAAAAGATATTTTATCTGAATTGTTAAATAATGTGAAGACTTTGAACAAGAAAAGTCCTAGGTTGCAATATTTATTAAGTACATTATCTGATTTAAAAAATAATAGATTAAAAGCATCAGTGGTAGCAGTAGATCACCAACCTTTGAAAAGGATTATTAGTTCAATTATTAAATCAACTGTATCAATAGAGCCGCTACAAGTATCATTAGATGATATTAAAAATGTTAATGAAAGAGGTAAATGGTGGTTAATTGGTGCATCCTGGAGGGGTAATATGAATTCTGCATTTGACCAACATGATAATGAGGATTCTGTTAATAAAAAGGATAAGAGTAAGAACACTGAAGAAATACAGGAAATTATATCTCTCGAAGATGATTTATTGGATGATATTCCTGATTGGGATATGATTGCAAGAGAACAAAGAATGAATACTGATGTTCGTCGTGCTATTTTCATTAGTATAATGTCGGCCCAAGATTATGTCGATGCATTTGAAAAATTGGAGAAGTTGAATCTTAAAAACAGACAATTATTGGAGGTTCCAAAAGTTGTGTTACATTGTTTACTGACAGATGCTGGACAAAATGGTTATAACCCTTACTACGCGTTGGTTGCTTCAAAAATAGCTGAGCATCACCATCAATTATCAAAGGCATTCCAATTCTTATTTTGGGATACTGTTAAAAAATTTGAGGAGTCCTCTGATTCAGATTCAGAAAATGGCATGTTTTTCAATGCGGATAGTGGGGATGAAGACGAGGAGAAAAGATTAGCAAGGATAGCTAGTCAAGGAAAGTTTTTTGGTTATTTATTTTCCGAAGGAATATTGAAATTAGATAGTTTTAAACACGTTCCTATAATGGGAGGTTTAACTAATGATGGTATTTTATTTATTGAAGTTTTGTTGTACTTTTTGATGTTATTAATTGGTAAGAAGTCAGAGAAGAGTAAAAAGAAGGATGCAGATGGGAACAAGGTTTTTGAATACACTGATCAATATTTACTTTCATTCATTGGAAAAGGTATTAATATTGAAAATAAGTCTATCATTTTGAAAAGTTTGAAATGGTTTATCACTAAGAATTTAAAATATAAGAAGCTTTTGGTTGGTAAGTCAAATGAGAAGGCCTATATCAGGGATAAGAGAAGAATAGAATGGGCAATAACAAGATTTGTTGAATTAATTGAAGAAGAATTTGAGAATATCAGTATTTAAAAAACAAAAGATGTCTGATTCTTATGCTTTGTTGAAATTTATAAAATATAAAGATGAATAGGAAATTGAAAGAAACCATCCATGTAGGACCCTTCAAAAACACTAACTTTAAAATATGTTACAATATGTTTTTTTTTGTATTTTATTAACATATTATTTACGTAGTTGTATTATTATATATTATATTATTACATACCCTTTTTTGCATCTTCAATAGATTTGATAAATGAACGTCCATCCGCCTTTTGTTTGAATTTAACAATATAAGTAGTTAATTTACCATCAGTTCCAACGGTAGGAGTCTTCACCAAATTTTCATTATCTTCAGTTAATGGTGTATAATTGAAAGATTTCACAATTGACGTATTCAATAAAATATTACCCATACCATCAGATCTACATAATAATCTAACCTTTGATTTATCTTCTTTGTTTTGCAGCAACTTCATTTCTCCAACACCACGAGAGTCATACGATTTAGTCTCAGTATTAAAAATCATCAATTTGACTCTTTGCGAAAATAAATTTATTTCATCTTCTTCTCCATTCTGAAGCTTTATTGGAGTAGAAGATTCTTGTTCGGTGGTAGTATCATTCTGGCCTTGTTCCTTTTCAACAGTGCTTTGCTCAGTAGCACCTGACTCAATTTTATCTGTTTCTTTTTTTTCAGTAGGCTGTGTTGTGAAAGGTGTAGTTTTTTGCTCAAAAGGTAGATTAAATTTGAAACCACCAGATAGGGTAGTAGCATGATTTGTTAAACCAGTGGATGTTTTACTAAAGTTGAAAGATGGAGCTGGAGTAGAAGAGCTATTAATACCGAAAGTGAAAGTTGGTTTATTTTTTGTATTTTGGTCAGTAGTGATGGTTGGGGTATTAAAAGAAGTAGTTGAATTTCCAAAAGTGAAAGTTGGTTTGGTTTCTGACTTTTGGTTAGATGTTGGAATACCAAAAGTGAAGGAAGGTTTTGAATCAGTAGATGCATCATTTTTTGAATTTGAAGTGATTGAAGATTGATCAAAAGTAAAGGATGGTTTTTGGTCATCTTCTTTATTTTCTGTAGAAGAAGTAGTGGAAGATTGGCCAAATGTAAAAGATAATTTGCTAGAGTCGGTAGTTTTATCATTAGTGCCAAAGGAAAACGTTGGTTTAGTAGTTGAAATTGATTGATTAAAAGTGAAGGAAGGCTTTTTCTCATCTGTCTTAGTACTTATTAGTGCAGATATTTCATCCTCTTTTGTGGTTGTGTTGTTTAATTTTGAATCAAAAGCACTGAATGAGGCGGATGAATTTGGTGCAGTACTTGAAGTGGATCCAATAGAGTTAAAGGAAAAGGATGGTTTTTTTACTTCATCTTTTGTTGTCTCAGCATTTTCCAATTTTTGATCTTGTTTGGATAAGAAATTGAAAGCTGTAGTAGCTTTCTGTGTATTTATATTATCTTCCTTAGACTTTGTTGGTATAGAAAATGAAAAGCTTGGTTTTGAAGTTTTCTCTTTTGTTTCGTCTCTACCATCTTTAACCTCATTACTAGATGTTTCTAGGTTGGTTGAATTAGTAGTAGTGGCTGTGGTTGCTGTTGTAGCTGTTGTAGATGTTGCAGATGTTAAGTTTTGACCAACAGTAAATACCGGTTTATTTTTATCTTCGGATTTTTGTTCACTATCTGTTGTTTTGTTACTAAAGGAAAATGAAAATGGTTTAGTTTCTCCTTTATCAGTTTTGGTCTCTTTATCAGTTGAATTTGACTCTGATTCTTTATCGGTTTCTTTTGGTTTCAACTTAAATACATCACTTTTAATAGTACCAGAGAAAGTAAATTGAGGACCTTTGATTTTAATGTCGTCTTCAGAATCGCTATCATTCTTGGTATTAGCCTTTTTAGGACCAAATGAAAACACAGAATCTTCTGTAATAGGTTTCGTATTTATTGTGAATTTAGGACCCTCAATCTTAATTTCTTCATTTTCGCTATCGGATGAGGATGAGGATGAGGCAGGAGATGGAGATTCTTTTTTATTATTTAAAGGTTCATCATTCTTTGTTGTGGTAGAATTAATTTCAGGGGCAGGTTTGCTTAAAGTGAAAGTAAATCCAGAAGATGGTACTTTTGGCTGAGTAGTTTTAGTTACCTCTGATTGCTTTTGTGGAATAGAACCGAAAGAGGAAGTGATGCTAGTCATTGGCTCTTTAGTCTTGATGGTTGGTTCATTATTAATATCATTTAAATATTGGGTATATTTGGAAAATAAAGATGATAAATTGGAACATGGATCAGAAGAAAGTACATCAAGAATTTTTGATTTGAACTGCTCATTCAATGCCTTTAGTTTTGCTGGTTTATCATCACTGTTGTTGGTATTTGTTGTTGTGGACGTCGTTGTTGATTTGAAAGCATTTGCAAAGGATGTTTCAGCTTTTAAGGCAGGGTTGTTAAATTTATTAGAAAATGTCATTTTTCTTTTTGGCATAGCAATTTTTCTCTTATTCATTACTTCAGCTGAAGCAAAAATGTTATTATTTGGACCATTAGACTCATCATCACTATTATTATTAAAGTTTTCTCTTGTAAGTTGATTAGCAGCTCCTCTTTTACTCATTGCTGCTGGTACTACTAGTTCTTTTGTTGCTACTGTTGTTGTTGTTGTTGATTTACCTGTTTGTCTGTTCCTGTAGTAGTTATTGACTAAAACACAATCACTAGGTCTAGGAAGATTTGTGGAATGGGATTCCTACAAAGAATTACTGAAAATAAATTTATTTGTATTAGTTCAAATATTATGCTAAAAAGAGTTTAAACTACATTACACAAAAGTAACGGTTTCAATGAAAGTTTTATCGAATGCCTGAACATGAAAATGGCTATTGACTCCACTCTTTCTTTTCAATTCTTCTTTTTGCCAACTGTATTTTTTTTAATTAAAATAGAAGAAAAAAAATTTTATGTTTTTTTGAGTGAAAGAAGAAACAAGAAAAAAGGATCATCAATTTCCTAATTGGGAAATTGTGTGCTTTTTACTTAGAAAAAGCATTTGTTATTTCTTAACCCTAATGTTTTTTGGTATGTAAAACCAAAAAATGTTTTATATCTCTTTAAACCCTAAGTTTTGGTGTAATTTTTATTTTGTGCATTTTGTAGATTTTCGCTTCGAGAATGTTTAATAATGTAGAATATCCCCATAATGAAGTATTCACAGATCGATAACCTTAATTCTTTATGCAAATATATGTAAAGTGTTACAGGTACGAATGGTTGTATTAGATATTCATAAGTAACCTTACCGGTTTCAATAGTCAGTATTTGGTTAGTAGTTTGTCTGTGTTTGTGTACCCAATAAACCAAACAGATCAAGTTAACTCAAGAAAGTCATAGATATCGTTGATATAAGCAACTGATAACAATGTCATTGACTGCTGTTAGACAAAGACTTTTAACTATTAATAACACTAGAACTTATGTGGAATTTGATCCAAGAGAGACAGTGCAGTTGTATAATGAGACTAAGAGATATTTGAAACATGGAGATACTCAACTGACTCCAGAACAAAGGTTGTCATTAATGGAGATGTTATTTTATTTATCAATATTTTGTAGTGAAGACGTAGAAGCTCAAGTTATTTATAATCAGATTAGTGATACTTTAGGTGAAGAATCATGTAAATTACAGGTTATGAAAGCCACACTTCTGCAATTTAATGGTTCTATTGAGGAGGCAATTAAATATCTGGACGATTTAATACGTCAAGAATATGAATATGACACAGATATGGCAAGCTATACAGTATTATCTAAAAAATTGTTAACTTTGAAATTATATTATGGTAAAGACTACAATAACAATGATGTTAATAATGATATTAATAACAATACTGAAAATAAACAAACTAAAAAGTATTGGGATACATGGATAAAAGAAATTAATATTTTAATTGAGAAAAGTCCATTGGACCCAGAATTATGGTGGTTTTTGGCTAAAATATATGAATTAAATAGACATTTTGATTATGCAATTCATTGTTTGCAAGAAGTTGTATTGATTATGCCATTTAACTATATTGCCTTTGCCAAATTGGCCGAAATGTATGTTTACTATTCAATGAGCACTAAAATAAATCATAAAGATAAAGTAGAGGTCCTGAAGTCAGCACTTAATAATGCTTTAAGGTCAGTAGAATTGAGTGAGACTTTCTTAAAAGGTTGGACTTTGATTAAATTAATATGTGAAAGATTGAAGGATGAAGATAAGACTAGATTGATTAAACTAGCTAATAAAAAATTAAAGGAGATTGGAAATGAGTCCAATGATTATGATAGATTTATTTCTGGTTATATTCTCTCTAAATGATCATTAATATATATGTATATATATATATATATGTGTGTGTGTGTGTGTGTGAATGTGTATTAATACGATAAGTTAATCACTAAATTTAAGATATTCACATTCTCTAGTTTTTAGTGGTAAATGTTTGACAACCCAATCACTGTCTCTTAATAACGCTTTAGGATCCATTGAATTGGCTATCCTACTATATCTTTGGAGTGTCTCGTTATCACCTTCATATTTCTTAAACTCTCTGATTATTTCATTTGTGTTAAATTCTACATAAACTCTCGTATCGTAGACTCTTAGTATCACGTCATCAACATTAAGAAAGAATCTCATTAATAGTAATAATCTTTCATTCATCACTCTTATCTTGCACGTCAGTAAAGATATGCCATTATCTGCCAATTCGTCTTCATATAATATCATATCATCAAAATATAAAATTGGGTCCGGGCGTGACAATTTCTCTATTGGTAATTCTAAAGAATCATCTCTCTGGAAGATATATTTATCATCTTCCCCTGATTTTTCCTTTGTATGTATCGTCCCTTTATACTCAGTAGTATAGGTCCAATCGTAATGTTTCACTATTTGTAAAAGTTTATCAATTTCAACTTCGTGGACTTCAATTTCATTATTCTTCTTATTTATATTTTTGTTTTGATTTACACGTTTCTTAGACTCGATCCAATCTTTGGAATAGGCAACACGGATGCCTGCATCTTCTAACGACACTAATTTCAATGCATCTAAGGCATTAAATTCGATTTGCCAGCTATGTTTTATATTTTCAATCTTAATAAAATTGTTTCCAAAGATCATCTCAGGTAATGCTCTTAATCCAGGCAAATATTTAGATTCCCATGTTTCTAGTTCAACAGAGTTTAAAATAGGTTTTTTACAAGAAGTGATAGTCCAATTGTCAATCGAAATAGAGGGTATATCTTCTAAGGGCATTCTTGCAGTAGGTGATGGAATTATCATAGTTCCACAATGTAAGCAAGGTGGATTATTTGGATTATTACACTTATGACGCAACTTTGTTAACTTTGCAGGGGCCATCATTGGTGGTGCCATTGCAGTAACTGTTTCTGCCATAGTTCTGCTGTCAGTTGCTGTATTTGTAACTAATGTACTGTTTTTAGCACTAAAAATATCATTCCACATGATACTGTCCATACCCACTTTTATATTGGTGTTAGTTTTAGTTGTAGTTGTAGTCGTAGCAGGGTTAGGAATTCTGTTAGGTGGGAAACGGGCCCTCACTGTCTTTGTATGCATTTCTCTAGCAGCATTAATCGTGATAGTATCGATCCCTTTTAATCCAATGGGTGTTCTCCTTGAAGGAATATGCTTCGCTTCTTCGTGACTCATAACTTAAAACTGAATATGTTTGAGTGTGTGTATATACGTTTGTGAGATATATCGCCCTATTATTTGACAAGATATGATTAGGTATCTTTATTTAAATAAAAGTTTACAGGCATTCACTCCAAAGCAACATTTAAGTTAAGGTTATAAAAAGTAAGATGGTTAATATCAAGAGGAGGGAGAGTTCACTGAATAGTGTCAGATGGAATCTCTTACCTTTATTAAAGGGATTTGATGGTAGGAAATTTTGAAACCTTTGAGTTAACACATTAAATTCAACTGTATTTAGTTGTGATTTTTGAGTTTGGAAAATGAAGTCCTTTTTTGGTAAAATAATTTGTAACCCTATATAAAATAAGAACGTAGTCATCCTGTATTAAACAGAATATTTATAAACCCTAACAAAGCTACGATTTTCTTTGATTGAATTTTAGAAGTCTTCTTAATAGAAATCCCAATCCAAATAGAAAAACCTCATGTACATGTATGTATTATACACCTATATGTATGAAGAACATGTAAGTGTATAATATTAAGCATATATGGTTGGAAGAAGGTCTTTAGAAGCTAATAGCAAGGATTGGTGAATAAACCCAATACTGTATTGCAAGCTGTCAATCACTATTACTATTATTACAGTTATTATTATCATCATTATGACAGATAGATTAACCCAATTACAAATATGTTTGGACCAGGTAATGGAACAATTTTGTGCTACCTTGAACTATATCGATAAGAATCATGATTTCGAACCTGCTAATGAATTTGAGACGAAGATGACAGATAAACATGCCACAGTTGCTCCAAGTGAAGAATTTACAAATACTATAGATGAATTATCAACGGATATCATATTGAAAACAAGACAGATTATTAAGTTGATCGATTCTTTACCGGGTGTAGATGTTTCTGCTGATGAACAATTACATAAAATTGATTCTTTACAGAAGAGTTTGATTGAAGTTGAAAAAAAGAAAATTGAGGCTATAAGGAAAAAAGAATCACTTTTAAATGAGGTTGATGGTTTAATAACAACGTTTGTTTCAGGACTTACGGAGGCTGCACAATCTAGTGGTTATGGTAATAATTATGATTGCAATCAAGGATCTGTTGAAAATAAAACTGAGAAAACCAGAATCAAACCAGAACCTACACATAATGAGATAAAGACAGAACAGGAGCTTTCAAAGGATAGCAATGAAGTAAGTATATGACAAGGAATGTTTTAAAGAGAAAAATTATATTAAACGTAAATATGTTGATGGGATGTGCTTAGACAAGTTTTTTTTTGACGGTATGTTCATGTACGTAGGTATATATATAGTTAGTTACTCGAATGGAGTATTTATTGTATCTTTTTTTAGTTGACCAATTTGTATAACACAGCAACATATAATGGAATTAACATTTTAGTCCAAGGAAATCTCTTATTAATAGTGTTAAGTGTCTGAATAAAGACAATAAATCCTAAAATATAACTTGGGAAATAGTTAATAATTGCTGATGTATTACGAGATGGACTTTTAGTGTACACATAGAAATGTAAAAACCAGCCCAAGCAACATTCAAATCCAATATCTTGGAATAATAAGTTATCTACCAAAATAATTTTTCTTTCTGTAGGTTGTTGGTTCCATGGATTCCATGTTAAAATACGGAATGTTGTGAATAAACCAAATAGCATAATACCAATAAAGGAAAGAATCCAAATATTCTTAACTACAATTTCATTTTGTTGTGGATCGAATGGCCACGTTTCAATTGAGGGCTTTATATTTGAATTGACAATTTTCCTTGGATCAGCATTCTTGATGGAATAGGAATATCTGTATTGTCTAACTAGCCACTCAAAAATTAACTTAAATTTGTTGAATGAATTAATATGGTAGTCTACCATAGAATTGGATTCGGATTTAATAACTTTTATTTGAAATTCAGCCAAATTGTCCATTGCAGGATCTAAGCATAACACTTCTTGATCATGAAATCCCCATTCTGGTAACCTGATATCATGTCCTAGTAGAGTGCAATGTCTGCCTTGATTAGATAATTGTACTTTATCACTAGTAACATTAAATATCTCTTCATTAGCATATTTTGAGATGGAATATTCCACTGTTTCAAGAATCCATTTCTCATCAGCCTTACCCTCGTAATCAATATCTCCAGTAGTACAAACTAATTTGTCATATTCTTGTTCACTGACAGGTGGAGAGGAATCAGATGCCCTTAATAATTTGCCAGTAATCTTATGTCTTAACTTAACATTATCAAATTTACGCACTCTTTTAAAAGGAGAGTCAGTTGATGTATTTTCGACAATCCAATGAGTCCATTCACTTTCTTCATGAGGTGATAATGTGACAAGATTTTGATTATCATCGTTTTCAGCGCTCCCATCTGATGAAATATTATAGGAAGTCAAGTAACCTCCCAAGGAAGCTGTATGCCTTAAGGTTATAGTATCACCAAAATAAAGATAGTGATCTTTACTGGTATGCAATGTACCGTTACGAAGATACGATTGGAAATATGGAGATACATATCTGGAATATTCTGGTGAATCTATTTTGAAGTCAGTAATCTGGTGATAATTTATTAATAAAAATATTTGTAAAGGAATTAGAATAATGAATACAAATTTCAAAGTAATTTTCTTTAAAATTGAAAACAAACTAATGCTGATGTCATTAAGAGTATTCCAAGTGTCATATAGGGAACAGCAAATAATCCAAAGCCATGTGACAAAACCTAATACTTTTGTGGATATGGCTACTCCTAAGAACATGCCAATATGAGCTAAATTCATTAGTGTTGAGCCACGTTGAATTCTATAGAGTCTCCAGAAGTAGATTGTACCAAGAAAGGACAACCAATACACAACATTAACGGATAAAATTATGGACTGTGATCTAAAATGAGGTAGATAGCAAATGGTACATACACTGATTATTGAAAGTATCACTGAGACATTATTTCTTCTTAGAATCATGTATATTACTAACAATGATAAACATGCTGTTATTAGCATACAATGTTTTAATTGAACCATTTTGAAATAATTCAAAAGAAAACTAAATAGCTCCACAACAAATGGGGGATTAGTTCCTAGATAAAATTTTTTTTGCTTATTTAACAGAACTAAATCTAAAATTTCTACTTCTTCATTGTTAAATATGTAATCAATTTGCCCAACCATGTAAATGAAGTAGCCAATAGAAATTGTAACTCCAATTAAAGGGTCTAGGAGATTTAATCTCCCAACATTAGACTTAGCATATATATTTGAAGGTAAATAATTCCTATAGGGGCCCTTTTCTGCGAAAATTTGCTGAGTTTTTTCACTCATGTGTAATAATGGGGTTAATACTTAGTGATTGATTTTGTTGATTGGAATAGTTGCGATTGGCTTTCGGTTTTTTCAATAGTAGAAGCTCTGTTATTTCTTATTATAATCTTTTTTCGCTTTTTTAAAATTGATTCTTTTTTGTTTTTTTTTTTTAATTTTAATTCTTTTAGTGTAATGACATTTCTGGATATTCAGAAAAAAGCAATGAAAACTTGACATAGTTCGTCAATGAGAATCTGAGGAGTTTGCTTAAGTTATTAGATAAACAGTTTTTTATCATATACAATAAAAAATTGGTTAGCTAATATATATGGACTTGAGTATTCTCAAAAATGTTTGTAACATGTTTTTTCATTAGTATTTTAGTTAGTACTTTTCGATATCTTGTCCATTAAAGCTTTCATTACGGCTGTATTATAACTTCTTTTGATTTGAAATTTTCTGTTCTATTTAGATAAGATGTTTAATTATTTGGTATTTTGATGGTTTTCAAATTTTTGCTTTTTGTGTAGTTCTTTTATTTTTGTGTGTGATACTGGAGAACTTCCACGAAATTCTCTAATATCAATAGTAGAATTAAAATCTACAATTTTTTTATGCTCCCTTAAATTTTTTTCCTTTCCTGTTTGTTGACTGGTTCCTACTAAAGGTAATCTATTTTTAGTATCAATATAATCTTTCATGATGGTTAAGAAACGTTTTTTAGTGTTATGCTGTTCTGTGTTAATAAATTGTTGATTCTCTTTTAAAACTAAAATAAATTCATTGAAAATTTTATTTTCTCCAACATCATAATTTAATTCTATCATTTTTTTATTATTATCTTTGTTGTGTTTTTTTCTTTCTTGAGATAATTCAGAGATAATACTTTTATTTTTATCTTCTAGTTTGTTGTTATCGATGGACAGTCTTGTTTTTTTCTTTAAAGATTTTTCTGATACTTTAGTTACAACAGTACCTTTGTTTTCAAGCAAAATGTAGTCTCTAGGAACTGCACTAATGTTGTTTTTTAACGTTTTTTGACCTTTTTTTGAATGTTGTCTTGATGTAATGATTTCGTTTTTATCTTTTAAACTATTAATATCATTTTTTGTTGCCTTATTATGTTTTCCGTTAAAGCTTTTTACTTTGGGATTCTTTGTTAACTCTTTTGAGTTCTGTTCTATATTTTCAGAGTATTGACCTTTTTGTTCTTTGGTGCTGCACTTGTTACATTCTTCCAGGTTATGGTATTGGGGTTGTAACCAATTTTTGGCTTTAGTATCAATTTTACTTTTAACCATATTGTTCACGATTGTTTGTAGCTGACTAACTATTCCAATGGATTTGATGGTTGTTTTTTAACTGTTTTACAAAAAGTGTTAGTTTTTTCTTTGTTTCTGTAGTTTGATTTTTTTTATATGGGCGGTTAAATTGCTTAATATATATTTAAAAGCTTCTTTTTTTTCAAATAAACTTAGACAAAAAAATATTCAAAGGACAAAAATATTTTCATTTTGAAGGAGATATTTCGCTTTAATAGTTCGAATATGATTTGAAAGAAAAGTATTGATGTTTTAGATGATTTCATGGGAAAGTTTGTTAGTATTCAAAAAAGAACAAGTTTTTGACTTAAAAGTATCTCGATTTCTTGTTTATTTATGTTGAGGTTGAATTTATTAGAAAAATACTTAAAATATAATTGTTTAATTTGGCCTGGTGTTTCGATTTACTAAACCCGGAATAATTTGAGAAAGCATGAAATATTTTTCAGAAGGATACAAATTGATTATGCTTATTGGCTCCCTTTTTATGATTTAACGAAAGTTTCATCGTGGTTAAGAAATATTGTTTTTATGGTCAGCGTTGATGCATTTGTTGTTTGTCCTGTTCTTGTAGAGATTTAATGTATATAGTATTATTTTTTATTTTTTAAAGTTTCAGTTATCGTGGAAGTTTTATTGATGAATTCATTAAAATAGCACGAAAATGTAAACTTGTACTTTTTGAAATAAACAAATTATGTAAAATAACAAAAATTTTTTTCTTAACACAAAAATTATTAATCAAAAACTATAAATAATATGAACATGAATATTGAGATAAGATTTTGGAAATAGAAATTCTATTAGTGTTTATTTTAAATCAATATAATTAGATAATATAACCCATAATAGAATATTGGTGGTATTATAAGTTCTCGACTATTTATAATAGGAAGTTAGTAGTACTATAAACTGTTATTGTATTGCTCATCCTCTTTTGTTCTACATACTTAATATAAATATATAACTATTATACACTATATTACATATTATTTTAACTCTTCTTTTATAAGCTATTATAAAATCTTCTGTAATTTGGTACGAAAAATTTAGATTATCACATACATTTCTAATCTAATTTCAACAATAAAATATTACTAAAAATGCTGGAAAGGCGTACTTGTTAACCTAGGAATTTTGTATATAATAAAAATTGTTACAGTTGCTTTAATATATTTTTTATGAAGATAATAAAATAAAAAATTATTATTAACGATATATGGACACTTTTTAAAAAAGGACTATTTTTGTCTCCTCTAGAAGTTCCTATTCATCCTTAATATTTTAAATCCAATTATTGTTTCCTTTTCATTTCTTACCTGTCGCACATTTTAACGGTATTCATGTTTAAATCTTTTGGCGTTTTATAGCTCCTGTTATTTTTCGTGCACCATCCTACAAAGCATCCATTATCATTAATGTTGTATTCTATCAATAAAAATGATGCTAAAATATTTATATCTTGAAAGTTTTGAAAACCATATTCCACAGATTTTAAAAAAATAAAGAATTATAGAGTTAAAAACAATTACCTAATAAATACAAATTACAATTATTTTAAGTATGTACCGTTATTTTTTTTAAAGCAATGACGATATTATCAATTCAGGAATATCTATACTGTTTTTTAACCTAAATACAAGTTGAATAACAATTTAGCTGTTGGTATACATTAAAATATACTTCTCTATATAGTACACATATATTAAAAAACTAAACATTAGAAAGAATACTATCACCTTTGTAAATCAATAATAACCGAATGACCTGTCTTATGACTATGAAGAATTGCCCATCTATTACCCCTGGAAGCTTCCTTCGACAAACTGTTATAAATACTAGTTGCAAAACTTCTAGGCGTAGAATTATTTGCTGAACCAAATACTTTCCTCAACCATTCGTCTTTTTGAGCCAACGATGTTATTGCCATAATCTCCATAGTTTCATCTCTTAAAGCGTCTATTGTAATGATAGGAGCGGTAGATAGACTATTCACAATCACATTTGAGGCCTTTCTTGCTGCATCTTCATAAACCCATTTTTCTCTTTTATTAGCCTTTTTCGACCTGTTAGCTAGATTTGGTACATAAACCACCTTTTGACTAGTTGAATGTATTTCATCATTATGTTTATCTCCATCTTGGCTACTACTTGCACTACTACCTTCATCCCAATAATTATAATCTTCATGTTTATCACCAAGCAACAATGTATCTTCTCCCAATCCCTTGTCAATATTATTTTCGTGTTGATATAATTGTAAAAATTCTTCAACATCTAAATCTATATCCAAATTGTTACTCAACTTTTTAACCTTTAGTGGCTTATATTTCCTTTTATGTGAAGAAACATTATACGATTGTTGTTTAATCAAAATTATCCACTCAATACCGTCCTGTTGAGCTGAAGAAACAACGTCATCCACTGTGTATGAGTTGTGTAATAAATCAGCTCTAATATCTTTTTTCCATAGCTGATTTAATATTGAAACACCAATTGTATCTAAAATTGAATTAGAAAAACTTGATATTAAAACATCACATCTACTTGGTTTCCAATCAATTGCCGTTGATTTTAAGAATTTATTTCTCTTTTTGACTCTATTTCCCCCAGCCAATTTAAAATAACTTTGAGCTACACCAAAGATCGTCTCCCATGCTAGATTAAAACCAACTGCTCTTTTTCTACCAGAGTTCTGTACAGCAGACGGTCTTGCAAAATACGAAATCAAATTATCGTATCTTCCACCAGCGGCAATTAAGTTCCTATTTGAACCATCATCATAAACTGCTTGAAACATTATTCCACCTTTATAAAATGCACTATTATAATTACTCAAAGGAGAAAGAACAATATTTCTAGAAACTTCAAGAGGCTTTAAAAAAGAAAGAACCTTAGAAACATAATTCAAGGAATCATCCACTTTTTTCAAATGACGACTATCCACCATAATCTTATGCAATCTTTTTTTTGCTGTCTCAAAATCTAGTCTAAAATCCAACAATTCTAAATCATTTAATGCTGTAGAAGTAATGTTTAATTGCGACTTCAATTCATTTTTCACCTCCTTGAAAGTCTTACCAAATCCAATTTGGGATAACATTTTGGATATAATTGATCTTTGAGCTTTGTCAATATTACTAAAATCAAAGACTGCATCTAGTATATCTGAATGATTAATAACAAATAAGGTATTAGTTTTTTCAAACACAGGAAATGCAGTTAATATCTCATCAATAATTTTAATACTTTCTGCATCATAAAATGATGATTGAGATGAAGAAGCTGAAATAATATCAAAATCAATCTCCCCAAATTTTCTTGGTTCAAGGCTTGACTTTAATTGATCAGGAGGACGATACACAAATTGTAACCTAAACTGCTTTGAAACACAATTAGGATGTTTTGATAAATATCTTGCCATAGGATATGTGAGATCATATTGTAGTTGAAGAACAGTACCTCCATGGTCAAGAACTTCATAAACATTTTGATTACCATAAATGGCTGCTTTAGGAAAAATACGTGGTGGTTCATTATTTTCAATCCCACCATGTTCTTTAAAAATCCTTATTACTTCTTGCGTCATTTGAAATCTCAGTATTTGAGCAAATGGGGTTGTTACAATTTGTTTGTTGTCAAATAAAATATCATTAGTTAGACTATAGGATTGGGAAAATAAACTTGTTCTAACTTCTTGTTGCCATGGTGATGAGGGATCTGCCAAACTTTTTAAAGCTTCCTTTATAACCTCATCTTGATGCTTTACAGGTAACCACCCACTATTCAGTAATGCCTTTGCACCTGGTCTTTTGTTAGGGTCATGATCCAATAACAGACTAATAATTTTCTTTTCAATTCTTAAATTATTAACATCAAAATCCTTTGGAAACTCAACGCTAGATGATCGAAGACCCTTGAGAATATTTACTCTTTCCATACCTGTGCTGAAGGGATAAATCATTTCAAAAAATATAATACCAAGAGAGTACATATCAATTTTCTCATTATAATTTCCTTTCCCATTTAAGACCTCTACTGCGACATACATTGCTGTACCAATTGCAGATGTTAAATTATCAACACTTCCAGATACATTCGAAGAGTCCAGTTTTGATATATCAATAGACCTTTGAACATTTTTTGCTAACCCAAAATCACCAATCTTAATATTTCTTGACTCATCAATGAAAATATTCATAGGTTTAAGATCCCTATGAATAATATCTTGAGAATGAATATAACTTAATGCCTCTAATATCTGACGAAATAATCTCCAATACTCATCTCTTTCCTTATTTAAATTTTCAATATGAATTAAATCGTATAATGTTCTATTTTCACAATATTCCATCTGAATAAATAAAGTACTTTTCTTTTTTATTCTGTTTGTCACAGATTTGTCTTGTTTGAAATCGTTCTTTGAATGTGGCTCAATTGAATTAATATCACTACTCTCAGAATCATCAGAATCTGTGCTATCTTCTTCAGCAGACTCCCCACCACGAATAAATATATCAGACGATTCTAAAACTACATTTTCGTTACTATGAGAACTATTAGCAAACACAATATCTGGATAACCAGAATTTGAGATAAAATCCCAGTTACTATTATCAAAATCTGTAGTTCTGCTATACACCAAACTAGACTTGTTAAATAAATCCTCATTATTTTCACTCCTATCATCACTAATGATTGAACTTTCGCTTTCGTCATCTGATGAATCAATAGCATTTTCATCTAAAAAATCTTCTTCTAACCATGCTGCATAATATCTTACCACATATTGATGATTTAAACTAGCTAAAAGCATAACTTCACCCAAAATACTAGACAACTTCTCTTCAGTGTGCCTTATTTTTTTAATAGCATAGTATCTACTATCCAAAGTATTACGTGCTTTTACTACTTGTCCATATGCACCTTTACCTAGTACAGCAATTTCTTCAAAATCTGTAGCATATCTTGATTTAGAAGCAGTATTTGTCAAGGAAAATCTAGAGCCAATGTTAAATGATCTTCTTCCAGTACTTGAATGTGATAATCTTCTAGTATCATTTTTAGATATCTGAAATGTGGGCAAATCTGTTGTTGATCTCTCAAGTTTTAAGTTAAATCTATTTATATCAAGATCTATATTAGTTCTTAAAAATTTCATAGGTAACAACTGAAGAGTATCCAACCTTCTCCTTGGATCACTATTTAACATTTTCTCCAGGAAATCTAGTAAACTTTCTTCCATTTCATTATTTTCAAAGAATTCCTCGGGTGATGAAAAATTTAACACAGTATCAACTCCACTAATAATTTGAATAAACAATACACCCATCTCCCAGATATCAGTAGTTCTTTGAGGTTTGGGGTTCTTCATCTTTTCCAGTTCTGGAGGACACCAAGACAAGACCGGAAAGGATACTGTCGAGCTTTGTTTGTTAGGATACCTAAATAACATTTGTAAAAGTGTATAACCATATGCAGGATGCATCAGTTTAGGTACCGTTGATCCAAAATCAGAGTCCTTAACCAATTGAATGGTTTGTACCGATATATACTTATGATATATACCGACTCTGTGTAAAGCTTCTAACCCTTCCAACATCCTAATAATCCAAACACGAGCAGTTGCTAAATTAACAAATCCAACTGACTGTATCATATCACCAATAGGATAACCTTTAATATATTCTGTCAATAATTTTATCTTCCAAACAAATGTATTATTATTTCTTCCAGTCCTTTCCACTGTATAGCCATATAATCTATTTACATTATCATGTTTAACTTTCAATAATGAATCTAATATCTTTTCCAAATTTGCGATCTCTTTTTTACCATTAGTTGTATTAAAATATGCATTGTCCAGTTCGATTTCTATTAATAAAAAATAGAAATCTTCCATAAATTCAGAAGACATCAATGAGTCTGCCAATGGAGAATCTGGCGATATATATGGTTTTACAAGGTAATGTTTAGCAAAACAAAGAATATCTGATTGTAATTTAATGGGTTTTGGATTCACCACAGCTTTAAATTTTAACAATGAGTTATTCGGTATTTTAGCCTTAATAACTTTAGGAAATACCACAGCCTCCCCAGAGATAATCTATTCTTCTGGTGGAAGCATATTAATTTGATTAATTGGATTAAACAACATGTCATCATCACCTTGTCTCTTTGCAATTTCTTTTTCCACAATCTCATCAATTTTACGCTGTTCGGATATTTTTAATCTTTCGATTTGTTGTTGACTTTCCATTTCTTCTCTTACCATTTGTTCATTTGTTTCCTTAATTCTTTCCAATCTATCATCCTCTAACGATCTTGTATTTATATTATCATGAAAATCATCAAGTTTTTCCTGTGTTAATGTAACAATATCAAAAATATATTCCTGTCCCCTTGCTTCTTTGTGAATTTTCTTATATTCATCTTTCAGATATTTTAATTGTGAATCCAAAACGTTTTCTACATTTTTAAAAGTAATTTCAGGTGCAGTATGGGGATACATTGGTGTCATAGCAATGTGTAATGTTAACGAAGATTCAGCGGGTTCCTTTTCAAGTGATCGCACATGAACTTCAAAAATAATTTGTGGTTGCTTATCCCAACTAGACTTCTTTCTAGTTAAATCCACAAAATCGTCCATATAAATGGACTGAATTGCTTCTAATTCATTATTCTGTATCTCATAATATTGATCCAATGAGAGGTTGCTTAGCGACATTTGCTATTCATATGTGAGAAAAAAATATTGATTGAAGAAGAAGAAACTCTATAATAAGTTGATGATGTATATGACGATGATATATACTAATAATCAATATTTTTAATGTAATAAAAAGAACTTAAATCAATCAAAGTTTTTTTAATGCTTTTCCTTATCCTTTAGACCTTTTTTTTTTATTTTTTATCTTTTTGTAGTTTAGCTATGCTTAATCCGATTTCTAATAAATAATACTTTAAAGTAACAGCATGTATACGATTTTTTTTGATATCGTTGAGGTTGTTATATAAAGAGAATTTATTTTTTTTTTCATAAATCATCTTTATATAAACTGAACTATTAAACTCTTTTAGTTTTTGATTACGTTGTTTTAATTATTGATTTTTAGTGATTACAGAAAAAAAAAGAAAAGAAATAAAAATTATAAACATAATGTCACAGAAAGATTACTTTATAAAATAACGTAAGGACAGATTTTACTACTTGTATCTGACTAGTTTTAAAATAGAAGAAGTAAAATATCTATGCCTCTAAGATATACATATATATTTCTGCCTACAAATAGAGAAATATGTATAGCTAATATTAATAGTAAAATGAGGATCATGCAGATAGAGGTTCCATCTCCTCATCTTGTGGCAATGGAATTCTTCTTTGATATGTAGAAGGTGCCATAATAGTAGAATCAGATGGTACATCAAATGTAACATCAGAATCATCCAACAATGGTTTGAAGGGAACTTGACTTGAAATTGATGGGTAATATTTTCTATATATCCCATAAGAGATGAAAAACCCAATAACGGAGCCTAAAAAAATATCTACAAAATGATGCCTATAATCTTGTGTTCTGGACAATGCGATTAATGAGGCAATTAAAAGAGGAATCATTGCAACATATTTTCTCCATATCCCAACTTGACTATGCTCTGTCATCAGTTGTCCACATAACCAAAAATATAAATAACCTAACCCTGCAAAACTCTCACTTGAGTGACCTGATGGTGTACTTCTAAAACCTTCCAATAAAATAGCCTCATTTTCATTTGTACAAACTTCGTCTGCTGTAAACAATGTATTAATTGGCATATTTGGTCTTGGTTGACAACGATCAATGAAATCGGGTCTTGGTCTACCAAACCAATTCTTAATAAAGTTTGTAAATAATGCGGTGGAAAACCATGAAAGAAATAAACCTAATAAGGATACATAGAGTACATTCCACTTATGTCTTCTATCTACCAAAAGATACCAAACTACCAGTATAACAACACATGGTAACACCAAACTATATATTACTAACATAAAGTCTGTAACACGTTCATTCAACTCATATGGGTGACTTAGAGTGGGATCATTAAGTATAAATTGTCTTTGAAATGGTGGCTGGAAATAAACCGGTATATTTATCAACATAATAACGGCTAAAAGAATAGTATCTGGAATTCTCCATTTAGGTAGTCTATAAGCAAAGCTGGTGGTACTACCACCCAAGGAAAAACGATCAATAGTCATTTACACTTCAATATAATTTAATTGTCTATTTGTGTGCAGATTCTCAAGGGTTTCCAAAAACACTTCAAATAAAATAAAAGGAGAATACAAAAAAAAAGAAATAATAATAAGATTCTAAACTTCTTGTTGACTCAAGTAAAATTAAAAGAATTTTCAAATACAATTTGTATAATACACTCAGCCCTTACAGTACTCACCCTTGAACTAATCAGATCACCAACTACTGCTTCTTCAGATTTCTTCTTTTTTTTCAAATATGAATTATTTATAACTAGGATATAATCCTGAAAAGATCGTCTCTCTTTATAACTGAAGATCAACAACTATTGTATACATATACGCTGTATGAAATCGCAGTATCTATGCACAAATTGCCTAATAATCTAAATTGTTTTTTTTTTTAGCTATTTACTTTTGAAAAAATAAGCTAAAATATTTTTATTTATATTTACTCGAGAGAGGCTTGTGTATTTTCTAAAACCTAGGGTTTAAAGATACAGCAAATGTTTTTCAATATACCCTAAGGTATTAATTAAAATAAATGGAAAAAATAAGTTTAGAAAAGATCAAACCCTATATGTTTTTAATTAGCCTTAGAAAGTTTCAAATAGTTAGATGTATGGGTTTTATATTAGTGCCAAAGATTTGCAATCAAACAATTAAAAGACATATCAAGTACTTTCATTTTATGTGCCAATGAGTAATATAAAACACTTTTAATATAATTTATAACTAATCCCCTTTCCTTCAATTTATCTTTTCACAATTATATTAATGAAAAAACAGTAGATATAGCTTAGTTGTTGTTACCTTTGATTTTATCTTTTTTTTTTTGCTGTTATTACCGACACTTATATTCTCACAGACTTCAGCGGTTAAATTCCATACTTCTTTTAAAAGTAGTTCCGAGCAACAAAAAATAAAGATTGATAGAGTGACAACTATAAGAATGTCTAATTTCTTTAGAGACTCATCTTTAGGATTCAAATCAAGATCCAATATTTTTAGCAAGTTTAAAAATAAGGAAACAAGCTTAACTAATACAAAATCCAACCAAACAAATATTTCTTTAAATGAGGACAATGGACACTTATCCTTCATTGATGATGAAGCAGATACTTCTATTACTAATACTCTGATGTTGATATCAAAGAACAATTCAAATTCTGGACTAACAAACACACATGGTGATAGTGATCAAACGACACAACAGACATCAGATGAATCCATTGTTCTAGGTCCAAGCCAAAAAGTATTTTTTTCCAGCACTCCTATAAATAATAATCAAAATAATACAAATTATTCTTTAAACAATGTTAATTCAATAAAAATGAGTAATGCTAAGAATCAAATAAATACAGAACCCATAAATGATGATGATGATTTTGAAATCACTGAGGTGAGAGAAATAGATGATCAGAAAGACAAAATTTCTTTACCAAATATTAATGATAATACTGCTGCTCTGACTAATAATAATAACCAACTTATCGCAAAAACTGTAACACCAACAAGATCCAACAAAGAAATAACCTCTTCAACAATGATTGATATATCAAATTCCTCTTCAAATGATGTTTTATTAGAAGCCTTCACTAATACACAACGGATTTGCTCCAATTTGAAACAAGAATTAATATTGAAACAAAGTGAGAATAGTAAAATGAAGATTAAATTAAATTCTTGTGAAAATGACATAAATAAAGTTAATATCAAGATTGAAAGTTTTAAAAAACAATTGGCAGAGTTAGAGAACAAAAGTCGGAAGTTGCTTTCACAGAAAGAAACAGATAATGGAAAAATCCGAAATTTAAAGAAAGAATATGAAACATCTAAAAAAATAGTTAACGGTTATAGAGATGACATTATTTTGTTGAAAACACTACTAAACAAAATACAAGACAGTAAAAGAGATATAGAAATAGAATCAACAAAGAGAGCAAAAGAAATAGAGTATTTAAAAAGGGAATTGGATGATTGTTCTGGGCAATTAAGTGAAGAGAAAATAAAAAATGGGTCCCTCACACATGAATTAGGAACATTTAAAAATGAAATTGTTGGAGAAATCAAACAGCTAACCGAACTTTCATGGGATGATTTCTTGAAAAAAAATATGACAAATAACAAAGAATTTTTTGATAATTTAAATAATGATCTTAAAAATAACTCAAAAACAGAATTTGAAAAAATTTTAACTACGATAGAAGATAATGACGGAACGTTGTTTGAAAGGTATGTAAAAAAATTGTACATTAAAAAAAAATTTAAAACAAAACATAAAATATACTAACAAATCTGAATTTTTTTCTGAATTTTTTTTTACTAATGATTAAACTTAGATTAGGAGAGGAATATAATATAATATTGAAATCTTTGAATAAAATAGAGGCAAATTCCATACAAGAGTCTAGAAGTATCTCTGATACTTCCAGCTCTCTTAAACAGATAATTATAGAAAATATCAATTTTGCAAAGAAGGCATTATTACATGAAATTTTGAAAGGGAATGAAACGTCAATTAACAGTTTCAATAATTCTTTTTTAGAGATAACAAAAAACAATCAAATTTTCTCTGATCAAATACAACAAATGTGTACCCAGTTTGGAGAATATCAAGAAAAACTAATTTTATCAAAAGAATATGAACAAACAATAAAAGATTTAGAAATGGAAATATGCTCTCTAAAACAACAAATAAATGAAAACATGAGCCTTATAGGCATTAAAGATGCACAACTTGAAGAAAATTCTAGTACATATACAGAACAAAATTCAAAACTTGTTACTTATAAACAAGAGGAAGAAAAGTTGATGATACTAGTAAACCAAAATAATATTAAACTAGAAAAATGTGAACAAGAACTCTCATATTATCAAAACTTGCTTAATACTGAAAAAGCAAACTTTGATAATAAACTTGCCTCACAAAATGAAATAAACAGTGCAATTATTTCTGAAAATGAGACATTGAAGCAAAGATTACAAGAACTTCAAAGTTATAAAACTACATGGGAACAAGAGCAGGAAAGCAAGTTAGAGAAATTTCAAAAAATCAATGATCAATTTCAAAAATTAAATGTAGAGACTATTCAACTAAAGGCACATGAACTCGAATTAGAAGAAGAAAATAGAAATTTAAGAAAATCAATAGAGTCTAATAAAGAATCTTTTCAAGAAAACATAAGTGAAATAAAATTCTTGAGACAAAATATAGCTTCATATAACACAGAAAGACAAGAGTTCATTGCTGAAAAATTGTGTTTACAAGACAAAAACGAAGAATGTCACTCAATTATAAAACAATTAAAAGCAGAAGTTACATGGTTCAAGGATAAAATGAAAAATTTGGAGCAAAATAATTACAAGAAAGATGTTAATGCAAAAGAGAATAATTCAAAAACTAATGATACCCAATATCATAAGGAAAGAAGTAATTCTATATTTCTTCAAACACAGATTCTTAAAGATCCCATTAAAAAGAACATACTACAACAAAATAAAATTAATAATCAAAGGAAAAAAACATCACGTAATAAGATTGAAAAAAATCATGCTTTTGAAATTAATGGAAAGAAAAAATCGATGGATGATGAATTTGAACTATCGTTTTCTTCAACTGATGATCTTGAACTAACAAACTCTTCGCTATTATATGTAAAGCCGTTGAATCCAAAGATAAAAATGACCAGCAGAAAGGAAAACAAGAAAAAGTTGTTGTTAGTAGATGATTTTGATTTGGAAGAACCAATATCTAAAAAAACAAATTTAAATAAAAGAATCAAAAAATAACAACATAACTAAAAACACAGACATAGACAGAGATTTGTTGATACATTTTGAAAATAAATATATACATATAAATTTAAATTGCTACAGATATAATCTTTTGCTTTTTTTCGTTTCGAAACTAACATCAATTTTACCTTTTAAAATGTTTTAATGTTTCGATTAGTTCGTCTTCTTTAAAAAAATGCATTATCTTAATCAATGAATTGGGTTCATTGTCATTTTCGATATGTAAAACTGGAATATCAAAACAATATCTATCCCACCAATGCTTATATTTATTGATATTAATTATTTTCATAGCTATTCCTGCTTTAGAAAACTCTTCATTTTCGTTTAAAACATCATCAATGACTTCCTTAGCATTATCACATAACCCACAACTTGGTTTCCCAAAAAAGGTAAGTTTTAGATGAGAATAGTTCCCATTCCATAAAATATTCGAGCTACAAAATTGTCGCCTTAAAGGATATATCTTTAAAATAGACTTTAGCATTTTTTCCCAATATATGTAAAGTCCTAAACACACCTGTAAGCGGTAATTAGTGAATCTGTTATAATCTCTTTAGTATATAGATATAAATTTTACTTACTTACCATTTTAAGAGCCCATGACAAAAGATATGGTTCATTAAAAAAACAATTCTGGCCCATTCTTCTATATTTTAAGTGGAATAACTAATCCTTTAGAAATAATCGTTTTTTAATGAGAATAAAAAAAAATAAAAAGGGTTTTGGATTTCCCCCCATACTCAACAAGTTGAAAGGGAATATTTAATATTAACAGTTATAATCAAACCAAGATATCAACCATTCCAACGGTATCCATTTCACATATTATTATAAAACATCTTTTTGACTAACAATCAAAAAAGCATTAGTAATGTCATTTACTAATAATGAATTAAAAGAAATCGAAATTTTTGTTGTAAATTTGTTAAGGGATAAGGTCGGTCCAATAATCAAATCTGAAACAGGGATCACATCCCAACAATATATTGATAAGACCAATGCAGTAGATTTAGTTACAAAATACGATAAACAAGTGGAGGCAATTATAAAAGACACAATCAAGGACAAATTTGGTGATAAATTTAATTTCATTGGAGAAGAGGAATATATCCCAGGTAAAACTAAAATCTCAAATAATCCTACATTTATTTTAGATCCAATTGATGGTACTACAAATTTTATCCATGGTTTTCCTTATAGTTGTTGCTCTTTAGGACTAGCTATCGACGGTCACCCTGTTGTTGGTGTGGTTTACAATCCACATTTAAATCAATTATTTCATGCATCAAGAGGGAATGGTGCCTTTTTGAATAACCAAAGGATCAATGCTACAAGCAGACGTTTAACATTACAAAAATCGTTAATAGGTCTTGAAGCAGGGTCCGAAAGAAGTACGGAACCTGATAGTAACTTTAACAAGAAAATGACCACTTACAAAAATCTGTTAAGTGAAGATGGTGGTTTTATCCACGGATATAGATCCTTTGGAAGTGCAGCAATGAATATATGCCATACGGCCATTGGTGTTCTTGACGCATACTGGGAAGGTGGATGTTGGGCATGGGATGTCTGTGCAGGTTGGTGTATACTAGAGGAAACTGGTGGGAGAATTGTCGGTGGTAATCCTGGTGAATGGGATGTTCCTATTAATGGACGTTGCTATTTGGCTATTCGTGGAGGATGTGGTAAAAATGAACAAGATAAGTTTACTAAAGATTTCTGGGACCAAGTTGATGGAAAACTACAGTATTCTGAATGATTATTTACGAAAAGCAGATACAATTATTAAAGTGCAATTATTTAGCTATCTTTTCTCACTATTTATTTCTTTTTTTCTTCCCTTCTTTGTAATGTGGCCTACTGTAGTTTATTGATATTTTTTAATTATCTCTTTCTATTTCAACAAAAAAATAAAAAAAAGTTTCAAACTTCTTGTAAAAAAGAAATAGTGACACGTATAAGTATTTGTTTTTAAATAATCACAACAAAAAAAACAATTTCAAAAACGCACACCCAACAGTTACATAAGTTCATTAACAAGTATGCAATATGTTAAGATACATAGCGAACAGAATCATCCATATATTCACGCACATATATGTGTAGATAATTCCACAGATAAATTATTTTGATTCAGCCTATATATACATATATGCAAACAGAGAACATGTCAGATACAGAAGTATCCTTTCAACCAGAGACGCCTACAGTTGATATTTATGGGAACTCTAAACTTGTCATTGTGGCACGTTCTGCAGTTCGTTTCTTATTATCGCAAGCAGAATCATCTAACAACGTCATTACAAAAACTAGATTACAAAATGTGATCAAAGAAGTGTCACGTAAAGAGAATTGTCCTAGATACACTTTCAAACAAGTATATGAAGTCATTAATTTTATTTTAATGGATATCTTCGGGTACACATTACACGCATTGCCACCAAAGCCAAATTTTCAAAAAAATAATAAATCAAATGGATCCACTGAGGACAAAACAGGATATAAAGCAGACCATTTTATTTTATTGAATAAATTACCTCATGCACCCACTTTTAATGAATTTAAATTGTTACAAAACATTCGTATTTATGATGAAACTATTATCGATGAAGAATATATGGGGAATGATATGTCATTACCAAGTAATAATACATTAGAGAATAAATTGAGCGTTAATCAAGATACGGTAATGCATGGATTAATAGGTGTTACATTGACCATTATCCTTTTTTCAAAGAATAATATTTTACATCAAGAATTAATGAATAGATTGAATACTTTTGGAGTTCCAACTGATGGCACCAGGATCCCTATATTAAATTGGACCATAGATGAATTTTTGAAGATGCTAGAAAAAAGAGAGTATATAGTAAAGTTAGAAGAAAAATCAGATCTCGAAGAAGAGAGTATACTTTATCGTATCGGCAGAAGAACACAAGCAGAATTCACGTTGGAAAATTTAACGGCAATGGTCAGGGAAATTACTGGTTTAGATTCTCAACAAGCACCCTCATTAATGGATGATATTAAATTAACTATAGGGGACGCGTATGATTTTAGAATCCAATAAAAGGATCTATTACAATATTCTTCTAAAAATAATAAAAACAAAAACAAAAAATCAACAATCACTAATGATGAAAGTTTTTGAACAAATAAAGGCTTTCTTTATCAGACATTTTGATTTATTTGAAAAATATGAATCTACATAGGACTCTATCTAAACTATTTGTTAAAAGTGTAACTTTCTAAAAATTGAAATATTTGTCCCCCTGTTCAGGTGCTTCATTCCTTTTAATGAGTTTCATTATCCCCCTCTTCCCAAGTTCGTTATAGAATTAGGTTCAATTGCATGTGTATGATGTCCCACCTAGTATATTCCTATTCACAAAGTTTTTTTTCTTTTCTTTTTTCCTTTTTTTTTTTTTAAACAAAAAAGAAAACAACAAAATGTAAAAGAAAATCTTTTAAATGGGTAATCGTTTTTTTATTTAAACTGTTGTTAACTAATAACTAGGCGATTCTCTTTGTTATAATCTTCAGCTACTTTTAATAACTCCTTTCTTTGAAAAAGATTTATATAGTTTAGAAGATTCTCTGTTGAAAAGTCATTTATTTTGTGAAATCCGACAAAATGATATCTAACATTTTTTCGTGTGACACCAAGACTTTCTCTCGACGATTTTGTCTCATAATGGTATGAACAATATTTATTATCTTTCTCCGAATAATATTGACAATAGAATCTGCATGGATCAGAATTGAAGCGAGCCAACATGCTAAGTACATCCCTTGGACGATACTGCTTTTTGTCTTTAAACAACACTAATTGCAGATATATTTGAGGCAGACCTTTTTTATAAGTAGCAAAATCAACTTGATTTGGGTGTTCTCTATTTAGATTGATCAATTTTTCAGAATCCTTTTGCGGGATTATTCTAATAAATCTATGGTTTTTAGACTGATATTTTGTAATTTTCTTAGATGATTTTTGGTTTATGAAATCTTCTTGTAACACATTGTTGAAAATGGATTTCATGATTTAGAAAGTGTTTTTATCTTTATACATAAAGTATACTGTTCTGTCATTAGATAATAGTTAATGACGCCATTGTACGATAATGCTAACTTTGAAACTTCAGCAGGACAAAAAATAATAAAAAAAAAGGGAGGGGGGGTAAAAAAAGGAAGGATTGTGGCTGACAAAAATGACAGATTCTCTTAAAAATGCTTACAATGTATATATATATATAGAATGTTAATGCTAGCGTTTTCATAAAATAAGTTGGAATTTCTCTTTTTTATTTTCTTGAAAATACATACAAAAAACGAGAGATCAGCGAAGCCTCTATTCTGTGAGACACAGTGTTCTTTACATCAAGAAGAAATTTATTTTTTTTTTTCCTTCTTTTTGTTGCAAGTTTTTGTTTTGTTTTGTTTTTATTATTATCACTATTATCTTTTTCAATTTTCGTAAATCGGATGTCTAGAGTTAACTTTCTAAGGTTTTATTCTGTTTACAAAAGAATTACCCCTACATATGCTGGAATAAAGATTAAAAATTGAAGCTCACCGTAAATATTAGAACCTAACAATAATTCTATTGGAAAAGCACGAAGTTACATTGCAAGAAATACGTATACCAAGTTTCCTTTCCTTTCCTTTCCTTTCCTTTCCTTTCCTTTCTTTTCCTTTCTTTTCCTTTCTTTTCTTCTCTTTACTTCTACCGATCTACATTAGATCTGTTTTCCAAAAAATGTTTCTTGAAAACAGCCATCGAGATAAAGCAGCTCCTAATCAATGATTAATCCAAGGGGAAACTCTTCAATCAACTTGTAAAAATAAATGTTGAACCACACAGCTGCACTGGACAAAAAAAGAGGGCTTTTCTCAACACAAAATAAGGAAATAAGAAAATAGGAAAATTAAAAAAAAAAAGGGTTCAGTTCTATAAAAGAAAAAAAAATAAAAAACCCTTTTGATTCAAAATCTTAGGGGTGTAGAGATTTCTGGCATGACGCGACAGAAAAAAAACTTGTTTTATTTCTTTTTTCTTTTGTACTTTTTAAATTCTATTTCAAAGGAAACACAACAAGGGAAAAAAACAATAGAACACAATAGACCTTTCGTTCCCGTTCTCTTGTATTTTTCTCTTCGAGAGACCAAACTGGTTTATTTTCTTAAACGAATAATTAAAGATATTATTTTGTCAAGAAGATAAAGAACATAAAACCACGAAATTTGAAAAAAACAAACAATCTGCTTATTTTTTTTTTTTTTCAAGAAAAATTTAAATGCATTATTATTCTGGAGAAAAGACCATTAGAGTCGGAGTAAAACTGGCACTTGTGAACTTCATTCAATTAGAAGAGAATTCCCACTTCTTCTATTTTTCTATTTTTAAACGAAAAGTAAGACACCTTTTATTATTAACGTTTGTCATTGGCAAGTATCTTTCTCAATTTCAATTTTGATATAAATCTAAATGAACCTTTAACCAACCTTTTAGCTGTCAATTAATAGAACTTCCCAGTCTTTTTACACTTTTTTCCTCTTTCTTTTGCATTTTTCTCTGCTGACTTGAAATTTTTAAGCCATTCACTTTGATTCTTGCGGAAAAAAGAAGAACCACAAGAACAACAACAGTAGAGATAGTTTATAAAACTGTTAAAAAAAACCTTTTTATTTTTTTTCTTCTTTAAGATATATATATATACATATATATTCAGGTATCCGTATCTTAATCTGTTTTATATAAACACAAAGGCACACATCTATGTTTTGTTGTCACTAAGTCAAAAAAATGAATTCTACCGATTTAATGATTTTGGCCGTAATTCTTCTGGCTGTTCTTATCTACGTCAAATTAGATACATTAAAGGAATTGTTTAGCTCCAATGATAGTGACATATCTGTCGCAAATGGTGGGTCAAATGATATTGTACAACTAATGCGCGATAACGACAAAAACTATTTGGTTCTGTTCGCATCCCAGACTGGTACTGCAGAAGATTATGCTAAAAGATTCGCTAAAGAATTAAAATCAAAATTCAATTTAAATGTTTTGTGTAAAGATGTAGAAAACACTGATTTGGAAAATCTACATGAACTGCCTTCCGATATCGTCGTCTCATTCTTCGTCTCTACCTATGGTGAAGGTGATTTCCCAGATGGTGCTGTCATGTTCGAACAATACTTGAATAGTGCCCAATTGCCTGATTTAAAATTTACCGTCTTTGGTCTTGGTAACAACACTTATGAATTCTTTAATATGGCTGCAAAGAAAACTTTGAAAATGTTGTTGGCTGCTGGCGCCACTTTAATTGGGGAACTAGGTGAAGGTGATGACGGTAAGGGTACCACTGAGGAAGATTATTTGTCTTGGAAGGAAGCTATCTTCGACTCCTTACATGAACACATTAACTTATCAGAGACTAACAATGGTTTCAAATCCTCTTTCAATTTCACTTATTTGGATTCCATTGATGATAACGCTTACCTAGGGGAATTAACTGAAGATTACTTACCTCATCATGAAGTGAAAAATGTGGCTAATATTAAACATCCATTGATCACTAAAATCACTGCATCCAAGGAACTATTCAAATCCGTTGGTAGAAACTGTATTCACACTGAATTCGATATCTCTGGTTCTAGTATCAAATACGAAACCGGTGATCATGTAGCCGTTTGGCCATTTAATGCCAACGAAAAAGTGGAACAGTTCATGTCCACTTTTGGTTTAGATCCAAAGAAAATCTTCAATATGACTCCATCAGATTCAACTATGAAAGCTCCATTCCCATGTCCAACTACCATCGAAACTGCTGTTAGATATTATTTGGAAATCACAGGTCCTGTTTCTAGAGAAACTCTTTCTGTACTATCCGAATTCGCCCCAAATAATATTAAACAATACGTTATCAACTTATCCAAGGATAAAGAAGGGTTTGCAAAGGAAATCACCGCTAAGAAATTCAACCTAGCTGATGCGTTACTATTTCTATCTCAAGGTGAACCATGGTCCCAAGTCCCTTGGGAATGTCTAGTTGAAACCCTTCCAATTATTACCCCACGTTATTACTCCATCTCCTCTTCGTCTAATGCTGATCCAACAAAGATTCACGTTACCTCAATCGTGGAAAACTCTCCAAATGATTTGACTGGGTCACCAACTTTAGGTGTCACCACTAATTTATTAAGAAACGTTTCCTTACACATGAATTCCCCAGAATCTACCAAAATCCTGCCTGTTCAATATGATATTATGGGTCCACGTAACTTATATGGTGGAAATAGTTTACCAATCCATGTTCGTCACTCTGCTTTCAAATTACCTACAGACATCTCGGTTCCTGTAATCTTAATTGGTCCAGGTACAGGTGTTGCTCCATTCCGTGGTTTCGTAAGAGATAGAGTTCACTCAGTTACTTCTGGTGAAAATGCCAATATGGGTAAGATAATGTTGTTCTATGGTTGTAGAGATGAAAATGATTACTTGTATGAAGAAGAATGGCCTCAATACTCCACTCAATTAGATGGTAAATTCGAAATGATTGTTGCTTTCTCTCGTATCTCTGATAAAAAATGCTATGTTCAACATAAATTGAAAGAACGTCAAAATGATGTCTTAGCTCTTTTAAACCAAGGTGCAAATGTTTATGTTTGTGGTGATGCCGCAAGAATGGCTAAGGATGTTCAACATGCCATCTGTGAAATGATCGCTCAAGATAAAGGTGTTTCAATTGAAGATGCTTCTGAAATAGTCAAGGCTATGAAGGTTAATGGTAAATATCAAGAAGACGTCTGGTGAAATAATTATCTTGTCTGATTTATTTTTTAGTTATAATCTTTTGATTCCTACTTTATTTTTTTTTTTTCTATCATTTTTTTTGCATTATATACATATATCTTATATTTTCTCTCTCACGCCATTAAATATTAATATATACATTGATAAAAGTACTTTAAAATATGATATTTAATTTGTTTAAAGCTTTCAATCCTTAGAGTTTGTCTTCTTCTTCTTCCTCTTCTTTTTTAAGATGTTTATCTACTCTCTAGCTATCTGCTTTCTTTTGTAATTTAAAAAACCCATCAATCGCGCCTTTACCAACACTAACTTTTTTCTTGTTAACGAGTGTATTCTTCTTAACTACTTTAACCGATTTTTTCTTAATTATATCACTGCTCTTTTGTATCCCAACATTTATAGCACTTTCTGTTAGTGCAGCACGATCAATTGATACTTGAATACTATTTTTCTTAAACTCATTATACTTTTGAACAAATCCTTCTATCTTGGGTGATTTAAGTAAAATCTTATATGCATCAAACGGTATCAAAGATATTAACAAATTACAAGCCATAATATATTTAAGACAATTTTGAATATCTTCTGGATATTCCAACGATAAAGGTAAACTTTGTGGAAAATTATCTACGATTTTCTCCACTTTATCTAATAAAAACTCCGTTATTGTTTCTCCAGTAACCTTATAGTATCTATCACCACCTTCTTCAGTACATTGAGCAACTCTATTAAGCGCATCTTCTAACAAAATCATCGGAATCAAACTCCAATTCGTGTCGTGTGTATCCACTAAGGAGTCATGTATATCTCTAACAGTTAAAAACCTATTGTCCATCTTTTTAGACAATTTTTTAGAATCAGGAAAACTCCTTGTAACATATTCTTCCTCGGTATTTGAAATACTCTCTTTGTAAAAGACAGAAATTAAGCTAAATGCCAAATCATATAATGTGCTGATTTGAAACACACTACTAGAAATAATCTCTCCATCAGACCTATCTGCTTCATTTATCAAAAATGCTGATTTGATAGGCTCACCATTATCATTGTAATGATATTTCTCAGAGGCCAAATTCTCAATTTCTTTATATTTACAACTTTTACTAAATGAATAATCCTGAATTTGATACAATCGCTCGTTATGTAAAAATAAACTTAACTGTAACTTACTTGTATTGTTTGATGGGACTGGGAATTTAAATATTTCGATTTTGTCTGGTAAATCACCATCATTAGGTAAAAAAATGAACTTTTTATACGTCATTTTGTTTATTGATTAATGGATTTGTAAATTAAATTAATGACGAACAGTAGCAGTTACTGACTCCGACCAATAGGAAATAAACTAGCGGTTATAATTTGTTTCTATGGCTTCAAGTTGCAAAAGTTTCTCAAAGTTTTTTTCTTTCAAAGATTTGTTTTGAGCTGTATGTACGCTATCATTTTCGATGATTTCAAAGAATATTCTACTAATGTCTAAAATTAAATTTATCAAGAGAAAAAAAGATGGATAAACGCGAAAAACTTTAGGTGATACAAAGTTGTATATGCAACTAAAACGATAAAGTAGCTTCATCTATTGAAGATAGAAAAGACAAACATACTTAGTTAGAAGAATGTAGCTAGGTCTTATTTAAGGTTAGATTTTAGTCTCTTCCTGTGATGAAGTCTGATATAATACCAACTTTCCCTCTGCAAGATTTAACTAATATTTCTTTAACTAAGTACAACTCTGCTACAAGAGTCTGATATATCAGAACGAGTATTAGTTCCCCAAAAGAAAGAATACTACCAACATCAATACTACAAAACTCAGCTTTTTCTCAATGAATTATTTCAATAAAAGGGTGACTGGTAGACCCACAAATAAAACTTACTAACAATACTTACCATTTTAAGGGTACATTCAATTTTAAGAAGAAAGGAAAAATCATAAAAGCATAAAAGAATAAACATATATTGAACTTACTTACATGAATACAGTATATTTAACTAGCTTTAAAAAAAACAGTAATAATTTTTTTTTCGAAATAACATCAAAGTATACCTATGTAAGCATTCCTGAACTAATCTTTGTAGTAGCCATGCTCTTTTAAATAAGTAATAACAACGTCACGATCTTTGTTGACCCATTGTGCCTTAGATGTAATAGTGTCTAAGGATTGGGCTAAACTTTGGTCAAAACCCTTAGTAGATCTGTTGTCAAAAAATTGTTTAATTTCTTTCTTGGCATCAAGACTAGTAAAACCAGATGTGGCGAGCATGACGACGGAACCCAACATAGACAAACCTGGTGGTAATCTCTTTGATAATTCATCCCAATTTTTTTGAGTCCAGTTCCATAGGGCTTCTACACCCTCTTTATGTGTTCTCATACCTTGCATAGGAATGTAAATATCTTGGTTTAAGACTGTACCGTCAAATAAATAACCTAAAGTTCTCTCCAATAATTCCGGTTCCTTAAATCTACCTAATGTTCTTAAAGCTGCCAATTTTTCATCTGTGGAAACTGGGTTCTTGTATAACGAATAAATTTTCTCATAATTTTCCTTCCCACCAATTCTAGCAACTGTGTTAAATACAACGGGTTTAATTAAAGCTGGAATAGCATTCTTATCACCAGCTGCATACTTTTCAAACATTTCAATTGCAGCTTTTTCCACTTGTTGTTCTCTAGCAGCACAAGCAGCACCAAATAATGTCACTTTCAATCTCTTAGTGGCAAAATCCTCATTTTTAGAGAAATCCCAGCCCATTTCATTCATTTTTTTGGTAACCAAATCTCTAACAAATGCATTGATACCTTCTGTAACATTTTGTGGTTCAAAGATCCAGGTCGTCTTAAACGAAGAAATGCTATTCAAAATCTGTTCCCATACAACAAACGATTTCTCATCTCTCCAACTAGATACAAGTTCCAAGAAATTAACAGTAGAAGTGTAGCCTGATGTAGATAAGGCCTTCACATCAGCCACAAGGCCAGTACGATCTTCAACAGATAACAGATTCGCTTGTTGCCCTAATTTTTTCCATCTTTCATCAGAATATGAAGTGATATAAATGCCAGATTGATCACCATTAACCTTAAAGAAATCTACATCATCTAATTTAACTGTCATAGATCTTTCCTTCAATTCTAAAGATGAGTCAACACCATTTTTAGATTTCAAAGCTAAAAAGACTGGATATAAAGTTTCATCTTCTTCTGGCTTTACATCACCAGTAGAGAAATAACGATTCTGGGTAAAAGTAATTTCATTACCCTCTTCTTTAACAGTGATAACAGGGAATCCAACTTTCTTGGTCCAAATATTCATAACTTCAGTAACATTTTTACCAGATGCAGCAGTTAGAGCATCCCATAAGTCTTCAGTCTTAGCATTACCATATTTAAACTTTTCCAAATATTGTGAAACACCTTTGATAAAAACATCTTCACCTAACCATTTAGAAATCATTCTTAATAAAGAAGCACCTTTTGAATAAGAAATAGCATCAAAAATTTGGTTAATTTCATCGGCTCTTTTCACAGGAACTTCAATTGGATGAGATGATCTTAATGCATCTAAAGATAAAGCATGTTGCAAAGTGTCTGTAACATATTGTTCCCAGACTTTCCATTCAGATTCGAACTCATTACATGAATACCAAGACATCCAAGTGGCAAAACCTTCATTTAACCATAAACCTTCCCACCAATCCATGGTAACCAAGTTACCAAACCATTGATGAGCCAATTCATGTTGCACAACTTCAGCGACTCTTTGAATACGATCCAATGTAGAATTTTCTTTATCCAGTAATAAATCTACAACACGATATGTCACAAGCCCCCAATTTTCCATTGCACCTGCAGAAAATTCAGGGACAGCAACATTATCCATTTTAGGTAGTGGGTATTTGATACCAAATGATTGTTCAAAGAAAGCCAATGTTTTAGCGGTTAAATCAGCAGCAAATTGACCTAGATGCTCTTCACCTGGGGCAGCATATACTCTAACCGGGATACGGAACTCATTATTTTCTACATATTTTAATTCGGCCACAATGAAGGCTACAAGATAGGTAGACATGCTTGGAGTTGGATTAAAAGTGGTATATTTCTTACCATTTTCAATAATTTCTTTATTGACATCCATATTAGATAAATGAGTCAATTCAGGGGAAGAAATCAGTGTAATAGTAAAAGTGGCTTTCAAATTTGGTTCATCAAAACATGGGAATGCACGTCTTGCATCAGTAGGTTCCATTTGTGTAGTGGCCATATATTTTGTCTTGCCGGTAGCTTTGTCTTCATATTTTGCACGATAAAACCCTGCCATGTTATCATTCAAAATACCGGTGAATTTGATGGTCAATTTAATATGATCCGTGTCTCTGGCTTCATTTTTAACAGTACCTTGCGGAAAATTTAGAGCAGTTACTTGAGATTCCTTATCAGTTTTTATACTAGATGCATCTACACCATTAATAGAAGCCGAATGGAATTCGATGTCCACAGAGTTTACGCTAATTGTATCTATTGAAGTGTCATTAACCTTCAAATCAATGGTGGTAATACCCTCGAATTTAAAGGTTTCAAAATTAGGCTCCATCTGCAAATCATAATGCAATGGGGTAACATTCCTTGGTAAAATTTCACGATCCATAATTGCTCTATGAAGAAAAGTTTCAAGAAGAAAAAAAAGTAGAATAAAATAAATATCTTATTCTATTTTATTTTACCTTTTTACTTTTATGATGAATATATCGATTAAAATAGAATTGATTGTTAGTTTCAAAAAAGTTTCAATTTCTACAAAAAGACAAACGTAAGACAATAATTAAACAGCTTGCAAAAGGATATACGAATAGACATACCTATATGTCTATATATATAATCTATTCGTCTGTTATCAATCAATTAATCAGTAATAGATAAAAATCAAGGGACTAACACACACACAAAAAAAAGGAAAGTTGCAACAGCAAAGGGACAAATTAGTCACGTGAAAATCATGTGACCTGGTCCAACTAGTTCTCAATCACTGACTGATATTTCTCTCTAAAGAGAGATATTGTAGATAGATAAGTAGATAGATGTATTGAGACCAACGTGTATCGTATCATACAGACACAAATATATCTCTGTTTCTGTTCGACCCCATTTCTTTCTTACCTTTTCTTTTTTGTCTTTTTGTGGATAGAAAATGCTATTAATGTTACACGTCAAATATTGTCAAAAAAAAAAAAATTATATACATACTTTAATTTTTGAGGATTTCTGCTACATTTAAAACAGGAGAGGTTAGTTGTGGTTATCAAGGTTCTAACTCTATTAGAGGCAATACTTGAATAAAACAAACTTTTTCTTTTCATTAATTCTGAACAATGCTTATTATTCAAATATACTAGAGATGACCATTGAGATATATTTCTTATTTGTAATTTTCTTTGTCCTAAAAAAATTAATGTTGTTGGAACACATTGTAGTACCATATTTAGTCTATGGAATATTTTTGATGCAACCTGCAAGGCTGCAGTTCCCCTCTTAGGCCCTATTAATTTCATCATCGTGCCCCTAGTAGTGTACTTATCTTACTTATTTATTCCACCTACTGTGTATATGTTATCCCAAATACTAATGGAAAATAATATCGTACAAATAAATGAAGGAGGGTCAGTAACAATATATTCCACATATTAAACATATCTACACATATTGAACCCTACTCGTATCTAATCTATATCATATACTCTCAATTATGACATATATACAAATATCACTCTGGTGTAAACAAAAATGGCTTAGCTCGGACTTCGAGCTTTAAGATTAAAAAACGAAAAATTAAGAGGAATACAAAAAAAAAAATACTAGAAACTTAAATATAACTTGACAACTTGCCTTTTACTTGACAGACATACCTGGAACGTACAGTTACAAATATATACACATGGAAACTAAGGCAGGGTATCAACAACAAAGAAAAGGATAAACAACAAGAAAAAAAGTAATTGAAAGAATTGTTTTATGTATATATATATATTTTGCTACGGCTTTTATTTTTATATATATTTTTGAAGATCTATCAATAAGAAACTATTACAAAAACTTATTATTTTCATCCTTTGCTTTCTCCTCTCTATTAATTGCTATCATTGTGCTTGAACTTTGATTTTCAAGTTAAAAACAATATATTTAAGTGAAAGAGTTTCAAAAATAATATGACGACTGATACGATTATAGTGACATCGAATCAAAAAAACTTCGATGTCACTAAACCTAATATTGTGAAAATTTTACAAAAATGGCTAGGTTCCACAATCCTACTAAATTATAAAATTTTACCTGATAATCCAATTGAATTGATCATATTAAGAAAATTTAAAAGAATCTTAATCATATCTCCAGATGTGGACATTTCAAGTTATGTATTCACATTGTTTCAAACTGAAATCAAGCAAAACAATAACAATCCCATTTTGAAAGACTTGCAATTTAGTTATTCTTTAACCAATACACATGGAATAAAATTTGATCCAGATAATCCTAATAATAGCATAAATCAAGACCAAAAAGAATATCTTAAATTACCGCCCTCTGATAAATTATTTTTAATTAGTCCTCCAAGTTCTCCCCCACCTGAATTTGATTATTCAAGATGTGAAGAAGTGCCTCAACTTACCCCTAACGCCCTTCACATTAAGGATCACTCAAACTCTACAATATTACATGAGCTTGAAAGTACATCGATCTCCTCAAAACCTAAGATTTACACTTTACTTACAAGCGACGTTGCCAATATCGTTATTAATCAGTGCGAAAATATAGGAAATAACGATAATACATATTCTACTATTCACCATATAAAAACAGCCGTACCCCCAAGATCCATATTTGATACGGACGAAGAGATTGCCAGTGGTGAGGATACTTGAATATAATTTTTACATATTCTCTTAACACAAAACAAGTTACTACTAATCTAAAAATTTTAATTCTTTTATCTACTTGAGCCAACAAAGTCCTATAAACGGTGTAAAAGTTACATTATGTATTGTCATATTAAAATACTTGTAGTTTAAATCGTATTTTATTATAAAATATAGTTTGATCTTTACAAGTCAAAGTTTTCTTACCTACTCTTGTTTTTTTTTTTTTTTTTTTTTAAATTTACTTTAAATATAAGTATTCTTATGGTAATAAAATTCATCTTTTTATAAGTGGAATCAGCAAATTTAGTGGAAAGATTATCTGAAGAAAACAGTTCTCTTCAAATTGCAGCATACTAAAATATACATGTATACATGCTACCAAACTATGTATACCTATATGTACTCGTCATATGCTTCAATTTACAAAGGATTGTAATACATTTTTTAACAGAATAATATATTTTTTACTTAACGATATTTTTATACTCTAATAAAGTTAATTGTCAAAGGAAAACTTCCAACCTCAAGGCTTTCTATATATGAAAATGTAAATCAAACTTTATTATGACAATGGTATAATTTACTCATTAATATGCACCATTGTTCTCCCCCTACTGTAAAATCGCCTCTGAATATTTCAAACTTTTTGTAATTATCTGTAAGGAAAACTTGTACTTGTTCAACACAAAGATATGCCGAAATCTGCAGGTTCGAACTCTTTGTCTCCTTCAATTGAAAAAAAACATAAAGTGTCAGTCGATCCTTCTTACAATTTCTATATACAACAGTATTTATTATAACTACTTACCAATTACAATATTTTTCTTCGTCAATACTAAACGTAATTAGCTAATTCTCCCGGTGTGGCTTTTCTCTTTCAGCACACCTACTAAAAGTAATATTTTTTTTGCCCTAATTGTGACTGTTCACAAGAAAAAAAATTTTAGAATATCTAATATTACACCCATACATTTTTGTACGCTTTTTCTTATATCCCAAATAGGCAAATAGAACAATTTTAATTCTTTTTTGCATCCATAAATTTTGTTCCTTTCTGTATTTTTTATTTCTCATCTGTTTTTGTTTCTCGTTTTCCTATTTTCTCCCCCGTCTGGTGGAGGGGTCCCCTGTTTATTCCTACGCAGTTCATTTCTTATAGTTTCAGTAGACCAATATTCCACCCGTTTAATCTCTGTTTGATTAGGTGGGTAATATGATATGGTCTCCACTTAAAGTCCATGAGACTTGGACAGAAGACACACTGAGACATTTACAGAAGCTAGTTTCTTGGTAAGTTTTGTCGTTCTATGTTGATGGTAGAGGTAGGAGGAATGCCACGGACGAGATAACCTAACAGTTGCAATGACTTGCGTAGCTTCACAGAGGCCGTGTATGTGTGTGAGTGTGTGGTAAAAGTAGTTGTTTAGTTTGCTATTACAGTATATGTGGTAATAGTATGTCCGTTCTAATGTATAGTTACTTAAAGGAGAATCTTGCTTGCCATTAGCTAAAATATACCTTCGTAGCATAAGAGCCAACACATAAAGAGCATAAATATACAGGATGGTATGTACAATAATGATAAAATCAGAGAGCTAATAAAAAAATGACAATGAACAGGAGTAAATTGCAATGTTCAAACAGGATTATGTAGTAACAGTAATGAAAACCATAGTAACAAGAACCATATAAATCCAAAGCAAAACTTCAATACAGATTAAGAGACATCGAATACATGAAGAATAAAGTGCTTGCTTATGTAAAATGATATCAATGAGTAAGATAGACTAAGATGTTGAATATTATGACTCTATATATTATTTTTTCAAAAATATAGTCGAGAGTGGTTGGTGGATAATAAGATACATGCTAATATTGTAGAATAATAATTGGCTAGGACGTTAGATGATAAGTAAAAGTATATCATGTTACTTCCTCATGTTTTAAGAAGAAAGTAGTCTGAAATGTATAACAGGAAAATTTACTAGTTAGCGGTAATATCTGTATATTTTCTCCTATTTGTTTTTTTTTGTTTTGAAAAAAAATTTTATGAGATACAAACTCATTAGTTATTCTAAGAAGAATCGTGGTTTACTAACAAATATATCTCACCTTTGATGCTCTGTTTTTTGTTTCTAATGCATTATTGTGGTAATTCCATACAATTTATATTGAACGTGTGTTTGCGTTTGATTGTTTTGCATATGTGTGCATATGTTTTATTAAAATAGGTTTTAGTTCAAGATTTATTACACCCAACTGCCGCCTCTGAAGCTAGAAAGCACAAGTTAAAGACCTTAGTCCAAGCTCCAAGATCTTACTTCTTAGACGTCAAATGTCCAGGTTGTTTAAACATTACTACTGTCTTCTCTCATGCTCAAACCGCAGTCACCTGTGAATCATGTGCCACTGTCTTATGTACCCCAACCGGTGGTAAGGCTAAATTATCTGAAGGTACTTCTTTCAGAAGAAAGTAAACGTGTGTATTGAAAAGAAAATAACATTCATAATGATTTCTCTTTAAATAATATATACATATTTACTACATCAACAACAATAACAATATAGAATATCACTTCTTGATTATAATCTACAAGTGTAAAGTATTGCAGCGGGAATTCGTTGTGATCTTTATATTTTTTGTAATTTTTTTTAGGTTTACTATTTTATTCATTTATATGCATGCATTTATGACTATATAAATATAATTTTGTGTCTATTTATCTCTGGTTGTATTATTCAATTATGATATAAAGACATTAGAGCATGCTCATGATATTTACAGTCATAAAATCACTGAACATTTGAAGGTATTTTTACCTTTATGTATTTTTAATTTATTTTGTATAACAACCTGTTGTATCTATACCTGTATCCATATATTTACATAGTTATATATATGTATCTTTAGTGATGAATGAATTTATTTATATTTACATGGAATATGTAAGGAAAACTAAAGAAAAAAGAAAAAGAAAGGGAAGAAGAGCAAACAGAAAAAGGAGTGTTATGATGTTAAATATCAAAAACGCGTAGTAACAATTGTAGTTTTATAACAACATTTTATAGATATTTGCTAATTCATTAATATTCTCCTTTGTAGGTTCTTTGACCTGATCCAGTTCAATTAATCTTTTCTTCAGTTCTAATCTTTTTTTACGTTCTTCAGTCTTCAAATTTTTAATACGGTCCTTTTCGAGTCCTTTCAAATGTTCAAAATCTATCCTGTTTCTTATTGGAATCTTAGTCTTTGCACCATGTGGCCATAGATCACCCCATTTTGATTTCCTTGCGTCATGGTAAATTTCCTTTGACATGGATTTAGGGATAATCCAATTTTCAACTTTCCCATCTGGAACGGTGGAAACATTTAAGATGACATGCCCCTTTTTTTTAATAGGAGGGCTGATGATTCTTGGCCAATTATCCATTTCTAACGATGGAACAGATTTACCTACGACCAAATAGGTATAATTAACCAATTCGTAGTTGTTGCCATTGGGTCTACCTTTACCTCTTAGGTTTAATAGCTTTCTTCTATCTTGATTATTCCAAGACAAAGATAGCAGCTTGCCACGTTTCAATTCAATAGAGAATTTGGGTCTTTGAACCATTTTTTCAAACGAGATAAATTTCAATTTTTTACGTAGTTGACTATCGTTTGGATCATTCAGTTTATAATAATTTAGGTTACCTAATTGTAAGGGGCATTTGTTCATATGTGAGCACGGGGCAATTATAGAGTAGTCCTGGTGGTGATCACCGCCAACACTGTTATCTTTGCCTGTCGTAGCTGTTAAAGAACTGTTCTGACGAATAATCAATTCTCTTACCCTTGCAACGGTCTCAGCACCGGTAGGTGTACCTCTTTCTACAATGACAAGATACCCACCATCATCAGATAAAAGAGACAAATAATGGTTCAATTGCGAATCTATTTCATACGGATACTTACGGGGGTCCTTTAGCATCTGGTGGTTCAAAATAATCAAATTGTATTTAAGTGAGGTGGGAACGGTTGACAATAACCTAGTCTGAACCTGCCTCTCCAATGGTTGTGCATCCAGCAACATCCTGGCTCTCCTTGACATTTCTCCACTGCTAGAGAGTATTACAGAGTCCTTTCTTTCTGCACCCCAAGATTTCTGAATGCTGTTGTCTTTATGGACACTGTTATTCAAAAGATCATTTAGTACAAGCATACCTGTAGAAGGACCATGACTGACATCAAGGATAGATTTAGGAGCAAATCCGATCAAATCAAATCTTCTTTTCAATTCATATAAAACGGAATAACAAGATGCATAATCTCTAAGGAAGAAAGCACCGATAAAGGAATCAGTCTCCAGCTGGGTTTTAACCACAGGGAACATTTCTGTTTCTTTTAATTGGATATAGAATTTTTGTATGATACGTCTTAAGTTGTTAGGTAAATGGTTAGAAATTATATTATTGTTTATTACTGTAGCTAATTGAGGACTCATTATAATCTGTCCTCTAAGAGTGTGACCTAGTAAAGTCTTTGGCAAATATTTAGACAATGACGACTGACATATTGTGCTTGTTGAAAAATGCCTTATCATTTGATAATTGTATTAATGTAATTGATATTATTAGTATTAGTAGTATTATCCAACCTTTGTATTATCAAGCACACACACACACACCAAAAAAAAAAAGAATAAAATAAACAAAAAAAGAATAGTTTACACTTTTCACATGGTTATGTTCAAATGATTTGTAATATTAAAAACTCATAAATATATAATTAAACAGAAGAGAAAGAAATAGAAAGAAACTCAAAATTTAAGTTTAATAGAAGCCACTAATGTTACAAGTTTGTTGAAAGCATTAAACTAACATTAGTAGAGTGATAGTAACAATAATCGCGGTAGTACTAGTAATGATAACGACAACATCCAAACAATCTCTTAGACTTTTTCTCGAGAATCTGCCAGTCACTAGAATGATCTTCAAAAAAATTACAATAAAACAAAATAAAAAAAAAAAAACATAAAAGCATAAAAAGCGCTAAAAAACGGAGACAGTAATAGAAACATCCATACACCACTCGCTCTCTAATAAGAAAATGAGGTGAAGGGGAGGAAAAAGAGAAAAAAAAGAGAAATCATAGAAAATGTGATGAAAAAAGAAAAGAACAATATAAACAACAAACAATAGAATCGAGAAAAAGAGAGAGAAGAGCAGTGCTATTGTGTATGTATTGTGTTTGTGTTTGTGTTTATTATTCAATATAACAATATGATAATACAATAATACAATTATACAATTACACAACTTATTACGTATACAGCTGTGATCACATAGGCAATTACCCAAAAAAAAAGAAAAAAAAGAGAACTTATTTTTGAGTACTAAAACCTAAATAAAACAATAAATGGGGCAATACTATTTACTATTACTACGAACACAAACACAAACACAAACATGTTTTATGCTATATGAAATAAAAACTTTCTGTTCTCATCTCTCATTTCTTGATCACAGCCTTTATAATTCAAGAAGATTTGTCAAGAGACTTCTCACACAAATTTGGGCGGCTAACAGAGGCACCCTTAATTTTTTTTTATTTATTTTCTTCATTTATTTATTTCTCTTTAGAAACTGGGTATCACATCATTTACTACGAAAGACGACAACATGTGCAAATAGTGGAGAAGGTATGGATGTATAAATACCATTTTACAGAGATCATTCTGTACGTAATCTTGTTTTCCTTCTATTTCTTCTATTTTCTTTTATTTGTTCATTGATTCCTTTATTCAATCAGCGATGCTACAGAACATGTAGCCAATATACTGTTTTCATATAATTGACTAATTATTCCTTTTTTTTTTTTCTTCTTTATTTATTTATTTATTTATTTATTTATTTATTTATTTTTATGATATTACCAGAAAGTAGAAAAGTGAAAGATCACAACAAGAAGAAAAGATACTTTCAATATTGCCACCATCACTATTAACTATCCTCTCACAATAACATGTATTCTATTATTATTGGTACAGTATTGTTGATAATAATAACTGTATTATGGACAGTATTTAAATATCTTCTGTCATCCTCAAGAAACCAAAATAATACGTATCTCTTAAGTAATGATTTAAATATACTTAACAACAAAAATAGCAAAAATTTAATCAATACTCCAACATTCGTTATATTAGGTCCCCAATATAGCGGCAAGACTACCTTTTTCAATTTTTTGACAACTAATAAAATTAGACCATTTGTCACATCACAAGAAATATCTATCTCTAATAAAAATAAAAATACTAACCACAATTTCACTTTAATCGAATTTCCTGGACACATTAAACTGGTTTATAAATGGAAATCTTGGTTAGACTTAGTTACTTCCAATCCAAATAACTATAATAGTAATACTGGTAGTAATGGTAATAATAAAAATTTGAAAGGCATAATATTTATGATTGATTCAACGCGGGATTTCAAATCGGATACTAGTAATGATTATTGGGAACAAGTAGCGGAATGGTTAATATACATTCTAGATAAATTAGAACAACTTAGCTACCCAACTAATTTATTGATTGCATGTAACAAGAATGAAAGTTTCATCTCTAGACCACCCAATAAAATTAAATCTCTCCTAGAAATAAAAATTGGGCAAGTCCTTTCAAGAAAAAAATCATCCATGTTAATTGATCCATCTAATAGTAATAGCTACAAAAGTGATATCACTACTACTACTACTGCTGCTGCTAATACTATTACTAATATGAATAAAAGAAGATATATAAACGGTAGTGATACTTATAATGAGGATAATTCCAATGATAACCCATTATTTGACTTATTCCCAGATCCATTGAAATTTAAATTTGATTCATTAGAAACTTCAGTTGAAGTGTTAGGTGGCAGTGTATTAAAACAAAATATTGATCCTTGGAAGCAATGGATTGAAGAACATCAATAATCATTATTCATTCTTAAACCCTCTTTCTTTAACTATATACATATATACATATATATATGTATTTATAAATAAGTATAAATATTAATAGATATATTACTTGTATGCTATCCTCATTATATGATGGGTCAAACAGTATTGGTTTTATTTTACTTATAATGCATTATTACAGTGTTTTGTTCTTGCGGTCACATGACTAATGGACTTAGTTTAGGGCTTGATTAGGGTATTTGAGGAAAAAATAAAAAAAAAAATGGTTCCTTCTTCTTTGTTTCATTTTTTTATATTTCTTTTACAAGAAAGAGGATATTTTCTTTTTTCCCATTCAGTGGCAAAAATAATAAGAATTCAAAAAGAGAGAGTTCAATTAATGTTGTTTCAGTTTTGATACTGATTGGATTCGAAAATCACATATCACTAGCATATAGAGTACAAACCAAAAGAGAGAGAAAGACATAAGTTATATCTCACATTATATTATACATCCCTCTTTTTAGTTTTTATACATATCTCACCTCTTTCTTCCTTTCTTTCCTTTTTTTTTTTTTTTTCTTTCTGTAAAACATAACCATTGCAAAGCATTTCAATAAAATGAGTAATAATAATGGTAATGATAATGATAATAATAAGGGGACTAACGAGTCCACTTTAGCCCCTGCGACTGACCAAAGAAATAGTGTAAAAGTAAACGAATCTAACAACAAGGACAAAGACAATGTAGAAGAACAATTATCTGAAGAAGACCAAAAATTGAAAGACGATTTGGAGATGTTAGTGGAGACTTTGAAGGAAGATAACCACGATACCCAAATCTATTTAAATTCTTTAAACCAATTAAAAATGTTTATCAAAAATTCAACAAATTCAATGACAGCTGTACCAAAACCTTTAAAATTTTTACGTCCAAATTATCATTTGTTATGTCAAATTTATGATAAATGGATAGATCCAAGTTTAAAATCCTCTTTAGCTGATATTTTGTCTGTTCTAGCAATGACTTTTTTCGATAATGGTAAATATGATTCACTTAAATTCAGGTTATTATCCAATAACTTTGATGATATTCAAAATTGGGGTCATGAATATATTCGTCATTTAGCTTTAGAGATTGACGAAGTTTATCAAATTCAATTAGAATCTACTGTCAATAATGATACAGATAACAATGACAATGACAACAATAACAATAATAAGAATAATACAACTGTAAACACCACAATATCTAGTGAAACACAATATATTGCAAATCAGTTCTCTAAAGATGATATCTTACAGTTGTCCTTAAACATCGTACCTTATTTTTTAAAGCATAACGGTGAAGAGGATGCTGTCGACCTTTTACTTGAAATCGAATCAATTGATAAATTACCTCAATTTGTTGATAATGACACTTATAAAAGAGTATGCCAATATATGGTTGCATGTGTTCCTTTGTTACCTTCACCTGACAACACATCTTTCTTAAAGACTGCGTATACTATCTATTTAAACCATTCTGAATGGACTGATGCGTTATCCTTAGCTATTAGATTAAATGATGAGACTTTAATTAAATCAATCTTCGATTTGACTAACGACCCAATCATGTTAAAACAATTAGCCTATATTTTATCAACTCAAAGAATCTCAATCCAACTTGATGGAAATAACGATTCCGATAATTCATTGAGGGAAATCATCGGTAACACAAAATTATCTGAACTGTTTCTTTATTTGGTCAAAGAACTAAACCTATTGGAACCGAAAGTTCCCGAAGACATTTACAAATCTCATTTGGATAACTCGAAATCTCTTTTCAATAATTCTGGATTAGATTCTGCACAACAAAATTTGGCTGCATCCTTTGTTAATTCCTTTTTAAATATGGGTTATTGTAAAGATAAAATGATTGTTGATAGTGATAACTGGGTTTATAAGACAAAAGGTGATGGTATGACTTCTGCTGTGGCAAGTATTGGTTCTATCTTTCAGTGGAACCTTGATGGGTTACAACAATTAGATAAATATTTATATGTGGAAGAGACCGAGATCAAAGCAGGTGCTCTTTTAGGTATTGGTATATCGGCTACAGGTATTCATGATGGTGATGTAGAACCAGCACTATTATTACTACAAGACTATGTGACAAATACCAATCAAAAGATCAGTTTTGCTGCTATTCTAGGTCTTGGTATTGCATTTGCTGGTAGTCAAAATGAGGAAGTGTTAAGTATTTTATTACCTTTGGCATCTGATACTTCTTTGCCTATTGAAACTGCAACCATAGCTTGTTTGGCCTTATCACATATTTTTGTCGGCACATGTAATGGTGATATAACTACATCCATTTTAGATAATTTCTTAGAACGTAATGTGATGGAATTAAACACAGAATGGATCAGATTCCTTGCTTTATCACTTGGTCTTCTATACTTAGGTCAAGGTGAACAAGTAGATGACGTTGTAGAGACTTTAAATGCAATTAAACATCCAATGACTTCCGCCATTGAGGTACTAATTAATTCGTGTGCTTTCTGTGGTTCTGGTGATGTCTTGTTAATTCAAGAACTATTACATCGTTTAACTCCAAAAGCAATGACCAAGCCAGGTGAAGATGAAGAGGATGAAGATGAAGATGAAAACGATTCTACTACCGCTGCTGGTGGCTTGGAAGCATTTTTAAGTCAACAAAATGATGTAAGTAATAAAGAAGATCAAAATGAAGATAACGATAATATGGATGTTGATGCCCCTGAAGATGATAACAACAATAGCAATACTCAAGAAAATGATCATAAGACTCCAGAACCTTCTGTTGATGCTGGTCCAAGTGAAGAACAAGTGAATAATGTGAAGGAAGAAACGGATACAAATAGCCATGAGGATAAGTCAAAGGAAAAAGATGGTGAATCTAGCAAAATAGATGAATTAGCATTTGCTGTTCTTGGTATTGCATTAATTGCCATTGGTGAAGACATTGGTAAAGAAATGTCCTTACGTCATTTTGGTCATTTAATGCACTATGGTAATGAACATATTCGTCGTATGGTTCCATTAGCAATGGGTTTGGTTTCTATCGCTGATCCACAAATGAAAGTGTTTGATGCATTAACAAGATTTTCACATGACACAGACTTGGATGTTTCAATGAACTCTATTTTGGCTATGGGTCTTTGTGGTGTAGGTACTAACAACGCACGTCTTGCCCAACTATTAAGACAAATTGCTAGCTACTATTCTCGCGAACAGGATGTTCTATTTATTACAAGATTAGCTCAAGGTTTATTACATTTGGGTAAAGGTACACTTACAATGGACATATTCAACGACGCACATGTGTTAAATAAGGTTACATTAGCCTCTTTATTGACTGTACTTGTTGGTATGGTCTCTCCAAGTTTCATGTTAGTCCATCATCAGTTATTCTACATGTTGAATAGTGGTGTCAGACCCAAATTTATTATAACGTTAAACGAGGAAGGTGAACCAATCAAAGTTAATGTTCGTGTAGGTCAAGCTGTAGAAACCGTAGGTCAAGCTGGTAAACCTAAGACCATTACTGGCTGGATTACGCAATCAACACCTGTGCTACTAGGTCATGGTGAGCGTGCTGAATTAGAGAATGATGAATATATCAGTTATACAAGTAACTTAGAAGGCATTGTAATATTGAAGAAGAATCCAAATTTTAATAAAGAAGATTTATGAAAGCAGATACATAAGAAAAGGAGTAGATTCTTACAGATTACAAAAGATATAATGTGACTGTTGATATTATTCATTGTTGATATTATATAATCAGTATGTGCATGTCTGTATATTTAACAAAAAAAAAATATAAATGTATGTTAAGAAATTCCAAATATATATAAAAATATCATTTTATTCTGTATCTGGTGTATAATTACAAATATATCCATATTTCTACACAAGTATAAATACCCAAAATAGATACATATGCAGATGGATATATAATCTGAAAGGATTCTATCCTCTTTTTTTATATATTATCTTATTTTTTTTCTTGTTAATAGAATGAGATGATTGAGTAAGTTCATTCAAATTCGCCAGCTTTAGCAGCCATTAATAGTCCTGTAATCAAACCTAATAAACCAAGAATCGAACCAAAAATTTCTACTACAAGGATTTTAACGAAAAGAGAACTATCAGCAGCATCTGATATGGCAGCAGTAGCTCCAGTAATCCCGACAGCAACACCGCAAATTAAATTTGATGCTCCCACCGTGATACCTGCCCAAAACAACGAATACCCAGTAAATAGATTATTTTTAGAAAACATGGTCTCTGGATTAGCTACTGTCATCTTTGAGCCGAACACGATGGCTATAATTAGACCATATATTGCCACAACTTCACAGAAAATAATAGAAATCAAATTCTTAGTAGTGATTCTTGGGACTTTGACACCGGCACCTATCATTGATGCACCTGTAATGAAAATCCCCCAAGCAGCACCAACTACAGAAAGACCAATACACAATGTAATCCCTAAAGATGCCCACATATATGGGGATGATCTAGTCAAAAATTTACCTATATTGATATCTTCACCATGACCCTTGAATAGTTTATATAGGACATAAGCAACCACTATTGTAGCTAGTATGGAATTAACCCAAGCTTTTATATGTAAAGAAAAACCTAAACCAGACTTAGTTTGTGATACGGAAGTTGTAGAAATTGTAGACATGGAAATCCCTATCTATGTTTATGTGATGTGCAAATATTTAATAAATAAAAATACTAATAATTTTTTTCTTGTATGAGTAGAGATATTAATGTTTAACTTTTGAGTTAAAGTATTAAAGTGCAAATTTGGAGATATAAATATTCATAACAGCTGACTCTTTTTTTTTGTTACCAGCTTATCCATATGTGTAAGTGACGTTTGCCCAGTTTGTTCGATTTTGATAGTTTGATATTTTTAATTTTTGCCCGCTTTTTGTTTTTCTTAATAATTTGTTCTCCTTCCTTTCTCTGAGAAAAAGAAACACAGGTTGCCCTAATTAGTGTGATATAGCTGTGAAGAACAGAAGAATTAAAAGAAGATGATGATGAAAAATATATTATTCAATTCACATGTTGTATATATATATGTGTAATATAACTGAAGACCTACTGTTAGGCAGTTACAGAAGGTAAAAAAAGAAAAAAAGAAAGAAAGAAAGAAAGAAAAGAGAGTTTGAGTGTCCATTTTAGCAAGAGAAACTATAAATAATGAATATAAGTTTATAACAGTCTACGGATTGATTATTCAATTGTAAAATTTTTATGATTCTGATATGATATATATCGACATATATATATACATATTCACTTATTACTATTACTATTATTAATAATATACAAATTTATGTTTTAATTATATCTAATAACTTATTCTAAATTTTCTTGTGTGACAACATTAGAACTGTTGTTAACTGGCAATGGTTCAACTGTGGCCCCATCACGAGCAACATCCAATAACTTCCAGGTACATTGAACACCATTCTTATCAAAAGTGTTAATGATTTCATTAGCAATGTCATCAAAGTTTTCTGTAGCTAAAGCTAGAATGGTTGGACCGGCACCAGATAAACAGATACCTAATAAACCTTTGTGAGTTGATGGTACTACACTTTGTAAAATTTCAGTTAACCCTGGAATTAAAATCTTTCTATATGGTTGATGGACACGATCTTGCATAGCCGGATAAATTAAATCAGGGTTTGGTGGATCTAAAGTTAATGCAGTAGTCAACACGGCCAATCTTTGCAAATTAAACACCAAATCTTCAGTAGTATATGCCTTTGGTAGAACACTTCTTGAATCGGCAGTAGACAATTCGAATTGTGGGATAATAGCAATACATTTAATTTTTGGATTCCAATTATATTTCACATGTCTACCAATATCAGTAGGTGGTAGTGGTGGAACTAAACCTGTGTCTTCACCACCTGAAGGATCCGGCAAGACTTCTGCCAATGGGATTTCACGTCTTTCTACTTCGTGAGGGGTTAAGGCTCTTAGGAAAGAACCACAAAAACTACCCATCATGGCTGCAGTGATGTTATCTGGATGTCTTTCAATCATCAAACAGAAATCTAGCATTCTTTGTTTAGAAAATCCCAATTGACCAATTTCGTTACCTAACATAACACCGGCGACAACAGCAGCGCCAGAGGACCCAAGACCACGTCCTAATGGGATTGGATTACGGACATGAACTTTAGTACCTAATGGGAATTTTCTGATATTAGAACAACGTAAGACATACAATGCGGTTCTAGTGATTAAATTGGCATCAGAGCGTAATGGAACGTTGCCGTACCCTTCAGAATCTTCCGAATAAGTCAAAAGACAGTTATTTGGATCCTTGTTTGTTTCGCTTGCTTTTGAAGAATCAACAGTGACTTCTAATTCTAAGAAAAGAGCCAAACCGACACCAAGCACATCATAACCTGGACCGATATTAGCACTTGAGGCAGGAACTTTGATTAAAAATGAACGGGTCATTACTTACACTTGTATATTTATGTTTGTGCGTTTGTGCGTTTGTATTGTCTATATCTTTTTGTAGATTATATATTATGACTGCGACCTATCTTTAATGATACAATTTAACATTAAGAACTGACAATCACAAGAGGAAAGAGAAAAGGAAAAAAAACCGGTTGGATAAAGGACCTATTATTAGTCACATACAAGTAAACGTATGATTCAATCGCAGGTTTACAGTAAAAAATGGGACACAGACGAGCAAACAAATAAACAAATAAAGACAGTCAAACTGACCTTCGCTACTTGTTAAAGCAAGTAATGAACATTACTGTGTGTGATTGATAGACATCACCAGTTACATTAATTAAAAGGACTTTCGGTGAAATTTTTCAAGATTCACAAAAATTTCTCGATGACTCAAAATAGTTGCCAGACAATCACGTTGTACGGAATTTTTTCCTGGAAAATACCAAACACCTCGAGGATTTGAAAACACTGCAAAGAAAAATAAAAAATAAAAAAAAGAAAAGTTGTTTTCCGCTCCCAACCCTCATTCAAAACCCTTGTAACTTCCTAAAAGGGTAAAACGTTGAATTTGAATAGAAATCAAAATCATAAACAGAAAAACAAAAGAAGCTATTAATGGAAAGAAGTTGATGTGAAAGCAGGAAGACATACCGTTAGAAATAGGAGTAAGCCAACTAGATTAATAAAACTGGTCTTTATGTTTATTAAGTAAAGAAAAGAAAAGTAAATACATATAGATAAACAAAAAAAATCCAATGTTAAGATATGCTGTTAAGGATAAATGGGTTCCTTCTAGAGCAACTTTGTTAAAAGGAATCCCATTGACTAGAAGATTTTCTACTTTCCAATTGACGAAATTGGATAACGGTATTACAGTAGGCACGTCCAGTGTTCCGGGACATTTTACTGCTCTTGGATTATATGTTAAAGCAGGATCCAGATATGAATTGCCTGCAGAATTGAAAGGTTGTTCGCATATGATGGATAGATTAGCTTTTAAATCGACATTAAATATACCAGGGAGAACTATGGCAGAGACCCTAGAATTGTTGGGTGGTAATTATCAATCTACCTCTTCCAGAGAGACTATAATGTATCAGGCTTCCGTGTTTAATTCCGATGTAGAAAAAATGTTACAATTGATGTCTGAAACTGTAAGATACCCTCAGTTAAGCACACAAGAGATTAAAGAAACAAAGGATTCAATGCAATACGAAATAGATGAAGCTTGGTTGAAACCAGAAATAATTTTACCAGAGTTGTTGCATACTACTGCTTATTCAGGGCAAACTTTGGGTAGTCCTCTCCTATGTCCAAGGGAAATATTACCTTCCATAAATAAAGACCAATTGAATACATACCGTAACCAGTTTTATCAGCCAGAGAATCTTGTATCCACATTTATCGGGGTACCACATGACATGGCCGTAGATTTAGTACAAAAACATTTAGGTTCTTGGAAATCCACAAAACTTAACTCAAAGAATGAATACAATAAACCCGCTCACTACACTGGTGGTGAAACGTGTATTCCAGAAGCTCCAACTTTTGGAACCATGCCTGAATTATATCATGTACAGATAGCTTTTGAAGGTTTGCCTATAGACCATCCCGATATTTATGCTTTGGCAACGTTACAAACTTTACTTGGTGGTGGTGGTTCCTTTAGTGCAGGTGGTCCAGGGAAAGGAATGTATTCAAGAAATTACACACATGTCCTAAATCAATACTATTTTATTGAGAACTGTCAATCATTTAATCACTCTTATTCTGATTCTGGGTTGTTTGGTATATCTATATCGTGTGTTCCAGAGGCAGCAAGGCAGGCAGTAGAAATTATTGCTATTCAATTCTATAATCTGTTTGCTAATGAACATCTATCTTTAACCCAAGAAGAAGTTAACAGAGCCAAAAATCAATTAAAATCATCATTGTTAATGAACTTGGAATCTAAGTTGGTGGAATTGGAAGATATGGGTAGACAAATCCAATTACATAATAAAAAGGTTCCAGTTCAAGAAATGATTAATCAAATAGAAAAATTAACGCCTGAAGATTTAAAACGTGTTGCAGAAAAAGTTTTCTTAGGCCAAATAGATAATCCTGGTAAAGGTACTGGTAAACCAACAATTGTCATGCAAGGTAAAAGAGAAGCCTTTGGTGATGTACAAGCAATCTTGAAAGAATATGGGTTAGGGAAATGATTATGCTTTAATAAGTAATATCCCAAGTAAGTCCAAAGGTCCATTTGAGAGAAGCAACATACATGAATTCTGTGTATATGTCAATAATAAAAGTGGAATGTCTTTGATAATTTATATAATACATACGATGGGCTTATATATCTTTCCATATCACCCACCACTTGTTTTCTGTAAATATATACTTTTGTATAAAGGGTATCAATTCATTAAAGATAAATATATACATACATAATTCATGTTCATAATTCTTTTTTTATTTTAGAATGTTCCATTAGATGTACTATCTATGTTATTGTTTCTATCACTTGCTTTATCTTTCCAAAATGCTAGTTCTTTCTCCAAATCTGATACTTTTTCTTGATAGTAGGAGTTATCACGAACAAATCTTTTCAAATCTACTTCCTGTTTTGAAACTAACTTTTCTAAATCTCCAATTTGTTTATTATATTGCAAGATATTTCTTTCAAATTGATCTCTATCTTCATTTGCTAGTTGAATAACTTCGCTTTGTCGTTCATTTTTATCTTTTAAATCGTCTATAATCATTTCGTAATTTTTACGTTTCTTCATCTCTTCATACTTTTTTTCTGTTTCCTTGGTAACTAATGTCTCTAATTCATGGATTTTAGCTAACCACTTATTTTGTTCACTACGGTCTTCTAACTTTTCTTTTAATGTATTGATTTCATTTTGCAATTGTTCGTTACTATTGATCATATTTTCATGCTCTTCCTTGAGATTAATATTTTCATGTTTGACAGTGTCAAAATTTTCTTTGTAGTGATTAAGTTGTTCCTGTAAATTACCAAGTAACTCATCGTTACGTTCATTTTGTTCCTTTTGCAAATTCAGTGTTTCTTCTAAATATTTGATTTGTTGCAACATGTCGTGCTTCTCTCCATTAGATTGAGTTAATAATTTTTTTGTTTCTGTATATTTAATTTGCAATTCATTCATATCGTTAATAAGTTTTTCATGGTCATTTGTAAGAAATTGCATTTTTGAATTTAATTCATCATGTTTAGAATTTATTTCATTATATTCTTTCTGTAGATTCTGTTCAGCTGCATCAGCAACATCTCTTTCTTGGCTTAATACCTCAGCTAGATTGGTGTAATGACTTATTTGTTTTAAAAGATCAGAAATCTTGGCATCAGACTCATTTCCTAATGTTTCTAACCTGTAATTTAGTGTAGATATTTCTTTTTTGAGATCAGTTTCTCTTCTACTACTCTCGGAGAGAGATAATTTTAACGCCTCAATTTCATTTAAGTAATGTGTATTATCATTTCCCTTTGCTAATGCTTCTTTTAAATGATCCATATCTGATTTTAACAGCTTGTTGATATCCTGGACACGTTTTAGTTCTAATATACTTTCCTGTAGTTGCATATCGATATCATTTTTAGAGGTTTCAGTTTCCCATATTACCTTGTCTTTTTGTTTATTTTGAAGCTTTAATTTATCAATTATATCGGCCATATTTTTTACATCTTCTTCTGCCTGTTGCAAGGAATTCATGTAGTCTTTTAATTGGACTTCATTAGCTTGTAAATCAGCAAGACAGTCTTCATATTGTTGTTTTTGTTGTGTCATTGTTGACATTATTAATTTTTTTTGTTTTTCTGAATCATTTAGATTTTCTTCCAACCTGGATATCTGCTCATTTAATAGAGTCTCTTTAGAGTGTAATTGTTTAACTTCAAATTGTAATTTACTGATTTTCTTATCTGATTCTAGTAAGGTGTCTTGTAACTTATAATTCTCCAATTTCTGTGATCTAACATCCTCTTCATATTGGGATACAGTTTGTCTATTTTTAAATAAATCACCAGTTGACGGTGAATTTTTTGGTACAGACCTTAACTTCTTTTCCAAAGACTTGACTCTCTCCTCACTAGCCTCGAACTTTAACTTATAAATATTAGACGAAGAATCATCTTTTTGAATTTTATTAAATTTTCCATGTAAAGCAGCAGCAACATTTTCTGCATCAATCCGTGCTTTACTTTCTAAATTTAATTGTCTTTTTAAATGTTGTACCTCTAAGTTTAACTTTTCAATGTTTACATCAACAGTTGGTAGTGATTGCAATTCTTTTTCTATATCAACACCAAGGTTTGCTTTTTCTATGATTTGCCTCAATTTTTTTATTTGACCCTTAGCTGTTTGGTAGTCAAAGGAGGATGAGGCCAAGCGAGTTTCGGTGAATCTTAATCTTCCAATAAGATCTTTTTGTTTTTCAATTTCTTCTTGAAGAGCATAAGATGTCTGATTTAATTTCAATTTTAGTTCATCATAGTTATTTACTAATTCTTCGTTTGGTTTATCCCTGTTGGATGCCAAGTACCTGCTTGGAGAGTTTGTATTATTTAATTGACTTTGTAAGTATCTATTTAAGGATATTTCCTGATCTAATCTGTCTTGTAATTCCTTCATCTTTTCGATCTCAAATTTACCGGGAATAAAATGTGATGCTCTGTTGACTTCCTCCTTCTTTTGAGAATATTTAGTCTCCAATATTTCATACTTTGATTTAATAGAATTAAGTTGTTCACGTAAATTCTTTAACTCATTGGTATATTGGGTATTTTCTAAAATAATTTCTTCTCGTTGCTGCGATATTTTGTTCATATCGTTTATGTAACTTTGTATTTTATCTTTTAATCTTATTAATTCATGATCTTTTGTTTTTATTTGTTTTTGTAATAACTCCTGAGATTTTTTGTATTTATTCACTTGTATTTTTAGATCTTTATTTTCATTTATTAGTGTCTCTAACCTTTTCATCGAAGCATTGGTATTTTTTTCTAAGGTTGCCAACTTTATGTCGAGATCTTTTTCTGATATTTCAAGTTGCCTTTTAATCTGACTTATTTCATTATCTTTGGATTTTATTTGTTCATGTAAAGATTTTATAGTATTATCTAAAGTAGATTTTTCCTTAATTAAGCTATTATGATTATTTAGTTTGTCATCGAAAGAAGATTTCATTTCCTCTAAACGAGATTCGAGGTTAACCTTTACCTTATCCAATTCTTTGATAATTTCATCTTTTTCTAAAATTGTTGCATTTATTTTGGAGATTGTAGTTTGAGAGTCTTCGTATTTAACAATAATATCTCTTTTCTCATTTTCTAATGATTCAGAAAGTTGTCGCATTTCTGCTATTTGTGTTTCTAACAGATGTCGTCTTTTATCAATATCATCTAATATGTTCTGTTTTTCTGTCAATTTCAAAGATTCTGCCTTTAGCATTTCCCTTACGGATCCTAACTGTCTGTTTAATTCTTCTTTATCTTGTTGCAATTCAGTATTATTCTTTTCACTCTGCAATAATTTATTTTCAAGATCTTTAATTTGAGAATGAAATTTTTTGGTCTTAACTATATCCTGAGTAGATGATAAAAAAGGTTTAACTCTTATAAATAGATTATACCAGGGATCTTCCATTAATCTATTATAAGTACGAAATGCATCTAACAAAATTCTTATAGATTTCAATCTCACCAATCTATTTTTGATCTTATTTCTCACAAGGTGACCTCTATACCTACTATTAAGTCTTGATGTAATAGTTATCAGCATCGTTTCTTTTTCATGTTCTAAATTGGCCAAAACACCTGCTTTAAAAAATAGTTTAGTGATACCAATTTTAAATAACGTTGGATCAATATGAAGGCAAGATAATATGACTTCAGCTTGCTTTTTATAATTAATGTTATTAATATTAAAGTCAAAACCATTTTGGTTTGCTAATATATTATATCGTTGATAAAATTCTTTGAAAAGAATTCTGTTCGGATAACCTTCTCTGGCAATTCTTATACCTTCAAGTACACCATTACAACGTAATTGGTCTAGAATTAATGATCTATCAAACTTTTTTGCAATTTTATTATTATTTGGAATAATACAGCGAACAAAATGTGGATGAGACAAAGACAACTGATGTAATAATGAAATTTGTTGTTCTCTATGACGATATGAAGTAGTTCTAAAGGACTTACTTAAGTTTGATGATTCTTGGTCGAAAAACGATGAAATCAATTTATTTGAAGAATTTGTTAATGTTAATAGTAGATCATCATTAAGTGGATCTTTATTTTTTGATAACCAACCATCTACATTATATTCGACATCACCTGCATAATGTTTTAATATGAATCCATTTGATAGTTTGGATCTTTTAAATCGATCTGATTTATTTTCCCAACTATTAATTAATTTTTGTAAGAATGTGTCATCTGTTGAATTCGATAAAATTGATTCTTCATCAAGCAAAGGTAAAATCCCAGAAGGTTGTATTTTTTGTTCAATAAGATCTATAGTTGATTGTAAATCTTTACCATAGTCGATATATTGCCATTGTATCTTTTCTTTAACGTATTCATTTTGTTCCAGTATAAACATATGATGATTAAAAAATTGTTGTAATTTTTCGTTTGTGTAATTGATACATAATTGTTCAAATGAGTTATCTTTAAAGATTTCAAAGCCCGCAATATCTAATAACCCTATATGATTTGCATTATCTGAATTATTCTGATAATTTAGTGATAGATTAATTTGATCCACAATATGAGCAAATAATTTTTCATATAAGATCCGAGATAAAGAATTTAATATAAATCTAGCGTTTTTGGCATCCTTCGATTGTGAGACCCATTCTTTTCCTGCTTTAGACCTTGGTCTTACAATAGATCTTTGGAAATCTTCCGTTGATACACCTAATAATTCAGTTAATGGTTTAATGTCATTGGTAAATGCAGCCTGTGGTGATCTATCAGACTGAAATTCTATATTACCAATCAATAATATTATAGATATAATGGTGAAAATAGATTGAATGTCATCATCTGTGAATCCAACAGTTTCCATAGCTTCAATTAATTCTTTAAAATTATGTTGGTCATTAACTCCTGGGATTACTTGGTTAGAAGATGAAAGTATCTTATAATCTTTGACAACATTAGAAGGCAATTTAAACTTTGTATTTAATTCATTAAGTGGTACGCTAGTTAAAAACTGATAAAAAACATGATAATTTCTTTCTTGAGAATGTTGTTGAATAATTCTTGATTTTTCTAATAAATACCATTCAATATTTGCTCCGTTGATCTTACCAAATGAATCGAACTGAATCTTAATAAATTTACCAAAACGGGAAGAATTGTTATTTCTTACAGTTTGAGCGTTACCAAATGATTCTAAGATAGGATTACTCTGTAAGATTCTATTTTCAAAAGATTGTTCAGATGGTAAAGATTGATTATGCCAAGTGATTGCTGCTAAATATTGCAGGATTTTTTTAGTATTTTCTGTTTTCCCCGCACCTGATTCACCAGTAACAAGTATGGTTTGATTGACCTTTTGAGTTAATAAATTTTGGTAGGCAGTTTCAGCAATGGCAAATATATGGGGTTTAACAGAATCATCATTATTATTGAGAGTATTATCTATATCTTTCTTTAATCCATGATATAGATTTATATATTCTGAAGAATAGATATCTAATTGACAATATGGATTAATAGCAACTAAAAAAAGACCTGAATAAGTGTAGATTAAGTCATGACTATATCTATTTTCTAAATTGTAAAGTACAGAAGGTTCATTTAAATATGTAAGCTCAGACATATTATCTATCAAGTCAAAATTCGAAGGATTAACCGGATGAACATTTTTTAAAGGAATTTCAATAATTGTATTTATATCTGTAGCTGTTTGATCAGTATTATTATCATTGGAATCGTCATTTATGTTTAAATTACATTTGGCTGTGGCTCCATCATCAGAGATAAATTTAGCCCTAATAAAGGTATGTTCTTCATTAGGAATCCACACCAAAGCACTATTACTCACAACCATGGAAAGTGAACGAAAGCGTATTATGTGTATAGTAAATGGATTATATTGTCTGCTTTTGGTAATCTAATCGGCTAATGTAGATATAAGGCTGTTCACTATTTTGGGTGAAATAAATTTGATATGGCTTTCTCTTATTCTAATATGTCAATGATGTAAATAAAAGAGAAATCAGGAAATCAATAAATAAAACAATTTTTGAGCTTGTTGCGGAAAAAATAATTTCGGAAAAAACTTTCGGCATTGTTTACTGAATAAAACTCTCAGAAAACTCGCATTCTAGTATCAAAAATAAAATTCAACTGTTCCAAAATCTCTTAATTGACATTATTATTTTGATCAATTAAGGATATAAAAGAAAGAGGATTAAGGTATATTGTTTATGAAGAAAATATAGCAAACCCTAAGGAAGAGCGGAATAAGATAGAGTACAATAACTGGACATAGGAGAAATAGATCTATCATGCAAGATTTAGTTTGGCTTATAACATTTTCAAGAAGAAATATTTTCATTAATTAAACACAAATCCGTATATATATCTATAAGTAATTAGCTTGATATCTATGAATGAGCATCAATTGAAGTAGCCAGACTCCCTTCTGTACTTTTCGAAGAATTGGCACAAAAGCATAATATATAAAAAATAATGTTTTGTTACTATTGTGGACAAACTAGAAGGGAAACCCAGATTTTGGAAAATGTTTAAAACTATAACTCAGTGAAACAAATTGTAAGGAACCCAACTGGAAATCCAGTAGATATGCAATTCCGAGAGTAACACCTGAGTGTCTAGGTGGATGATTGGTAGGACCATGTGCGCAGTGGCTCATATAAGGTATTGAATCTGATTCAGGGAGTGAGAATTATATCAGATCTTGTTAAGAGACCTTTGATTATTGAGAGATATGTCAGGGGTAATCATCTTATTTAAATACATCTTAGTAATGATATTAAGAAGTAACTCTTAATATCATACAAGAAAAAGAGAAACAAGAAGTAATAATACAACATCAGGGTTATTAATTAGTAATATATAGAGCTTACGTAGGAGTGTCCATATTTATACTAATTGATACGGTTCATCCATTTACCTACAACAACTCTTACACAAATTATTGATGAAAATGTCAGATAAATATTTTTATTTTCAAGGGGCCCTCTTAACCAAAAAAACATAGTTGCTTTGTCTAGTTCGTTGGGTCATTTTGAAAATAAAGAGACACTGATCTTCTATAAATAAAAATGACACTAGATATAAGTGAAAACACATTGGGCATAATTGTTGTTAATACTATATCAACTTATGATTTTGTATATTATGTATATTTTGTTTGAAGGTTCATATCGGAAGGTTTGATAATAAATACTGTTAATTGAGGTTAATTTTTTTTTTGCTTAGTTTCTATTGTTTTAATACTAGGGAATAATTTGAGGCCTGATTAAGGGAAGGAAGAAATAACGGCAATATAGCAAGTCATATTCTTCTGGTTGTTTCTTAAAAAAAATAACAAAGTATAAATCAATATTAATAAAAAAATAAATTCTAACTTTTGAGATTAATATACAGAATTTAATAATCTTATGATACATATTGATTAAAGTTTTGTCATTGTTACTCTTTTATGTTTTTGATAGATAATTGACTGTCTGTTTAAACTAATTCAATTAAAAATAGTGGAAGAGCTAAATAGTTTAATTATATTATGTTAATTTTTTAGAAATGAATAAAATTAAAATTTTAAGGGGTGGGTGCAGTATTTCCTATGAGAAATAATAACTGTTTTAATAAATTGCCTAAAGTAATAATAATAGAAATAATGGGAATAATGGGAGTAAAAGGGAGTAAAATAGTTACACCGATAAAATGAGGCATTTCATTTGAAGAAAGCGCATAAAAAACAAAGTTTGTTGAATAAATAAAAATACTTCCCTCTGATGACAGGCATGAGCTTTTTTTTTGGCACAATTCTTTTGAAAGATTATTCGTATAATATTGACACTTCTATTTTTTTCTTCTCTATCCTTTTCTTCCGGATATGTTGATTTATCATTCTGTAGAGAGAGATGTTTATAATTAAAGTAAAAAAATGTTAAGTAGTAGATACATTGTTATCTTAATTATGAGGCAATCTTAACGAGACATAAACAAGCTACTTAATATAAAAATAAATATCATACCATAATTTTATAATAATAATAACATATGCTGCTATAACAATAAAAAGTTATACTTTTATTACTTTCTGCATGTCTCCGGGGTTAATATGTTATCTGCGAGCCGTTTTAGTAGAACAATAATTAAAAAGTGTCTTATACCATAAGTTTATATCTTATTAGCTAGAATCGGATTCCTGTTTTTTTTACATGTTATGTTTTCTTTTTTGTATGGGGGAAAACTTTTGTACCCCGATATAATTTTTTTTCTGTCTATTGACAACAATAATTTAGTGTAAAAACAAAACTTGTTCTTTGTTTTTTTTTTTATTATTCAATTGTTTTCGTATATTAACAGCTTACCTTAATAAGGAATTTTTTGACAGGCTCCGTTGGTAATTGTTTAACACTTAAATTTTTTCTTGTTTTCATATCCTTTTTTTTTTATATTTTTTTATTTACAAAAAACAGATTGGAAAAATAAAATAGAACAATATAAGAAAAGCAACAAAGGAGGATGATATTGTTATTACTAAGAAACTGTAATGTGTATGTGTTGCAACACTTAAACTTCCAATTTTCTTCTTTAGGTAATCATATGGTAGTTTCGTGAATGATGATTGTATTACATTTCTTTTTTTTTTCTCCTTAGAAAAACACCTAAGAAAATAATTCAGGTTATTTTATTGAGGTAATAATAATTATAAATCAGACCTAATCAAATGATACAATGAAAAAACTGTTTGGTCAATTTTTTTCAAAAAATAAAATACATAAAATGAAAAATTACGTAGTAAATATACTGTTTGGGAAACAAAACTTTTGGATCCAATTGTTAAAAATGGTAATTTTATTTTCTTGCTTATCCGATTATTTTATAAGAATTCTTTGACCTATTATTATGACAATATTTTTCTAATAAAATAAAAAAATAACATTTCAACCCTGAAGATATTGTTTTCAAAGATTTAGAAAATTTACTAGAAAAGTTTTATTTTTTTTTATCATACAAGTTGAAACCAAACAATTCAAGAAATCTTTAATTCTCATTTTTGTAACAATTTGCAAGCCCTAGGTTATAATTATTGTTCCTGTTATTAACCAAGAAAAATTCATATTGATATTGGAAAACAATTCACTGACTTGAAATATTTGAGTATCATCTGTTAGAATAGAAAGAGAAAAAGAAAAGAAAATGGTTGCATTTTGTAATTCTCGTATTCACATCAAAGTATATATAAATATGTATAAACTCTAAAATACTCTGCAAGTAATAAGAATATACTGCTTTTATTCATGAACCTGATGTTATGGTATTTATTCAATGTCGCACCCATAGCTGTCTGTTAAGTTTTTTTTTTGGCAATACCGTTGCTATCCAAAGTGATTGGATTGCTAGTTTAACTTGGTAATAGTCAAAACAAAAAGAGAGAAAAAGGGAAAGGAAGATAAAAGAAAGAAAATAGCAAATTAAAGATATGTCAAGAATATTGTATGATTATCATAGCAAAGATGGTTCTACGTCACCTCGTTATTTGGATGAAAGGCATGCAAGAATCACGGTAATGGGTGATGCATTATCAGGGAAAACCTCCTTTATTTTAAGATGCATATCTGACACTTTTAATAATATCGAAAGTGGTACTTATATGGAAGATATATATAATACGAAGATTAATTTATCTAATTTAGCACAGGACATAAATATGAAATATGAAACTTCAAAGTCTTTTGTCCACTCTATTGAGGTGCAGTTGTTGGATACAGCAGAGTTCGAAATTGCAGATTTTTCTGATATTAGAAATGAACAAATTATACAATCAGATGCTTTTATACTTTGTTTCGATTTGACCAATATTGAATCATTTTTGAACCTTAGGACATACCAACGAAGGATTGAAAGAGTACGTGGGATGGATGATAATGTACCAGTTCTGATAGCAGGGACAAAATTTGACTTAATGCTCGAGCGTTGTGTAGATATGAATGATATACTGCAAACTTTACAACGATTTGAAATTGACTCTAAAAAGGATTATTTTGAAATATCGTCTAAATTAAACATTAATATCAAAAATCTTTTATATAGAGCGTTAATTGAAGTTGAGCAATATAAAGCTGCAAAAAGGGTAGAATGTTCAAAAATAAAAGAAAAGGAAAATTCTACATCTAGTGATGTTTCACAGTATACATCTACAAATAATAATACCGTAAAAACGTCATCGAATGGTTCAAAGGTAGAGACCAGAGAAATTATTGAAGGCAACGGTGATGGTGATCCTAGTAACAGGTTTTATAGGCATAATGATAAGAATATCAATAGCATACCACAGAAGGCAGGAACACTCATACGGAACCAAACAATTGAGAGTTCAAGTAAAGAAAAGAGATCAGCTGATTTAAATTCGTGTTGTATTATTTGTTAATAAAAAAAATATTTTTCAATTTTCCAACTCAAGCATATTTTGGTGTATGTATGTATTTATAGATAGATAGATAGAAAATCTGAAGGGGACGTTATGCATAAATATATATATATCTATTTATTTATTTATGTATTATGATTTAATGACATGAACATATCTAATGACTTTAGAATGTAATGTAGCGAAATTTGCTCTCAGGTAATTTTTTTTCTTTGAGAAAAAAAAAAGATAGAGTTAATGAAACTTACTATAAGCACGACGTTGGAATGTATATGTATTAGGATCAATGTCACAATTTTTTAATATTATAGTAGATAGGCATAGTCCAACCAGTGTAAACCCAATTAGTAACAACCATATGGGGAGATATATTGCATATCTGCTAGGTAAAGGAAATAACCAATATTTATTTTCGAGATCAAACAATGGCAACAGAAGCCATACAGCATAATAAATATATAGTAATATCCACATTGTGAGTCTGTTCATGGTAGCACTGAGTTAGTCTATTACTGAACAAGTTCATTCTTGTTATTGCTTTACATGTGATTGTTTTAGATTTTTTTTTATTCAGTTTTCTTTTGATCCCACTCTGCTGTTATTGTTAATTAGACGGGAACAATTAAACAACAAAATAATTAAAACGGCAACTATAGAAAAATAAGAAAGAAAGAAAGGAAAAAAAGGGAAAAGAAAAAATACAAATGATAGACAAATCGAAAAAGTATATCTTTTTACCATTGGAAATATCAAGAAACAACTGAAATGTAAAGAAATTTAGTAGATCTTGTACAATATTCCAGATGATTTTTGAATAACAGAAAGCTGAAATATATATATATATAGAGAGAGAGAAAAAAAAAGAAAAGAAAAGGTTTTTCGCTTTCTTAAATATTGTAATGAACCATTCATGGTATTAAATATGGATTTTGTACTTTAAAGTATAATAGAGAAAATAACTAATTAAAATAGTTATAAGTCATATGCAGAAATATAAATCATGCATTAACTTTTAATGTATAAGCTGTATAGTAGATAAAGGTAGAACTACTGATATCATATACAACATCGTCTAGTAGTACAATAAGTTGCACAATATGCAGACATATATGTGTATATATGTATGTTATAATACAATACTGCCTGCTGCCAAAGTTGGGTTTTTTTCTTTATTCTTTAGTTGTCCTAAATAAATTTAAACTGTTTGTCTACTGCTTTCTTTATATATTCCTGTGTTTTGATGATCTCTTGTGAAAACTTCCGTACCCTTCAAGTGATTTCTTTTTCTAGTCACGTGCTCCGGTGTTTTTACTGTTCTTTCCTATTGGTTCTCGGTCAATTTTTCTACAGAATTTTGTAAATTTTTTGATTTGTTTTTCAGCTCCCTTTATTTATTTTTCCTTTTTTTTAGCCAACTGTAACAAGGAAAAAAAACAATATTATCCAAGCACTTACGTTATTATTCCTTTTTTGTCTTTTTTTTGTTTTCAGCTATTAGCCTGTTCAGAATGAAGAGTGTGAAGCCTTTCAGAAGTCCAATTGCTAACTTCGAGGTTTTTTTAAGCGGATTGTGTAATCTGTTCCTGAATAACTGAGTAAAGAACGAAGAAAGGATTTTTAATAAAGCTTGATTTCTATCGTTTTTAATATAATTTGAGTATCTGGAGGTGCATTCTAAACTGCATCCATCATATTACCTTATTTCCTCAGTCTCTCTTTTAAGTCATTTAATATAGAAGGGTTGTTATTATCTTTAATTCAATAGAGACACCATTTTAGTATTGACTAAAAAAAAAAAAAGAAAGAAGAAAAGAAGGAAAGAAGAAGCCAAAAACTTAAAGGAAAGACACTATTAAGATATATAAATATTCGAATTATTTTTTGTTACTTCAAATTAACAATATTATTTACATTAATAAATAATGTTAAGAACTATTATTAGACAAGCTCATACCGGTGTAGCTGTTACCGCTACAGGCAAGGTTGATATGTTACCAGGTGTTTCTGGAACTTATGCCTATTCGTTATTCCAAGTTGCTTTAAAAGAAAAATGTTTGCCAGAAGTTGTCTCTCGATTAGATGAAATCTCTTCCATCGTTAAAGAAACTCCAGGTGTTGCTGCTGCTTTACATAACCCATCTCTATCCTCAGAACAAAGAGAGAAGTTAGTTAGTACTTTGAATGAAAGTGTTAAACAAAACAACAATGTTTATGTGTCCAACTTCTTGCAAGCATTAGCACAAAATAATAGACTATCTTTTATTCCACAAATTAATACAGACCTAAATAAATTATTTGATCAATATAGGGGTGTTGTCTCTGTTACGTTAACCACTGCTAAACCTTGGAACTCTGAATCGCAAAAAACAAAGACAGGTGAAAGGTTAGCTCAAGCAATCAAGAATTCTTCTTTACTTTCTAAAAATCAAACTATTAAGTTAGATTATAAAGTGAACCCAGAATTGCTCGGTGGCCTTCTTTTAGAAGTTGGTGATAAAACTATTGATCTCTCTGTGAAGTCCAAAGTTCAAGACTTAAATAATTTATTGAAAGCAGACTTGTAAATTTTTTTTTTAATTATTCTTTTTTTTGTTATTATTAAATATACTAATATTTCTCTTTTTCTAATTATTCATATCCGCTTTTAATTATAACTGTTTTTTAATCTTTTTACTTTTCTTTCTCCTTCTTTCTCTCTTGTTTATTTACATGAACATATAGTTGTACAAATATATATATATATATATGTATATATACATATATATATTATTCAGAATGAATGAATATTCTTTCCTCTTCCTTTTGCTCTTCGTGTTTTCTAATTTTATATAAGCTTTAATGATACAGTTTAGGATGTAGTGTTGTTTATATTCTCATTAATTTCACTATTGCTAATTTGATCTCTGTTTAATAGTTTAAGTAGCCCACTCTCTTCACGAGATGTGTTGCCAATTCTTGGGATTTGTTTATGTTCAACCTGTGGAAGAATATTGGTCCAATATTTCTCTTTATCCCCCATTCTCCACAAATCTTCCCAATAGATAGTAACTAGGTTAGTGTTGTTGTTGTTGTTGTTGTGCTCAGTAGTGTCGGAGTTACCAACAGGACCCTTTAAAAGACATTCTCTTAAATCAGCAATAGCTTCTTGTCCATATACAGGTCTAAACTGTCCACTATACCAGATTTGTTTGAAGGAATTCAGTTCTCTGTAAGTGTTTATCCCTTTAATGTCTCTTAAATGTCTTAAATGAACCAAGTCTCTATATAGTTGTAGACTCCACTCAGGTTTAGGTAGTTTAACAAGGCACATCAATTTCCATAGATCTCTACGGGTACCATATATAGGTTTTTTGTTATTTTGGTTTGGGCGAGGCCATAGGTTTTCTATATCCTGTTTTGTTGGGAACGGAGTTTGACTATATACTACCTGACCTCTTTCTAAATGACGGAAGAGATAGATGTACGGTGGGTACTGTCTTTTGGTAAGCCATTTAATACTTTTCATGGGGGTGGCTGCTTGCATTACTTATTTGTGGTTTTCTTTTTTTTTGATTTTATTTGATTTGGTTCCCTGTTATTATTGTAGTTATTATTCCTCAACTATAAGCCTCTATGTACATATGTGTATGGGAAAAAACATAAGCTAATTTGAACCTGTACGGTCCCCTTCATTGCTTGTGTGTTTTTCTTTGTTTTAATTGTTTTCATCACCACCTTATACCAAATACACTGAAACTTTCCTCCTTTCTGTAATTGGGAAAATCGAAAAGCAGCGAAATGAAAAGGGTTTTCTCTCGAGGAAAAAGAAATGAAGTCTTTTTTTTGGTTTTCTTTTTATTTTTTTTTGTTTGCAGTTGAAATTCAATTGAACTGAGTAGCAGGGGAAGGGAGGGTATTAGAGTAAGGACGAGGAGCTACAGGGGAAACACATACAATGTGCTACTGTTTTTGGCTGGGATAGCAGTAGGTGTTGGCATGCGGTTAGTTGTTAACTGTTAGTCGTAGTATTGGTAGCACATAGAGATGGTGTATCAAGAACGAAAAAAGAGAAAGAGAGAGGAAATCTCCTTTAGATAACTGTATGTAGTCAGTGACCAGTCTCTATGTCTTCTGTATAAAGCCATTTTTCAGCTCTATCAATTCTTACAAAGGGGGAAAACATTGCCGGTGTCATGTAGAATTCAAGTTACATCAAGCTTAAACAGTGAGATTATTAATGAGTCTATAAATCTTTTTTTTTTCTGTAGATTGTTGGTATATAGTAGGATTTCGTATTCAAAGTATTAAACTATGATGATAATAATGATACAAAAAACGTTATTATTACAACTCTTGGAGGGTTGAAAGAAGAGGGTGTATTAGTGTGAAGCAATATTATATATGCATAGAAAGGGAGGAGAAGAAAGTAGGGAGGAAGGAGGTTGTTATTGCTATGTATGCATGTGTGTAAGAGGCATATCATAAAGGTCTAGGTAAACGAACTAACTAGATTGTTTTTATGCACTGCATATGAAATTAATCTGATTAAAGAGGATGGTTGGTTAGTGCTATTTTTTTTTTCTTTTTAATATGTATACTTCAATAAAAGTAATAAAATCAAAAAGATATAAAAAGAAAAAAATAAAAAATAAAGATAAAAACTAATAAAAAAGGAAAAAAAGAAATAAGATGAAACAAATATAGTAAGAAAAGAACAAAAAAAGAAAGTAAGAGGACAGAAGTCTATATATCTTGTATATGATTTGGGAGAATTGAAGAAAGTTTACCAAACTCAAGATATAGTTATTCATTATCACAACAGAAATATATAATTATTATTATCGAAATTAATTAAGATAATGACTGTTTTCACTGTTCCGATTGGACTCACGGAATTTCAACGAGATTTAATTGAAATACTATTATCTATCCATCATGAAACATTATTAAAAGAATTGGGTATAACATCTTCTTCTTCTAACTCCATTACAACGTCATCTGATGCCAATGTTTTAACTAGTAAGGCGCATGCTCAAATTGGTACACATTATCCAACTTTTACTTCAAGACAAATGCTATATCTATTAGACACACATATTAGAGCAGTGGCTAATCATCCATGTTTATTAGTAGACCATTATATGCCAAGACAATTTTTAAGAATGGAACCTAAACAGAGGTTGATTGATCCAAGTAATAAATTTTATTTTCTACAAAAATTATTGTTTGAATTAGTAAATTATCAATCCAAAGATTTCGGTTCGTTATCTATCACGCTTGTTGCACATTCAATGAAAGAATTAGATTTAATCGAGGGTCTTCTCTTAGGTCAAAATTTTAATTTGAAAAGATTATCTGGTACAACATTATATGATGAGAAAACCGTTTATTCACGTGGAAATCAGGTGAATGCCAATTTGTCTTCTTCGTCTTCTTCTTCTATCACTACTTCTACTTCTACTTCTACCTCTTCATCAGTATCACCTATTGTATCTTCTTCTTATACATCCACTTCTCCCTCGTCTTTATATACCAATACAATATCTGATTCAAATCAAACAAATTCAAACTTAAATAGATATACAGGTTATTTTAAGGATAATTATTACTATACAAATAAGAATAGAAATAGTTACAACTCTTACAACAAGAAAAGGAAGTTGGAAAATGATAATGGGATGAAAAGGAACTGGATATTTTTAGCCACCACAAAGCATTTAATTCATGATGAAGATTTGTTGCGTCGTTATGATACAAACTTGATTATTGCATTTGATCCAATGATTAATGACACTATGCCATGTTTAAATATTCCAATCATCGGACAACAATCACAGACTCGGGCCAATGGGAGGTTCAGAAGAAGTAATGGTACAGTATATCAGCAAAAACGACAGAAACAGAAGATCAAGTCATATAAAAAGATCCCAATTATAAAGTTACTAGTAATGGATTCACCGGATCACTATATTCTTGATCAGAATTTAAATAATGAACAAGATGTGGACGCAGAATATGATAATATTAAAAAATCCTTGGTTTATTTTTTTAAAAATAGGGAGCATATTGGTATTGAACATAGAGGTAATAATGTCGATTTCAACCAATTGATAACACAAGCACTAGCTTCGATTAATGATAGCAGTATTCAAGGTACTCAATTATCTCTGTCAGATCATGTCAATGCTGCTCAGAAAGAAATTTCCTCGGATTGGTTTCACCCACAATTTCAAAAAAATTATAATAGCGCATTGACATCTTTGGATGTTTCTTTGCATCAATTCAATGTGAGGAATTATCAATTTGAATTGATGCGGAAGACTCTGACCAGATTGAATGAAATTAATAGTATATATGATTTGAATAATAATATTCTAATAAATAAAAGATTAGAAGAAACAGAGAGACAAAATTTGCTAGATTCGCTTAAAAAAAGTATTGGTGGCAACTTTAAAATTTTTCAATCAAGGGAAAAATTAAAAAATGATACAGGAAAGAGTCTTGAGAGTGTGGCTACTGAGAATGGGAAAATTAAAATTATTTATAACAATTTAAAAGGAAAATATGATGAGTTAAATACGGTATTTCAAGAAATTATAGAAGACGAAGATCTATTAAATAAAAAAATGATGGAATATGAAACTAAAAACAATATATTGAAAAGTCAACTGGATGATTTACTAGAGATAAATAAGAAGAAGACAGAAGATGAGGATGAATTGAGATCAATATATCAAACTGATTCCAATACAGCAGCAAATAAATCGTTAGAATTGAAGAATTGGGAAAAATCGAAACAATTTTTAGAAGAGAAACAGAAAAACGCACAATGGGCAGAATTAAGTTATAATTCTCTCTTGAGTTCTAAATATGATCTAGAAAGAGAGATTCAGCAAATGAAGAAGACAAATCAGTTTCTTAAAAATTATATTGAAACAATTACTGAATTGAATTTTAAACCGACTTCTCAAAACAATAGTGAATTCGTGGAGGGAAATAAGAAGATGCATACAAATATGTCAAAGAATAAAAAAAGCAGGATATCATCTTCTGTATCTAGTAACTCAGTAAATGTAGTGTTTGCCTCCTCTTCGTCAACAACATCAGCAGGTATTACTACTAAAAACTCATCGCCAGAATCTCGTATCAGGCTAACTAGATCTAATTCTCCAAATTATACATAAAATATAGTTATATATGTTTCTCTCCCTTTATATATATTGCATATGATTTTAACCTGTGCATTTTCCATTTGTTTTTGTCATGAATAACGCATTTTATTATTGAAATATGTCTTTGTTTTTCTTTTTCTTTTGATACAAGTGTATTTTGTTTATTTATTTACTTTTTTTTTCCAAAGTATCCGGATAATAGTGTTTTTAAAGAGAATATAGGAAAATTGAAATTTACCTACCCAAGAGGTAGTAATGTGATCAATTGGCTTTAACTGGTTTTGATAAAAAAAAATACTTGATTTTATTTTGATATAAGATATACATCAGTTTAGTGTCCTAAAGTATTAATTCTATTGTTGGTATTTGCAATCGTTAAAAAAAAGAAAAAAATAAAAATAAAAATAAAAACATTAGAACAAGAAAGAGTAACAAAATTAGTTATATTATATATTAAAAACGAAAATTCTAAAAGTAAGGAATTTAATTATGCGCTTTTATCCCAAATTGGATGAGTGGATAAATATGATTAATGATTATTGTTGGTTTGATAATAACTACAAGTTGGATGTTGATTATCAACAGTTAATTAAAATTGGATATGTATATTTGCATAACCTGGAATATGTGTATGGTTCAATAATTGACTATATCCAAAAGACCCCTTGGTATTTTATTTTACGTGATTATTTGTTTGTACATTTTTGCTACAAGATACTAATTAACATATGCTATGATGTAAAAGCGTATGGTATTTTTGGATCTTTAAAACGTTGTTTCCGTATATCCTTAAAGTATGTGTTTAACTGTCTGTTGTCTTCAGTGTTCATGAGGAATAAAGTGGATCAAGAAATTCAGAAAACAAAGAGAACTATTGAAAAGGAATTGATTCGAAATAATGATCATATAGTAGATTTTATAGAATTACCACCAACAGGTATGTCAATAGATTTGGTTTTGAATGAATTAGAAAAATTAGATACCTCAATTCCACATTCAGATTGGGAAGATGGTAGAGTTTCAGGTGCTGTGTATCATGGTGGTCAAGATTTGATACATTTACAAGCACTTGCGTTTGAAAAATTTTGTGTATCTAATCAATTACATCCAGATGTGTTTCCAGGGCTGCGTAAGATGGAATCTGAAGTGGTATCTATGATTTTAAAAATGTTCAATGCACCTGAAGACACTGGTTGTGGTACGACTACATCTGGTGGTACTGAATCGCTTCTATTAGCATGCTTAAGTGCTAAAATGTATGGTGAAAGATTTCGCGGTATTAAAGAGCCTGAAATGGTGGTTCCAATTACTGCACATGCAGGTTTTAATAAAGCAGCTTATTACTTTGGTATAAAATTACGTCATGTGGACCTAGATCCTATAACATATAAAGTTGATTTAAGGAAAATGGAAAGGATGATTAACCGTAACACAGTGTTATTGGTGGGGTCTGTTCCCAACTTTCCTCATGGTATCGGCGATGATATTGTGGGTATTGGGAATTTGGCCACCAAATATAATATTCCATTACATGTTGACTGTTGTCTTGGATCATTTATTGTTGCGTTTATGGAAAAAGCAGGGTATGGAGAGGATATTGAGCCATTTGATTTCAGGGTTCCAGGTGTAACTTCAATCTCGTGCGATACACATAAGTATGGGTTTGCACCAAAGGGCTCCTCTGTGATTATGTATAGAAATGAGATTTTAAGGATGCAACAATATTATATCGAGTCGGATTGGGTTGGAGGTCTTTATGGTTCGCCTACATTAGCTGGGTCACGTCCTGGTGCATTAGTAGCTGGTTGCTGGGCCACCATGATCAATTTAGGTGAGTCTGGATATATTGAATCATGTAAAGAAATTATTGGAGCAGCAAGGAAATTGAAAGGATATATACAAGACAGATTGCCAGCATTGGAAATCATTGGTGATCCTAAATTCAGTGTGATCTCATTTAAATCTGAAAAAGTAGATGTTTATGAATTGTCAGACAGATTAAACAAGCGTGGTTGGCATTTGAGCACATTACAGAAACCTGCGGCACTACATTTGGCTGTGACTAAGTTAACTGTGAAGTCTATTGATGGATTATGTCAAGATTTAACTGATATTGTATACGAGATGTTGAGTGATCCAAATCATAAGAAGAACATCTCTAATGATGGTACTAGTGCGTTGTACGGTGTTGCCGGTAGTGTCAAGACTACCGGGGTAGTGGATAAATTGATTGTTGGTTTCTTGGACGCTCTTTATAAGTTGAAACCAGAGGAAGAACAGGACTTGAAATTTTGAAAATAATGTTTATAATGACTATTGCTAACGACAAAATATTGGTTATAGTAGGCTACAAAATAAAAAAATAAAAATAAAAAAAAAAAGAAAAGAAAAGAAAAAACCAATAATAGTGCTATTTTAATTACTAAATAATGAATTTATAAAATTGTAGTACATAAAATTGTAGGTATATACAGGAAAAAGCCATACATACCGTTCGTAGGAAGTGACATTATCTGTTTGGGTATAATTGCCCAATTAGGATATTGTCTATCTAAAAATAGTTTTTTTGTTTCTTTTTTCCTTTTTTTTTTTTATTTTTTTTTTTTTGTTGGCTTCTTTGCATTACCCTTTTTAGACATATAGGTACAATAGAAAAATTTCCTGATTAATCTATTCTATTGTGCAACAGCAGGGTGTTAACAGTGGGACAAAAAAAAAAAAGAAAAAAAGAAAATAAGAGAACACGAAAAAAAACAACAGAACTGTGAATGGAACATTGGGATATTTTGGGACAATTTGGAAGGGAAGAAGGGAAAGAAGGAAGGAAGGAAGGAAGGAGGGGGGTGGCAGAAAAAAAAGGAAGAAAGAAAGAGGCGCCGCAAGATTTTGTAGGAAAAGAATACAACAGAAGGAGGCAAAGGTAGAGAGAGATACACCTTAAGGAGCAAACCATATAAGGTATCTTACAAGGGTATGTCACTTTCTATTACCCACTATTTAGATACCAGCAAATAAAAGGCGATTATCGATCCGTTCATCCATCTATATCTGTGTATTCATTCATTCCACAACCAATAATTTTTTAATTAGTCTAGATAGATAAAACAAGACAAGACAAGACAGAACTGCCTGGATTAAAGCAAGCACCACACGATTTCGATAAAGTTGTAATTTGACATTTTATTTTTTGGAGATTCTACCGTTAAAACCGTTTAAAGTTAATCATATATCTTCGTGTTTGCTTATTTATTCATTTATTTACTTATTTATTTATTTTTTTATTTATTCATCTGTTTGTGTGAGACACTTGGCTGGTTATTAGGCTGGTTGTTAAATTTGTTTTAAAATAAAAAAAAAAAATAATATAGATAGGTAGATAGATATTTTTTTGTTTGTGTTCGTGATTATCTGTTAACTATATTATTTCTTTTTGAATAGATTCACTAGGTTGGGCCCATTTTTTTTCGATTACTTACACTCATTCTGTGCTCCTTTACTGCATAATGTCTTCTTCAAATTACCAAGAGATGAATAATAATAATTATAATAGTAATAATATTAATGACAATGATAATGACTCTAATAATCTGTATGTCCCACCAAGAGGCTCTAACAACTCTGACAACCAGCAAAGACGTGTCCCAAAGCATATTCATGTCGCTCATAGAAGAACGCAATCTGAATTGACTAATCTAATGATTGAACAATTAACTTTGCAAAGACAGTTGGAACAAGTTCAACAGCAACAACAGCAACTATTGGCTCAACAACAACAATATGAACAAGCGGCTGGCTATTCAATGCCTACTCCTCCTTTTGTTAATAATTACAACAATTTTAATAATAATAATAATAATAATAATCATAATCATAATCAAGGAAATAGAAGTAGAACACATTCTAGAAATAATTCAGGATATTATCAAGACTATAATAATACGAATTTTAATGTAAATTCAAATAACAATAATAATAATGGTACTCCTACTAATCCTCATAGAAGAACCGGTTCATCATCGAATGTCTATGGACATTCAAGAAGACACTCTTTACAAATTAATGAAGCTAAAAAGGCAGCAGCTACAGAACAAGCTAAAAGAACTGGGATTGACATAAATGTTGAAGATACATCTTTCACATTTTCCAACTTATCAAATGAATATCCGAATAATAACATTGCATCATTGGCATCTCAAGAGCAAAGTAGCTTTAAGTTTCCACCTTCATCTACTGACACAGGTTCACATCGTAGAACTAACTCTAACTCGGTTCCATTCTTCAAATTTCCGCCAAATAACACCAATTATGATACGTCTGGCAATGATGATGATTTTATCCCTTCTTCTTCTACTTATCGTCGTCAAAGGACAAGAAATAACAATAACAATGAGCCATTTTCACCATCTGGAATTAATTCGAATTGGAGAGCACAATCCATTTCTCAAAATCAACAACCAAATTCGAACCAATTTTTGTCACCTCAATTCCAACCTTCGCCATCACAACCCATCCAACAGCAACAATCTTATTCTTATAATCAGTCACCCTATCATGGCCACAGAAAAGCTAATTCAAGAGACTTTAATTCTTTTAGTAGTCTTGAGCCACCAGCAGTCTTCCAACAAGGTCACAGATCACGTCCATCCAACTCGTCTATTCAAAGTTTCCAATCCAATACTACAAATGGTGGTTCTCAAAGAAAATCACTTTTCGCACCTTACTTGCCACAAGCTAATATTCCACAATTAATTCAAGAAGGGAGATTGGTTGCTGGTATTCTTCGTGTTAATAAAAAGAATAGATCTGACGCCTGGGTCTCAACTGATGGTACTTTGGATGCAGATATTTATATCTGTGGATCAAAGGATAGAAATAGAGCTTTGGAAGGTGATTTGGTCGCAGTTGAATTGTTGGTGGTTGATGAGGTTTGGGAATCTAAAAAAGAGAAGGAAGAAAAAAAGAGAAGAAAAGACGCAAGTTTGCAAGAAGATTTTGTTAATTTGAATAGTAATGATGACTATCACAACGATGCTTCAGGAAGTGTCAATGCAACAACAAATATTAGTGGTTCTGCCATATCTTCTAATGCTGCAACCACTAGTGCATCTCTTGTATCATCTACATATGGTGATGATCACATAATTTCTACATCCACCCTTGGTGGTTCGTTGTCAAGAAATGATACTGATAATGACATGATGTCCTCAAATAAAATTGGTTTAAAAAGAAAGGGTTCTTTGAAACAACGTCCAACCCAAAAGAAAAATGATGATGTTGAGGTTGAAGGTCAATCTCTACTATTAGTAGAAGAAGAAGAAATTAATGACCAATTTAAACCTTTATATGCAGGGCACGTTGTTGCTGTTCTAGATCGTATTCCTGGCCAATTGTTTAGTGGGACTTTGGGTTTGTTGAGACCATCCCAAGTAGCTAATAATAAGAATAAGGATGTTGCTAATAATGGCGATTCGGTAGCTAAGGCGCAACAAGCACCCAAAATTGCATGGTTTAAACCTATCGATAAGAAAGTTCCATTGATTGCTATTCCAACTGAATTAGCACCAAAGGATTTTGTTGAAAACGCAGATAAATATGCAGATAAATTATTTGTTGCTTCTATAAAACGTTGGCCAATTACTTCATTACACCCATTTGGTATTTTGGTTTCTGAATTAGGGGCTATTAACGACACAAAAACAGAAATTGATTCTATATTGAGAGATAACAATTTCTTATCTAATGAGTATTTAGATCCAAAGGATCCAAGTCAAGAAAAATCCACTTATCAGCCATTTCCAATCGATGAGGAAAATTGGAATAAGAGAACAAAGTTTGATGAGAGTTTTAATATCATTGGATTTACTGAAAGAGGTACTATTTCAGAGTTTGCATTACATCTCAAATCAAATAATGATGGCACTTTAGAGTTGGGGTGCCATGTTGTTGATGCTACCGAGCAGATCGATGCTAATTCTTCCCTTGACAAGAGAGCAAGAAAGAGATCCACAGGTGTATTTATGCCCCAAAGAGTTGTTAATTTGTTACCTCAGGCTTTGAATGATGGTTTAACTTTTAAGGCAAATAAGGAGAATGCAGCCATTTCGATTGTTTATACATTAGATGTCAAAACTTTGAAAATTAAATCTACATGGATTGGAGAATCTGTTATAACTCCTGGTAGTATTGTTGACATAACCACTGTTGAAAATATCTATAATGGTGTTAAAAATCCTTTCTATTGTAAATTAGAGGAAATAGCTACATGCTTTTATAGAGGTAGAATCAATTCCACTGATGCTAAACTAGCACCAGTCTTATCACTGTTTGAGAGTTTGGATGATGAAAAAGTTAAAGTTGATTTGAATATTTTTGACAGATCCTATTGGAGTATCATATTGAATGAGATTCAAAGGAAAGTGAACTGTACTGTAGCTGAAAGAATATATTCTAAACTTGGTGATAAGGCATTCTTAAGAAGACAAGCTCAACCTATTGTAACTAAAATGTGTACTTTCAAGAAGAAAATTCAAAAATTTGGATATGATGTTGACACTACATCTCCAGACACTATTATTAGATCGATATTGCAAATACCTGATGATGATGTAAGAAAAGGAGTAGAAATACTTTTGTTTAAGACATTATCCAGAGCTAAATATTTTGTTGCTGGAAAAGTCGATCCAGATCAATATGGTCATTTTGCATTAAATTTACCAATCTATACCCACTTTACCCAACCTTTGAGAAGGTACGCAGACCATGTTGTCCATAGACAATTAAAATCTATTATTAATAATACATCATATGATGATGATGTTGGTTCTTTGAAAATTACCGCAGAATATTGTAATTTTAAGAAGGATTGTGCCTATCAGGCTCAGGAACAGGCTGTCCATTTGTTACTTTGTAAGACAATAAATGATATGGGTAATGCAACAGGTCAATTATTTACTATGGCTACAGTATTACAAGTTTATGAGTCTTCATTTGATGTGTTTATCCCTGAATTTGGTATTGAAAAGAGGGTTCATGGTGACCAGTTGCCATTAATCAAGGCAGAATTTGATGGAGAAAAGAAAATACTGGAATTACATTGGCAACGTGGCATAGATAGTGCTACATATATTCCAGAAGATGAAAGGAATCCAAAGTCATATAGGAATTCAATCAAGAATAAATTCAAATCTACTACTGCTGAAATTGCAAATATGGAATTCAGTTCTATTGACAATGGTGATTCTATGATTAGTGATTCTTTAGCAGAAGAACTTTCAAAACTCCAAATTACTACCCCTGTTTTAAGATTACCTGAACGTAGCTCTTCAGAAGAAGATGCATTAGAGGCATTCATTAATACTACTGTTATTAGAAAAGAAAATGACTGTTACATCCAAGAAATTCATGAACTACAACAGGTTCCAATATTATTAAGAGCAGAGATCGGTATGGCCTTACCATGTCTTTCTGTCCGTGCATTAAATCCATTTATTAAGAGAGGTTAGAAATGAATTTACAATTAGATGTTATCAATATTTTTTTGTACATTCTTTTTTTCACGTATTTTACTAAACTTTCTTCCTCATTATCACACTAATCTTCAGTTAACTCATTCTGAGTGTGATAACAACTATTGTTTATGTATCAGGTATTTTGATTCATATTGGTTTATTTCAATTTTTGTTCTGAAGTTTATTTAGCAATATAGCATATAGATGTAAATAGTAAAAAAATATAAAAATATTTCTTTATATGATAGTTTCTTCATTATTTTGGCTTTTTTTCAGTTATGTCATCTCGTGAGATCTTTTAAAGTTCTGAAAATTTTTTGTTATTATCTTAATTTGAAAATAATAAAGAAAGGAGCTAGGTTAATTGGAAAGAAATAAACCACTATTAAAACCTAAGTAGGAACCTCTAGGCAGAAAAATAAACTGAAAAAAGTGGTTGATAGTGATGCCTAAAGATTTATGTGAAATATGTGGTATAAATGAATTTAAATATAAATGCCCTGGCTGTCTGAAGAAGACCTGTTCACTGGAATGTTCTAAATCGCATAAAAAATTGGATTCATGTACTGGGCAGTCTTATGATCCAGTGAAATATGTGTCTAGTGAAACGTTGAAAAATGCAGACGATGAAAAACATGAGAACAACTATTTAGTTCAGAGGGATTTCAACTTTTTAACTAATCTTAAAAGGCAGTTGGAAGTTCAAAAATTAGATGGGATGAAACGGAATAAGAGAACTTTACAAAGTTTCAGAAACAATGGCAATAACAATCAAAGTTCTTTTAAAAGAGCCAAATATGAAGAGGAATGTTCACGAGTAATCAGAAGAGGGGTTAATTGTCTTTTATTGCCAAGGGGAATGTATAGATCTACTTTGAATAAAAGTAGATGGGATAAGAATTCAGACTTATTTGTTTGGTCTATAGAATGGATTGTATGTCCAAGTAATGAGCTTTCATCCGAAACAGACTCTAATCAAGTACCATTTATTCACGTGAGTCACAAGGTTAAGGAGACAGCCAGTTTGATAGAGGGTATGAGTAATGTAGTTTATGAGAGATGTTGTCTAATATACGATATTTCTAAAGATGTGCAAACTATGTCTATTGATGATAATGTTAAGGGGTGTAGAGATAACAAGGTGAGATCAGACATTTTGTTGAAGGCAGGATTAAAGTTTTATACCAAGCAATTTCCTTATAACACAACAAAAATGCAAGATTCAAAAGAGCTTGTTGAATTGGATGCTATTGATAAATGCATTGGTGAGCTCTTTAGGAACAGGACTGTTATTGAATTTCCAACTATTTACATAGCAAAGGCTCCAGAATATTTACCGAAGGGATTTAAGATTGTTGAGGACAATATTGATTTGGTTCCAAAGAAGAAGAGCAGTGATACAAATATAGCTGTTGTCGCTAACAATGATTTAAATAATGTAGCAATTGTGACTAATAATATATTGGAAGATGATGATGATGATAACAATGAAGCTCCTGAAGAGACATCTTTTAGGAAGCACAAGTCTGATATTTCGGAGAAAAATGATGAGAAGGGGTCAGCAGATAGTGGAATTTCACATATTAATAAAGATGATGAAAATGAGGATGATTATGACCCAACAGCGCTGTAAATATTTGCCCGATCATATGTATTTTTATGGCATTTTACAGAAAAGAGTAGTTAATTCAAAGTTTTTGTGGAATTGATATATTCATATTATAAGATATTGCTTTGTACGTTTGATTTTGAAAAAAAGAAGAAGAAAAAGCATATAATTTGTTATAGGTTATAGTATATTGGATACTAATAATGTAATTGTTGATGTTAAGAGATGTAGAATTGTAAATCAGTAGACAAGTACTCTTTTAGGTAATGGTGATGACAAGATTAAGGAGAAGAAATATAAAATTGTGAAATTAATCATATAGTAGAAAATATGCATAGAACTGAGTGATGTTTTTTTTTTCAGCAATTTGAACAATTCATATTCTACAATAGTTTTTCTATTATTATAAATCATCTTTTAGAAATTTATCCAGAATGAATCGAATGGATCTGCTTGATACAGATGTGTATGTTTATAGACTTAGTAACAATAATTAGCGTAGATTTGAATAGATTGAAAGGCTAGATCTTATGAACGTATAGTGTGTATATTAAATTGTGATTCGTTAGTGTTTCTTTTTATTGTTGGTTTTATATAGGGACAAATCAAATCATAATTATTAAATTAGTAGCCATTAAGAAAAAAAAAACGTCAAAGTTTCTCAGCAACTCTGTGACATACAGGTGTCTACAGAAAGAAATCAAGTACCTCGAGAAAAGAATCATTACAAATAAATAGAGAGATGGAAATTGAGTTCCTCATTTTCTTAAAATGTATAGTTATCCTATCTTCATCATGACGTTTATAAAAGTATATTTATTTATATAGTTTAGCGACGAAAACTTATATATAAAAATGAAACATTAAAAACGTACAGCTACGTTAAAAAAAGAAAAGGCAAGAAAAGCCAGAAAAGTTTAAAAAAGAAAAAACTAAATCAAAAATTAAAATAAAACAAAAAAAAGATAAAAGATCTTAACTTCTTTAGAAAGATGTGCAAGACCTTATTATTGCATATTTTATTTTAAATTAACTTATTTCTTACCTTGAGCAGCAACAGCAGCGGCACCAGCAGCAGCAGCTTCTGGGTCTAAGTAGTAAGATGGCTTAGCTGGCTTTAAGTTTTCGTCTAATTCGAAAACTAATGGGATACCAGTTGGGATGTTCAACTTAGCAATGTCAGCATCGGAGATACCTTCTAAGTGCTTAACTAAGGCTCTTAAGGAGTTACCGTGGGCAGCGATCATGACGGTCTTACCAGCTAATAAGTCCTTAGCAATAACATCTTGCCAGTATGGTAATAATCTGTCAATAACTAAAGCTAAAGATTCGGTTTGTGGTAAGACATTTGGATCAACATCCTTGTATCTGGCGTCGTTCTTTTGGGAGAATGGGGAGTCAGCTTCGATAACTGGTGGTGGGACATCGAAGGATCTTCTCCAGGTGGTGAATTTTTCTTCACCGTACTTTTCCAAAGTTTCAGCCTTGTTCTTACCTTGTAAAGCACCGTAGTGTCTTTCGTTTAATCTCCAGGATCTCTTGACTGGGATCCATAAACGGTCAGCTTCAGATAAGGCAATGTTAGCGGTTTGGATGGCTCTGGATAACTTAGAGGTGTATAAAACGTCTGGGAAAACGTTCTTTTCCTTTAATAATTGACCAGCTCTGGCAGCTTCTTTTTCACCGACAGCGGATAATCTAACATCAACCCAACCGGTGAATAAGTTCTTTTCGTTCCATTCGGATTGACCGTGTCTAACTAAAACTAATCTTGGCATTGCTATATATCTGAAGTGTAGTGTGGATTATCTTTCGATATGTGGGATTGGTAGTAGCAAGATGGAAAAGGGAATGACAGAATTAAGAAAGTACATCAGGAAGAAGAAAAGAAAAAGTAAAATACGCAACAAAGAGACATACTAAGCACCACACATGTGATAAGGTGTCGATACTGCACAACGCTTTTTGTCGATTACGCTTTTCAAATAGATATATATATATATATATAGACAGATAGATGTGAATGCATATCGTAAGTGTCAGTGGAGAATACCAACATAATCACTTTGATAAAGAAACTGAAGAACTGTGAAACGATGAAGGCTAGACAAAAGAAAAGACTTTTTTTTTTCTAGTGGAAAGGTGTGTGTTTGATGTCACGAAGGTTTGGTATCGTGAAAGTTTGGTATTATGAATATTTGGTATCATGAAAGTTTTTGGTATCGTGAAGATCTCTTTAAACAAAGCAAAACAAAATAAACAAAGAAGTATTACAGCAAAAAAAAAAAATAAAAATAAAAATAAAAAAAGGAACTCGTTTCAGGAAAATTTCAGTGTTGTTTATTTTGTGTTTTTTAAAAAAATGTTTTGTTTTGTTCTTTTGCATCTGGCCCATTGTATTTTCCACCCAACTAATCTTTTTCCTATTTTCTTTTTTTTTTTCGCTGAAGAAATCAAGAATCCCAAATCAAACATGAATTTTCATCGAAAGAGCAAGGAAAAAATTACTGCCTGTTTGGAGAAACAAAAACTACAAATGTTAGGGTTTCTTCAGGAAACTCTTTTATTTTTTAATTTGGTTGTCAGGGTTTCCTAGTCTTTTCCATTATAAAAAAAGAAAATTCTACAACAGGAAGATGTTATTGAATAATAACAATAACAACAGCAAATCGTAGTATTGTGCAAGGAAAATGATACATTTTACTGACGAATGGAGTTTTTAACCACAATATTTTTTAACACAACACATTCTCTTTTGTATGTTTAAAAATGTTTTGTGCAAAAGTCTTTTCTTGAATCTTGTAGTGAAGTTTTTTTGCTTGAAGTCTACTGTGTAATATAGGGTTTCCTTGTGTTGTGACTGTGTTTTATCGTTTGTGTTGAACTATGTTCTAGAATAAATATATAGGGTTTGGATTACGTTTCTTGAGAATTTAGCACAAACTATAAGATTGTTCCTCCCATTAAAATTGGAAGTAGTGTCTCAGTGTCGTGGTTTTTTCTTCTTCTTTCGCTAATAATAATAATCACAAACAGTCACTTCATATCGTGTCCACATATTCCTTAAAAGGTAAAGATCGTATGTTCCTAAAAATATAGAATAAATAAATAAATAATAAAAAGAAAACAGATATATTTGGTTGTTGTTTTTTGCTGCAAACTTTACGCTGTCAAAAATGTATGGGTTTTATTTTGTTTGTTAAAGGATTATATGTGTGTATGACTCAATGTACCGGAAGCTATAGGTGTATGGGTTAATTGAATAGTTGATACGAAATAAAGAGAAAAGACAAAATATTAAGATTGAGAAGAACATATTAAACACTATAAAATATTAATTAATCACGATAATATATATTTAGTATGATGTCCTTTAAGATCACATATCATTAAGGCTCATATATCATACTGCTTAATTCTACATAGCTTCATCAATGTTTCCTTTTTTTTTTCCCTTTGCCTTTGCTTGTCAGCCTTAGAATATGTTTAGCCAAAGATTTTATCATAGACTTCACCAACACGATCGTTCAAGTCTGTGGTTTGCATAGCACGTTTCTTGGCCGCAAAGGCTAGTCTGGAACACTCTCTCGTTACACAACACCCACCATAGCAACTTAACATTGCATAGTCAATCCATTCCAGACCATCGCTTTCATCTTTGACGTTCTTAGTTTCGTTTGTAATATTGAAATCATACATCGCACGACTGAAGGCAAGTAAAGCAGCAATTGCACCTGTCAACGTGTCACCTTGTCCACCAACTCTTTTATATGAACCAATTTGTTCGTTAATTAATATATTGCCATTGCATCCAAATATCTTATCTTGATGCCCCTTCTCAACAACAATACATTTTAATCGTTTGGCAATTTCTAATCCTTGTAGCTTGTTTTCCTTCTTTTCACGATGACATTTATCTTCTCCTATTAATGAATCATACAATCTCTTAAACTCTACTACATTCGGTGTCAGGATGATTCTGCCATCAGGGAACCTCGTTAATAATTCCTGCACCTCCTTATTTTTGCTTAACAAGAATAAACCATCTGCATCTAGTATAATGGGAATGTTACCACCAAGCTCTTCCAAAATATATTTGATGATATCCTTAATAGTACTAAACATCATTTCGTCACGACCTAAACCAGGCCCGATGACAATAACATGGATGTTGCGCAACAGGGTTTTAATTTTCACAAGATTGATGTCTTTTATGTTTCCCTTGTTTGTAATTACATCACTGTTATCATTTTGATGATATCTTTCAAAAGTATTAGAGTCTAATAAATAAGGGTGTACCATTAAATTTGGTGTATACGATTTTATTACAGTTGCAGCACTTTGTTCACAAATGACATGTGTCAAATCGCATCCCATTAAAGCAGTAGCATTGGCGCTGAAATACGGTGCTCCCGTATAGTCCTCACAGCCACCAATGATGCAGACCCGACCACCAGCTTGTCCCTTATAAAAGCGTGATAATAATGGGGGGATACATTTGTCTTTGATTGTTTTGATTAGTTCTTTGTGTGATAAATTTCCCAGGCTCATCTATTAGATAGAGAAAAAAAATTCTTTGCATATATATCTATAAATTAAACGAATACAAATGTATTAGTCTCTTAATCTGTCCTTTATATTTCTAAAGTGTCATCAGCAAAAATCAATCATTTTTAATTTATCAAATATATAGTTTACTAATTGATTCTTGGCACTATGTTTACTAATTTGCTTGCCTTTATATTGGTAATTGTTCTCTTCTAGGGAGGGGAAGTAACGTCTTTTAGATGTAGAGATCAAATAACTTTAAGGAGGAGTGGAGAAGGGGAAAAAAAGAGAAGACGGGGAGGTACGGAATCTTTAAAAAAAAGAAGAAAAAGTTAAAGGAAAAAGTTTTTTTGGTTTTATAGAGGAAGTTGTTTTACTGAAACTGAAACTCCAACGATCTAAAGTGTTCTTTTTAAGAATTAGGTGGTCATTGACTTTGAAGCTCATGTTTATAAAAATTCTGTGTCACTTTAAGTTTTTAAAAGCGAATACAAGCGAATACAAAAGAAATTTTTCAGGATGTTATATATTAGTAAAAATTACTGGAAGATGAAAAGTGAAGCCGAAGATTTAATCATTTTGCACCATTTATAATAGAGTAAAGAGTTTAAGTAGATTTGTATAGTGATTTTCTTATGATATGATTCATTTGGTGTATAAAGAAGCTTCCCTTCAAGTTTAACAACTTACCTTCTTCAAGCTTTGTTGTTATTTTTGCTTTTTATTGTACTTACCTTGTATATAATTCAAGTATAACATGTTTGTTTTTTAGCAGGTTACTTGTAGTTTCATACAGTATCATAGACAGATAATGCTTTGAGGTTTCAAAATTGTGGGAAATATCTAGTAAATTTTTTTTTTGGGATTGTAAATACTGATGAATTCGAGGAAGAGACTTATATATGTTTCATAAAGGTTGGCACCAAATGCAATTAAGTTTTTATTCAACTTATACTACAATTCAGGTATATTATGAAATCCCTCGAGGAATTATTTTAATCCTAAATTGGTCACATATATTTTTCCAATGGATATACATTATCATATGGAAGCTTCTTTCTGACAATCTCTTTTTTATAAATACTTTTTGTTGAAATATGATTAGAGTTATGTTTAATAATCTAAACTCACCGTACTAAGTGATTAAAAGTTACGAAAATTGATATTAAAGAAGATTCGAAGATAAAATGAGTATACTGTATAATATCGTATCTTGTATGTTAGTTATGTAGAAAGAAGAAGACCGAGAAATACAATAACAATTTATAGTACCACTAACTTCCTACTATAAATAACAATAAAACTTATAATACCACCAATATCCTATTGTAAGTTACATTATCTTATTATATTAATCTAAAATGAACTCTACTAGACTTTTTGATTTCGAAACCTTGCGTCAACACTTTTGGTTGAATATTTTAGAATATTTATAAATAATTTAGAATTACTAAAACGGTCTTATATATTGAGCGGCTTTAACGAGCTAATATATTTATTCGAAGTTACTTGGCTTGTTACTTGCTTGTTGTTCTCTTTTGTTATACATAATATATAAGTTATTTACGAGAAACGGTTATGGAAGATAATCATTTATCTCCAGAAAATATTGTACTTTTATATGTTTCTGGAGCTCGATCAATTATTCAGATTTGTACATTAACAAGCTTGGTGCTCCAAACCCTAAAATTTATTACATTAATTTAGATGCACTAGTGGATTACAACTGCACCCCAATTCTCTAATCATGGTGATTAGTAATACACGTGGGACTTATTAAAACAATAGGTAAATTCTAGATTTGCCAAAATCTTATGTAATCTAATCTTTTTATTATGCAGCATCTAATGTTGTAGCGCGTGTATGGCTTATTAAGACAATAATTAGTTCTAGATTCATTCAGGATCTTATGTAATTTTGATGGTTATAAGTATTCTATTCCACAGCATAGTCAATGATGAAAAGGCGCAAGTGGTTTAGTGGTAAAATCCAACGTTGCCATCGTTGGGCCCCCGGTTCGATTCCGGGCTTGCGCATTCTTTTTTATTACGAGGCATTTAATTTTTGATTTTGTAATAACCCTGAGGTTATGTGTTTCTGATAATAGTAATTCTTGTTGAAATCTCAATAATATTTCACTTGGATAAATATAAGATATAGACTCTTTCTATATCTCTAGATGTAATATTTCTATATATCTATATATATATATCTCTAATCCAAGATAACCTAATAGTATACACTTATACACTATATATCTAAACTTATGTAATCCTTGGTTCCTTGTACCTTATTCTCGTTCGTTCTTGTTCGTTCTTGGTTGCTCTCTTGTGCTTATGTTGGTTACTCCTGTTTTTATCTATGTTTGTAAAATTTGCAAAAAGGAAAGTTTAGAAAAATGAGGGTTGACAATACTTTTTTAAACAAAACCCTAAACAGTAATATCAGGGATATTACAGATTTTAGATGAAATGGATATTGTATTGATACTATTGTAGATAATCCTGCACATCATTTAATGCATAATAATTTGTTTGCTTTTTAAGTGTATAAGCTTTATGATTATTTTTATCTATAAGTTTATTTATTTAGACTATATCTTATATACAGCATAGTTTTTTTATTATATAGCAAGGACGGAAACCAAAAATTATTGACCGTATATTATATTTTAGAGGGGTACTTCTCTATTAGAATGTCTTTGTTTACTACATATATGGTCATTACAGAGATATTATAAATCGGAAAAATTCATTAGGTTCGCATGTCATATGGAGGGATATTAAATAATTGAAAATGATTGACTTTAAGATATACACTATATTAAAATATAGAAAAAAATAAGTTGCACACGGGTTTATTTTGAAACTTCTAGTATTATAAATTGAGAAGATTGTGTGGTACACTAATCATTATATCATTTAATATTTATAATAGGAAAAAGATATATACGATATGTGGAAGTTTTTTCTTTTGTTATGTAAAAACAGCGTTTAATTCTTTTAGGAGTAGTCATTTATTTTCAATAGAATCATATCTAGATAAACTGATGAATATGAAGTTATTTTGGATGTAGATTACTAGTGAAATGTGCTCGTGTTGGGAGTTTGTTTGAAGTAAACTATATTAGGATATTTATATGTCATATAAAATATTAGTTATATATGCATATCTAATAAGGATAACTATAAAGGGAAAAAAAAAAAAAGAAGAAGAAAATGTTTATTTTTTAACTATTATTAGAGATTTCTTTTATTTTTATCATTTTTTACCTAAGTTTTCTTTTTCAGATCTTTCAAAAATATTCAATTTTATTATATTTTTAAATTAACTTTTATAAAATCTCTTATCCACACAATTACCCAAAGATGCATATAAATAAACAATACATTTTGGTACAAAATTATGGATTATATTAAAAAATATTGAAAAAATATTTATAAAAAACTGGAACAATATCTGAAGATGAACCAATAGATATTTTCAAAAACAACGCTTCTAAAACTTATAAAAATAAACATAGTAATTAAGAAATAAATGATAACAACCTTTTTGACCCAAATATAAATTCGTATATTAGGACAAGGAAAAGATAATAATCAACAAAAATTTACAATATGTTTCTAAACACTTTATATTACTACATTTAGTTTTTTTAAATATTCATTTTTATACATCATGTACTAAAGATTGAAGAATTTCATCTATAATAGACATATTATAAACTTTATCACTTAATAGTATTTACAAATATCTATAACATCTAAGGTATACCTTCTTATAATGATTAGTTACATACACACAAGAAAAAAACTCAAACGAAAAAACCAATAGCTAGTATTATTAATTACTATGTAAAATCTTCGTAATTCCTGATCTTACTTATGAGGAAGTGTTTTTACCCTTGCAACTCTTTAGATTTTATCTTAAATTTTTTATGTATTCTTTTTTATATCTCCCATATAAGGAAAGTAAACTAATAAGAGGAATTTAAAAGTATACTTTTTACAATCAAATATATATACGTGATATCTTACAACAGCTTTCAAACTGCACAAGAGATATACAATCTTTATCTTTTTTTGTCGCTACTATATATAAGCACTTAACTGTTTAATGTCTATTTTCCTCACATAATTACTGTTTTATTAGATGCAATTCCTCTTACACTAATTTTCTGATATGTTAGTTTGTTCGTATCTAATTAATTATCTAGTTTTAAAAGAGGAAGCAGCTTCTATTTTTTCTCTCTAAAAGAAATGTACTAACAAACCTAACTATGTACTCTTAACAAGTAAATATATATACATGTATAAGTCATCTTCGAGTCTCATAATACCTCACATTTTTTCTAATTTCTTCACGAAAGAAATGTAAAACTAGGACTCAGGTTTAAAATCACATTAAACCCTAAATATTATTTTAAACCGTACAAAGTGAGAAATATCCATGTGTTTTCTTTTTTTTTTTGAAAGTAAAAAAAAATCATATATATATATACATGTATGTGCGTGTGTGTTCTTGGACGCTTCTCTGTTTAGACAGTGAAACAATGTATGCAACTTCACATTAATGTTCAATCTTCAATCTTGGCCACACTTTTTTTCTTAATATCTTTCTCTTTCTTGTTTTCTCCCTTTCAAGAGGAACCAATGACCTTCCAAGTTTTTAAAAGAAGAAGATGATATTATTTGCGTCTTTTTAATCGAACAATTCTTCTCAAATTTGTTTCCTTATTTTGTACAAATAAGGACCAAGTTTTGAGGTTTTAATGGAGAAGACGGTTCCTGCGCAAGCTTCTATAATCTTGTTACAAATTTTTTCAAATAAATTTCAAGGACGTCATATTAGAAAATTCTGATTCTTTTTAAATGAACTGACAAATATCAATATATTTACTTCAATTCCACCTCCCCTTCTTTCCTTTCCTTTCCTTTTTCCTTTTTTGAATATCTGGTATATATTATTTATTTGTCTTTTGGAATGGTCACTATAATTTTTTTTTAGAAATGTTGTAGGAATATAGAAAGCACAACTCTTAACTTATCCTTTATTAAAAATCTTGCATATTCGAAGAAAATAGTAGCACTGAGAATAGTCAAGGTGAAAGAGAGGTAGTCAAAATTAGAAATAAACTGAGTCCTCTGTTAAGAGTTATATTTAAATATTTCCTTCTACTTTCCCGCTTTTTTTTTCTTGACTTCTCCTAATATAATAGTAACAATGTTAGTAGTATCATAATCTTAGTATTCCTTTCATGTTTTCCCTCTATGACTCTTTTTTTTTCTATTCTGTTTTGACTTCGTGGATGGCTAAAAAAATCTTTGATGTATTTTTTTTTTTCAATTCCGATGTCCTTCCGATTCATATATTCTAACATTAATAGTAGCAATAGTATTACTACTACTGTTACCACTAATAAAATAAACAACTTATGAATTATTAACAAAATGACAAGATAAGAAAAACACAATATATTATATTTGTACATCTATATTTATGTAGTCGTATATCTATTTACTTCTCTCTTGTCATTGGTATATTTGTAACATCCCTGCTTTGTATAAAGATAAAGTAAATACTCAAAAAGATTATTGCTTCCTAGTTTATATTTTTTTTATTTACATTTGTGTTTATTCATTTATTAATTATATCAAATTCTGACAACAACTAGACATTAAGAATATAAAATTAGAGTATATTATAATACAAAAGTCACACACATAAACACCTACGGTATTAGAAATAAATAGTGTGACGATGACTCATAATCAATTTATAGGAAGAAGGAAAAGACAATCAATTGCGTCTATACCGCATTCCATTTCTGTGTCTTTAGGATTACAAGAGCCCCTGAATAATTCTTTTGCACTAGGTAGTACTGCAGGAGGAGATAGTGGTATTGGAGGTAATAATGGTAATAGCAACAGTATTCCTGCTTCAAACAATCAATACAATCCATTGCAAACAAACTATTTTGGCAGATCTTATGTTAGTGGACTTCTATCCAATTCTCCTGCATTTAGACGATTAAGCAGAAATGATTTTAACTTTGCCAGTAACAGCAGCTATTTACCATTAAATAATCCAAATAACTATATTAGACCAATTCATCAATCACAAAAATTACATAGGCAAACTGCAGAGATTAGTGAAGATTTAAGTGAATCTTATCATGATTATAATAATAACAATAATATTAATAATAATAACACCAAGAATAAGGATAATAATAACAATAACACCAACGATTATAATAATTATAAAATAGATGAATATATTGATCTTGTTGAAACTAACAAAAGAAGAACGGCTGCTATTGACAATGTAGACATAATTGATACTTTCATAGGAAATAATATGGATGGTTTAGATACCAATATCAATGATATTACCACTAATGCTACTATTGGTTTAGAAGATACTCCTCAACCATATCTAACTCCCATTTCATCTACTGTCTCTGGAAATGAGTCGATAACAACACAACTATTAGTACCTACTGAATCGTACAGATCTTATGGTTCCCACATCCAATCACATCACAATATAGATATTGAAACAGGTAGTTCTATATTAGAAACAAATCTTTCACCTTATCAGAAATTATCGTCTTTGTCATATGACATCATTAACTATCTACCTGCTTGTACATTAGGTTTACTTTTGACTATCTTAGATGCTCTATCATATGGTATGATTATATTCCCTATTACTGAACCTTTATTCTCTCAACTTGGTGCAACTGGGATATCGATGTTCTATATATCAACAATAATCTGTCAAACTATATTATCCGGAGGATGGTCTAGTTTTCCATGTGGTATCGGTAGTGAAATGATTGAAATTACTCCATTTTTTCATACTATGGCTTTCACTATTATGAACACTTTAGGCCAGGATAAACCAGAAGAAGTTATAACCACCACAATATTTTGTTATGTCATCAGTGCCATGATCACTGGGCTAACATTCTTGCTATTAGGAAAATTGAAATTAGGAAAGATTGTCGGCTTTTTTCCTCGCCATATATTGATTGGTTGTATCGGTGGTGTTGGCTATTTCCTATTGATCACTGGTATAGAAGTATGTACAAGAGCCAAGAAATTTGAATATTCTATCCCATTTTTATCAGATCTTTTTATGGACACAGAAACTCTTTGGAAATGGTTATTACCTACAATATTAACTATCATTTTAATCCTCACACAAAACCATTTCCAAAATTCACTGGTTTTACCATCTTTTTATATTTTAACTTTGTTATTATTCCATTTTATAGTGGCCCTAATTCCAAGTCTTTCATTAACTCAACTACGTAATTCAGGTTGGATTTTCCCAATGGCTGCAGCAGATTCTAAATGGTATGATCATTATAAATATTTTAATTTCAAAAATGTTCATTGGTTGTTAGTGTTAAAACAAGTTCCTACTATGCTGGCATTAACTTTTTTTGGTATATTACATGTCCCGATCAATGTTCCTGCATTAGCCATGTCTTTACAAATGGATAAATATGATGTTGATAGAGAATTGATTGCACATGGTTGGTCTAACTTAATTAGTGGTCTATGTGGATCCATTCAAAATTATTTAGTTTATACAAACAGTGTTCTGTTCATACGAGCAGGTGCAGATTCTGCTTTAGCTGGTTATGTACTTATTGTTTTCACCATTATTGTGATGCTGATTGGACCGGTCATTATCTCTTTAATACCGATTTGTATCGTTGGATCATTAATCTTTCTTTTAGGATACGAATTGTTAGTCGAGGCTTTAATTGATACATGGGGTAAATTAACAACTTTTGAATACCTTACTGTGATAATCATTGTTTTAACCATGGGTATATTTGATTTTGTTCTTGGTATAATAATAGGTATTTTGATTGCATGTTTCAAATTTTTGATTGATAGTAGTAAATTGCAGACAATAAATGGCGAATTTAATGGCACTATAGCCAAGAGTACTGTTTATAGAGATCCAATTCAAACCAAGTTTTTAAATGGTATCGGCGAACAAATTTATGTATTGAAATTACAAAACCTTTTATTTTTTGGTACAATTATTTCGATTGAGGAGAAAGTTGATAAATTATTGGAAATTAGTGACAAAGATTCATCGAAACGCAGAATTAAATATTTGATTCTTGACTTTAAAAATATAAATGCGGATAACATCGACTATTCTGCAGCAGAAGGATTTAATAGAATCAAACGATTTACACAAACTAAAAAAATTCAATTAATCATATCATCTATCCGTGAAAGAGACCACATATATAATGCATTTAATAATGTCGGATTATTGGATGATGTTGAATTGTTTAATGATTTAAATAGTGCTTTAGAATGGTGTGAAAATGAATTTTTGTATCGATATAAGGAAATTAGAGACAAAGCTAAAAGGAGATTAATAAAATTGAATAACAGTAATATTGTTAATAACCGTGATAATAGTGTTACTCATAAGACATTTGAAAACAGCAGTGGTGCAAATAATAATAGACTCTCCACAATTCAATCTTCTGATAGTAATAATCCTACAGTTGTTGTAACTGATCATACAAATAATCCCAATGATATTAGTGATACTGGTAAAGGAAACAGTACTATTGCAAAATATGGGACTGCTATTATCAAGAAAAATATAGGTCAAAATGGTATTAATACAAAATATTCATTCATGTCAATGCCAATCAACACTCCTCGAAACCATCAAATATTTTCAGTGGCACAGAACATTTTCAAAACAGATGAACAAACAGCTAAAACAATAAGAAATCAACTAAAATCTGAAGATCCTATTGTCCTCTTACTATTATTAGCATTAAAACCTTATAGATCAAGGATAGCATCGCCAGAGAAAAAAATAAGAGATCAAGAGATATCATTATGGAGTAGGTTATCTCCATATTTCAAAAAAGGAGTTATTGAAAATGGGTCCATTCTTCAACATGATAATAACATTTTTTTTGTTGTGGAAACAGGCGTTTTGAAGGCGTTATTCAATCTACCACAAGGCACTGTTTATGAAACAATGTCAAACAAGACCTGCTACGGTAAGATGATGATTCAATTTAATAATGTTTTAGATACAACAGAAAACAAGAGTGAAGCCAATAAGGGGAATTTAATTATTAAAGCAGAGACAGATGCTGTATTATGGGTTATTGATAAAGAATCATTGCAAACAATGAGGGAGAAAGAACCCGATCTGTTTATTGAATTGACATTATTGGTAATGTCCATTAAAGATAAAAGATTCAAAGATCTTTTAGGACATGCTTTAGTAAGCTCCTAAGAAACAAAAATACTAGTTATACTCCTAAGCAAAAGCTATCACCTCGTTACCTACTCATTTTTGCCAATAGATTATATCTTTATGTATCTAAAATCACACGTCTCATTTTTAACTAGTCACTCCACCTGTTAATCCATCTCTTCATTCATTCACACTGAAGAAAAAGTGAAAAAAAATTTTTGACAGAAAAATGAATTTAAGTAAAAGAAAAATTTCAAGATTCCAGAAACAGTTTATTGATGGAAATGAGAAACAAGCAGGCATACCCAAACACAAGTGCAATTTAATAAACATTGAAGTAATACATAACTGCTAGATCTCATGCTTCTTCTTTTTCTTTTTTTGGAAAGGCCTTTCGTGCGCCTGTATCAATAGGTACTTCTATAGGTTTGCCTACACACACAGCTGTATCTATATCCGTCCATAAATTTCATATACATAAATATACACTAAACAAATTATATTATTAATTAAACATGTCTTATTCAACAAATTCAAGTATTACTGATATCGACTTCGATGATGTATCATCCTTCTCATCAATTGATTCCTATAAACCTGAACCATTTACTGGTGATTTACATAGCAATGGTAATATGGATACAACGTTGATAAAGAATGATACTATAATTAGACATGACACAAGAACTACAGTTGGTAGTGCTATCACAAATAATACGACAACCACTGCAACAACTAATGCAACAACTAATGCAACGACAGCTGCAACAGCTACTACACCTTTGAACCAAGAGAAGTCTCAAAAGTTAAATTCAAAGAATAGTTTAAATACACTAGGAAAGCAAAGTTCATATTTTATAGAAAGAGCAGTGACAAATAACGCTTTAGGAGACAATGTAGAAACTGTTGAATCCCTTGCCGCAAAGGGGTTAGATGGATCTCAAAAAATTGTTCCAGATATTAATAATCCACTAACTATGACAAAAACAGCAGAATTTCCTGAAGAATATACAATCGAAACAGATACGGGATTAGTCAAAATGAAAACTATTGAAACTTTAAGGAGACAAACGTCAAGGATTTCCACACAGAGATCTCTGAAAAGTAGAACTGAATCGATGAAGAGTAATAAGAGTAGCAAATCCTTCGCTAGCAGTCTTGTGGATAATCCCGATGACGGTCACTTGACTGCAGCGAAATTGAATAGAGCTGTAGAAAGGAACCGTAAAGAATTGGAAAAAATGAAGAAACGTAAAGAACAAAAGGGTATTAAAGGATTTTTCTCAAAGATATTTTGATAAAAATATTCTAAAATATGAGCTGTTGTAGATAATTTTTCCTCAAGTTTTTGATTTTTCCTTTGTATTTATTTGTTTAGTTGTTTTTTGTATCTTCCCCACTCCACTCCTATCCAACATCATCAACCATTTCTACATATAAAACACATATACGAGTGGTTGACATATAACATTATCACCAACCGAGTTCTTCCATTTAAAAAAGCTTCAGTCAGCAGGTCAAACTGAAGCTCTCGACGTCGTTGCTTTTATTTTTGTTGGCTTTGTGCTTTATTTGTCCTCCGCGAAGTTTACTAGCCCTCCTGAAGCAAAAAAAAATAGAAAATGCGGAGATTCCACGAAAGCTAAAGGGGAAGCAAGTAGATCGAATAATGATAAATATACATGAAAAATAGGTAACAAAAGAAGTACTGAGGTGAGCAGTCTCTGGAACAGCATCAGTATATCAGTAAATTTAAGACTAAACAAAAAAAGGAGAAAGAACACTGTTAAAATTAAATAGTATCACTATAACAAAAGAAATTCTAAAAAGCTGAAAAAAAAAACAGGTTGACAACCGTTAATCTTTATGACAAGTTGAAGTCGTTATAATAGTTATAATAGTTATAATAGTTATAATATACATATATAATATGTGCATTTTGTTAGCTACAACAGAACATCCACATTTTAAACTCATATTGATCTCTAATAGAGATGAATTTTTTGAAAGAAAGACCCATGACACATGTTGGCACAATGGTGATTATATACTATCACCATATGATATGACTACTGCGTTATATAATAGCGAAAAAGACATATATGGAACATGGGTTGGAATAAATAGAAATGGCAAGATATCTGCTGTATTGAATCTAAGATTTACTGGGAAAAACCAAATTTTTTCTAAAAATTCTCACAAGATAATGTCAAGAGGTATGATCCCTTTTAAATATTTAACACAGAAGCCAATTAATGAAGATTTATTTGTAAATTGGGAAAATTATGAAAGGTTCCAACAATGTTATCCATTTTTAGATAAATCTGGTGATTTTAATTTCTTTTATGGTGATATAAAAAAAAATGAGTATAGAGTAATTGATTCATTAGGTGAAACTTTTCATGTACTTGATAAAGAGAATGGCTATAATATGGTTTTATCAAATGATATATATAAACCATATAAGGAGAACGATATAATGGAATGGTCTAAAATTAAACTAGGGAAATTAAAATTAAAAGAATTAATAGAACAAACTTCTAATTGTAATGATGTGGAAAAAATCTTTCAAAAATGCTTCCAAATTGCTTCATTTTGTTCAATTAACAATCAAAATGAAACCATCATTAAGGATCCTATGATTACCACGGAATCTATATTCGTACCACCTTTAAAATGCTTGCCTAAACAAGACGTAGGGCTAACTATGAGTGGAGGTCTTTATTATGGTACTAGATCTCAACTTGTCACTCTAGTTAATAAAGATGGAACAGTAGTCCATGTATCGGAAAGAGTCTTACATATTCATGATTCTGACATCAATTCATACAATCAATATAACCCAATTAAAACAAATACATTCAGTTTTAATTTATGATCATCTATATTATATATTTCTATATGTACTTCCGTTTACATATATCTAGTATCAATATTCACTTTTCTACTATTCCTATTCTAATTTTCTTCCCAGCTTACAAAAGTTTTAATATTAGTGTTAATCTAAGGTCAGATGCCTTTTCTAATATACAGTGTAGCATATTTTATTATTTAAAATTAATCTATATATCTATATATTCCACCGTATATGGTGGTATGACTTTTTTAGCATTCTTTTGTTTAATATGAACAGCAGAATTATTGAAATGATTGCCATTCTTATTTTTGGTAATTGGTTCCATTTTAGAATCTAAAAGATACCAAAGTTCTGTATTTTGTTCAATGATACTAATCATATTATTAACATAATCAGAAAGCTTGTTTAATAAATCTTCATCAAGTGCAAATAACCCGATAGAATCAATGACAAGTGATACTAGCTGAAACAATAGGGATGGAATCATTATATCGCTTCCATTGTCACTACTATTATTATTGTCATTATCACTGTTATTGACGTTTTCCGAATCTTTATTGGATATGATGAATTTTATAAAGTTATGAATATCAATCTTTGGTAAAACTTTTAATTCTTTTTTAATCAAGTCCCTATTATAATCTTGTAATATTCTCAAAGATATATCTAATGCCAATTCATTATTTTTGATTGAAAATAGTTCCATTAATAATTCATCTAATGGTAAATTTGGACATGTTACAACCGCTTGCTTATATAGTCTTGGGCAATTTTTAAACCTTGACAATAAATTTTTCGTATTTATGATCGGGAACAATGGATGAGTTAAAAGATACGTTAAAGTCTTTGGATATGAATCATCATTATCAAATGAGCAATTTTTCAAAACTAACTCTATAACCTCCGATAAGAAAGATTGATTGATAATATATCTATCCGCTTCCGTGTAGAAATCCTTCTTAATATTCAATCTATTGAAAAAAACTTCATCAAATTTATTGATATCTTTAACACTATCTGTTAAATTTTTCAAAATATTATCATAATTATAATTATAAGTAACAGTTTCCTTATTGTCAGATAAGGATAAAGTCTTTAGAGTAACAAAATCATTATTTAGTGTCTTAGTAATATCTTGGCTTGGCATGAAATTTTGGAAGCCCTTACCTAAAGATTCCTTCAAACTACCACTACCCTTTTCTATATTTATGATATCTAATGATATCGAATTATAGTTATATGAAAGACCAATAATGAATGATCCATCCAGTGAACCATTCAAAATTTGAAACCACTGCAATCTTTTTATAATTTGATATGATAAAACACTACCCAAGTATAAATCTAAATAATAAATTTCATTATCTATAGCCAAACAGACTTGATTCTCAGCAATTGGTTGAAATGAAACATATGACGAATTTGGCTTCACAAAAGGTATATTAATTGATTGGACTTCATTTAAAGTAGTTAAATCGTAGACATGGAATTTGTTATTTGTCTTTGAGAATTTATAAATTTTGTTTTCAAATTGTGAGATTTGACATTCCGATTCGTACAAAGTTGTAGAAACACGTAATTCAATCCAGTTTTCAATGTCGTATAATGCTATAGAGGATTCTCCTATAATTAATGCAAACTTATTATCAATAAATTCCACTTGTGAGATCTGTTTCATTGGAATTGATTTAGTTGAAACCAACATATTATTATGATAACTTTGAATTGTACCATTTTCTAAGACCGCTATAGTAATATTATCTTTATCGGTCAACACATTTACAACTTTACTAGGCAGATTAAATTTTGTATTTTGGTTTAAGTATAATGTAAAATTTTTAGCATTTTTATTGCTTCCAGATACAGTAGCATAAACTTGTTTACCATCAAAAGCAGTAATAATCAAATTAGAAGGGATAGGGACAGCATTAATTAACTTAGGTGTTGGGTTGATAATAAACTTTGAGATGGAATACTTCGAAAAGGCAACATTCAGTTCGTTGGAGTTTGCATCCAGGTTATTTTTTGACACTAGAATTGGCACAGGCTTTGATTGTCTTGGGACTGTGGTAATTGCAAAAGGCTGAGATATAGTTGGAGAAACCATTTATCCTTTGTATATATATATATATATCTGTATATAGTGTTTATTCTGATTTTTTATTATATTTCTTTCTCAACTGTCTATGAATTTCAACTGAAATTCCTTTAAAGAAAATACTATTACACGGACACTACTAATGTTAAAAGAATTTAATAAAGATCACCATGACAATATTTTACAGTAAAGGAATTCTTCTTTTTTTTTGTTAGTTCAACCTTCTCACTTTAATTTCATCTCATCGCTCAATCTTTACCACTATAAAATTTTTTTTTTGTTTTTTTTTTTTTTTTTTTTAGTTTTTTCAACTTTAATACAGTTTTTCGTCCAAAACGATTTTTAAATATTTCGTTATTCACGATTTCATTAAAAATCGTTAGAAATGATCTTAAGATATCACATATATACAGTTATTTTTAATGAATCTATTTTAAATAAAATAGAGCCAGAGGTAAGATCAAACAGTGACTACTGCTGGAATGTCTTAATGAAACGATGGCTTCTTGCACCACTTTACTCAACATGGAGAAAAAAGATTTCTACCCAATTACTTTATATGTGGAGAACCATAGTCAAGAGAAACAATTAGTTACAAATCTTCAAACTGCATAATTATGACTGATTATGAAGCTATAGAATCAAAATTTAAATTGTTGAGGAAAAGATGTCAAGATATTAAGGTTGAAAATAGAAAAGTCTTAGAAGCTATTGGCAAACCGAAAATATACCAAATAACCGTAAATAATGATCAATCGGATCAAAACGACCTCAATTATACTGAGCTGGAAGATACAATTGAAAACAACCAAGAAACGTTAAAGCTATTAAACATGACGTTACGTGATTTTGAAAAGAAATATGGTATCAATATGTATAACACAAATAAGAAAGAATCTCTTGTATCTATTCAAGGCGATACGTTAGCTAAATTTACATATGAAAAAGAAATGAAAGCCATGTCAAAGCTTAAGCACCAGCATAAAGATAATATAAATAATATAGATGCTATAGCAGAAAATTTAAAACAAACTAGTAGAAAAAGGTATATGATAAGGAAAAAACAAATCTATGAAACAAATTACAATAATAATACCTACAGTGGTAACAGCAATAGGCCTAATAATATGGCATACATCAATATAAAGAATAAGCAGTTTAATGATAAATTACAGAGAGAAAAAAAACAACAAATGGACCAATAAAAAAACTAGATAAAACTTGTACACACATCCACACACACATATATATACATACATATAATTGCGATCGAACATATTCAAATAATTTCAATACATCAAAAATATATCTTTGATAATATATTTTCTTTTTCAATTGACAATTTGTTAAAATTTAAGGAAATAGATAAACATAATAGAGAGATATTGAATTAACATTGATAATTTTATTTATAAACTATCTCTTCCTCTGTGGCAAATGAATATAAGGAATTGTTTTGAGTGTTCAGAATATTATTATTAGCAGAGACAGTAGTCTCATGATTCTTATGTAATTTTTCTTGTAATAATTGATTTGCATAATCCATTTTAATTTTAATTTTTTCACGATCCTTCTCTAATGCTTCTGCTAATTTTGTTTGTTCATCCAGTTTTTTTGTAATTTCATTATTTGTTAACGTTAATTTTGATATCTTTTCTGTATTAATTTCTTGCAGTTCCTTAATGTTTTTCTCTAAATCCAATTTTTGAACACTCAAACTTTTAATTTGTTGTTCGTTCAATTCATGGTTCTTAGTCTTTTCTTCTAATTCCAACTTTGTTGCATCTAATTCTTGTTGATATACACTTTCTAATTTCTTCAATTCTTCATCATGTTTATTCTTTAAGTCATTTAACATCTGATCCAATTCATCTTGTTTATTCTTTAATTTTGTTTCAAACATAGTCGTGGTGGATTGTAACTTCGTATTCCACTCATCCTCTCTTCTTTGTTTTTCGATTTCAATATCATTAACAATTTTCAACAAATTCAAATTCTCATTGGCTATCTCTTGTTTGACTACAGACAACAAGTTTTGCTTTTCACTTATTGTCTTGGTCAATTCGTTTAATTTATTATTATATTCATGTGTACCTAGTGTAATATTCTTAACATTAGTCTTATTCATTTGGTCCTTTTCTAAATTTTGATCGATCTCGGATTGTAGCTTTTCTTGTTCATTCTTTAAATCACCGATCTTAGAAATTAACTGATCTTTCTTATATTTATATTGATTTATTTTGAATAACTGACCATCAAGTTGTTCCATTTTTTCTATTAAATCATGATTCCACCTCTCATATTCATTTGATAAATTATTAGATTCTAATATTAATTCGTTCAATTGTTGTTGTAACAAAACCTGTTTCTGTCTTTGGAATTTTAATTGACTTAACTTCCATAATTTCAAAGTCTCTGTTGAATGGATAATCTTATATTTACTTTCAATATTTTTGGCATTGATTTGAAACAATTTAAAGATTTTATCATTTTCGATTGTCTCCAAATCATTCAAATGTCTCAATTTAACATCATTAATCTTTTCCAACAAATTAGTCTTATCTTTATTAATCTTGGAAATTTTCTCTTGACACAATTTCCTTTTCAAGTCTGAACGAATTTTATAGTTATCATTTAGATCGTTAATCTTATTTAAATTTACCAAATTTTTATATTGAATCCAATCATAAACAGCTTTTGATACGACCCCATATTTTGGCACCTTAACTATTAATTCTGGATTCTCTGGTGTAGCCTTTGGATTCTTGATTACCAATTGATTATTACCAACACCATTAACAATAGTATTCTCTGTATTTTTATTAGTAGACCCATTTTCCGTGGATAAATATACTTTTGGAGCTAATGCTGGATCTAATGGTTTGTTAAACTTACATTTATTTTCTAAAATCATATCATTTGCATCCTTCAATTCACTTATTTCAATATTTTCCTTCAATTCCAACTCCAACTCTGTGTCAATAGTGTAAAGATTGACATTATCTGTAAAATCATCACTGTTAGCAATAGAACGTTTAGGGAGTTCCTCAGCATCCATTATGTAATCATCAGTAATTGGATCTGTTTCTTTCTCATTCTTTTCCTTTTCTTCTTCTTCTAATGATTTTGGAGGAACAAAATCATAATCAACAGCAATACGATTAGTCTTATCTTTGCGAGTATCAACTTGTATATTTTCCCTTTCCTTCTTTTCCTCCTTATTCTCGACCTTCTTATCCTCAATATCAACGAGAATCTGTGAACTTTTTAAAATCTTTAATTTTTCCTCCTTTTCTTTCAAATCGTCTAATTGTAGCAACTGTCTCTTTTCGTTGTCGATCAATAGTTGTGGGAAAGAAAGATCTTTTACCCTTGGTTTATTCTTCAAGTTATCATTTAGTGGTATCAAAGACTTTAAATTATAATTTGACGTTGCACTAATATTCGGAAATTTAGTACTTTTAATCAATTGTAACTGAGCCTTCCCTGGAACTGTTGATTGATTTCTGAAAGGAGAGACATATTCTTTATTGTCATTTAGAGAATGGGTCTTTTGTAAAAACAAATTACCTGAAGTAGAAGTTTCTGTCATGATATTATTAACAATTTTCTATGTTATTTAACTTACACTAATTTATAGTCAGAATATGAATAAGGCGGAGTTGTAACGTATATATTTAGGTATAACCTTTTAATTTTCTTCTATTGAATGATTTATTTATTTACTTATTTATTTATTTATTTTATTTTTTTTTGCATTACATTTCAACCATAGTATTGGTATTACAACAAGTATTTACAACCTGAGGAGCTTTTAAAAAATATGTTTTCTTTTTTCTTCCTGCTTTGTATTTTAGTTTGTTTGTCTCTTTCTCTGCTTTCTCTTCCTTGAACTCCTTTATTGCACTTCCTTGCTCTCTGTCTCGAAGAGATTGGCAGAAGCTCGGCTCGAGCAGCAGAGATACTAGAAATGCGATGCAACAAGGAAAAAAAAATAGATTAAGGAAAGGGGTTGAAAAAAAAAAATTGTGCGGCAGAAACTGCTGACAGGGAGATTCCACAAGGGAAAAAGAAAGATAGAGAAATTCCGCATATTCCGATAAAAAAAGAAAACGTTCCATGGAAAACAAAGGAAATAACAGTATTCAATCCGTAGAAAATGACTGACAAATTTCTTCTCTTTTTTTTTTTTCTTTTCTTTTCTTTTTTTTTGGTGCCCATTTTATTTCATTGTCAAATATCTGGAATCGGCATGAAACAAAAAGAAAAAAAAGGAAACTGCCTTCCTATTTAGGAAAAACGGCTTCCATTTTCAGCATGCAAATAACTATAGGCAGGTTACAGTCCTATAAGAACTGGAAAATGCAAACTCCCACTCCCCCTTCTCCTTCCCCTTTCTCTTTCCCTATTCCTTTCTCTTCTCTCTTCCACGTCCTCCTCAAAAAAAAAAATTAAATCTAGGGGATTCTGGTTTTATTAGATTTCCATCTTTCTTGAATGATTTTTTTTGGATAACTATTTTAGGGCTTTATTCATAATCTACATATTTAGCTTTTTTTTTATCTTTTTTAAGATAAGAAGAGTTTCATATGTTAAGTCCAAATATTTCTTTAAAAATATTCAAATTTCAAAATAAAAAAAAAGAACAATAAAAGTTTTATTCTTCACATTAAAAACTTAACAATTTTATTTTTTCATATAGTTTTCATACAAATTTTTTTTTATAATATTATCCATTATGAATAATCGACATTTTCTTTGAATTCGTTAAATTCTCTCTCTTCTATTATAGTACCTTGATTAGGTTTGGTATATTTTTAATGCCACCTAAAATAGGACCCCAGAAAAAGTTTTTTGGGTTAATCCACGGAAGGGGAAAAACCAAAAGAAAAAAAAAAGGAAGAGTTACAATCATCTTCCGCGGATCATTATGATTTTTCAGAAGAAAAAAAAACACCCAGATAAAATATCCCCTGTTCTAGAAAAATTCTTCTCTATAATTATTATTGCTCTTTCCCTTTTTGGAATATTATTTTATTTGTTGTGCTCTTCCCCTTCAGATTCAAACTAAAACTGTTCTGTTTGTTTTATTTTTTATTCTTCCTTTCTATGACTATTACATCATTATTATTTCCGTCATTATTTGTTCAATCCCTTTCTCTTCAATCCAAGTCTCATCGATCCTTAAAAAAAAAAAAAACAAATAATAATAACTTTTTGTTTTTTTTTTTTTTTCTCTCTCCTTGCTTTTGGACTATGGTCGAACAAAACAAACAAATAAATACTTGAAACTATATAAACGTCGAAATCTCTCTTTATTTTTCAACAAAAAAAAAAAGAATTTAGCAATTCTCATTAGTAGTTCCTCATTCTCCTTATATCTTCCTTATCTCTTGACTTTTTATTTTTCCATTGCATTGCATCCTTCCTTGTTTAAATATTCTTATTTCCATAAAATTTCCATCATATACACACACAAAAAAAAATAAAACCAAACTGCATAAAATATAGCAAAAAAATAAGTAAACAAAATAACTAATTTAAAAACAAAGAAATAAAAAAAGTAAAAACAAGATGCTAGCTCTCGCAGACAACATTTTACGTTTGATCAATTTCATATTTTTAGTCATTTGTTTAGGTTTAGTGTCAGCACTAATCAACACTCAAAAACACCATGTTTCTCGTGTTAACTACTGTATGTTTACAGCTGCCTACTCAATTGCTACAGATTCCTTCTACGGTATATTTGCCAATTTCTGGGATCCATTAGCATGGCCATTTGTTCTAACCACATTAGATTTCCTAAATTTTGCTTTTACATTCACCGCTGGTACCGTGATGGCTGTCGGTACTAGAACTCATTCCTGTAAGAATCAACATTATTTGGATAAGAATTCTATTACCCAAGGTTCTGAGAACCGTTGTAGAATGGCTCAAGCCTACACTGCCTTCATCTATTTCTCAATGGCCATTTTCTTCTTCAAGATGATTATGTCTGCTATTAACATGTTCCAAAATGGTGCATTCTCCAACAATTCTTACGTCAGCAGGAGAAGAAGAAATGCTGCTGCTGCTGCTCAAGGCATTCCAAACATCTCTCAAGTTTAAATATTGACTTTTGTTCAGAACCCGTTAACATTTATCATAATCTGTTTTCTTTTGTTCCTCTCCCGTACCCCCCTCAATCCTTCCTATTTTCTATCAAACATACCAATATCCTTCTTTTATTGTAATATATAAAACAGAAAGAAAAAATAAAGGGTAATCAAGGGAAGTAATGAAAGAAAGAAAAAAAAGAAAGACAAAGGAGAGAGAGACGGAAAGAAAAGAAAAGAAAAAAAAGGGGGAAAGCCCTAATGCTTTTCACATATAATCATGTCTGTCCGTTTAAGTGAGGGGCCATTCGGCAAACTGCTCTTTCTATCTTTTTGCTCTTTTGCCTTTTATCTTTTATATTTTTTCCCCTCTTTTCGTTTCCCCCCCTTCCCCCTTATTTTTTGTTCTTTTATTCTTTTATCTTTAATTTTGCTTCATTGTATTCTCATTTATCATTCCTTAATATATTAATATTAATATTATTCCATTGTTATACAGCCTCCAAGTAATATGCGTCCTCTCCCATTGCCCTTTTTCCCCTAATTCTTCTTCATCTTCATCTTTTTTCAATTTTTCAGTGGAGATACATTTTATTTCATTTTTTTTTTCTTTCGTTTATTTTTCTACCCCTAATCTGTATCAAAAATACCCATTTTCTTTTTATCATAGCCACACACGCACGCATAGACACGCATATATTTTATATTTCGTATTCCGTACTTCATATATATATATATGTACGTATGTATAAATGCATTTGAGATATCTAAACTTTTAGTAAATGACTTTTTCATATCTTTGGAAACGCTTTTAACTGAAATATAATAGAAGATAGATATAAGGGATATATTTACAAATAGAAGCGAATAAGTGTATAATAATGATCATTATTATACATATACATACGTATACACATATATATTATTTCAAATCATTAGCCTCTGCCTAAATTTAAAAGCATGTTAGTTGTGGAACTACTTGAATCATTATTACCTGTCTTGCCACTTCCAGTATTTGGCTTACCGTTAGGTAAATAGGTTATATTTGGCGATTGGCTTAAAGTTCTTGCAATTTCCTTGGACGCTTCCAATCTTCTAATCAACAGCAAACCATCTCCAACACGTTCCAACGTCCTGGAGATGACTTCTGCGGATTCCGCCTCACCTTCTGCACGAATAACAGAAGCCTGTCTCTCTTGCTCTGCCTTCTCCACCAAAAATTTAGCTCTCTCTGCATCTTGTTGTGCAATCTGTTTCTGTTCAACAGCCTTTGTGAATTCCGCACCAAATGTCATATGGGTAATAGAGACATCTTCTAATTTGATACCAAATTCATTGGCACGTTGCGATAATTCTTTTCTAATCTTTTGCGATACAATTTCTCTCTGTGTGATTAACTCGGCTGCATCGAACTGGGCCACGATACTTTTCAAAACTTCATTACCGATGGATGGAAGAACTCTCTCGTCGTAATCCAAACCTAAATTTTGATAGATACGTGGTAGTTGCTGAACATCAGGACGATGTAGTACACGTAGTGTCAGTGAAACCATTTGCAAATCCTTTGTACCTGTATTAGTAGCGATACTCTTTGGCTTTGTTCTAACGTCGTAGATGATTGCACGTTGTAACCAAGGAATCAAAAAATGTGTGCCCTCCCCAACAACCGTGCTTTTAACACCGCTTAGACGATCAAAGATCACACCTCGTGTACCACCTTGAACATCGTACATCGAATAATCCGCTAATGTTATAGCCATACCCATTGGAATAGCTAATTTTGTCAATAAATTTATACTTTTATTCATATTTTTTTCGTAAATATTTATTTATCTTTCTTCCTCTCTTTCCTTCTCTCTCTCTACCTAGTTTATTAATCTCGGTAGTTTCTAATAACACTTAAAAGCTGAAAAACAAACGAGTTTATTTGCGTATGTGTGTGTTTATGTAGATACCAATTATGTAGATTGCTAATACGAAACATATATCATGGTCTTTTACTGTCTCTTGTAGGATCGTGAAGAAGGGAAGAGGGGGCAGAGGGATATACTTTCTTTGTCTCTTGTTCTGTTTCCCGTTCGTCTATTAAACTTTTTTTTTTTTTTTTTTTTTTAGTTTTCAGTTTTTCAGTCTTGTTCAAGAAGTTTGTAATTGGACCTAAAAAAAAAAAAGGGAAATAATAGTAAATGATGGGAGGTTGATACATTTCTATATTTACAGCTTCACAACAAAGAAAAACCATCAATAATCTTTCATCTTCCATTTCTTTATTTACTCGGATCAATCACATACACAAGATACAAGATTATCTAATAGTAATAATAATAATATCAATCATAATAATACAGGCAATAGTACAATTTTTGTCCTTCCCTCTCCTTGTATTCTACCAACTGGCAAACATATCATATGTATCTATTTCCTTGATTTATAATATAATTGTATTGATATTTATATTTAAAACAGGAAAAAAAAATTTTTTTTTTTGAATACTTCAACATTTTCCACGTCTTCCCAAGCTATTAAGAACAAGCAAGAAACGAATTTATGAATTCTAGGCTACTGAAAGAATGGACACAGCTAAATAAGAACGGGAACAAATATTACCTATGTCCCATAGAGGAAAATGATATGACACATTGGCAAAGTGAATTCGAAGGACCCAATAATTCTCCATATAGAGGCCACAAATTCACACTCTATCTGGACATACCATCAAATTATCCAATGTCACCTCCAAAAGTAAGATTCAAACCATACTCTATGCCACATGTAAACGTGGATTGGAAAACTGGTGCTGTATGTCTTGATATATTAGAATCGATGTGGTCGCCAATCTTTAATCTGCAATATGTTGTTGAATCCTGTTTGAGGTTATTGACCGAACCTAATGGTGAGTCTCCCTTAAACTTAGAACTTGGCATTTTACTAAGAGTTAGTGATCATACAGGTTACAATGGATTGATTAACTATTATTTGAACCATCCACATAACAGCTTGTCCTCTAAATAACAAAATGTACTACACACACACGCATATATATATATATATATATATATTTTGATATGTATACACACAATCATAATTATTGATATTATCATTATTAGATTATTTCTCTCTATTTTCTTTCCTATCTCTGTTCATGAGTTTATTTTTTTCTTTAGTCTTTTTTTTTCCTTCAATATTTTGACACTGTAAAGAAGTATTTATGTCTTCATCTTTTTTTATGTTCTGCACTCTTCAATACATTTATATATATATATATATTTATATATTTATGTGTGTCTATATGTGTATTTGTATGTGTATTTTATTAAATTTAATACTCTCTAACAAACTGTGTTCCATTAACTCAATAAATTTAATTAGTTATGTCTATGAAATAGTGCTTTTTCTACTGCTTTATTTCTCTTCAATCTTCAAATGAATAATACAAATACCAATATTAATAAGAATATTGATAACTTCACATCTTTAAAACAGAGAGTCTCTGGTTATAAACCTTCACTTAGATCCTTAAGGACTCAAATCAGTAAAGAAATTGAAAGTCCAACTGAGGATTTATATTATTTATTTATTGAATCAACTGCTGTTGTTCTTTTCACCACGAAAATCGGATTATCCATATTAAATGAATTATATAACATTAATTTGGGCAAATATGATAAATTAATCAATACATATGACGAAAAATTGAAGCTAGCATTAAGTTATATGCATTCAAATTGGTCACTATTAACATTACTAAAATTCTATAGATTTTGTCTATTCAATGACTTATCGTTTTTAGATATACGCAATTATAATGATCCATTATACAAGAACAACCTTTTGAATCAATTATACGATGGTTCAAATTGGCAAGATTCATTGACTTTAACATCTTTAGCATGTAACACTGACTTTAATATACTCATCGACTTATTACGGTTTTTCACAGCTGATATTGAAAATTGCTTGACCGAGATGACTATACACTATGTAACCGATCCTAAATGGTATATTACAGGTAAAATACCAACTTCTACAAAATACCAATATTTAGGCGGGTTTATTGTCACACAATATGATAGAGCTCATACAACATATGATTTCTTCCTTAATATTGATTTGAACACAAATTCAGAGGACTTTAGTGAAAAAAATTTTCTTTCGAAAAATGAACTAGTCAAACTTTACTTAAAACCAATTACGAAATCGGATTTCTGGGATGTTTTATTTATCTCTGTGCGATCTACCGATACTGCAATAGAATATTTCCATGAGTTATCAAAATATGATGAAAATAGAGAATATTTAATCAAATTGCAAAGGGCTTCAAATCAACAACAATACATTGATAATAATAAACCTCATATAAACGCAAATATTGGTATCACCAATATCTCATCAGTAGATAAAAATTCCAATTCTATGGTTGATATCAATTGGCATTCTGAATTAAGGTATGGTATCCTTTCATTAATGTTAAATTTAAAATCATTTAATGATTTTTTATGCACTTCTTTACAATTCGAAATGTTATGTACCTTGGTAGACCCACTCACTCAGCCCTTACCAAACGACAAATATATTATATCAATTGATTTATTGGCTAATTTGTTTCTTTCTTCATGCTACAATGATTTAAAATCAGGAAGGATACGATATCAAGGGTACGAAACTAGATTTCACATCGGCTTAAATATGGAAAGAATAATCCTAAACTCAATGGAAAGATTAAACTGTGAAGACTATAATCATTTACAAAGCCTTGGAGTTGATAACTTTGATAACAAAAATATTGAACATTGGTGGAATCTAATGTATTCATGGTTACCACACGGATTGAATACACAAGATTTAGAACTTTTATACATGGTCAACATAATGGCCGTATACGTGATATATAAATTGTTTAGTGATAAACCAGTTCAGTTGAACCCGTTTTTATCAACTTTAATTTCGGTCTGGAAAAAATTGTCATGTATCATACTCTTCAGTTTAGATATAGATAGGATGTTAGAACAAGATAATGTGAGGGAAACTCCGTTACTTGTTAGAGCGACAATACGAGGCGCATCTGCCTTGAGAGCCGTTATTGCCACAGTATTAAATAATTATATGGAATATATGGAACACGACTTTAAACATGAACCAATAAACACATTTATGTCTCCACATGGACGGAAATTATGTCAAGGTGCCTTGTATACAGATATAAGATCATATGCAGCTGCAATGTTAGCTCTTGGCGTAGATTTAAAAAATGTGACAGAATTATTTTCAGACTTACAGGCAGGTGATAGATTTGATGAGGATATTAGATACATGTTTGAATATGAATATGAGGATTACAATATAGTGGACGATGAACCACAAATTAATGGTGTCTCGGTTACAAAAAGAATTAATGATAACAAGAGGACTAATAGTAAAAATAACGAAGATAATATTCTAGAGAATGAGAATATTGGAAAACTGTTTCAACAAAGAAGATGTGATTGCATCTTCGATGATGACAAAATACATGGTGCACAAATGATAACAAGCAAAAATAATACAGTTATTGAAGAAAATAATACTGTAATGACCACAAATAATCAAGAAAATGTCAATTCAAATAATCCGATTGCTGGTAGATCTAAAGCATTCTTTGAATTTGATTACAGTGGTAAAGATTGGCGAGATGTCCCAAGAGGACTAAATCTTTATTATGCTTCAACTTACCAGTTTATTGTTAGTCCAAAATTGGAAGATGTTAGTAAATTGATTGTTAAAGCTTCAACGACCACTCTAGCTTATGATGAAGCAATCTTATTGTTACGATTAGTGTCATCTTGTGTCAAAGAAGAACAGGAGTCAATGATTTTTAGTCATTTAAACGAAATTTCAAACTATAATAAAAGGCAACAAGACGGAAACAAAGCTAAAATAGTAACACCTGAGGATATCTACGAACTTTTATGTGATAATTCTACTTTTGGAGAGATTTTATATATTAATCATGAATTGGGGTGGAGATTAATGGATGAAATGTTAATGTGTAATGGATATCGTCGAGTATTGATTTGGTTTCTGACTCATATGGAAATAAATCATACGTTAATTCATTATATCTTTGAGTTGGTAATGGGTCTTCGAGGACAAGATTTTGAATCAAATGCTACATTAGAAGATATGAAGAAACTTTTATTACACGATATACTAGTAAGCCAGAATCACAAGACTGAATCATCTTCAGTGAATAGTGGAAACAAAGACAAGTTTCCATTTTCCAGACAAGGGCCACTAATTTTGTCAGATATTGAAACAAGTATGTTATTACAAGAATTTTTCACTAATGCAGCGATATACTTATCAAATAAGAATAATTTAAATAGTAATCCAGCACAGTATGATGTGAATGATAATATGGGTGTTGGTGAATCAAGTGAGGAGGGATCAGAATATGTATCTTTGTATGCAATTGGATTAGTTAAGCTAATATGTTTCATGGTTCGAACATTAATGGAGAATGGAAAGTTTGATTTTGTGAAAATGGAGTGTTCTTTTGAATTACAAACGTTATTAATGAATTGGATTGGATTAATTCCTGAAGCACAAGAGTTATTTTTTATGATGAAATCTAATATTGCAGATAAAGATATTGCTACTGATCACAGAAATAATAGTATTATAGGAATCGACAGTGACTTTAGTGAAAGTAAAATTAATACGGATGATAGATCTCGGCGCTATATTATAACTAGTGAAGAAATAGAAAGTGGTAATTTATTCAAAGATGATGACGATGATTCAGTATCACAAGTTTCAAGTAATAGTGAAAATAAGCATAGTAATAGAGAGGATGATGATATAGATGAATACTCGAAGAAATTACTTAAACTATTACCACATACTGTTAATAAGGATCAAGATAATAATAAAGAAAACCATGCATTTTCAACATTAAGATCGTATATGAGAAGACATTCTTTTGTGCAAGGAGTACCAGTTACTGGTAGAAAAGTTGTTCATAGAGGCACAAAAATCCTCCCTATGAAACAAAATGAAAGACCTATAAGTATACGAGAATATATGGAAAACTATGATTATTTTACACAACATGAATGGTAAAAAAATAAAAAATTGGACAAAAATACAAAATAAAACAACTTAATGATTATAAGAATATTTATACATATATGCTATTATGTAATGGCTAGTATATACCTACAAATGATTTCAAATAATTGTCTTAATATCTGGTTCAATATCCTTTGGCTCAGCTAAAGAAGAATATCTTTGAACAACATTCCCATTCTTATCAATTAAAAATTTTTCAAAGTTCCATTCGATACTTTGGATTCCCAGTGGACCACTTTTCATACTCTTTAAATACGCGAAAACAGAATCTGTCTGATTCCCATTGACATTAACTTTCGACATTATCGGGAAGGTGACCCCATATTTATTAGACACAAAATCCATAATCTGTTCGTTTGAACCTGGTTCTTGTCTCCTGAACTGGTTACAAGGAAACCCTAAGATGGTGAAACCTTTATCTTTATATTTTTCATATAAATTTTGTAAACCTTCATATTGTTTGGTAAACCCGCACTGAGAGGCTACATTAACTATTAATACAGTTTGCCCCTTTAATTGATTAAGCTGGATAAGGTTCCCCTTTATATCCTTTGCCGAAAGATTATAAAATTCGGATAAACGTCTTTTAAAGATATGAAGAGAGGAAGTAGTAACAGGAAAAATTCTGAATGAAGAATGTGTTTTGAACATTTTAAGAAGTATATAGTCGTATAAATACTTAAGGCACTGTTTAGAAGTAACTTATTCCTGATATTATCTTATGCTTTCTTAATAAATATATTTTAAAGATCTAAGGAGAAAAAGATGGCTTACGAAAATAAGATTGTTACCAAGGACATCATATAATTAGTTAATGCCTAAAAGATGTATATATATATAAGAGAAGGAAAAAAAAGAAAATAAATAGAGAGATCAATAAAGCAACAAAGACAAAGACTCTTAATAGAGAAGTAGATTCTCAACCATACCTAAAGTAAGCTATATGTTGCATAAAGGCTTTAAACGAAATGTTGGCAAAAATTTATATATTCCTTTGTATATTATTTGATTGATAAGAGAAAAAAAAGCCTCTCTAATGTTCTTTCCTTTCTCCCCTCTGTCTCCCTTCATAATAATCAAGAGTGAAAGAATGCTGGACAAAGAATAGTATTTTCTTCAACATTGAGAAACATTTTTTGTTATAGTATCAGATCAGAATAACACTGTCAATCTCTACTTTCTGCTTTTGTTGTTCTTGTCGTAAAGTTGTAATGGAAAGAGACATCTTATCTAGAATATGCAAACAACACAATAACAGAGGTTAGGTATGGCATATATGCACACATTGAATATAGTAGAAGTAAGAGTAATAATAATATACAGACCAGCGTGGAGTTAGATTAGGGTTCAGAATAAAAGTAGGGCACAACACCCATACCTCTTACTTCCTTTGATGTAACTATTCACGAGATGTTTAAGTGTGAGAACTTGTCGAAAAGTTTCAAAGGCAAAAGTAATAAGGGAATAACAATTGAATGTATGCGTATATATGTGTGTGCGATTTTTAATAAAAGAATGCCTTTACAGCGCTCAAAAAGTTTTCTGCTTATATAGATAGCGTGTATACTGTTGTGGTTAGAGACCTTTAACAGGAAAACAAGTTCTTGTTACAAAGTTTGCGTGAAAATTTTGATCTTTTTCTTTTTGTTCTTTAGTGCTTCTGTGTTTTTTTATAATTGCCACCCAAGTACTCTTATAAAGATAATATTTTAGACATAAATAGATAAACACCACTATTCAAAACATAGTTATTTTTTTCTTCCTTCCAGAGTAATTAAAATTAAAAAACAAAATCAATAATGGGTTCAAGAAGATACGATTCAAGAACAACTATTTTTTCTCCGGAAGGACGTCTATATCAAGTTGAATACGCCTTAGAATCCATTTCTCATGCAGGGACAGCAATAGGTATTATGGCAAAGGATGGTATCGTATTAGCAGCAGAAAGGAAAGTGACTAGTGCATTATTGGAGCAAGATACGTCCACGGAAAAGTTATACAAATTGAATGACAAAATCACTGTGGCTGTGGCTGGTTTGACAGCAGATGCAGAGATCCTTATAAATACTGCAAGATTCCATGCACAAGATTATTTATTGACTTACAACGAAGATATACCTGTGGAGATGCTAGTCAGAAGAATGAGTGATATAAAACAAGGGTATACACAACATGGTGGGCTGAGACCATTTGGTGTATCATTTATTTATGCTGGTTATGATGATAGATATGGGTATCAATTGTATACATCCAATCCATCAGGTAATTATACAGGTTGGAAAGCTATTAGTGTTGGTGCCAATACATCTGCAGCTCAAACACTTTTGCAGATGGATTATAAAGATGATATCACATTAGAAGAAGCTACAGAACTTGCTTTGAAAACTCTATCAAAAACAACCGATAGCAGTGCTTTGACATATGATAGATTGGAGTTTGCTACAATTAAAATGAAACCAGATGATGGAAACGGTTCTAAAAGGGTATACCAAAAGATTTATAAACCAAATGAAATCAAACAATTATTAATTAAGACTGGTATAACTAAGAAATCAAAGAATAATGAGGATGGCGAAGGCGAAGGTGAAGATACTGAAATAAAATTATGAAAGTAAATAGAAAGATACAAATAAATGGGATATATAAGTATTTTTATCATAACAAAAAATATTATATTTTAATAAAATTGCAAAATCGTAGAAAATATTTTTTTAGTTTACTCTGATCTAATGTGATCTAATCATTACTTAAAATTTAATAATTCATTTTGTTCTTGTAAGTACCTATGATTTACTGCAACATATATGTGTATATATATATGGTTATATTGATATGCGAATACATAAGGCCTGAGTATATTACGAATCTTAATTTTTTTCCAAGGTATTAGCACACCAAGAATCATACTAATAGAATGAATCATGTTTTTTTAATATTTTGATCCACAGATATATTCTTGTTGTGCTTTGCTTCTTCTTCATTGTTAAGTTGCTTGAGGAAATTTATGAGGCGAAGTAAAAAAATTGATTACTTTTTTCTTTTCTTTTCTTTTTTTTTTGTTTGTAGGTTGCATCGATAAAAGTTTAATAACAAGAACTGTAGAATATATATATATATACGTATATGTGTATGTATTTATATATACGTATGCTGAATCTCATAGGCCCTATGATACATACAGTAAATATGGTATATATGATGTTGCTATATATGTATATGTGGAAAAGATACCTGTAACAAGTAGTCTTCTGTGACCAAGCCTCTTTTTTAGTCATATAAACTTCGAGAAAACAATAGGTAGTAAGAAAACACTTGTATTAAACTACTTTTTCAATAATAGTCATTTAATAAAGAAAGAAGGAAAACAATAATAACAATGTCAGAGGCTTTAATTAATCGTTCATTGACCAACATTAGAACTGAATTAGACTTTTTACTAGAAAATAAAGTTATCTCTAAAGATTTTTATGATGAATTTAATAATAGATTACCAAAGGATTCTAGTAGGCCAAATAAGATCAAGAAGACAAAGAAGTTTGTTGAAGCAATTTATCCATATGAATCACAACAATCAGGTGATTTAAGGCTGAATGTAGGCGACAAAATTGAAGTTTTGGAAGTTTTATCTGAAAGCTGGTTGAAAGGTAGGTGCAATGGTCAAATTGGTGTTTTCCCTTCAAATTATGTTAAACCATTAAATAGTTATAACATCAACACTAATAATAATAATAATAATAATAGTGTATATAGACCATCTGCACCTTTACCAAATCAACAATATAATAATAATGAAAAAATTTCTAATCATAACAATAATAGCAATTACACACAAATTGCTTCACCACCACAACTACAATCACAAAAACCACCGAAAAAGCATAATCATCAATTTTTACATCAATTTGGCAGTAGATTAGGTAATGCAATTATATGGGGTGCAGGTTCTAAATTGGGTCAAGATTTGGTGAATTCTGCATTTGATAAATTGCATGATAGAGAGATCAAAAATGAGAACGAATGACAGACTGAAACATTTCAAGAGAATATCTTGATTTGAAAAATTTCCACTAGATGTAAATATTTTATTACTTATAACTTAAGCTGTTGAGAATATCAACACGTTTTTCACTAAGAATCGTGACCTAGGAAGTTTTAGGAATGATTTATATTTCTCTAAGATGTTTAAAATTTAAATTTGCAGTAATATTATTTATTATTCTGTAAATGTATTTAAAGTCAATTAATGTAAAAATAATTTTATATCTAGGGACATCCATAATCGAAGACAACATATATATGTATGTATGTGTATTAAATTAATTAAAAATTCATCCAAACAATGGAAGTTTTCGTTCTAAAATAATAAAAGACATCATTTTTTGGAATTTAAATTGTATTCAGTAACAAAGTTGGTAAATATGAGAGTACTTGTATTTTGGCTTTATTTTTGTCCATATTATATGGAGTAATATGGAGAAAAAAATATGAAAAATTATTAGTTATATTATACAAATATGCATTAATTGATTATAAGAATAATTAAATACTTAAAATACTATACTAAGATATACTTAGCTCCATATAATTTTTTTAAAATCTAAAACAAACGAAGTTTACCTTTCTCCAATGACTCATACGTTAATTGGATACTACTTCAAATCGTTAAAACATGGACAGTTTAAAAAATCGACATGTATGAGGCTAAGTTATATCTTTGCACATGATAAATGAAAATTTAGTTCATTATGATGCATAGAGCCTTTGTAATCAACTAGTTCCTAGCGACATTTTTGAAAATCTTAATAATAAGCCCATTTAGAAAATTATGATATTAACATCTAATAAAGTGGTTATGAAAAAGTACTTTACAAACTCAGCAAACAGAAAACAAGCATTTAAAGACAGTTAAATATTACTGAATTGGATATGAATAGCTAAATTAGTTCGTTGGGGAGGAAGATTTGAGAGTTTTAACAAAGCAACCTTTCACAGTCCTTAATTTAAAAATAGTGAGTTCAGATGGTTTGAAAAAGATGTTTGTTCAAATATTTATTGATATTGAATATATACAAGAACGAATAGGGACCATGTTTACAATATTTCTTATTGATTTGTGACAATATCGTTGATTATTCTTCAGTCTTAGTGTTTATTAGTACTTGTTTTGATTTTTTTTTGATTTATTTTAAATCAGATTTATCCTAGAATAACATGAATATCCAAAAATTACTATTTTGGGGGAAACAAGCAATCTTGAACTTTCTAAAATCAAAAAACAATAGACTCAGATACAAAATGTTCATAATATCAAGATATTATCTTTGAATTTGTCAACTCCAGGGTTAATGTTAACGTTAAAAATAATAGTAATAATATTCTCTACATAGGACAGAAAATTTGTCTATTATTTATATATGTACTTATACGAAATTTTCTACTACAATAATAATGAAGAATAACTCTAACATAATATAAAATGTAATGCATTATTTATTGATTGTTTCTAAATATAGTATATGTAATAGTCTTAATGTGATATCACTGTATAAAACTAAATTGAAAAAAAAAATTATTTGAATGATTATGACAATGAGTATAATTAGTAATTAAATGACTGATTGATTGAAGTTCAGGATAACTTAAGAATAAGAAAAACACATAATAAACGAAAAGAAAAATGAAATATAAAATAATAACAATAAAAGTCCTATTGTTTATGTACGTTGATTGCTTGTGACAATAACGTTGTCTTGTTCAAAGATGAAGAATATCAATGGGAGCAATATCTATAATGTAAAATATTCTTTGGTTTTTTTTCTTTTCATGTACTGTATTATAACTGTTAATAAAGTTCATTAAGCTTCTATCACAAAACTACCTGAATGCCATATTATATGTATTATGGAGAATAAATTCCCCAAGTAACAACTGAACTCAACAGTAGTAAGAATTTTAAAAAAAAGGCGGAGAAGAGGCACACAATAAAAGACAGAGTCACTCAAGCATCAATGGAATCAATGGAGTAATCCTTTTTGGATAACTTGTGTCTCAAACCTTTACCCCAGTAAGCAAAACCGTATGGTAAAGCAATCATTGCAGTGGAGATAAAACCTAATAAGTATGAACCCCAATGTAGGTTTAATCTGTGATACATTTGAGTTGTGAATAATGGGAAGGCAGCACCACCTGCTGATCTTAAGAACACTTTTGTAGCTAAAGCACTAGAAGCATATTGAACGTAACAGTCAATGATATAGTTATTTAATGAGTAGTAAATTAAAACCATACCGAAACCGAAAGATAAACCAGAAGAAGCTGGACCAACCCAGATAACCTTCTTTAATGCAGTGGCACCTAAAATCCAAAGAGCAATTGCAGCAAATGGAGCACCAATCATAGCACCTAATAAACGGTCTTCTGGAGTTGGTCTACGTTTTTGAGTGATTTGCATATACTTACTTTCACACCAGAAAGTGAATGCCAATGCAAAAGTGGCACCAATTAAAACTGGAACAAACATTAAACCAATTAAATTATCCTTCCAGCCGTACAACTCACCAAAGATGACAGGGAATGCAAAGAAGAAAGCATATAATAGAGAGTAAATTAAACAGACATAGAAACATGTGGCAACTAAAACAGGTTCAGTTACAGCAAAATACAAAGGTCTCAATAAACATGTTCTAACGACTTCACTGAAACTTGTACCTTGGGCCTCTTGTTCGGTCATAATCTTTGGATTACCAGTTTCCTTTCTTAATCTAACAGCACGTTTTCTTAAAATGACTGGTGCATAAGTTTCAGGAATTAAAGAAGAAATAATCCACATAACACCAGCGAAAGCCATGTTGAACCAGAAGATGTAGTCCATTCTACCAGTAGATACAGAGACGAACCCATTCACCAAAGGACCAATACATGGACCAGCATATGGTGCCCAAGCAAAAAAAGCGATAGCTTTACCTCTAGTGGAACTTGGGAACATATCTGCAATAGAACCACCGACCAAACACAAACCAGATGAAGAAAAGACACCACATAAAAATCTACAGACTAACAAGCCACCCAAATTTGGAGCTAAAGCACATGGTATATTAAAAATTGTGTATAAACCCATAGATGTGAAATATGCAACCCTTCTACCGAATAAATCACTAACGGGGGACCATATTAATGGACCTAAGGCAAAACCAATAACCATTAAAGAACAAGATAAAATGGCAGCTTCCATAGAGACATGGAATTTCTTTTGAACGGTACCTAAACCACCAGTGATACAGGCAGAACCGTAAGCAACACAGACGACCAATGTAGATAATAAAACAGTGTAACACCAACGGACCCAAAGTGGCCAATTGTGAGGATTCTCTGGATCATTAGTAACAAAAGTCACGAATTCAATTTCAGGATCTAAGCCTTCTTCTTCTTCTATGGCATTTGAACTACTAGACTCTTCTGCGTCATGTTGTTGTTCATCTAATTCCTCTTTATCATGATTAGAATTGGATGAAGAACGAATACTTAGAGATCTATCCATTTGTCTTGTTCTAATACGAGATACAGATGTAGCAGTTCTACCAAGGGATTGTAAAGTAACAACAGGAACCAAACCAGTGGTAGTTTCCATAGTATATTCTTCAGGGAAAATAGCAGTTTTACCAGAAGTTTGTGGAGCATTAACATCCGGTAGAGGAGCTCTAGCAGTAACACCCATGTCAGCTAAACTTTTGACAGTTTCAGTACGAACTAATTTCAATTTGGTACCATTATTTTGTGTGTTGTCATCATTTTCAGTTGGAATATATTGTTGTGGTTGAGCTTCCAAATCAGAGGCTAAAGATAAACTTGATTGTCCAGAACTGAACGAATTAACAGAATGTAACTCACTCATAATTTATTTCAAAGAAAAAATTATTCTAAATATTTAAATGCGTATGCGCGTGTACTAGTTGAGAAAATGATATTAAAGTAAAAAAAAAAGACGGTGTGTATATGTAAAAAAAAAAAAGGGATTTAACTGGATAGGAGTCCAGTAACGGGTATATATATTATTTTTAACTAACTTGTCTGCTCGGGCTTGTGGTATCTTTAATAAAAAAGTCAAAAGAAATAGAAAGGCAGAAGCAAAGAAGCAAAAAGGTGGAACAGAAAGTGGCGTGTACGAATGCAAAAGAAGAAAATAAAAAAGCCAAACACATATCTCCATATATACATATATATATATATATATATATATACTCTTATCATATATATTATATATAATTGTGTGGTAATCATGGATTTAATATTCTATTATGGTTTTTTTTTAGACACATAGTATTATTTTAGTGCTATTGTTATTGGATCGATAATAAAATTGAGTGAAATTTTTACATATCAAAAAAAAAAAATTCATGAATATATCTCAAAAACTTTTCAATAACAAAGGCAAAAAACAAAAAAGTAAGAAATTAATGGATCAAAAATAGGAAATTTTGGATATAAAAAGAAAAAAGAGTGGACTTACCATTCAGAAAACAATAGATACGACTCAAAACCAAAGACAAAGAACAAATGAATATTAAATCTTCTAAAGAATATCAAAAATATAACTATTGTAATTGGTAAGAGAATATATATGTGTATAAAACTATATAGCCTAAAAGGGGAAATTCAATAAAGGACAACAATAGCTATAAAAATTTTCTATGAGTAAAAATAATAGCACAGCCGGCCGCATGACAAAAACAAAAAGAGTAAAAACAAGAAGAATACAATAAAATAAACTTTGTCCAGTTTGTCCGAGGGAATTAATTTTGTTTCTTTGGTATGGCGGTCGTGGTTTTATTATAAAAAAATTTTATGAATATAATTTTGAACGACAATAGTGTTTTTTTTTATTTTTTTATTTTTTTCTTCTAATTTCTTTTTATTGAATTTAAAGGGAAGAAAAATAGTAATTATTTGATTCTCTGCCGTAAAAACCCTCATTTTATATTGTTTGTTCAGTGTCATAAGATAGTATTAAGATTAATAGTTATTATTCACTATTTTTTTTTCTTGGTTGCCCTACAATCCTCTGATAGTCATTGATGTTTCACACATATTGGATGACTATTTCAATTAATAAAACCCTAAACATATTATTCGTGTCTAATCATATATAGTAAGTTCATTTTTAGTATTGTTTTTTTGTTTATTATCTGTTTCCTTTTTCAACAAGACTAAATTTTCTTGAAATCTGCATTGGGCAAAAAAAAACACCTCAAGTAAGAATTTCTTTTACTCCATTGACTATTATGCCTTTTATTTCATTTCGATTCTCTTTTCTTTTAAAAATTTGATTTTGACAGGAAGAAAGAAAATATGGATAATTTTAAAATCTCTGTTCAATCAATTGTTTGTCCACCCACAGACTTCGGGACTCAAACAATATGATCAGTTTCTCTCTTTTTTTTTTAAAAAAATTGATGGGTTTTATGCATTTGTAATATTTCGGTGAAGAATGATTAAATCAAGAATTGATACTTTTTTGTTAAATAACGCGTATTGAGCGGCTCATGCTATATATTCATATATACATGTGGGTGCATGCTTATGTGTTCCACTTGAAGAAAAATTTGTGATTTTCTTTAAAGGCCCCAAATTAATTTGATTAAATAAAAAAACAAGGTAACATGTACATCTTGTAGAACTTTGTTTGCTTGTTTGTCTTTGTTCGTTTGCACTTATTGTAAGAAAAGTTCTTCAAGAACAGTTTATATTAACTGATTAAAGTTATAAATAAAAGAAGAAGTTATGTCGAAGTAGGGATATCTTTTTTTTTCTCTTTCTTCTTGTTATATTTTTGGTCGAGTAAAGATTTTGCGTATTTGAAGTACCTTTCATTACATTCTTTCTTCTTGTTTACACTTTGTATAATTTTGTGTACGCATACTTTTTTAATTAAATAGACTCTGTACTTCATTCACTTTCTTTTTTGCTATTTGTGTATTAGGACTATTAAAGACATATCTTTCCCTCAAATCTTTTAATCATCAACTAATCAACACCCTTTCCCTTTTAAACCAGCATCATATATGTTAGTATGTGTTATTTTGTATTTTTTTATTCCTTATGTTAAAACAGTTCTATATATTCAAGACAAAGAAATAGAGAGAAAAAAAAAAAAAAAAAAAAAAAAAAAAAAAAAAACAGAAATTTAAACGTGTATAATGATATTGTCGTGTCAGATGATTTGTTTAATCAAAAAGAAAAAAAGAAAAAGAAGAATCAAACAAAGCAAAACCTTAAAAGCATAATGCACATTTCATTAATAGCTAGAATGTACTTTTAGTGCTCAAGTTAGTTTCTTGGGCAGACATTATCAATTGCTAACAATACTAATGGAATCTCTTAATTGTTGGAATTTCTTATCAATATCTATATCTATGTTGTATTGTTTTTTGTTTTGTTTTTTGTTTGTTTTTTTTTATTTTTTCTGATTTGTAAAAGCATCTAGTGTCTCAAAATAATCCAATATTTACATAACGATATTGTATCATTGATATCCGAAATTTAAAGAAATTTGTTAGAAAAAGTTATGATTACTAGAAAACAAAAGCTACAAAGACTCCATAATTCTACCACAAAACGATTGACTACTGTGTATAAAACATATTTGATCTATTATGGGAATTGGTGTAAAAATAATGATTTATTGGTAAAATATGCAGATCAGTTTCAACCGTTGTCTAATGATAATGATAATGACAATAATAATAATACTGATAACAATAACACTGATAATAATGATGATTTTCAACAAAACGACGATATATCAAATGATGATGAAGCTGTCATATATAAAAACTTGCCCATATCATCCCAGCTAGTACATCAATTTTTAATCGAAAATGTAATACAGAAGTTTAAAAGCAAATATAATGAGGATGAAAGTATCACAGATGTTTTGTCTCGATGGGTTAATGGTTTTATCTTCATATCTAAATTATGCGATATATATGGTAATTTGATGATCAAAAGAAATAGACTAGATGAAGATTATCTCTTCAACATGATTCAACTTCATACATATGCTAATGATCCCACTAAACATATTCCTTGTTATAAAATATCAATAAATTCATGGAACTCAAATACCAAGAGTTTAAATTCAATTGTTTTTAAGACAGCTAATGAAAAATTGAAGTTTTTGGTTGATTTCCATATTACAACATATCTAAGATTAACTTTTAAAGAGAGATCACAGATAAGATTATGTTCTTTCCGATTATTAAATAATACAAAAATTATTCTTGACACAAAGTATTCGAAGGATTTGGCTATACTATATTATGATTTATCTCTTGACAATTTTTCAAAAGAAATTAGAAAACCTTTAGCTTTATTGCCTCACGAGAACCCGTTCCTATGTCCATATACGACATTAGCAGCTTCTCTATTTCTAAGATTCTATGGTATCCGCTATTTCTCTAAAGGTGAAGGCTTCCCTAATTTATATGATCCTAATGAAGTAGCGAATTTATATCTATTATCATCAAAATATGAATCAAAGTATCCTAAGGAATCGATGATTGGTAGCTATTATTCTAACATGTTTAAATATTGTGATATTCCATACAAGAAAAAATATTATTTTGAAAAATTGTATCCAGTATATCCCACATGGACATCTAATTTATATTTTGGTAAATTTGAAGAACTGTTTTCTAATGATAGAGTGCCATGGGATTATATGAACATTTTAAATGGATATAATCCATACTGTGAAACAACGAGAATCAAACTTGGAACAGAATCCAACATCCCATCTCGAGATATAATTTCCTCGGTCTTCCCTGAAATAGAAATTTATAGGGGTAATTGGAACCAATTATCAACAGATTCTAAAAGATTTATTAAAATGTTGGAAGTAATTAGGTTTAAGTTTGTATTGGATTTACCAGTCATTTATAAGATTTTTCCAGAGCACGATATTTTTATGCATCCTATCTTTAAAGAACCAAGATTACAATATTATTTAAATGGTATTCAATTGCAAGACCATGAACCGTTATTTTTTAAGGTAGACTGGACACTAGATAATGATGGTCCTAATAAAAGCAGTCTTTTCAATTTATACGAGGGATTAGTTGATCAACCTTCTTTCCTATCAAATATTGATTTGCCGGAAGTTAATGTGAAATCATTAAACTTGGATATAAAGCGGTCTAATTCGTTTGATGAAGGTAAAAGCATGCAAAAACAAAGTGGCTCTTCAGATATGTTTCAATTTCCAGTGAGATTTTTAGACAAACCACAAAAAAATACTGAAGAAGTTGTTAAGAAAGCTCCAATTGAATTGAAGGTTTCGCCAAATATAGATGAAGTTTCGGAACAATTAAGAGAAGAAAATTTTAAATTTATTCAAATTCAAACTTTGAACATTTTTCAAGAATTTACTGATTTATTATCTGATATTTTTGCATATCTTCCATTGAAGTCATCTTCTAAAATGGAGATAGATAAGATTATGAATGGATATGTAGAAGTATTGAACTCTAAGTTAAAGGCAACTACACCTACTAATATAAAACAATATTTGTCAACAAATAGATCTTTTAAAAAAAAAGGTTCCAGAAGAAAAGATACATCCCTTATAGAATTAGAAGATAGTGGAAGTAATAGTGATGATGATCACAGAGTTCCTTTACCGATTTTAAAAAGAGAAAAATCAAGTTCACTATTTAGAGTTTTCAGTGTAAGTGGCCATTCTAGTGATGAAGATGAGGAAAAAATTTCAGAGGAACCACCTACGGAGGGAAAGAAGAATAAACAGACACGTCACAGAAATACTGAAGATAAACAAGAAGGAAATGAAAAGAAAGAAGAAGAGAGCAATAATGATAGTGAAGAGGATGACCAGTCAGACCAGGAAGAGCAGTTAAAAGATATGATTGATGAATTAGTTACAACAAAAGTGGGTATTTTATTGAAAAGACAAATGGATATGTTAGAAAATAAAATGGAGAAAATAGTAGATAGTATAATTGAATCTAAGTTAAATCAAAAAATTGATTTTTTTATTGAACATAGACTAAAAAGATCTGTAGATGAGTATTTGAAACAAAATGAATTAGATATAATACCATCAAAACGAATAAAGGTTATGGAGAGCAATTTTGCTCAAAGGGTGCAGAATAAGGCAACTGCATTATCTTTAAATGGAGGGACAAGAACAACAGAATCGCCCAATGATATTAATTCAGATTATTCAATAACAGAGTCAACTCCAGTTTCAATTAAGAATTTTCAAGATAATAATTCTGTCTCGAATAGTGACAATTATAATTCATTAAGTTTTCATATGCAACCATCGATTAATGACATTCAAGATGTTATAATTGAATGGTTCTCACCAAATCCTGCTATGAATAACGAATGTGTGCACTCAATGGATAATAAATATGGTAGAGCATGGCGATCTAAGAACGACCATATTTATCAGATAAGGGAACATATTGTTGATTATTACGTGTATCTGACAACAATTGAAGCACTTGATAATTTACAAGCCATTGCTTATTGTAAAAAATTACAAGGACAAAGGACCATTGAAGAGTTTTCAAACTTTTTAGAAATATACAAGAATAGCCATCATGGTTCGTTTGAGGGGCTATATCAAGGATAAGTAGTTATTTTATACCTGTATATGATCTATTTCGACGTAAAAAGTACTAATTTACCAATGTTTTATTTCATGAAGGAAAAAAGTACTTTAATATATAAATATTCTTCTTTTCAAAATATACCATAATGAGTTACAAGTTATTTATAAGAAAAAGGAAAAAAAAAAACTTACGATTTTCATATTTATAAATTATATTTAACACAAAGGGGAAAATAGACAAGGTAGAGGAAAGATTGAATGGAATATGGTATAATCACTTTAAAGAATTTTTTACGCCTTACTCAGAACGTTAGATAAATCTGGATTCAAATAAATAAAAAGTAAGAAAAGGAAAGAAGAGGTTTTTTCAAATACAAGATATGTATTTGATCTATACTTTCTTCTTAAACTTGTGGTGTCTGCATAGATCAGTAAATGCAAGAACAAAGGAAAATCAATTAAATCTTATATTTCATCAAAGGTTTATATCAGAAGAGCAGATAGAATATGAATTTAAATTAAAAACTCAAGAATTAAATATTCCACCTATTCTTTCCCCAGAAGAACTTACAGATGAAACAAAGTCGATACCGAAAAGATTACAATCTGTTCCACAATATATATTAGATAACTGCCCCCTTGTGCATTTATATAGTGAAGAAAGATATTGGCCAGCTGATATTAAGGATTTTGTCACTCATTTTCATATTGAAGACTCGAATGGGGTCATTGTTAATGTCTCACACCCTTTGACTTTGCATGACCTTAAACAGTCATATAATGTATCCCTAGAGAACGGAACCTTTACGAATGTTGATAGTGAAGGAACTTTTATGACATCTAATGAAAAATTTAATGATAATACAGAGTGGTTATTTGGATTCCGACCTGAATACGGTACTGGTCGAATTAAACGAGCCCCAGCAGTTTTATTTATTGTTGACAAAGGTAATGGATGGGTAGATGCATATTGGTTTTATTTCTACCCTTTTAATTGGGGACCGTTTATAATGGGATATGGGCCCTGGGGCAATCACATAGGTGATTGGGAACACAGTCTAGTAAGGTTCTATATGGGGGAACCAAAGTTTCTATGGATGAGTGCTCATGGTGGTGGAAGTGCGTATCATTTTCATGCAATTGAAAAAGTTAAAAAACTAAGACATGTTGATGGAAAGATACAGAATTCGATTGTTTGGAGACCGTTGATATTTAGTGCGCGTGGAACACATGCCAATTATGCTACGGTGGGTCAACATTCACATGATGTTCCATTCTTTTTCATGCCTTTAAGTGATTTTACAGATCGTGGACCAATGTGGGATCCTGTTTTAAATTATTATGCATATCAATACAGTGGGCAAGACATATATCCGATAACAGATAGAGAAAAAGATATGGGGACTGAATGGCTACGATATGCAGGAGCATGGGGCAATAAACGATTGAAATGGAATGATCCAAGACAAAAATGGTGTCCTGTTCAATGGAGATACATTGATGGACCAAGAGGACCCTTGAGCAAGAATTTAGAAAGAATGTCTTTATGCCAATCATTTAAATGGTGGAATTTTTGGAAGGGATGCCCTGCAAGACAATGGCTTAAACGTGGAGAAGGTTTGGATGCAGAAAAAAACGATTCATTTGGTGATAACTGTGGTATTCTTTTATACAAGATACGTCCAAAGTGGTTACGAGGTTTAGTTAGACTATTTATGTGGAGGGGTGTGCTTTGCTTCTTAATGGATTACTTTACTGGATGAAGTGTTACATTATATAATAGGCGCTGTTTTTAAAAGGACAAAAAAAAATCAAAGAAAACATTTTAACAACAATTAAGTGTAAGGATTACATTTGTCAGGTATTTTTAATGGAATGAACATAAATATTTGTATGTAATTACAGAAGCATAGTTGGATGATGAGCTTATACTCATTTGTGCAACTATATGGTAAATTACATTTTCTTGATTAAATTAATATTATTTAGGGTCAAATGAAAGAAAAAACAAAAAAGCTACACTTCCAGTAACAAGAGGATAGGGCTGTCATAAATTTTCAAAAATATTTTTTGTGGGGGTGCTCCTTTCTTTTTTTTTTGATAAGCCATTTTGAGTGAGAATTTTTAAAAAGACAGTGTCAACGATGATTCAAATTTCTTCCCTTCCCTTCCCTTCCCCTCAAATTCTCGAAACCTATTTCATCGCACAGATTTTTCTCGAGAAATGTTCTAGAAGGTCCGAGATTAAGATTTTATTTTTTTGTTCTCCCGAATACAAAAGGGGGAAAAAAGAAAGAAAAAAAGAAAATGTTCCGTGGATCAAAAAGAAAAGTTTCCGTGGTTTTTCTCTTTTTTTTTCTTTCTATGGGATTCCACCAGGTTCTTTCCTCGTAGAGGAGTAAAAGGGAAAATGAGGAGGAGAAAAGTTTCTGTACGCCATAGAACATTCTGGAAAATGCTTTAAAAAGCAGGCTGGTATGTTTTATTAACACTAAATTAAATCTGACTAATCGTTATGTTGGAAGGGTTTTTAGCTCAAGTGGTGGTAAATTATCTTACGTAAGGCTTCCTGGAATGACACACAAGTATCATGATTGATCTTCAAAAAACATATAAATAAGGTAAATTAAATTAGAAAGAGGATTAAATAGGTCTTTTTTTCCTCCTTTCTCTTTTAAATATTGAAATATTTTGTTTTCCAATTGGCTTCTATCATCGCTAAAAACAACAGCAATAATAACGATAATAGTCTAGTCAAAAAATTATACGCTAGATTACCTGGTTTACACAAAATAAAAGAAATACTATATTATATTTCTTTCCTTTTAAGAAAAAAAAAAAAAAAAACTAAAACAAAGACAAAGAAACAAAAATGTACAGTCAATTATACAGTCCATGTTTATTTCAGCAGTTACCTGTTTTCCATGAAAAAACTATCTTAAGGCAAGCTCCTTTATTCCAAGATTTTGCAAACAATAGATGTAATAGTAACGATAGAGTTATATTAACCACGAAAGAGAGTTCAAAAGGTGTATTGCTGACATTCCAGAAACAATTACCTTACAACAAATACTATCAAGCCATTGAAGAACAATACCACAATATTAAACAAACCATAAAACCAACATATCGTATTGTCACCGATTTTTTTGGAAATCAATATTATGTAGCCAATCAAATAGATGAACAAGCTGTTCTTGATCAAATTGATTGTAATGCTGTTGGACGTAAGTTAGCTAAAGAAATGTTTCAAGATTACTCATTGGAATTATCCCACGATGGTTCAAAATTAGTTGTTTGTTCTTCAAGAGATAACATCAATGAAAAATTACAATTTAACTCTTTCATATCGGACTTCCAAGTAGTAGGCTGTGGTGTGATTAATGAAAATACCGCTGTCTTAAAAATTGATGTTATCTTTGAAACAAAGAAAGAATTATTAGAAGCCCAATATCAAAAAGAGGAACAAGAAGATGAAAAGAAAAGACTTGCAGAAATTAAAGAAACTGAAAGGATATCTAGATTAGAACAAGAAAGAATAAGGAAGCAAAAGGAAGCTGAAAGAATTGCATTGGAGAAAGAAAGACGGGAAAAATCGGAAAGTACTATGAAACTAAAAGCCAAGCAAGAATTAGAAAAGAAACTTGCTTTGGAAAAGGAGCAAAAGGAACAAGAAAGACGTGAAGAAGAATTAAAGAGGAAGCAAGAAGAGGAAAGAAGAATCAAAAGAGAAAAGACACTTCAAGAACATATTGAATATCAAAGAAGTTTAGTTGAAGAAGAACGAAGAAGAAAGCAAGAAAAATTACAACAAGAATCTCTTTTGGCTTCTAAGCTAGATGCGATGGTAAGTGATTCAAATAACGTTGTCAATATTAATATTAATTTTCATAATGAGAATGATAATGATATCAGCGGTTATGAAAGTTCTGCAGTAGAATCAGCTGTATCTGATAGTGAAGATTCAGAAACTAGCATTTCTCACTCCTTAAGAAGATATTCTAGCCCTGTTCTTGAAGAGGTAGAGGATGATGAAATGAGTAGATATAATGAATCACTTATCAAATCTCCAAGAGGGACCTCTATAATAGAAGATGCATAATTTACTTATTTAAGCACAAATATACATACATTTATTTGTTTATTTATTTATGATAATATTATATAATCTTTAAAAAAAATACTTAACGATTTATACATTTCAATTATATTTAGAAGATATTATGATTATGGATCATTAAACAGTTTTTTTAGGGATGGTCGAAGATAAGGGAGAGAAAAAGAGTTATGGATATACTCAATAGTCAACTCTAGTGATTTTTATTGTTTTTTTTGTTTTATACAACTAATTCTTAGATCAAGAAAATTATATTATTTTAAAAAAAACTTTTTATTTTCCATTATTTTTTTCATTTTCTTGTAAAATAATAGTAAAAATTGGATAGGTTAAATGCAATGCTCTGTCTTTTTTTCGTATTTTCTGAAAGTACAGAGCATGCTATTGTCATACATAATCTCTTTACTTGTTTTTATTTTATTCACGTATTTCTTTATTTACTAATTCATGTATCAATCGAAACTATAAGTATATGTTTTATCTTTTATAACTTTTCACAATACTGTTTTTTTTATTTGTTTTTTTTTTCTTTTTGAGAAATGACGTCTTTTTCTGATTTTGGAAGTATGTAGATTTTAAAAACAATTGAAGAAAATCAGTAGTCCCATTTGGGGGAATCATTTGTGATTTCTTACTTCCTAATTCAGAAATCAAATACCCCAAAGGGGAAAAAGCTGTAAATTTCCCAAACTAAAAGACATTTTCATTGTTGACTCTCGGTTACCCCATTAGGAAATGGTGTCAATTTTCAAGAAATTGTTTTGTATTATAATTGTATTTGTTCTAAATTTTCCACCTTAAAGGCCGGCTTTTCGCAACCAATACTTTCATATCAAATTAGACTCTTCTTTTATTTTTACTTTGTTTTTTTTTCTTTATTGAATTCTGCATTTTGTTTAGTATTAGAAGACAGTTGGTCTTGTTGTAACAGATAGCATTCTTCTGTTATCCCTTCCTTGGCCATTGTGGCATTATTTTTGATCAACTTTGTTAACTTGTACTAGGAATTATTTTAAGGTAAAGACTCTTTTCCCAATCCCCCCTCCCCTGTGCAATTTTTTTGGTTCCTGTTTGTCAGAATACGATACACTTCAGTGATTCTGAGTGTGAAGAAAAAATCACTCTTAGCTTCTTTGTCTCTCGTTTTCTAATTACATGAAATTCAATTACACACATCCTTTATTAATAAACTTCTAGCAATCAAAACAGTGCATTTTCAGTTTGTTTGTTTATTTATTTTGTTTTTATTGGTTGAGTATTTGTGATCGATTACAAGATAATATTACAATATTAGCAATTCAGCCAAATAATAGAGTACAACATATTTATAAAATATTCTTGCTTTGCTTTAGAAACCTATTTTTAATAGATATTAGATTGATTTTATATCAGCAGCTGTCGAAATTTTCATTATTTTTTACAAAGTTGATATTTAGTTATCATAGTGTTATTGACTACGAATACAACATTTTTTTAAGTTACCGTCATTATGAGAAAATTAACAAATGAGTATAATGCTTCAAGAAATGTTATGGAAGAAAACACATCGTCTAGTCTGGAAGAATTTACGTCGAGTTCAACACCGTATTCAGAAAATAACGTTCAATATGACGATGAACAACTCAAAAATGTACAGGTAGCAGGTCGTTTTGATGAGTCACCATCTCTAAATAATCCGTTTACAACACAGCGTGATGATTTCATGGAATCATTCCCTGACAGTCAGGGAGATAGTCAAAATTCTTTACTGCCTACACACACACATGGGACTGCAAGATATCAAGCAAGTAACCCCTATCCAGACTATAGAGGATATTATTCAAGAGACAGGACAAGTGAAGGAAATAACAGAAATGTTAACAATACCAGTTATGATGGTGAATACACGTCTTCATCAAATTCTAAATCTAATTTAAATACAAATACAAAGTTTAATGATTCTATTGGTAATGAAAACTCCCCTCCAAATCCAGGTAAATATATCTCGACATCCAAACTTATAAGTGATATACCACTAAGTAATAGTTTTATCCATACCCCGAAACCATTTGACAGATACCCAAAAGTGAGTTCTACAGTTCCAAAACAAGTTCTACAAATTAATAAAGTGGTAATTTCACCGACAGAAACTAACACAAAAAGTTCAAATCATAATTCATCTTCTACAATAGATTCTTCTTCTTTTGGTTCGAAAAATAATGGTTTTATTGAAAAAGATTTTTCACCGTTTGGAGGATATCCAAAATCACTTTTCCCCCTGTCTATGGATGAAAAGGAGGTAGACGATTATTTACATAACCCAAATCCTGAAGAAGAGGCTAAATTAGATAGAAGAAGGGTCCTGGAAGATTTAAGACATATGAATACAAAATCACTTATGGGATTTGCAGGATTATTGACCTTGTTTCTTGGTGCAATGGCCGTATTCATTGTCTTACCTGCATTGACATTCACAGGTTATGTGAATCATTCAACAAAGACTGATTCAGTACCTGAAAATGTCACTTTTGTAGAATATCTAACAGAGTACCAGTACCCACAACTTGCAGCTATTAGAACTTCACTTATTGATCCAGATACACCAACTTCAGCATATACTAAAAAGTCTAAAAATGGTGACACATGGCAATTGGTTTTTTCAGATGAATTTAATGCTGAGGGAAGGACATTTTATGAAGGTGATGATCAATTCTGGACCTCTCCAAATATTCATTATGCTGCAACAAATGACTTAGAATGGTATTCCCCAGATTCTACCACTACTTCTAATGGAACTTTAAAATTAAGAATGGATGCCTACAAAAATCATAATCTTTTTTATAGATCAGGTATGTTACAAAGTTGGAATAAATTTTGCTTTACACAGGGATCTATTGAGGTATCTGCTAATTTGCCTAATTATGGGCGTGTTGCAGGTTTATGGCCCGGTATTTGGACTATGGGGAATTTAGCTAGACCAGGTTACTTAGCTTCCACGGAAGGTTTGTGGCCTTACTCATATGATTCTTGTGATGCTGGTATTACACCAAATCAAAGTTCTCCAGATGGTATATCGTATCTACCGGGTCAAAGGTTGAGTGCATGCACATGTGATGATGAAGATACTCCATCTCCTGGTATAGGTCGTGGTGCCCCTGAAATCGATGTTCTTGAAGGATCAGTAGATACTGCTTTGGGTACAGGTGTTGCATCTCAATCTTTACAAGTTGCGCCTTTTGATATTTGGTACATACCTGATTATGAATATATAGAAATTTACAATTTTAGCACCACAGCGATGAATAGTTATACTGGTGGACCATTTCAGCAAGCTATATCTGCTGTGACAACATTAAATACTGCATGGTATGAATATGGTCCACAAGGTGGATATTATCAGACCTTCGGTATGGAATATTTAAATGATGATAAAGATGGTTATGTTCAGTGGAGTGTTGGAGGGGTTCCTACATTTACATTATATTCCACAGCCTTACATCCGAATGGGAATATTGGCTGGAGAACAATTAGTAAAGAGCCAATGTCAATAATTTTAAATTTGGGTATATCTAATAGTTGGGATTATATTGATTGGCCCCAAATTTTTTTCCCTGTTACTATGTCCATTGACTATGTTAGGATTTACCAACCGAAGAATGCAATATCAACTACATGTGATCCAGAGGATTTTCCTACTTATGATTATATTGAATCTCATAAGAATGCATATACCAATGCTAATTTGACAAGCTGGAAAATGGCTGGTTATACTTTTCCCAAAAATGCACTCACAGGAAACTGTAAGAGTTCTGCTTGGAATGCAAGAAAAAAGAAAACATAGATAATTTTATGTTGATTCTGTTTATTCGTTATTAGTTATAAAATCTGTCCAATCGATATAGATAATAGGATATTCGTCTCTCTATTATGAAATATTTTAATCAGTTTGCATACATATAGTGCTCAACCAGTGAGCATAATTTCTTTTTGTTTTGTTCTTATATTTGTTGTTAGGGAGTTTTTATTGATACCCAGTGGTGAAAAAAAAAGGGGGGGAAGGTTGATATAATATATTTTTAATTTCTGCAGTCACAATTTATGCATTATATAATGATAGACGAGGAAATAACTTTATTGTTATTGTCTTTAAGTTTTAAAGTATTTTTTGCATTATATCCTTTAATAATTTTTCATAAAAGCCTTATGTAACAATTTTTAATAAAGCAGAAACTCTTTGCTCCACATGTTATCCATTTATAGTAATAATAATAAATTTAAATAATAAAAGCACACAGTTAGGAAGTTTAGTTTTCATTTACAATGGAAATTGTATTTTTGTATAATATGAATAAATTAGTGTTATATAAAAACATAGATATTATTTTAAACGCAGATTTAAGATAAAAGTAGATTACATTATTGATGGTTTTCTGGCTATTTAAAATGGTGTAAATAATGTTATAATATATCAGTTTTTTTTAAATATACAATATTTTGAAATACAAAAGCTTGATTTAATAAAAATTCTGAAGTCTGAAAATTATTATGTATTCATTATTTGAACATATGTTGTGTATTCTTGGTAAAATTATTTTGTATCCCTAATATAATTATCAAGTGGTATTACTATAATAAAATCAGTTCAAAATATATATATATTAGAAATAATTAAAACCATTATTGTTTAGAAAAGTTTAAAAAATAATTTGAATGTTTTGGTTCTATTTTAGGAAGTAATCTTCACTTAATAATCTTTTTTTAAAAGTTTTGTTTATCATATTAGACATACAATTAAACATTTGTTTGCCAACGACAATTTCTATGAACAAAAATTTTCAGAAATTTTAATTACAAAATACGGCTCTTATACACATAAAATTAAACCTTATCAAATTCGGTATAAACTTCTTTTATAATTCTCACCACTCTTTACTTCAATAACTCAACGACACTGAATAAAATTCATGTCTCGATTCAACTCCACTAAAGCACTAGCGTACAATATACATAAAAATTTATATTTATACTTTTGTATCTAATTGACAGTTAAGGAAGGCAATTTGAATTACAATAAACCATGTAAGTAACTTTAGTAAATAGTATCTTTTTTATATCTTATAAGAGTTACTTTTTTAATGATTTTTTTTTTCCCACCATTTTCTCCAGGTATAATACATTTGAACTATTCTGATGAGTTTTATTACCGTTTACTCTCATCACATACAATCTATGAACAGACCTTAATTTTGTTTTATTGATCCCCAAGAAAAAAATATTTATTAACTCTACTATTATTTTATTCTTTTAAACTAATTAAAGCTTACCAATACTCAGTGGATTATATTTACTTAACAACAGCCTATTCTTGTTTTCATTTGATCAATTATTGAATTCTCTACATCCATACTACAAGCAAACAAATTTATACATATACATATATTAGTTATTTATAGAATTTATAGCTGTTGATTGTTCAATCAGTTGACACAACGTCTTTTATCACAACTATTCTCGTTGTCATTATCACTACCTTTATTGCCATATGTTACCATTCTTTTGATTCTTGTTTACACCGATTAAAATTTTCTATTAATGATAATAACATTTCCTATTTGGGTAAAATCATAATACATTTTTTAGCTCGAGATACAAAAAATGAAAAAATGGAAAGAGAGAAAAAGTTAAAAAACAAGTTTAAACATAGATCAACGAACAACGTTTAAATATTTTTATACTTGTAGTGCCATGTCATATCATATTTAGTCTGTTAGATACAAATCGACTTTGAAACTTCGAACAAATCACAATACACGTAGAAAAACTATATTATAGCATAGTGAAATGTCATCACCACCACCCTCTGATTTAACGCCTGCCCACAGACCTTCAAACTCATCCCCGCCTGGATCTTCAATTCCTGGTACTTTTGCAAGTAGTTCGGCCTTTGAAAATGAATCTCATATCAATTCTCGAGTACAGTTTCCTAGCTCTTCACAATCACATCTAAATAATCCAAACTTGTCGCAATTTAGTTCCCAGAATGATCCACAAAGTGGAACCCCAGCCTCACCACATGATATTGAAGATTTACCTATGCAGGGGATTAGAAGAAGAACAGTAAACCATGTTAGAAAGGTAGATGATGTTACTGGTGAAAAAGTGCGTGAAGCTTTTGAACAATTTTTAGAAGATTTTTCTATCCCCAATGAGGAAACCGGTCAATCTGATAAAATCTATAGAGCACAGATTGAATTTATGAATGCTTATGACTTAAGTACTATTTACATTGATTATCAACATATTTCAATGAGAGAAAATGGTGCATTAGCAATGGCTATCTCTGAACAATATTATAGATTCTTGCCATTTTTAATTAAAGGTCTTAAAAGAGTTATTCGAAAATATGCTTCTGAATTATTATTAACAAGAGACTCAGTCCAAGGAGACAAAACCGAGGAAGGAAATCCTGATTCCATGAGATCACAAATTCCAAGTTCTTTACCAATGTCGAATGGTGCTACTTCGACCAATGAAACAAAGACAACAACTTCAACAACCAGTGTGGATCAAGCTGAACGTGTATTCCAAATTAGTTTTTTCAATTTACCAGTTGTCCATAGAATTCGTGATGTGAAATCCGATAAAATTGGTACTCTATTGACTATATCAGGTACTGTAACTAGAACTTCAGAAGTGCGTCCAGAATTGTATAAAGCCAGTTTTACCTGTGATGTATGTCGTGCCATTATTGATAACATTGAACAGTCTTTTAAGTACACGGAACCAACATTTTGTCCAAATCCAACCTGTGAAAATAGAGCATTTTGGACCCTAAATGTAGCTAGATCTAGTTTCCTTGATTGGCAAAAAGTTAGAATCCAAGAAAATGCAAATGAAATCCCAAATGGTTCAATGCCCCGTACATTAGATGTTATTTTAAGAGGAGATTGTGTGGAAAGAGCTAAACCTGGTGATAGATGTAAATTCACAGGTACAGACATTGTGGTTCCTGATATATCACAATTAGGTCTTCCAGGTGTTAAACCAAGTAGTATAAGAGATACACGTTCAATTGCAAGGTCATCTGAAGGTTTGAATAGTGGTGTTACCGGTCTACGATCCTTAGGTGTTCGTGATTTGACCTATAAAATGAGTTTTCTTGCATGTCATGTTGTTAGTGTAGGTTCTAATATTAACAACAATAATAATGACCCGGATGAAAAAAATTCAAACACAGAAAATGAATTAAATATTGATGCAAATTTATATGGGTACAGTGTATATCAGGATCATGAGAAAGATCAGGAATTATTTTTAAATAGTTTAAATGCAGATGAAATCAATGAACTAAAAGAAATGGTCAAAGATGAACATATTTATGATAAATTGGTAAGATCCATCGCGCCTGCGGTTTTTGGTCATGAAGTAATTAAAAAAGGGATTTTACTACAAATGTTGGGAGGTGTCCATAAGACTACTGTAGAAGGTATTAAATTAAGAGGTGATATCAACATTTGTATTGTAGGTGATCCATCTACATCCAAATCACAGTTTTTGAAATATGTTTGTAATTTTGCACCAAGAGCAGTTTATACCTCTGGTAAGGCTTCTTCTGCAGCTGGTTTGACCGCTGCTGTAGTAAGAGATGAAGAAGCCGGTGACTACACTATTGAAGCAGGGGCATTAATGTTGGCAGATAATGGTATTTGTTGTATCGATGAGTTTGACAAAATGGATGTGTCTGATCAGGTGGCTATCCATGAAGCTATGGAACAACAAACTATTTCCATTGCCAAAGCAGGTATTCATGCAACCTTAAATGCTCGAACATCTATCTTAGCAGCTGCCAATCCAATAGGTGGGCGTTATAACAGAAAGTTATCTCTTAGAGGTAACTTAAATATGACAGCTCCAATTATGTCTCGTTTTGATTTATTCTTTGTTATTTTAGATGATTGTAATGAAAAGATTGATACTGAATTAGCATCTCATATCGTTAATCTACATATGAAAAGAGACGATGCTATTCAACCACCTTTTACTAGCCAACAATTACGAAGATATATCAAGTATGCTAGAACATTTAAACCCGTTTTAACGAAGGAAGCTCGTAAATTCTTGGTTGATAAGTATAAAATTTTGAGAAGTGATGATGCTCAAGGCTACAGCAGGTCAAGTTATAGAATTACTGTAAGACAATTAGAGAGTATGATCAGATTATCTGAAGCCATTGCAAGAGCTAACTGTGTTGATGAAATTACACCTGCCTTTGTAGCTGAAGCCTATGATTTATTAAGACAAAGTATTATACGTGTTGATGTGGATGATATTGAAATGGATGATGACGAGAATGAAAACGGCACTGAGTCTCCTACTGAAAATGTCATTGGCACAAATGACGAATCGTCTCCAACAACAGAGGATGTTTCAAATACTAAGTCCAATGCTGAATCGGAGAGCAATAATCACAAACATAAAACTACAATCACGTATGATAAGTATATATCAATGATGAATTTGCTTGTTCATAAGATTGCTAATATGGAAAGACAACATGGTAAAGAAATGACTGCAACTGAGATTGTTGAATGGTATCTTTTACAAAGAGAAAATGATATAAGTTCAGAGAACGAATATTGGCAAGAACGGAAATTAGCATATAAAGTATTAAAAAGATTAGTTAAAGATAGAATTCTTATGGAAATTCGTGGTACGAGAGAGAATATGAGTGAAGATAACGAAGACGAAGAAGTTCAAGTTCAAGTAGACCCAAGTAAGATTGTTTATGTTATCCATCCAAATTGTGAAATGCTTGATACTATGGAAGAACATAATGGAGAAGAAACAAGAAATATATAATGAATAATATTCATATATATATATATATATATATATATGATTGTGAGTGAGTGAGTGAGTGAGTGTGTACACATGTACTTATAAGCTCTTTATATTTGTTTGTTCTTTTTTGCAAAGAATAAACAACAATATATTTGTATTATATTATTATCAATGCTAATAACTTATCTATAAGAAATAACAATATTCTGACTATAAGAAGAACTCATGTATTTTATTAAATTTGGCAAAGTGCTACAAGAATCAATATCCATTCATACATACATACATACATAAAAGAAGAAAGAATAGAATAGAATAAAATAATTTATCATTTTAATAATCAATATCTAGAATTTAATTAAGTGCAAATTCTTTTTTTTAAAACATCAGCAAATCTTTTTATACCATTTTCTAATTTTTCTGGTGCAACAGCAGCAAAGGTACCTCTAAAGAAAACAATATTTGGATTGGAGATCTCTTTAGATTCCTTTGGTTGAGCAGGGGTAGTTTCACCATCAGTGATGAACCAAATACCTGGAACCACTAAAACACCATTACTAATGACGGTATCGTAGATATGCTGTTCGACTTTAGTTGGGTCTGAGTCAAATTTAGTCTTAAATTCTGGATGAGCTGAAGCATCAATGTTTACAGTAAAGAACATACCAGCAATTGGTGGATTGATAGTAAAGATTGAAGTATCAGGTATATACTTGAACAAACAATCAATAGCATGGTTACGTTTCAATAGATATTCATGACGTAAACAGATCAACCAATCTAAGTAACCTGACTGACCCCACTTATTTAAAGTAGAAGATACCATGGCTTGTGTAAAACCTGCTGGTGCCTGGATAGTCATTTCATGTAGTGAAATATAAGCTTTCAACAATCTTTTAGAACCTGTGATCCAACCTAATCTTGTACCTGGTGCCAAAACTTTAGAGAAAGAATCCATTCTAATAACACGGCCTTCAGTATCTATAGATAAGAAAGTCTTAGCTAGAGATTGTAAAAACTTTTCATGGGTTGGTCTAACATCAGTCTCCAGCTTAGCTCTTTCACCAAGGTCCTTAATGTATCTGCCTACTTGCAAGAAGTAGTAAGGTTCATCTTCAATAATAATAAAATCATGTTTTTGAGCAATCTCATAGATTTCCTCCTTTCTCTCATCGGATAAAGAAGAACCTGTTGGATTTTGACCGGTTGGGATTGTATATAACAACTTTGGTTTTGGAGCACCTTCAGTCCAATTATCTAATATTTGAGCCAATTTTGAAGGAATTATCCCATGTTCGTCAATTGGAACAGGAAATGTGATGACACCTTGTGCTTGAGCAGCAGCCAAAGAAGAAGAGAAAGAGTGAGCCTCAGCCAGGATAACATCCCCCCTGTTACAGAAGACTCTCAAAGTGGATTCCCAAGCGTTGGTGTTACCGGTGGTAGCCACAACGTCCCAGTCTTTATATTGCATGTTATGGATTATTGTAGTGTGCTCTCTTAAGAAATTCATCAATTCTGGTTGACCAGCAGAGAACCCATATTGTAAAGCTCTTGCAAGTGGGATATCACCATCGTGTAATTTTTCATTTTTCTTCAATTCAGCTTTCAAGATATCATTATTTCTGGAATCAATTGAGGCACCAATACCTTTAGTGAAAGGTGGAATTGGTGAATCAACCGATAGATTATCCCATGGGAAATAGTCAGACATTGGTAGACCACCACCCAAGAAAATAATATTAGGGTCGTTGAACAGGTGGATACAAGTTTTCAATGGAGATGGTTTCCTTGCTCTAGTTTCATCAGAGAACAAATGAGTCAAATCTTTGGATTCTGGTAGAGTCATCTTTACAGGTGATATATACTTCCTTAATGGTTCTAAACTTTATTTTATCTTCGATTAATCACCTAGAAGCAGGTATATGTATATGTATACGTAGATGCATACAAGTAAGTAGATAAATAAGAATGTATATACATACTTGCAGACGCAAGCGAGTATTAGTGCATATATATATATATATATATATATATATATATATATACGTTATTATTTTACTGTTTGTTTATTTTACTAGTATATGAAATCGATTGAACAGCCTCCCAAAGATAAAGTAAAATGACATAGAACGACACGAATTGAACCCAACCGGACTGAAATGAGAATAAAGTAAGAGTCATACACATGAAAACGAAATGATTCTTTTACCAACTTTTTTGGTGAGAAGATTTTCCAAAATTTCCTTTGCTTCGTTTGTTTCTGTTTATGTTTTTATTATTTTTTTACAGTGGAATTTAAAATTTACTCTTTTTTTTTTATCCTTCTTGTTTTTCCCTTCACAAAAGTTTAACATCGCGGCAAATTGCGGAAAACAGCAGAAAAAAAGAAAAACACCAAAAATGTTTCTGTGGCTCGAGCAATTTTCTGTTTAAGACACATTTTCCTAATTAGATAGTAGACATCTGGAAATAGAAAACATGTCCCAAACAGTTCGGAAAAGCCACGAGAGAAAAAATGGAAAACGAAAAATTGCTTAAATTTTTGAAATTTCCATCAAGTGTTGATTTAGCTTTAATAACGACAACCATCGAGACTTTAAACATACATTAAGGAAAGCGATATAATGTTAGGAATGATGATGTTGGCAACTCATATGCCTGAGAATATTAGTAGATAACAAGACAATGGTTAGTGGTGAATACTATTTACATTTACTACTATGTGTTTGCTATCTTTTATCGTTGACATGGGCTGCAGATAAGTCTAGTACTTCCGATGATCTATTATTAAACCAATACTTAGTTGACCCGACACAACTACCGGGCCTCGATAAAATCAAAGATGTAAATTCTATTCCACAAATGTATGCAGGTCACATTTCTATGTTTGATGATATTAAACAAGATCCAAACAACAACAACAATATTCCTTCAGATTTCGGTTATTTCTTTTGGAAGTTTCAAGATAAATCATCACAACATAATAAAGATTTCGATACAAAACCTCTAATATTCTGGTTTAATGGTGGTCCAGGTTGTTCTTCCATGGATGGTGCATTGGTGGAAATAGGTCCATTTAGAATAGACCATAAGGGGAATGCAATCATAAATAAGGGCTCTTGGCATACAAGAGGTGATTTGGTGTTTGTTGACCAACCTATTGGAACTGGGTTTTCGTCTTTTAAAGGTGAGTCAATCAATACTTTATTTGAGAAAGATCTTAACAAGATCAGTGAAAGATTGATGGAATTCTTAAATAAATATTTCGAACTTTTTCCAATGGATCTTAATAAAGATATTATTTTAGCTGGTGAAAGTTATGCAGGCCAATATATCCCATATTTTGCAAAATTCATACAGAACCGCAATAAAAAAATTGTTTCACAAGATCTGAAAGACAAGCTATATCATTTGAAATCTCTTTTGATCGGGAATGGTTGGATAGATCCAACTTCTCAATCCTTATCATATTTGCCATTTGCTATGGAGAATGGACTCATTGATAGGCAATCACAATTTTTCATAGATCTACTAAAACAACATGAAGATTGTCAAAATAAGATCAACTCTGCACTTAGCGATTCCTCTTCAAAATTTGAATACCCTGAATGTCAGAAAATTTTACAAACATTATTAACCATTACAAGTGATGTGGAACAAGACCAATGTATTAATGTCTATAACTATGATTTAAGAGACTCATACCCAGCATGTGGAATGAATTGGCCCGAAGATATCAGTAATGTCGCCAAATTTTTTTCAAAACAACAAGTTCAAAATGCTTTACATATAAATAAAAATTGGGAGAATAGTTGGAAGGAATGCAGACTAGAAGTCGATGAAGAACTAACTAACCAGGGTATGGCACAATCAATCGCTTTGCTACCAAATTTATTAAGTGATGGTATTGAAATTATTTTATTCAATGGTGATAAGGATTTAATATGCAATAATAAAGGTATCTTAGACAGTATTAGCAATTTAGAATGGGGTGGATCAACAGGTTTTACCAGTAATGTTCAAGATTATGAATGGGTTTACAATAATCCAGATTCTGGTTTAGATGAAACTGTAGGGTACATCAAATATGATAAAAATTTGACATTTATTAGTGTTTTTAATGCATCTCATATGGTCCCATACGATAAAAGTGAAATTAGTAGAGGAATTATAGATATTTCTATGAACCAGGTTTTATTATCTACTACTGAAGGAAAAGATATTATAATCACTAGTGGTTCACCATTCAAACAAACAGATGAAGAAAACGAAGAAGAAGAAGAAGAAGAAAAGAATACTGATGATAATGATAACGAAGAAGAAAAAGAAGAAGAAGAAGAAGATGCCGACGAGGAGGAGGAAGAAGATGACAAAGAAGAAAATAAAGACAATATTAATGGAATTATTATGATATCTCTGTTCAGTTTGGTTGGTATATTTTATGGTGGCCTCAAATATCGTCAAATTATTTTATCCAAGATTTTTGGTTCATCTTATGAAAATATCGGTAATCAAAAAAAGAAGGTTACTTGGGCGGATGATCTTGAAAATGGGACTTCCTTAGAAGAAAATTTCGAAGATAATACAAATGATCATAACAATATAGAAACAACCAAAGCAGATCACATAATTCCAACATCTCCTTTCGCACCCAACAATGCAGAAGTGGAGAACATATTCGAGTTGAAGGATATGAAATAAAAATGACTCATTACACGAAAATATAATTTAACCAATGGTTTTCCCACATGTAATGTTGTTGGAAAATGACAGTTTTATTATTGTCATTTCCATAAGAATTATCTTCAAATTATTTTTTGCGTATAATATGTTAATATGCAAATGTACTATAATATATATAGAACATTTTAAGTAAAAGTCTTGAAAAAAATAAAATAGTTTACACCGAATACTGTGTACATAATAAGTGTATACATATATTTAATATAAAAATAATATATATATACATATATACATATAAACTTAATAAAGTTTCTCATTATCATAAACACTAAGAGTTGCAAATTCCACTAATATGTATAATTAACCTTCTTGAAAAGTAGTGATGTTTGGAGTTAGCCTTGTCATGACTCCAGTTACTAGTAAATCGGATATCCAGTTTATTAAAAACCTACACAAATAACATACATAACTATACATTATGTTTATACAGAAATACAAATTGATCCTTCATTTTTCTAATTATATCCTCAAATATTTTCCTCTTACGAAATATATTTTTTTTCTAATTCCATTCTTACCAATATAATAAAAAAACAGTCTTTAATAAAGAAACCCCATGAGCATATTGTTCATATCTTGACAGATCTATAATTATATATATTTTTGTTGGAATTTGGAGCACTCAGCGTCCATAGTAATGGCAGACATTATTAAATTATAAATGATTATTTTATTTTTTATATTAAATATATGTATATACTTATTATATAGCGTATACAGTATACATCCTTGTATTTATTTCAAGTCTTCTTTTAAGTTTTTTATTTCTTTTCAAATCTCTAAAAAACATGTTTGGTGAGAAACAAAATGTTTCCGATATATTATGGTACATCCATACACCACATAATATACAAAAAAACTAATTAAAAATAATTCTTATGGAAATGGCAGTAATAAACTCTCATTTTTCAACATTCTATGTCATAATAACATATACGTAGTCATCTTAATAAGCTACAACTAATAATAAGAATCTGTTAACTATCATAATATTGTTGTGGAATAGAATAATTATGACCATCGAGATTACATAAGATCCTGAATGAATCTAGAACTATTTATTGTTTTAATAAGTCCCACGTGTATTACTAATTACCATGATTAGAGAATTGAGGTGTAGTTCTAATCCACTAGTGCACCTAGATTAATGTAATAAATTTTAGGGTTTGAATCAGTCAGATCATTAATGTACTAATCTGAATAATCGATCGAGCTCCAGAAAACACATAAAAGGACAACGTTTTCCGGAGATAAAAGATCATCTTCCATAACCTTTTTTTGTAAATAATCTATATATTGTATATAAACATAAATAGAAAAACAAGCAATAATCCTTAATTCTCCTATATATAACGTTCTTATATATATCTAGGAGGGTTAAGGGTTTATTGCTTGTTTTTTTTTTTTGTATTATACGATGTGCTACATATAATTATAAATCAACCAAACATATAAATTTAGATACCAAGATACTGGTCCTTTATATATGAACTATGGGTTGATAGTTTCTTATTTGAGGTTCTGTAACGACTGTCACCGTAGATACATTTCTCCTTAATTAGCTATTTAATGTTTCATGAATGTTTCATTTTGTTACATAGTATTCAACAATCACATGGGATTTATCAACAAACCCTAAGTCCTATAAATCCAAACTAGACTAGAACCTTTTCTTGACAACCATCACAAAACCCTAACAATATTTTTCAACCCTAATCGTTTTTTTATATAATCATAATACCAAGGTTGATCTACGACAAATATGTTGTAGTATGGTGTGGTGAAGTTCTTTGTGTATTCCGGGGAAGCGCAAATAATATTAATAGTAATTCAAATAATCGAGACAGTAATCAACTATAGTCGATAGTATAATTACTAAAACGGTCTTATATATTAAGCGGCTTATATCGAGCTAATGTACTTATTCGAAGTTACTTGACTTGTTACTTGCTTATACATAATATATAAATTATTTACAAGAAACGATTATGGAAGATGATCTTTTATCTCCTGAAAACGTTGTCCTTTTATATGTTTTCTGGAGCTCGATCGATTATTCAGATTACTACATTAATGACTTGACTGATTCAAACCCTAAAATTTATTATATTAATTTAGGTGCACTACTGGATTAGAACTGCATCCCAATTCTCTAATCATGGTGATTAGTAATACACGTGGGACTTAATAAAACAATAGGTAAATTCTAGATTTGCCAAGATCTTATGTAATCCAATCTTTTTATTATGCAGCATCTAATGTTGTAGCACATGTATGGCTTATTAATACACTAATTGGTTCTAGATTCATTCAGGATCTTATGTAATCTTGATGGTTATAACTATTCTATTCTACAACAAAATACCAGGATGTCCTGCCATCTTAGTATAGTGGTTAGTACACATCGTTGTGGCCGATGAAACCCTGGTTCGATTCCAGGAGATGGCATTTCTTTTTGCCTCTCAGATGAGGACCTATGGTGTAACAAACCTGAGGTTATGTGTTTCTGATAGCTGTAATAGATGAAAACCCGATTACGAGAGATATACTCTTCTAGACCCTAAAATAGATAGATATAGCTTGGTTGTTGTCTATATATGACATATAGACTATACTCGACATAAAGAGTAAACTAATATATACAGGTGTACAGATACACATAATTATATAAACAAGATAAAAACGAAAAACAAGAATGTAATACCCCTGATATTACATATTGCAAGAGATACCTCTTCTAGATTACTAAAATAGATAAATGGTTCTTGATTTATTGCCTGTATATGATACATAAATTATACTCTACACAAGAGGTGAATTAAAACACACAGATATACAGATACTTGCACTTATATAAACGAGTAAAACAAAAACGTTGTTATTGACTGAAGTGTTCACAAAATCGTTTATAATAACATCAGGATTTCATTTGTCACAAATACCAATAATAAAAAACAAAAGGACTTATATATTATTGTAAGGATTACTTCAAGTAGTATACTAAAATATTGTTGAGAATGAGCGCCTGTATTCATTGGATATATAATAAACATTCTCAATATTATATTAAACAGATTTAGTATACAAAATTATAATAAAGTTCTTCACTTTCTTTCTCTATATACAACATAGAAGTAATAATACACAAAGATTGTAAATAAGATAAAAATAATGTATGATGAAATCCTTGGCTTTATATATGTTAACATTAAGCCATTTTCCTCTACGAACAGTAAGGTGTTTAATAAACAAACTCAACAACTTTTGGTGACCTCTCAACAGTTATTACTCAACAATTTATCGTTTAGTGTCTGCTAAAATCTTACTGTTCTATCTATTTCATTATAGAACATTCTATTTCAACAAATATGGATATTGATTAAATATATAAACGCTTATGCATTATATAATTGGTTGATTATAACTATTAAATAGAATATGAATGTTAATGTTGACGATTATCTCTAGTACCATGTCTCAATAATCAAAGGTCTCTTAAATAAAGCTTTCCGATAATTTACTACCAAGCCCATTCCACGATCGATGAATCATTTGAATACATTCACAACCTTGGGTCCAGAGTTTTAATTGTTCCAAGTCCTTCGCCTTGACATTCAGTGTTACTTGCAGACTACATATTTCAGGATTTCCAATTAGAACTTCCTACAATTATGAAAAACCAGCTTTTTTTTGTAAGGAGCGTAACTGGAAATCCAGTAGATACGCAATTCCAAGGGTAACACCTGAGTGTCTGGGTGAAGGATTGGTACAGCCATGTGCGCAGTGGCTTGTATAAGGTATTGACTCTGATTGGAGGATTTCCAGGGAGCGATAATTATATCAGATCTTGTCAAGAGGCCTTTAATTATTGAGAGATAGGCTAGGGGTAATCATCTTATTTAAATACATCTTAGTAATGATATTAAGAAGTAACTCTTAATATCATACAAAAAAAAACAACAAGAAGAAGTAATACTACAATATCAGGGTTATTAAATAGTAATATATAGAGCTGTTGAAATAGAATGTTTTATGATAAAATAGATAGAACAATAAGATTTTAGCAGACACTAAACGATAAATTGTTGAGTAATAATTGTTGAGAGGTCACCAAAAGTTGTTGAGTTTATTTATTAAATATCTTACTGTTCGTAGAGGAAAATGGCTGAATATTAACATATATAAAGCCAAGGATTTCTTCATACATTATTTTTATCTTATTTACAATCTTTCTATATTATTATTTCTATGTTGTATATAAAGAAAGAAAGTGAAGAACTTTATTATAATTTTGTATACTAAATCTGTTTAATATAATATTGAGAATGTTTACTATATATCCAATGAATAAAGGCGCTCATTCTCAACATGGTAGCTTTCTGTCTGGACACACTAGTGATCCTAGTGCTGTAAATCCCTCCACGGGCGCTGGTATTAAAGCTTTTAACATAAATACCAGTCAAGACGCTTCCACTGCATCCAACATCCCATCCAACCCTCAGTTGGAACATAATTTAAATGCTACAACAGATGTTGACCCATCTTCTAGGGAATCTGGAAACAATGCTTCTCCAGATCAGCAATCTGCTCCATACGGTTCTTCCACGCCGAACAATCCTTCTCAGGCTGGAAAGTCATCCTATCCTGATTCTGGTACTAATGGTCCATCATATGACCATCATATTCCAATAAACGGTTACCAACAACCAACTGGTTTCGCTTATATGCCATTTCCTTATTATGGTCAACTACCGGGATATTATTCTCCCATCAATCCAATCCAACCAATGTTTCCAGGTTCACCTAACCATTCATGTACATATAACAACCCATACATTCCAACTACTTTATTTTACTGCTCTAGTGTTGGTCTATTTAACTCCTGGGTTCATTCCTTAATAAAACATTTGATTGCTTCTGGTCTAAAAGATTTGGTTCCTGATTCACACGATCGTACTGTAAGAGATCCAACGCCAGAAGAATCTCAAGGTTTAATTAATTTATTTTTCACCCTTGTTCCTCAGAGCAGTTATCCCGATTGGGTTCAAGAATGCTTTCACAAGCAAATGCATCCCTATGATGTTATTCGTCAGGCCATGACATACGACATTGAACGCAGTAATGTCAATACCATTATCAACACTATTAGATCTTTAAAATATAATGGTGGCTACCCAGCATTTCAATTTACAAGTTATCTCCATAACTTAATTGATCAATTGAACCCCACGGATCTTCAAACCCACGAGTACCTGCTAAAACAAACAATTCTTGATACGTTAACAGGTACTTACGAATCCATTTCTAAACACTTTTTTAAGAGTGATACCCCATATACTATAAACGACATTTTCTCTTCTATCAAGAGAGAATATCAATACTACCATCAAGCTTCACAAATTTCCGATCCACATTTTTCCCCTAATCCTCCATCTTCTTCAAAAAAACAGTATCCAACAAATCCATCAGTGAATAAACGAGCAAACAACACATCTACTGTGTTGAACACCAAAAATACTACAGTTCCTTCAACAGTTAAGCCAAAAGCCAAATCTACCAAAGCTCGTTCTAAAAAGGTTAGCCAAGTTAAAACCCATTCAAATAGCACCTCTATTCCTCAACAAAATAACCCAGTCGATCCAACCTTACTTAGGCCTATTTCAACTTCACTAAATCCTGCATATTATATGATGCTAGATTCCGGTGCTACGGTTACCCTTGTAAAACATAAAGAGATGTTGCACAATCTTCGTGACTCTCATCCTGAATCTGTTCAAATAACCTCATGCTCCAACACGGATATCCCATACGATCAAGAGGGTGATTTAATTCTAAAAACATTAAATGGCAGCCAAATAAAAATTCATGCCTTTTACACACCCACAATTGATCACACCATTTTATCTACTAGTGATCTCCGTTCTCACCATCTGTTTTTAAACGAGCGTCTCAACACCATTGAAGATGCTAATGGTGATGTTGCAGCAAACATTGACTCCTCAAATGGTTTACATTGGTTATCCAATCATCATATTGTATTTCCATCTACTGCAACTCGTAAATCTGTAAATGCGTTAAAAACTAAATTTCCTTTAGACATGATTCATCGCATTTTAGGTCACGTCAATGTTCAGTCAATCTATACATCCATCAAAAATAAAACCTTCAATAATCTATCTATAGACGAAATTGATTGGTCTAACCTTAACAATTTTCAGTGTCAGGACTGTCTCAAAGGAAAAAGCAGGAAGAGACCACATATTGTTGGTTCACGTCTGCAATACCAGCAGGTGTTCAAACCATTTCAATATATTCATTCTGACCTGTTTGGACCAGTAACTGTGGCTACAAAACCTGAATGGTTTATATCGTTCACTGATGAGGCATCTAAGTTTAAGTGGACTTATTTACTAAAAAGGAAAGATGATGCAACGATCCTACATGTCCTCAAGTCCTTTATTGCGACTATTGAGCGACAATTCAAAACCCCCATATTAAAATTCCAGTTTGACCGGGGAACAGAGTACACCAACTCTGCAGTAAAAACGTTTCTTTCTGAAAACGGTATTCAAATTGTTTATACCGACGCAGGTGATTCCCAAGCTCACGGTGTTGCGGAACGATTAAATTTAACATTATTAAATGATTGTCGTACTATTATGAATAGTGCAAAACTCCCACACCACCTATGGTATTACGCTGTGCAATATGCAACTATAATCCGTAATTCCATATATAACAATTCTATGAGGGATTCACCTCGGTCTAAAGTCGGTTTACTAGGACTTGATACCAAGTCACTGCTACCATTCGGTCAACCGGTCATTATTAACCTCAATAAAACTGCCTCCAAATTACATGTCAGAGGTGAAAAAGGTTTTGCTCTAATACCAGATGCTGAATCTTATGGCTATTTATTTTACCTCCCAACTAAACGTAGGGTGGTATCCTCATCCAATTTTGTTCCAATTAAACATGACGTTGATATTCATGAAAATGAAGAATATGATGATTCTATATTCGACGATCTCATCACAACTTTTATATCAAAATTTGAACATACTACATCTTCAAAGGACGAAATTGAAGCCACACCTTCTGATAATCATAAAGATACAGTTTTATCTACTCTATCCTCATCACCCAAATCATCTTCCCTCGTTAACAAAGATCCACTCTTTAAAGATAAAATTTTAATTCAAAATGATGCTGATGCTGATTTGAATATCACCACCAATACTACTTCCAATTCAAATCCATCTAACAACCACACTACTCATCCCACCTCTTCTGATTTAGAGGAACTAATCACTCCCATCGACATCAATGATCCTAATCAACTACCCTTAACTCTTGTTGAACCTTCATCTCATCCTACTTCTGATGAATCATCACCACTGCCCACTGCTGTCTCTACTGATACTACATCTTCATCTACATCTTCATCTACACCACCATCTAGTAATCGTTCATCAAAACTCACCCCCATTCCTACTGATAATTTCTACGTTGACAATAGTACCTTGGGTGGTACAAGATCTGGTAATCGTCAAAAGAACACCAATGTAGAAACGCCTGAACCTGTCGATGCCAAAGAACGGCAGAAGCGAGACAGGGACGAAAGAACTAAGGCACGTATTGGTAAACGTAGGAAAACTACAAAAACATATGCAGTAAATTACATTGCTGCTACACGCCACACCATAAACCAGGTCAGCAGTGAAGAGAACAACCAGCATGGTCCATTACAATATTTTCAAGCAATCACACACAATAGGGATCCAATTGAAAAAGAAAAATTCCAAGAAGCATATGATAAAGAGATATCTCAGCTGACGAAAATGGGTACCTGGTCGGTAAAAACTATTGAAGCTACAGAAGTAGACAAATCCAAAATTATTAACTCTATGTTTATTTTTAGTGTCAAGCGAGATGGTCATCACAAATGCAGGTTAGTTGCTAGGGGAGACCAACAAAAAGCTTCGACTTATCAACCAGATCTGATGTCAAACACTGTTCACCATTACGCTCTAATGTCCTGTCTATCAATAGCTTTACAAAACAACTATGATATTATACAATTAGATATATCATCTGCTTACTTGTATGCTCCATTGGAAGAAGAACTGTACATTCGTTCTCCACCCCATTTAGGATTACGAAATACAGTACATAGACTAAAGAAATCACTTTACGGTTTGAAACAGTCTGGTGCAAACTGGTATAAGAAGATAACCAATTTTATTATTAATAGTTGTCATATGAATTTTGTACCAGGATGGCCTTGTGTATTTTATAAAAAAATCAATGATTCAATCGTGATATTATGTCTTTTTGTCGATGATATGGTATTATTAACTAATAATCGTCAACTAATAAATGACCTTATTTCTCAACTCCAATCACAGTTCGAAACCAAAGTTGTCAATGACGGTGCTCAAAAGATTAATCAATATGATGTTCTCGGTCTGGAAATAGAATATATTAAAGGATTATCCATGAAAATGGGTATGGCTAAATCTTTAGAAGAAAAACTACCGAATCTACGTGTAGACCTTAACAAAAGTAGAAAAGTCCCAGGAACACCTAATGAAATTATAAGAGAAAGGGAATTTTATCCGACTGAGCAGGAGTACAAGAATAAGGTGAAATGGCTACAAAAAGCAATCGGTTTAGCTTCATATGTCGGTTACAAGTACAGATATGATATATTATATTATGTCAACACGCTAGCTAGACATACTCTATATCCATCAAAACAAGTCATGAGTCTAACCAAACAACTAATTCAGTTTATTTGGTCAACAAGGAACAAACGGCTCATATGGCACAAGACGTCCAACTCCAACATTAACTATTTAACTGCTGTAACTGATGCTGCTTTTGCAAATCAACACGATATGAAATCACAATTTGGAAATATGTATTATCTAAATGGAAATTTGATTGGTGCTAGGTCATCTAAGTCAACAATTACATGCACCTCTTCTACCGAAAGTGAAATTTATTCAATTTGTGAAGCAATTCCAAGATTAAGAAATTTAAATGTTCTAATTCAGGCTATATCAGACAAGGAGGTCAGGTGTTCAATATTAACTGACAGTCAAACTAGTCTCCATCAAATCAAAGTAAGAGACATATCAAAAATCAAGAATAAATTTTATGGTACTAAGGTTTTACGCATTGCTGAAGAAATTGAAAATGATAATATATCAGTGAATTATATTAACACAAGTCAAAACGTTGCTGATATTCTTACAAAACCTTTGAGTGTTAAAATTTTTGCCAAGCTAACTGAGAATTGGATCTACTAAAATTGAATTGATCTATGGGTGGTATGTTGAAATAGAATGTTTTATGATAAAATAGATAGAACAATAAGATTTTAGCAGACACTAAACGATAAATTGTTGAGTAATAATTGTTGAGAGGTCACCAAAAGTTGTTGAGTTTATTTATTAAATATCTTACTGTTCGTAGAGGAAAATGGCTGAATATTAACATATATAAAGCCAAGGATTTCTTCATACATTATTTTTATCTTATTTACAATCTTTCTATATTATTATTTCTATGTTGTATATAAAGAAAGAAAGTGAAGAACTTTATTATAATTTTGTATACTAAATCTGTTTAATATAATATTGAGAATGTTTACTATATATCCAATGAATAAAGGCGCTCATTCTCAACAAGAGCTTACGTAAGGGTGTTTATATTTATACTAATTGATATGATTCATCCATTTACATACAACAACTCTACATTTTTTTCATATTTAGTAGAAAATTCTTTCCTTTGTATTAAATATTTTTATGATTATTCCTATTTTGTATCTGGAATCAAAAAACCACCTCCTTGATAATCTTTTTTTATTATTACATAATAAAAAATATTAAGTCTAGACTCAATGAAAAGACACTAAGAATAAATATTAGGAATAAGCACCTATGATAATTGAATATATAATAAACATTTCCAATATTATACTATATATTTATGGTGTACCAATTTATGTTAAAATTCTTCGATCATTTCTGTATATATAATATATAGACGATAATATGTAAAAGATACACAAGGAAAAAGGTATGATATGAAAAAATTGTTGACTTTATATCTTTTTATATCTGATATATCTCTTCTACGAACAGCACTAATTTATTAATATGTCTTATTTACACTCACTGATAAAAAGACAATACATTTTCCGAATTCTATTATCAATTTATATTTACTAAAATCTAATTGGTCTATCAATTTATTATAGAACATTCGATTTCACCAATAAAACCATTTAGACATAATTAAAACACTACCTAATTTTCTTGTATAAAAGTATATTTATGTCTAATACTACTAACTCATATTTTATTAACGTATTTACTATATATATTTTTAGTATTGTGTGTTTCTGACATCTTTTATCTTCACTTCATGACATATAAAATCAATATTAGTGGTTTTTTTTGGATGTTTTGTCAAGCTGTTAGAAACCAATACAAATTAGTCATGTTTCCTTCATCAATTAAGTATCTTTGAATAATTTTAAAATATAATAATATTAATAAGAAAATAATCTTAGTTTTTCTTTTATTGATAATTGAAAGAAGTATAAGGCGACAATGATAATTGTATTATTAATTTACCTTATGGTAATCATGTAGACATATCTAAAAAAAATGTACAAAACTTATTTATTTGATAATTTATTTACATAGACGTAATACTAAACATTCGTATCTCCTATTCTATAGAATTAAAAGATATGTAATACTTAAATTGTTATAGTCATTTTATTCAATATATGTATAGTCAGATTACAATTTAGGGATTTTTAAAGATTTTGATATCATACCACATCCATGAACAAAAAATAGTAAAATCAATGGATGAAACTCAAAGTATTTACCTTCTCTAACAATACCCAAAGGAATTTTATCAAAAACATAGTCTTTTGAAACTAAGATAGCCATGAAAAAGACAAGTAATAATGTGGTTGGCATCGGGAACCCCTCAAAATACTTTGATTTACCTGTTTTATCCTTTGGCAAATAGCTGACTGTGACATTAAACCTAGCCAATCTAGCAATACCACATAACACGAAAAAAGATAATACAAAAACATCTAATGTAGTTTGAAAACCAATAGCAAAAGCAGTAGCAGCTGGTGCCACACCAAATGATATTAAATCTGCTAAAGAGTCAAGTTCTTGACCCATCAAAGATGATCTATTTCTTAAACGTGCAACACGACCATCAAGGAAATCAAAACACATACCTAAAAATATAAAAAAATAAGCTCTTTGCATATAATGTGGTTTACTAGTTAATGTAAATCTTAAACAACTTACAATGGAGTAAAATCCGGAAAAACCATTTAACATTGTTATAAAATCTGCCATATGTAAATTTCTAATCATACTAAAATGATAATCGTCACTTGTAAATTTAGCAATATCACTTTCATTAGGAGGTGCTAATGGAGTAGTGTCAATACTGAAAATACTAGACGCCTTTCTACTTAATACAGGCGTGATGTCAACATGAAGACCATCGTTATTTTCACCTTCTTCAATAACAAACTTATTCATTTTTCTTTTAGTTAAATTAGACATGGCGTTAATTGTTTCTATTTATAAAAAATACGAGGAAATAAGAATGAAGGATACGTATAAATATGATATGCCTCGTTCTTTAAACTTGCAATTATTTTACAATCAAACAAATTTTAGATAAACAAGTAACTAAAAAACTGTCTATAAAAAGAAAATTATTGTGAGCCTAATTAGTTTTGATAAAATATATATCAGAAAGTGTAGATATATTCTTATATTAGACACCAATTGTAAGATGGTATACTAATTGGTGTTTATATTCAGCTGCTTTTTGTATTTGTATTTGTGTTTTGTGTTTTTTCTTTTCTTTTCTTTTCTTGTTTTTTTGTTTCAGAAAATCTCAAATTTTCACATTCACACTCTGATGATTACAAACAAATCACATAAAAGTATATTCAACATCAAAGAAATACAATAGGTAAACATTAAGAATTATTTTAATGCAACCAACATATCGAATAATATAGCTCACAAATGCCGTGTCTCAACAATAGAAGAGAGACAGAGAATACATACAAAATTATTGAAATTTCACCAAATACTGATTTTCTAGAAATAGGATGCATTAGTATTTGGTTCAGAATTGACTGAAAACTAACTGAATATTATAATTCTAATCATAATTAATGATTAGTTTTGTTGAAATTAAATATTAATATGAATAGATAATACTAATAATTATATACTTTTGAAGTAAAAAATAATGCTAATAGATTCTGTTGAATGTTAATAAAAATTTGTGAAGAAATACATGAGGAGAAGACCATTCATATAAGAAAACGTATAAGAATGGATCTGTTAAAATAATAACAACAATCGGTAAAAAAAAACTAGTATCAAAAGAAGTTCAATCTGCATGTAACAATGTGTATTATTTACCTAACTTCTCTAAGATATCTTTATTTAAAGAACCACCTAATCTTGAATCATATTCGTAATCCCTCGAAAGCATGGAGGTCAGAACATTATGGTAGGGTGGTTTACCTGGATCATCACTTTCTGGTGGATTATTAGCAGTTACTGTGTTAAAATAATTATGGTATATATCCCCATCAAAGTATCCTATTGGCGAATTCAATACAGCATCAGGCAATTCGAATGCATCTGTTAATTTGATACAATCAGTTCTAATCTCCTTTAATAGCTTAACTAATTTAGGCTGGATTAAAGATGATATTTGGCTAGGCTTTAGAATTTTAAACTGTTGAAATTGCCCGGAATATTTATTAATAAAGTAAACAGAAAATAGTTTGAAAATGTTCCAGAGTGAATCTTTGGAATGCTGATCAGTAATATGAGATATCTCATCATGCTTTAACTTCGTGTAAAACGTTTTTAACATATAATGAATAGCGTGGAATTTGGATACCGTTACTAGTAATATCGTAGTTTGATCAAAATCTTTAGTCTTCTGAATTGTCTTACCGATATGAATAAGCAATTGAATTAAAGCAATTTTCCAAATTTCAATATATGTTTCTAAACTTTCATTAGTATTGTCATCTGTATCTTCTAAAGTAGCTGAAATATCATGAGTATATACTTTTCTGATAAAATCAGGGTCCAAATAATCAAAATCGTCAGAATCCAAACCTTCATCAAACTTTCCCTTTGTGGCAGAGTCCACAAATTTCTTTAATATTGATTTTGCTGATGTTAATGATAAAATATTATTATCACCCTCCCATGTACATTGGACTACCCAATCATTATAACCTTTGCCAAATGCATTATATTGAGAATAACCATGCCCACCACAACATTGTCTTAATTCATCAATTAAATTGGAAATTAGCCAAGTATTTGTAGCTTTCAAACTTGCAGAGGAAATAAAAAGATTTTTTAATTTGGAGCTGACTGTTGAAAAGGCATTTTTGTCAGTAGTATCTGCCTGTTGTTTATCTGATTTTGGCGAAGAGATTTCATACAGTTCATTTAAAGTATTGTAATAACTACTCATCAGATCATGTGCTGCAGGAGATATTAAATATACAATAGCCAACTGTAGTAACACTCTGTATTGATGTAATGAGTAATCAATTAACTGTGTCTCTTTATTATTACTAACGTTAGCAATATTATGTCCATGCTGTTCTTTCTTTTTACTAGATTGTGTCTCTATTCTCCCAACTTCGTTCACTTGAACGAATTGTTGTCTTCCCACTGCATATCTTGTTGCAATAGTTACAAATTTAGAACCAAATCTGAATGAATCCATCACCATGTTCACTCTACCACTTAATAAAGCACTGTAACCAGACACTTGATCTAATTGTGGTTGTATTTTTACAGAGACATCAGTACTTTCTTGATTAGGGATAACTTTAACAAACCTGGATAACAAATATTCTCTTGGTATTAAAACATTTTTAAACTGGATCCAACCATTATCAATCCCATCTCTTCCCATCTTTTTACCAATATCTCCAACGATAATACCTGGTAATAATTGAAAATTCGAATTATCTCTCAATGGGACAATAAATGTCTTAACACCATAATCTTTTTCTTTAACAATCAATCTAGCATAAACCACAGCATGCGTAGCAGAATGTGCAGCACCACCGATCCACCATTTTGTAGCAGTTAGTGATGGTGTGTTAATCTGAAATGTGTCAGAATCTAAATCATAAGTTGCTGTTGTTTCTAACGCTGCAACGTTGGATCCATGCCCTAATTCTGTCATAGCAAAACAGCCATATACTTGCTTTAAAAAGATTGCACCACGTTCTTGTAACCAGTACCTAATTTGTGAATCAGTTCCATTACCCTTAATACAATTACCAAATAAACCCAAGTGAACGCCAACTCTCGTGGACAATTGTGGATCTATCATTCCAATCAAAGACAATCTTTTGTCAAAAATGTTTAAATCTTTATTAACCAAAAATTTTGACTTTGGGTTTAGTTGCAAATTTTTAATAATATCAATTTTTTCTCTTTTCACTTGGTTCTTTTGCATTAACTTAATATCATTTTCCATGTATAAGGAAAGACGTTTAATTTTTCTGGCAGTTATTTCTCTTTCTTGATTTTTTTCCTTATCATAATAATATGAATCACATTTAAGGATTGGATCAGTGATAATTTGTTCCAGTAATTCATGAGTTATCTTTTGATCATCTGGGTTAGATTCCAAAAAACAGTTAATCTCCTCGACCTTTAAAGCAGACCGAGTTCTTTCATTTTCAATAAATTTTTTGGGATTAAATACAGAATCACTAGATTTGACAGAAGTTACTTTTGTCATAATTTCCAATCAAGTCTGTTATTTTTTTTGATAACACACTTTACAATTTTTATTTATTTCTTATTTTCTAATTTAATTTCTTATTTCAATTAAAAAAGAATTGAAATAAGTAAGTAGAAATAGGGTAGAAATAATTTGAATATTACAGGACAAACTTTTATTTATTCGTGAATCATAATATTTAAAAAGTCTACTTCAGAATGTAATACAACAGTTTGCTTTTTATACTTAATTTTTGAACTGCTTCTATACATATTAACAAACCCCTAATTCCACAAATAATTATAATTAATATATTACTGCCAATTGATAGTTACACAAAAAAACAAACAGAAAACAAACAGAAAACGAAGCATTTAACAAAAGTAGCGTAATCATGGAATAATATAACAAAGGTGTTTTTATTGTTTTGCCACAATAACATTGTTCTTTGGATATTTCTGCTGATTGTTCTTTTAACAATTGCTTGTTGGAGTCATATTCAAGTATGACAATGGAGAAGAGCATAGACGGAGAAAAGAAGGTCAGCCAAATATTTAATAGTAATAACAATATTTATTATTATTATTATTATTTATTGTCATGCTCATTTCAATCATGATCAATATCAACACCAGTATCATCATCATCGTTGTTATTATTATTATTATTATTGTTATTATTTTATTTCTGTAAGTAATATATATTATTGCCATATTGTGTCAAAGGACGGCACAATAACTAAAACACAAAAGAGACTCCAAGCAATGAGACATCACTAACAAAAGAAAACTTCAATCCCCTTTTTCCAATGTAAAGATTTGCCGGTGTTAATCAAAATTTTTCCTTAAAGCCCTCTTTTTACATTATAAAAATTTCTTACCCTAAGGAAAAATTTATATAGAATGAAATTAGGGCCACAACTAGATTCTTGAGAAAAAAACCGAAAATTCAAATGCTCAACCCTAGATTTTATTATCCAGGGCTATATGTCAATTTTATCAACAAAAAAAAAAAAAAAAAAAAAAAAAACAAAAAGAAAAAATAAAAACAAAATCGTCTTAGGCGGACAGCACAACTTTCTTATTCTCTGCCCAAAGTATTTTCACTGTTCCATAAAGCTAACCTTCTACTAAAACCTGAAGTAGAGTGTAGAGTCGGTTTCACTAAATGCTCAGTAGACTTAATTATTAACACCAAAGAACTTATAATAACTAGAATAAAAAAAAACCTCCTCTAGTAATTTCAAAAGTAAAGAAAGAAAAATGCTGAATTTACCTAAAAAAAGAAAAAAAAAAAGACATAGCGGAAATGTTAATTCCGAAACAAAGCCTTTTACGTTAGGAAACGACTTTTTCTCCAACATACCATGCTTGATAGTTTAAAGTTATTAAGAAAAGTTCAAAAAAGAAAAAAAAAAAATATAATTTTTATTAATATCTTCTGTTTCTTGCAACAAAAAACCCTGTTTTCGTAAATAGTGATTATAATCTGTACGCTTCAATATATAATTTACCCTAATGTTTTTATAGACTTTATTTATTAAAAAAATATATTAGGCTAAATACCCCCAAAGAATAAAAGTGAAAACAAGATCCTTCTTCACACGTTACAAGTCATATTATTAACACCAAAATATTTTATTTTTATGATACACACCGAGCTAGTAAGTAAGTTTGGCGCCCTAATACACTACTTTCTATGTTCTCAGCACACTAATTTGTCCCTTTGTCTCACCTAACACCTAATGTTTTTCTCTCAACTCGTTGTTAAAACAGAGAAAATTACTGCAATAGCCCTAAAAAAGTATTCCGTAAAAGAATGAAAAACAAATATAACGCAGACAATATTTCCCAGTACACAAAAATTCCGCAATTGAAATCGTAATTTACATTAATATTTTTTTTTTTGTTTTTTGTTTTTCTTGTAGGGAGGCAGAAACATAGATCGTCCAATATTCATCAAAAAAAGGAAAGGAAAAGGAAATTGTTCGATTAAAGGAAAGAACCAAACAGAAAAGTAAATGAAAAAAAAAAAAAAAATACAAACCTATTTTGTGAAGAACATTCAAATTCTCATATACTCCCTTGTTAGTCACTTTTGACATTAACCTACTTCAATTAACACTTTTTTCTTATATACAAAACGCTAACTAACCATCACAATATAAAACTGATCTAATCTATTTTTATTTTTATTTTTTCTCAAAAACATTTCTATCTTTCATTTGTTCCCTCACTTTTAACACTTATTTTATTGAACTTTTTTCGTTATTTCCAGTTGGGTTATCAAATAACGTTACAGGTAATATTGATTTATTTTATTTGATTTCCTATTACTATTTGGAAGAAGAGACAAGAACAAGAAAGCCTCACCGGATATAATAAAGTTAAATAAGAATATTGACTGCCTCTCAAATCTCCCCTCTAAACTTCAATACTTCTTATTTCATACAATTAAATTCTGGCTTCATTCAAGTTTAAAGTAATTGTTTTCGTTTATTCTGTTATCACAATACTCAACATTTATTCATAATCTGAAGAAGAGATACTTACCTTTTTTTTTTTCTAATATTTTTGTTTTTTATTTTCTAATTCTATACCCATATAAGCAAAAACAAAAATACAATCATGGCTGATCTTCCAATTGATTTCACTGAATTAGTTGATTTAACTTCTATTGGTATTAATCCACAGTTTTTAGATTTTAGATCAACAACTTTCGAAAGTGACCATTTTGTCACTGTAAGAGAATCTTCTGCTGATGGCTCAACAAATTCAGTTGCTATCGTTAATCTAGCTAAAAATAATGAAATCATTAGAAAAAATATGGGTGGTGACTCTGCAATCATGCATCCAGAGCAAATGGTTATCTCTGTTAGAGCTAACGGTACAATAGTCCAAATCTTTAATTTAGAGACCAAGACCAAGTTGAAGTCATTCACCCTGGATGAACCTGTTATATTTTGGAAATGGTTGAGTAATGATGTTTTAGGTTTGGTATCTGCTAGAAATATCTATACTTTAAATGTTTTTGATGGTAATGTAAATGGCAAACCAGCCCTTTTAACTCAAAGAAATGCTGCTCTAAATAATACCCAAATTATCAATATCATCGCCAACAACAAGTTAGATTGGTTTGCACTTGTTGGTATAATGCAAGAAAATGGTAGGATTGCTGGTAAAATCCAGCTATACTCAAAAAACCGTAATATTTCTCAAGTTATTGATGGTCATGTGGCTACTTTTACTAATATCCTTTTGGAAGGAAATGGATCTCAAATGGTTCAAGTCTTTGTTACAGGTAATAGAAATGTTAACACTGGGAATGGTGAATTAAGAATCATTGAAATTGACCATGATGCCAACTTACCTGTTCAATACTCTAAGAAAAGTACCGATATCTTTTTCCCACCAGATGCCACAAATGATTTCCCTATCGCTGTTCAAGTCTCTGAGAAATATGGTATTATTTACATCTTAACAAAATACGGGTTCATTCATCTTTACGAATTGGAGACAGGTACTAATCTTTTTGTCAATAGAATTACTGCGGAATCTGTCTTCACTTCAACATCTTATCGCAACAAGAACGGTATCGCTTGTATCAATAAAAAAGGTCAAGTACTTGCTGTGGAAGTCGCCAAAGAACAAATTGTTCCTTATATCTTAGAAAAATTATCTAATGTTTCCTTAGCTCTAACAGTTGCCAAAAGAGGTGGTCTTCCTGGTGCTGATGATCTTTTCAACAAACAATTTGAAACATTATTGGCTAACGGAGATTACCAAAATGCTGCTAAAGTTGCTGCTTCTTCCACTTCCTTGAGAAATAGTAATACAATCAATAGATTGAAAAATATTCAAGCTGCCCCAGGTGCTATTTCTCCAATCTTGGTGTATTTCTCAACTTTATTAGATAAAGGTAAATTGAACGCAGAAGAAACAATTGAATTAGCAAGACCTGTTCTACAGCAAGATAGAAAACAGTTGTTTGAAAAGTGGTTAAAGGAAGATAAACTAGAATGCTCAGAAGAATTGGGTGACATTGTTAAACCGTTTGACAATACTTTAGCCTTAGCTTGTTACCTGAGAGCTAATTCTCATGCTAAAGTCGTTACTACGTTAGCCGAACTACAACAATTTGACAAAATTTTACCTTATTGTCAAAAAGTTAACTTCCAACCAAACTTCCTTGTTTTGATTTCAAGTATCATCAGATCATCCCCAGACAGAGCCTCAGAATTTGCTATTTCTTTATTACAAAACCCTAAAGTTGGTTCTAAATTAGATATTGAAAAGATTGCCGATTTATTCTTCTCTCAAAACTTTATTCAACAAGGTACTTCCTTGTTATTGGACGCCTTAAAAAATGATACACCAGATGAAGGCCATTTACAAACAAAAGTACTTGAAGTTAATTTGTTGCACGCACCACAGGTCGCAGATGCTATCCTTGGCAACAATATCTTCTCCCACTATGATAAACCAACAATTGCTTCCTTAGCCGAAAAAGCTGGTTTATATCAAAGGGCTTTAGAAAACTATACTGATTTATCTGATTTAAAGAGGTGTATTATTCACACAGATGTCTTACCTGTTGACTGGTTAGTTGCTTTTTTCGGTAAATTGAATGTGGAGCAAACATTAACATGTTTAAAGGCTTTAATGGATAACAATTTACAAGCTAATTTACAAATTGTAGTTCAAGTTGCTACTAAATTTTCTGACTTAATTGGTTCTTCTACCTTAATCAAGTTATTTGAAGATTACAAGGCTACCGAAGGTCTGTACTATTACTTAACTTCTTTAGTTAACTTAACTGATGATAAAGATGTTGTGTACAAATATATCGAAGCCGCCGCTAAGATTAAACAATACAACGAAATTGAAAGAATTGTTAGAAACAATAACGTTTTTGATCCGGAAAGAGTTAAAAACTTTTTAAAGAATGCTAATTTAGAAGATCAATTACCATTTGTCATTGTCTGTGATCGTTTCGGTTTTGTCCATGAAATGATCTTACACCTTTACAAATCCCAAAACTCAAAATTTATTGAAACTTATGTGCAACAAGTTAACCCATCTAAGACTGCAGAAGTCGTTGGTGCTCTATTGGATATGGATTGTGATGAAAAATTTATCCAAGATTTATTAAATTCTGTCTTAGGCCAAGTTCCTATCAGCGAATTAACTGAAGAAGTTGAAAAAAGAAACAGACTAAAATTATTATTACCTTACCTTGAAAAAAGTCTTGAACAAGGTGCTCATGATAAAGCTATCTATAATGCATTAGCAAAAATTTACATTGACTCTAATAATTCACCGGAAAAATTCTTAAAAGAAAATGATCAGTATGACACTTTAGATGTTGGCCACTACTGTGAAAAAAGAGATCCATACTTGGCATATATTGCATATGATAAAGGTTCTAATGATGATGATTTAATTCGTATCACTAATGATAATAGTATGTATAAATACCAAGTCAGGTACTTATTGAAACGTTCCAATCTAAACTTATGGAACAAGGTTCTTGATAGTGAAAACATTCACAGACGTCAACTGATTGAATCAGTTATTTCAGTTGGTATTCCCGAATTAATAGATCCTGAGCCTGTTTCAATTACAGTTCAAGCCTTTATGTCCAATGGTTTGAAATTAGAATTAATTGAATTATTAGAAAAGATCATCCTAGAACCATCCCCATTCAATGATAATGTTGCTCTTCAGGGTTTATTATTGTTATCTGCCATTAAATACGAGCCGGTTAAAGTGTCCACATATATTGAAAAGCTTGAAAACTATGATACTGATGAAATCGCTCCATTATGTATTGAACATGGTTTAAATGAAGAAGCTTTTGAAATTTATAATAAACATGAAGTATACAGCAAAGCATTAAAAGTCTTGGTTGAAGACATTATGTCTCTGGACAGAGCTGCAGACTACGTTGAAAAGATCAATACTCCAGAGTTATGGTCTCAACTAGGTTCTGCTCAATTAGATGGTTTACGTATTCCAGAGGCAATTGATTCTTACATCAAGGCGGAAGACCCATCAAATTTCGAAAATGTAATCGAGATTGCTGAGCATGCAGGTAAATATGAAGAATTAATACCATATTTAACTATGGCCAGAAAAACTATAAAGGATTCCAAGATTGATAACTCTTTAATATTATGCTATGCAAGATTAGATAAGCTCCATGAAATTGAAAATCTGTTATCTACTTCTACTGTTGCTAAATTAGATGTTGTTGGAGATCAACTTCTGGAAAGCAAAAATTACAAGGCCGCCAAATTATGTTTCAGCGCTATTTCCAACTACTCAAAATTAGCTTCTACTTTAGTATATTTGAACGATTACCAAAATGCTGTTGACACCGCTAGAAAGGCCTCCAATATAAAAGTATGGAAGTTGGTTAACAATGCTTGTATCGAACAAAAAGAATTTAGATTAGCACAAATTTGTGGTTTGAATTTAATTATACATGCTGAAGAACTCGACGAAGTTGTTGCCAAATATGAAACTAACGGTTACTTTGAAGAATTAGTATCTCTATTTGAAGCTGGGTTAGGGTTGGAGAGAGCTCATATGGGTATGTTTACTGAATTAGCAATCTTATATGCCAAGTACCATACTTCTAAAGTCTTTGAACACTTAAAATTGTTTTGGTCTAGATTGAATATTCCAAAAGTTATTAAAGCTGTCGAAGACGCCCATTTATGGCAAGAGCTTGTTTTCTTATATGCTCATTATGATGAATGGGATAATGCTGCTTTGACCATGATTGAAAAGTCTGCAAGAAACTTTGACCATGATTACTTTAAAGAAGTTATTGTAAAGGTATCCAACTTAGAACTCTATTACAAGGCCATTAATTTCTATGTGAAAGAACATCCTTCGTTATTAATTGATTTGTTATCTGTTTTAACCCCAAGACTAGATATACCAAGAACTGTTAAGCTTTTTACCAATTCGGACAACTTACCTTTGATCAAACCATTCTTAATTAACGTTCTACCCAAAAACAACTTTGTTGTAAATGCCGCTTATCACGATTTGATGATCGAAGAAGAGGATTATCTAGCTTTACAAGATGCTGTTAATTCCTATGATAAGTTTGACCAATTAGGTCTTGCTGCACGTCTTGAATCCCACGACTTAATCTTCTTCAGGGAAATTGCTGCATTACTATATCGTAGAAACAAGAAATGGTCCAAGAGTTTAAATATTTTTAAAGAAGACAAGCTTTGGAAAAATGCCATCGAAACTGCAGCTATTTCCCAGGATTCTAAAGTTGTAGAGGATTTATTAACATATTTTGTTGATACTGGCAATCATGAAGCCTTTGTTGCCTTATTATATACCGCCTATCACTTGATTAGCTACGATTTTGTTTTAGAGTTATCCTGGTTAAATAATCTAGATGACTATATTAAACCATTTGAAATTTCCATTAAAAAGGAACAAAACGACACCATTCAAGATCTTTCAAAGAAATTAGCTGCTGGTGCTACTATCGAAAATGAAACAAGAGATGGTCAACCATTAATGTTAATGAATTCTGCCATGAATTCACAATCTACATGGTCCTAAATATGACTAAGTCGAAATTAGATAATAACTAAATCAGAGGGGGTTTATTTATTACTTAAGCTTATTACTTTTCTATCTATATTAATGATCTGACTCTTCTTTTTTTATTTATATAGCAAGCAATATCTATACTTGGTATTTTATGGTGTATGTGTATAATTAATTTACTTATATTATTTTATGTTTTCTTTCTTAATAAACAGTAGTAAAATTAAATATAAACAATTTTACAACACACATTTTATACAAAAGGACTACGTATAATATATCAAACGTATAAATGTTTTATATGGGTATATTCTTCTTATACTTTTACCTTAATATTATAACGTTTACTGGAATCAATCCTTAAAATGACTTACTCTATCGGCTTTGGCTGCTTTTTTTTCCAATTCATCCCAATCTTCACCTTCTTCTTCACTTTCCTCCCCACTAAAATCTTCACTGCCATCATCACTCATATCTTCATCTGAATAATCATCTTCAGACATGGAACTTTCTTCATCACTAGGATCATCATCAGATGCTTCATATTCACTCACTTCTTCTTCACTTTCATCAGAACCTTCATCATCAGAACCAGTGGCCAAAAAACTCCAACCACCATCTAAGAAGAATTGATGAGGATCCTCAGTTAATGATTTCATAATAGTTGTCCAATTCAAATTGATAGTAGAAACAGTGTAAGGAATATCCATATCAGTTAACCATTGCTTTAAGAAATCTAATGATTCAATAGGAACCGTATTGATATGTGTGACTGGTTTATTAAAATCTTTATACACAAACACAACATCAAAATTCTTCAAACCAAATTGAACTCTTTCCAAAATACAAATTTCAATTTCTTCCAAATTAACTACCAAGAAAGGTGGTTCGATTAATTGAACCAAACAATCGGTCGTGGGCATACAAAAGACTGCAGATCTGTTTGGAACACCTTGAAAACCCAAATCTCTGAATGTGCTTTCAACTGTGACTAAACCTTTAGAGGCTTCTGCAATAGCATCCGCAAAATATTTAAATTCTTTATCTAATGCTGCACGCTTTCTTCTTTCTTCTTGTTCTTGTTCTAATTCATCTTCATCACCGTATCTTCTAAATTTAGCCTGCCCACGTCTACCTGTACCAGTTTCATCAACAGCCATATCGGAAGCTTCGCGATAAAATTGAACATCTTGAATCTTCTTTTTACCCATTAATATTGGATTTTTCAAATGGATATGAATAACAACAATTAATTCACCTTTACATGATTGAAAAATAAGATTTTTAATATTGGAAAATAGAATATCAATTCTACTATCAGTTCTTAATGGTGATTGATATCTAATACCATTTTCATGTATAAATACAGTTGAAGGAACACGCTTAGAGTCGGGACTTGGTCTAACAAAAATCTGATCTAATCTCTTTGTTCTACCAGTACGGTTTTCAATTAATCTATCTTGTTGAACAACATCTGCTAGGACTTTACGTTCTTGTTCTCTTCTAGTAGACTCCTTCTTCAAATCTACGATTTGTTTGAAAACCTCACTCATACGATCACCAGCCTTAGATCTTAGAGTTATAGAACGTAAAAATTGATTTTCTGGCGCATCATCATATGGCAACTCGACAACTTTTTTTGATATACCCCCAGCAGCACCAGGTGTATGGAAATTTAGACGTAAGTATGTATATTCACCTTCTTCATTCTTTGATCCATTTTTATATGAATTGATATGGAACGGAACAGGTCTACCATATATAGGTATAATGATAGTTTGAGATTTCCAATCGACATGAATTCTTAAATCGCGGACATTATTTGGAATTTGTGACTCACGGACATATGATTCATACTTCTTGAAATATTGACGTTGCTCATCACCATTACCAGCAGCATCTGCAGTACTAAATCTCAACAAACCGTCTTTCTGTAATTTTTCATGCAATTTCCTTTGATTTTCTTTACGAATTTGCTCTTTCTGAGCATCTTCGTTTTCACCACGACTTTCACCACGTAGCTTGGTTCTTAAAATTTTTGAATTTAACTGACTATTAGTGGCAGGAATGACCGGCTTCTTTTGAGTCACTTTCTCCTCCTCTTCTTCGTTATTAAAATAAAAAGAAATTTGACTTCTTGCCTTAGTACAGGTAGTTAAAATCTTTGGTTCTTCAGACTCGCTTAAAGGCAATTGAACTGTATCAGCCAATTGAAGAGCATATGTATCATTAGTCTTTGAATCAACCAAGTTATTGAAACCGAAAGAAATATTGAAGCAATCACCCGGTTGAATCTTTCTATAGTCATTTTTACTATTTAAAACAAAATTAGAATCTCTGAATTCTAAACCAATCAAGAAACCAATATTTTTAGTAAAGTGAGATGCTAAGTCCGATCTATTCTTCTGAATATACTCAACCACAGATTCATAAGCTTCTTTGGGAGATTTCCCTACTTTCAAATGATTTTGTAAAATCTCTTTTTGTAACTCTAACATGAAATCATAATTCCTGACAACTTCTTCTGATGGATCTATTAAGAAAGTTCTAGTTACATTGGAACAATAATTATTGTAACGTATACCACATGAGGCTAATATACAACCAGTTCCGTACAATTGATCATCATTTGAACGTGCTGATACTCTTAAATCGAACTTCTTACCAGATTGTAAAATGGGGGAATAACTCCAATCAATTAAATCAATATTAAATTTATGACCTGGAGGACATAGGCTAGACAAATCAGAACTAATTTTTTTCAAAAATTTAAGATCATCAATTTTTGCTTCAACTTTATCAGACAATTTAGAATTTGTAATTTTTAATTCTTCATCTACTGCTCTAACCATTTCATCAGACATTAAAGTAATGAATTTATCTGACCCCTTTGAAGCCACAGCAATCAAAGCTTGTTCTGCTTCATCTTTCACCTCCCAAATACGAGACAATCCTAAAGATATATCGACGATCTTGAAATCATTAGTTTTAACTGCATCTTCCCATAATGGATTCCACTCATTCATAAACTTACCTTGAAATGAATCCTTCTGAGGTATACCAATTTTATCACCTGCACTTTTTAACAAATGAATAACATTTTTAAATAGCGTTTTATTATGTTCAGGTTCTTTATTATTTCTTTGCCAAATTTCAAGTGCAATATTAGATGATGTATCTTCTTTAAAAACAGTTACTGCTTTATTCAAATGTTTGGCTTTAGCTGCCGAGGTGATAATAACAATTTTATTCGGAACAAAAGCAATTAAAGTAGCAGGAAATTCATACCCAATAATCCAATCATGTAGAATTGTAGTTTTTTGATATGGATTTTCCGCATTAGAGGAACCTATCACGAATAAAAGAGAATTTGGATTATCATCGAATGTAGGATATGCCTTATGCAAAGCAGTAGCCCTTTTCTTGAGTAAATTAAAATCAATATTCAATTCTTCCATCTTTCTATCAAGTTTTAATATGTTGCAAAGTATAGTACAGACACACTCTGGTATCCGATATAGATAGTCTTCACGAAGAACAAATAGAGCAACTTACTTTACCTCTGCCCTATCAAAGCTTTCTTATACTATGCCCCACTTCTAAGATATATCACCTTGTAATTATTATTCGGGAGATATATTCAGAGAAAATTTTATTAGAAAAAAAAAAAGAAAAAGTAAAAACGAAAGAACAATAATAAAAAAAAAAAAAAAGAAAGAAGGACTCGTTACAATAATTTCTGATCCGTGAGGGTAACTTAAGCAATTTAATACTTCAAATAGATGAAATACACTACATATTCAGAAAGACATCTGATATACTAAAACCCAAATGTACTTGTAGTCATCGTCACATAATTATGTATTAACTGTCTTTAAAACTAATAAAATATAATGCAATATATAAAATTATTTGATATATCTATATAAGTCTCAAAATGAAAAATCTATCATCATAAAGTGTATGCATAAATGAGGAAAGTATCAGAATAAAATGCTGTAAAAATAAATACAAATAAATACAAATAAATACAAATAAAAGGAATGCTTTAGGCTGAATTTGTATTAAAAATGTCGATTTGTTTAAGGATATTACTCATTGGTGGTAATTTGACCTTGAATTTGTCTCCATTTTCGTCATCAACGTAATGAATAGTATTATGTGAATCTGAATTAACACCACTTTTTGGTAACTTTATAATATCATCTTTTTGTTTATCTGTGTCATCATCAACTATATAAAAAGTAGGTTTCCTTATTCTAGGTGATTCTGAACTTTTTTTTTGTTCGTATGGACTAAAAAAAGGTTTGCAATTTTCGTTACCATTATTATTATTATAGTTATTAAAATTACCAGAAAGCTGAGTATCTCTTTGCATAAATTGTTCTTTTTTAAGTAATGTGTTCAAAGAAGCTAAACTGCTTGTGGTAGACAAGATGGATTCAGCGGGTGTGGATGGTTTTATAATTTTATTTATAGAAGATGGTGGTGATCTTGGTCTTGAATGTATTATAACTCGTAATGAACTTATAGCATTTTGAAAAGTTTTCTTGAAAGAATGTTTATTAGGTGAGGATGCACTTGGTAAAATATCGTTATTGCTCTGTAATTCAATCGTGGACTCATTAAGTGAAGAAGGTGAGGTCGACAGTAAAGATGTTGTTGAATTTTTACCATATTGTTCCAGAAAATTTGCATTTGGTTGCATTATATTTGGTTGATTTGAAAAAATAGAAGACTGATCACTCATATCCAATGAGCTTGATAGATTTGGAAAAGTGTTTAATTGACCTTGGGACTGTGTTATAGGCAAACCAGAGTTAACACCCATATTATGCTGAGTCATTAATTGTTGAGATACGAATTGTGAAGACGATAAATTCTGAACGGATGCTGATAATTGAGGATAATTTTGATTGGTTACAGGGATTGGTGAATAGGATGTTGCATGAGGTATAACGTTTTGTGGGGAAAACTGGATTGGCTGTTGCTGTTGCTGTTGCTGTTGTAGTAATAGTTGTTGCTGTTGTTGCTGTTGCTGAGGATATGGTATGCTTATTGGAATAGGAACAGGCATCACCACTGGCACTGGTTGCGGAGAGACTACAAAAGACATATTTGAATCCATAGAATAAAGATTAACCATTTGATTTTGATTATAAGGATCCATCATATTTTCATGGCTACCTGTGAAACCTTTTATACTTGCTGTACTGTTGTTATTTCTTTTATTTGAATAACCTGTATGTGTTTTCAAATGTCTTTTCAATTCATCTGATCTACTAAAATTTTTACTACAACCCGGAAAAAGACATTTATGTGGTTTTTCACCAGTATGTGTTCTCATATGTCTCTTTTTATGTTCCAGTCTATGAAACCCTCGAGAACACACCTCACATTTATACGGACGTTGGTCATTATCTTCTGGGAACTGTAATTCCTTTCTCGGCATAGTAATAATTTATTGCTTATCTAAATTTATTATTGGATACTTAACAGAGTTTAGTAGAGACAAAAAAGAAGTTAAACAAGATATATTAAAGTTTATAAGGTCCAACTTTCTGACATCTTAACACTCTGAAGCAACAAAATACTTATATAACTATTATTTTTTATTTGATGTTGTTTTACTCTCTCCCCCCTCACTCACCCATATTCTAGATATATATATATATATAAAGAGAGGGAGAAAGAGAGTGAAAGCAAAAGAAATGTATATATGTATTTATGCATATAAAGAAACATCCAATCTTAGATAGATTGATAAAATAAAAAAAGAAAAAAAGAAAAGAACGATAATCTTAGTTTGAAAGTGACGCAGCAGGAGGGAAAAACAATAAATGGGAATAGAGAACAATAAAATCAACGGAAAAATTAGTTGGAATAAACAATAATTGTATGGGGGAAAATAATATTTAAGGACTGTTAAATCTCACGGAAAAACTTTATAGAGTTTTTCCAGACTTCCCCATATTCCCGCAGTATTGTTGTTGTTTTCTATTTTCGGAAAGCACAAAAAAAGACTTGCCCAATTTTTTTGGAAAAATGTTTAAATTTTCTTGAGAAAAGTTTTTCCGAAATGGTATTATCTGTTTTTCCGTTCCGTTCGGTGTCTCCCCCCCACATAAATAATTGAGGAATTTACCCCAGATTTTCAGAAGTGTTAGGAAAAAGAGAACCAAAAAAAGAATCTAAATAGTGACGAGTTTCCGATATACATGTAACTTACGACTGATTGGCAATCGTTTCGGCTAAAAATGTGATTCGTTCAAAAAAAAGTAATACCTGGATTTCAACAATACGTAATAGAAGGAAAATTACTCTCGGTTGCTATAATTGTTTAGTATACTATAAGAGGCACGTAATCAAAAGTTGTAAGAACCGACTATCTGGTATTAATTACCTTTATAAAAAGAGTATCTATACTGTATTTTCAAACTATGTTTGAAATTATATCTAACATAGAGTCACGGCATTAAGCTGTAAAACATTATTCTATTACATAGCAGGTTGACATGTCCATGCATCTATTCAATATTATTTGAAGTAGTTGATATATATATATATATATGGACATTCAAAACTAAAATAACATCTTGAAATGAGTAACAATGGATAATCTTGTTTTTCCTAACATCACCAGAAGCCAAACCTATTTTTTTTTTTAAAAGTCTCTCTAATTAGAATGTTTTTCACTCTGTCTTATTATCATTACTACTATTATTATTATTATTTAGTGTCAATGTACTCATGATAATGCTTATTAAAAACATCTTAACTTTTGACTTATTTCCTTTTTTTTATTCCTTGTTTTTTCCTTTTATTTTTCCAATCGACACTGTTGTTTACAAGTTTTATTATTTTTTAAAGTCATTTAAATAGGTTATTTTTTTTTACATATACATATATAAAGGAAAAGTATATACACATACACCTGCGTATATAATTAGTAATATACTTTCAATGCATCCGATCATTATTAATATAATCAATCAATCCAACAAAAACAGCAAAATAAGAAAGAAAGAAAAGAAAAAAAAAGAAAGGGAAAATTAAAAAAATAAATGACAGACAAACAAAAAAAAAAAGAAAAACAATTACATATTTGAATTAACAACAGTTATTGGAACTGCCCTTTTTCTTTTCATTCGGTGTTGGCGTCAAACTGATAGTAGGTCCACGAGGTCCAGCGTTACCATTACCAGATGCATTATTATCATTACCAAGATCTACTTGATGTTTACTAACCATTTGATATATGGCTGTAATCAATTCCCTAAAGGCCAAATCAACATTTTCACTATTCAAGGCACTTGTCTCTGTAAATAATAACTGATTTTCGCTAGCAAAATTCTTGGCTTCATCTGTTGGAACAGCTCGTAAATGAGCCAAGTCGGATTTATTACCAATCAATCCTACTGCAACATTATCATCTGCATTTTCTCTAAGTTCGGTCAACCAGTGATTGCAATTTTCATAACTTGAAGATTTACTTATATCGTAGACAATCAAGGCACCTACTGCACCACGATAATATGCTGACGTGATGGCACGGTATCTTTCTTGACCTGCAGTGTCCCAAATTTGTGCTTTAATCTTTTTACCTTCAACTTCAATGGTTCGAGTAGCAAACTCTACACCAATTGTAGATTTAGATTCAATATTAAACTCATCTGTTGTAAAACGAGATAACAGGTTTGATTTGCCTACCCCTGAATCACCAATCAGGACAATTTTAAATAAATAATCATAATCATATCCATAATCCTCATTACTCATTTCCAAATTTTGCTAAATTTAAATCTTTTTTATTTTTTTTTATGTGTCTGTGTCTATGTATATGTATATGCGTGTGGGTGACCAATTAATTTATTTATACAGTTATCTATTAATTATTATCTTCAATATATTCTACCCTATCTGATCAATTTCCTGACAATTATTCTTCTATTAATGTTAAACCCAACACTTTTTCTCTTTCTTTCAGATAGGCACTAATCACGTCAACAACAAAACTAAACGGTTTGACAATGATAGTGTAGTGAATTTGAATATATCTATATGTATTTTAACGATTCATCGTGCCAGTTGTCACTAATTTCTTCGTTTGTTTTGGTTTATTTTTTCAACAGTAAATTTCTTTCTTTGATTTTTTTTCTCATTTGAGGACAATGGAATTCGTGTGTTGTGATATAACAACGTAAAAAGAAAAATACGAGAAAAGACAGAGGACACTTCTCTTCGTACTTTGTGATATTGACCCACTAACTGCCAAAAAGAAACAAACAGACAGACAAACAGACAAAAGTAAACAGTAATAAAGTCGAGGAAATGATACGGCAGTGGTAACTGAAACATAACAAATACGTACTGCATACACATACACAGGCATGATTCATCTGTATTTGTGTCTGCACTTACATTTATATATATATATATATATATACATATATATTTATATCAAAATGATAATCTCTCTAATGTTCTTAAAGTCCTTGCAGCACCATCATTCGCTGAATCACATTCAATTGAGACGCTTGCTCGGCTCTTTTCCAAACCTTCCAATAAAATGCAACCTTTACAGATTTTATTGCTTGAAAGATAGTTACAACGTTCACATCTATTACCATCCGCGAATTGTTTCTTCGCTTGTTGTTCAGATTGATTTGACACTATTCTTTTCTTTTTCTCCTTTAAGACCAAATTTTCGCCACTATGAATGATGTCAATGATACAGCTGGGTCTAATACCTTCTAAGTTCTTCATTAACTCCCTTGCTGTGCCTCTAAATGCTTCTGGTGCATATGTACATTCTGTAGAAAAATAATCTAACTTCTTATAGTGTGCATAAAGAACAATCTCCTTCTGATACGTATATTTAAATGGTTTGGATCTTTTAATTGGAGACCCGCTGCTACTGGTAATAATAGATGTAGATTTCTCAAGTCTTGCAACATCCCCACGAAGTATATTCATTAAAACAGTTTCTGCCATGTCATCTGCATTATGACCTGTAACAATATGGTTTATGCCTAACCGTTGTGCACCACGATCTAAAGCTTGTCTTCTAAAAACACCACAATATGTACAACTATTTCTGATCCCTGCCACTGCCACTATTTCATCCATAGTCCAATTATACAATTCCTTATATGAAACAATTTCCAATGGAAGTCCATATTGTTTTTGATTTCTTTTCACTGTAGCCAGTGAGTCATCACGATATCCCACAATCCCTTCATCAATACTTAAAAGCTGGATATCAATACCATAGTTGTGTCGTTCATTCAATAACTTCATAATATAACAAAGAACTGTGGAATCCTTACCACCAGAAGCACCAACAGCAACTCTCTCCCCTTTATAAAATAGCTTGTTATTGACAATAGTATTGTGAATCTCCGTTTCAAACACATAGAAGAAACATTCTTTACATATTTTTTGCAAGTTTTTTGGCCTTTTGATGATCGCTTTACGACAATGGCATATTTCACATAATTGTGACACTTTTAAAGGTTTTTTATTAACCGGATCAATCGGAGCGGTCCAAGACATGCTTGATATAAGTGTACTGTCAAACTGTGAGTAGAGAGAAGAGAGAAATCAGTATATTTGCTTATATAGTGTGATGCCACACCTAACTCCTTCTTTTTTATTCGACTACAGAGAATTGATCGGTAAAGGTTTAAAATAAAATATAGAAAAAAAATTTTTTATTTTCTGTTTTTCTTTTTCTGTTTTTTCTTTTTTTCATTCTCTTTAACTAATTTTGTTAAATTTGGTGAATTCGACAGAGCAAACAAAAAAAAAAGATTACTAATAACATACTGCAATAGATCAAAGATGTACATTTATCATTCCTTTTTCTGACTCTCAATGGTGTTTCTCTCTGTTCAGTTTCCCTTTTGATCTCTTTCCTTTTCCAAACAACTCCTCAACGATTAACTTTGGATGCCTTCTCATTAGTATTCCTAATCTTACCATATACTCTATCTACATCATTTGAAAAATCATCTAATAATTCATTCTGTTGTTGCAATTCCTCATTCATAGCTAATGATAGCACCTTTTGCTTTTGAATTATATCATGCAACTGTTCTAAGTTCTGATTTTGTTTCTGTAATACAATTCTATTATTCGTATATAATTCTCTATCATTCAACTTTTCAGTCTCTGAGGTTTCTCCAAATCGTCTTCTATTACCATTACTAATGGGTTTCATTAGATTTGTTGTATTTCTTTCAAAACTTGGTTTAATAGAAGAATTGGACGATAATTCAGTAATATCATGTTTTAACATTTTCAGTAAATTCTGCCTTCTTACTAACTCATCTTGATCAATATTCTTCCCCTTATTACTACTTTGTGATAAATCTGTTTGTAAATTATTAACTTTTAACCGTAGTTTCATTAAACTGTTAAGAAATGTGCCATTGGTGTCGCTACTGGTATCACCGCTGTGATTTCTGTACTGGGATAAGTTACGACATTGTAATAAGTCGTTTTTACAATCTCTAAATTGGATTAACCATGAATCTTCATTATTTGAACTAAAATCAGCCCCATATTCATTCTTATTTGTGCCACTTCTCAATCCATTAAGTAATGCTGACCAATCAGATATACCGTCTTTTAACCCAAGGAACTTTGCCATTGATTTAGAATCTCTCCATTTCCTATCAAACGTATTATTTAAAATGTCGTATAAATATTTAGCCAATTTCGATTTTCTTTCCCTTATTGTCTCATCATCATCATATTTTTCAATACCATCATGATCAGCTGTATCATTTGTCGAATCATTATTACTGAAGGGATAGTACTTACCCCATATAGAATATTTTTTCTTCGGTAAATCAAATGGACATTTCTTGGTTTTTAGTTCACTTAACATGTCCTTTTCTAATTTAACAAAATCTGAATATCGTTTATTAAGTATTGTCTCCCATTTTATATTATTATAATCAGTACCAACAACCACTCTGACGTGGAATTGATATTGAATATAAGAATTATCTACCCATTTTACATTTGTAACATCTATTTTCACTTCTATAACATTATTCATCTTTCTACCAAATTAAGATTATTATCTTATAATTACATACATATATATATATATATATATGTGTGTGTGTGTGTGCGTATCCTTTCATTGGACTATGGAACAGGACCACAATGCATCTCTCTAATAGTTAAATAAACAAATTATTACGCCTTTTACTAGTCTTTATCTAGTGGTCTTCTTTATTAATAATTATGTTACATCTAGGAGGAAAATGTTGCCAATGGATTCATTTTTGAAATTGAAAATAATTGAAATTTTGAGTTTTGCTTTGTACGAAAGTCATTATAATAGACCAATTATACACAAATAAGAATATATTATGTATATACATATATATATATATATTGTTACCCTGTTTTCTCGAATGTGTTTCTACTTACTACCCAACTTCAATATTCATAACGGAGACTCTATAGAACTATTATAGACAGTTAAAAGGAAAGGAGAAGAAGACAAATATTTTTTTGCAACAATGTCCAAAGTATATATTCCAACCACAAACATCGGTAAAGCACATGATGCTGATATTTATTCTATCTGTGTTACTTCACCATTTACAATTACATGTAGTGGTGATGGTACATTAAAACTATGGTCAAACTCTCAGCCTGCGAAGACTACCTCCGAGAACTCTGAAGATTTTGATAGTGGTAATATATCTATGAGTCTATTGCGTGTCAAACCTGATGTAGCACAGTTTGTAGATGGCAGTGGCTTACATCATGTAGATGCATTCTATAGTGTTGAAAACAATGATATCGGAACCATTCTTATTATTGCTACGGTATCATTTAGTGGCACAATTTACTTCTATCAATATGACAATGAGACTCGTCAACTGATCCTACTTGACTCGATGTTAACAACCGATGAATTAAAAAAGTCATACTGGTCAATTAAATGGATTAAAAGTGATGACCTAGTTGTCTCTCATAGATTTGTTTCATGTGACATTAAAGGTAACACGTATGTCTGGAAATTCCAAATTAAAAACCCCGACACCAACAATTTAGAGTTAAAATTGATTCCACAAGGTATCATCCCATCCAATAAACCTGTCGTTGCAATGTGCGTTGATGTCTCAGCGAAAAGAGGTTTGATCGCTACAGGGTTTGCTAATGGCACAGTCATCGTTTCACAATTGGCCACCTTAAGACCACTTTACACATTTGAAGGATTTGGTATTCAAGGTATAGATTCAACAAGTAGTAATTCTGTAAGAACTTTGCAATTTAGTCCCGGTGGGACGTTACTCGCTGTAGGTAACGATTGTGGATCCTTTGGATGTGTCACTTTATATGAAACAGAGTTTGGAGAACGTGTTGGATCCCTAACTGTTCCCTTAGGTATAGAATCCCTGTCCAGTGGGGGATCTACTGGTAACACTGGTTCTACAGGTGGTCCAAAGAAAGGTAGCATTGGAACATTCGCACATAATGGATGGGTATTCAATTTGTGTTTTAATCCTAGTGGAGAATATTTGGCTACATGTGGGTACGATGCCAAAATCAGAATATGGGATATAAAGACAAAGGAAAGAGTAGCCACATTAAATATTAGCGCCAACGACATTGAAATAGAAGAAGATATCATGTTGGAAGATGAACAAGGTGATTCTTTGAATCAACCACCCATTTTTGATGTTAAGTATTTTGCCAAGGGAATTTGTTCCAACAATAGGTCGATGGAAAACGAAAGTAATGAGGGATTATGTTGTGTCTGTATGGATAGAAGTATAAGATGGTTTAGAGAAGCAGGTAAATAAAGAAGAACAAAAGAAAAAATTCTTTTAGGAAAAGGAAAAAAAAAAACTACATTTAATTTGATGTATATAGAGATATATGTATAATTTATCTATGTATATATATCATTAATGGTAGTTAGCAGCACCTAATTGCTAATATAAATTGTCGATGAGAAGGGACCAACTAAATTATGATTAATGTAATGTGTAACATGTGAGGAAAAATACCAATAAAGAAAAAAAAACTAAAACAAAAAAAACACTTATAAATCATAGAGATATTAATTGAAAACTGTAGCATTAAGCTAACAAATAAGGCCCATGTACAAAATTTAAAAATTAATCCACAAAGATACAAAAAAAAAATCTTGAATATGAGTAATGCAGTTACCAAAATTCAATACACTATATTGTAATTTATATTATTAATTGGGTTTATCATATTAAAACTTTTAAAGTCTGGATAATAAAAACTATTCATATTAGTATTAGTGTTATTATTTACAACAGTGGGAATAGCAGCATTAAATGCATTAACATTTTGGTTCCAATAAATATTGTTATTGAGGTTCGTATTACAAATATTGTCACTATTGCTGTTATTGTTGTTGTAAGCTCCTGAAAAAGAATACATCGGGTCTACTTGGTAATTTTGTTGTTGTTGTTGAGGTACTACCGATGAATGCGGTATAAAACATTGTTGTAATGGTACTGAACTTGACATATAGTTTTGTTGTTGTGGTATAACATGTTGGTAGGGCAGCGATAATGGTATTGTAGAATAATATTGGTAATCATTCGAATTAGGCAATACCACATTGTTTATAGGCTGTGGTAGTTGTTGAGGTAAAGAAAGAGATGGTGATAATTGCGGTAATGATCCTTGACCGAAAATATAATAATCATAATTGAAACCACCATTCCTGTTAGTAAAATCTGTATCTTTGATAATAGATGGGGATTGTAAAGGTGAAGAAAATAGGAAAAAGTCATTATTATTATTATTATTATTATTAGTAATAGTACTATTGTAACTATTATTATTATTACTACTACTATAATTGTTAATATTATTGTTGTTATTAGTTTGTTTTTCTCTAATAAAATTTTCATAAGAATTTAATAAAATATCATAGGATGCAAATTTATCATCAAAGAGTCTCCAATTCAATACGGACAACCAATTTCTTTCCCAGTCGTTCAGATTGGCTATGGGGATCCCAGTAGCGTGCGACCACGATTTATTTGTAAAAGTTTTATCGTCATTAAATTTATTGGCTAGAATAAAGGATATTATAATGTGTTGATAAATCGAATTGATTGAAATCATTTTTAAGTTATCTTCCAATAAGTCAATTTTATTTATATATTTGAATAAGATGTCTAAACTCTGAAATATTGTAATCTTAGGCAGTCTTGTTGCATCTAATACTGATTTGAGTTTATTTAAGTAATTTATCATGTCATTATTAATATTATTAATATTATTATCATTGTTGTTATTATCTATTTCATAACTGTATATTGAAGGATTATTAAATGCTATTAAACTACATTTTATAATGAAATCAGACATTATTTGAATATCATAATCTAAAATTTGTGATACACCACCATTAACCTTATTATTATTATTATTATTATTATTATTATTATTAGAAGGAATATTATCAAATATATTATTAGAATTAGAGTTAGAAGGCAAACCAGCAAAATTATTATTCCATTGATATTGTAACATTATGAATTATTTAGTGATAAATGTAATAACAACAATTAATAAAATAGAAAAAGGAAAACAAAAAAAAAAAAAGAATCAAAACACAAAGTAGGTCAAATTCCTGTTGATATACGTGTATCTGTGTATGTATGTATGTATGTATAATATTAGTAATATTGTGTATCTTTTAAAACATATCAAAACTATCCATATAACTATAATGGTAATGCTTCTCCAGTACTACTAGTAACAGTAATCGGATATAATTATTATTATTATTATTATTATTATGACCACTACTGCTCGTCCCAGGCTACTAATATAGTCACAACAACTACTAATTGGATCAAGACATTATATATAGAAGAGAAGGCTGAGAATATATATTATATATATAAAATTCTTCAAATGTTGTACATAGTGTTTCCTACCCGGCCGTTTTTTATAGAAACAAGCAAAACATGAGCTAATAATAATAATAATAACAATAATAATAGTAATATAGATAATAATAACAAGAATTACAATAATAACCACGATGACGATGATGGCGACAATGACAATAATAATATGGAAAAGTATCTCGTTCTTTGCTTTGAAGTAACCAAACTCTAATGCTGTAAAAAAGACATTGAACCCAATTCCGAACACCACTTTTAACCATTTACTTTTTTATTTTTCATGTTTTTTTCTTTTTCTTTCTTTTTGTTACAAATGACGAACATTTGGACCACCTGCCCTCTCTGTTCCTTCCCCCCCCATTCTACTACTAGTAATAGTAATCGTAATAATGATACTAGCATTAGTACTAGCACTATTAAATTTATTCTTTTTCGCTCTTCTCTCTTACTAACGACACTTCACCCATTATGATTTATTTCCATGAACTCATTTGTTGTTCATTGTTTCCATTTGTTAGAGCATTGAGAAACAATAGAACCCAAGACACAACAAAGAGACAAATGAAATTGGTCGATTGCAAGAATAATAGAATGAATAATAGCAGCAACACCAAACAACAGCGATAATGCTAACTACACATCCAGACACCCCATAGAGCTACAAAAGCATAAAAAATTTGCAAAAAAAAAGAAAAGAAAAAAGAATGAACATAAAAATATCTTTTTTTTTCTTTTCTTTTTCTTTTCTTTTTTCTTTTTGTTATTGTTGTTTCTTCTATTAATCAATTAATCAATTATTCTTTCTTTTATTTATTTATTTATTTATTTATTTATTTTTATTTCCTTTTACCGTGTTAATGAAAAAACACAAACGAACATTGTTGAGGAATAAAATCAAATACAACTGAATTTGAGGAGCTTTTCTTTTTTCTTTTTTCTTTTTTCTTTTTTCCTTTCTTCCTTTCTTGCACATTTCTGGTTTAAGAAATACCGGCGGATTTTAGCGCTATCACCATACAATAGAAGGTAATCCGATAATTGTCTCTGTTTTATTTATCTACTCAATACAGAAATAATTATATAACACCCATACACTACTTTCAATACAACAGGAAAAAATGGCTGGATTCTAATATTTTATTATTAATTTTATTTTTATTTTTATTTTTTCCGGGGTTGCAGTCGTATATAGTGATATATGTACATATCACCATCATTTAATCGAATATCCTTAATTTAAAGTAATAACAAAAAAATAAATAAATAAATAAATAATAGCAGCAATGAACAATGATGAAAAATATCTGAAGGAGTAAATAAAATTTAAATAGAAAAGGATGAAAATAAAAAGAAGAAACAAGAAAGGGGCCTTATAAGTTTTATTCATAACAACACGCTGTAAAAATCTAGAACTCCAACTGATTCTCTTTCACTTTATTAAGTTTGACAATGTTTCTTTTTTATGTTACGAGCAATCTTCGAAGATATTCAAACCCAACGAAAACCAATACGTATCCCTCACGACAACTTCTAGTAGTTTAATTAAATTTTATATGGATCATTGGTATGAAAAGTTAATAAAATAAAATCATACAACATTGTATGGCCTCACTAACGTATTCCTTCTAGTACTAACTTAATACACTCCAGAAAAACCAATGCAATTTCAATTTTCTACATATCTATAAATATACCCTTATATTTTGTAGTATATATTATATTATGTAATTATTATCATGATTTTTTTATTGCTATTCCTATTAAATGATGGTTGTAACTTCAAATCCATCATTCTCTAATCATAGTTATATCTTGTAAACTGATATCTTCTGTATATGATGGTATTAGAATATTATTATTAGCATTATTGTTAGTAGTGGTATTCATTTTTATAGTAGTTGTATGATCATGATCATCTTTGCTTAAATATTTCAATGCAAATCTATCAAATTTTTTGTCGAATTCTTTTATTATTAATTCCTCATTTACTTCATCACTTGTATTATCATTATCAAAGATATTGCCTGCCTTGATGATTGATAATATATCATTTTCTTCATTGATATCACTAATGCCATTCATTAATTCCTCCATAATATCTGTTGCTCCTATTAAAACATTTTTGTTATAATTACTCATTATTTCATTTACCTCATTATTATACATCTTAATATAATAATTCAACGACTCTTCTCTTTGATTCTGATTTTGCTCACAGTATCTTGTATTGATATGTTGTTTGAATTTTAGTAAATACTGATCCGATATAAATCTGATCCTTTCATTAATCTGTTTCTCATTACTGTTAAATTGCTGTTCTAATCTTTTAATATTTTCATCAAGAAAATTGTTACCATTATTGCGGTTATCGTTACTCACTTTTAATTTAATAAATTGTAAAAGTCTTCGTTTAACTAATATTAAAGAATTTATTATATTCATGTTACCATTATTATTATTATTGTCATTATTAGTAGCTAGTATTATGTCTTTTTTTATCACTTGTATCATATCATAAATCTCATTATTTGCGTCATATATCCTCTTTTCAATTACATATTCTCTATTTTGTAAATTCCTTATAACTTTTTTCTGTTCATTAATGATCTTTAAATATGAACTTATATGTCTATTTAAATTTTGCTGGTTTTTAATCATCTTAGTCTTAATCTGTTTGGCCCGGTTTGCATATTTTAATGTATTTAAAGTCTCTTCGTAATGCTGGCTGCTTGGTGATATACAAACTATCATCACCGTCTTACAATTTCCACCAAGTGAAAATTTTAATAATCTCGTCAATTTGGAATCTCTATATGGAACATGCTGTTTCTTTGTATCCGAACATAACGCATTAATACAATTACCCAATGCTAATAAAGATTGATTTATCTTGGCACCTTCAAACAGCCTCTGTCCTCTATTTTTAGTAGCCGCTGCCCGCTCACTACCGGCTAAATCTATTATCGATAACGTACCAAAACTTTGCACATTAGTCAAATCAATCATCTTATCATTCTGTACAATCTGTATCTGTAGGATTGAGTGCGATCTAGACGACACAAGATTAGCTCCAGTGGGACATGTGGTTCTATTTTTGTTACCACGTTCAACTAAACTTAACACATCCTCCACGTTCCTTGGCGAATGATAAGATAGATTAGACACAAGGATTTTTTGGTTCGAATCCTCTCTGATGACAAGTTTATGACTAGGAGTATCGGGGTCCAATAAATCTCTTATGTTTTCGTTGTAAATCTCTAGAAAGGACAACAAAATCTCGAAATCCTTCTCATTTTGCAAATTTTTGATCCTTTTAAAAAGATCGTTCATTGTACGATATATTATCCCTGGATCATCTGCTGTACCATTAATAGTGTATGTTTTCCCACAACCTGTGGCACCGTATGCAAAAATGGTACCATTGTATCCATCCATTACAGAATCTAATAAAGGGACCATTAGACTATTATAAATGGTTTCTTGTTCGGTTCTCATATCAAACAATTTATCAAATATAAATTTAGTTTCATTATTGCCACCACTATTACCATTACCATTATCATTACTATTGCTATTATATCTAGAATTACTAGTACTACGTTGTCTCCAACCGGTATGGTTTCTTTTATATTTTAATGCTGTATTATTGTTTTTACCACTGTTGTTGATACTATTATTGATATTATTAATATTATTAATATTATTATTAACATTTCTATTATTCGGGTTAAATATAAGCATTTTATCATCAACGCAATTAACCAAAGACCATATTCCATTCGGACGCGGAAGGTCGTTATATAAATTACCAGAAGAAGAAAGAGAAGAGGAAGATGACGATACACCTCTTTGTGGTAATATAGGCAGTGGTGAAGAAAGAGAATTTTGGTTTAATATCACACGACTATCATTATCATTTTCATTTTTGAAAGTACTATTACCATTTGCATATATACTTCTTTCTTCTGGAATAAGATGCGATATCTCCCATTGATTAAATGGTCTAATTCTTACAGCTACTGTAATTGAAGATTGTCTATTTAAACCTTCAACAGCTTTAGACCCCTTCATTATGCATTATGATCGAAAATAACAAAAAAAAAAGAGAGAAAAAAAGATAAACCTATGAGAGGGGAAATAATAACGATTATCGACCTTTTTTTTTTGAGTATTCAACTGTTTAATTACGAATGTTCTTTTTTTTATTCGAAAGTTAAAAATACAGTTGTTTAGATCATTTCAAATTTACTTTAGTAAATTACAGTTTTCATACTGATCTATTTTCGATGTGCGGATTTTCTTTTCTTTTCTTTTTTTTTTATTCCAGATAGGTATAAATCAAAAACGAAAAAAAAAAAATAAAAATAAAAATAAAAATAAAAATCAAAATCAAAAAAATATTATTCTAATTATTGAAGATCCAGAAGGAATCGATCCCTCGCCTTTTTTTTTTCCCTTTTCATTTTTTTTGTTTTGCTTATATCCGGTATGTTTAAAATATTCTTAAGAATCGAAGATAAGAAAGAGAGAACGATAGAAAGAAATGCCCTATATATGAATGCAACAGTAATTCAAAATTGACTATTATTAGTACGAATATAAAACTTCTCTACACCATCTAAGATAATATTTTTACTTGTACTACAATGCACCACATACATGTAACTGCTTGAATGGATATCGCTTGCTCTTGCCATATGTGTTGGACAAACCAATTATAATGAAAAATTGACGAAACATAAAAAAAAACGTCGCAACGCAATGCCTATGAATTCCGCAGGAGGCGGATTAGGAATCCTCTGGAACAATAACAATGGGCTTGCATCTTTCTTTTGTCGTTTTCTTCGTTCATTGGCTATTGTCAGGTAAGGCGGAATGTTATTTCCCAGAATATACCGGTTCAGCTGTCCCTTTTTTTTTCTTGTTAGGTTTTATCCGTAGGCACGGGTTTTATATTCCACCAATCACGGAAGTATAATTCTGCAATTCCGACAGAAAATAAAACTGAGGGGATTTTTTTTTTTAGAATCTAATTCAAAAGATAAAATTCTTAAAAACAAAAAAAATATCAAAAATAATATTAAAACAAGTAAAGAGTTTAAAAATAAACAATTTTCAATTCTATTCGCTAACTTCATTGCTTTAAAGATGCATACAAGATCGAAGGTTTAGTTTTATTGTCCTGAAAAAATTAGATATTCATTGACGAGTGGTGCGTAAGATCTATTGATTTTATTCTAATTTATTTATTTATTCTGATTTTTTAATCTTCCTTTTTCTTTCTTTTTTTGCAATAGTATATTACACACAATTTTCTGATCTTTATGATAGTCCGTTTCCTTCTTATAAGGAATAAACAAGTACATAAATAAATTAAATAATTATTTTCAAAAAAAAAAAAAAATAAGGTCACCAACCAAATGTCCTTTAAATTTAATGAAAATTTATTTAAAGATGAAGATTTTAATGAAAAAATTAAACAAAAATTAACTAATTTATTAACTAAATCTTTAGTCAAAGATGATATTCCCAAATCAAATTCTATTTATTATGATGTTACAAGTTCATTGAATAATAGTAACAGTATCGGTAGTAGTACCAGTGCTGTCACTACCGCTACTACGGCCAATAATGTTATAAGGTCATCTACTGATAAATATAGTAATTTCACTACCTTGAATAATAACGCTGGATTGTTTAAGACCAGTAAGGTTCGTAACTCTTCCACAATCATCTCTACAGGCACAAATTCTGTTAATAAAAGTTTGAGTAATTCCAATAAAATATCAAATTTTTTAAAAGATGAAATAAAAATCACTAAAGTTGATTTCCCAATGATACCGCAAGTTGAAATTCTTGATATGGATATAACTACAGAGCCAAGGTCTTTAATTAAAGCCATAGGCAATATATCCTGCTGCAATGCCTTTATCCAATTAGAAACTGTTATCGAATCTAATCTGTTAATGACCACTTTACAAATGTCGCCTAGTTTCATCACCCCACGATTAATCGATAATAATTCTTTTAAAGTCCCAATCACCATGACTTTTTCTAGGATCAAATTAGAAGCTATCACTAACGTATTTATGAGAAATCATGGCATATCCATATCCTTTAATGACGTTTCTTTAGATTTTAAATTTGATTGTTCAATCAAAATCTTACAGAACACAATAGAGAAAAAATTGAAAAATTCCATTTACTCAATATTCAAAGAAGTTCTACCAACAGCAATTTTTAATACATCACAACATTGGTTAAATCCAAATAAATTCAATCAAAATAATACCAACTCTAGTAATAATAATAGCAATAGCAATAATAATAAAAGTAAAGATGAAATACTGACAGAGATTAACAAAATAGTATTGGATGAAAATGATTTGCAAGAAATATCGATAGAAAATATGTCTAAATTAGCATCAATTATAAAGTCAAGGTATACATTATCTCTACATGGTACTAACCCACTCATATCTAATTCATATCCAAATAATTTTATAAATTTTAACGGTTGTTTAGAAAGACAGAATTTATATAGATTTATTTCCGCCATGCCATCACTACAGAATTTCTATCATGGCAGTAAGTCAAACAATAAAAGGAATTTTATTGCGAATACTAATGAGACCAATGCTACTCGATCGAATTCTATTGGCTATCGTGTTACAGAGTCACATCACATTAAAGGTAATAAAATTAGATGCACTACAAATAATGAAAAGGAGAATTATTTACCACAGGATGTTTTGGATACAGGAAATTTCGAATTAAATGATATCATTAATATTCAAAATAAATTGTACGAAAGAAATTATCATAATTCCAATCATATAAATAATGATACTAATAGTAATGTCCAACCAAGAAATAGAGTAATAAGATTAAATAAGTTGTTAAAATCAAAGAAAAACAAGAAATTGAAAGAAGAGACAAAAGAAAAAATAAATGTTACTGCTGGTTCCAAATCCACTATATATACCAGAGAAAATAATCAAGAAAAGTTCTTTGAATCAAAATTATTGTCCGAGACAAAGGAAATGAATAAATTCGTAGATTCTCTATTAACCAATACTGTAAATAATGGGACAAATTCTGGGAAGCCATCAGATAGTTCACTTTCCTCTCCAACAATCTCTAAATCTATTGGGTTTGTAGGTCTAAATTCTTACAATTCATTATGGGGCTACAATAATAATATAAACAATTCTATTATCATTAGTACAAATGATATAACAATATCTCCTACTAGAAGGTTATCGGCACATTCTGTCATTAACACGCATACACCAACAGTATCACCACCACCTTATAGTTATTAATTCCTGGCTGTATCATTATCACTGTTATTCCTGTTACTAACTTGTTTTTGCACATTTACTAATGTCTTTTCTGTATATTCATATATCTACATTTCTTTTTATATTAGCATTTATTTGGTTTGTATGAATAATTTACTCATAGCATTGTAATTATTAACATAAAAATAATACAATAATGCTCTTTTTTTTTTCCTTCTTCGTTTTTAGTACTAATAATATCAATTATAAATAAAATATGGCCATTATTATTATTATTATTATTATAAATCTATATATCTTACATAGAATCTGGCGTGCAAGTCATACAAAGAAACATATATATTCTTAATGTTATGTTTTAATGACAACAGTTCAGTTATTATATTTTGTACAGTTTAAGATTATATCAAATGACAATCTTAGACCATTCTTCTTCTGAATAGCATTTACAACTAAAGGCATGAATCTGCTTTAATTCTTCTCGTAAAGCATTATTAACTAACCTGGATCTTTGTAATTTATTTTTCCCAATGAATTCATTACTTACTACTACTACATCAAATGATTGACCACAACCATAAGATAAATCCGTCACAATACAATTATACACGTTTGGAATTGTAGTCTCGATCTGTTGACGTAAATCTGTTTCAGTGTACATTTCTTTTTGATCTTGCTTTATTTGTTGAACTCTTTCCAATAGTGGATATGAAAAGTGAAATCAATAAACCTTAAACCCTTATTTATATATATATATATATTTTTTAAAAAAAAATATTATCATTTAATTAAATTATTAAAACTGCACTTCCAAGTTTATTAAAATACTGATTATTTGTAGTCTGGAAAGACCTTTCTTTGAGAACTACTAATTTGTTATCAAGAACCTATGTATATTTTTGTCTGATATTAGCGAAATTTTTAGCTACTGTAATTTTTCCAGAATTTCTCGGGATTCTTAAATTAAATCAATTGATCAGAATTTTTAAATTGTTCAATTTGTATGACTCTAAATTTTATCTTACCCGATTAATAATCATCTTTATTTTACCGACATAATTCTGCCCACAAATAGGGTTAGATGTAACATTAACCTCAGATTTTAACTAACTTACCAAGTTATAGACATTTCAGATACTGCAATAATTAGCAAAGATACAATATGAATAAGTGAATTATAATTAGCAAAATACAACAAAATCGAAAACTGAATACCATACTCAAATATACATGTATTTACATAAAACATTGTACCAAACCGTACATATGAATATATATATATATATATATATATATATATATAACGTTTGTTCGTTTATCTACCTGTCATTATATCTGCAATAAGGTTTTTCACAGGATTAAGTTGATTCACGATATTTAAACCTAAAGATCTCATTGCAACGACAGGTGTGAAATCAGTGTGATACAATTTATGTAATTTATCTGCCATCCCTAACCTAATATTATTAAAACCATAGCTATTAGCCCAGTATGGTTCCAAACTTAAAGCAGAACCAATATCTTGCCCACGCAATGTGGCTCTTTCCAAACAGTTTAGTAATTGTTCTATGTCATGTTGTCCCATATTTAAACCTTGACCAACCAACGGATGTGTGGTATGTGCAGCGTCTCCAACAAGTGCAACACGATCAGTTACATAGGAATCAGCGTGGCTAAATTTTAATGGGAAACGGGCCCGTGTTCCTGGTACTACGTCAACCACTAAGGGTGGGAATTTTTCATCGATTTGAGTTTCATCTTTAAACGAACTGTATACTTGATTGATTCTATCATCAATATCTTCAATTATCTGTTCAGTTGTTAATGTTCCTTTTTTAAATGCAGCTAAATAGTACTGAATATCAGTTGTTGTCAAAATGAATCCAGCGTTAACCATTTTAGCGAATAATTTAGAATCCATCTCCATTAATATCGATGACATTTCGTTTCCACCAGTGGACCAAACCATCGAAGCATTATCTCCGGGCAAAGGTAAATGAGCTAAGGGGCCTGTTGGTAAGAACCTTTGCCAACCACGCAACTTATAAATAGGTAAAGATTGGGGATCTAATTTTAAAGTTGCTACCAACCCCCATGTATCATATTTCCATCCACGAGAATATAAACCAGCAAAGTTCCTTACTGGTGAATTAAAACCGTCGGCACCAACCAAGAGTCTAGTTTTATAAATCTCACCATTAGCCAACTCTACCAGAGGCCATGACGTTGGATCTCCTTTGACACTAGAGGTTATTGATTTCACTTTGCAATTATCAAAAATATTGACTCTTGAATTAATTGAATTGGTAGTCAACTTGTGCAACAAAGAAGATTGTATATTTAAAATCTCAATCATATAAAGCATTTCTTCTCTTTCAATCTCCAAAAAGGCATCTGTAATACCATCGTTTACATATAATCCATCATATGGTTGAATCCTATCTTGAAGTAAAGCAACTTTTAACTTTTCAGTGAGGAATTTCATAGATTGTGGCGTCACAGAGACTACTCTATTAGTGAAATAACTTGGAGGGTCGTAGTAAAAATCACCCACTTTATTTAGCAGGTCGTTCCCATCTACTAAAGTAACATTATATTTGGATAAGATAGGGGATTCTTGGATCCCTGTGGCTAATGTCAAGCCTGCTGGACCACCACCAACGATTAAAATATCTGTTATTTTAGGAGTAGACTTTGTGGATGTGGCCAATTTTCTAATAAATCCTCGAGAAAACATATCTTAATCAAACTCTGTTGTTAAAAGAATGAAAACAAAATTATTAAACGAAATACAAACTAATGCTAATTTCTCGAACCAAAACAAAAAAAAAAAAATCAAAAAACCAAAGACAAATAACAAATCTTTAAATCAAATAGCTTGCCCAATTGGGAAAAATTTAATTAAAAAGCAGTAATAACTGCTAATACACGTAGTATCTTTATACATACATGTTACCTACACATTAAAAATATCAATATAGCGATTTTACTGTTTTCCAACCCTTTAAATGTCTATTTCACTCGATTCGTTTTATTTTTTTTTTTCTGTTTTGTTTTTTTGAGAAAGGAATATTTTTCTTTAAAGGGTAAACAGAAAAAAAAAACAAAAGGAAATATCAGCGGGGAGGAAATATAGAAAAATAGTTAGATGATTTATAAAAAGAATCGGATGAAATCGTTCATATAACATTCTCGAGAATTTTGTGTCTTGCAAATACTTGCACTCACATGCACACACGTATATATATATTAATGAACTAGGTCAAAGTAGCTATCTGCTTACAATTGTTCATAAAGAATGGCCTCACGAGCATTAACAAGAACTCAATTAAACAGTATTTTAAAGACTTTTGTATCACATTACCCTGAGAATTTTGCAGACAAAGCCTGGGATAATACGGGTCTACTAATCAATTGTTCTGTTGCAGATGACAACTTAAGACCAGCAGTGAAACCAAAGATTTTGCTTACTGTCGATTTGACTAACGCGGTAGCCCAGGAAGCTGTTGACAATGATTGCAATTTGGTTATTGCGTACCATCCATTCATTTTCCCTTCATGGAAGTTTTTAGATCCTGTTAGGAATACACAACATAAATCAGCTATTCAGTTAATTCAAAATTTCATCTCTGTTTATTCTCCACATACAGCCATGGATGCGGCTAAAGGTGGAATAAACGATTGGATGGCATTAGGGTTAGTGAAAAACGAGTTTACTTTGATAGATAAAATTGTCTCCATTGAAAAAGTGGCATCGTTGCCACAGGATGAATCTGTTGGATACGGCAGAATTGTCACTTTAAAGGACCCGCTTAATCTAAGCACTCTGATTGATAATATTAAACAATCCTTGGGCATCAAAGATTTACAGATAGCGTCTCCATTTGGCGATCCATCACACCATAATTATGTGAAAAAGATAGCATTATGCGCCGGTAGTGGTAGTAGTGTGTTTAAATCCATACCTGATTGGAAGGATATTGATGTGTTTTATACAGGAGAAATGTCACATCATGAATTATTGAAGATTAAAGAGATGGGCAAGACGTGTATTGTATGCAATCATTCAAATACAGAACGTGGCTACCTAAAAGATGTTCTTGCTGGTAAATTAGCCAGTGAGGGATTTGAATGTATTATCAGTGAGGCAGATCAAGATCCATTGAGAACTGTATAAGGCAGATGTCTTTGGTACTTATCACTTTAATAGTTGTTTTTTTACTTTGTTTGTATAGTTTTTTTTAATTTTCAAATAGAACCCTACACTAGTAGTCAGCTCCTCAAATAAAAACAACAATTCTTGTAGATCAACCCTATCTTATCTCTGCCCACACAAGGGATTTTTCCTTTTTATTTTTACTCTTCCTCCCCCTTTTTTTTTTCTATAACCTAGGGTTCAATATGTGAACACCCATACCCCAGCTGAGAATATACTGTCTTATGCAGTAACGGCCAAAAAGAAACGACAGAAAGAATAATTTGTTGAATTTCTTTCTGTCTTTTTTTTCGTTTTTTCGTTTTTTGCCCCTCTTTGATGTTGTGTTAGTGGCATTCGAACTTCAAACAGGAAAAGGAAGAACAAGAAAGAAAAAAATAAAGAAGGAAAGAAAGTAATTGTTGAGCATTCTCCCTTTTTTTGCACTACGCAAAGAAGATGATAAGTTTAATTTATTATAAACACATATTGAAAACAAAGACGAGTCTTTTTTTTTTTTTTTCTTCTTTTATAACTCAAATCGTAACTTCAATCTTTGTTACTCTTTTAAATAAATTTAAATCGATACTCGAAAACTAATTTTAATTAGCACTCCAAAAGACAGTTGTCACAGGATAACTTTGATACAATTAAACCATAATTTATCTTTGATTTAATTCAGAACTTCAAAACTATCAAAAAAATAATAAATAAATAAATAAATATTGCTGTAATGTCGTCAGACACAATGTATTTCAATAGGTCACGAATGCTGCCTGCTCACAACAAAAACAAATCACATTTACCTCAACCTAGCCCCCTCTCCATGAAAAGATATAAATCTAATAGAAAATCATTGGAAATGATGGGTAGGAGGTCTGAACGAGAGAGTAGGTCATCAACTCCGACTCCAATGGATCTAAACTTACCAGAAATACCAAAATTACAGGTTTTACCTAATGGTCAGAAACCAAATTTTGGTAATAGTAGCAACAATAATTATCATCATCATCACAACAATAACAACAACAACAGCAGCAGCAACAACAATAATAGTAATAATAATAATCACCATCATCATGGTAACAATAGTCATAGTCATGGTCATTCCCACAACCACAATCAGATTAATAAAAATAATGATTTAGCTACAACTCAAAACAAAAGTCACTCCAGAAAAAGGTCTTCAAGTGGTGGAAAATCATTTAAAAAGGATAAAGAAACAGATGTTGATAAAAGAAATAGAAACACCAAGAGAGATTCACATAAGAAAGCGGATAAAACAAATATTGAATCAGCTGAAGATGTTACTAACCAATTAAAGAATCTTTTGATTAATAATAATAATAACAATAATAATAACAGTAAGAAAAAGAGCGGCGACAATCTTAAAAATAATGTGACTGATTTGAAAAATATGAGTCGAGTACAAAACAATCCATCCCCTTTAACCACCTTTCTAACATCTCCAATTATTACTCCTGAAACTATTCCACCCCAATTAAAGATAGAAAATAACTCCATTCTTGGTAAAACTCCATTATTAGTATCTATTCAGCAAACTACACAAACCAACAATACAAATACTCAACAACAACAACAATCTAATCACAAAATACTTAATAATTCAAAGGTTGTTAATCACGCATCTAACAATATCGCTCCTTTACCCCTACAATCTCTTCCCGCTCCTGTTCCTACACCTACATCTAATCCCACCACATCCACTATGAATGCTAATGGTAATCCACCTTTACCAATTTTGAATGGTATAGTACATTCTCCAATCATGCAACCATTGACTTCTTTCCAAGTACCTAATAATGTTCCACCACTCCCATTTGGAAACAATAATATGAATTATAGCATTACTAATGTCCCTTTACCTATACCTCCCTTTATGGCGCCACCACCATCGGTGTCTCATCAAAATCCATTGAATTCTCCTAATCTATTGAATGCAAGAGATAGTAATACCAATGTTAAAAATGTACTTATCTCCCCCGAACTAATATTAAATGAAGATGTTAAAAAGACCTCAAAAAAAAGCTACAATACCAGGACCAATACTATTACTAATAATATTTTAAACAAACATAGCAAATGTACAGCTAAAAAAACTTCACATACTTTTGCCGGTGCCTCTTTTGCTACTGATATTCCACAAGAATGTAATTTGCCCAAACCTAGCTTTTTATGAATTTATTTCATTTCAAATTGAAACTATTATTTTTTTTTCTCCTTTTTGTATCATTTGAATACTTCTTTTTTTTTCTATTAATTTTTCTTTTTAATTACTTCTTCGAGCTTATGATAGATTCGTCTATTTTATATTATAATATTTTTTTGTCAATGAGTAAGGACTTTTTTTTTTGAATAAGTTGTCCAAAATTCAGTATGAGACAATTTATTCAATTTTTTTCCATATTTTTTTTATTCAAAAACTTTTTTGAAATATCCTGTATTATTTGTTGTTAAAGTAATGAACATTATTGAATTAACAGAAACTATGAACATATGCATATGTTTTTATGTTTTGTATTTTATCCTATTTTATTTTATTTTATTTTATTTTATTTTCACTTTTTTCGATCATTAAGAAATGGTAAATGAGAGTATTCACATATTTTCTATTTCCATCCTATCATGCTATCAGTATCATTATTTTTGATTATTCTTTGCTGTTTTAGTTTTTATTTTTGTGAAAAAATTTTTCATATATTTTCTGCATTATTCTTTAGGTTGCCTGATAAATAAGTAGATATATTCATAAAAGTCGTAGATATATAAATATATACATTTATATATGTTTCATATATTCATTTTATACAAATATGCTTGAATAAAAAAAAAAGTCTTTCATGAGAAACAGATATTACTCAAGAGAATTAATTACCTATTTGTATATTTTAATCGTGTTTCCATATGCTTTTACTTTTCTCTTTGGGTTATTCTTTATATTATATATTATATAATGTATACAGATTTTAAATATACAAATTAATAAATAAGCAAAAATATATAGAGGAAAATATATATATATATTAATTTTAGAATTCAAGAACAGAAAGGATAACATAGACAGAAAAATGATTTGTTATATTACAACACAACATTCTTTGCTAACTTGCTCTTGTATTCTAAAATAGTACCATCCCATCTAGTAGCAGTCTTGTTTTCAACAACAAAAATATCTTTAGCAATCTTATCCAATAATCTGAAATCGTGTGAGACAACAACTACACCACCGTTGAATTCATTAATAGCTTCAGCTAAGGAATCAATAGTTGGGATATCTAAACCGTTAGTAGGTTCGTCCAACAACAAGACATTGGGTTGTTCTAAGGCTAGCAGGGCAAAAACAACACGAGAACGTTGACCTTCAGATAATGTTCCCATTTGAACAGTTTGAGCTTCACCAGTTAAACCATAACGACCCAACTGACCTCTCCAATATTGAAAATCTTGTGATATATCGGAGTATTTATCACGAACGAATTCCAAAGCAGACTTAGTCAAGTCTAATTGATCTTGAGAATGTTGTGAATAGACACCTAATTTAACATGAGTATGTCTGGACACACGACCAGATTGAGCAGTTAATTCACCAGTCATAATTTTCAACAAAGTAGATTTACCAACACCATTTGGACCAACAAGTGCGATTCTTGAATCCATATCAACACCGAAATCCAAATTTTCATATAAATTATGTTCTGGATTACCATCGTAGGAGAAAGAAATGTTATCGAATGCTAAAACTGGTGGAGGCAATCTTTCAACAGGCGGAAATCTGAAAGAAAAGACCTTATCTGGGACGACTGGTTGAATTAAACCATCAGCTTCCATCTTATCTAAAATCTTTTGTCTGGATTTAGCTTGTTTGACCAAGTTGGCATAAGTACCAGCAGAAGCAATAAATTTCTTGATATGTGCGATTTCTTCTTGTTGTTTATTGTATTGTTTCATTTGGTTAGTCTCCAATTCAGTTCTAGTCTTTACATAAGAATCATAGTTACCACCATAAGCTGTCAAATGTTGTTGTCTCATATCGATCATATTAGTACAAACACCATTTAAGAAATCTTGAGAATGAGAAACAAGGACCAAAGTTCTATCGAATCTCTTCAAATATTCTTCTAACCAAACACAAGCTTCTAAGTCTAAGTGGGCAGTTGGATCATCCAATAATAAAAGAGTTGGTTTAACAAATAATGCTTTGGCCAAAGCTACACGCATTTTCCAACCACCAGACATATCTTTAGTCTTCTTTAGGATAGTTTGAGAATTGAAACCTAAACCGATAAGGATAACAGCAGCTCTGCTTTCGAAAGTGTCTGGGTCTAAAGAATCGATTCTTTCGTATAAAGGTTCTAATAATTCTGATTCAGGACCATCCTCAACAATAATCTTTTCTACCAAATCTTCTAATCTTTTCAATTCAGCTTGAGCTTCTCTAACAACATATTCCAATGCAGAATATTCGGTTGGTGCAGCTGGTTCATCTAGAAGATAAATATCGATGTTTTCTGGGATTGGATATTCTCTAGCTGCAATAGCTTTCAAGAAAGTAGACTTACCACAACCATTTTCACCTAAAAGACCGTAACGTCTACCATAGTTTAATTCTAAAGTAGAGTCTTGAATTAGAACTTTACCATGGAATAACAAAGAGACAGAAGTCAATTTGATATCACGAGAAGTTTCTAACGAAGCCAAGACACCGGTGACAACACGATCAGATATACCATGCTCGTCTTGTTGTAATTTTAATTTTTCGATTTCAGCAGCTGTGGCCTCAGCTTCATCAACTGGTTCATCCTTGCTAGCCTTCTTACTTCTACGAGAAGAAGTCTTACCAGCAGCAGCTTTCTTAGCCTCTCTTTCAGCTTTTTTGGCTTCTCTCTTAGCTTTAGATGCAGAAATTGGTGGCATTATCGATGTTTCAATCTATTGATAAACTTCAAGTGGAACAGTTCACTTCTTTGCTGATATTAACGTTACTAAAGGAAAGAAGAATTCAATAAAACAAAGAAGTGAAAAAATAAAAAGACAAATAAAAATACAAATAAACAAGGAAGCAAACTAACTAAGTAGTTACAGTATAGAAAATATTTTAATAAATATCAAAAGATCTATGTAATATAAGAAATGCTGTTAGAGTATAGCAGATGGCCATGTATTTATGGATATACTGCGATATACTACACTACTAAATTAAAATATGTTGATTCGGTGTAGTCATTTTTCTCTTTTCCTTGGAGAAGCTCATCGAATTTTATTTTTTTTTTTGCAAAAAATTTCAAAAAACTTCAAAAAAAAAAAAAAAAAACAAAACAAAAAAAAGAAACAAACAAAGTCCACGTGATTTTGGTGGGTGTGTGGGTGTATAGATTTGTCGAAACTTTCGTTGGCTCGAAGAATGGATGGAGGGATTTATTCTAATCTTCTAAAGAAACACAAGAATAAAATTAAAAGATTATGATTGTATATGTGTGTATGTGTGCTTGTACATATCTACTATATTTAAGTTCAATTGCGGCTAGTTGTGGATGATACAAAGGAAAGGAAACTAGATGACAAACAAATTAGATGTGTGTGGATCAATGATAACGGAAAACGTGCTATTTGAAGAATAGATTTCCACCACTGTCACTTAGCTTTATTCAGTATTCTTCGTTTGTTTATTAATCTGCATTGGTTTGAAGGGAAAGAGATAAAAAAAACATTAAAAACAATAAAAAAAGAAAGGAACGATGGATAATACAGTATTACAATATTTTAGAGAGCATCATGTTCCTCAAGTGAAGGATAAGCTATTACAAGTAACGCAAGACTTGGCCAAAAATGACGATTTATTAAACCAAAATTTGAAATTACATTATAATGATATTTTGACCATTACAAAAAATGTAAACAATTTATACGTTGATTTACAGGACATTGATACGAAATTTAGACAGTTTTGTTTCGATGATGCTAAATATCAGTTGAAGAAATTACCTGAGTTTTTACAATATTCACAATTAAAAGATAAAAATACCGATAAAGATAAAGATAATAACGTATATGATTCTAATTCAAAGAACATAGATGATAAGGATAAGAACCAAAATGAAATAGAATTGTTATTGCTTATCTCGCAGTGGTCATTATCTGTATCTAAATTCATTTCTACAGCAGCTCAATCATTTCCTAACAATATAAATGAAAATACCAATTACACCGATAATATATTTTCTAATTCAATGATTGAGACTCTATTTGAAAAATTTGACAAGTTGATTGAAGACAATCATAAAGATATATCCCTTGTAGATCCAAATTTTAAATATTTCAAATCAATCAACGAGAAAATTGTCTCTTTACAAAAACACTTAATTACAAATGCAAATATGATTAATTTGAGTCATTTACAATGGATACGTTTCTTTAATTTGATAAATATAAAATCAAGAGATGTATTACCTTGGGATTCAGATATGGTATCAAGACTAAATGATATTATTATGGATAAAATTATAATGTTAGTACTTTCTGCTAATGGCAAATTTAAAGATAATGATACGATAAATAAGTTTGTCGACTCTTCAGAGTTCAACCAAAGATTGATAACTCATCTAAAGAACAAAATTCAACAGAATTTAACTAACTTGAAAGATGTAATAAAATCAACTGCAAATGGAGAAATAGAACAAAATATGATTTTAGATAGAAATGAAGAATTGTCTTTGGTTGGATACCTTGATATCAATTCACTTATACATAATTCCAAGTTAATATCACTTGGATTGACTAATGAAAGAAGACAAAAAATTTATGATCTAGTGGAGCCTGTGATTCAAATGATTCACAATTTGATAGATTATAATTGTGACCATGAATCTTTGAAGTCTTTACAGAATGAATTGCTTGATATCTTGAAAGAACAATGTTTAGCACATATTACTATAGATAATGATTCGAGAACTAAGAATGATGATATAAACTCAAATACCACTGCTCTTATTAATAATTATGTTGATTCGTATCATAAAGATAGTTTTGTTCATCTAATTCAATCTCAAATACAACGATTAGAGAGTTTACTTTAAGGTATCATATTGATATTAGCTAGCAAATATATATATATATATATGGAATCTCATAAAGACATAAACTCTGTGGTTGTTTTTTTTTTCTTTGCATTCTTTTCTGTTTATTTCTGCATTTTGTTTGTAAAATATGACAACGTTTGTTTTCCCTTTTTAGGGTTTTATTTTTTTTTCCCCTGTATTAAATTATCAATATACAAAGTTATGCATATATTATAGAGGGAAGAAGCAAGGGATATTTATTAAAGAAGGCTGGATCTTCATGTAGATGAACTAGTAAAGATTTAAAATCCATAACTTTAAATCCAGTTAAAGAGGACGAAGAAAAAAGAAAGTTCAAGCGTTATTACTTTTTGACTTGTTTTATATGCAGGATGACTATTAAATATAAAGAGGAAGAGGAATATAGACAGCAGGTTGCTAAACAAATAAGATTAAATCAAATCCATTTAGAATCCTTAACACATCCAGGATCTAAGATAACTTTCCCTGTTGATCATCCAAACCCGATTCCAAAACCTGGGACAAGAATCTTTTTCTTTGATATTGATAACTGTTTGTATAAATCTTCCACTAGGATTCATGATTTAATGCAGATTTCAATTGAAAGATATTTTGAAAATAAATTAAATTTGTCTCCGTTGGAAGCAAAGAGATTAAATCATACATATTACAAAGAATATGGATTAGCCATTCGAGGACTAGTTATGTTTCATGGAGTGAATGCATTAGAATACAATGCTTTGGTTGACGATTCTTTACCATTACAAAATATCTTGGAACCGAACCTTAAACTAAGAAACATTTTAATTAAATTGAGACGCTCGAAAAAATTTGATAAATTATGGCTGTTTACTAATGCCTATAAAACTCACGCGTTGAGAGTTATTAGATTATTAGGGTTAGGTGACCTGTTCGATGGAATAACGTATTGTGACTATAAGCAAATTGATACATTGATATGCAAACCTGATGTAATGGCTTTTGAGAGGGCAAAATTACAAAGTGGATTATATGATTACAAGGATGCTTGGTTTGTTGATGATAGCGGTTCAAATATTGCTACTGGTCTTCAATTAGGTATGAAACATTGCATACACGTAGTTGAAAATAAGGGAAGTAAAATGCATGAAATCTTGGGTCAGAGTCCTCCTGGTTCACAAGTAATACAATATATCACAGACTTACCAGATATCTTATCTGAACTAGCATAATAACAATATGCAAACAATATATACATATACTTATTATTGTTATTATTATTATTCGTTAGGGTACGTGCAAAGATTTATAATATATATTAATATGGCATAGACAATCTTATTACCTAAACTTTTGAGATAAATTTAACAGGAAACATATGATTTTACGAACATCTTTTTTTTTCTTTTTGAGTAACTCTATATCAACATATATAATAAAGATGTATATAATTACTTAATTAACTAAGTAAAATTATACTGTAATCTGGTGAAAATAAAAGAGGGATAAAAAAAAGACAGAAGGAAACAGATATATATTTCTATATAGGGAAGAGAAAGAAGGAAAAGGTAAATTTTATCTAGTTACGACTATTACTAGCTTGTTTCTTTTGCTTAGCTACAGCATAGACAATACCAGATAAGAAACCTAGGAAGATAGAGAAAATAGATAAAAAGTTTCTTGGTGCATCAAAGAAGATTAACCCAGAAAGCGCAATTGGTAATTTATTCAAGGCACCAACCATAGAATAAGTGGTAGAAGAAGTGACTCTCACACACCACCCAGAACAGTAAGAGATACCAACAGAGGCCATACCGGAAATAATCATAGCAGTTAAGGAGTCCCTAGATAAATTGACACTCAAGTTTTCAGAAGACCAATCTTCGATACAGAAAGATGCAAGCAGTAAGATTGGCAAACCTAAAACATTATTGTAGAACATGGTATCAAAATCTTTAAAATTAGTTAACTTAATTCTCTTTCTCATGGTTAAAACAAATAAAGCTGAAGATATACAATTTGTAAACATCCAGAAGTAACCCGGATTAAATAATAAAACACTAACAGAAGAACCCACTTCTTCAGTCACAGTTTCAGCAGCCTTTTCAGCAATGGCTTGTTGGTCCCCCCACGTTGCAACAACTGAGGATAAAACCATTAAAAGGAAAGAGCTTAATTCCATTGGAGTCACAGAACCACCAAAATAAAGAACTTCACCATAAGCAATTAGAATAATAGTCAAATTCTTAAAAATTGTATAGATTGGAACGGCCAAAAATTGCAAAGCTTTGGAAGAAGTGTAAATCATTAAAACCAAAAGCACAGAAATTGGAAACCAATTTTTAGCATCTGTTTTATTTAAAGGACGGAATTTAGCATAACCAAGAAATTTTAGAACCACTAAAGTTAAACAACAGACTAAAGATTGGACAAATAACATGACAAAATTCATATTAAAATTCTTCAAGTTAACAACGAACTTGTTTGTAACAGTCATTAAAATAGACGATCCACAATATGCCAAAATGGAGATAGGACCAGAATTGGCTATAGAAGCCCATGGATTATGACCGTGAGGAACTTTCAATTCAGACATTCTTTTTGTTGCTTTTTGAGTCACTAAAGTTTCAAATATTACTTGTTATAGTGGTAATAATAATAATTAAAATGAAACAGAAAATGAAGATTTGTAGTGTTCAGTTGACTTGTTAAAAGTTCGCTACACTTGAAAAAATGTAATGTTTTATAAATATAAAATTGTTTAGTACTTTGTGGAAAAAAGACATAGTTTCCAAATACTACAAAATAGCATATAGTAGCAGGCAATATACTTTGTTATCTCTTCAATGAAACTTCTACCAATTTCTTTACAAAATGAAATCTTTCAGACTGTCAGCTGCAAACAAAAAAAAAAAGGAAAAAAAAAAGAAACTCTTTGCAAAATAAAACAACGTAAATAAGCCTTCGTGTAAAACGATAAAACGACATTTAGAGTATTACAACGATGTTGCCATGACAACAAACTATTGGATTGAACACATTCAATATATTTATTCAGTGAATATAGGAAATATCGTAGTTATAGATGATTCATTTGTAGCAATGGTGATGGGGCAGAGGAGGAATAAGAAGAAGTTATATGTATCCCCAGATATATATAGGTTATATTACAATTTGTTCCTTATCCTTTAATTGTTTATCTTTTTTAAGATTTAGTATGGAGACACCAACAGCAGAAAAAAGTGCTAAATTAAATAACCCTCTAATAACCAGATATGATATATTTACTTGCGTGCCGTTATTATTATTACCGAAATTAGTAAATATCCTTTTTATATTTAGAATTTGGTTACCACGGGGGCCCCATGAACCATAGCTTATGTAGTATATACTCTGTTTCTCATTAGCACTCATGTCTCTCCAATCACCGGTCATTTGCCAATCTAGATATTCTTGGATTTCTTCTTTCAGTGGGATAGATAACTGGTTCCATTTAGTCGGTATATTTTTCAAACTAGGAGGATGATAAATAACACTGTTACCGCTAATGTATCTATATGACCATTGACGCATAATCTTGGTTTTATGTAAAATGTTGTTCATGGTTAAAACACTATGTACACGTATCTCTATTCATTAGGTATATTTCTTATCAACTAACAAGACAAACAGGTGTGGTTACATCGTATAGGGTATGCAATAGTTAATTACTTTCCTTTTCTTTTTGTCGTATTTTTCTCGTTTTTCTTGCCTTCTCACTTATACTCCTGTGTTTTTTTTTATACACCTATATTTTTTTATCTTCTTTTCTGCAAAGGATAATACTAACAAAAGTATACAACAAATAATTTGGTAAATAGTTACGCATATCAACAAGTACTCTTTTTCCTACATAACCTAGGTATAATCTAGCAACAACAATCAGTGAGAATAGCAAATATAATACTCCTATAACATTACATAAGATATTCCAGAATCTTTTTTTATCTCTCTTATTTTTTACTTTTTTTTTGATATTTTGTTTTGGACTTTTTCATAGTATACGCTATAATTATATCTGCATAGTTTTAATTCAACATGGGTTATGAAACATTATTTGTATGTTAATTACTTATTCTCAATTATATTTACATTACATATTCATATTTTTCTGTATGCTATATGTAATATTTTTCTTTTTATTTATGCACATTTTTTTACTGATGTTTACTAACAATGAATAGAAGCAAGAAATGCCTTCCTTTCTTTCAAATCTTCACCACGTTTTTATTTGTTTTTCCTTAGAAAGATCATCTAACTACTATTCAAATTGAATCGATAGTTCCGTTACTTGAACAAAGAAAATACGCTATTCTATCTGGCCTATTAGCATTTGTATTCATCATATTCGCTATAATTATTTCTTACTCAAAGAAAAATATATTTGTTAAATTTCTTCTATATACCTTATTAAGTATCGTAGGAAGTTTATTCCTAAGTATGTCCACCATATTTAGTTCAAATTCTTTTGGTGTATATATTTAGTTATTATAATGCATACATACAAAAACATATATATACATATATTATTAACTATAATCTTTGTTTATATTTATTCCCCGTATTTTTTTTCTCTTTTTAATTCATACTCAGTATATCTTCATCCAAATTGATAATTTTATAATATCGTGTCTCTAAACATGTACTATTCTTTATACTTTCTATATTCTTTTCCATTGTATTTACTTCATTCTTTTTCTCTTTTGTTAAATATTCATATTCCTGTGGCATTTGAAAATTTAGATCTGGATCTATACTATAACTTTGATCACCTTCAAGGTGATATTGTCTCATTGTAGAAAACATAGTACGTGTATACCCAACAATATTCTCTAATGCACACTCATCTGTTTTGTTCAAATATAATAATATATTAGAATTCAACATCAAAAATAATCTATCCTGAATGAATTCACGAGACAACATCATCAATAAATCTTCTGGAGCTTCTATTAAAGGTGAATTATATGCCAATAATGATGCAGCTGAATTGATTCTTGATTGAAATATTTCTTTTAATTCCTTATTTATTTTAATATTACTATTACTAAGGATTTCATGATTTTGATAAACAAATTCTTCGATTAATGATTGCCCCTCATGTATTAAATTCTCAACATTTGAACTGTTCTTTTTGATGTTTATTAAAAACCTGACTAGTTTCAACTCAAATAAGGCCTCTATATTAAATTCTAAGAAGCCTGGAATCTGTGTTCTAATATATTCAATACATTTATCAATTTCACTTGAATTTATTAATTTTTTTAGTTCTTGCCTTATATGTAATAACTTCTCTTCCTTGAAAATCTGCTCTTCATTATATTTTAGGATTTGTCTCTGTATTCCTATATTAAAATTATTATTATTGTTGTTACTAGTATTACACAATGTTTTAGATTGTTGATCAAGCTCTGTTTCCGTCTCTATTTCATCTTTCAGATCCTTTAAAAACCCTTTTGCAACATCAATTAATCCCTCATGAATTAAATATCCATTAATCAAACAATTTAAAGTTGGAGAAATTGATTCGTCTTCTGGATTCAATTTGTTAATTGGAACATAATTGGGTTGAATTTTATACATTGATCCATCTTTTTCAGATATTCTTCTATCTTTACCTAATAAAAATAGTAATTCACCTTGATCTATATCTACGCTATTAATATCCGAACCACTTTCTGGAATTATGCTATAACCATGTTTCACATCTACAGAATTAAAGATGTGATCGTATGCTCTTTGTTTCCATTTATTTTGGTATCCTAAAATATCAAATGTGAATTCTTCAAATAAACCAAAATTTGTTTGTATTGAATTACCCGCTTTCAGTGCAATAGCTGGAACTAAGTCGATATCATGGAATTCACTAAAAGCCGTTCCTAAGAAATTACCATTTTTAGTAAAGAATATTGTACCATTAATGTAATTTATACCACAACCGATAACATCATTGATACCAAATGGCTTAGCAAACGTTTCACTTTCCAATATTGAAAAAGCTTTACCATCAAATCCATGATACCCAAAGAATGTGTCATCAATTCCATGAAACTGTTTGCTATTGGATATAATGAAAGAATTAGTTGCTTCTAGACTGGCTCTTATATTGGAATTGTTGCGATGATGTGCAGTAGTGGTAATATCCAAATCACCATCATCGTTATAATCACTACCACTATTACCATCATCCTCACTGTTATCGTCATTATCATCGTTGTTATTGTCACTCATATTAATATCATCGTCAGTATCATTTTCATTACCATGATTGTTTCCAGATACTGAGGTATCACGATTTATATTTATCCCACTAGGCGTTGTATTTGATCCTATTGTTGTGGAACTTGTTCTTCTTCCACTTGATTGATTTCGTCTCAATCTATTTCTTCTTCTTCTTCGCTCTCTATTTCTATTTCTTATTGTGTGACCACTACGAGTATTACTACCAACAATAAAAGATGGGTTTAATTGCTCATATATATTACAATTGTTGTTATTATTAAAATTTGTAGAACCAATCATTGCTGGATTATTATTATTACTATTGCTGTTGTTATTTGGATAATTTGAATATTTAAAACCAACTATAATGTTACAATTTTTACCATTTTCAGTACTACTCACATCTATTATTTTAATTTCATAATAGAAAATTGCTACCTTAGAAGCTGGTATAGTGTTATTTGACCAAGTCATGATGTAGTCAGACATAGAATTCAAAGATCTATTTCTACGTTCTTTATTAGAATCATTATTGTTATTGTTATTGTTATCACCAGAAATATTTATAGCTGTATTTCTTAACCTATTTCTGTTGTAAGAGAATGAACTGACTGTAGCTTTAGAACCAATCGTTAAAGGTCTTTCCCAATTCGAGTTAATACTAAGTTTAGAAAATTGATCATTAGATATTATTATACGATCATTACGCTGAGATAACCATCTTGTTGGTAGAGTATAACCTATAGTGGAATAAATATCTGTGGTTATAAATTCCGGTGATGTGGACGATATATTTCGGCTGTCAGGAATATTAATACTACGATTATTATTAATAATAGAGTTGTTATTGTTGTTAAATGTCACTCGAACGTCATTTGGATAAAAATATTGATAGATTTGAATTAAGTAGTCATCATTAACGGAATCAAATGGAATTGTACCTAATACACCTAAAGACATTAAATTAGACCAGATATCTTTTTTCAAATCAGCACTTAATAGTTGATCTGAATTTTTACCGTTTTTATACATTAGATGGAACCCACTTAAATTAATTTTATTATTGTTAATTGCAGTGTTTGGTGTTGCATCATCTTCTATATCATCTTTTTGGATAGTAGATTCCAGTGACCTTTTTTCATGTAATTTTTGGAATAATTTTTTGTTAATATAGTAACAATTTAAAAGATCATAACCAATAGGTTGTTTCAATAAATAAGCAGGGAACAGTGAATTAATATATTCTTTGTCTATTGGATTCATAAAATCAGTCATATTGAATCACGTTCTTAAAAGGACGCCGTTTTGAATGAAAAGTGTATCGGAATCAAATGTAAAAATTAAGGGTGTGCTTGATATCTTCTTCTTCTTTCTTCTTGTTATTATTATTATTGTTTTTTTTTTGCAAGGTCCTACAAAATAAAATTTACAAAATATGTTGTTGTAATCCCTATCTTTAAAAATAACTTTGCTGTACAGGTTTATAGTTATAAAAATATAAATGTAGAATGGTTATAGACGTTGTCTCTGCTTTCTTTCACATTCATTCTGCCTCTTTCATGTGATTCTCTTCCTTTTTTTAGGTTTTCTCTGCTTTCTACAGTTAGAGCATTAATAATGTGGTAGAAAAGCAAATATCACCCTAACTTTTCAGCTCATAAAAAAGAGGAAATTGTGCCTTTTTTCTAAATACCCTAGATGTTTATTTTTATTATTTATGAGAAAATAACAAAGATGTGCACTTAATATAACCCTAATTGCTCCTTGGTTGTTACAGTAGTTGTTACAGAATAGAACATAGTAAACAGTTTATATATGCATATATTATCCAATAATCATATATATTTAAATATGTAAATATACTAAATATACTTGATATACAGCTATACAGGAATATACAGTGTTCATATTAGTTAGATATATAAAATAAAATGAAATAAAATGAAATAAAATGAAATAAAATGAAATAAAATGAAATAAAATGAAATAAAATGAAATAAAATGAAATAAAATGAAATAAAATGAAATAAAATGAAATAAAATGAAATAAAAAAGAAATAAAAGATAACAATAATGTAGAAGTTTTTTATAATTATTGGTTTTATTCTTGTTCAGTTACTTCTCCTTGTGAATCTTCGAAAACTTCAACATCCTCTTGAATATCAATAATTTCTTGTTTATGATTTTTTTTTCCTTTCACTTCAACATGGTTGTGTTGCTGTTGCTGTGCCTGTTTATCTACGTGAAATTGCCTGATGTTTTCATTATGTCTCTTTTGTTGTTGTAACTGTAACTTTAATTCTCCCTCTTCCTTTTGCTTTAATAGTTCTTCCTCCAGTTGTCTTTTCAGTTCAGCTTCTTCTTTCTCACGCTTTTGGAATGCAAGATTAGCTTTGGAACGTAAGATATACGTATATTCCCCGTTTTCCTTCAGTAACATCTTTAGTGAAAATTCTACACGCCTGATAAATGTCTCTACATAATCTAATATCACTTTGTGATTAAGTAATTCATCTCTGGATTGAATAATTTGTTCCTTGACTCTTAAAAAGTTTCTCCAATTGTCGTTATTGCTCATATCATTGTCAACATCATTAGTGTTGGCATTAACAATGTCGGCATACACTAATCGCTTGGACCATTCATTAACCATCACATTAGCCCACTCTTCATAGATATCAATATAATCCTTTCTTAAAAGCTCCACTTTTCCATTGACTTGATCCATTAATAACTTTAATTCATTATGCACCATGTCTACAAATTGATTATTCATTTGATTTAAATCATGAAATATATCACGGACATATTGTCTATCAATATATTTTTCCAATTGTGTGACCCCATCCTTATCAAAATATATAGCTTTTCCTGTTACTGGATCAATCTCCATTTTGCAGTCAATATCATTAGTGGCACTAGTAATGTTTTTAAAATATGTCTTTGTCTCATTCATAAAAGAATGGAATTTAGGTTTTAAGGAAGTTTCTGTCTGGTTAGTGATATCAACAATTGTTTCATTGACTAATTTATCAAAAACAGTGATAATAGATTGCACTTTATTTTCAATTGAATTAGTCCAGTCATCGAATTGTTTTTGTATAATATCTTGTTCATTTAATACAATACTATTAGAAAAATCATTGATATTTATTTCATTAATTGTCGAATTACCGATAATACAAGCTGTTCCAGCTTCTGAGGGTGATAGATCATAGGTACCTGTCATTGTTTTATATACTGTAGAAGTGATAGTAAAAGTTTCAGTTTTATCATCGAAATCACTTCTTATAGCTTTGCTAGCAACGGTCAATGAGGAGGTATTCTCAGTAAAAATAAATAAGGATGAGAAAATAGAGGGGAAAGAAGATGATGGAGCTGTTATAGTAGCATATTTCTCATTAAATAACTTGACTATTGAAACTAAATGATTCTTACCACAATCAAAATAATTCATTAGAGAATTTTGGATGGAATCCCGAAATTTAGAAACTTTAACCAATTTTGAATCAAAGTCATAAGAGTTATATAAATGATTCCATAAAAATTTACCTCTTAAAGTGATATTATTGATAACAATAGACGATCTTTCCTTATAATATAAGACCAAATTTCTTAATGATTCATTCTCATTAACTTTTTCACTCAAATAAGAACAACCGCTAGTAATATGATCATATACCCAATTGATTTTTGGTTCTAATGGATCACGTATCGTTAACTTGTATCCAACGGGATATTTATTAGTTAAAATTTGATCTAATACACCAATTCGAGAGTAATGACATAAACAATCCAATTGTTTTGTAATATAGCCATTATCACAAGAGTAACGTAAAGTAGATAACAAAACTAGGAAAAGAATCACGGTTTTTGCGATGCACCTAATGATTCTCATTATTTTATCTATAAAAAATTTCAATCCGCAAATTTTCTTTCTAAGTAGGTCACTAATATAATTAAAATTCTTCTACGTGCAATAAGGTTTGAGTCGGTTATATGAGACGTTGTTGTTTTTGGTTATTATTTGATTCTTATGCTTTTTCTCTCAAGCAAATATTACACTGAAGAATTTTTTTTAAAAAAATTGAAAAAAAAAAAGTTTATGGCTTTCTTCAAATAGCAGATATAGACGTGATGAAAAGAGTGAAATCCTGTAGTGGCAAGAGTAGATCAAATAGAGGTGCATCTAATTGTGGAAAGAAGATCGAATATATAATCTTCAAACATCATAATTGTAAAAATCATCAACGGTTATACTAGTTTAAGTTTTTTTTCTTTATTTTTTTTGTTCTTATTTTACGTGTTGTGTATTGGGTTTAGTAGGCGTATTCAAGTTTGGAGTTGCTAGTCTATTTATGAGGAGATATGTCATTCTGGCCATTTGGACCGCAGAGTCCTAGGAAATCCAATATTGATTACATACTAAATGATTATTTTGATTTGTTAAGGCGTTTGGAGGCGTTGGATAGTAATGTTGTACCGTCTGAAAATATGTCTTCAAAATTTTCAGAAATTAATAGTAATAGTAATACTGATATGAGATCTGTATTGTTACATGGTACAGATAGTAACAGAATTACTCCGGTAGATACTAAAAGTTTGAAAAATGATAAGATATCTATGCTAAAGTCGAGCAATATCAATGAGGATGATTATAGTAATGATGTTATTAATAACGATGACAGTGATTATATTTATGATTTAAGTAAGATTAATTCGTTGAGAATTGAAGATATTATGTCTTATAACAATAGCAGTGACATTGTTATTAACAATAAAATGGATTTGACTGTATCTCCTTCAAAAAGCAGTATTTCATCACTGTTATTTTTTTCTAGTAATGATTCTTTTAATAATAAAAATAATGGTAACAGTACTAGTAATAACATACAGTTGTGGTTAAAATTAAATAGTAGTTTTATTGATAAAGTATTGAGAGAAGATAATTTGATAGATGAATTGATTTCTTTATCATCAATTAGGAATAGTAATAGTGATTCTGATGATATTGTGAATGTTAATAATAGTCGATTGATTGATTTTCTGTGTTTAGGTTATTTCTTTGATGAAAATACGGGATTGATAGTTCATCATATTGACTATTTAATTGATAAGCTACTATGGTGTCTAGATAACATTGGTAAAGAGACGTTTCTAGAGAGAAATAAACCCAACTTTAATAATTTGGATGATTATTTAGGAACTATGGATGAGTCTACAAATTTTAATAATAGTAATAATATTCCAATTTTGCAAAATACTATAAACAGCATTTTTCCAATAGATAATTACAAAACACATAATGATAATAATTCATATAGTCCGTTACTGTTGGCTACTTGTATCTCTGACATCTTGTCTCAAGGTGGAATATGGTTGATTACTGAATTAGTGGTTAAATCGAAGGAAAGATTAATAAAACTGTGGTCTATTTTGAATCAACAAAACTGCCAGTATGAAAGATCACCGCATCTGTCAATATTTTTGAAAATTCATGAAACCTTATTATTTTCACGGCAAACAGACTATTTAAATTTTATTAGAAATTTGCCTAGCTTGGTTGATGATATATTGAGACATAATAATATACCAATCCTTTTGGACTTTCTATTAAAAATTATTTCTACTGATAAACCGGATTGTCCAACTGGTATAATCGATACAGTTCATGATCAAAATTTGATTCCTAAATGTTTGGAATTTTTTGATAATAATAAATATTCAGGATCTATTCAAACATGTATCACAGATTTTTTAAAGATGTTAGTAGAAATCTCCTCAAATATTCCAATAGATGATTTCAGCATTGGCCCAAACAAGTTAACTAGACAATTATGTTCATCAAAGATTACTAGTGACTTAGTAGATATCATATTACGGGAAGGTGGTAGTGCGTTATGTAATATTGTTACTATTATTATCGAACTAATAAGAAAGAATAATACAGATTATGATAAACTATATACTGATGAAGCATTTTTAGACATTAACAGAACAGTATCTGAAAGAGATCCCGTTTATTTAGGGGATCTGTTACAATCATTTACGGAAAGATTACCTGAACTCATTAAACCACTTAAGCAGGATCTAGTTGAATCACATAATTTTGTACATACAAGAAATAATACAAAATATATTCCAATTGGAATGGTTAAACTTAGGATATTAGAATTGATAGCTGAATTAATACATTGTTCAAATATGACATCTCTGAATTTGCATATTTCAAAACATTTTTCATTAAAAATTAATCAAGATCGCTCCTTAATAGAGAAAAATTTGCTAGAATCACAAAATGATAATAATAATTTCTATATTATGAACAATGAGAATAGTTCAAAAACTATGATTGATATGGTTGGGTCAATATCGGACACTGAATCCAATAAAGTTAATTTTGAAGAAACTAATAGACCATATTGTATTACAGAAATTTCAATTCAATTAGATGTATTGTTGCGGGAAAATGCCATGGTGGGAGATCAATTTAAGATAAAATTATTTGACCAAAACTTTTTACCTAAATTAATTTCTACATTATTAAAATGCCCGTGGAATAATATGTTTCATAATGTAATATTTGATATTATACAACAAATATTAAATGGAAGAATCGATTCTTCATCATATAATGTATTCTTAATTTATTCACTTTTTTTCCCAAAAGAAGCTCTCACATATATTGAAAAGGATTCTGACAATGGTTCTGTCTACAGTTTATTTCAAAATTGTACATCTCCTTCTATAGTTGATACTATTATTGAAGGTTACAAACAAAACTACAAGTTTTATAAAAGTAATAATAATGCATTAGGATATATGGGACATCTTGTTATTATTACAGAAGAAGTGTTGAAATTTTTACAAGAAAGTGAAATTTCAAAGATTTTTTTAAACTTTAAAAGGATCTCCAATAATGAAAGTTGGAATTACCTGGTGAATGTTTTATTAATTGATATGAGAGTGATGTATTCGGGAATACTTGGCGGTAGTAATTATATGGATGATGGTAATGGAAATTTACTTCCTCAAATACCTATATCATCTTCATCTATGATAACAGACGGATCTAATATCGTTAACACACAAATTGAAAATGACATTATTGACAAAGTATCAGGTGTAGGTAGTGAAAAAGGGAACAAATTAGATGATATGATGACTGAATCACAATTTTATGATAAGATTAAGAAATTGTTTATTATTGATCAAGAAGTAAGCAATGAATAAAGAAAGTAGGAGACGAGAAAGATTGGTGAATACAAAGTTTGGTTAAGAAGAAAAGGCTAATGATTTAGGCACTTTTACATATATATTTTTTTATTGAGCATTTATAGATATAGTATATATAATTAGCAAAAAATTGGTATCGAGTGCATGAGAAAAGCATGTATTAAAATTGAAGTGAAACAACATTTCATTATACAGTTTACATTATTTCCTGTAATGGTGGCTGTATACTTGCTTATTAACACTGTTATATTTCACTCAACTTTTTCGTACTACTATTTTGTTTCAAAATGAAAATAAGATTGCTATTTACAAGAGTATTTCGAAAAGATAAAAAATGAAGGATATAAGAAAAAAAATTGTATTTTATACGGATTGGTGTGGGGATTGATATAAAAATAATCATTAACCTGCAAATACTTCATTATGAAATGATATCAGATTTGTTGTGGAAGGGTATATGCTTGATATATACCCTTCAAAGTAGAGAATTGGTATTAATAGCACAGCTTTTTTATAGGTTGAATTTTTTGTTTTGATTTGGATTGCTTTGATAGTGACGACAATGGAATTACCACAATGGATTAAAAATTTAACAGACCCTGCTTTTACTAAGACTTTTAGAGAAGAACCAAAGGACACGCTCTTACCCCCCTTCGGATACAAACCAATTATAATAACTGATACTCATTCTGATAAATTGAAAGTAAAAAATTCAGCTAATACTGCTATCTCTCTCCAAAATATCAATCAACTTCAGACTCAAAAAGCATGGCAAATAGCGTTTGGTCCTGCAAGATCTATTCCTATGAATTTTGTGATGTCATATATGTCAGGTACATCTTTACAAATTATCCCTATTATGACCACTTTAATGATGTTGGTAGGACCTATTAAGGCATTGTTTGGTATCGCAACCGCTTTCAAACCGGTTTTAGGAAATAAAGATATAGAAGGTCAAGTGAGAGTGGCTATGGTTATTTATGTATTGGGTCAAGGTGCATTGATGTTTATTGGTATCAGGAAATTGAACCAGATGGGTTTACTCCCTAATACTACAAGTGATTGGCTCGCGTGGGAAAAATTGGTTGATTATAATAAAGGTATTGAATCTTATTCGTTCTAAGTTAATTATTATTACTGTATGTAAGTTTGTTTATGTGTCTATATGCAATCGTATGTACCTGTGTTAATTGCTTATATGTATTACTGGAATTGAAATACTTAGTGTTGAATAACTTAAATCTTTTTTTACAAAGAAACAACTACTAATTTTTTGTCTTGTTTATATCCTTGTCATCGTTTATTTTGTTATCTTTAAATTTGGCTTCAAATATACTTTGAATATTATATTTCTTGTACTTCTTTAGATAATCGCCACCAACTACAGACATTCCAATATTATTCTTGAAGCATTCCACTATTATCAGTTTCTCGTAATTTTTAAGATCTACTTGATGTTGATATTTCCCATTTTGACACACAAGAGCTACAATTTGATTTATGATATCATTTCTTTCAATAGTGTTAAAATTTCTTCTTGTCAACTCTATAGAAAATTTATAATCATGTCTACCGTTTGGCTCGTGGAAATGTGGCGCCAATATTTGATTTGCTAATTTAATCATTTGTTCCATAGAAGCACTGCATGAATTGGTAATTGGTGTTAATCTTTGTATATATCTAGTCCTTTTCAATTTATCGTTTGGGTCACTTAGGTCCTCCATTATCCTTTTAACAAATTTTTCTGGAACAATTGGACGTCTCGTCTTGAAAAAAATCATACATTCACAGTTCAAGTCAATCAATTGTAGTATATCCTTTTTCTTTTCGTCTTTAGTCTTGGACTGTTGAGGCTTCCTCATATTGGCCAATTCTTTTTTTAATTGTTCTTCAATAGACAAATCTTCTACTTTTTGTTCTTTGTTAGAATCTTCATGATCTTTTGTTTCTCCAGTAGTATTATCCTTCGAGTTACTATGTAATTCTTCGATTTCCTCTTTATAATATTGTTCCATTTTTTCTTCTAATAATTGACCTAGTTCTTGTGCAGCCAGACGTTCCTTACGTCTAGTGCACGAAGCGTATATTCCAGATGTACCAGGGTCTAAAAATCCAGTAGAAACTTTGAATTTCTTTCTCTTTTGATTGTCATTATTTTGATGATTATTATTCCCACGTTTCCCCATAGATATTAGATTATAAACTAGATTCACAAATAAAAATCAAAAAATAATAAAAAAACAGAATACAGAATTTGATTAACTTTAGTGTGTAATGGTTACTTCCTTAGAGATCTTTCTTTTGTAATAAATTCACTCTACTGTTAGTCATTAACGTACATGAAAAGTTTTCTCTGATTTTTGTCTTACTATATTCTTTTGTTTTCGATTTTTTTTTTTTATTTCTGCATATTTAAATATATTTTTTCCAGATTATCATCTAAGAACATAAAAATTATGAAAAATTAACAAGTGATGGTTCAAAGATTAGGTTATATCAAATGATGTATATATAAGTGTCCTAGTGGAGTGTTCATCTACGGTTAAAGAAGTTAGCTAATCTTTTTGTGTTTAACTCTATGGTAGATTCTTTTTCATCAGTAGACGTATCATTACTTGGATCAGAATTGCTGGAGGTTTCCTCATTGGATAAAGTCCTATTTCTAACTTTTTCTAATAATATCTTTGCTTCTTCACTTTTAATACGTGAAAACTTCTTCATTCTCATCTCTGGATCTGAATACATTTGGGGGTCTCTTAACTTCATCAATTCAATACATTGATTTAACTCAGTGAATGTTTCTTCTAAAGATTTTATGTTATTCTCGTATAGAGTTGTTGGATTGTTTTGAATAGCTGGTCCGCTAAATGTTGGTGTCGATGGAGTCACAGGTGTAGAGGTACGACTATTAGTATTGTGGTAATTATCAACGGTAAGTGAGTCAATATTTTCAGCATTGTCATCCTTTGAGAAAGAAAAGATTCTAGGTATAATACTTTGTAAATATTCAATGTCTATACCAAAATTATGCACACTCTCTTGTGTTATATGATTTGGCGTCTCAGTTAAAAGAATTTCTAACACCTTTCTAGTCAAAGAATCAAATTCTCTAAAAATTAGTAGCGTTTGAACACTATATGGTAAGTTAATTAAAGTTGATGCAAACATCATCTCCAAAAATTGGCCTAAATCAATGATTGTTATATCTGGTTCCTGTCTAATATTTTTAGAATCCCATTCAAAGTTGACTGTTTCTAAGATATCTGATATCTTAGAATCAATTAATTCAATCAATTTGGTTTCAGCCATTTTTCTACTCTCGGTAAAATTCTTCATAGCTGATAATCTAATTTCAATATCCGGGTTCTTCAAAACATTTTCTCTACTCATATAATTACTCATTTCTTTAGCACCTATGATAAAATAATCTAAGTTAATTAATATTTGAGAAATTTCTTCTCTTGAGGTACTATCCAATTTTTCTCTAATCATATTATTCACAATATCAGTTATGGCTTCCATATTGTTAATAATTATGTTATTTATTTGAGATAAGTTGAGTCTATAAAATTCATTCGTAAACTTTGTAAAATCATTGTAAATCTTCTTGATTATGGTTATAGTCATTGGATACAAAGGGGAAAATGGCAATATTACAGAAAATCCCTCGTTATCTTGATTATTTTTCATAACTGTATCATGTAGTTGTTTATCTTTGGTTAACCAACACACTTTAATCACTTTTTCATATAATGAGCGATTATTTACTTTTAAAGGCATAAAATCATCCTCATTTAATAAATCTGTAAATTCCTTTTCAAAACTTGCAATTTTTAATTCACAATATTTCTCTAATATTGACACTAAGATGTCATACAAAAGATCTATATTCAATTTATAATTTTCTAGAATACAAATGAATACTGCTAACAAGTCTTTGAATTCAATTAACTCTTCCTCCTTATTAAGCATTATATTTAAAAAATATTTCAAATATTGATATAATCGGTTCATTAAATTTTTCCAAAATTCATTAGTCGTGTTTTGATTTCGATCAACTAATAAAAAATCAGTAGAATTGTTCAGATGTATATCATACAATAGAAATCCTATAATTTTGGCGAAATACTCAAAGAAAAACGGGATACTCATTTGTTCTGTAAAAGCATCTCCTGTAATCTCACCCGGTATGGAGTTTGGATTTATTGTTGTTGTCGTTCCTTTATGGTTATTAGAAACAGTCTTCTTCCATGATAGTGGATATACTATTTTAGACTTTCTAAACTCATATTCCTTTTCAAATTCAGATACTAGGTATGGTAATTCATTTAATCTTTCAAATATCAAAATAGTATCATGAAATTCATCCAAACTGAAAAAATGATCTGAAGTAATTCCTTCCAACACACTTTGATCTCTGGTAGATATTTCTGCAGGTGAATTAAAACAAAAATTTGAATACAATTTCATCGAAGTTTTACGTTCAATCCATGCAGGATATAACTGTTCTTTGTAAACAGAGAATATGCTTTTACCAACTTCAATTAAGTTCTTACCCAAATTTGAATTAAAAGAGTTTTTGATTAGATTTAAACATTCATCTTCAATAATGGATTTCAAGACTGGAAGTGAATTGTAAAATTCCTTCAAAAAATCAAAATTTGTATTTTTAAATTCCTGTAAGTACATTCTTTCTAAGATGTCTAAACTTTGCAAAGCTTTGAAGAAACTTCTCTCTTGGATCAAGGTTTGGCAATTGCTTGATAATTCTAACAACCTTACAACTTTATTCATAATGATTCTAGCTTCTGCAATCTTCAATGTAGTCTTTTTATTGTTTAGATATGATTGTTTTTTTGAAATAAGATCATTAGTTGATTGGTTTAACTGATTCCGTAAAGACTTGACTTCATCTAATAAATCATTTTGAATTGTAGATTGAATCCCTGAGATAGAGGTAATAAAAGATTCTAGGTTATCATTCAATTGAGAATCATGTAAAAGTTCGTATTCTACATGGTTAAAGTTATCATCAATGGAAGCCTCCAATTCATCAATTACAGCATTCAATTGGCCTTTTTCAATATAGCCTCTCAAAAATGGTACCCATTTATCAAAATCAGGTGTATCTAACTCAGTGACTTCTTCATACAAATCCGCATGTTGTGAGGTGATCAACTTATCCGATATATCCCCATTGATATCTATATCTTCAGCCTTATTTAAAGCATTGGGCCCAGTCACAGAAGAAGAAGTCAATAATATTTTTTGGAACTCTTCAGACAAGGAGCTATATTCTTGTTCCATTTATCAATAAGTAAGTCTTGATCTTATTTTTTTTGTTTTATTTTATCTATATTGAAAAAATATCGATTGTATGGAAGGTCAGATAGGACGTTGAAGATATCACAATTGTTTATTATTTGATGTTGTTTCTAATATTTTTTATGTTTTTATTCTTGGACAATTTCTGTGTAACATTAAAAATGTATTACGATCAGTAAATCTTAAATTAGATAGGGGCTTGTCAAACTATATTATTATTGTTATTGGTATTCCAATTTAAAATGATTCTGTTTTATACGGTTTTAAATTTTTTCCGTTTATGTTCGGTTTAAATTCCGTGTATTTGTGTATTTCAAATGAATTTCAGAAAACTTACAAAGTCGATCAACTTTTATATGTTAATAAGTAATAATAGACACATGATCCACATCCTTATACCCTACACTCATATTTGAATATTCGTAGCTTATTTGGTATCTTACTCTACGTGACACGTCAATATACATATATATATATATACTTCATCACATATAAATAGATCTAAATGTTAAAGAGAAAAGATTTACGAAAAATACAATTCTATATGCTAGTAAAGAAGATATAAACTATAGAAAAAAACAAATAAGGATAATATTAAATTCTAATAAAGATTGCCAATGTTTTCAACAACGCATCCAGGTTGGTTTTCTGGTCTTGGAACCAATTCACCGATTTCATAGACAGTCTCCTTAGCTTCAGCTAGTAATTGCTTGACCTCTGCGACATTTTCTTTCTTGACAATTAAGACCATACCAATACCCATGTTTAATGTTCTTAGAATATCATCTATTGGAATATTACCAGCTTTACCAAACCATTTCATAACCTCTGGTACTTCCCAGGTAGACATATTTACTTTAGCTTGTAAATGCTTTGGAAGAGCACGTGGAATGTTTTCAATTAAACCACCACCGGTGATGTGTGCTAAACCTAATAAAAGATTCTTATTAATAGATGGTAATAATTGCTTTACGTAGATTCTGGTTGGTACTAGGATACCTTCACCTAATGTTTTGGTCTCGTCCCATGGACATGGATCGTTCCATGAAAGACCAACGTGTTTAATAACTTTTCTGACCAATGAAAACCCATTAGAATGGACACCATCAGATGCTAAACCCAATAATATGTTACCAGCTTCCATTTCATCAATTTTTGGTAAAATAGCATTCTTGTTAACAGCACCAACGGCAGTACCATTGGTATCATAGTGACCTGGTGGGTACATACCTGGCATTTCAGAAGTTTCACCACCTACCAAAGCACAGCCACTTTGTAAACAACCTTCGACAACACCAGAGATAAAATCAGAAGCGACTTTGATATCTAAAGCACCAGTTGCAAAGTAATCTAAAAATAATAATGGTTCAGCACCTTGTACCACCAAATCATTGACATTCATAGCTACTAAATCGATACCTACTGTATTATGAATGTCTGTTTCTTGAGCAATAATTAATTTAGTACCAACACCATCGGTGGCAGCAACTAATAAAGTATCATTAGTATTATAACCAGCTTTCTTTAAGTCAAAAACACCACCAAAACCACCAATGTCTGAATCAGCACCTGGTCTTCTTGTGGACTTGACCATAGCTTTAATTTTTTCAACTAATAAGTTACCGTTGTCAACAGAAACCCCAGAATCAGCATAAGTGATAGATACTTTGTTGTTATCGGCAGCAGCAGTATCTTTAAAAGCACGATGGGCAATGTCTCTTCTATAATAAGCATCCTTGAACGTGATACAATTGACGGCTTTGTAAGCTTGATCTACAGCTTCTCTCAAAGTTGAAGCTACTGCAGTTGCAGCAATTACCCTACCACCAGAAGTAAATATTCTGCTACTAGATTCATCAAAAGACGTACCAGCATGGAAAATGTAAGAATCGTTTGGTAATTGAGACTTATTAATAGTGATTTCATCACCTTTATTGTAAGATTCAGGGTATCCACCAGCAGCTAGAACAACAGTGGTGGCAAAGGAGTTTTGTTTGATATTAATATCAACAGAATCTAATTTATGTTCAGCAGCAGCAAGGAACACTTGAGCCAAATCAGTATCTTCAGTTAATAAAGGTAAAACAGTTTGAGTTTCTGGATCACCAAACCTAACGTTATATTCTAGCACTCTTGGACCATTTTTAGTAATAATGAAACCGGTGAAAAGAACACCAACAAAGGGTAAACCATCCTTTCTTAACCCATCAATCGTTGGTTTTATGATAGTCTTATCAATTTCATTCAATAGTTTTGGTGTGGCTACAGGGGCTGGAGCATATGCACCCATACCACCAGTGTTTAACCCAGTGTCATTCTCACCAATTCTTTTATGATCTTGTGCAGCTGGTAAGCTGTAGTAAGAGTAACCATCTGATATGGTAAGAATAGAAATTTCTTGACCTTCTAAGAACTCTTCGATGACTACAGCATCACCTGCACTACCGAATTGTTTCTCTACCATAACAGTCTTCAAAGCATCAAGAGCTTCGTCTTTTGTAGTTGGGATTAGAACACCTTTACCAGCAGCAATCCCGTCTGCTTTAATGACAACCTGATAATCAATTTCTTCAACATATTTCTTGGCATCTTCATAACTTGTAGTGGAAAAAAATCTTGCCGTTGGAATATTATGTTTATTCATGAAATCTTTAGCAAAGACTTTAGAACCTTCTAATTGTGCAGCAGCTTTAGATGGACCAAAGACTGGAACACCTATTTTATTAAAAATAGTAGTTATGCCATCAACCAAGGGCTGTTCAGGACCTGGGATAACCAAATCTATTTCCTTTTCTTGAGCAAAAGTTTGTAATTTAGAGAAATTCGCAGGAACCGGAGCAAGTTCAGGGACGTTAACGATATTTTCCATTGTGGCTGTACCACCGTTGCCTGGGGCAACATATATCTTTTTTACAGTTTTAGATTGTGATAATTTCCAAACCAAAGCATGTTCTCTACCACCATTCCCTAGGACTAAAAGATTTAAAGACATGGTTAAAGTTATAAAAAATGTGTTCTATATATTATAGGAGTTTTTATGTTTGTTGTGGTAGTTGATATGTCGATGTGGAATTTATTAAGTAACTGATATGGCAAACTAATTCTAAGGAAAATTGCCCTGGAAAACTGGACAAAGAGAGCAGTATATGGATTAAGCGATCAACTACTTTTGTGGTTACTAAGTATTTATATCGAATTCTTTCAAGTGTTCTCAAGAGTTAAATAGCATGCACGAATTGCTAACTCTCCTTTCATAGTATTTTTCCCATTGAATACCATGAGTCAGAGTTAAGAACATAATGCACAACTTGACGGATAAATTATATAATTTATATATTCAAATACAAAGGATCATCAGAATCACTAATTACCAATTAATTGAAGATTCTCCTTGAAGGCTAACAAAGGAAAAAATAAATGAAAAATGAAAAAAAAAAGTTCTGACTCCGAATTTGACTCAGTTTGTGACTCCAAAATCCAAAAAAAGAAAAAAAAATTACCTTTTTTCCAGTTTTGTTTTTTTTTCTTTTTTTTTTTATTTTTTTTGTTGTTGCTTTAATTTAAAAAAGAAAAATTGATCTTTATCATGTATAGTGAATTGGTGAGTGTTCGACTTTTCTGTGGGGCGATTATTTTCTAGTTCGGTTTTTATTTCATTTGTCCCGATGAGTTTTGAATATTTGAAGGGTTTTACAGAGGGGTTTAGTAGATATATATCTGTGTAATAGACACATCATGAAATATTGCTATTGCATTGCTGACCCAGTTGTACTCCTTCTTCCCCTCACTCTCCCTAGATTTATATATATTTCAAAATATGCTCTTATTTTATGTATTCGACATGGGTCAGATAAAACAAAAACCAAATAGAAGAGGAGGGAGAAGAGTAGTACAGTAGTATTATTATTAGTTACAATAAAGTGGGATATGTGGGGATGGAACGTTGTAAAAACTGGTGTAGCTAATTTATGTGAAGTGAAATGGTATAAAAATGTCTCCAGGAGATGTATTATGCTAGATAGTTCAATTCAAAGAATCCTCGATTCATGTCCTCATCATGATGTTATTGTCGTGGGTGGCGGTCATGCAGGGTGTGAAGCTGCCACTGGTGCTGCTAGAACAGGTAGTGATACCCTATTAATAACACCATATTTAGATAAGATTGGTACTTGTTCTTGTAATCCTAGTATGGGTGGTGTAGGGAAGGGTACTTTATTGAGAGAGGTCGATGCGCTTGATGGAGTGGTAGCAAGAGTTACTGACTATGCAGGTATTCAATTTAAGATGTTAAACAGAAGCAAAGGTGCAGCAGTGTGGGGTCCAAGAGCACAAATTGATAGAAAATTGTATTTAAAGGGGATACAAGGCATTTTGAATAACTATCCTAATTTATCATTATCAAGTGGGAAAGTTAAAGATTTGATCATCGATCCAAGGAAGAAGCATGTCTGTGGTGTAATTTTGGATAATGAAAGTAACCAAATTTTGAGTGCTAAGACTGTGGTTATTACAACAGGAACATTTCTCAATGGTGAGATTCATATTGGTTTGAAAAGTTTTCCTGCAGGTAGAATCAATGAAGATCCAACATACGGGATCAGTGACACCTTAAATGAATTAGGTTTTAAATTAGGTAGATTAAAGACTGGTACTCCGGCAAGGTTAGATAGATCAAGTATTAATTTCAATGGACTGGAGATTCAAGAAGGTGATAAAGATCCATATTCCATGAGTTTCTTAAATGAGGAAGTCTCCATCAAGGATCAATTGCACTGTTATGGGACAAGAACAAATAATCAATTGCATAATTATATTTTACAAAATTTATCGCAGAGTATTCATATTAAAGAAACTGTAAAGGGACCCAGATACTGTCCTTCCATAGAAGCAAAAGTGTTAAGGTTTATTGATAAAGAATCACATAAAATTTGGTTAGAACCTGAAGGATTAGATTCCAATGTTATTTACCCCAATGGGATATCCAATTCCATGCCTGAAGATGTTCAATTGAAAATGTTACGGATGGTAAGGGGTCTTGAAAATGTCAGAATTTTACAACCTGCGTATGGTGTTGAATATGATTATATTGATCCCAGACAATTGAAACAGACATTAGAGACTAAGCTGGTGAAAGGGTTATTTTTAGCAGGACAAATTAATGGTACTACTGGGTATGAAGAAGCGTGTGCTCAAGGTGTTGTTGCTGGTATCAATGCGGGGCTGGTTGCCAGGAAGAAACCAACTCTAAAATTGACTCGCTCTGATTCATATATTGGTGTATTAATTGATGATTTAATTACTAAAGGTATCGAGGAACCATATAGAATGTTTACATCACGTTCTGAATTTAGATTAAGTGTTAGAGCGGATAATGCAGATTTTCGATTAACCTCAAAGGGGTATGATTTAGGAGTCATAACATCCAAAAGATGGAACAAATTTCAATCAGATAAATCTGTGTATGATTCACTAAAGAGAAAACTGGAAACGTTTTCTTTAAGTTCTGCTAGATGGTCTAGCTATTTAAATATCCCAATTGGGAATTCGTCAACAAAGAACTCAGCATGGAAGATGTTCCGTTTTGAAGGAGTCTCTTTACAACTATTGTCCAAAGTAATACCAGACTTAAATATAAATTATAAGGAGATACCAAGACATATTGCTTTGAAAGTGGATGTCCAAGCAAAATATGAACCCTATCTTGTAAAACAGAATCAATTTGTAAGAGCGTTTCATGCAGATGAAATGATTACATTGCCTCCAGATTTTGACTATAGTAGTATTCCTAGTGTATCAACAGAATGTAAGATGTTATTAAATACAGTGAAACCCACTACAATTGGACAAGCACGTAGAATTCAAGGTATGACACCAGCTGCCATCTTTGAACTATACAAAATCGCCAAGAAGCATAGGTGATATATTGGAATGGGTTAGAACGTGAAACAGTAGTAGTACCAATAAAAAACTGTGCGTGTAGTGATATAAATCTTGTAAATACGTATAAAGAAGAAGTGTGGGATGGGAGAAACATCACCCCTTGTCTTTCAAAATATAGAATCAATTATATAAGCATTAAAACGGACGTTATCATATTTTTTACTTCAACAGTCAATCACCAGTGTAGTAGCAGTACGTGCATGTGCATATACACACACATTGTTGCCTCCTCTTCGATTGTATGTTTATACTTATGAGGACCGACACTCATCACTTCTGACTTTAATCGCGGCAGTGATGAAGAATGTGGACCAACGGAGTGCAGAGTGAGAAAAGAAGAAAGAAAAATCAATTTACTGACAGAAATAACACTCACACACTACACTAGGTATTATTGCTATTGTTAACGTGTAGTTTCTTTTTCTGCGATCTGGACACGTATTGTTTTTTCTTTGTTTCTTTGTTGTTTTTTTTTCCTTTGTGCTATTTGTACTTAAAAGATTAGTAATTGGCTTGACAGCTCGAAGGCATCGATATATATGATAAGGTAGATCTCCAATCAGTAGTATGATGACTATTTAAAAAGAACTTCACGTTTTGTTTGATTGATTCTTGAGTACTAACGAAATCAAGTGTTTTTTACGTTTATATTAGATATAGTGCAATCTTTTTTCCCTTTTTTTTAGTTATCATCTTATTGATACTAGTGGTCTTTGTTATATTATCTTTTTTTTTGTTAGCGTATTACAATAATGAGAAGACCTTTAAGAAAACTGGTTTATTTTCTATTAATCATTTTTGTAGTTATAATGTTGAAGTCATCGTTGAATTCACTTAGCTCATTCAGTTTGAAAAGATTTTTTTCTAGTACTTCTCATTTCAAACCAGTAGTCATTGTAGGTTCTGGTCTTGCTGGTCTTTCAGCCGGAAATCAGTTAGTTACAAAATATAATATTCCAATTATTTTAGTAGACAAAGCAGAGAAAATTGGTGGAAACTCGATTAAAGCATCAAGTGGAATTAATGGTGCTTTTTCAGCAACTCAGGAAAGCCTTAATATTGAAGATTCAAGTGACTTATTTTTAAAGGATACAATCAAGTCAGCTAAGCATAGAGGCATTCGATCATTAATGAAAAAATTGACTGATGAGTCTAGTGGAGCCATTTCATGGTTACAAGAAGATTTTGGATTAAAATTAGATAGTTTAGTACAACTGGGTGGGCATTCGGCTCCAAGGACCCACAGATCAAAGGGTAAGTTGCCTCCAGGTTTTGAAATTGTTTCTACTACTTCAAACAGACTCAAAGAGATTTCGAAGAGGAATCCAAATATGGTTAAAATTTTATTGAATAGTAAAGTTGTAGATGTCGATATTGATCTAAATAATAACCAAGTCAGTGGGGTTCGGTATGTCGACGAGTCAGGGAATTCACATACCATTGAGACGTCTAATGTTATTTTCACATCGGGTGGATTTGGTTATTCTAAAAAATTGTTAGAAAGGTTCACCCCAGATCTGATCGGTCTACCAACTACAAATGGTCCTGAAACTTTGGGTGAAGGCCAAATAATATTAGAGAAGCTAGGAGCTGAGTTGATTGATATGGATCAAGTTCAAGTGCACCCAACAGGGTTTATTGATCCTACTGATCGTGATAATAATAAGAAATTTTTAGCAGCAGAAGCATTGAGAGGTTTAGGCGGTATTTTATTACACCCAGTAACAGGTAAAAGATTCACAAATGAATTGGATACAAGAGATAATGTCACTGCAGCTATCTTATCATCAACACCAAAGGATGATCAAAGAGCCATATTAGTGTTAAGTGAAAAAGTTTACGAAAATTATAAATATAGCATGGATTTTTACATCTATAAGAAACTTTTAAAGAAGACTACCATCAAGGGATTAGTGAGTGATTATAATCTTTCTGTCTCTACTGTGGGTATGGTTCAAGAATTGGAAAGATATTCAAAGAATGGTAATAACGATGAATTCAATCGATCTTTAGTTATAAATACTTTTATGGGGGATACACCAATTACAGAGGATCAAATAGTATATGTAGGAGAAATTACACCAGTGGTTCATTTCACTATGGGTGGTGCTAAGATTGATGAAAATGCAAGAGTGTTAAAAAAGGATGGTAGACCAGTAGCTCAGGGTTTGTATGCAGCGGGTGAAGTTTCTGGTGGTGTACATGGAGCTAACAGATTGGGTGGATCGAGTTTGTTAGAATGCGTCGTGTTTGGTAGAACTGCTGCCAATAGTATTGCCTCCACTTTGTTATAATATTTGTTTATATGTATGTATGTATGTATTTATGTAAAATGATGACAGATAGTTAAGCATTTTCATTATAGTTTTACAAATTCAAATTAATATTTTTGTATTTAAAAGTGCTTTGATTTGAGAAGATATAAGAGTAAACCTTGAAATTGACAGCCTTATTAATAAAACTTAATTGCAAAGTGAAGGACCCAAAAACCTTGGATCCAAACGGTGAATATATTTGAATAATCATCGGATTAATGTTAATCGCAATTTACCAAAGCAATTATTTAAAAGTTTTTTTTAAATATTGGATATGTTTATTAGAGGTAATTAGCACTGTTAGCATTTTTGTTATATTTAATAGGGTGCATTTAAGAAAACAAGCTACAATAAGCAAAACAAAAAGTATCATACAATTGATAAAAAAAACACGAAAGACGTTTAAGTACTTAGAGAGATGAAGGAAAGAGATAATATAAAAAATAATTATGTAAAATAAAATAAAATAAGGTTGATCTTCAATTTTTGACTATCTTTTTTTTTTAATTTGTTATTATTATTTATAAATTTATATGAAAATTGAATATATATACATATATATGATTTAAAATCCTATGCTATGAAATAAAATGAATAAGAGAAAGAAATGAAAAAAAAAAAAAAAAAGCAATCAAAAATAATGGTATCAATAAAACAGTATTTTTTTTTTCGTTGTTATTAGAAGGAACTGAACAGGCAAACCTCCAATAAAACATTTCCTATTATTTAAAATAGATCCATACTACCAAATAAATGCCTTATTTGTTCAAACATGTTGTCAGTTGACAATAATCCTATTTTAGAATATTCCTGGAGTAATACTTGGTCTTTATTGTCTTCGTTTTGGTCAGCAGAATTCAAATCAAGACCTAATTCTGATGTAGAAATATTCCATAGATCAGATAAATCTTGACCGGCACCATTAAAGATCAATTTATTTGGTGTACCTTCGGGCAAATCAAACAAGACATTTTTTGTTGAATAATCGATCAATTTCTTTTTCAATTGTTCTGGAGTGAGTTGTGAATAAGAACTAAATTGAGAGTCCTTGTCTGGTTGTAGAGATAAGAAATATGCCAATAAACCTGCCACATGTGGTGAAGCCATTGAGGTACCCGACAAAGAGGCAGTAGCGTCATTAGAGCCGATATAAGTGGATAAGATGTTTAAACCTGGAGCGAAAACGTCGACACAAGTACCCCAATTGGAGAAATAGGCTCTATCATCAGATAAAGTAGAAGCACCCACAGTTATTGCCTTTGCACTTGCGGCAGGAGATGTATCACAAGCATCTTGATTCTCGTTTCCTGCTGCAACAGCAAAATGGATCCCAGCATTAACAGCAGCATCGACAACCATATCTAAAGATGGGGATTTACCACCACCGAGTGACATATTAGCAGCAGCACCTTTATATTTTTTATTATCCTTCTTAGTTAACTTATGATTATGGCTCAAAGCAGCGAATTCAACACCTTTAATAACATCAGACATTGAGCCAGACCCATTCGATCTTAAGACTTTAACTGCAATGACGTTAGCCTTCTTGGCCACACCATAATGTTGTGATGCGATAGTACCAGCACAATGTGTACCATGGCCGTTTCCATCGATATCTAGATCATTGTCAGGTATAGTCTTCCCCCACATTGCTCTATTTTGAAAATCGTTGTGATTGATATTGATACCTGTGTCAATAACATAAACATCTACATCTTCTCCAGCATTGTCATCATATAAATACTTGTTGAAAGAACCCAATGTTAGTGGATCTCTGTGCGATATTCTGGCTAGCCCCCAGGGAGCATTATTCTGGGTGTCGAAGTCCTTTATAGTCACAATAGAATCCATTTCGATAGATTTAATCAATGGATTACGTCTGATGATGTCGATGATATAGGATGGAAAGTAACCTATATAGCCGTTTAGTTTACTTCCAATTATTTGGAAAGAGTCTATTATACCACCTACGTCTAAATGGGGTGGCAAAGATTTCAAAAATTCAGAAGATTCCTCCTTAGGTAACGAAGTTATATATTGAAGGTATGCTTGTTGGATCATTTCCTTATGTAGATTAATTGAGTCTATTGAAATACCATCTTTAAAGATAATGATATATTTATTCTTAATGGTGGAAGCCATAAAGTCTTCATTAGATTTAATATTTAGAGGAGGAGAAGAAGAAGAGGAAGAATCTAAAGCTGTATTAGAATTTGGATGGACATAAAGTGGTGCAAGTTGGTCTTTGTTCTTAATATTAATATTAACATTATTGTTATTGTTATTGATGGAGGGTTTATTGGTCTTATCGAATTCTTTGTTTTTTAGTGTTAAAGAGTCTTTATTATTTGCATTTAAATCAGGAATGACCAAAGCAGAGGCATATTGAACAGTGGCAGCAGCCAATAAAGTAGATGTAGTTAATTTCATGGATACGTTCGCTTGAATAGAGTATGTTGTCCTTGTGTGGATCTAGATAAATATGAGAGAGAAGCAGGAACAGAAAAGAAAAGGAAAAAACGATAAACACACACACACATACAGACACGCATAGACACATCCTTTTTTTATTTCATAAGTTTATCATTTATATACCAAGATATAATCTATCTCTTATCAAAGGAAACAACGAAAACCAAAAAGGACAAAGCCGCCCTTCCCCTCTTCTTTTTTTCCATACATCCACACACCCACACTTCGTATTAAAGGGCGACAACTGCAAGTGCAACTGTAGTAATATAAAAAAAAGGGTTGGATGGATGGGTGTATGCTTCACTGCCCCGTGCGGAGTGATGTATGCATTATCCAGCCTATTATGTTTTTACAAGCTCTATCTAAAGCATCTACATACTATATATTAGATATTATATTTGTGTGTATTTCTATATATTAGATGATGTCACTTCTGTTGAATAATACAGATAACAATAGCATCACTGATTTCTGATCTCCACAAGTTCTAAGGGGTGTTTGAGAACAGATCGAACAATAACAAATTCATAAGAACAAAAAATAAGAATACAAAATATGATAATATTTATGAATATATTGTTATTTATTGTTTATTATTGAGTCTTGAGGTTTGTTTGTGTGTTTATTTATTTGTTTATATTATTTTCATCCATTTCCCAATGATGTGTGGTTTCCTTATTCGATTTTGAATCGTAGTGTACACATTCCCAAAAATATCTCGTAAATGGATGGCATTTGATCTTTTTGCCATCAACCTCAAAGAAACAATTGTATTGGGTCAGTTGTCTCTTGTTCAAAGTCTTGTGCTTCGAATGATGTAGGAATGATTCTTTGACGTTGGTTGGTGTTTCAATTAATACTTGTGGGGCCATATATTATTATTATTATTATTATTATATAGTTGTCAAGGTTTATTTAATTTTTTGTCTTGTCCTATCATCAAATTTTATCCACCTCTCTTATTTCTTGATATATATATATATATACTACATCATCATTTTATTTTAGCTTTTGTTTTAGTTTAATTTTGTTTAGTCATATTTACTGTGGGTTGTTTTCCCTCCTTTCCTCTTTCCCTCCTATTTTGTTTTTTCTTGTTTGTTTTTTTTTTTTGTGTATGTGTGTGGTTTCATTTGTCTTACAAAGGTAACCATGAAGTTCAAAAGACAAGGCTTACATTTATCATATTTTGGTTTTTGTTACGAGTAGACACGTTCACATATACATAGATATAGATATAAATATAGATAGATAGAGAGATAACTATGGATATGGAAATTGATAAGGAAAAACTTCGTTCTGAATTGGAACGTGTTTGTACTACAAAAAATTATAAATTTGCATATGGTACCGCAGGTTTTAGAGATCTATCAACTAGACTAGATACTGTAATGTTTACTACAGGAATCGTTGCCGCAACTAGATCATTGACACATAATGGAAAATTCACCGGTGTAATGATCACTGCATCGCATAACCCTCCTCAAGATAACGGTGTTAAGATCGTGGAGCCTAATGGTGATATGTTATTACCTGCTTGGGAACCAGAAATTACCCATTTAGTGAACTTGGCCTCAAATGATACTTTTGATAACTGGTATGCTGCTGTGTTGAATTTCATCAGTTCAAAATTGACTGATAATCAATCAATCAGTAATGTCGCTGGTCCCTTGACCCCCCATATTATGGTGGCGTACGATTCACGAGAATCAAGCCCTCATCTCTTGGACTGTCTTTTGGCTGGGGTCCAAGCTTGGTTTGGTTCGGGAAACGTCGTTATCAAAAATCATGGGTTGTTGACCACACCCCAATTGCATTATTTGACATCATTGCAAAATGAAGATGTCTCTGTCTCAAACTATAATCACTTCTTCCAATCCTCTTGGAATAAATTGTACAACAATGATATGGCACAATCTTTACCATTCGATAATCTTTTTATTGACACCGCAAACGGTGTTGGTAGTAGACAATTGGAACTATTTCTAAAAGATTGGAGTTTTCCTAAAGATCGTATTCATATTATTAACAATAATTATACAAAACCATCTGAGTTAAATGTTAACTGTGGTGCAGATTTTGTTAAGACTCAGCATAGATTACCACAACAGCAGCAGCAGCAGCATAGAGTTATCACATCCAGGGATTTATGTTGTTCGTTTGATGGTGATGCTGATCGTATTGTATTCTATTATCAAGACTCAAATAAAATTTTTCATCTATTAGATGGGGATAAAATCTCAACACTTTTCGCTAAATTCTTGCAAAAATTATTGATCAAATCTAATCTGCAAGATCAACTAAAACTAGGTGTAGTCCAAACTGCATACGCAAATGGTAATTCAACAAAATATCTTAGTGAAACATTGCGTGTCCCTGTATCGTGTACCAAGACAGGTGTCAAACACCTGCATCATGAAGCTCAATCATCATATGATATAGGTATCTATTTCGAAGCAAATGGACATGGTACAGTTCTTTTCTCAGACAAATTTTACTCTTTAATCAAAGATAGAATGTCCACTAACGAAAGTGCTCGTAAACTGTACCATTTCAGTAACATCATAAATCATACGGTGGGTGATGCTATATCTGACATGTTGGGTGTCTTGATCGTTTTAATCACATTAGGATTGACTCCTTATGATTGGGATTCAGAGTATCATGATATACCTAATCTATTAACTAAAGTCATCGTCCCAGATAGAACATTATTTGAAACCACAGATCAAGAAAGAAAATTAGTAAAACCCACAGGATTACAAACAAAAATTGAACAATGTTTCAGTAAATTTAATCAAGGAAGGTCCTTTGTTAGAGCATCAGGTACTGAGGATGCTGTTAGAATATATTGTGAATGTAGTGATGAATCCCAAGTTAAATTATTATCAAAAGAAATAACTGATTTAGTTTTAGCTAGTGTTTAATCATATATATATATATATATAATTGTTAAGAATATGCAATTAATATAGTTATTAAAGTATTTGTTGCTTGTGATAGAATTTAATCCATTAAAATTTTCTTTTTTTGCAAATCATAATAGACCACTATTTTACAAATAATTATAGCGAAGAATATTCATATATTTATTATATATAATACTTACAAATTTTATAGCAGTTGAAAAATATAGAGAAGGGAACTATTAGGCAACTCTGATGTCTTCGTACTTTTGTATTTATTGCTATGTTCCTACAGATAAAAATCTTGATACAGTATATATATAAATGCATGATAAACACTTTGTAATAATCAATTGCCATTAAAGTGAAATAAATAAAATGTTCAATATTTCAAGGATCTTGTATTTTGGTGTTCCAGAACTGAGTCATATTAAATCTAAAATAAAATATCAACATTATAATTTTTATATAGAATTACTTCTTCTCCAAATAGACAATTTTTTCCAGGTTTTCTCAATTCACATATATTATTATATTTATTGGTACCTGTCATTAATTATATTTTTCTTCAACCCCTATAAAAATTAACAGACTTTACTTCATCATGATCACTTAGCTGGAGATAAAATCTTACTGGTTTTCCTTTATATTTACAAAATAATTTATTTTAGCAACCACCTAATTCCCAATAGTAGTAGAAAGCTTCATTTAAAAAATAAACAATATCTTTTAAGAAATTCAAATTGAAGATCTTAAAGTAAATAGTTTGAGGGATGGTACTTAATGTCAAAGGAAAGGACTTGAAACAGCTGAAACCTTAAATTTAGGCTGTATTAGTGTGATAAACCAATTATCAGTTTAAAATTAATGATATATCGATGAAAAATTTAATGAAGAAATACCTAATTAATGAGAGAGAATTCTAGAGGTGATTACCAATATGGATATGATATCATATTGTTGAAATAGAATGTTCTATAATGAAATAGATAGAACAATAAGATTTTAGCAGACACTAAACGACAAATTGTTGAGTAATAATTTTTGAGAGGTCACTAAAGGTTGTTGAGTTTGTTTATTAAATATCTTACTGTTCGTAGAGGAAAGTGGCTTAATGTTAACATATATAAAGCCAAGGATTTCATCATACATTATTTTTATCTTATTTACAATCTTTGTATATTATTATTTCTATGTTGTATATAGAGAAAGAAAGTGAAGAACTTTGTTATAATTTTGTGTACTAAATCTGTTTAATATAATATTGAGAATGTTTACTATATATCCAATGAGTACAGGCGCTCATTCTCAACACATATCTATTAGTTTTTACTGAATATGTGTCCATATAAGGGAGATAATAATTGGATAAATGATTTATTAATTTGAATAAACGAGTTTATAAACTGTGGGTGTTCATACATAATTAACATTCACCTTTAGACGTTACTACAAATAATAGTTTTATGTGTGAAAACTCAATTTCAAACAATAGAAAAAAAAAATTTAGGACACGATTTAATCTTTCTGAAGCATAGTAAAAATTCTAAAAATAAATACACTATATGTAATATTCTCAAAAAGACATAGCTACATTATGTTTTAGGATTTAATTGAACCTCTTAAATCAATATTTTCCTATATCACAATATAAAATCGTTCCAAAATTCAGAAAATGTTGATATTATTGAAATTATTAGACAAAAGTATATAAATAATTTAGATATTAATTATAAGAAACCTAACTAGCGTCCGATGACTATGTATTCCTGTAAATAATTTTTTACAACATTAATAGATGATTGATAAAGCCCTATCTGTCATAGTTTCTATAAGATTTCGAATCTAAGTTGCAAATTTTTGGAAAAACAAAAAAAAGTATTTGTTAGAAAACAAATAATATACTCTGTATTTTTACTTATTAAAAACTATTTCTATTATATAGTTATTATTTTTTTTTAGAAATGAAATAAAATTATTACAAATAAATTTGTACTTGATTATAAACATAATACATATAATAGTATATATTACTTCCATAATGTTCTTAATAATCCTAAGATCCAATTTACTAAACACTTATTCTATGACAAATATAGGCGTAAAATCTACTTTTTCCCAAAGTACTCAAATACACAAATTATTCAAGCATAAATGTATATTTACATGTCTGAATTACTATAAAAAAATTACTATAATATACGGAAAACATTTGATTTTTCATTGAATGCATATAATAAAATTTGAAGCAATGAAAAATTTTAAAACAAGTGTTCGAATAAATAAAGAAGTTTATACTAAATAAAAGATATAAGAAGTATATATGCATTTAAGATAAAAAACAACAAGTGTCTATAACTTACTGACTACCACCATTGCCATGAACACTACGTGCTCCAAATTTTGACAAATTTGATAGAACCTCATGGACATCTTGAACAATAGATGATGTTGCAACCAACCATGCTTTGTCCTACTCAATGTAATAAGTTGATCACCTTTTATTGTACTTAGTGCATATACATAAATTCTTAGATAATTCTCTCTGGTTTAGTACAGAACTCATCAAAAACCAGTTTTTTACACATTCTGCCCTTAACCCTTCTGGGAAGTTCCCCACGTAGTAGTTGTTTGATGAATAAAATATCTTCAATTCCTGATTTTTTGCCAAATTCATAATTTTCCATATTACCAGTCATAGAATTAATAATAATGTTTCGAATTATTTCTTCTTGATCTTTATCTATTTCTATAGCACTTGTTAATTGTGTTACATATGAAATTCCGTAATTTTAGATATCTATATAATGATCTGCATCATATAGGAACTCCTTCAAGTTTAGAAAATTTCTTGTTAAATTTATAGTTATTATCTTCATAGTAATATTTAACAATATGTCCATCTAAATTCCTAAAGGTATAATAAAAACCATATTCATCTTTTCTTGATAAGAGTATGTGATCTTTATAATTATTTATATCTTGATTCTTTAGAATAAGATCCACCTCTTGTTCAACATTTATATTCTTTTCTATGTGAACATTATCTGTGTCTTTTCCAATATTTAAAATCCTTTGTAGGACCTTGATCAATTTCCCTAACTCTTTAATCTTTTTTGTCTTTTCACTTACAGTAGATTCTGTATTAGCTATGGCTTGTGCAATTTCTTTTTCAGCTCCTTGATTTCATTATTGATAATTTTGTTGTTACCAGCATCGTTATCATCAATAATAACAACGATACTATGTTAGAATTTGGAGCACTTGGTGTCCATGATAATGGTTGATATCATTAAGTTATGGATAACCGCTTTGTTTGTACATTTAATATACTTATATACGTATTATATAGTGTATATAGTATACCTTCTCTTATTTACTTCAACTCTTTTAAAGCTTTTCATTTTTCTTCGAGTCCCTGAAAAACACATTTGATGAAAAATAAAATGTTTCCCCCTATTAATGGTATATTTATACAGCACATAATATACAGAAAAAACTAATCAAAAATAATTCTTTTGAAAATGACAACAATAAGCTCTCATTTTCCAACAAAAGGACAACTTCTTCTGAAGATAAAATTATCCTCCATAACTCCTCTCTTATATAGACAAATTATGTTTTATATAAAGAACAATAAGAACAACGAATAAATATCTAAGCTCGATATAGACGTTTAATATATAAAAGACTGTATAGTAGTTGTCTTACCAATTGTGACAACTAGCGTTTTCGATTAATAAAATATCCGTTTGATATAATCTGTGCTTCCTGATTAATTACTAAGCTAAAGATTACTTCATGCTACAACAATTGGTGGCGCTTCTTTTGACTATGTCTTCAAATAACAACTTAAATGTAAACGAATTTTTAGATGCTATCGATTCTTCTAATGCCACAGAACACAATATCACAAGTCCAACACCAGCTCCTGATTTAACCTTTACTTCTGCTCCAGTTCCATCTAATTCAAAGAACTACAGTACCGCTCCAATGCGTTTTTCCGGTCGCTATGATTTGTTTAAATTGCCTGATTTCCTCCTCACTGTTGAAGCACAACTTTACGCGCAAAATCTCCAAACAGATGTGGAACGTATTGCTTTTTTTGGTCGTAATTTGACTGGGCCCGCTGCCCAATGGTACGCCCAATGGATTCAAAATCATAACCAGCCCTACTACGAACAATTTCTCATCGACTTTAAAAATAAGTTTATCAGTATAATCAACCTGCATGCCATCTTTAATGAATTCAAACGTTTAAAGGAAGCTAATGTTGGCATTGATACTTACAACCAAAATTTTTCTCGACTATTAGCGTTAATACCCGCTGATATTTGGACTCCCAAAGGCGAATTACTTTTCTACTACCGTGGCCTTACTCCTAACACTGCCTATAAAGTAGCCTTAGCTCATCCCACCACTGTAGATGCTGCTATGGAAGCTGCCACCTTTAATATGGATAGTGATATCCATATGACTTCTTCTGTCAACCCGGTCCCTGTGGACTTTGCTGATGATTACCACCCTCAGATTACTACTGTTTATCATTCTCAAAGAAGGGGAGGCAGAAAGGGAAATCAAAAATTGTCCCAAACTAAAAGACAATCAAGTAAACGCTCCTTTCGTCGATATTGTATTGATCATGGCTTATGTTTCTACTGTTACCAGTCATTACACTGCTACAGTGACTGCCCTAACCACAAGGCGAGCAATCTCCAATGAAGGCTAAGAGCAGTCCCATAACAACACTATCACACTAGCTCCTATTGTGTCTGCTTCTCACTCACTCGTAGGCAACAGTTGCCAAGTTAAAATACTTATTAAAGAGAAACCTATTAATGTTTTAGTGGATACTGGTTCCCCCACATCATTCATTAGTGCTGATATTGCTGATAGTCTCAAGTTAACACGTTCTGCCGCTCTACCATTCCGTTTTAGAAGTGTTGTATCATCCGAATCTTCCCATACTAATGAATCTGCTGAAATTTCACTTGAACTTGATGACATAAAAATTAAAACACCCATATACACAACAGATTCCATTGCTTTTGAAATTATAATTGGGCACCTGATCATATCATCTCACCCGCTGCTCCATAAGATATTAAATAATAAGAAACCCGTCCCAGAATACACTATATTCGTAAAAGCTGAAAATGATACCGAAAAGTTAAATGCTGATAATACTGCCGCTGCACTTGCCATAAAGGTTTCCGTAATTGGTGATGATGATCACCTTGATAAATTACCTCGCTGGTTAAAGGATAAATACTCTGCTACGGTCCGTAATGATCTACCACCAAAGAATTTTACTGAAGCTTCAAGGGTCAAATACGAAATCGAAATTAAATCTGGTGCACGTCTACCCAGAAGACAATCATATCAAATTACACCAATACTAGAGCAAGAAATAGATCTGATCGTCGCTGATCTTCTCGAAAAGAAACTTATAGTTTCTTCCAAGTCACCATGTAGTTCACCGGCGGTCCTCGCTAAAAAGAAAGATGGTACATATCGCTTATGTGTAGACTGTAGAGCTCTCAATACTGTGACCGTTAAAGACCCGTTCCCGTTACCTAGGATTAACAATCTATTAGCCAAGATTGGCTCGTCAACAAATTTTTCAACGCTAGACCTCCACTCAGGTTATCACCAAATACCTATGGAAATGGATGATCGTCTCAAAACTGCTTTTGTCACCCCTAATGGAAAGTATGAATATACTGTCATGCTGTCTTGTTTCGTAATGACTTCGTTAATACCTTAAGCACTTTTGCTCGTTGTACAGCTGATTTATTCAGAGATTCACCATATGCCTGTGTTTACTTCGATGATATTTTAGTTCACTCTCGTACTTTAGATAAACATTGGAAACATTTAGACATCATATTGTAAAGGCTGCGACAAGAGGGATTAATTATGAAAAAGAAGAAATATAACTTTGCCACTAAGTCCATTGAATTTTTAGGATATACAACTTTAACAAATAAAACTCACCCGTTGATCTCGAAATGTGCCGCTATAAAACAATTCCTCACGTCTAAAACCATCAAAGAAGCTCAACAATTTTTGGGCATGATAAATTATTATAAACGTTTCATACCTCGCTACTGTCATTTACAACAACCAATATAAGACTACATACATGGTAAAAGTAAGTGGTCAATAGAATGAGGTGAGAGTTTTAATAAGTTACAGTCACACATAATCTCAAATCCAATATTAGTTTTTTTCAAACTTGATGGCAATTACAAATTAACAACTGACGCTTCAAAAAATGGATTAGGTGCTGTACTTGAAGAAATTAATGAGCAAGAAAAACTTTTAGGTGTCGTGGACTATTTTTCCAAGACTTTACGAAGGCACTCAAAACAATTACTCGGCTAACGATCTTGAACTTTAAGCCATCGTTCAAGCATTACAACATTTTAAATATGTGCTTCATGGCATGCGTTTTATATTGAAAACAGACCACATTAGCATATTAACTGCACAAAAGAATAAAAAGTCCTCTCGCAGAGTAATTAAATGGTTAAATGCGTTGACCGAATATGACTTTAAATTTGTTGGAAAATGAGAGTTTATTATTGCCATATCCATAAGAATTCTTTTTAACTAGTTTTTCCATATATTATGTGGTGTACGAATGTACCATAATACGCGGGGAAACATTATCTTTTTCACCAAATATGTTTTTCAGAGATTTGAAGACATAAAAAACTTTAGACGAAAAATCAAAGTAAATACAAGAATTCATACAGTATACATCATATGTTAGAATTTGGAGCACTTAACGTCCATGGTTATCTCAGATATCATTAAGTTATAGATGTTGATTTTATTTTTGTATTAAATACATGTATATACTTATTATATAGCGTACACAGTATACATTCTTGTATTTATTTCAAGTCTTCTTTTAAAGTTTTTCGTTTCTTCAAATCTCTGAAAAACATATTTGGTGAAAAATAAAATGTCTTTCTGATATTATGGTACATTCGTACACCACATAATATACAAAAAAACTAATTAAAAATAATTCTTATGGAAATGATAGTAATAAACTCTCATTTTCCAACAATATAAATTATGTATAAGAGAGGAGTGACAGAAGATAGTTCCATCTACAGAAAACGTTGTCCTTTTATATGTTTTCTCGAACTCGATCAACTGTTCAACTTGATATATTAATGAATTAGTAATCCATATCTTTATTATTAGTTACAATAATATAATCGAAACTCATAGAACATTTAGGACAATAGGTTATGGTGGCGTAGTAGAAACTATAATGAACACGGTGTACATAAACATAATATGTTATGGTAGCGCAGTAACAGAGATGTGTGAACACGCTGTACACTAGGTGGCAAATGGACACGTTGTACTTAAAACAAAATAGATCACTTTAGATTCAGATAGAATCTTACGTAATCTCGGTGGTGTTACCTCTTTATTATACAACTGCAGACTGTTGTAATATGAGATGGTGAGATTCTATGTGTATTCCAGGGAAGCGCAAATAATATTAATAGTTATTCAAATAATCGAGACAGTAATCAACTATAGTCGATAATAGAATTACTAAAACGGTCTTATATATTGAGCGGTTTATATCGAGCTAATATATGTATTCGAAGTTACTTGACTTGTTACTTGCTTGTTATTCTATTTATGTTTATATATAATATATAAATTATTTACAAAAAACGGTTATGGAAGATGATCTTTTATCTCCAGAAAAGTTGTCCTTTTATATGTTTCTGGAGCTCGATCGATTATTCAGATTAGTACATTAATGACTTGACTGATTCACCCTAAAATTCATTACATTAATTTAGGTGCACTAGTGGATTAGAACTGCACCCCAATTCTCTAATCATGGTGATTAGTAATACACGTGTGACTTATTAAAACAATAGGTAAATTCTAGATTTGCCAAAAATCTTATGTAATCCAATCTCTTTATTATGCAGCATCTAATGTTGTAGCACGTGTATGGCTTATTGAGACAATAAATAGTTCTAGATTCATTCAGGATCTTATGTAATCTTGATGGTTATAACTATTTATTCCACAGCAGCAGACTGTTATAGTTTGGACTTAGGACCAATTTTTTTTTTTTAACAGTACTATTGAACGAATAGTAAGGGCAATAACAAATATATAAGAACGTTATATATATCTAGGAGAATTAAACGATTATTGCTTGTTCTTTTTTGTATTATACAATGTGCTACATATTTTTATAAATCAACCAAACATATAAATTTAGATACCAAGATACTGGTCCTTTATATATGAACTATGGGTTGATAGTTTCTTATTTGAGGTTCTGTAACGACTGTCACCGTAGATACATTTCTCCTTAATTAGCTATTTAATGTTTCATGAATGTTTCATTTTGTTACATAGTATTCAACAATCATGTGGGATTTATCAACAAACCCTAAGTCCTATAAATCCAAACTAGAACTTTTCTTGACAATCATCACAAAACCCTAACAATATTTTTATAATCATAATATCAAGGTTGATCTACAGCACAGACAGCAGTTTAGTTCCGTGATAGTTTAATGGTTAGAATGGACGCTTGTCGCGTGTCAGATCGGGGTTCAATTCCCCGTCGCGGAGTTTTTTTCCAATTTTTACTATAATATGTAATATTCCTGATATTACTGTTTAGGGTTTGTTTAGAAAAATGAGGGTTGACGATATTTTTCTAAACTTTCCTTTTTGCAAAATTTTACAAACATAGATAAAAACAGGAGTAACCAACATAAGTACAAGAGAAACAACAAGGAAGGAAGAAAAGAACAAGGGACAAAAAAAGGATTACATAAGTTTAGATATATAGTATATAAGTGTATACTATCAGGTTATCTTAGATTAGAGATATAGATATATAGATATATAGGAATATTACATCTAGAGATATAGAAAGAGTCTATATCTTATATCTAACCATGTGAAATATTATTGAGATTTCAACAAGAACTACTGTTATCAGAAACACATAACCTCAGAGTTATTACATAATATCAGAGATGTCCTGTAATAGATGAAAACCCGATTACAAGAGATATACTCTTCTAGACGCTAAATAGATAGATATAGCTTGATTTGTTGTCTATATATGACATATAAACTATACTCTACACAAGGAGTAAACTAATACACACCGATATACAGATACGCATAATTATATAAGCAAGATAAACACGAAAAACAAGAACGTCGTCGTCGACCAAGGAGTCCACAAGATCGTTTATGCTAACATCTGGATTTCATATATCACATGTCCCCTTTGATGTCACCATAGATGATCTCACGTACTTTTTACTTGAAAATGACGTTGTTCTTGCTTTATAAACATATATATCGCTACATATTAATGTATCTCTGTTTACCAATTATATACAGCATAGTTTACATGTCGTGTATAGAGGACAACCACAAAGAATTGTTTGTCATATTTTACATTCTAAAAGAGCCTCTCTCTTGCAACCAACTTTTATCTATTACATATAGTTAAAGAACAATTATTTGTAAGATTCAAAACATACAAAAAGTAATTATCAAGGTAAGCATAAAAAATACAAAGAAATGTATATTCTATTTTCTACGTGTTTTTATATGATATTGTTTAATCCTTTGTACAATTACTTCTCAATATTACCATTTTATCTCTCAAGCTCATAATTGATAAATAAACCCTTATTATTGAACAAAACGTTGTAAATACATTAACAATGTGCATTGGAAAAAAACAACAGACCCATGATATGTGCTACTTTATGTCTATCTACTTATTTCTACTGTATTCTATGTTTTATATGGAAGCACATTTCCCAGAAGAGAAAATAAAGTAAGAAGAACTATTTCTATCAAAGTCTATTATGGAAGAATATATCTCTTCTGATAACTTTCCATTTATCATATCTTTAATTTATTTGTAATATTTTTTTTAATCACTACAATACAAGGACAATCTATTTGTAGTGATATAGACTTTTTAGATGTAATAATTTCACCAACTACTACTATAAGAAGAACTATAGAACATACAGACAAACCTATAGGAAATAGAAAAAGTATTTTGCATATTATCTATTTACCAAAAACATTATTTCTCTAAATATAGGTTAATTATAACTTTGATATTTCCTTTAACATATAATATAATACATCCTGAATAAAGTTGCCATATTAATTAATTTAGGTAATAAATAAAATTTCCTACTATATAAGTATGAACATCTAGCAATGTTATAACTTGTATCTATTTTTAGAGTATGTTTCATTTAAAATAGATTGTCACTAAAATATTAAAATCATTAGGACCATCAAGTAGCTCTCTCTATATCGTATCAACAAGTCCTAAATTATCCCCTAAAAATCTATTCTAATTTACTATTAACAGAATGAAAGTATCTATATTCTGTTTACTAAAAAAATTCTTAGAGACTTCGAGCATCAGAAGATACCATATTTTCTGATGCAAGAAACTTCAAAAATGAATAATAGCCAATGAATGAAAAAACAAACTTTCTACACAAGAAATCTCAGTTAGTTATTTAAAGTACATTTATCCACATATATATATATATATATTACTACCTGTATTTTTGTCTCAAACACAATTAGTTTTACATGCTTCAGAAAAGGTAATTTATGCAAAAAGAAGAAATATGTGTCTTTTTTATAAATATCACAATCACCACCATCGAATAACCAAATATATGGCATATTGTATATGTAAAAGCGAAAATCAATTAACAAACATATCTTAGGAGTAATGCAAGTACCAAATTTTAATCTGGTGCAAACTTATTTTAATTTTGAATTCTCCTTCTTTTTTGCTATTTTATTTAAGATTGATTCCAGATTCATAATTCTCTTTTAAAAAATTCAAAATGATATTCCTATAAAATTAAATGAATATATCTACTGAGAACCTATTCTTACAAAATTAAAGTTTACAGTTGGTATCTTGACATTGTAAATATATTCTATGTTTATTCAAATTATCAACTTAGCTAAACATGGTCATATCACTATTCACGGGTCATCACTTGGAAGATGACAATCAATACTAACTATAATATTTTTTTTTGCACACCAAGACAATGAACCTTTATGATATAATAAACACTGTGTTTAAAGAATATTTCAAACGAGACCCATTCCTTCAAATTTAGTAATACTTCCCAACAACTAGTCTCCTACAAAAATAGGACAACCAAAATGACAACCAAAGTTAACAGAGATTGGTTTTATAAATTAGCATCTGATTTACCAGAGGAAAGGCTACAATCTGCTGTAGGACTCATAAATGAATTATCCGACTTACCTTTACCTGAATGCAATGAAGAATGGTCATATGTATTGAACAGATTAATTAAAGGGTTAGCATCAGATAGAAATAGTGCTAGATTAGGGTTTTCTCTGTGTCTTACCGAAGTTATAAACCTAGCCATTAAATCAGGACCAAAAAAGGCACCGGATTGTTTAAAAAGCATCAACATGTTTTTGAGCCTTTTATCTACAACTCTAATGGTAGATAGTTCAACTAAGGCTTCATCTACCAATAACAACCGTAAAAAAAAAGGAAAAGAGGAAAGAGGTTCATTATTTGGGAAATTATTTGGATTACAAACGTTATTAGCTGATCCACTTTTCGATTTAGTATTCTTCGATGATAAACAACAAGTTAATGATTTTTCTATAACCTTTGTTAAAGAGTTAATTGATTTGGCGTTAAGAAAAAATTGGATTAAAGAATCATGTCTTTTCACTGTTTATCAAACTGTTGAAAGACTGATTAACAAACAGAAAAATACAACATTTGTTGAAAACATAATTTCTCTGTTAGATGAGAATAATCTTACTTCAACTAATGAGGGGTTATCTATCTATCTTTTACTGGGAAAATATGACATTTCTATAAAACCTAATCTGAGTCTAGAAAATAATGGTTGGAAATTTAATAACCCATTGGCAAAAGGCAATTTACCAATTCTAGCCAATGTCTTAAGAAATATCCCTAATAATAATTCTGAAACAAATGATAACAAAATTCAATCTGCAAATTGGTCACCTCGACTACATTTTGTTTGGGATGTCTTACTGTCTGAATTGCTTCATAATAACACTATGATTACCGAGGCAGAACCTTCTTTAAAGAAACAAAAAAAGAATAATGGAGCTTCAAAGTCAAATAAAATGGCACTTATTCAATTTCCAGAATTCTGGAAAGTGGTAGTAGATGAGGGATTTTTTAATGATAAAGCTTCAGGAGAAAGAAAATATCTTGGTTTTTTAATTTTCATGAAGGCATTTCCAATGGTAAATTATGATCTATTACCAACTTGTTTCAGTCAAAATATAATGAGATCAATAATTAATCAATCTAATGATTCAAAACGTCAGTTGCACAAAATTTCACAAAAAGTACTTCATTGCATCATAACTACCTGTGAAAATAATGTCGAGACAAGACTAGTACCAACACTCAATGCATTATTATTTAGTAAACATGGGTCGATCAACTTTGATAAATTAACTAAGACCAAAACCGTTAGTAAATTAGTTGGTATCAAAAAGATTTCTAATGAAACCCTATCTCAACTGATTAACCTATTTCTTTCACAAGTTAATACATCCAACGACTTAAACCATATCCGGTTCATATTAGATATGGTATTGCATATTATTAGAAATCATAAATCCGATTTAACAAGTAACACAAAACAGGTTGTTTTACCTTTATTAAGAGGTTTAGTGGGTTTCACCTATTTTGTAAACGATGAGAACTCCAGTAAAAATTCTGGAAAGAAAAAACAAACTTTTAGTAATACAAATGATAAAAATTTGGAATTAGAACAAAATTTATCAGAATTGTCCCAGGAAAGGTTATATTCTATATTGTCTGAACTAACAATTGTCCCTACAAATGACAAGCATTCATGGCAATACTATGCCTTACAAAATATCCTTACTCTAGAAGAATCAGCTAGTTTGAAAAATCAATTAGATGATTCTTTATTAAAAGTAAAAAAAACTGCTTTAAATATATTAAACATAATATCAAAAGATACTAAGGACCATTCTAAAAATAGGGGTCTGGAGGCATTGCTGTCAATCTGTTTATTGCAACTTTACAGCAGTGATACTGAATCTGTGTCTACTATTGAAGAATTATGTGCATATTATAATTCTAAAAAAACAGAATCATTCCTGGGTATTACTGAAATATTATTAAGTCTTCTAGCCCAGAAAAGAGCCATTTTGTCTAAAACATGCTTGCTTGTATGGGAACAATTTGTTCCAGAAATCGGAAAAGATGAATTGCAAGTAATTTTAGATGTATTACAAGCTAGAGAAAATAAACAAGGTTTTGCACAGCTATTTGAAGGCGCTGATGAATATGAAGTTATAGAAAGTGATAAAGAAGAAGAAGAAGAAGATACTGATAACGAAGATAAAATGGATGAAACTGAAGGATCTGATGAAGATGAATTATCAGACTTAGAAGAATCTGAAGACTCATTTAATGAGGATGCTTTAGCAATAGATAGAGAAACCACTAGTGCGTTAGTAAAGGCTTTGAATCTCCCTGAAAATATCGTTGGTGAGAATGGTGAAGTCAAATTCGATGAGTTGGATGATTTTTCAGAGGCAAATGAAGCGGAAGAAGAAGAATCCATGGATGATGAAAAAATGATGGAATTGGATGATCAATTATCTGAAATATTTAAACGTAGAAAAGAAGCATTATCAAAAATTCCCACTGGGCATAAAAGAAAATTAGAAGTAAGAGATTCAAGAGAAACAGTTATTGCATTTAAGCAAAGAATGGTAGATCTTTTATCAATATATGTTAAGTATGCTGAAAAATTGGATGATAATATAGAAAACAAAGATCAAATACTACAAAATTTGATAATGTTGATAGAGCCAATGATTAAATGTGTTCAAAATACTCTGGACAGATCATTAGCAGAGAAGATATCCAAATTATTAAAAACCAGATTATTCAAGTTCAAAATCACATCAGTCATCGATTGTGCAAAAATATTAACTTTATTAAAAACCATTCACAACGATTATATCTTGACTACTAAACCTGGTCAGTTCAACAACTTATTTTATTCTTTATGTTCAAGTTCCTCTATTTATATGAGCAAAATATTAGTGGAAAATGTCGAAGAAAATAAACAAGTCGATGCATTTAACGATATAATTGATTTATATACGGAGACAACAAAACAATGGCTTAAGAAGGGGAAATTTACTTCATCTTTATTCGGTGACTTCTTTAATTGGCTTTCTTCAAAGAGACAAAATTCCGAACAAACTTCTTAATTCTTTCCATTAACTTCAAGGCCGATTAAAAGTCCGGAATTGTTTCTTTTACAACATAGGAAGAATAGTTCAAAAGAACATATATATTTACAAATGCATATATGTATACTATCTAAAAAATAATAAATATATATATAAATTGATAAATTTATAAATTCCTACCTTTGTGAAAGTTCAGTTGTCAAGCAATTCTCGATATAATGTTTCATTCAATTTTGGTAAACCACCTATTGTAGGCAACCTTTTTGAACCTTTCCAAACTTGTACTATATTATTTTCCTCACAGGTAGCCATCAACCAAGGGATATTTGAATTGATCGACATATCATTAACAGGACTTTTATGTCCACCATGTATCATTACTACTTCGGGTGAAGCATCTTCTGCATCATCGAACACTTGTTCTTTACCAATCTCATTTATATCCCAAATTATTGCTCTTCTATCACTACCACTGGACATTAATATACCATCCTTATGTTCAAAAAATTCTAAGTTTGTAACGGCATCCTGATGCCCACTCATAGAATGTAAAGGTTCTTGGATCTTTCTCATATCAAATAAATGCACATAAGAATCTGTTCCAGCAGCACCAAATAAATATTCAGAATGTTTTGAGAAGGCTATTGTATTAAAGACACACTCAGAACTAAAACTGATACTAGAATCAAAATTATGCCTATCATTACTTCTTAGATCATGAATTTTTAAAGTCAAATCTTCCGAAACAGATCCAAAGATATTTTTATTAAATTCATTCCATTTACAATCATTAACAATATCTTTATGGATCCCCTCCCCCCAAATATGTACAGGTTTAGCATCCTTATTTAAATCCCATAGTGCGATTGTGTGATCATCTGACCCACTCAGTAAGTAACCCTCCCAATTTGGGTTGAAACTTAATCCATACCCGTTATCTTTGTGATATTTTAGAGTTTTAATAGCTTTACATTGATCTGAATCTCTATCAAAAATTGATACTAAACCCAAACCATTAATGGTAGCAATGATATTAGGATTCTGCGGCATGTACCGTGCTCTATTAACTTCTTCCTCATGCTGAAATTTCTGCATAATTCTAATATTAGATTGAACATAATCTTCCTTGTCCTTGCTATTATCATTTTCATATACTTGATCATTTCTATCAATTGATATACCATCAGTGTCATCTTCATCACTATCTACAACTTCATCAGGTAAAGTGATGGCAGCAATTTTCAAATAATTAGGTTCTTCACCAGATGTATGAGTCCCTAAGATCATTTGTTGAATATTCCTTGAAATAGGTCCTTTACCATGAGGTAACCATTGAATAGTTAAAGATGGCCACACCAATTCTGTTTCACTAACAAAATCATACATTAATGGCACATTGGATCTCCAAAGATTATATTCTTCATCTACGGAGAGCGTTTCATTTTGATTGCCAACATTTTCTTCATTAACAGCATTCAATATCATATTAGCATCTAGTCCAGTCTCGGAAATATCCAACCCAGATACAGCAGTTTTCATAACAACATTCATCCAATTTGATTTATCCATTCTTTTGAAAAGCACAATGTTTTCTTTCGATAAAATATCAATGGTAAATTGTATTACAAGTATTAATCTTACCTAAAGATTAGTATATTTATCTCCTTGTATATGCCCTACTCTCATATTTAGATATCTTTCACATAAAATCTAGTATTCTACACTAGCAAGTATATCAACTTTGAGTATCACAGATTCTGATAGAGATCGAAGATCTTCCAGGACTGAAACAGTTAGGGCTAATTACAGTTATTGAAATTGTTAAATTAGGTTACTATTATTCTTTTGGAAAACCAAGTTGTTTTTTTAGGGTAAGTAACGAAAAAAGAGAAATATTTCCAACAAACCTTATTTGTTAGGACTAAACACAATTTAAACAAACAAGATTAATCAGGAAGCCGTCAAAAGAAGCCATTAACATCGCCTTTTAGGAGATGAAGATTATAATAGATTGAGTGAAAAGTCTGTGATTGGTTCTGAATTTTTAATATGATCCGCCATAACCAAAAATCACATAAACTTCAATATAAACACGGTTTTAGTTTTTGAGGTTTAATTATTTTCTATTAATGTCACAGATTCTTGAGGCTAGAACACCTACTGGATCGCCTAAGAAAAGTCCTTTCAAACCTGTATATCCAAGAAACTCGTCACCAATAGCTGGCAAATATAATTTCATAAAAAGGTCACCTTTGAACTTTTCCACACGATGTGTAGCAATTGACGAAGATGCAAGGAGAAAATCTGTATTCATGAGTAATGTTAGAAATGATTCTATTTCAATACTCTCTGGGTCAACTTCAGTACAAAATGTGAATATAAATGCAAATAAGTCACGTTCATCGTCTCCTATTCGTTCAAATTCTGGTTCACCATTAAAAAATTTGGTTAACAGTTTAAACGGGTATGAAAGGTCCAGTCCACTAAGGAGGAATAAATCGGTCTATTTTAGTCCTATGGACCAATCTAATGAAAGTAGTGATAATAATTCAGTTTTAGATAATATTCCATTTCCTTTTTATGAAGAATCTCAGTCAGATAGAGAAGCAGTTCTTGAACAATATTTCACAAAAAAGACAACGACTGAAACTCTAATAGATCAAGAAAATGTTAGTCCCAATGATAATGTAACAAAGATTAATAGAAAGAAATCTTTAAACCACGACCTAAACAGGAGTGTTTTCAACGAATTAACATCCAAAGAATATGAGGGATCTATTACAGATCCCAAAACAGAAAAAATTATCTATCTACACTATATTAAAAGATGAAATATTCATTAACACAAACAAAAATACATTAGCAAGCAGGGCCAAAAAACCAGTTACGAAAATAGTACAAAATATAAAAGTAATAATATAATTGGTATATAATCATTTTTTAACATTATTAGAATTACTATTAAAGTTTTATATATTTATGTAACATCAAGAAAATGAAATTTATTTAAACCAATGAATAAATTTTTCTCTCAAATTGGGTTCACTATTTTCTTCTGAAAACTCTTTATTGTTTGATTCAACTATATTTTCTTCAATCTTGCTATCAACGTTATTGCCTTCACTCAATGTAACACTATCAATCAACCTATAATTTCTTAGCATAAAAGTGCAGAACAATAAAGGGACACAAAAAAATAGTCCAACAATACAAAGAATCTTTTGTACATGTCTATAAGCTTGAGTGACCATCATTCTCTCTGGTGATCCCCATGGATATTCATAGATGAACGTGAATGGAGATCCATATGCTTCAGCACTTAAAGTCTCATTCTGTAACCTTCTGGAGATCTCCTTTGGTAAAACTTGGGTCCAAATAGCACCAGAGATAGCACCACCAAGAGCAGAACCGATGTTGTAGGTAGCCAAATATAATGCAGTAATGATGGCTAACTTTTCATGGGTCTTTGCAGATGCTTGGATCGAGGCCTGTGTTGTGTAAGTGAAGAATCCGGCACCAAAACCTAATAAACATAAGGAACCTATAATACCTGAATGTGAAGAACTATCACCACGGAAATGGACCAACAAACCGAATGATAAGAACCACATTGCTGCACCAAAGATGATGAATGGCTTAGTTCTTCTAATTTTAATAATGAAGATACCTAAAATAGTACCCGTGATGACAGAGACAAATGAGTATAATGATGTAATACGTGTGGCTGATTTAATAGATTCATTAACAGCAACGACTAGAACAGTGTACATGTAATCACCTTGCATGTACCAGATAAAGTTGATAAAAAAGGCGATAATTAAGGCAAATAAGATACCCCTATCTTTAATTAAATCCCATGGTGTCAAAGGATTCTTGGCAAACTTAATCTCCCAGATCAAGTATAAAGGCAATGCGACCACCCAACCAATAACTTCTGGAACGATAATATGAGCAGTCTTCCATTGTGTTTGCAATCCACCTGCCAAGGTGAATGGAATTAAAATACAACCAAAAGTGACACAACTAAGTAATAAACCAATAAAATCCAGTTGATCAATGAAGAGTTCCATCACATACACATTCCAAAAATCCGATAATGATTTGGGTAATCTCCAACCTTTTTCGCTTTGTTGCTCTTTAATTTCAAGTAATTGTTTCCTTGTATCCTCATTTCTATATGCCAACCATTTCATATGCAAAAGGCAACAACCTAAAGGTATACAACTTAAAGGTAAGATGAAAGCCCACATACCGATCCCCCACTTCCATCTTGTGCCAACAGCTGAAGTGACATCCCCACTGATCCAGGTATTAATAATAAAGGGTAAAGCAGGGATAAAAGAAGCCAGTAGTCTATAATTCAAATTTGAGAAATCAGCAGCGATGACTTCTAATAGAAGTACAATACCTGTGTAACCTAATTGATAGAAACATGCACCTGCAGCAAATCTGGAGACATTGACAGCTTGTGATTCGATGATTGTACCCATTGAATAGAAAATGATTGCGATGATCAATAACGGGAATCTACCACCGATATCGGATGCTCTTGCAAACCAAATCTGACCAGCAGCAGCTATGACAGATCTAATACAATTAACGGTAGACAAAAGCGAATGTTGTGCATATGAAGAAGTAGCACTGGCCTGGTAAGTGTAACGAACCATCCCGTCAAGACCATAAGCATATGCTACTAAAAAGATAGAAAAGAATAACATGATTCTATATATGGGATGATTGTAATGCTTGGCGTATAATTGAACAGCACGGACACCTCTAGCACCTGTATTTGGATTGGAATTACTAAACTTGGTTTCATCCTTATTGTAGTTAATATTAGATTCGTCTGTTTGGGTCAGATTTTTCTGTGTGATATCTACCAGACCTATTTTTTCATCCTTTAATGAACTAGTGAAAGACCCTAAAGATGAGTGGGTGTCCCTTTGAAATAAAGTGTGTATTTTATTTAGATTATTATCCAGAGATGGATCTATCATATCTATTTTTTTAATATCTTCATTAGCTGAAGTCATTGTAAAAGAGTATGTCTATGAGACAATATATCGTTATATATGGATGTTGCAGTTATTTTATTTACTTGGTATGATTTATTTGTATCAAGGAAACATATTAATTGAATTTGACAAAATAGAGGAAATATTTAAAACCATTCGGTGAAATGTATACCTTCTCTACACACACACATATATATATATATATTTATATAATTTCATTTATTTGGTTATTAGCTAATTAATCAACTTTTACGACCAACAAAATATTGCAACTTTATTAAACATCATCTCATTGCATCCAAAGCAAGTTGTTTATTGTATTCATTATTCAAGAATAAAAGAAGTTGAGTATTGATAACATTGCCGCAATCAATAAAGTGAAAGAAATAGAGCCCTTATAAATAACAATAGAAAAAAAAAATTACATAACCTCGAGTAATAAACTCCTCAATTTGTTTAGAAAATCAATTAGCTGATTTAATTAATTTAATTGAATGATATTATGATTCACCTTTTTTTTTTTTAATTTTAATTTAAATTTACTATTACTATTATTATTAGTATTATTATTTTTTCGAAGCACAAACATCAAAAACACCCAAGTCACACCGCCGTGAGAAGAAGAAACAAAAGAAGCAAAAAAATATATACGTATATAAAAAAAATGGAAGGAAAATGTGTGCAGTTTGGCATGAAAGGTAAGATTTACGGGTTCGATGTTTGGGTTTCACACAAAGGAACTTAACGTTTGTGACCATTGTTCCCTGCACTGTGAAGTTTTTGTAAAATTTACACCCAAAAATCAAACGGTTGTTCTTTTCTCTACCAAAAAGGTATGGTAAAAAAAAAAATAGAACAAACTTGCTTCTAAAGAAAGGAAATATTTATTTTCTTTTTTTTTTTCAAAAATTTTACTATAGCCCTACTGTGTCGCATTATGTGTCTCGCATTTGTTTTTTTTTTTTGGAGATTACACCTTAGTGATATTAGTTTAAACAAAACAAACCAAAACAAAAAATAATAATGGTATAATATATATAAAAAGTTGCATAAAACAGTGTTAAATATACAAAGATAGATTAATAATAACTTGATCATCAACGATCATTTTACAAGAAATATATGAACAGCATAATGTATTAACTCACCTACTAAATGTTCAGTATCACTGGGCTTTGTGTGTGGGGAAAGGGGCGAGGCAAAAGATATGTCGTTGTTGGGTATAAATCTGGTGGTACTCTAAATGAAATTTTCATAAACGTATAACTTGGTTTGTACAGAAAATCTACATACATAAATCGAATAGTTCCAAGATATTTTTTAACAAAACCCTAACACTACAAAATTATTGCTATTGGAAAAACATCTAATATTATTTCTCACCCGATATTTTTAGTCCTGATTTTTTTATATTGAAGAACCAAGAAAATAAAAAACAAAAGAAAAAAATAACAAAAAAAAAAAAGAGTGTGCAACATTATTTCAATTTCTTGGGTGCAATAAAAAGAAAAGGAAAAAGAAACAAAAAGAGGTGCAGAATTTTTACTGTGCATCTGATGCCAGACTTCCCAAACAGGAAATTTACTGGAATTATTAGGGCTTGTTTGTCATGAAGATTAGGGTTTGCTATATTTTGTGTTTACAGCTTTTTTTTTTCCTATTTTAATTTGTGTTTTTTCCCTTTTCTTTACTTTTATTGTAAATCAAAGATCAAAATTCTTGCTAGAACTAATTAACATACTTGTTTTGTACTATATTACTAAGTGATACCATATATCAAAACAGATTGTTCTATACTTATTCTACCCTTCTCCGTGTTATTAGAGACTCAATCACTCTTCTAGTTTGGGCTATACTAGAATAATACAGCTATCTAGCATTTGAATACTCTTTTTTTCTTCTCTTCCCCCCTCCAAATATATATATATATATATATATATATTCACACACATATATATATACATATACATCAAATTAATATTTGATTACACTTTCTTTCATTTCATTTTTTCATTTTCATTTCTATTATTTTTGAATGTGGACAACTTTCAACTATAAATGGATCACTATTCCATCCTCAATAGATGATACAATTCTTTACAAAAATGATAACGGTTGCAATTGTATTAAATTTCTGAAACAATTACTAAATATAAGTACTGATATATCAATTGAAAATTTAGAAACTATAAGTAGTAACACCAATGCCAATACTAATGACAATACCAGTTTTTATCCAATTATTTTTAATCGTATAAATGAATACTTAGTTGACTTGAGATTAATAATTCGCATATATCACAATAACAAAGAGAGCAATACTATTTCTAACAATAAAATAGATTATTCGCGGATCTCATCCTTCGATATTCACGGTTTCCATGTATCAAAATATTTATTGGAAGACGAATGTTTCGGTAATCTTAAAAATATATTCAATCAGATTAGTCATGACTATAAAGTCGATATAATGATAACAAAATATGACTTTTTAAATATATTAAATGATACAACAGATAATAATTCTCCTTGTTTATATATCGTTGGACAAAACAACGTATTAATTTTTTTAAAAAATGTTATCGAGTTCGTTATCTCTAATTACACTTTATCTCAAAGGATTCCAATTTTAAACGCTTATTCTATCCCCATGATATCAGGTCCACATTCTATTAATGTTGACTATTTTAAGACCATCCACAATGTATCTTTACATGTACCAACTTTATCAGACTTAACTCATTCCGATCTATATATCGGTGGCTATGATAATTTAACCACCGAAGCCACTGTAGAATATGTCACCACAATATTTAATAAATTTTTATCAGATTTATGCCCTATTCAAAATACCATGTCTTCTCCATTTGGTATTAATACTATTCCATTAGGTAAGATTTACTTTTTGAGAAAATTTAGATTCCTTCATTTGAATTCATTATCTATTAAACATCAAACATGTATAAATTTTACTGAGTTAAATAACAATAGTAACAACAACAACACACCATCTTCATGTTCTTTATTGGTTCATGGATCTTCATCAGAGTCAATCCAATCGTGTCTAAAGGACTTATCCTTATCAATTTTACAAAATCTTATTGAAATTACTTTTTACTTTGATTCAATTATCTTAGATTTAAGTAGTCTTTTCAGCATCCTCGAAGGTGAAGAATTTATTTTAGTAACACCTTTAGATAATCTCATATCCAATCCCATCGATTCATTCACTTTAATCATCGACTATAATAGATTCCTGAATATTATGGATCAATTGTTAACCCTACCATTTGCTGAAAACTTAAAACAATTCAAGACGATATTTCAAATTCATTACGATTTTGAACAATTCATATCTGGCAAAAAAAATGGTAAGCTAATTAAAATTATGGATCAACAACCTAATTGTATAGTGAGACTACTAAATGAAAGAAGTAACGATAAAAATGATATTTTGATGAATTTGGAACTCATTAATGGCCCACAAAAATTAGAATATAAACAAAGTCTAAAATTGATAATTGATGAATTACCTATTGAGGAATCTTTCCATATTGGTGAGGTATTCCATAGACCAATTATTGGTTCAGGTGGATCTATTATTCAGACTATAATGAGAAAATACAATGTTTTCATCCAATTTTCAAACAGTTTCAATCTACCACAATTGAACTGGTCCTTGATTAGATACCCAAACGTAATAATAAGATGCCCAAGAAAAAATATGGCAAACATTAAACTGGCCAAGGAAGAAATATTGAATTTAGTTAATAAATTTAAGATTAATCAAGATTTACAGTCTTTTCAATTATCCTTTGCTATGTACCATTTTATCACATTAAAAAAAAACCATACAAAAATTCCACAGATTGAAAAGACTTATAATGTCGCTATTAATTTTCCAGCTCCGAATGAAATGAAGAATTATGTTAATGAAAATTTCACATTAACTATTGGAAGTAGTTTTAACAATAATCAAAATGATGTTTCAACATTTTCAAACGAACAGGATCATGACAACAGCGCTAGCACTAGTAATAACAACAACAATAATATAAATAATAAGAAAAACTCATTTAATGCAATGATTAAATTTAAAGAAATCGTATGTGGTAAAGAAACCATATTTGAAATGTCAGATAACTTCAAAACATTCATAAAGCAAAAAAATGAATGGTTCCACGACAATGTTATCTTACAATTAGAATCTCTATGTCATTGTGTTTTAAGAGTTTCTAATGATTTAAACTCATTACAATTAATACATCAATCACCAAAAGAATATGCAATAGTCCTACATTATTTAGAAGTTTTAAAAGCTAAATTCAATATCGTAGTTGTATGTGAGAAACAAATATCCTAATTCAAAGAATAAACAAAATAATTAAATAAACATTTACTACATATTGAAAAAGGAAAATCAACCCTTTACGATTAAACTATTTATCTATTAGCAGACAAAAAAAAAATTAAAATGAATTGTGCAAAGAACTTTTCGGTTATTTATCCATGAAATTCTGTTATAGACAAATTAAACTGCGAATATCATTTGTTTCTGTTCTATATATAGTTCCTATATACAAAAAAAAAATAAAACATTAATTATTTACAGGAGAGTATTTAAAGTCTTATTTAAATATGTAAGACATTCATCAAAGGCCTTTATTGCTGCATACTTATTCTCCTTTTCTCTACTTAGTATTGTGAATTTTCTTAAATGGTTACATTCGATATTATAATCAATAATATCCGAATTAATTAGATTACCATTCTTTCTATATTGCCACTTCCTTTCTGAATCTGCCTTCAACTTCTCATATTCCACTGTCAGTATATTTTTGAATATCTGCTTAGCTAAAAGAATATCTTTTGTATGATTTTCTTGTGCACTTACACTAGATTCCTCAAGGCTCAATGCCTGTAATATAAACTGTAAAGACGTGTATATCTTTAGTCTTAAGTTACATTTATCAGTTTCGTTCCTATCGTGCATTATATCCAACGATGATGTTGCTCCTGCAGCTTCACTAAACACCAACTGGTTTTTCAAGTATAATGATTCATATCTATATTTACATCGTATATAATTGACGTAAATATCTCGTACCATTGCCCTCTGTGAAATAAGAGGTCTCAACCGCATAAATCTTCGATATGTCATCCTTAAGAAACTTTTCTCTTCAACATCGTAATTATTACTCTCATTGAGCTCGCAGATCGATTTTGGAATTATGAATTTTTTATTATATTTTAATAATTGGATGTCACTTCCAATGATAGCCCGGGCAGTTTCGATTGTTTTCGACATAATAGGCTACCTCATATCTTGAAGCATCTCTGTATCATTAAAATAGAATCTGCCATTTTGCTTGGTGACTTACTTTTTTTTTTTTTTTTAATCTTATCTACGTAAACGAAAAAAATTGATTTTTATCGATGGAGGTTTATAAAAGAGTTAGGTTAAAATTCTCTTAGGACGCTTTGACAAATGATGAGATGTAGTAACAATCAATCTATAATAGAAAAGATCGCTTTAATATCTGTCTTAATCAATTATCAGAAAAGACTTATAAACCAAGTGAGTAGTAAAAACAATGGACCTACCTAAATATGAATCTATAAAATCTGATTCTGAAAATGATGATTCTGACGCGAGTTCTACTAGTTCCTCAACATTTTTATCAAGAGAATCTACTGTAAAGGTAGACATTGAAGATTACGAATCTGATGAAAATAGTAAAGATTCAAAGTCAAATACTGCTGATTTTGAATCCCATATTTTTATTCCTATTATAAATGGTAACATTTTTAATATTTCTAATGATCCAGAATCTTTTTATCTTGGTCTCAAAGAAAAGCAACAACTTTTCATATCTGGTATATTTGATCTACAAATATTAAAAGGTGGTATAGTCTATAACAATATTCATTACAATGCATCAAATAAGCAGACATTAAACATATGGCATCCTTTATCATGCTCTGTACCTGCCATAATTTCATCTTTTTATGCAGGTTGGAATGAACCCGAGTTTCATAAGAAATCATTAAATAACATACCCTTATTAAACACTGATAGTTTTATTTGTATTATTAAAATAACGAATAATAAAAAATTTAACGGTATAACTGACGTCAATAAACTGAATTCAGATTTGAATTTCCTTTGGAAACCTAAAACACAATCGATATATAATACTAATAGCTGCAGCACCAGTGAATTTTTAAAATTGAGTAAGACCTTCACAATACTAAATATTAACCAAGATATATTTACACCATTAACTATTTCTTCACAATGGAGAAATGTTTTAGAAAGATTATACTTCGAACATATTAATTCTCATCTAGATACAAGGATAATGATTATTGGGGGTAAAAATTCTGGAAAATCAACATTTTTGAGACTATTAACTGAAAAAATCCTAAACACAGAATCCAATAAAGGACCAGACTTTATAGATAATGATAGATTAGTTTGGTATATGGATTTAGATCCAGGTCAACCGGAGTATTCAAACCCAGAATGCGTCTCTTTAGGTCAAATCAAGAAACATAAAAACATTACAACATTAGGAACCACTTTTGGGCAATGTGGATATACACCTTTGAGGCAACATTTTGTTGGAGTAAACTCTCCTCAAGAGAATCCTGAGCTATATCTTTCATTAATAGATAACCTTTTTAATTTTTTTGAAGAACAATATTTTACAGGGACTTCTTTATTGAATTTGCCAGGATGGATCAAAGGGTTTGGTATACACATTATTAATCATGTCATTAAAAAATATAAACCTACACATCTTTTGATACTAGAACATACCAGTAAATCCAACTTTGAAGAAATTTTTATCCCAGAAAGTTTTAATAGTAATTTGAGAGAGAATTACTTTTCAACTATTATAAGATTATTACCTCACCAAAGTGTATCAACGAATTCTGATTCTTATAACCAACTGAAATTTCAATCATCTCAACTAAGAATATTTAGAATGCTCTTGTTGTTCCATAAACAATTCCAAAAAGATTCTGAGTTTTTTGACTTCGATTTTAAACCATTACTTTCACATGCACCTTTGCAGATCTCAATAGATAAAGACAGTTGTATAAGTGGAATATATTTTATGGAAGAATTCCAACAGTTACATAAGGATGATATTAAGAATTGTCTTGAGACTTGTATTGTTGGTATACATAAATATATCAACAACGATGATATGGACACAAAATTAAGTAATATCACGGAATTACGCGGAATATATCCCATAATAAAAGGTAAGAGAAATTCGAAGAATTTTCAATATGTTACATTAGGTTTGATTCATTCTATCGATGAAGAACAAAAAGTTATTAATATGTATATTCCAGAGATTTTCTTAGATACTCTTAAAAACGACACAGATGATTCTCAATGGATTATTGCTCGGGGGAAGACAGAAACACCCATATGTGAACTATACCCATCAAAGAAATATATGACTGAATGTTTTAGTGCCGATACACGAACTATACCGTATATATCAACTGAAAGGGCAAAGAAGCATGAGCACGTATGGAAAATTAGAAAGAATATTCATAGAAGAGGTCATTACATGAAATAAAATCTTTGCAATCATTTAAGAATGGCAAATACATATAATTGTAGAAGAATAAAAGAATAAAATGGGTTAACCCATATATAATAATACAATAACTTATAGAATTTTAACACAATCTATTATTTAGTACTATTGTCAGTAGTATCCGTAACCAATTGCACATCATCATTCCATCCCATTTTCTTGTTTAATCTATCATATTTTATCCTATCTTTATCACTTACTGATGGCTTGATTTTTTGTAACGCATGATGGAAATCTTCAACTCCAACAACAATTTGATGATCATCAAAACCAACACTTAAATCTTCAAATTCTTTATCTAAATCATTTTCACCAACTGATTGTATTTCGTTGTTCTTAAAGAAACGTCTTTTCAATGCCAATACCGAACTTTCTCTTACTAATGATGCCAAATCAGCACCAGAGAAATTCCGCACTCTTTCATCATCAATAATATTTTCTAAATTCACATCTTCCGCAACTGGTGTACCATTAGACTTGATTATAGTCTTTAATATATCAAATTTCTCATTTCTATTAGGTAATTCTATAAATAACGTTTTATCTAATCTCCCCGGTCTTAGCATGGCTGGATCAATCATGTCAGGTCTATTTGTTGCACCCACTACAAAAATACCTCTTCTATCATTTAACCCATCTAATTCGGTCAATAATGTGTTAACAACACGAGATGACGATTCAGACATAGACGTATCTCTTCTAGGAACTAAAGCATCTAATTCATCAAAGAATATAATACATGGGACTGAAGCTCTTGCTCTTGTAAAGACTTGTCTAATTGCACGTTCTGATTCACCCACGTATTTGTTTAATAACTCGGGACCTTTAATGGATATAAAATTTGCTCTAGATTCATTAGCCACTGCTTTTGCAAGAAGTGTCTTACCACAACCTGGTGGACCCCACAGAAGAACACCAGCTGGTGCATTAATACCCACTTTCTCGTATAATTCAGGTCTCTTGATAGGTTGAACAATAGCCATATTCAATTCAACCCTAATGTTTGATAGGGCACCAACATTATTCCAAGTCACATCCGGAACTGTGGCGAAACCTTCTCTTTTAGCAGTTGGTTGAATTGTTGGTAATGCTTTTAGGAAGTCTTCGTACGTAATTGATAATTGTTTTAATTGTTCATCATTTAATGGTTCTGGGAAAGTGTTGATAAAATCAGTTATGATTGATAAAGGTAACGGATCTATCAAATTTGCAGTATTTTTTTCAGAATTGGTGTCTATATCCATGTCCTCATCATTTAGTTGAGAATTTTTCGATAAAGAATAGTTTTTAAAGATACGCTTTATAGCACATGTACCAGCAGCAGTGGTTAAGGCTTTCAAATCTGCACCAACAAAACCTGGAGTTAATTTAGCCAACTTGTTAAAATCTATTTGACCATCAATCTTTAAGGAGGATGAAAGTTTTTTTAAGATATGTAGTCTAGATATTTCATTTGGTACATTCAAACATATTTCACGATCGAATCTTCCTGCACGTCTTAAAGCGGGATCTAAAGAATCAGGCCTATTGGTGGCACCCAGAACGATAACCGGTTTACCATTGGTATTTTCAAGGGTTAACTCATCTAGAGAGGTTAAAAGTTGTGCAACAATTCTTTTTTCCATTTCTCTCTGTGCTCCACCGTCTCTCTTTGGAGTAATTGCATCAATTTCATCGAAAAATATTAAACATGGTGCTATCTGCTTAGCCTCTTGAAAAAGATCTCTAATCTTTTTTTCACTTTCACCCGACATTCCACTAACTACCGATGGAGCTGATACTGATATAAAAGGAACTTTTAATTCTCCAGCTAAAGCATTAGCGATAGATGTTTTACCACAACCAGGAGGACCATGCAATAACACACCTCTTGGTGGTTCAATACCTGTTGTCAAAAATATTTCAGGATGTAAGATAGGTAACCCTACCAACTCCATTAATTGTGCTACTACATCATCCATACCACCTAATGATTTCAAATCTGCATCAGGTGGGGATCTATCCTTGAGCTTTTGTTTTTTAATTTTCTTTGTTGTATTTGTGTTTGTGCTTACAGTAGGCCTTTTCTTCACATTCCAGAGCTCGATAATATCTTTATTCATATTATTAGTATCATTTTTGGATTTTCCATTTGCACTCTCAGTGATAAAATTATCAGTATTGTCACTATCATTCTTAGGATTGTATTGTGGATAATCTTTGAATTCTTCATCTTCAGTGGTTATCAGTTCATTCCAAACTTTTTCAATAGATTTTTGGATCAAGTGTTTTTTCATTCTTTGCATAGACATATCTTTAGTTAAAATATATGAATAAATCTCTTCATATTTTAAATCTTTAGCGAAAAACAATAAATCATCCTCCTCATAATCACCTTCTTCATCATTATCTATACTAGTATTACCGGTACCATTATCATTCTGAGAAGAAGAATCTTTATTCCTAACCTTGCTATTATTTAATTGTGTAGTCTTTTCTTCTAATAATCTTTCTAATAAAGATAAAATTTTATTTTCTAAAGAATTTACTAACGAACCACCACCTTTCCTTGTTTTCCCTCTAGCCATTCTTCAATTTATATTAGTGCAATTAGTATTGCAATTTAAATATATTACAACTATTTTTGAGTTAGTGAAAAGAAAATAAAAGGTTCAAAAGTGCATTAATATATACATACATCTATATAAATATGTATATATATGTATGTAACAAATTTTTAATCATATCTATCTTCAAGAAAATTGATGATAAGCGATGAGATGCCACTAATAATAAAGATACTGAAAAGTTTTTTTGCTCAAACTTCATGTTCTCTTTAAAAAAAAACTTCACATGAGATTTGGGTGTACAGATGTTGAAAATGTTTCTTTTTTATATTTTGAGTTTTTCATGTCTTACGCTATTGTACACCCACACACCCCGCGTTGCCATAGTTTCTTAATTATTTTTTTGTTATTTAGTTTTTTTTTTTTTTTTTTTTTTTTTTTCAAATTGAAGATTAAAACAAAAATTCAAGTAGTAATGAAATCATAATTTTCAGAATATAGAGAGATAGAATGCTAACATTTGACTAGACAGTATATCTTGTATCATTAAGTTTATCTATTCAACACTTTTATATTCAATAATCTTTAATCTATTTTAATGTTCACGTGTAGGCATTTATTTTTAGTCACGATTATTTCCAAATATTTATGAGGTGAAGGATATTTAAACAGGGGGAAATGCATATATATATTTTATAAAAATATTAAGCTAGAAAAATTAAAAGATTTATAAAGACAACAAATAGTACTTTCATAAATAGATTATTAAATATATATACTTACATTATTACATACTGTTAAGCTAGCGGCGAGAAGTAAGGATAATATACAAAGAAAAAAAAAAAGAAAGAAAGAATTTTCCAATGTTTTGTGCAATTAGTGGTAAACCACCACTACATCCAGTTGTATCAAATAAAAGTAAATGTTTATTTGAAAAATCCTTATTAGTTCAATACGTAAATGAAAATGGTGTTGATCCAATAACTAAAGTTTCAATGACACCCACTGACATTATAGAGATCGATTTAACTGCATCGAATTCTAATACTAACGTATTAAATTCATCAACTTTAAACACAAATTATTCTATCCCAAATCTTTTATCTACTTTACAAAATGAATGGGATGCAATAATGCAAGAAAATTTCTTATTAAGACAAAAATTAGATATCTTATCTAAAAATTTGTCACAAGCTCTATATGAACGAGATGCTGCAAAATTAATTGCTGCTAAATACATGAGTGGTGGGCATGTACCAAAGGTTAATAATAATAATAATAATAATAGCATTACTACCACTGATGATAATAACCCTAATAGTAACAATATCAATGTTGGATTAAAATTAGATGTAAATGATTTAATTGAAAGATCAAAGCAGTATATGATAACAACAAAACCAATTATCAAAAAGATTGCTCTTCTACAAAAAAATATTATTAATAATGTTGGTTCTTATGAATCCATTAAACTTATCAAATCAATATCAGCTAAATATCCTGGTCTTATACCCATATCCACATATCCTCTGAAAAGTGTAACTGACACATTTAATAATTATAGCACATTGATTTCAACCGATGATAATGCTGGTCTATATATTATATCTTTAAAAGAGGATAAATTTATCAATTTTTCTAACTTTACAACATCTTATCTATACTTTGTCCCAGATCAAGATTCAATACTTTTCATTGAAAAGGATGAAACCAATATATGTACACTTTATAACATACAAGATCATTCTAAATATTCATGTAAATTGGAAAATGAATCGATTATAGGAATGTTTTACACTGACGGAGTATATGATGAGCAACCAAACGATTCTTCTAGCCAAAAAAAATTAGGTTTTAATTACTTAGTGGCGTGTTCTTCGGGAAATATTTATTTGATTAATAATAACCAGCCATATCTACTTGTTAAACAGCGCATTGAATCAAGACAAATGGCTGAATTCATTGGATCCTCATTGCATAAGGATGCCCTTCTAATGGCTGTTTTTAATACAAAAGAGATTTTCTTATTGACCATAAGTGATACCTCGACCCCTCCTATTCAAGTACCCCTTAATGATGATCAATTTGAAACCATTAAATCTGTCAAGTTTTCTTCGAATGGTTATTGGTTGTTTGTATTTACTAATACTGGTATAATCACATTTGACCTAAGAAAATCACCAATGCCGTATTTTTCATTAAACATCAATGCAAATAATAATAAAAATAATAGTGATAATGGTAATCACATAGAATGCGATGTCCTTCCATCGGGTAAACTTATGACAGCATTCGATAATATAACCAAGATTGTGAAATTTTATAAATATGAAAAGACTTCAAATCAGTGGATTATTATAAAGGAGTTGAAATTTAATGATTTATGCGATACGAATGATACATACAAATTCAATTTATTATATTCTAATGAACAAGTGGGCTGTCTTCTTTACGGTTCTAATAGCGTACATAAATATATCTTTGAATAATGATTATAAAGTATTAAAAGAATATACCATCAATAGCTTCTTACATACACACATATGTATATATATCCGTTTCGTTTGGATGCGTTTACTCGTTTATATATAAATCTTACATGCCATTTTCATTTTCTGCCTTTTTTTTATATATATCTATTTATTTGTTTATTTATTTTTTTTTTGACAAAAAGCAATTTACAACGATTCCTATTTTATAAAGGGCGACTAAATTATGAAGAACCACAACACAACATAATATATATACAGCGGTTAAAATCTTTTAATTGTAAAACATTTTAAATAAATGCAGAAGAAAACAAACCAAACCAAATCAACTGAAAGTCAATTAAACTAAACTAAACCATTACAGTGTAGTAATTTATTAAAATAATGCTGGAATCATTAGCTGCATCCTTATTGAATCGTCTTTTAGGTTCATATATTGAAAATTTTAATCCAACACAGCTGAATTTAGGAATATGGTCAGGTGATGTAAAACTAAAAAATTTAGAATTGAAAAAAGATTGTTTAGATGCATTAGATTTACCAATTAATGTGGAAATGGGTGTATTGGGACAATTGTCAATGAATGTTCCATGGTCTAGTTTGAAAAATAAACCTGTGAAGATCGTAATTGAAGATTGTTTTATGATAGTTGTACCAAATGATAAATTTTATGAATTCACAGACTTGAATGAGAGGCAACTGAAACTCAAATTGAAAAGGCTACTTGAATGGGAATTACACAATAGCGAAAATACAAATAAAAAAGTCGTTTCCAAAAACTATGCCAATAATGATGATGTAACACAGATACCCAATTCGTCCAATGAATCATTCTTACAATCTTTAATCACTAAAGTGATAGATAATTTACAAATTGTAATTAAAAATATTCATATTCGATTTGAAGATGTTGAGGGTAAATTATGTAATTATAATTCAAGTATCGGCTTTCAATTAAAAGAATTGTCTGCTGTGTCTACAAATGATAAATGGATACCAAGTTTTATTGAAATTTCAGGTAATTTGACACATAAATTAATGAAACTGGAAGAACTCGCTATATATTGGAATTCAGATAATTGTAAAAGTTTACTATTGGATTCACAACAATCAGATTGGGATGCCTTTATTCAAACATTGAAAAAGGATATGGAACTTAAAAATAGCAAAGAATATATTTTATCACCGGTTAATACATTAGGGAAATTAGTTATTAATAAATCTGGCACAACAGAAAAATTACCTCATATTAATCTTGAGTTAAGTTGTGATAATTTTGGTATTAAATTGAACGATTATCAATATCTTGATCTTTTGACATTTATATCGAATACTCATATTCAGAGACAGTCGGCTAAATACAAGGTGAATAGACCTAAAATGACAATTCAGGAAGATCCTAAAAGCTGGTTTAAATACTTTGGGCAATGTACTCTTTATGAAATTCATGAAAAGAATAAAAAATGGTCATGGAATCAAATTAAATTAAGATGTGAACAAAGGAGACGTTATATTGCTTTATGGAAACAAAAATTAAATACGAAATCTACCGAACTTCCATTGCCTTCAGAAGACGACGAAAAAGAATTTAATGAATTACAGAAAGATTTGCCTTTTGAAATGATCACATTATTTAGAATGATTGCTCAAACAGAACATGCTAAAGAAAAAATAGCATCGAGAGAGCAATCACAGGAAGTTAGAGATGCAGATCATACTGAAACTACAGAAACAGGAAAGAATTCCAGTTGGCTATCATCCTGGTGGAGTACAAATAAGACTTCTAATAATACAACACTCACTGACGAGCAAAAACAAGAACTTTATGCTATTATTGAATACAACGAAAATGAAATTAAGTCTAGTTCAAACATTATGTTGAAGAATAACATACCGAGACATTGGACAGAATGGGTTTTAGGCGGTTTTTTAAGGAATGGTTCCTTTATCTTGCAGAACAGAAATAGTGGTGATTATAAAATTGCTGAAATAAAATTCAATGACTGTCTGTTAAATATAAACAAAAGGCCAGACTCATTTTTGCTTAATTTTAAGTTGGATGAATTTAAGATCGAAGATGGATCCGAAAACTGCCTTTTTAAAAATATTGTAAGTCCTAAAATAAATGTGTCAAAAGATTTAGAAGTTACTCAAGAACCATTAGTAGATTTTTTCTTTGAAAATAATCCTTTAGATAGGGATGTAGATTCCAGAGTTTCCTTAAAACTTTTGGGCACAACAATATACTATAACGTTTATTTTCTTACTAGTATATTGAAATTTTTTCAACCACAAAAGCAGCATCTAGAAACAATAAATAAAATTATAAATGTGACTGAAGAAACTGTCGAAGGTTGGTCAACCCATACTAGAATGGGTATTGAATCACTTTTAGAAGAACATAAAACTTTAGATCTATACTTAGACTTAGAAGCACCATTAATCATTATTCCTACTAGTCCAAAGAATTGGGATTCTCCATGTACAATCATAGATACTGGTCACATCTCTGTTAATAGTGACGTTATTTCTAAGAACAAGCTAGAAGAACTTAAAAAGCTATCAGTAGATGAATATGACAAAATTGATAGTGAAGATATTAATAGATTAATGTTTGATAGATTTCTAATAATATCACAGGATACTAAATTTCTGGTAGGTCCGACAATCCAGTCCACTTTAGCTAGTCTTTCAAATTCTGTAAGTGATAATGATTTCTGTATACTGGATAAGATGAAACTGGAAGTTACATTTGATTTGTTAATCCTTTCGAAAGCTTATAAATTACCTAAATCTAGGATATATGGTCATCTACCTCAACTAAATATATCATTTAATGATCTCCAATACAAAATAATGATGGACTTGTTACAAAATTTAATTCCACAGACTGATAGTAATATTTCTGAAGATATAATAACTTCTTATCAAAACATAGATGATGAAGATTTCTATAAACTTGATCAAAAACGTCTTTCTGACACTTTGGATACTATTAACAAAATGACAAACTTACAAATTGAACAAAAGCAAATAGAAATATCTTTGAAGATAGATTCTATTACGTTCTCTGTTTTAAAATGTATTGATACTACTTCAATGAGATGTGACAAATTAGTTAATTTAATTGGTGACAATGTTAATTTTAATCTTTCTAAAACATTAAAAGATATAAAACTTCAAGTCGGTGTTCATGATTTACATTTGGAAGATTTAATTGAAAATATTAATGTTAAAGAATTCAAGTATCTAATATCATCAAATTCTGTCGCTCAAAGTGAGGACAAAAATTTGTTTAATTTAGTCTATATTAGGTCACAACGCATTGTAATGCATGAAAAATCATATATTGAGGTATTTGATCAAGATATTGATATAAGTTTAAAAAAGTTAATGATAACTTTGACACCTAAATCAATACTTACTTTGTTAAATTATGTTGTTTCTACATTTAACAATCCTCAAGAAGGAATTCCAGCTGATATTTTGAAACATAACAGTGAAGATAAAGATGATTCACCCCAAAAAATAAATATGAAAGTTGCTATTGATGGAATTCTTATTTACCTTAATGACAATAATGATAAAATTGCAACATTTGATATTTTGTCTGGTACTTTCAAAATGCTTTTACTTCCAACCAATATGAGAATGAGTTCTACAATCGATGGTTTGGAACTACATGACAATATATCTAGTACAAATAGCTATGTTCCTTCTAAGATTATAACTATGAATGGTAAACAACTTCTCAAGTTTTCATATGAGACATATGATCCTGAAACAAATAATAACAATTTCGATTCTTTATTTGAATGCGAAACTGGAGAGGCATTTATCAACTTTAATAGTGCTACAATTAATAAAATTATTATATTTTTCTATAAGTTTCAAAAAATGAAAACATACTTTGACCGGATACGTCAAGCAGCATATGAACAAGCACCATCCTTGGATACAGTAAAAAATTTAAAAGTAAGTGCCATTATAAGGTCCCCAGTTATACAGTTTTTTTACGTAAATGAAAATAAACCAACAATACCAAATATCATCAAGTTTTATCTTGGTGAATTTTTTATTAATAATAATTTCATCCTCAATAAGTCAGGTACCACTATTAATCACATTAATGCAGGATTGAGAGATGGTCAAATATCATCTCTTCTTCAGGTTGGAGATGGAAGAAAACAAAAACTTTATTTGGCAGATAAAATGAATTTGACTTTTAATATTAACCACAATCCTGAAGCTACAGGTTTCGAAAAGGATTTTGAAATTTTTGGTTGTCTAGAAGAGCTAAATTTAAATGTTACTGAATTACAAATGAAATACTTGTATTCCATATATGAAACTATTGAACAAACTTTTAATATTCCAAATATATATGAAAGAGCCTTAACACCAGAAATCGATATTACAGCAAATACTGGCTTTTCTAATGACAGCTCTTTATATATTGATAATATGCCCGCTGTGAATTCAAATGTCTCCACTGAAGAGTCTGGAAAAGTTATCAGTGTAAATTGGGAAGGACCTCTTGTATCTTTAACTTTGTATGATGATACAAAAAATGTACTGGAGGTATCAGCATGCAGCATAACAAAGGTAATATTGCAAGATATGAAAATATCATATTCAACAAATCGCAACCAAACATTTGTCGGTAAAGCGCACATTTCAGCCTTTAGAATTGAAGACACAAGAAACGTAAAAGATAACAAATTCAAGGAACTGATTCCAAAATTAGATGGTGAAGAAAATCAATTTATAGCAACAATAACTAGAAAATGGATAAATGATGGACTATTGACAAATTTATCAGTCTCTGTAAATAGCCCACGTTTCATTCTTGCAATGGATCACTTAATAGCGCTCAAGAAGTTTTTTGATATTTTATCTGTCCCTAAATCCACATTACAACCAAGTAAAGAACTTCTACTAGAGCATGTTGCCACCACTGAAGAACTAAATGATACTCCAAAGAATTTATTTCATTATTC